CTAGAATTAAGTAATTATAACTTTATTATAGGCTATATTTAGCTAGAGTACTTTAAAGTATTACTAGATATAGCAGGAAAAGCCTTAATTTAGCCTAGCGAGCTTCCTAAGAGTGTTAGACCTTTTTATAAGGAAATATTAATTAGATAAGAGTAACTTAAAAAGAAGCTAATCGATAAAAATCATTAAGATAACGTTAATTAATATCTAAAGGCTTAAGAGGCTAAAGAGCTTAAGCTAGTACCTATCGCTATAAGCGAGAAAAGGAAGTGAAAAGTAAATCGCCCTAAATTAGAGGCTAAAAATTCGTTTAAAAGCGAGCTACACGAATAGCTTAAAACTATAGAAAGAGAGTTATTAGGATTTTCTAGTTCTAGCTCTTATAAACTAGTTACCCTACGTTATAATCCACCTACCCTACTAAAATCGAGAAATCCTACTAGCTCTTCTCTAGATATTTTTACTATTAGCGCTACTGCTTTTAGTTAAATAATAAATAGAGATAAAGGGCAGGGAACTGAGCTATTTACAACTAGCTTATACGAAATCGATTAGCTAATAGCTGAGCTTTCCCCTGAGGATTAAAGCGAAATAATAGCGAAAGTACCTGAGTTTTTAAAGGACTTATATAACACTTTTAGTAAATAAGAGTCTAATAAGCTACCTTTATATAGAGACTACGATTATAAGATAGTTCTTAATAAACCTTATAACTTAAAATATAGTCCTTTGTATAATATATCACGGGAGGAGCTAGTCCTAACTAAAAAGTACTTAAAGGATAATTTATATAAAGGCTTTATAGAGCCTTCGAACGCTCCCTTCACTTCGCCGGTCTTATTTATTAAAAAACTAGGAGGTAGCTTACGCTTTTATATCGATTTTAGGAAGCTAAATAAGATTACGTGAAAAGATCGCTACCTGATTCCTTTAATCGACGAGACGCTAGCTTATATTAGTAAAGCTAAGATATTTACGAAGTTAGATATTTAATAAGCTTTCTATCGAATTAGAATAGACCCTAATAGCGAGGAGCTAACTATATTTAGAACGCGTTACGGAGCGTATAAGTGTAAAGTACTACCTTTTAGTCTTATAAACGGACCCGCTACTTTTTAAAGGCATATAAATAACGTCTTATTAGACTATTTAGACGATTTTTGTACTACTTACCTTAATAATATTCTTATATATTCCGAAGATATTAATAAGTATGAAGATCACATGCGAAAGGTTATTAAAAGGCTAAAAGATACCAGCTTATAAATCGATATTAAAAAGAGCGAGTTTTTAGTTATATGAACTAAATACTTAGGCTTTATAATTATAACTAAAGGAATAGAAGTCGATTAAAATAAAATCTCTATAATAAGAGATTAGAAAAACCTTAGCTTAGTACGCGGAATATAAAGCTTTTTAAGCTTCTATAACTTCTATTAACGATTTATAATAGACTATAGTAAAATCGCTAAGCTGCTTATTAATCTTATAAAAAAGGAAGTATAGTTTAAGTTCGATAATAGCTATAAAGATATATTCGAAAAGCTTAAAAAGAGCTTAATTATAGCACCTATACTATATTACTACGACCCGGAATTAGAGACTATAATCGAAACCGACGCTAGCGATAGCGTAATAGCAGGGATATTATCTTAAAAACACTTAGATAGCGAATTTTACCTTATAGCGTTCTACTCTAAGACTATAGCCCCTGCTAAGTGTAATTATAAGATATATGATAAAGAGTTATTAGCGATTATAAAATCGCTTAAAAACTAGAGATCTAATCTAGAGCGTACTTACTAGCGTATAAAGATCTATACTAATTATAAGGCGCTAGAGTATTTTATAATAACTAAAGCTTTAACTAGTAGATAAGCGTGTTAGGCTGAAGCGCTAGCTAATTATTACTTTATTATTAGCTATTATAGAAGTTCTGAAAACGCTAAAGCTAATATTCTTATAAGGGACGAAAGTAATACTAAAAATCAAGATACTATAAAAGTAAAGTATTATCTGAAATTGTTATTATAACCCGATTAAGTAGAAGAGGCTATAGAAAAGGATTTACAGCTAGCTTCTATAAGTACTATTATAGATAACTCCTACTTCGTTAATAGGCTTTTAAGAGCTAATAGATAAGAAAAGTCCTACGAGCCTTTAAGGATAGAAGTAAAAGAAAAGCCTAATAGTAACTTCTCGCTTAAAAATAAGCTATTATTATATAAAGGAAGACTATTAGTCCCTGATATTACTGATTTATAATATTAGCTAATTAAGAAGGCTTATAATTAGATCTCTATAGCTTACCCTGGTAGAGATAAGACTTATTAGCTTATAAAGGCTTGATATTATTAGTCTAATATACTAGTTGATATCGCTAACTACGTTAATAAGTACTACGATTATTAAAGGACTAAAAAATCGACAGATAAAACGCCGGGGTTATTATAACCTTTACTGATTCCTAAGAAGCCTTAGCGCGATATTAGTATAGATTTTATAGAGCTACTAAAGGATCGACACAGCTATAACTACGTAATAGTAGTTATAGACTGTTTTATAAAGCAATCGATTTCTATTACTTATAATAGACGAATAAACGCTAAGTAAATAGCTATATTATTTATAAAATATATCTATTGATACTATAGCGCCCCGGATACGATTATAAGCGATAGAAGCTCTTAATTCGTTTCTAAATATTAGTAAGAGCTATATCGCTTATTAGGAACTAAATTAAAGCTTTCTATAGTGTATTACCCGTAAACTAACAGTTAAACAGAGAACTATAATTACTACTTAAAATAGCGACTACAAGCGTTCTTAAATCACTATTAAGATAACTAGTCTGAAATACTACTCTTATTAGACTACACGTAGTTAATATTACCGCACGCTAGCCTAGGGTAGCTAAGTCCTTTTAAAGTACTTAATAGCTATAAGCCTAAGATATCCTTTAATTAAGAGTAATTATCTAGTGAAGCCGCTAATAATATCAGAAAAAACGATATAGCCGCTATAACTAGATCTAAGACTCTATTAAAGTCCTTAAATTCAGACGCTAATAATAACGCTAGCTTAAATAATTGTTAAGTGTTAAGGTCAACTACTTGATACTTAAGTAAGGAATATTAAAGCAAATAAGTATCTAGACTAGATTCTACGCTAAGTGGTACTAGTTATACGCTAGTACAAGAGCTAAAGGGTAGCTCTACCGTGTAAAAGAGTAACTAAAGTATAAGGGGAAATAGCTCTACACTATATAACGGGAGCGATATTAAGTTACCGGATTCTATATAAGCGTCAATTCCACACTAAAACACGGCAATTCCCGCGTTAATTCTAGGACCCGGATCTAACGACGAACCTCGCTTAGCTCTACTACTATTCGACACTAATACGCAGCGTACTAGAGATAATAACACAGTTACGTAATATAAATATACTTAAAGGAGTAACGTAATAAATACCTTATAGTATATATATAACGTAATAGAGCGTGCGAAAGTATATATAGATAAAGCGTAAGCCTCTTAAAGAGAGTATATAAATCGTTCGAGATAAGATATCGATTTTACTATAGGAGATCACGTGTAGTTATATATAGAAAACCTTAAGTTAATATAGCCTTTAAAAAAGCTAGACTTTATTAAGCGAGGTCCTTATAAGGTTATACGATAAGTAGGCTACGCTTATAAGTTAGAATTACCTCCTTCGATAAAAATCTACTTTATTATTAACTCCTCTCGATTACGAAAAGCGTATAAGTGAGCTGATAACGAATCAAATATTACTAACGCTATAGATAACGTAGAATATAACGAAGATGAATACGAGCTAGTTCGTATACTAGCTTATCGTTATTATAACGATATAATATAATATTAAGTGGAGTAGAGAGACTACCCCCTTAATAACATGTAGTACGACGTAAATAGCTTCGGTAATTTAGCTAAAGCTATATACGACTATTATAAAATCAACAGCGGAAGACCTCTTAGCCAATTAAAGCTCGCCTTTAATACTCTATTATAAAACGATGATTTTACTTTTATAAGTAATAATCTTATAAGCGAATCAGAGGCTAAAGATTAGCTAGAATAGCTTATTATAGCTATAACTCTAGTCGACGATTTAACTAATATTAATAAACTAGAGCCTAGATTCCCTGCTTTATAGCTTACGCTGTAATAAGCTTTAGAAGCTAGCGAATTAGCTTCCTTATTACCGGCGTATTTGCTTTACCTTACTAAGCCTATAGCTTGATTCTTCGCTAAACTAGACGGCGTAGTAAACCCCTTTTATTAGGTATTTAATAAAAAGCTCTTAACGCTAGACGCTTATAAGTCGAATTATAAGCTATAAGGCTTAAAACCTGATAAAGAGTGTATTATAACTTATATACGAGCTTAGAACTGAAAACTTGTTGAAATCGCCTGTATTATAATACAAATAGAAAAGGCTTAGCGAAAAGCTAACTCTAATAAGGAATAAGCGGTCCAGGAATATCTAGTGAATATATACTATTTGTAGTTATAATACTGCTAGTGTTAAAAAAGTACTTTGTTTTATCTGCTTATTAGTTTAGTTTTATACCTCTTTTTACTTACTTTTAATCTCTAATATATAATAATCACTTCTACTTTGTTTTTTTAATCGTTTTATTACGCTTTTAGGCTTATAACTCGATTTTTTCAAAGGGGGGGGTAATATAAAGGTAGTAGTAACTACTTCTTTACTATACCTGATTAGGAAGAGTTTAGAGCTCGGCAAAGCTTAGTAAGACTTAGTAGAGCTCAGTTAACTCTGAAGGGGTTTACTGATAGTTACCTACTTAGTTATACGTAAAGGGAAATAGCTCTACGCTACTATAGGAGTTTACGTTAAGTTTTACGTTAAGTGTAATTAGGCCTAATCGGGAATAGCCCGGGGAATTTGTCTATATAGGCTCGAGCGCCCTCCACGGAATCGAGGGCTCCTTAGCTTGATATTCGCGCTAATAGAGAGGTTATCACCTGATCCGTGGTTATTTCGCTCACGTGCTAGCTAACGCTAAACCGTGCTATTACACTCCGCTGGTGATATTTTCAAAGCCCCTTCTGGCTTTCTTCAATATGCGAACAAGGCATGTGTGCAATCCTGCTACAATCCTCTGTTCGCAGTATTCATTCCAGATGCTGGCATGGCAGGGTCCTGTTTGAGTTTGTACTTTCTCACCTCACTCATTCCAACACGGCCGGCTTCTGCAGTGTTTCGCAGAACTATTGTCTCGGGTCGTTGTTTCCTCTCAGTTCTCTTCATACCTTTTTTGCACTCGGGACTAGCAACTACTTCCTATATAATCAAAATGTATTGATGAACAGGATGTTCTTTCCCAAAGTTTCGTTTGTGTCAAGAAATGATGGGTATAGACGAGCTTTCAAACATTGCTATACGACCCCATGTCATCACAGTATCATTAACATGTCGGACATGTTTGGGGACCAAAATCCTCATGACTTTCTCACACCAAATTCATCTCCAGAACAGGCCAGGGCAGCAAAGACCCAGGAACAGCCCTGGCCTTTGCCACTCTCCAGAGAAAAATCCATTTCCCTTCTACAACGAAGTACCAATCCTTTCACTTCCACTTCTTCTCACAGCTAACTCCTTCAGCACTTGATCTCCTTCCAGGGCAAACATCCTCGATACACGACAGTCCAACCGTATTCATCAGCATCAATCTTGGCCACAGCGCCACGACCCTCGACCCCCACGATGTCCTTGAGGTGGGAGTGGCTGTTCTTGATAACCGCAACATCGCATCAACAACTCCCAAGCAAAAGGGCTTCCCCATTCGAACGCACGATTTCATGATCACATGCGTCAGAGGATGTATCGAGATATCAACACCATTCGCATTCGGCCCTTGCACCAAAATATCCCCCAAAAAGCTCGATGCACTCTTCCAGCGCATCGCTTCCGGCCTACAGCATGAGAAGCCACTATATCAAACGCACGGCGCGAAGATTGTTTTGCCGGGAAAGAATATTGCTGGTACTTTGCGACTGATGGACATGGTGGTTCCAGACTTTTGGAAGGATGCCAAGATTGACGGGATCGTGGACCTGGATGTTCTTACTGAACAGCGATGCTTCTTTAGCTTGCTGGAAGAGCTTGATATCCGTCCGGAGTTTGGAGATAGGTGCTTGTTCTGTCCTGGGAATGACGCGAACTATGCGCTCAGAGCTGTCCTTCTCTATACTTGCTACACTGTGGAAGATGGGAGAGGAAGTCTGACTCGACAAGTCGAAGAGAATCTGGAGCTTGTCACCTCGGTTTCGTTGGAGGGTATCCCGAATGGCCCTGTATTGTCATGTTCCCATGGCGTGAAAAATAATGCCATTACAGCTGTGGGTGAGTGGCGCAGAAACAGGGACCAGAAGGTACTGGAGAAACAGAGCTCTAGAAAGACGTGGCACTCTCAATGTGATGGCACTGGCTATTTCGAAACACTGTTGCGAAGATTAAAGCCTATACATCTCGCCAACGAGGTAGAGAGAGAGGGTTGGTGGGTTTCTTTGACATATCATTGGGACGGGAGGCATTGGAGTGGGAATTTGTACGATTGACCTCCCACATCGATGAGGCATGGCTTTGTTCTCAAATCCTTCTTAGCCGAAGTTCAAGTAAGATATCATTAGATTAGATGATATCCTTTCGGTCTACTGCTTCTCATGTGTAAGGTGCAACACCAATTACAAGAGGCGCCACCAATGCCGCATACATCTCATCAGCCCCATCCACCAACTTGACATTCTTCATCAAGCCCTCGAACCCATCACCTCCAATAGCACCAACCGGTGCCTCAATAGCCATCGGCAGATTCCACACAAAGCTATTAGAGTAAATACCAATCACAATCGTAAACTCGTGCACAGTCTCCTTCCTGCTCCCCTCCGGCGTGACAGCCAGATACGTGGCGTTATTTATACCGATCACTTTCACATCTGTCCAGGTGCCCACGGGGAGAGTGTAGTTGAGGATGTACGGAGTACCCCCAGTGATGAGCATCACATTGTCGATACTTCCGTTCCCGGCTTTGAGCGTTGATGCTGAACCTGAGAAGAGAGTTCCTGGTGTTGAGGAAGTGGGCTTGATAGAGAATGAGAGGGTGTAGTTCTTCCCTTTGGAAGTTAATGGTGTGGAAACCTCACATCCACTCTTCAGCGTCAAGACTGAACTCTTCGCGCTGCATTTGTTGTTCAATGTACCATCGTATCCATTTCCAGACTTGTCCTTTACGGTCTTGGAGTTCGAGCTTGAGAAATCGTACGATAAGATCGTCTTACTTTTAGAAGCAATCTTCCGATCCAGATTCTGGCCTGGGATCGCAGCATGCAATTTCTCGAAGATGGAATAGTACTCATCCATCAATAGATCACCACCCCACTGCTTGTCTCCCAGCGCAGGAAGACCGTCGCGAAGAGAATAATACGCTTCAATGACCGAGGTACTGTTTGGACCCATATCATTCCAGAGCGCCGGCATTTGTCCCAGCACATACGGACTATCTCGAGGCGGATTGTTCGTGGCGTTGGTCTTATCGAAGATATATGGAGCCGTTGGACCACCATCCGGCGCGCCATGGAAAATTCTCGTGATATTCAAGCTCTGAGGGTACGACCCTGACCATTTGCCTACCATGTAGAACTGGTCATCCGAGTTGAGTACCGAGTAGTTGTTCTGGATGTAATCGAAGTACGGATTGTCTTCAAAGAACTCCCAGTGCTGGATCGAGACGTCGGTGTTAACCTCCGAGCCGTCTGCTGCTGCGCCGGGACGGAATGTCCCCCAGATTCGGACGTTTTTGTTGTATTTTGAATGGATATAGTCGTGCATCGTATTGATATATAAATTGTACTCGGCGACTTCTGAACTAGAATACTCATCTGCGCCGAGATGGACGGTCTTACTGTGGAACCATGGCATGAATGTATCCCAGATCGTCTTCATTGTTGGGATAGTCTCTGGGTTAGAGATATTCAACATGGTGAAATCGGTGCTGAGTGCAAGCTGCGGTTTCCATTGGGTGATCACTAGAGCGTGACCAGGGGCTTCTATTTCTGGGACGATGGTCACGCCTCTGCTTGCGCATTTTTGCTGCATGTTCTCGAAGTCGGAACGGTAATAGGACTCGTTGGCGCGCTTGTTGAGTCCTGCAACAGCAGGGTCATCGGAGTTCAGGCGGAATGCGGAGTAGTAGTCGAGCTTTTCCTGGTAGGTGAGATCGGGGTTAAGGTTCATGCTGTCGCTGAGATGGAGGTGGAGTGTGTTTTGCTTAAAGAACGAAAGATACGAGCACATCTCGATGATGAAATCGGGTGGGTAATAATGTCTCCCGACATCAAGCTGAAGAGTTGTGAGCTTCCATAAACCATCACACAAAGTCGAACACTTACGACTACCCCTCGAATGCCCCATCCTGGCGAATCAGTTGCACTTCCTAAACTCAATCTTTCACTCAATATACCCTGCTGTAAAATAGATCTCGTTCCCCACCAAACACCTAGCGGACTGGCTCCAGTGATGACAATTCCTTGCGAGGTCACCTCGATCGAATACCCTTCAGAAGTCGGTCTACCAGCCACATCCAAAAATTGACTGGCATTTCCGACCGTCAAGAAGAGGGAGTTCTTGAGCGCAGATTTGCCCGTGCTGACGGAGACTTTCAGAGCCAAGGATGAAAGCAAGTCATCGCTGAAAGTGGACGCAAAGTCTTTGAGAGTGGGGGGAATAAGAGTCTCGCCCTGGTCATTGATGGTATTCTGGTACTTGGAGTCGACGACGATAGATTTCAATTGCTTGAGTGAGAATGATCCCCTTGACTTAGCCACTTCAAAGGGCACGGTAGGGATGCCGACCCATCGCGCAGCTAGAAGATGTTAGCCGTGATTGAGGAACAGAAAGCGGGAAACTAACAGATCTGCAGCGGAAGCAAGGCACTCGCCGCTGTTAAGAGAGAGATCCTCATTGCTGTTTTATTGTTTTCCCTGGTTGGATGTCCCAGCAAAAGGTGCGAATTAGATTCAGCTTATATCATTATGCTGCCGATTATTCCCATAGCAATAGCTAGAAGCCTGACTGAACTCTACATTATAATTATTAAACGTAGGAGAAGTAACGTTGCCATAATCCCTGGTCCGCAACTGGTGACGATGATCGCTGTAAAGGTAGATCCGAAAGTGGGGAAAGTCGATACGGGACATCAGACGAACACGACGTGCCCGATAGTGAAGCTAAATCATAGCTCGAAAACAGTGATAAGAATTCCAAGACATAGAAAAAGTGGTTCAATGAGCTCCTTTCTCAGCTGCCGTGAGGAAGCAGCACTTATTATGAAGCGAGGAAGTGGGTATCTTTGAGGGCAACGAGGATTTGTAAATCAGAAAGGGTTGCTCTGCGTCTGGAGAAATCTGCTGGAAAACCTTTGAGTGCCTGTATATTTCCCTTACAATCGCCAAAATAAAGCGAATTGCTTTCAGAGGCTTGACTGCCTCGAGACTGCCCACTTTCAGCGACTCGAAGGTGGGCAAAGATAACTCGACTGCGGGGTATCATTTCCGGGCCTTGCAGGTGGCTGATCCAGATACGGAGGGGCCAGGTACGTAGCTCCAAAGCACGCATGGGAATGCTGACAAAAAACAAGATCACCTACCTAATGTTCGATGTACCGAATGTTACATTCTCTGTTTAAGTGCAACATAATGGCTTTCGAATTGTGGATAGGTATGAGCTGAAATTTAAAAGGCTGTGGAGATGTCGGAAGAATCATGGAACCGGATTTCCACTTCATCCAAAGGGGCTCCGGAGTCCACCTCTATTTCTTATGCCTTCAACGTCGATTTGCGATCCCAGCATTTCTTGGCTCAGTCTTTCTTGCCTACAACAACCATTCGCAAGACTAGCACACTACACAGAACAATTGCGGTTTGCTCTGCGGCCTCTAGTCCTGCCGGACACGCCAAGCTTCCAATCATGTGATCGAAGTGGGGACCATTTCCCGAAAGGTCTGACTTCATCCGAATACCGCCCCCCTCGCAGCACTGAAGGGCAGTACGGTAATCGTCTCCAGAACTCTTGCGCTCTCAAAAATGGCAGAGACTTTAAGTTCACGAGTTGACTGGTATTCTTTTTCGCACCCATGGAACGCAGAGGATGAGAACCTCACGACGGAGCAAACCGACGAGTTGTACATGTTCCAGAAACAGGAGGGTCTAAGGCTTGAGAAAGAGCAACGTCGTCAAGCATTCGAAGAGTCGATCCTGCTACAGAGGAGGAAGTTTGAAGCTGAGGAGCGTTTGATCCATTCGGATATTATATATCCTTTTATGTACAAACTCTGGGTGGGACTTTCAATTTAATTCTGTGCTGAGCACGACAGTACTGACGAGGCGAGACATAGGATGAGGGAGTTGAAGCAGCTCGACGTGATACGATCCCTGCATATACCTTCACAAATTTCCGCCAACTTCCAGTTGAGTTACAACAGAGGATATGGTCTATGACAGCTCGGAGCGAACCACCAAAGCTCCGTAAAATCTTGTCAATGCGTTACGATGTATCCCATACTAATGAGGCTTATGCCTTCAAGGGCGCAGCATCCACAGGGTCAAGTCGAATCGTGCGGGAGAACAACATGTGGGCGTTTGAGAAGACCCCGGTCACTCTTCGGGTATGTCGAGATTCACGCATGGTTGCCCAACGCATACACACGTGCATGAGATTCTGTGGAACTCGGCAACATGCACAGGAATCCGAAGCGTATTTCAACACCTTATACGACAATTTCTACTTCGCCGAATACCCTTGGAACGAATACAAAATCTTGATCGATATCTTGATCACACAGAACACCACTCGTCCTCTCCAACCTAGAGTCCAGCGAGATGTGGACAGGTTCTTCAAGATCCAGCACATGACCGTCGATTTTCATATATTTGCAGGCGTGCCTGCCAGTGTCTGGGCGGCCTTTCCGAAGCTGGTCAGGCTTACGATTGGCATATACCCATACGATGTGATCAATAACCGAGAGGCGATACCGGATAGAGACCTTGGATTTGTGAAGCCCCAGAAAGGCTCTAAATACGGAAAGCGTGCGGATTGGGTTTTAGCAGCTGCTTCTGAAGCTCTGAGGGCTGTTGGCAAAGAGCATCGCCATTGGAAAATGCCTGAACTGGAAGTGCTTGTCCGTCAGACTGGTGATGAAATTGACGATCATGTTGAGGAGCAATGGACGGAAGACTTGGAAGAATATAAACAAGCGGTTGCGTTGGAGGACTCTACTGAACAAGACACGGAAAATCATGACGGCTCAAATATTTCAGAAAACCAGGACATTAACCAAGATATCAGCGACGAGGGAGAGGAAGACGACGATTCGGCTAGGCTCGAGCAAGCAGATGCACGTATGAAGCAGACTATCTCCCAGAAAGAAGTCAGCCAACTGAAGCACGAATACCATCCAAGTAGAAAGATTGTTACTAGAGAGTTTAGATATGGACCCTGCGAGACGTGGGGAGACCGAGATATGGAGAGTTGGGTTTCAGATAGTGAAACAGAATGTGGAGGATCCTACCCTAATCGTCCCTTTGTCTACAGTCATGTTCTTGGAGAATCTTGATATTTAGATGTAACCCTTTGGTTACGGAGATCTGGAGGGTGTATCATTTGGACTTTCATCAGAACAGATTCCGTCATTGATCTCCCATACGGTAGAATAAAAAAGTCTCATTTAGCTATCGCAACGGCAAATGTGGTGAATTGCACAACTTCGAACCGAATTAGGAGTTTCCACAATCTTTTCTGCAGACTCACATGACTAGGCGTCCAAATCGCGTTGAGGGGCAACTGGGCTTCCCTATGATTTTTGACCACCAAGACCCAATACAATCATTACCAAAGGCTCACCTTTGGGAAGAAGGGTAGCTAGGGTGTGTTGGATCAGTAGCTCTTAACAAGTTTTACATCAGTGTTAACACGTGGGATCAATTCAAAGTCCAGGTTGGCTTGGTGATCACATCTAATAGCACACGCAGTCTTTCTATGCCTATTACGCAACACCTCCAGGCTTTGACGCAAATCCGCCAGCTGGTACCAACATATTTAGAGCTGTCCTTCGAGAATCATGGTCCCAATTCAACCGTCCAGATTTCGCTGGAGTTGTGAGCTGCAGGTGTTGCGGAGTTTACGACTGCCAATGGGAGAGTGGTTCAGATTTATTTTCGTTGCAAAATTTGTCAACACGGAATCACACTATTTCCTGACCATGAGATGATGTTTATATTGACGTCATTCCATCTTTTGGTTCATAATGTTGCAATAATGTATCGACTGTCTCTTGTAAGAGAATTCGCAACCCTTTGCCGATATGCTCTAAGTATCTTTTTCTGTCATTCTATGGGCTGAAGGTTACCAGTTTTCGTGTCTCATCAATCGTTTCAGCCTCATTCGTTTCTCATTTGATCCATGTCAGCCTTCTCGTCAGCTGGCTCCCAAGTTCTTCTTTACTCTCCGCCACTGTATTGATCTCTTCATCCAGAACTAGATCCGAATCTACACAAATGACCGCAAGAATCTGGCCATTAGCCTTCCAGAGCTGTTCTTCGCAAGCTCTTCCTGTCCAGCAGCAGAATCGAAGGGTTTATTCTGCTCCTTCAGCATTTCAACTGTAGCTGTTAGTAGAACCCGAAGCGGCATACAGGGCATATTCATACCATTCTTCATGGTTTTCTCCCTCATGGTTCGAATCATGTTCGTCGCCGCATCATCAAATCCCGCGATATCTCGACTCTCAAAGTCCTCTCTCAACGGATTCAATCCTCCACTGTCCGCCCTCCCAGTCCGATACAAGGCATGAAATAGATGCGACAATTGAGCGAATGGTCCAACATCCACCATTGCGCAATACTCCCGGGGTTCTTTCTCCACCGCCGCTCTCGCCTCTTGATCTCCTAACCTCGCAGCTTGCACATGTGCACCAGCCAGAACCTCCATCTGCTCCATACAATACGTCAGCAGCAACATAGCTGCGAAGCAAATTGGCCAAAACGATTTATCTCGGCTGCGCATAGTTTTCTCGAGCTGCGATAGGACTCTGGTCATCATGAGACGGCTGATGTGGTATGATAGTGCTTTTGTTTGGCGGTTGAGGATGCGTGAGGAGTATAGCTGATCTGCAGGGGATTCAATCTGAAGATGCGAGAGGATACGGGTTGCCGAAGAGGGGGTGAAGATAACGGGGCGATTTACAGATCGGATCGTGGCGACTAATTTGAAGCAATCATGGATGAGTTTATTTTTCTGTTTGGTGTCAGAGACTTAATGAAGTCAAAAGCACAGTGGGGTTGCTTACAGCAGGCATTGCATGATAGAAGCTGTACAAAATATCGAATACCATGCTTGTCATGTTCGAGCTATTGTGTCCGAGGATCTGCTCAGGAAATAATGGGTTCTGTATGATGTCGTCGATCTTTCTCAGTGCTTCATCGCCAAGTTTCCCGCAATCGAGATCAAGGATTCCGACGGGTAGCGATTCAACGCCGAGTGGTTGTCCATGTCGATCATGATAGGTCTGCTGAGACGAGCCTTCTGGAATAGGAACGAAATAGTTGACGGAGAGAGTGATACTGGAAGCGTCTGCCCAAGATGTGACGTCAACGTCGATGGTTTGTGAGGTGAAGCCACGAGTATTGGTCGAGATGTAGGAGCTGATGGCTTCGGGGGTGAAGTCTGATATGATCCATTCTACCAGCTGTCAGCTTGTCGTTGTTTTCTGATGGCAATTTTGGTTGTAACAAACCTGGAAACAGTATATCCGTGTAGGAATCAAAGGGTGCTCGGTTGCATCGCGGATATGGCTTTGTACCTTTCTTCTGGCATCTCTGGCAGGTGGATCCTTCGGAGCACTATAAATTATTACGGGAGTGTATTTTTACATTAATGGAGAGAGAGCTTACAGGCATTTTCATCACCCAGCAGTTCCAACATGCACCGACCTTTCTTACCTCCCTCGATTTCTTCAGCGTTGCTGGAGGTAGTGCACCCTTCCTGCCGCCGTGGGTGCGGGCTGGAGCGTGGGTGTCATTTGCATCATTAGTTACGAACGTGAAAGTTGTTGGACTTGAAGCCGTTGAGTTATTAGATTTCGACGATTCTGGTGTTTTGTTCTTGTAAAGAGTTCTCGGTGACGACGCAGATGGGGATGCGACTTGGCCGAAAGCTCGAGGCGATTTGGACGAAGACATCCGCTCGAAAATCGAGAATGGTCCCAGTGTACCATCCAGGGTGCTGACTGATGCTTGACTAGCTTCTTGATTTGGAGAAGTAGCAGTTTGTTCTACGGACTCGAAAGGATGAATCTCTCGACGTGGGGCTTGGTGCTCCTTCTCCCTGGTGGCTGTTGCCTTCATACATATCGTTGGGAGCTCTTTTAAACCAAATTTCTGTGCGAAGAACCCATTATAGACACTATCAGGAAGGAAGCATGCACCGAGACCCAGGAGGAACTCTTTCGTACCCTTCACTCCGAAGCTCTCCCATTCGTTGCTTCGCACCATCTTCCGCGTTTGCATAACCTGGCTATGATATTCTTCATATTTGAGAGTCATCACATCCTGGACCACAATGTCGGCTTTTGAAGACCAACAGAATACGCTTACCAGGGCTTTGTATGCACTAGATATTTTCGTTGCTTCTTCCTCGCTCCAAGGATTGGGATCCTCGTAGCTAGCTCTGATCGAGTAGGCGTCGGTGAGCATAGATTTAACGACGCCAAAGACCAGCAGTGCGTAGAAGCAAGCCAATTGAGCTGTCCCATCGAGTTTCGCTCTGCCGGAGCAAGCTTTTTCAAAGCTTCGGAGGAATGTCTCGACATCTTCTTTCAGATCGACAAGGACAAGTGTATTGGGTGTTGATCTCGTGGGGTCAAATGGAACTTTACCAAGCATGTCGCCAGAAGCAATCTGAGTGCAAAGTCTCTCCAGCAGATACAGTTCAGTGGACTGGCGAAGAAGTCGCTTCGCCAAGTTGAACAGCTCCCAAGAGGCCTGCCTGTTGTGTTAGCGATGCTCAACAAAAGTAGAATTTACTTGCTGGTTCTGATTTCGAGAAGTCATTCCCTAGTCTTATCAGGCTGAAAAGATTAAAGGCAGTCTTCGACATGTATGCGGTATCCATTGAAACAACTTGAAGTACGGCCCACGGCGCTTCGTAGTCGGCTAAGTGGAGCGTGGGAATTTCAGCATTTCCGTCATGCTCGATAAATGAGCTCCCCGAAAGACTCAGCGACTCTCGTCGGGCGGTGTCTTCCCAAGATGATTCTGAAAGCCGAGCAAAGTCATTTCTCGTCCGGACTAGGTGTATCATGCGTCTCCTCTTCTGATCAGACACTCGTGATTTCGTCAATGCGAAATTTATGATCTCCGTCCCTCCACTTCGGTACAACAATGTTCTTTGAGTCGAACGAGAAAAAGCTTGAATGATTAGAGAACTTCGATTAATATGATTCATAAGACTCACCAGGGCAGAATATCGCGGAAAAGTCGCGCAGGTGGCCTCTGAAGCACCCAAGCACTTTCCAATAATCTGTCTCGTTGTCGAAGCCCTGACTTGGACAATGCCTACACTGTTCGAGGAAATCACACTGCTCAGAATTAGCAAGATTTATTTCACTTCGGTATGCAACATACTTTCTTCTTCAATATCCTGCACCGTAGACAAGGATGTTTCTCGCTCTCGTTGGTCCGTAGGCGTTTCGTTCGAGCATTAGATGGGTCTGGCGAGTTTTCCGACGAGGCAGAGAAGACATGGAATCCATCATCCGAATATAGAAATTTCCTTTTCCTCGGAGACTTAAATCTTGCTGCATTTCCACCTTGTGCATGAGACAATGGGAGTTTGACGTCCAGCCAGCGTTGGAAATCATGTGGAGCGACCTTTTGGAAGTACGATTCTGGAGCACATCGGAGATACTCGATTGCAGCTGCTGACTTTCCTGAATATAGAAGTTAGATTCGCATGCAATGAAATAAAACTCTGAGGGTACCTACCAGCTTTGAAGATATGGTCTTCCAGTGATTGGACTTTATACCTCAGCACCTCGCAACGTTCTTCAATCGCGGGCGGCAGACGGCCATCTGAGGAAGTCAACAATCTAGAATGCTTTCAAAATCCACTAAACTTACCATATTCTATAAAGTCCTCAAGGATCACAATCTTTTGCTTCAATACAGCTTCGACTTCCTCATCGCTAGGCAGCCTTTCACCGACTGGTGGGGAATCTTTTGCCGAGATATGCGGGATCATAACTCTACTTGTGTTGATGGGTTCAAACACACTCATGCTTCTTCATCAGGGAGGTCCATCAGAGTCTTATGTACTTCAAGGCTGCTCCTGAGGACGACCGTACGTGGTGATGAGTCCACCGGCCGCGGCTGAGCAATTATCGGTGACCAGGATGCTTGGGGCGGCAGATTACTTTCCCTATTTCGGCGACCGATGCTCCGAGTATTAGTCATCGATAATCTCCCCGCAGCAACTCTCCCTTCTCTTGACGCCGGTGCTCAAGGCACATCAATTCCAGCCCCTAAATATATGGTGGAAGGAAACTCCTCGGTCGGGGTAGGCATGATATCGCAAAATTCGAATCTGAGAGATCTTGAAATTCTTGTTGAGCCTACATTGGAACAAGGTACAACGCTCCCCTTTGATATTTCGAGCAGTCTTTTGACTGATCCATTTAGACTTCATCAGACTCCGATGCAAAATCTCTTACAATTACTGCCATTACCTCGACGCATCCGAAGCGGTAAGTGCCGAAATACCAAAGATGCAAACAACAGTTCTAGTACGGTCTCGCTCGATTTCGCCAGACACCAACACCCTCATTACCTATGTCATCAAGCGGTCATGAGCCTAATCTAAAAGGCTACAAATGGCAAAAACAGAAAAGAGCCTAAAGTTGATTCAGACATAGGTACAGTAAACAGCGAGAGTGTTCCTGTGAAAATATCGCCAAGATTCAAAATTCAGCTATTTTTGATATCTTCCCAGCGGAGATAGCTCAGACGTTGCCTGTTGTATGTGCCTACTTCGGAGATCGAAAAACTCGGAGAATGGGATGCCAGCCAGATTACATGTTCGCCAGTGCTTCACGATCGACTCGAGCGACGACTGGGCTTGTTTCCAAGAATCCCCACTATCACTACCTGGACTGCTACTCGTGCTCCTTAATGGCGCGTTATTCCGGGCTAATTTCTTCGACTTCTCATATCCCGATTGTATTGTCATCCGAGCGATGGCAGAGAACCCCCCGCCTCTTCCGCGTGTCCTCGTAGGAGGGCTGGTAACATCGATTCCGAACAAAGGCGGCTCTATGGCCTTCCCTTCTTGTCTTCCCAATACAGATCCAAACTCGTGGAGGAGACCATCGGCATCGATGTGCTCGTGAAGATCCTCAGGGGTTGGGCAGCGTAAGTCAATACCGAGTCGCGGGTCTTGAAAGTGCTCGTGTATCTTCCCCATACTCACGGCATGAATGCCTTCAGGGTTATAAAGGGAAATCCATGCATCCCTGATGCAGTTGTAAGTGTTCGTTACTTTCTGGCGCCTAGTCTGATCTACAAGGTCTGGATGTGAGTTAGATGTGCGCTTTCAAATCTCAACGGGGGTTCACCTCTGAAGTCTGACGGCAGATTTACGTTATCTTCAACTGGAAACCCCTTGGGATCATACTTTATGATAACGCGCACGGACATGCTCTGGAATATATCGTGCCAGTTGAATACTAATGCAATGAACATCCAGTCGATCGGCTTCTTCCTTTCTAACCTGGCTGCGCCTTTGCTGAACTCAGCCGTATTGCACGCTGTCCATTTCTTCTGGACGACTCTCGCAAATTCCAGAAACTGCTCGTTTATTGGACATTCGTACTCCCAGCAGGCGATTGCGAGTTCGAGAAGCTGTGTGAACCCTTGGTCTCGATTATCGATTGCGAGCTCCGGGGTTTTATCTTCACTGTCGCCGGGGATAGTGCTGATGATCAATCGTAAAGCGCTCTCTGTTACCCCACCTCCCGGTACTATACGTGACCTCGAGGATTGAGAAACTCCCAGTCTGTCGTTGAGAATATGAGATCCCAATTTTCGAGAATAGTCGTGGATATTGCTCGTATGGACAAACCATCGCCATTTGACATCTTTAGCAAGATCATGGTAAAGTTGGATTTCGTGTCGAAAGCTCTTACTTGAGCCGAACATTGTTCATCGCCCACCTTGCCAAGGTCATGTCGTGGAGTTGCCAATCGAGACGCAAGTCAGATTGGTTTCTGAGGCCCCATCCAGATATTGCCAGGTCAGTTTCAGCTGTGGCACTCGAGGTGTTACCAATATTCTTGTCTTACCACCAAGCCAACACGCGATTCGCATGCAGCCAGCGTCCAATCGGAACGTCACATCAAGTCAACAAGAACCCTGCAGCCACGGCTGCTCATGTGGCAAGCTCATGAATACCCTCCCTTCGAGCTGCGAACTTTATTGCTTTGTCGTGTCAGACTCTCATGCTATATCAGTATCCAGTCGTTCTTACCATCTGACACTTTGTGGACTCCTAGAATGTTCAAGGGTTTTTTTGCTTGAACACAAGTAGCCAGAAACAGTGCTACCGGCGAGCTTGGACTGGATCAGCGAATTCGTCCGACTCGAGGGCTGAGAGGCAACACAGCATACATTTATGCTGTTGGCTTGCCTATTCTCGGGGGGCCTATTCCATTTCCATAAGTTGTTGCTCACCCTCGTTAGCGTTCTGATGTTGACGTTCTTGCGTGGATATTTACAACATGTCGCAGGCTTACAGATTCGACGTCGTTACAGCTTTCGGTGCTTCGAGTTTGAACATTTCGGCAGAGGACTTCAAAGCTAGAAACGCAAATGAGTTCTATTCGGTAAGCTGATACCATCTACTTTGAAGCCACTTCAAGCTGACACCGCCCCATCAGGGCGGCGATTTGGCCTGGGTGATGATATCGAGTGGTCTCGTTCTTCTCATGGTTCCGGGACTTGGGTTGTTCTACTCTGGAATTTCAGAGAGATGTTCTGCAATTTCCATGATGTGGCTCTCTATGATGACTACATCCCTTATTGGAGTACAGGTAAGTCTCGTCAAGCCCTGTCTGGGGTGGTGTTGAATCATAGCAGTGGTTTCTGTGGGGATATACAATCACTTTTCGCGGCTCTAGGAGAATATGGGGAGATGACGATAGTGTGGCCTTCCACAACGATTTGACAATTCCGTGGGGGAATAAACCCGGCCCCAAGATCCCTCAGTTATTATACGCCTTTTATCAAGGAATGTTTGCGTGCTTCACGTATGTCTGTCTCCTTGAATGAGACTTGCGGCTGACCGATAGCAGGGCAGCTATCATCAGCGGAGCAGCTATCCGCAAAGGCAGGCCTCTTCATTTCCTCGCCTTCATCTTCCTGTGGTCAACTTTTGTTTATGACCCCATAGCTCGCTCGTCCTGGAACCCTGTTGGTTGGTCCAATTATTGGAGAGGAGAGATAAGCGGTGTATTTGACTTTGCTGGGGGAACGGTCGTTCACATCGTCTCTGCAACGACTTCGGCAGTTTACTCCATATTCTTCAAATGGAGACGAACAATCTTTTGTCTTCCGCGCCTTCAGCCAGTCGACAGGGCCTCATTAAATCGACCCTGTAAGCCACATAATATCCTGAATGTTGTGCTAGGGACCGCTTTGCTCTGGGTTGGATGGCTTGGATTCAATGGTGGCTCTGCTCTTGGTGCAAATTTACGAGCTGTATCTGCTTGTATATCCACTCATTTGGCTGCTTGTGCCGGTGCTGTCACGGGCAGTCTACTCGAATACATTGCGGCTTCGAGGAGGGATGTGGATGCCGGCAAATTTTCCGTTGTGGGATTTTGCAATGGGGCAGTCGCTGGGCTCGTTACCATCACGCCAGCGGCTGGATATGTGAGAGATTTCCCAAGCATATACAAGGATATCGAGTTAATGATAATTGCTAGGTTCCATATTGGTCCGCTCCAATCTTTGGCGTAGCTGGCAGTTTTTTCGTTGCCCTGTTCCAGGATATTAGTGAAGCCTACTTTGATACCAACGAGATTTTTGTCGTCCATGGCGTGGCAGGATGGGTGGGAATGTTATTGACTGCCGGACTTGCTCGGTATGTCCCCAGCAAGAAAGCAATCGCCTTGGCTTGCAAAATACTAAGAGTTTAACAGTGCTGACGTTGCGGCTCTTGACGGCTATACCATTATCGTTAATCACAAGTGGGAACAGCTTGGGTAAGCCGTCTGCCACTATCTGCATCTCTGTCGCTAATTCTTGCATAGAATTCAACTAAGCGATGGACTGGTGGGTATGGTTTGGTCGGGCGGGATAACCTTTCTCATTCTCCTTTGTATGGAAGCCATTATCATCTTCACCAGAAGGTTGCGTGGCATGCCAGAGCCTGACTTCCAGCTGATCCTGGATCATGATATTATCCTTGATCACGAGCTCGGAGGTGAATATGCTGCAAATACGAAGGAATCAACTGGCATCCCGTTAACCGGCGTCACCTCTTACCGAGAGGGCCACACAATTCTGCCAGGAGTAGGCGAGCTTGAGGCGGGGACTTTCGAGGGAAAGGGCTCACGGCAAGATGCTTCAAGATCCCGATCTAGACGTTTTGTGTGATGTGGACGTTTATTTTGTTCAACCGCGATACGAAAAGACTTCGCTCTTAATAAATTCTACTATGAAATATCAACTCATATTCCCCCTTTAAACGCCATATGCTCTTCATGAAGCCCGATCTCAGCCTGCCCACCTCGCCAGCTCAAACACAGAGCTGCATTTCCGGTCGCCATTCCTGTTCAAGTACCAATTTTAATTCTGCGCCTCACCGAGCTGTGTATTGTCTCTCATTGAAGTTCCACGAGTGCTGTGGCGAGAACGAGAACAACTCGACCAAGACATACCGAGTCTTATCTTCCCGACTGCAGCTTGGTCCCGGCATGAGTTGGCAGGTTGTACATGTATGAAAATATGGCTGGCTGAGCACTTCGGGTATGGATATGTAGGACGAGTCCTCGAGGATGTGAGAAGGGGAACGCGAGGTCGTGCAGATGTTGTGTGACGTTCTGGAATGTGTTACCGAAGGATTTCGTGGTGACCGGCAGTGGGTAATATCAGGATGCGGGCTTGATCTCTAACATTGGCTTCAAAGTTCAGAATATATGAGGCGTCGAAGTCTAAGGATATGAGCAACGGATACTTTAATTTCAAGATGAGAGCTTGTGTGCTTGAGTGATCTATGGCGGACAGGGAAGTGCGGAAAGTCTTGGTCCGGACGGGGTCATGAGAAGTGCGCAACACGCACGAGCAGAGGGAAAGGAAGGCGAAGACGCACGGCGCAGGGCAGCAACCCGGGAGTTATATTGTGCCATGATACTAATCAATGAGACAAGACTTGGTTCCCCTGTGCGAATGTGAGGATTTGGTGCCCGCTAAGTCATAGGGGAGGTTGGCTGTTTGTGCATTTTGCCTCCACTCAAACCACATCGTTTGCGTTTCCAAGACTGCTTCCAGCTGGACTCTCAGTGAAGGTCAGCCCACAATATCCAAAAGTTAAGGATCGCTCTGGAGTTTCGGGGATACCTCCGGACAGCCAAAATGGCCCGAGCTGGTGAGAGTAATACTCCGTAAAGTCTGGATTGTTGGTACCTAGGTACCAGAGAAACACAGGGGACCCACTCTAGGAGTCAAAGTCTTAGAACCATTGGTTGACCAAGCGAGACGGTCTCAAGTCGCTGCTTCTAGTTGGGCAATACCAAAAATATGGTTCTTCCCAAAACAACGGGCCTGGGTCTCGAGATAAGCCGCGAGGCCGCCAAGCTCCGCTTACTCAGGATGCGCTAAGCCCAAACCTTAAACGGATCCCACCGGCTCCCCTTCAACAACCGAATTGGACATCAACATTAACATCAACTTCAACTACAACGATTTCGACCAGTCTCAGTCATAAAAGCTGCAATAGCATTACACTACTTCCATCGCAGAGTTGGAGAAGAAGCTGCCAATACGTACATTAAAGGTTGCAATCACTATTTCCATAATTCGGCAGACATCAAAGCAAACAATTCCAACTCCACACAAACCCGACGTCCCCGGCTCCCTCCCCAAAACTGTTCATCGGTACCACGCGCAATCCCAGCGCATAGGAGGGAAGAGCGTCAAGCAAGATCGCCTCAGACTCTAGAAGAGACTTTATACGTCAAGCTCGGTGTTGGTTGCTACAAGGAGTGATGGAATCTCGTCAGCATACATGCTCCGTCGAGGGATGCGGGAAGTCTTTCTCGCGGAAGGAGCATTTGTCGCGCCATGAAAAGACGCATGATCCAGAGAATATCTTGACATGCAAGGTTTGTGGAAGAGAATTCAACAGAAAGTATGTCTCCTATGACTCTTTGCCACTTGGCTGGCTGTCTTTGCATTGTATTTGCTTCCTGTTTTTATATCTCGAGGTTCGTCATGTGACCAACTTTGTCGTCCTTCGCAACGATACTTTCATCCCAACCGACTCCTGGACATCAATCTACTTTCTATTCTTCGATGAGCTTCATTCTTTCAATGACACAAGTACTAATTCCGGAATAGTGATTCCCTTCAACGACATTTGGCCAGGCATGGAGAAGTTTTCAAACCAGCGCCATCTGGGCGCAGTAAAAGAGCATGTCTTGCATGTCGAGCTGGCAAAATAAAATGTGATGGCAATGAGACATGTTCAACATGTGTGAAGAAAGGCATCGAGTGTAAATATCGTCTGGAAGATCAAGCAATGGACGCACGAAATGAGCAGCAACAGCTCAACAGGACAGATTCTCAGCAGACGGAGCGAATAGAAATGGATGGAGATGCAATCATGGCCATTGATGGTGTGGCATTGCTACCTCCAGAAACGTCTCACCTGCCAGAGCCATCCGCAGATACCAAAATACCAGAAGCGTTCAAGCTTCATGGTCCGACAGGACTGGTCGATTGGGCGTCGATAAAAGTACTTCCAGACGAAACTCCGAAGCATGTTGATGAGCCAGACCAGACTTCTGCGCAGTACCTTGATATATACTTTACATATTTCCATCATCGCTGGCCAGTCATTCATCGCCCATCACTTGAACTTGATGGTGAGAATACGCTTGTGGTGTCTTCGGCGAAGATGATTGGAGCTTGGTTACTGGGAAGCTTCGAATCGAAAGCGTTCGCAATCACATGTAAGTCAATCATTCAAAGCATTCGAGGACCTCAACGTTACAAACAGATCACGGTTCTTTGACAGGATTCAGACTGACATTCCTCGGCCAGGGTAAGCTTCACCTCTACGAAATACCTGACAGCGTTATCCAAGCCACGAGGTCAGAGCAGCATCATTCATCGTAGCAAAGAATCTCAGCACACGTAAATATACAGGTTTTGTATGCTAACCACTAGAATAGGCATGAAGCTCTGGTAGAACAGCTTCTCCCTCGGCTTGTAAGTAAAGCTACGGTAGCGAAATGGCATCTCTGACTGTCAAAGTGCAAAATTACCGCCCAAGATAGGCTCCAACAATCATTGTCGCCAGCCTTTTGTCAATCCGCCCTCCTCAATATCATATTCGCCCTATATTATGGTGTACGCATGGACTTTGCCCACTTCAGGAACAAAGTCGCTCACATTTGAACAGAACGATAATGCAATATCTGGCGCCATAATGCTTCGAAACATTTTGATCACTGCGCTACGAGAAGTGGGATTCTTCAACAAAGAATCTGCCTGGCCCGATGTGAGTACTTCTGAGCTAGAACTAGAGAACGTTCAATATCTTTTTCCCGGCAGGGATTTGCATCGCCGTTTTATCATATCACGGAACACAGAGGTTTGAAGCTGACATAATGATGTTCAGGAGAAGCCTGGGTATTTTGTTCCTATGAGATTGGTCAAATCTGGCTCACGCCAAAGGTATTCAATTCCCATGTCTGACGGCCAAATATGTCAGTTTCTGACGTGATCAAGGATGGCAGCATATCTCTTCAAGATAGACACTTATTTGAGTGCCCTTCGACTTCAGCCGTCTTCAACACTACCCGAAGAGCTCCACTTTCCGCTACCATGTACATTTGGATTATACAACGCTGAGGGACTCCATATCTGTACGTGCTAAATGGGGATTCCCATCAGCCGAAGTTGCACAATTGTTTGAAAGTATTTGCTAAGGAGAACATGGCTGACTCGGAACAGGGGAAGAACGCCAAGCCACTGAGCCAGTATATCGCAGCCAGAATTCTATATGCAAGATGGTCACCGATAGTGTACTCGAACCAGTACCCGGAATTGAGCAGCCGATGTTGATAGAGGATGTTCAGACATGCATCTGTGCTATGCACACTGCGATATGGAAAGTGTGCATATCTAACGAATGCCCAGTCACAACCGTACTGCAAAAAGATTCTCTCAGGAGACAGTTATATAATCTGAAAACCAAACTGAGCGACATTTTCAGCCAACTTGCCGAGAGTGCCGATATTGGACACGAGAAGCATCTACCTCTTCGCTATTACTTCGGTTACGAAGACTCTTCCCAGGTGAGCATATCTGTCCCAGACTCAGGAAGCCTACCATTAGTAGGAGGGGCCAGGCACAGCTATCCTCAGTTTCGTTGCGTGGCGACTAATCCCGAAATGTTCTGTTTCTGACGTGTGTCTACAGCCGGGGTGGCAGAATATTGTAGTCGCTCGTGTGAAAAGCCTTCTGTTTGACACGATGATGCTCTACCATCTTTTCAATCTTCAAATATTTGCAGAGATCAGAAAAATCACGAACCTGGCAAAAGATCGACGACTGGGCCCAATCGAGGAAGCTTCTCCAATTCACCATCTAGCTAGAGGACAGAGACTGACCGAGATGAAGGCGTGGGGACTTACGCCGACCGCAAGATGGTCTCTCTGCCATGCAGTTGATATTCTAGTTGCGCATCAAAACATCGCCCATCACGATGCAAGCTTGGGTCTCACGATTAGGACACTTGACCCCGTAGCGCATATGGCTGCATGTGTTGCCGCGATGGTTGTCTGGGTCTACTGCATTCTAGACATTCAAGGATGCGAAGTTTGTACGCCTGGAAGTGCGACAGTTATCGAGTTGACACGATGGAGCGTGCCTGGAGTAGTTTATGAAAAGGAGAAAGATGCATGGGTTGAGGATGGGAGTGGCTGTCGGATACAGCTGCAGGGAATCCCGTTGTGCAGTTGTAACGTCGACTATCTGATGGCTTTGTTCCAGGGTTGTTTGCCAGAATCCTGGTCCGTGGCCGATTCTATCGCTCCTGGAATATTCAAATTTCCAATATGAATTCTCGAGAACGTCTGGATTCATGTTCATAAGGGCGTCAGGATCAATTCGAATGGTTGATAAGCTCAGGCAAGAGAGTCTTGGCGTCTGACTCGCTCAAACTATGATAGCACCAAAAGTCATCGATTTGATCGCAATACAGTCTGAGAACTTTTCAGCAAGTTTATGCGTCCCATCAATTATCCATTTCGCTGGCACTTTAAACATTCGTCAGTGGTTTTTGTTGGAGTTGCATTTTCACGGAGCCATGGTTCTTGCTGGTGATGGCAGTCTAATACACCAATAGGAGCCAAGAATCAACTGAGACAAAGATCATCGTCTCAACCGTTCTCGGACTTGAGTCCGTACAGCCAAGCATTGTGTTGCATATCTGCGGCATTGTCCGGTAGATCTGGGGAGTTTATGGACCTGGGCGGCGCAGGGCAGCATTTCAGTGCCGGGTCATTGCCGGCTAGCGACCGAATCATTGGACATTGAGCTGTCAATCAGTGGATGGGAATATTCATTCTTAACCTGCCAAGTCGATGCCTGACACGCGAGACACAGTCGTCACATCTTTCAAAGCTACTAAGACACCAGCTGCGCCTGTGATTTGTTCGTTTCTGCAACGAAACATGTTCTGTTAGGGTAAAATTAGCACCGAGGCCGTGCGAGTGCCCCTCCAGACCCAGATACACGGTGTATCTTCTCCACGTTTCTCTAAGATCTAACTTCTTCTTTTTGACATGAAATCGAAATCCGGGGTGGGACTGCTCTTATGGCTTCTGTAAGTTGATCCCCACATTCCAGTCGAAGAGAACAAGTGTCACTCGCCTTGCTCACACAGCACCTACCTAGCTCCTGCTAACGCACGAAACAGAATGTTGAGAACACCTCCGAATCACGGGTGGCAAGTCTTCTAGCAGGCTCAATTATTCCCCATGTGATAGCATCAATTTTTGTCCTCGCAAGATTGTATTCTAGAAAAATCCTTTCGGGTAGCTGCGGTGTTGATGATACATTAATAACGATCTCATGGGTAAGAGTCATCGATGTGTTTGGCTGTGACTAATCCAGAGTCAGATCGGTAGCATTTTCGTTGCAGTTATACAATGTCTTTTTGTCAAGTTTGGGGCTGGTCATCACCAAAATGTCCTGGCCACTGCCGATATCATATCGATGAAGAAGCTGGGATTCGCCAACCGCATCGTCTTCCAGTTCGTCATTTGTACTACGAAGCTTGGAATCTGCGCCTTCTATATCAGAGTCTTCCATGACAAATTCAGCAAGTGGTTCCTCTATTCTCTTCTTGCAGTTATCACTGCCCTGGCAATTGCGATGGAGTTTACGATCATCTTCTCGTGTTCACCAGTATCGGACGTATGGTCTCTTGGAAAACAGAATTGTATTCCGTTTGCACCAAGCTTTATTGCCAATACAGTTTGCAATATCGCCGTCGATCTTACACTCATGGTATTCGTTGTCCCCAAAATTAGTATGCAACTCTGTGGATGTTTGACCGAGGAGCGTGCTGACGTCGACCTAGTACCGCTCAAGATACCGCGCCAACAGAAAATTTACATATATGCCGTTGTCGGGATGGGGTTTCTAGTCATCCTTGCTTCAATATTCCGATGCATTTCAATCCTGAAGTATTTCAAAAGCAGTGATCTGTCCTGTGAGTTCCTTGCCTTGTACCCCACTTTCATCGCTCACCGTCTTCGCAGGGGAACGAGTCAACATTGGGATCTGGGTATCGATCGAAGTCAGCACCGGGCTCTTTTGTGCCTCTGCCCCATGCTTGAAACCCCTTGTTCGCAAGTTGTTCCCAGGCATAACCTCTGCCCTTTCGAGCACATTGTCCAAAACACCCACACCCGACGACGGCGATATAAAAACAATCAAGTCTCGACGCCAGTCCATGCAATCCCGCAAATCGGCATTCATACCACATCTCAAGAAGGCGTTTTCGAGAAAAGCAAAGTTGGGGCTAGAGGAAGTGAAGCTGAAGACCATCAAAGCCAAGCGACATAGTCGAGGCACATTTGCGTATGCGATACGGAAGAGGGATGACGCCTTCCAGGAAGGAGATCTTGAAGACTTGAGAGGTGGTGTAAGCGTAGAGAATTGGCTCGGCAAGATTGTTGATGAAGAGGCTGTCAAGAAAGCCGCTGCTACTGTGGCGCTGTCGGATGGTGACAAGGAGTTTGCGAGGATTGGGAGGAGGATGAGCGGTGTTTCTTCGATCATGAGTTCTGGTTGAAATGAGAATGGAAATTCGACAATTCTGTCTCGGGTTTGTTGCTTGTTGGTTTCAGCTCAGTATCGATCTATTTTGGAATACTAGCATTGGAGTTTAGGATTACATTCGCCAGCATGCCGTCATCTCTGACGACACCATCCAAATTAGATAAACATTTTTATAGAACCATTTCATTGACTACTGTCCTTGCGCTTTGTTACATGGTGTCAAGGGATATTTTATGTGAATCCACGAAGACTGGCACACAGGCCCTAAGAGGTACCAAGCCAGCTTCTCTTCTAGAATTTCCCTACCCTTTTGCGGTTAGCTTTAGTTCATCAATGCCACAGACATAAGTCAACAGACAAGAAAGACGCCAGCTTTTGCCCTACAGCGACCTCAGGTAAAACTAACCAGTTTCGGCAGGAATGACTCAGCCAGCCGCTACTGCGAGGTGTCCTGCCTTTACCTCCGCAATACTTTCCAATTTTCTTCTTCTGAAAAACACCAACACAGGAATATTCGCTAAGGAATCAGCTGGAGAGACTTTCAGACACAAGGGAAATCAGCAATTCAAAATGCCGTCCGTGGGAGCCAGTCAGGAATAGTCGGCGTTCCGAGTGTTAATGGCGTGGCTCTGTAATCTATGATGAGTTCCCCATCGCATTGGCCTAACACGAAAATCGTATGAGGCCTCTGGTTCTTATGTGATAGGGTTGTAATGGCTGAAGCTTTGGTTTGGGTATCTGAGATTACCTTGGGGTTTCTGCTTTCTTGGACTTGTGCGTTCTTTCTTTATTCTGGCTTGCATCCTCGATTGTGATCCGCATTATACGTGGGGGGATTGACTTGAGAATGAGAAATGGCAAAGTAATACAAAGACTACTTCTCTACTTCATCACTGCAATCCAATATCCTCAGTCCACTCACCTTCAATTTAAAACTGATTCCCCATAGCACGTGATTGGCCCCCTCTGACTCACTGCCGACAATACCTACTGTGGGAGCTGGCGAACTATTAGCGCGCACACTGGCCAGCATCAGCATAAGAGGCTTTCCCGTTTACTTATCCTGACATTTCCTCATATCAGCAGACAACAGTTATCAGAACTACGTCTACACTTTTCTGCCGGCCTATCAAACTTTACCAGAAACACAGAAGTTACCACAGAGTGACACGACACACGTAACGACGCGTTAAAAGGCTGCTTTCAGAGGCTCTGCTTGGACTGAGCAGCGGTCCGTTTGTGTAATGGCGACCTCTTTGATCTGTGATGAAATTCCCTTGGAGTTGAGGGTATTCCGGTACCTACTTTGCGACACCTCGCTGGATGATGGCTTTCGGGTTGTCTGATGGTTTGGTGTGCAGGGGATGGCTCTGAGGGCGTGGGTTTCTGAGATCATAATCTTATCCCTGTATTTTTCTATTCCCCTATTTCTGTATTCCTGCATGAGTACTAATACACATAACGATGAATAGATAGTTAACAAAAACAATCACCTGGCTAACCCACTTTACATCCTGGCCACAAATGTGCTCAGCTGCTATTGCAACATTATATTCTTTTCATTCTGGACAAGTATTCATTCTGTAGCTCTTCTCTTCTTCATGCACCATCAGTTTGATGCGGTTCACCCCTTTTTGAGAACTCTGAGAGGCTCAGGAGGGGCAAGACAGAACTGGATTACCTGGCGGTCTTTGTACAATGGCTGACTCTTCCCTTCGGTCGATTATGACACCCTTGAGGCTCTAAAGATATATGTTGGTAGGCTTGGGGACGGTGGAGGGTTACCCGCGGAAAGCTGTCCTGTCCCAGCTTTGGGAACTGACCTCAATTTGTTTCCTTCTTTGTTTTCAATCTCCGAAGCCAAAACTCGATACCGGTATTGCCACTCCATGACTGCGAATCGGTAAGACTCAGAGCTGAGAGGAAACCTGGGCCAATGATTATTTCTCTGAAATGATGCATGTTCCCTCGCGCATCGGACATGGCGGCCTCCATTACCCACATTGGGAGCCCCCTGGGATAGCGTATGAAATAAGCGAGACGTCCAAAAGCGGAATACGAAAGGCAGCGTGGTTGGCTATCCCGGATGCACGCTCGTGTTCGTGTTCTATATCCCTCCTGTTTTTAGAAAAAAAATCCATATATCCCAATGTATTCCTCCCAGTCTATATCGTTTCCTCCCAAAGCTTTCCTGTTCTTAGCTTCCAAACCCGTAGACTCCTCCCCAAGCACTTGTCAAGCCAATCCACACCATCGCTTGAGAATCACTCCTACCATGGTACCACTCTCGAAGAAGTTTTCTCTCGACCAAATTCCTGACTTGAGTGGAAAGGTGTACATCGTCACCGGGTACCTACTTTCCCTCCCTTTCTCGTGATTCTTAATCTCACGCCCGCCCAAGCTAATATACCACAGAGGAGCAACAGGTATCGGCTACGAAACTACTATCGCACTCCTACATCACAACGCCAAAGTATATATCGCTTCTCGCTCGCAGTCGAAGTTCGATGATGTTGTTACGAAAGGGAAGGCCATTTTGCCACGCGTACAAGCAGATAATCTGAAGTTCCTGAAGTTGGATTTGTCGGATATACGGGAGTGTGTTGTTGCAGCGAAAAGGTTCTTAGAGGGGGAAGAGCGACTCGATTGTGTTGTTACGAATGCGGCTCTTTCGATTATGGTATGTTGGCATACTCTTGAAGGATACTCGCATCTTTGATCTTTGAGCTGATTTACAAAGCCTTGTGTACTGTCGCCTGATGGATATGAGATACAGTTTGCAGTGAGTTAGGACGTTCAAAGATACTTCAACATGCTAACTAAGATCAGACGAATGTACGAGTAGACTTGTGAACAGTTTGTTGGGTCTTTACTAAAGGGGGTGAAACCATCTAGCATCTTGGTCACTACGCATTCATAACCCACCTCATGGTAAGCTCACCTTCCTCCAATCCAACTCAATCTGATCCGAGACCCTAGCCCCTCATCCAGAATACATCTGTCGAGCACAAAGAAGCGCGTATCGTCATCGTAGCCTCTCACGCACACGCCATGTACACGCCCACCAGTATCAACTTCGACGATCTCACGACTGCGAAAGAGAATGACATGACCCAAATCCAAGACATATCAGCAAGTTTACAAAGGTTCTGGTCCCCTCTCATCGCCATAGCATATAACTTAGTGACATCCACTCACACTTCACAGATACGCTCGTTCCAAACTCGGCAACATCCAATACGCACGAGCTCTACAACGCCAGTTGTTAGCTGAGGGTTTTAGCAACATCTACGTCAACTGCCTCAACCCAGGCACGATCGGCTCTTCCACTTTCGGGAGCGATGATTCCCCGGGTTTGCCACGGTGGGTTAAGATCGCTTCCAGGACACTCGTGTCCATAACCAGTATCTCGCCGCAGGCTGGCGCATTGAATTCGTTGATGCTGGCTACTGATCCTGATATTGTGGTGAGGGACATCAAGGGGAAGTATTTTGATGTTGGGCCCATGGGTGGGAAGTTTGTGTATGGGTATAGCTTTGAGGCTGAGGAGAAGTTATCTGAACTTGCGAGGAATGAAAAGGAGGGTGAGAGGTTGATGAGTTGGAGTGAGGAGGCGGTGAGGGAGGCTTTAGGGAGATCGTGAACAATAGATCTTTTCTTGGGTGCGAGGTTTGTGAAAGTAGCGTGTTGGCGGAGTGACATAGATATAGAGGGACCTACCAGCTCTACGGCGCCGCCATCAATTGGATATTCTTGGGTGTGAAACTACAGTTCTGGTTCGGCTTGTAACCCGATATTTGGAATCCTAGTGCGAATAGGATACTCCTAAGTTAGTACGCGGACTTGTACCAATGATAAGCTTCAGCTGTACCAGAGCGAGGTAACAGGAGCCCGCACTGAAGGAGCACTCGCGAGACTGTCAAAGAACTCTCATGAACATAGTAAACAATGACGGCGCAGCAGCTTGTTATTTGAAGGAAATCAAGCCTTCTCAAATCTCGCTAATAAATAATAATTCTCCGTCGTGATTGGAGGGAAGGTGTGGGGTCAACAATCGGCACCAGCAACGAGGGGAAAACAGAAGAACTCCTAACCTAATTCAGTCATGACCCTACAACCAGGGAAATGTCCCTCCCTACCGCAATTACTAAAGTGCAGCCATCCCTCTGCCTTAATCGATACGCCTGAGTCAAAATGAAATTCAAGGGGTGGTCGGGCATGCGAGACATTGACCCTTTAACCTTAACCTGAGCAATGTCTCAACCACGAAGGAGCTCCCTCCGCAACAACCAAGGCCCAGCATCCCCAAAAAGACCGCAACCACGTTGCCACGAGGAATGGAATATTGTTTGAGGCTAACAATAAGTATTGCTCCGCATCCTTGGCAATGCTTTTTGTGTGTGAAGAGTGGGTGCGGAGTGCAGAGGGTGGGTGAGATCTTCAATGTTCCAGCCCCGCTGAGGAATGTAGGTTGTGAAGCCAGGCAGGAGAATGCGCGACACCCAATACTCATCGTGGGTCGCGATATTGTTCATCGAGTACCCCAGCCTTGTTCGTTGCGTTTTCGTGGCATCTTTAAGCATTCAATTCAATTCTTTTTTCCAGCCTTCCGAGAAGGTATCTTTCAAAACTAGCATATTGTTTCCTCCGCATCCCATTCATCGCTTCGTTTTCATTTCAAAACCAGGAATAACAAACGAAGCACCGGACTCTCTATCAACACTACGAAGGGTACGTCAGCTCACACATCATCAATACCAACCGAACGATTCTTTGTTTCTTGAAGACGAGTTTATCATTATCACATTTCGCCCTGGTGGTGATATAGATTTGCAATATCTTAACTTTCCCTCGCCCCCTTTGCGTTTGAGATTGAATAGGCAAAAGGTTCTGGGGAGACGGGCAGGCAAACAAACCGAGTTATACTCACTCAAGAACCCATCGTCGGCCATCTGATTGCAAAATCTCTCCCTCATTTGACAACATTGCGACGAGAGGGAGAGTGCGTAGGAGCCGAAGAACGGATGAAGATTGTTGAAAATGGGTGCATATCCAGAACTGTCATCGGCTCTGCCTGCTAGTTTTGGTACGCCATCGAGGACGTCACGGATTCTGAGGCCAGGAATTGTGCTTGCGACTGTGGCGCTGTTGGCTGGGGTGAGCTTGCTGGGTTTGTGTGTTGCGGCAGCGGTATTATCTTCTGCGGAGAGGACGAAGAGCACGAATGCGCTACAGGCGTTTGTTTTGATAGCTGTGAGTAGCTTGTGCGAAGCAATTCCGGGATATTTGCTGATTTGAAATAGTCTTTGGTATCGATCATCTATATCATTGTCCATGGAGTTGCTGCGAAAAGCAATGACCAAGTCGGGGCAGTCAGGCCACCACAGTTGAAGCTCCATGCAGCTTGTTTTATATTGGCTCGTCTTGCCCTGGTATCTTGGGTTGTGGCCTTCTTCACGGCTTGTGCAGTGGCTTCCAAGTCGACTGCTTGTACGAGCGGAACTCATAAGTGCAAGCTACAGATTGCGGATATCGTAGCTTCGATTGTTGGATGGCAAGTTCAAGAGTTCCTAAACTAGGCTTGTGCTGACGGTTATAGTATGTCCACAGGTATAATCTTGACTGCGCTTGAATCGTGCAAATATCCATTTCAAATACCCGATGTCTTGGCTGCGAAGATCAGGTTTCGAGGCAGCTCTGGCGGAGATGATATATTAGACCACAGTATCTCACGAGCGTCATCTTTCGACACAGGACCCATATCGGAACAAGAGAAACCTCGGGAGGTCATAGTTCAGAAAACTCGCATAGAGAGAAAACCAGTACCTCGGTCTCCGTCAGAGCTCAGTAAAGCCCCAGAACGTCCCTTGACACCATTACTGTCTATGTCGCCACGGAAGAGGCCGGACTCAAGAAGTTGGGGCGAGGAATGGATGCATTTGGCAGAAGAGAGCGGTCTGGAAAAGAAAAGTGTGTCGACTTCCGATTCGGCGATCTCGCTGTCGTACGAAACCTCTTCAGGAGCTTCAGAGTCTACGAGCACGTCCGATCGAAGTTCAAATGTCTCGGTACCGAGAAGAGTAGTAGTAACACGACGTTCGGTTCATCAAAGAAGAATGAGTAGGGCCGTCACTCCAAGCAGTAGTATCAGCAACCTTTCGAGGAGGTCGCCACTCTCATCAGTTCGGTATGTATGTCGCCAGTAGCTGGAATTTCAAGCTGACCGTCGCAGATCTGCTGATTGCCCACATATTCTGGTCCGCCCGGAATTAAGATATTGTCCTCCTCAGATTCCTCCACCACATGGATGGAATTCTTCAAGGACATCGTCCATATCACAACTGATCCCAGTTGCAGATATCCAGAGTCTCCAAAGCCGGCCGTCTAGTACATCCGAGAACCTTGTAATACGCGGACCAAGAAAGACTCTACCAGCCTTACCTCGAAACGGACCTCCTCTGACCAGAAGGAAAACGAGCGACCTGAAAGTGCCTGGAGCATATGTTAATGACCAGGCGAGCTTCAACTATGAAGAGAATTTGGACGAATGTGTTCGGAAGATCGAGGTCGAATATGTGAAGCGGTCACCGAGCAGGAGGAACCAACACCCCAGCACAATTGGGAAGAGGCAGCCAGGGAACTTTGAGCGACTATCTCCACCCCCGACACGGGTTGACACCAAAGCGAGGTATCGGGAGAAGAGGCCGGTATCAGTGTCACCATCGAAATCAAAACCAGTCGCCAAGATTCGTCCTGGGACAGCACATCCGGCTGGATCCGGGAGAGTGGAAAATGTAACTGTTAAAGAGTTTAGACGATTGAGTCTTGGGGATATCTCGTTAGGGTTGGGAAGCTTGGCTGGACTCGGGAAGATGTTTGACTGAGCGGTGCTAGACGATGAAATGGGAACGACAGGAGGTAGGAGTCAAGCTTGCGTAGTGCAGGTGCTCGCCCTGACGACTTAATGAAATATCAACATAGATATGAGAGAATAAATATAATTACCCATCATTCGAGAAAGCCAGGTCACTGGACCCGCCGGAGCTGAAATGCATTGCCGAGAGATCAAGCACAAGCACAAGCACAAGCTCGAGAAGAGAGTTTAGAACGGCTTCCGACGGGAACAAACAGTAACTGGTTCAGGACTACTCGTACCCCACGTTTGATGTTGGTTCTGCATGACGTCGAGAACTGCAATTCGGTCAAACATGAAGCTATCCAGGATACACCAATGGATACTGTAACTCTTGATGGCCGAACCTTCTGCGACATGACGTGCGTTTATGCAGCGGGGTGTAAGGTTACGAAGTTACTTGTACCTCTCTGGTTGCTGTCAGATTTCTCGTGGGCAAGCGCGGGGTAGATCAAAAACTAGGTACGAGTACCCAAGTAGAGGGGCACACGACGTCGCTATGCAATGCAGTTGACCGAGGATACAAAAGGACGGCCGGACTCTTCTCAGTACCTTAACAGATAGATCTGTGGGTTGAATACTTATACCTTTCTGCTGACAGAGGAATGAATACCTTATATTATCCAAAATATCGGATGTCATGACGTGACGTGGGGCAACGCCGAGAGCATTCAAGCCTCGCACCAACTCTGAGCCTGAGCCCGAGCCCGAGCCCGAATCTGCACCTACTTCGTACAGTAATTCCCTCCCTGCCACCCGACGACATCCCAGCCTCTTCTGAGCAGTCGCACATGACAATCCAAACGAGACATTCTCACCCATTCTTCAGCTCCCATTGCCACGCAAAATCAGATCACCGTCACAAGACAAAGCCACAAACCTGAGATTAAAAAGTCGAGGCAGTCAACGCATCGTGTCGAACATCTCCTCCCGTTCTCATCGTGACTTGCGCTCTCTCCAAGCTACCTACCCCCGTATCAAGCGCGTCGGCTACCGCCCCGAACAAGAATATCGCCAGTCGAAGATAAACACCAACTCTGCCAACTTCTTCGTCACAAACCAAAAATTTCACAGCCTCCCTCGATGACCATCACAATGTCCGCCGAAGAGCCCCCCAGAGTGCACTCTCCTCCCAGCCCGTCCAGCAAGCGACCAAAGGGTAAGCAAATACGCGGCGCAGACTACCCCTCCTTCAACAGCATCACAAGCTAATCTGATCTCTGCACCAGGAATCCTCAAGAACTCCTTCCATCGCTCTCCTCCCCAACAAGCAGCCATCACCACACAACCCCCTCCACCGCCCGTCGAACGCCCAGGCATCGAGCGCGACATCTCCGAAAAAGACATCACTCTGCAAAACACCCTCCAGAATGCCGGCCATAGACGCTCATCCTCCGCGGCTCGACCCCCCGGATCCCGCCGCCAGTCGAGCCACGGCTCGCTTTCACAGACCGCTGAAGAGCAGAATATGCGGTTGAAGTGGGACGAGGCGAACTTGTACCTTACAGAACAGGAGAAGAACTCTACGATGAAGATCGACGAGCCCAAGACGCCGTATGCCAAGCAATACGATCCGACTGAAGACGAAGAGGAGCTCCGCATGATTGATACCGACGAGATTATGGTTGATGAACTAGATAAGGCGAGAGCGGGAATCAGCCCCGGCAAGGCAGCCAAGGCGAAGGAGGATGATATTCCCGGCTTGAGTCTAGGTGAGCCCGAGGAGGACGTTCCCGAGCAGCGTCATGATTTAGATGAGCATGGACATAAGAAAGCCGTTCATGTCCGAGGCGAGGAGCACGTCGGATTGAGTGCAGAGGAGCAGGAGAAGCACCGCAAGTTCGAGGAGATGCGCAAAAAGCACTATGAGATGAAGAATGTCGCGAATCTGCTGGGCCACCCCGAGGAATTGGACGAGCTGGATGATGATGGTGATGATAACATGAATGGGAGTGCCAAGTAGGCTTTACTTGGCGTATGGGGAATGAATTGAATGATTTACGGTACTGGCGTTTGATAATGGGATGAATACGGTCTCCTCTGTGTTGAGTTACATCTTTTCCCTTCTGCATATGGCTCTGGATTTCTTGATGGGGGAATTTCTACCGGGCCTTGTATTATGGCTTTCTTATTTCTTGGCTTTTGTCCAGTCTTTGCGATCGAACAGCACACATTGCAGGTCTGGTCTGACTCTTGTGGTCGGAGGATACTCCAGCATTTTTTCACGTTTTCAGTCCCCTGAAGTGAAGAATATGTGGCGCATCACTGTATGCATTCTTGAGGATTGCTCGAGAGCCCCTTTCTTTGTAACTACATTGTAGCAGATCTTGAAATGGAAGGCAATCTACTTTTCAGACATTTTACCGGCGAGTCTGTGTGGATTTGCAATACTCAGGTGTATCTTCGTGGTCCATGGGTAAATGGTACTGTCAACGATTTTGATTGTCCCGGAACTTTTGGGCTTTTCATTGTTGACATTTTGCAGATTCCACGCGTTCCGCGTCTTGCCTCTATTACCACATAAATTGATCGTGTCCAGCCTCGGATAAGTAGTCGAGACCTACCACTCGGGAGCTGTTATCTGAGGTAGCCGCTCAAGATACCAATACGTCGACGACTTCACCTTTCGCTTCAGCTATCACAGAGTTTGACCTTTCCCGCTAAGCTCGCCCAGGCCAAAATAAAACACAAACATCAAGACCGATCTCGACAATTTTCATCGAGACAGCGGCGCGTTTTAATACTTCAAGCACCAATCTAAATCACAGCTACGAAAAGCTGCAACACGCGATGTATAGCGATTCAGGTAGCTGTGAGTTCTTTCCAGTGAATCGAAAGCAAAGAGATGATCTGGGGAATGGGAATTTGGAATGGGAACACGACTGACGCGTCGCAGGTGGTAATCAGACCAAGAAGTGCGACGATGAGATGGTGAAAAACACATCTTCTACGAGTGCTGTTCATTTGAGGGGCGGTGGAAGGGCTGCAAGGACTGCAAAAGCCAGGGGAGTTAGTACGGATAAGGTGAGCACTTGACGTTCTTTTTTAGGGTCCAGGAAGTTTTCCATTGCCACTTCTCTGTCTACTCACAGCCAACAACTCCCTCCCAAACACCAATGTTGTACAGATACTGAAGAGTATACCATACAGGAAAAGGAGGACCGCAGAAGAATGCATGCCCAACGCCTTGTTAAGAGAATCAAGAATTTGGGGAAGAAACTACAGTCCGAGGAGTTCCTGAATACTGCTTCAGCAGATGATATCAAATTCGTGGAGGACAAGATCGCTCGACGACTTAAAGTTCTCCATCGGCTCGATTCCAAGAATGGACTTGAGGTTTCAGACATTGCAGAGCCTAGCCAGATCTCTCTCCCTAATGATTCTGAATCCGAAGATGAAGATCAATCTGGAGCATATGTTCGATCGAAGAAGCGCAAGCTCTCAGCATCCGGTTTCCTAAATGAGGAGGACACCAATGGAACTGCAGATGCTAGCGAGGTCATTGTCATTGAAGACACGCCTCGGAAGGTCAGGCAGGAGAAGATGGAGAAGAAACAAAAGAAGCGCAAGGTGGACAAATCCTCGCACAACTCCTTGGCGCGTCGAAACTCAAGATTTGCCTTTGAAGATTCAGATGGTGAACAGGGTCTTGACACTGCCAATCTCGATGCGAGAAACACCGCTTCACAAGATGAACATGCCGGTCATGATATCTCACAAAATGGAACAGCTTCTCCCAGTCCAGAGAAATCCAGACAAGCCGCCCTAATCGATACCATCACACGTTCCCGCACTCGCAGTGAGTCTACCGGTGATGGAATCTACCAGGCTCTTGTGGCTGGTATGTTGGCTCAGCCATCACCACCTTCTCCGATGAGTTCTATTGCCGACTACCCCCGATCTCTAATTGACATTGGTCGGTCTGCCATTGCAGCTCCAATTCTGCCGAGTACCCAAAAACCTATCAGAGATCGAGCTTTCAAACCACAAGTTCCAGCTGCATCTCCCCAACTCGGATTCGCCTCCTCGCACAGAGAATCTCCGATTCTGCCTCCAAAGCGGAACTTTTCCTCAACTAGTATCGTACCAATTTCCAAGGAGAATGGTGTTGAGAATAAGAAAACAAACAAGAAGGTCGCTAGTACCAGGAAAGCAAGCCATCCTGACACCAATACCAACCCAGAGCCAGCATCCGAGGAAAGCCAGCAAAGCGCTACCCTCTCCCAAACAGTCACTGCTATCAAGGAAGCTGCGTCAGCCACTGTCATCGAAGGAATTTTCTCCCAGGCAGATCCATTCACCTGCTCAAAGAAGATCTTGCCGCCTGCTAGAATCTCAATCCCTCCAGTAGCCAGCCACCCAAAAGCCACCAACTCCTCTACACCAGATATTACACCAACGAAGCCTAAATCGAAATCGAAGTCAAAGTCCAAGTCCCACCGGGATGGACGTACTGCAGGAGAGCCTGAAGATTGGGAGAAGACGTCCGGTCGTGTCAGAGCAATAATCCACAAGGACGGCTTGGTAGACGACGGTGAGACAGAAGAGAGTACGTACACCTTCCTTCCGCATCCCCAATAAACACACTCCCTCAATCCTTCAACTCCTATCGGGTATGAGGCTAACAAATAATACAGACATCGCATTCTCATCCAGCTACATCCAATCTCGACCCCTCGGCATAAGCATCAGCGGCACCAACTTCCAAATCCTCGCCATCGGCCCAGGTACTGAGCAGGAGGAACTCCCTGTTTCTACTGATAAAGCTGCTCTCAAGATCTGTTCTGTTGCTAAGGGTCGGGTCAGGGTTTTACTAGGCGGCGGTTCGAAGAGTTTCGAGATTGGAGAGGGTGGGATGTGGCGTGTTCGGGGGGGAGAGAAGTGTGTTGTTGCGAATGTTGTTGGTAGCAGGGAAATCGCGTGTGTTCATTTGTGTACTGTTGAGGGATGAGATGTGGGGAAATGAGGGTATATATGTGAGGTGGTAAGAAATTTGGGGGACTGTAAAGAGATTGTGGGTTGAGATATCATGGCATGGGTGTTCCTGCGGGTTCTGTTTCTTTGCACCTTCTTCTGTTCGTACGAGCATAAGACTACGTCGCCATGGGCCGGCGGACTATCAAACACCAGACGACAGGATCAGTTGTCGACTCGGCTTATCAGGTGTATGAGACACCGATTGAACATAGCCAAATGAATGTTTATTTACCTCTGAAGGAGAAAGAGGCTCACGATGTGCCTATCAAAATTGATTTTCCTCGCACAACAGTTCTTCGATACCAAGGCCATGCAAACCATCGTCAATCTCGCTTAACTTTGGGCTACTGCAGTCACTCCAAGAACCAAATTCACTTTTATTTTCATGCTAAGAAGACTCCCAAGCGTGTGAGGACCTGAGAGCGACTTTTGTGTTTGAGTCTAACAACCACTGACGTAGAGGGCACTGTTGTGTAATAAAATAACTCATGTCCTTCCATGGACGAACAATAGTCTGTAGAGAATGCGGTATCTCTTCTGTCTACCATGCAGTACATCCTCGCAATTTTCTAGGCTCTGAGAGCTCATCATAGACTAGCACGTACTCGCTGCCGCTTTCTCGGAATCTCAGACAATGAGATTGAGCCCGCGGTTGCAGATTCACGCCGCTCATAATGTTACATGACATGGTATGCACAAGGAAGGGAGATGACCGTATGAAGGACTTATGGAGAAGGTATGTGGTTTGTTGTAAAACTTGCTGTTTAATAATATCAGAAGTGTGTGTTTCCACTGGCAGCTGCACACAACTTGTTTTTTCTCCATCCCAAGATCGATTTGTAAGCTCGCCGCTTCTACCCAGGCGTCACCCTCAGCAAGGTACCCTCTCGGTGGCGGATGAAAGTTGCCGATTTTTGCATCTCCCCAAGTTTTAAAAATGTGGAATATTACAACCTAAACATCGAATTATAATAGTTAGGAATAGGTAATTACCTAGAGCTCTAATTTCTTTTCATATGATTTGATTGACTTTGCGTTGAGTAGTATAGTCTAGAAATGGTTGAGTTTGATGGTTTTGCGTGCCAAAATCGGCTATTTCATCCGCCCCCGAGAGGTACCCTCAGCTACTGTACCCTCGACCCCATGCCAACAGCGGTCACAGCTGGCAGAATCGCGTGCCAACTCGTGCACAGGAAAGCACAGCTTAACAACAACCAAATTACTTTGCAACGCGGTAACCAGCTTTACACCTCTACAATAACGTCCTCAATCAACATCTTGATCTTCATAGGCTACGGAGCATATAATGGAAAGCACAGTGCAATATTTTTATCCATGGTTAAAAGGCGAAGTCATTTGTGATGTGATGGGAAGGGTTGTAGTTAAGTCCACAACAGCAACCGGGGAAGCGGTGGCGATCAAGGTCTGCCACAAAGACATACTGCTCAAGAGCGAAGCCGACATGCTGCAACACGTCACACAAAACACCTCTGTCAAAGCTCCAAAGCTTCATAGAATATACGAAGTCGACTCAGCAAGGGTTATGGAAACCGACTTCGTACCCGGAGTACCACTCGACACGGTCTGGGAGTCCTTCGGAATCGAAACTAAGGCGGCTATCGCTAGTCAATTGCAGGAGCAAGTCCTTGCGATACGGACCAGTACGCAATCATTCATCGGCCGCGTCGATTTTCAACCCACATTCGACATCTATCGTCCACTCCAGAACCAAAGTTGTGGTGCATTCCTGACTGAATGCCAATTCGATGCACACAAAGTTCACATGCTCGAAGCCGACGGCCGCAAAGACATGGCAGATATTCTCAGCGGAATGCTATCAAAACTGCGGACGAATTCTACGACCTTCGTTCTGACCCACGGAGACCTCAGTCCGTGGAATATTCACGTTCAGAATACTGAAAGCGGTTGGCAGATCTGTGGTATCCTTGACTGGGAAAGGAGTGGGTTCCTTCCAGACTACGCCGAGTATACCATCGCCATGACAAATCCAAGCTACTCTGAGGAATGGCGCAAGGTTCTTACGGAGCAGGTCCTGACAAGTTGTAGTAAGGAAAGACTTGAAGCCGAAAGGGTGGCTACCAAAAGTTTCATGTAATGTTCTTTAGGTGAAAATGGTTGAAATTGTCCGAGTAAAAGCAGCTATGAACTTTGGATACCTATCGTGTTCCCTGGCCAAGGATGAAGGAAATGTTTGGGAGAAAACCCGGCACCAGGCATATAGTTGCGGCTTGCTTTTCATATAAAATTTAGTCAACGTGATATGGGCATATAATATTGAGTTACATAATGTGGCTTGTTCTACATAACCGTGCAAGACCATGCTGTTGGCTCTCGTTGAACCATGAGCTCATCAGGGAATTCGTTTTCTACCACAAGCAGATAAATCTCCGCTTCGACCCGCACGGTATCCTCCATCTCCTCCGGATCTGGGATCGATCTGTCAAATTCCTCGATCTTTTTCTTTGCGCGCTCCGTCGACGAGATGCGAGGAATCCCGGAAACTGGTTCGCTATGAAATTCGTTCCCGACGGCCCCCATAAGATTCATGAAGTCTGCCATCGACATACGCTTCGTTACAAGAAGCTCTTTCGATATAATGCGGCCATCGCTAGGCCAGAAATGTTCAAACGTTCCGGCGTTGTGGTAGCCTGGCCGTGGACGGAGGCTCTTCTGTGGAATGTAGGAGATGTATTTTTGAGAACCCAAGCCTGGTCGAATTGGGGAAAAGATGAAACATTCGTGACGATAGAGTTCAGGTGATTGATGTGCCATCTTGCTTCGGCAGCGGAACGCAAGAACCTCGCGTGCAGGCTTTTTCGAGTCTTAGGATGTTTCGTAGCTTAGAGTAAAAATGACGTATGCTATTTTGATGGGATATGCCTCCAGGTTGATTAAACCGATGGTATGTTGCTGCCTAACTTGGGTCTTGAACGAATAGAGAGAGTATTGCCGAAGCAATGAAGGAACTCAACAAATGTACGGAGTCTCGGCTTCCTTAAGTCACGAAGGGCTTGATCGTAGATTCGTAAGTTGGATAGATGCTCAATTGCACACAACAACAATTACTTCCTCCTTATCACGGCTTCACGAAGTACTTTAACTCTGTCCGAACCAACAAAGTTCCACCGTCATAACTACCATACCACCTGAGTGCGTCTGCCCAGCGGTTACTGCGCCAATATGATGGGTTACGGTCACGGTGCAATATTGAACAGCCGCGCAGAGGTGTTGCGATTCCAAGCCTTTCTGAGGCCCGTATCTCAGGCGTTTCGCTTACTGCAGATGATGCGAAGCGAAGGGTATCGTATGAGGACTAGTGGACGAGGCTAGCCTTTACGACCAATGCCAAACACGCCCTCGACGCCCACAAAGTCACTGACGAAGGGGCCTAGTTTTATGATTGGTTATATTATTGAATAATTCCAATCCTGCCACATACGACCATAGACTGAGGAAAACTGGGCATCCCGTCCGCTCTGCCATACATAAGCCTCAGATCGGCAGATTAGTAGTTGGGTGGGTGACCACCAGCGAATACCTGCTGTTGTATGTTTTTTTGATTTTTTGACCTTTTTGGCATCACGTTTAGAAAGTCATAGCTCGATACCTACTTTATCATTGTAGCAAGATTTGAAGGGTTTTATCGAACGATGGTGTGGTTCAGATGTTAATAGTATCTACCACTTTTGCTTCTTTGCCTGTCGTTATCCGTCGCTTCAACGCAGCGGACGAGCTACTTATTCATGGCAGATGGTCTCAAGAAAGCATTGAATTGATTGGAAAAAAAAAAAAATTCATAGATTAGCTAGGTATACATTCCATTAGATGAAGCGTGGCGACGAGAGTGGAGAATTTTGCTTCGTGAGTCGCGAATTAAAATAGGTCGAGGGGCAGAGTCAAGCGAGACTATGTAAACAAACGACCAATATCCAAGCCCGTACTCGTCGAAGTTCAAGAATAATGCGCGCTACAGATTACTCTGCTGGGACAAGTTCAATTTCATTTTTCTTCTTCTTTTGTATCGAAGAGAGATATGTCAGAACGAAGATCGGATCGCTTGAGGAAGCCCAAGGTAGCTGGTGGTGATTAGTCAGCACGCTTTTGCACTGCGCTCTGTATTTTCTGATCAATTTCTGCAGCGCGGGCTCGGAAAACTTCAGCGCATCTCACCAGCGAGATCAGTTGGTCGCAAGGCTACACGGTGTGTATAGTCCAGAATCCAGCCAGTGAGACGCACCTCACATTCAAAGACACGACTGGAAATAATTGCACCATGGCTCTATCTGCGGCCTGCATGCGACCTCTCGAACCGAACCTCTTAGAGGCCGGACTTGCCGTAGACAAATCGCAACCCGGATTCTCTCACCGAGAGTATGATATCGCTGATACATCAGCATATTCGAACACTGAAAATTATCTTGGGGATAAGTCAATTAGCTGGTGTAAGTGGAGCTTGCCTTGTGGCTTCTTATTTATGTGTAACAATAATTATAGACTGAATATTCGCATGCCTGTCTCTCGTCACTGTTGTCGAGTTAGTTTTATCCAGCAGTCTGTTTCAAACCGTCCTTGCAAGACGAGGCTCTGTCCTCTGGCCCTCATAGGAGTCGGTAACGTAACCTCAACCTGCTGGCCTCGCATCTCCGAACCATCTACCGAGGGCTAGGCCACCTATCTGTTATCTTGCGCAGGGAAGATCTTCAACAGCGATGCGCATCAAAAAGGCGTTTCTGCAAGGGAAGTGGTTGGTCGGCCCTGCCAACTCGGTGTCCCCTTTTGAGCTAACTTCCGTCCTGTCGTCTCTCCCGCTCATCGGCCATTGGCGGGGTTCCAGGAAACACTTGTCGAATGGTGCACCTATAACTCAGCCCTGCTAAGAAAACTTGTTGGGGGGGTCATCTGAAGATAATGGGTCGCGGAGCCCGTAATCTGGTATAATATGCAGGTCTTGGATATTTACGACCGCTTTCCCCGCTCTCCACTTTTGGCAGAAGTCGAGCCGTCACAGCGTCATCTCACCGCCGACAGAATCAGGATCCAGAGACTTTTATGTCGGAAGAGCCTCGAGGGCGTAAGCGCTTTTCTAGTTCGGGAAGGAGATCTGAGACTAGGAAAGAACCTGCAGTGGTACCCGCGATACCTGGTCCGAGTGCCTTGCCAGAAGCGGCTTATCAGCAATACTCTATCCCCCAGCAGCACAGAACCATGGCAAGGAATGGTCCGCGCAGAGCGGTAGAGGTGATTGACTCGTTAAAGCCGAATATTGCTTTACTGAAATGTGTAGCCAACTCACAAACCGAGTGACAAAGACGTGAAAAGACAAATCAAGGTCTGCTCGGACAGATTCAAAATCTGGACGGAAGTCACCGCAACCTTTGTCGACGATCTGATGGAAGCATGGATCTCCAAGGAAATGGTTAAGGAATTAGACCTTGAGGCTATTCCACGATCTCCAGGAGACCCAGAATGGGGACTTTTGGGGAGGCGATCGGTTCCGTTGGAGGGCACAACTGAGCTGCAGTGGTATCCAAAGGACTGTAGGAGAGTGAAGGATACGACTTGTCGTATTGTTGATAGCAAGGACTTTGGAATTTATCTCCACTCACGCTTGCTTCCAGCGAGCCCTGTGTCGGTAAATACGTCCATTGCGATTGAATCTCGCTCAATTCCGGAGCCAATTCCAAGCCTGCCAGTCTCCCCTCCGAGGAAAATTGCGACTGCTGATAATGTCCCGTTTCCAGAAAAGGCTTCGGATACTGACACAGTGATATGGAGAGGTGAGAGTGATCAGGAGGCTAGCGCCGCGTCAATAGGGTCCTTTGATGGTCTACCAGAGAGTATCAGTGAAACATCAGATGAGTAAAGAGAGCATCCCTTTAATTGATCTTGTCGAATGCTAAGCTGTCCAGAGCCAAATATGCAGATAATTGGATGGCTCTTCTCAAAACGAAGTTTCACAATCATTTCCAAAAGAAATCAGATATTGTGCACGATTCTGTGAAAATAGCAGGTTAGTAGATTTTTGCGGGATGAAAATGGGTTTCACTTGAAATGGATGACTCGTGCCGGTGCAGATCAAGTACCGAGCAGCCGTCGCATTTCAATTGTGGTTGAATTGCAGGGTTAATAGGTCCTTCAGTCCTGGATACTGGTCTTGACACGACGATACCTACCTTGAAAGGCGCCATTAACCAAAAACGAATAAAAGTTGTGAAGAGCTTTGTTGCCGGAGATCCAGACACAGCCGATGAGTTTGGTCATGGTACTCATGTTGCATCTCTTCTATTGAAAGTTGCACCACGTGCCCAAGTGTTTGTGTTGAAAATAGCAAAGACAGACGAAATCTTGTCAACCAAAAGTGTAGCTGATGTAAGTCATGCCGAGTTGCCGCCTAGAGTGTTCCGAAGCAGTGCTGAACAAATATTGGTAGGCAATTAACCACGCTGCGAACGAGCTCCGGGTGGATATCATCACCATGTCATTTGGACTTGACAAGGAAATCGCCGAAGTGCAAGCCGCAATACGCAATGCCTTCTACAAGAATATCCTCATGTTTGCCGCAGCTTCAAACAGCGGAGGAAACCTTGAGGTCAAGTACCCCGCCAGAAAGGACGAGGTGATATGCGTGTATGCGACCGATGGTTCAGGAAACCCTTTCACGAGGAACCCTAACATTATGCCAAATACTAGTTTTCACTTCGCAACGCTAGGAGTAGGGGTGAAGTCCTCATGGCCAAAGAAACCGGGCGAGGCGTCTGAACGAAGACAGACGGGAACTTCGTTTGCGACGCCAATCGTGGCTGGGATTGCGGCCTGTATCATTGAGTTTGCGACCGTACAGGATCTTCCAGAAGAACTTTTGGCAGTATTGAAGACGCGACAGGGGATGCAGAAGACGCTTCTTAAACTCATGGTGGATGATACTCCGCGGTCTGGATTCCATTATGTTCATCCTTGGAAGATGTTCGCTAATGATCGTTCTGAGGAATCGGTTTTGTATGCAATGAGGGACATTCTGGGTAGTTAGTGACACAAGAGAGTTGATTCTGGGGCGGTAAATGTGTTCTTGTATTGATGCGTATCTGTAGATCATTTTGTAAGCAAAAAAAGAGAAGATGGACTGGGAGATGTGGACACACCTTAACCCTACTCCATGTGCTGAGGTGGTGGAACGACCACGCAATTGCATTCCGTGTTTCCGTCCTCGTCAATTGCAGTGACTGACTTGCTTCCAATGATCTCATGTGCAGCCACTTCACGGCCTCCATCAAAGTTTGCGGTCAAAGTAACCCGCGAAGAACCAAAATCCGTGTCTCTGCCATCGTCGTCACCCAACATCTTCCCAATGACTTTGGACTTCTCTTGCTCCCCATTGCCTTGTTCTGGAGCCTCACCGGCAATTATCCTGACAAGTCGATACCCAATAACAAAGTCAAGGGTACCTCTCGAGCCATTCGCCAAGCCCCGTCCAATTTTCAGACCCGTAATCATGAAAACCGGCAATTCATACTGGCACCCTTCGAGGTATTCACGGATACTTTCTTTGTTGACGGCTTCATCGATATATAATTTCGAAGGGGCGAAGTCGAGAGTCTCGATCGCCTGCACTGAGAAGCGGCTCGTAATTTCTAAATCGTCGCTGGTGCTATTCGTACCACCCAATTTTAGGCTCGAGAGAAACCGCGCTGTTACGCTGACTTGGCCATCTCGCAGGGATTCGGTAATGTCCCAGTCGCGCTCGCGACTCGTGTGCACATGACCTGCAGGTACTTCGACAACATCGCCAGGATTCAGGATATCTGGTTCGAGGGGAGTAGCAATTATGCTGCCCAGTTTAATCGGGCCGTCTGGTGGAAGATCGAAATTGGTCAAAACAAAGTATGTTTTCGGAGCTGCTGCCATACTGGAGGGGAAAGGTGTTTGGTGAGGCTGAGATGTATGTGCTTAGTATGAAAGCGATGGACACACAGAAAGACCGAGGTAAAGGCAACGCAGAGGAGGAGGAAGAGAGAGGTGGGTAACTGGTGGAATATATGGATATTTGGCATCCCAGGCAGGCACGAGAAGATGAGAAGCAATGAAAAAGGAAGCAGCCAATCTGTATGGAGACAATCCACATCCGAAGAATGACGCTGGTAGCATCTCCATGATTCGTAGTGACAGACACACCGAGTTGGTGAGTTGGTGTCGAGCCAGAGGCAGGGTGCCGAAGATAGATATTGTAAGGATGGCTGGTTGGTTGAGTCGATACGATTCGATTGTTGGTTTCTCGATCCCACCCCTGTCCTCTCCTCTGCTTTCTAGAGCTAGTACAGTAGAAACCGGGCGTTGGCCTTATGTCAGCAGGAGGAGGGGTGACGCGCCTGACACGTGTTTCTTTTTTTCTTTTCTTTCTCTGCTCCCTCAGCCCTCTGTGACAAGTACATGCAGGACGGTTACGTTGCGAAAACCCCTCGGCCCCCCTATGCGTTTGACAGCAAGCTTATTCTCCTACCAAAGCCTCGGAAAAATGGCTCTCCAAAATACGTCAAAGCTCATTTGTGATTCCCCCCTTTCCCCCCCCCCCCCCCTCCCCCCCGTGTGCTTTCTCTAAATACGTCGATAGCTGACAGTATAGTTTACAGTCGCGCCAGCAAACGACAAGACCAACTCCCAAGCTGAACAATATACCAAAGGCGCCCTCGAAAAAGACCAGTTAGACTCGAACTCCCCGTTTATTCAATTTGAAAACTGGTTCTCGCACGCACAAGCCAATGGCGTATTCCAGCCTGAAACCGTTTGCCTCTCTACAGCCTCGCTGCCTTCTGGTCGAGTCAGTTCGCGGATGGTATACTTAAAAGAACTTGATACAACTGGGTTTGTTATATATTCGAATTTCGGTACAAGCAAGAAAGCACAAGATATTGCAAGTAATAAGTGGGCGAGCTTGACATTCTGGTGGAGAGAATTAGAAAGACAAGTCCGTGTAGAGGGGAAAGTGGAGAGGTTAACAAGTAAAGAGAGCCAGGTGTATTACAATACAAGGATTCGAGGGAGTAGAATTGGTGCATGGGCAAGTCGGCAAAGCCAGGTTTTAGAGGGGAGAGAGCAGTTGGAGGGGTGGGTAAAGGAGGCTGAGCAGAAGTTTAAAGGCGAGGAGATCCCTGTACCTGAATTTTGGGGTGGATTAAGGATTAAGCCAGAGATGGTAGAATTTTGGCAGGGGAGGGAGAGTAGATTACATGATCGCTTTCAGTATGTTAAGCTGGAAGAGGGTGGTGGTTGGAAGATTGACAGGTTAAGTCCGTAAGCGCAAGAGGAGGTACAGTGGAAAAGAAAGTGGGGTAGAAGTGCTGCCCCGCGCTGCGCTGCGCTGCGCTGACGGGAGCTGTACGATGTTCTGGCAAGTGACTGAATCTACATTTATTTTACTGGTCTTCGAGGACGCATCCCCAAGTCGCGGTACCTAGGTAGGCGGTCCTACGTAAACCTGGAAGCAAAGCCCCAGCTGCAGAAGGGACCGCGTCGCTGGAACTGAAACCATCTGAACTAAACTGAGCCGAAATGAATTGATCAGAACTGCTGAACTGTGCACATTGATCTGATATGATACAATCGACGCTCTCCTCCGGTTTCTTTGTTGCCCGATACAGTATGCTCGTGAAAGTCAGGTAATAAGTAATTGAGACTGGACGTAGAAGCTCCCGTCGTCTTTCCCCCCTCGTCCAACTCCCCACAACTCACCTTAACTTATGCGATGCGCTCCAGGATCCTCCCCCAACCCGCCTGCACCTTTATCTCGTCTGGCCCCGCTCTCCTCCCCTCCACCACCTCATCGGCCATCTGCACCCCAATCCCATTTTACGGACAACCAAACATCCATATCGCTCGCTCGGTCCATCAAGAGTCGACATTTGAACGTCGCCGACATCATCCTCAACAGTACCCTGCCACAAATTCAACAATGAAACGTACTGCGACTCCGTAGCAATGCCGGATTCGTCAAACCATATCGAGTTCCTTCTCCAAGCTGCGAATAGTGATATTCCGGACAGTATACCATGGTCAAACCTCAAATTCATGCTCAAGAAAGCGGGCGTCGATGCTTCCACCATAGACGAAGTCGAAGCAATGAACCTCTTCCGGAACATACGCCGTGGGATCAAAGAGGAACGTGAGGACGGAATGCGCGATGCATCTAGAGAACATATCGACGCCGTTCTGGCCCTTGCCAACAGCGACGGCGTCCCCGACGATATGATGAGCGACTGGCCGTCGCTGAAATTCTGCCTGACCTTGAGTAACAAAAGCCTTCCTGTACCGGATTCAGCAAACTGGCTGCGATCCTTCACGAGGTTCCGCCGTATCATAGCTGGAGGAGAGGTGGAGCAGGACGATCCACAACATGCCCTTCCGCCATCGGGAGCTGAAAGAGCACAGTCGGACTCTGCGTATGATTCTCAGTACTCGGAGGTATTTGGACCATGCCTGGGTTTCTGTGACGGAAGCTAATATGTTGGCAGAGCGATCCAAAGGATGACGAATATCTCACCGTCGTGCTGGATTCGTGCGATAAGTACAAAAGCGGAACGCTCTCGATACCTTATACGATTTCCGACAAACACGGGAAACATTTCATGCTCCCAAATGCAGCCCGGCGATGTGATTTCAATCCTGACCGAAGTGGAGTTGTGCGTGTTAGGTGTTTCTTGAATGACAACCCAGAGTCGTCGGAAGTCAAGTTCCACGTTGAAGACCACTTGGAAGACGTGGATATCGTTCTCTCTCGGAAGTTACTGGATGCAGATAAGAAGAGAAACTCTTCAATTGCAGGTACGCATTGCTATCAAATAGCAGAAGTTGAAACGAGCATTGCTGATTTGCTGTCGTACGTAGATCAACGTAGAAGACGCGATCACAGTCGCTCAGCAGGGAGTTCCGCGGAATATATCGAGGAGGAGGTTAAGGCAGTGTCCTATGCGCTCGGTATTGCTTTTCAAAACCCTGGTGTCCGCAACCTCGACGAGAAAGGAACCGTAGACCTGGGATACAAAATGTCCTTGGCTCTCAGAGGGGCGCACAAAGCTCGTCCAAGGTGAACAATACAGTGAACGATACGGAAACAGATTTAAACAGTGGACGAGAAAACCTTGCAAGCCTCCTTGCTCGTACTTCTTGCCACCCATCGACCCACGGACACAGAGCTCTACCTCTTGCCACCACGGCAGACGCCACTAGCCCCTACGCACTCGACGATTCTGCGGCAATCGAGGTTGGGAAAATAGTAACATCGATGTCGACATCAGGACGTATGGCAAAGCGCACTTTACATTACCGCCTTACACCACGAAGAAAACAACTCCAAAGAATCGCCGAATCTGTCAAGAAGTCGATGTACATCATGTATATGGCGGCCGCGACGACAGTAATATCATGCTCCTTTGAGAGAAAACGTTTTGTAAGGAAGGAGAAGGGGGCCCTGAAGGCTGGATAAGTCGATATTACGGCTGGTCGCATATGCAAGGGCGCGTCGTTCGGGGGTGAGACCAGATGACACGGTGTCTGAAGACGATTTGGAGCCAAAAGCAGTACGTTTTCTTTTTACACCAAATCGGCATGTTACACATTACTAATCTTCCATAGATGGTGTAGCTATTGACCAGCTTTCGGCAAGCTGCTCTTCGACTTGTCATTTCGGTGGCTACGATGCTTGGCTTGGCTACACCAATACTCACAGCCAACCAAATGTACAGCGCGTCCACGCGCCTCGCAGCCTCAAAATTGATATTGGGATCTGTAATGTGGTTCTATGTGATCCAAAGGCTGGGTAGTACGTGTTTATGAAGCTAATTGATAGGTTATATGCTGCATGCTGCTGGCAGCTTGCATAAGCAACTCTACTTATTTTGTACCATGTTTGAAAATCTATATTGTATATCATTGTACTTCCGAATGTTTTACTATTGAACACATTTAGGATTTAATACCAGCGAATATTCGTATGTATCAACGATTGGCTCTTTCTTTTAAGTATGCAGTTTGCATCACTCGATCACATATTTACTGCTTCCAAGCTCAGCGTCTCAACGTAAATAAGAACGGATCAACTGAGCCCATATTTCTCTACTTTTCTCTATATATGTAACTGCGGCATATTTATGATGACATCTGTCTTGTCTAACCCCAACCCTGGCATCTCCCAATATTTCTTCGGGATGCGCTTTGGTTCCAGCCATCGCTACCATTTATACCAACTCCACGTTGCCACATAAGGAACTATCTCCTTTCCAGCATTCTACTCCAAAGGGATCGAACACCTGCACGGGTAGCCGAAAATCTCCACGAATTTAAACCTCAACGATGGCCGAGTGGCTTACATTTTTCCTCTTCTTCACTTCTAGGTGTCCAGAGCGGGAATCCGACATCTAGTTTGCTCTCCATTTTATACGCTACAAGTTACGTGAAACATGTAGTCCTATGTATGTCACGTATATTCTGGTGTAAAGCTATACCAGGTAGTCATAAATAAGCTTGGAGGATCCTCAAACAATTCATTTTTACAATATCTCGTGTATCACTAAGTATTATCAACCTGTATGGAGAGTCTGAGCACCTTGCCATTTTCCAGTTTTCAATTATGTTTCCAATCAAGACGTTACTTAGCAGTCGTGTGTCGTGGCAAGAGCCTCAGATCACTCGTTATTGCTGCACTGACAATATCCCATCCAAAGGCTGTGCTGATGGGATTTTGGTTTGTGGCATCCTGGTTGTTCAAGGGCTTTGTTCAGAATGTGCTGAGGAATTGTGGAGAAGAGTATAGGTTGGAGGAGCAGAACAGAAGGGATCGATCACGAGCTACAAATATTTCGGTTCAGATGACAGAAGAGAAGTTGGAAAGGGAGGGCAGGCACGTCACGTGATACTTCATACTTCACCGTTTATCTTCTTGGGGTACAGATGCACCAGTGAGTCAATAAGTTACAAGTACATGTGTAGATCCTCACCGGAGATCACAAGAAGTATCATCTAGTTTGCCCAATATTAGCTTTAGTTTTGAATGTTTCGATGTTTTAGCTAGTTACATGACGCTTCAGCAAGAAATACCAGGATCTTGCGATCTACAAGAGCCAGCTCATAACGACAACACCAAGACCCGCGAAGATACAAGTAGTCATCATTGAAGCGGAGTGTGAGACACCCGCAGATGATGAAGTAGGGGTTTCAGCGGTAGTGGTGTTCGTTGTAGTGGATGCAGAGCTTGTAACAATAGTGCCTACTACATTGGAGGAGTTTTGGCAGGCATCGCCTTCGAGAATAGTAGCATTGCTGGTGAATGTGATATCGGCGCACTGGCAAATAAGTTAGCAGCGGGCTTCCAAGATAACATGCTTAACAGTGGGGTAAGGATTTCTCCTAGAGATGTTCAAATTGACCAGTTAAAGGATAAGTAACCCTGGATCGTGTAATCTTACATTGTACAGTGCAACACCATTCTTTCCACCAGTTGCTACCATGATGCTAGCATTCTGCCCGTCGGATGGAGCGATACCAGCTGGTAGAGACACCTTTGGGAGGCAGTAAGTACCATTTCCAGTTACGTTGAGGAGTTCCGGGGTGAGCGAGATGTTGAATGTAGGAGAGTCTGTTCCTAGACCGAGATTGATAAAGACATAGGTCCACGGGTGGTGTAGATCTAAGGCAACTGAACCACCGTCCAAAGGCCACAGAGTTCGATTCGTCTGGGCTGTGTGGTTGACGTTGGCACCTTAAAGTACGATGGTCAGTGCTAGAACAATGGTTGAATAAGTAGGAAGGGTCAGTGAATACATACAAGGATAGATATATTGAGATGCTCCCTCCGCGAATGAGTCGCCTCGCTGTTCAGGGTACTCAATTGAGAAATGGGCAGTGGCTAATGAAGCCAAGCAGAGAGCCGAGGTCAGCGTATTGACGAACATCCTGAAGCTTATTCTTCGTTTGGGAGCTTAGTTGTGTGGAGACGAGTGCTTGACTTTCTCTGTTTGCAGAAATTTGAAGTTGTGGAAGCTCGCGAGGACTTATATCCCATCTTAGTGAAGCAGTGGTTGTCAAAGCAGGAGCTTTCAGAAGAACCCTGGCGTATTTATTTCACCAAAGGTAAGGTAAGATCCCGTTCCCGGTGCAGGATATTGCTGGTACACTAGTATGCAGAAGCAATTGGATTGGCTTATTGGAACCTATGTTTTGTTCTGTTTCCGTGTAAATGAAGAGATGAACCCTTGCTGCACGAAACATCGAGCTATCAACCCGCTGCCGGCATCCAATCCCATGAGGGCACCGGAAACATTCAGGCCTCACGTCTCTTCCAGGCAAGGCTCTGTGTCGGTGAAGAGCTTCATTGTCCAATGGCAGTACATGCGCTTTAGTCTGTAGAAAGAAAACTTGCTCGTGAGGCTTGAAATGCCAAGGCTGGGAAGCTGCCAACCTTCCTTGGCGACGAGCAAACTTGCTCATAATCACGCAGAGTTCTCAAGTTAACAAATGATATCAATATAGAGGAGGGGTAAATTCCCAAGCATTTGGTTGCGGGAAAGACAACAATCCACTCATGGCAGGTCTGTTGTGGGGAACTAGAAGAAAGAGGAAACACTGCAGAGGAAATCTGAGATCACCTGCTGGCACCGGCCTGAATACTCTAGGGACAAGGTAAAAGCAAGATGTCAAAGCTGCAGCAATCCATTGCCATCAAGCGATAACAATGGAATGGACAAATGCCTCCAGTCCAGCCACTAAACTTGGCTCGAAAAGATGAGTGCCGTCCAAATCTCACGGCAAAGATCACTGTCTCCTGTATTCCACAGAAAGCAACGATACTCGGCCGAGCATGCCCCTTGTTTCTCTCCTTTATCGCTTATACCTGATTGCATTCAGCCCGTCCGTCTGTAAGTAAGCAGTTCATTATTGGAATGGGACTTTGAACTGATCTTGAGAAGGGGGGATTGTCATGGTGCCTGTACTGGAATGGAAAGCTGAAATCCAAGCATTGAGTGACGTCCAAGTGCTTTAACAACCTGCAATCCTCCAGTATTTACCAACGTCATGATTCACGGCGTTCTTCGACCGTTGTTGTCGATCAGGCAAGGAGTCATTTCGAGGGATGGGTGAACAGGGCATTGAATGTTGTCCCAGGCTTTGTAAGCAAGGCTACGACGAGGCTATGCCGAGGAGACAAGAAACACCCCTTGTCCCATAATCTCCTCAACACCCAATACGGCACAAGCGACACCTTGGTTCCTATTTCCAGACGACATTCAAGAAAATATCCAAGATGATATTCGAAGACCATCTTTCCTTCTCCGTCATCGACTTGAGGCTGCATAAAAGACGCTGAGCGATGAAAGATGGATTTCTCAACCCCTCCACCTCCCTACCGCGAAGTTGACTGCAATCCATGCTCGAGCAATGGCAATATCAATAAAAATCAATTTCGGGTGCCACGAAAGCCAGTCCGTACTGAGCGACCAAGAACAGCACCGTCGAGAAACCAGAACGCTCCGCCACCGATATACTTCGAAGAGTTTGAGCGATTGAAACAGAGCCGGCTGCAGACTCCACCAGCACCCGCTCCTCTCCCGATACAGGTCCCAACAGCTCTCCAGGAGTTGTCTTTGAACACTACTACACCGCACAGCAATATAACGGCATCGCCGCTTTATTACAGTCCCGCTGCAACGGATCCGTTCTCTCGAAATCCGTCTCCTTCCAGCGGTGTGTTCCCTCTCTCGACAGTTCGGTCGTCTAGCAATGCATCGTCCATCTCGAATGCAATACCACAGTCATCTCAGTCATCTAACTCGTCATTTATACAAGAGGCATTCCGAGAAGCCCGTCATTTTGCAGGTGGCCTGATAACCCACCCAGTGGAGAGCACGAAACATTTCACGATTTTACGGCACTCCCATGGATTGGTCTTCTATCAAGGAGCGAAGACGACGCTGGCCGTTTCCATATTCTCCGATCAACCACTTCCCCCAGAGCGGACTATATGGCTACAAAGTAAAGGCTGGAGTGGCACGGCAGGGATGCGGGCGCGAGCGTTCATGGGAAGGAACGGCAACTGGATCAATGTGACACCGTCATTGAATGTTGGACCTGAGCAATTGAAAGCAACCGATGAACGGGCATGGCAGAGAGACATTGCAAATTTCCGGAAGAAGCCCAAATCAAGCAAACAGCAGTATCACATTCTGCGGGAAACAGCTATTGTACGGATCCCAGAGGAAGCTGAAGATGGTTATTTCCAACTGGTACTTTGCTTGGGTGATAGAAAGAAAGTGCTCTGTCCGAGCCCTGTTTTCAGAATACTCTCCTCGTCCACCAGTCCAGGCTCGTTACGAGGTGCGAGTTTGACCACACTTCCTCTCGAGCTGGGAGTCATAGCGTTTGGGACCTATGCAAGAAATACAGCTGGACGAGTTGTCGGCCCAGTCGCAAGTGTTATCCAGAACCGAGTTCAGAAACTCATGCCATCGTGGGTGGCCCAACAGGCCACTCCAGCTGCGTATGGCGTTATGAAGCCCTCAGACAAGCAAGCCAACCAAGGTCAAGGTGGATCAACATTTGGTCCAGGTACATCAGAGATCACGCTCGAGGCGGGACCCCAGACCCCATATCCTCTGCGCTTCATTGCAAACAGTGAACCAGCAGTGACTGGAGTTGAGCAATTCAATATGCCGGGTATGGCATTGACCGGAATTCCCGCAAACATAGTACAAGGTCTATCGGGATACTATCTAGGCTGGGCACGATTTCTGAGGCAACCAACAACGGGAAACACAAAGGCTAGCAACGATACATGGTACCAGGCAGTCTTCTCAGCGCTACCGATCTCACTACAGACACCGGAGAATAGGAATATTATTGTTCGTCTCACGCGTGACTACGAAGGGTGGTCTCCGGAGCGAAGAGTCATCGAGGTTCGGATCATGGGATTTATCCGCCCAGATGATCCACTACAACGAGATGGACTGCGAAGAGGATTGCAGGCCAGAGATTCAGAAGCCGCTGAAGCAGTGATGCTTGCTGAAATGAATGACATTTTGCTGGCAGAAAACATTTTGGATCAGCCGGCATGGCATCCGGATGCAGTTCCTCCAATCAGTGCCCAACCTGGGACAAGCGGTGGACAGTCTTTCAGAATGGCTGCCCAGAGACAAATTGGGAAAGTCCCGTTTCATAAGTTTGGCGTTCGATCCCCGATAGATGGGGATGGAGTTAGAGATACCCTTGTTACATCAAATGGTTATTTCGTTCGGAGGTAGTTGGAACTATCCTCCTTGGCGTTGACTTTGACTTCCGACTGAAATGAGTCGACGAGATCGTTGAGCTTAGATTAAGATTTAATATTACTTGACCATCTTTCTTCATAAGAGCACCTCTCCCTCGAGCATATATTCTGACATCGGAGAATGCTTTGGTCACCGAAAAAGTCCGAAGATTCTTGAGGTGAGCGAGCACCTACTTCTCCGGATGACTGTATTCCAACAGAAGTGATCTACTGAGCCACACCACGGAAAGGGAGACGTAATGTACATACAGCATACGAGGTGTTGTGCTCGCCATCAGCCATTGAATGAGGTCCTGTTCCTTACACTCTCCGCCAGAAACACGCTCTCAGATAGATGTCTCTCCCAGGCCAGCAGCAGTCAAGAAATCAAAATCCGCACCCTCTTCAGCTTGGTTAACACATCTCTCATACAAGCCCCGATATCCCCTCTTCACCTTCCGCTCTTTCCAAACTCCCTTTCCAGAAGCTGCAGCAGCCTCGCGCTCAGCTACGCGTCTCTGAATTTCCTCGTCGCATACCTCAAGTCTCAAGACACGCTTCTCAACATCACAAGTAACGATATCGCCGTCTTGGACAACTCCCAGCACCGAGCTAGGAACCACAGATTCCGGGGAAATGTGAAGGATGATGGTTCCACCAGCAGTTCCAGACATTCTCCCATCAGAGAGTCGTAGCATGTCTGTTACGCCTTCGGCGGCCAACTTCCGAGGTATGGGGATGAGTCCAGCTTCTGGCATGCCTGGATTACCGATTGGTCCGATGCCTTGCAGCACTAAGACCGAGTCTTTAGTGACTGCGAGATCTGGGTCATCTAGACGCAATGCGAGATCTGCGGCGTTCTTGAATACGACTGCTGGGCCGGAGTGTTGGAGGAGCCTGCGGTCTTTCGATGCGGATGCTTTCATGACTGCTCCTTTGGGTGCCAGGTTTCCTCGGAGAACTACCAGAGATGAGTTCGGGTGTAGTGGATTTGATAGGGAACGGATGATCTCGGAGGAGAATGAGAAGGTCCGTAAGGGTGAACTGTCGAGGACTTCTCCTAATGTTTGGCCTGTGATTGTCATTGCTTGAAGATGAAGCAATGGGCGCAAAACATGCAGTAATCCTAGCATTCCGCCGGCATTGTGGAAGTCGGTCATGTAGTTATCTCCACTGGGCTTCAAATCAATTAATAATGGTACATTCCTCCCAATCTCGTCGAATGTTTCTAGAGTGATTTGCCCTTGCACTTTTGGATGTCTGTTAATGATAGCCATAAGATGGACGACAGCATTTGTCGAGCCGCCGATAGCTTGGAGAACGATAATTGCGTTTAGGAAAGACTCCTTTGATAGCATCTCTTGAGGTCTGCGCTTTGCATTCGCTACTGCAACGGCGTTTGCTCCAGTTTCCTCGGCTATTCTGAGACGAGCTGACGAGACAGCAGGAGCTGATGCTCCTCTGAGGGGCATAAAGCCCAATGCAGCCGTAATACAAGCCATAGTGCTTGCTGTCCCCATAACTCCACATGTGCCGATCTGTCTGCTGTCAGAGTTTGATCTGTTGAATGGACGTCGTGCTTACAGTCGGTGCCAATTCTTCATTCAACATACTTATGTCCTCCATGTCGATTGTTCCCGCTCTGTACGCAGCCCAGTTGTTTCTGCAATCCGTGCATGCACCAAGGCGTTTGCCTCTATAACTACCTGGCATCATTGGACCAGTGATCAGAGGCAATACGGGTTTGTTTGCAGAAGTCCCGCCCATCAATTGAGCAGGTACAGTCTTGTCACAGCCTAAAATTGTCAATCAACATAAGTTCCCCACTCTTGGATGGAGAGACCTACCTCCGATCATGATACACGCATCTAAAGGCTGTGCCTTAATCATTTCTTCAGTGTCCATGCTCATTAAATTCCTCAGAAACATGCTCGTTGGTGATGAAAATGACTCGGCGATGGAAATAGTTGGGAAATCAACGGCAAGTCCGCCCTGTAGATGGACGCCTCGTTTTGCTGCTTCGATGAGCTGAGGAACATTTGCGTGACATGGATTGAGAGCGGAATATGTGTTGATGATTCCGATGATGGGTCTGGATAGGGCATCTTCGCTATAACCAAGAGCTTTGATGAATACTTTTCTCAGAAAGAGAGAGAAATGCGGATCTCCATATGAAGTCAGCCCTTGCCGGAGACCTGAGGTTGAGTTGATAGGCTTCGAGAGATCGTAATCATTATTCTGTGGTTCTTTGGGCGCCGTACCTGATGGCTGAGCCATCTCGAGAAATGTCAAAGTGAAAATTTGGATCGGTGGTGAAGATATTTCGATAATGCAAGACAACTGTCAATTGAATGATCCTTCATGAGCTGGAGAGGTGTTGAGCAGTCCCAATACATAAGCGAGTCTGAGGGTCCACGGCTACGGATCCTTTTCCGCAACCGCTGGAAAATGCGGGGAAACGTCAAGATAGATCTGTCGCGGGCCAGCTTAGCCAGGAGAGAATTCTGGACTACTCAAAGGCATAGGAAAATAGCCCGAGATCTTTGGTGCCCACCGACAGGCAACATAATACTTACCTAGGGAGCATAACGGATCATGGTCCGTGGCGAACGGATGCTCTTCCGTCGCCCCTGAGTTGACCTCGCTTATTGAAAGAAGCTTAAATACCAACATTACAACGATTGGATGCTCCGAGAAGGGCTCTTCACGTTACACGAAGATTTCTTGGGACAATCTTACACTGGGGAATACGGCGACTCTGAAATGTTGAGACTTGAAGGAAAAGTCGTTCTCATCACAGGATTGGGACAGAGCGAACCACGAGGCTGGGGAATTGGTGCTGCGACGGCTGTTCTATTTGCTCGGCAAGGAGCCAAAATATTTGGTGGAAATCGCACGCTCTCTTCAACAATCACAACAAAGAAAGCCATTGAAGATGAAGGCGGTGTTTGCGATGTCCTACAAACTGATGTCACTTCAACAGCATCCGTTAAGGCATTAGTCGACGCCTGTATGTTGAAGCACGGCCGAATCGATATCCTAATCAACAATGTCGGCCGCTCAGAACCTGGATGTCCAGCAACGATGTCAGAAGAAATTTGGGACGCTCAAATAGACATAAATCTCAAGAGTGTTTATTTGACATGTCATTATGTGCTACCAATCATGGAAGCGCAAGGATCTGGAGCAGTTATCAGTGTTGCGAGTATTGCTGGCCTCCGGTACATCGGCAAACCTCAAGTTGGATATTCGGCGACAAAGGCGGCAATCATGCAATTCATGAAAGCTACTGCGGTTATTTACGCATCCAGGGGCGTGAGGCTCAATACGGTCGTTCCGGGTCTTATGGACACGCCTTACACGAAAGGCCTAGTCGCTAGATATTCAAAAGGAAAGGGTGGTGACCAAGAGAGCTTACAAGTAGAGTACATGGCCGTGAGGAATGAACAAGTCCCGATGGGGAGGATGGGTGATGCTTGGGATGTTGCTAATGCTGCTCTATTTTTGGCTTCTGATGAAGCCAAGTATATAACTGGCCAAAAGATTGTCGTTGATGGAGGAATCGTGAAATGACCCTACGGGAATTATTGTGCAGACAACAGCTGTAATTTGTCTGCATTTTGTCTCTATTTTCCGAAGTAGTAAAATGCAGATAAATTTCATACAAAGCCTGCAGTGATTTTGTCTAAAAGATACTGCCAGATCAGCAGACTAGGTAGGTAGAGTAGCTTTTAAGGTAGCTTAGACTTTCTATGTTCGAGTCAAACACGAAGTTAAACACAGACCTAGTATTACTCACGACACTGCATATACTTTCGGAGCACTCGGACAAGAGAAGAGCAAAAGAGAAGGGGAAGAGAGACCTACGTAGAGAGGGGAGACTTTACGTTGGAGGGAGACCTTGGATGAAGAGAGAAAGAGCAGGAAAAAGGAAGAAAAGTTAACTGTATGAGTCAAAAAAAACTACATAATCGACAGCTACTATGACATGGAAATTTGAGAAGCAGAAACACGTTCAATCGATGTTGCTCTGTGGTTGTCGTTGTAGCTGGGTTGAAGTGAAGCTACAGCAGAAGAGCACTCCACGCGTTCTAAGACAATCAATCCAGCACACTGTGAACCCACCCTTGGCATTGCTTCAGGGGATCCTGGGAAGGTCCAAGCCTCCAGAAAAGCTCAGGTCCCGCTGCCGGACCCACCTTCCGCCCACCAAGTCCCCTGTCATCTCACCGCCAATTCTTTCTGTCACCACACCCAACCACCCAGAAAGCTTCCTGTTTGCCTCTTTCTCGAGTGAACAAAAACCACTCCTCTTCCTCCTTTTTCCATTTTTACATTCAGTCCTCAGTCCTGGAATGCAACGTGAGCTAGGTGAACATTGAGCACTTCACTGTGCTTAATATTAAGATATATCACAAGACATGGCGTCCACGACCAAATACATCGATTACCCTACCCCGCCTCCTTCAAGCTCGCCTCAGTGCAAGGATAATTCCTACAAGACCCAACCTGCTCAAGAAACATATTTCCAGCAGCCTGCCATAGCCAGCTACTCCCAGCCAGCATCTCCAAACCACAGGGATACCCAACCTGCGAATCCAATTACACAAATCGTTGTACCCCAACAGCAATCACAGTACGAATACGTACCTCCCCAGCATTCCGACTTCCCCGGACAATCCCATGTCCAACAAGGTCCACAAGCACACGAGGATGTTGCACACCATGGCAGCAACAACGATTACTACACTCTCCCTGCCTCCCCTCTAGCTCAGAAACCCGGCCCACAGACAAATACATATACCCCACCAAGACGTCGTTCATTCTCCCCACCAAAGGGCAGGCATTCCCCTCGTCCAATATACTACTCGCCCACAAATCCCATCCCATCTCCATACAATGTGTCCCGCCCTACCCCTCGCCCAGGTTTCGTGCAACGCATGCTTGCGAGGATAGAGGGCTGGATCCGGGCATCGATGAGATGGTGCAACCGACACCCGATTGCTGCAGGATTGTTGACATTCATACCGGTTCTGGCTGGGGCGGGAATAGTAAGGGCTGCGAAGGGCTTGAAAACCAGAGAAATGCTCAAGAGAATGGGTGCTGGGCAGACGAAGAAGGGAGAGGCTGAGAAAGATTGGGCTTGGGGGATGGATCAGTTCGTTGGATTTGGTGGGAGTAAAGGTGGGCCTTTGGAAGGCATATTGAAGATTTTGCAGATGGGGATGTGAGTTTGTTATATTTTCTTACATTGTCACGTTTAGGGCTGTGGTGTCTGTTGGGTAGGCTCGTGTCGGGTTGAGAAGAAGGTGCTGACAGATTGTGAACAGAAATCATTACTGCCGACTCACGGCCTCATCAGTGCCAAGACTGGCGAGTATAATTCTTGAGCTCTATTTCTTGGAAATCAAGAAATGAGGGTATTTGTCTATCTGTGTATATCATGTATCATGATTGATGAATGATGAATGATCTAAATAAAGTGCCTTTCAGGCCAATGAGAACTACGCCGTACATTATCCCTCAAAACTGGGGCTCTGGCGAGTAGATCGTCCTTCTCTTGTCAGTATGCTGCCATCAGAAGTTTGGAAAGCATTGTCACTGTTACTGTGCTTAGGTACATAGGCTATAGTTGCGGCAAATATGCATTTCGAGAGTCAGCAGCGTGGCACTCAAAATTCGAGCTCTTCTTTGTCCTCCCCTTTCCAGAAATTGGATGTTTCTTCAATACAGTCACATGCATCATAGCCATGACTCGTGTACTCACTATGTGGTCTGCTCTCAGTCTTGTCTCAAGGAAACATTTCGATTCATCAAATTGTCTTAAACGACCGAGATGCTGAAAGTCTCAGTAGCCCCAAGGGCTTTATCCTGTTCTGTTGCTTGCTTGGAAACTATCCGTACTCTGCTCTAGGTGTCTCAATCTCACATGCCTCCTTGTGCGTTGCTTTCCGAACTTCGATGTTGAGTTGCAAAATGCTGCCTTTCCCGTTCGAGCAGTCACCTGAAATACCCACCTTACTTCTCAACAAGCCTGGTTTGTTGGAAATGGTAGCACCGGCAAGACCAGGAAGCCTTCGACGCTCGAGACGGCAAGATACTGAAATACTACGAGGCTTGACTGGCAATTTCTAGAAGCAATTGCAGAATTCTGACTCGATGTGTTGAACCTTGGCCCGAGCTCCGAGGCTGTCATCCTCAAGAACCAACCTCGGAGCTTGTGAAATGATGAAATTGCCCGTGAAACCTGTTGTGCTCATTCAAGTTCTGAAGGTATTGTGGTGGAACCCGAGTAACGTCTGAATTGGATAGAATTACATTTTGGATTCTGTTTCTGCTTCACTTCATGTGATGGTCACTGGTTGTGCTGTTTAGCTTTAGGTACCTGAATCATTGATAAGGTATCAGACGAATCAGAATATGCGGCCTTCAGAGGCTGGTCACCTCATTGAAAATGTTCTTGAGGTAGCGTACAGGCTTTGAAGCTTTCTGATAGTACTTATCTCTGTAGGTAGACAATCAAGCAGACCCACGTTGAGCCGTTCCCCCTTTTTTCGGGTCGCTAATCGTCGCTAGTAGTGGTAAGGGTTTACCCCATTGGAGCGCAGACACAAGCCTCAACAAGCCTAGTCAGGGGCATGGGCTTTCCCCGGCAAAGAGAGCGGAGCGTGTCGCAGATATGCCAAGCCAAGCTGCAATCCAATCTCCCTCACCTTTCATATCGTCCCCCCCGCCGCCCATCGTTTGATCTTCCAAACTTGCCGAGTTCACGACTCCTTCACCCACCGCATCGACTGCGTCCCCTCCGTGCACTCGTGCACTTTACACTCATTTCTCCACGGGAATACACTCATTCTTTTTCTTCGCCAACTCGCGAGACGCGTTGTGCGCAAAGTCACTCTCTTAACACACTGCGATCCCCATTCCAAGTCCACGCTCCTTCGCCATGCAGCTCCTTTCCACCCTCTTCCTGGGAGCTTCTGTGCTCGTCGCATGTGTTTCTGCTCAAACAGTACGTAAATTGGCAAACATATCGCGATTTATATGCGCCCGATCACCTTCTATTTCCAAGATCAATTGCCGATTATCCAGCAATGCTAACTTTGGCTCTCCTAGTGGACTGATTGCAACCCCATGAACACGACTTGCCCAAATGACCCAGCCCTTGGGATCAGCCATAATTTCGTCTTCAACACCTCGTCCACCGTATCAGATTCGTTCAATGTCACTTCTGGAGCTCTTGTCTATGGTACCGATGGAAGCGAATACACGATCAACAAGCGCAAAGACTCGCCGACTATTCAATCCAAGTTCTACATATTCTTCGGCTCCGTCAGTGTTATAATGAAGGCGGCCAAGGGCCAGGGAATCATCTCCTCGATCGTACTCGAGTCCGACGACCTCGATGAAGTGGACTGGGAGTTCCTCGGCGGCAACGGCACTCACGTGGAGACGAACTACTTCGGAAAGGGCAACACCACTTCGTTCGATCGAGCTATATACCACCCAATGAAAACTGATCCTAGGGAAACATTTCACAACTATACCATCCACTGGACTTCCGACAAGCTGGAATGGTATATAGACTCCGAACTCATCAGGACTCTTCCTTATGCCGCTGCGAATGGCGGACATAATTATCCCCAGACCCCAATGACTGTTCGCCTGGGAATCTGGGCTGGTGGTGATCCAGACAACAGCAAAGGGACCATCGAATGGGCTGGCGGTTTGAGTGATTTTTCTAAAGGCCCTTACACTATGACCGTCAAGAGCACTGATGTGGCCGACTTTTCGACTGGCGCCAAAGAATACGAATGGAGCGACAAGTCTGGAAGCTGGCAAAGTATCAAGGCAATCAGTGGAAATTCAACTGTTGCCAAAGCAATTGAGAAGACTGAACATCCCGAGCCTTCACTTTCAGAGAAGTTTGCAGCTCTCCCCCAGAGTACCAAACTCGCTGTCTATGCGGGCAGCGCTGCTGCCGGTGCTCTTCTTATCGGCGCATTTCTCTTCACCTGCCTTCGCCGACGAAGGCAAGGAAAGAAAGAAAGAGCAGACTATAATGCAAAGATCGAGAGAGAGCGTGCAGAGGAGTACAACAATCAAGTCGAGCTGCGCGAAAAGGGACTTGGAGGGTGGGACAAAGGAGCCTATGAAACACAAGGGGATGATGCCCTTGGTGGATGGGGAGGAACCTATGTGCCACAGGGGACCAAGGCAGCTGATTTCCCAGAGCCGAAGGATTCAGCAAACGTGGTCGCAAAAGAACTGCCGTCCCGAGTCACCAGCCCCATTTCGCGGAACCAAACACCATCGCTTGTCAGCCCTATACCGCAAAGTCCAAGGGCTTGGAATGGAGGTAACTCAGGTGGTTTGATCAATGGTGCAGGCAACGCTTACACGGGAGGATACGGAGGCTCAAATAACATCCCAAGGAGTCCCTCATTCCCGGTCACTTCACCATCACCATCTCAGTCAAGGGGATATCCAGGTGGGTATACGAACGGTGGTTATCAGCGATTCTGAGATGATATTTTTTCCTTATGATTTGGGCCGGAATGGAGTTCACGGATCACAGGGTTCAATGTGTCTTGGGCGGGCGTGCGTAAATGCATATGACTGGACGGAGACTCTTCGACAGCTGGTCTGGCTGGAGTCCATATGCATGGTCCTACGCAACCCAGTTGGCCATTGTATGTAAATAGGTCGCTCATGATATCCAGTCAAATACAACGCTTTTCCTACGGACCGCCGCCTCGTGTCCTAGGAGTTCAGAACACACGTTCCGGCCGCCAGACATGCCGACTTCGCGCATAGCATGCCTTTTATTGACATATCAGAATGTCACAGAAGTGGTGTAAGTGGCAAAAGGACAAAAGTGCGGTATTGTGGTCAGTGAAGCCTTCCACGATTCGATATAAATACTGAAGTTGACTATTATCAATGAAGCTGTACTGCCATTTGTACAACTAATCTGCATTATGTGGATACTTAACTGGTGTTTTGCCCTTGGATTGCGATTCTCTCCTCTGTGCCCTCAACTCCCCAGCCACATGGTCCAGACTGGCAGCCGTAACCGCAATGGGCCTTTGTTCTACCACAATACCCAGATGCGCTACAACAGCTTCCTTGAGGCCACAACCCGCAATATGTGCCTGTGTTTGCGACGCCGCAGGTTCCGTCCGTTGTTTCACCGCCGATGTCACAGTCCCCCGACTGACACCCACCTCCGCAATAAGCAGACCCACGGCCGCAGAAGCCACTACTAAAGTACACACATATGATGTTAGTAAAGACCTGGGTTTCAAGAGCTTTGCTTAAAGGCTCAAGTTGTCGGACGGACAGTAGACTTACCTGGAGCAGCAGTTGCCGTTGGGGAAGCTTCCGCAAACCGTGTTTCCATTAGCTCTACCGCAACTCCCATCTGTGGTGTTAGTGGGCTCCAAGCCACTTGTAAACTCGTCAGCTGAACTGTCTAGGCTGTTAAATGGGAACCGCGGAGTTACCTTCCAGCTCCCGAGTAGAAATCGATACTCCAAGTCATAGTCCCTCCAAAACACTGATTATCTGCCCAAGCCTTCTTCTGCTTTATGGTATCAGCATCATCGTACCCAATCCATTGATCATCCCAGGTAATCTGCTTCATCATCGAATCGGGCAGATTTTTGGGAGTCAGCCCTTTCTTCTTGATGAGCTGTTCGATCTCAACTAACGACAGAACCCCCAAGGAGTTTGTGCAGACGCCTCGCTTACTAGGACCGCTGAACGGGCAGTTGAGATCTTTGCAGCTGGAGCTGGTAAGGGTGTACCCACGTCCGTACAACGCGAGCCCAAAGTTGATTTTCGAGAGGTCTAGCTCGGCGAACCACAAGGGAACAGTGTTATTTGCGATGTCGCGGATATCAGCTTGGCCACGAACGATGGAACCTAAAGTTTTGACATCCGTGTCCCAGAAGCCGTGGAGGTCTGTTGGCGAGTGAACATTGGTTAGCTGTAAGTAGCATCATGGAAACATCCCATGTCACGAGAATCGGGATCACTAACCATATGCCATAAATCCAAAGAAGTCTACTGAGCTCTCCATAGCCTTGGCGTCGAAATAACGCAGATACCAATAATCCGGCGCTAAAGTCATGCTGATGCCAAACCTGGTGCCGAACTTCGCACGCATCTCTACCATTAACGATACCAGATTTTGCGTGTCTTGCGGGTTACCTCCACGGATTGGCTCGACGGGGTACTCCCAGTCGATATCAACGCCCTGGAAGCCGTATTTGGTCATGAAAACTTCGAGTGAATCGATGAAAGCCTTGCGGTTGGCTGGAGTCGAAGCCAGCTTGCTCCTGAAAAGCTGGGTATCAGCTTGCAGGTTGGGAACGAGATTATTATGGATCGGACAGATAGAAGTACGTACCATGTTCCATAGGTAGGTTTACCCGGATCGCTGAAATCGAAGCCTCCTACTGCTATCCAGCTGAACAAAGAGATAAGTTGTTAGCAAAACATGCTACTTTCAAGATGATCAATTCTGGTTTTCGAAACTTACGTTTGTAGCCCGCGACTACGTAATGCGGTGAACTGGGTATACAGAGCCACATCCCCCTGGTCCGCAGGTACCACAGCAAACGTGCTCGGGTTGATAGATGCAAAAGAATAGTAGAGGTGAGTGTACCCATTGGGAAACATGGTACTGGGTCCTGTAGCAATATCGCTAGGGAGGATCTTATTACACAGGCGTTCGCGGCTGTTGGAACCTTGGTAATATCCAATGGTCCGTCCGTTTGTTTTGCCGCTCCCGGCGCCGCAGGTACGGCCTTTCTTCACTTCGCAGGAGCCAAAGCCTTTTTGACAAGGCAGTGAGTTGTTTATCGGGTCGGCATTGGTGCAGTACGTGTCAGTGGTCTAAACAGTATTTAGTCGGCTTGTTCTGAGATCTCGCGACCGTGAAATGTCAAGCGGCAGGAGAGGGTAATTACTCCACACCAGCCAGTCGCAGAGCAGCACAGGTTCATGCCGCATTTAACTTTGCTGTCCTTGCTATAGATGCCACACATAGCAGTTGCTTCGCATCCACCAGTACACTTCAAAGACAGATGAGAGTCAGCGTATGACCATCAACATTTGTCAAGACTGAGGACAAAAGAACTTACATTTCCTTTGCCACAGAAGGTCGGGCCATAACCGCATATGCCTTTATTGCTGCAGCAACTTGTAGAGCATCTGATGTTAGAATACTTTATTGAAACCATTTTCACCCTTAAGAGAAGACTGGGGAGATTTCTGGTTCACTTGCTTACCTTTTATCGGCACAGGTGCCATCAGCAAGACATTTTGTTGCATCACGGCGGGCAAGTGAATGAGCCGGCAGAGCCATAGTGTAATCGGCGTCGACATTGTGTATCGCATGTGGCGGGAAACGCTCAGGGTGTTGATGCGTCACAGCTTGGTTATAAAAGCCCTCGGAGCGTGGATAGAAGTCGAAATGGGATGCATCGTCTGAGAACCTGTCAGAAGCTTTTTGGTACCGCAATATGTCCCGACATACCAATCTCAATCTCATCTGAAGTAGCAAAACTTGGTAAAGAAGATACTTCAAGATTCTGCAAACAGGAGCTGGCAAGCAGCAAGACGGAGAAAAAAGCAATTGTGCTTCGTAGAATGGTCATTTTCGATGGATTTTGAGTTGCGAGATGCAAAAACTGCTCTATGAGAGTGAGAAACGGGAGTTCAGAAATGTCATATAACAGCCTGAGTACCTTGATAAATTTGTCATCAAGATCCCCTCCCTTTGCTATGAGTCAGATGAGAAGTACGACCCTGTTACGATCCAAGATATTCTCTCCGCGGAATCAATAAGTCGGGACGAACTCATCTTCAAGAAGGGATATTTAGCGAATGAATCAATTGAGTTCGGAAGACCCTTGCTAGCGACGGATGCGGCCGCTGTCATCTCGTATTTCAAGAGCTTGTTTGGGAATCTCCACGCAGGCGGATGATATTCGGGCGTCTGGAGAGCCCCAGTGGCCATGAAAGTAGTCAGATGTAAAAATTAAAGTCCCATAAGACTTGAGACTCTCATAGGCTGTCTCGTCTAAAGTCTGGATTTTGCACTACCTAAGGTTGCATTACCTACAACACGCCCTTCATGGTGGAGTAGGTATTAGCAACAAAGTGGAGTTTTGCCGGTAAGCATAAGGTGCTGCAGACAGCCTCGGGTCTTTGCCCGGTCCATCGTCAAGGTTCTCTGCCACTTCGTTCCTATTTTTCTGGGATTTGTAAGTTGTATCTTTGAGTAAGCCGCATTAAAAGGGAAATGGATTGATTTAGACCAACTTTTCATCCTTGCAGTTGCATACGACAACAAAATCAATAACAACCCGTTCAACGCAACCTGGTTATACGGAGACAATCTACGAAGCAACGAATCCCAACGAGTTTAGGAACGGATCTGATTTCCTAAAAAAAGTCGGTGAGAGTTCGAGATCGGCCATGACCATAATCGGCAATTCAAGGGATTCACTTGTCGAATCTCATATAACTGCTAAAAGTCTGTGAACATCCTGCCTGTAAAGCTAGGATTGTTCCATTCAAGTCGATCTTGAGACTTGGGAGTTAAGCCAGACGAACACACGTGATCCCTTTCATTCGTTCCTCCCGGAGCGTCGACATCAACTGATCGTTGTATTCAACATGTATCCCGCAAAAATTGCAGGCTTCGCTTTGCTATGGTGTAAGTCTGGCCCGTGACTGTTTGAGCTTTCGACAAATTGCTAACCAAAATCCATGAAGACGACTCATTCACGCGATTTACCAGTCCCCCGGAAAGGCCATTTCGCTACTGGGATGGCATTAAGAAATATGACCCCAATAAAAACAATCTTGAGCAACAATTCTATGATACAAACATAGAATTGACGTACATGAAGTCTTACCCGCCGTCTGCGCCAGGAAGCAATCCAGATCAGCTGTTCATCACGCCGCAGTTCAAGGATGGCCAATGGAAGTCCGCCCGTCTCGAGGGTAAAGTGGCCCACAAATGCGAGCAGGGCAAGGCCCTCATCTTGCAAGCCGAACTTCAAGTAGGCACTGCATCGTCCGACAAGCAAGCCGGCGTCTGGCCTGCCTTCTGGGCTCTGGGTGAGAGTCTGCACAAAACAGGAAGTGAAAAGAGGGATTGGCCACTGTGCGGAGAGTGGGACATCTTTGAAACTTCTGACGGAAATGACTGGAATCTTGCTTCAGTACATTGGGCGTCCCCGGCTTCTCCTGGCAGCTCAAAGAACTTCCCAGAAGGCATCGAGGACAGGAATGTTGACCAATTTTCGCACAAATACGATCATACAGTATGTTCATCTGTTGTTCAAACATATCCCTGTCTGGCAATCAGGGATATTATCCTTTGTTCATGATCCTCACTTCCCAGAAAGACATGTACCAAATATCATCTAATGTTTTGATCAGAAGTTTCATACATGGGCGATCCAAGTTGATCGTAGGACGTCCAATTGGAAAGATGAGACTTTAAAATGTACGTACACTGTCCTTGGAGTTCACCCAGACGCCTTGAAATATGTTCTGACTGGGACTTCATAGTTATGATGGACGGCGAAGTATATCGCGAGATCAAAGGGAGTGATATCAAGATTGAGGAAGAGTGGGCGATACTTGCGCATGAGGCCTATTTTCCTGTTCTAAATGTCGCTATTGGGTCGAATTTCCCACGATCTGCTAAGACTCCTAACACGAAGAATCCTACGACTGGGCTTGATATTGGCATGACAATTAACTATGTGGCTTTCTATGAGTCAGAGTAAAATTTTGATAGTTTTCAAGACCGTTTACAAATGTACTGAGTCTGGTTGTTGACATTTAAATTGTTCCCACAAATGCTCCTATGAGATTAGCTCCTCGTTGGGATATTTTCCCAGGGAGTACTGAAATTCTCTTTGCACAGTTGAAAACAATAAGTCTTAGATGTTCATTCCCATGGAAGATAGCCTGCAGATTACAAACGCCCATTGACAACCATGTCTGAGCAGTATTTTTGTTCTCCATGGAAGCGAGACGTTTCCAGGTCGTCAGCTAGAAACTCGGTTGACCCTATTTGTCAACGCCGGCATCCTTAAAACTGGACACACGATAGACGAAGCAATGCGCAATTGGGTCGGTTCTCGTATCAGAAACCCTTGTCAGACGCCTCAATATGCTCATCACTTTACCCATACAATCAGCTAGATCACTTTGGCTTTGTAATTCCCCATTCCGTAGATCGAGATTTTCTTCCTCGAGACCCCCTGACGAGAAAGCTTCTGCTTCCGTGGCAAGGCACCGCTAGACAGTGGACTGCATATGCAGCTTACAAGCTTCTGACCAAATTTTGCAGCCCCCAATATCTGACTTCGACGAATCCAGAACTTCATCGCGTATGTGCAGTTCTCACCGCAGAAGTGCGCACGTTGTCAGCAATTCGCAATAGGCAATACCTCCATTTACCTAGGTAACTATCCTGTACCAGACAAATTTTCTGTCATGAATCTGGCCCACTGACATGCATATTAGACGCACCAGCCACTCAAGCTGTGCCGTACCCCAGAAATCATCAGCCCGCCCCAATAGAACCGGCGATATTCCCATTGATCATATGCAAGTGACATCTGATGCTTGCTTCTTTACCTTGATTCTGGTCTTTTGAAAGCTCCATGCACGTTCAATGGTCAGCCTCTTTGTCTCGGAATCTACTACATTATTGACGTAAAATCAATTATTTCTAAGAGATCTTTGAACATGTGAGAGCTTTCCTCCGGTTTCCTTAACTTGGAAGTTGGAAGTGGCCGAAAAAAGCTTTCATCTACCGTGGCCAAGAACAGGGGTTGAGCCTAGAGCGGCAGCTCTACCTGGGTAGCCCCGTTCCTTTGAGAGGCACAGCGGAAACTAACAACATGCAGTTAGAGAAGTCGGCATTATTCAAGGTGCAGTTCAGGGAATCGATGAGATTTCAGTCAATCATTGGGGTCACGGTGTGAACGTGGACTCCATGCCACGTTACAATCAGCTGAACAGTCTAGAGCCATTTCAGTCATGATAATTACCGAGAATCACAGCATGTACAAATACGCAGTCTCGTCCATCCTCCATCATACCCACATCACTTCTGTGTTTCAACTCTTCAAGCAAACACCACGCTCTTGAATCTCTCCAGCATCCTTGAAAATGTATCCCCAAAGCCTTTCCTCCTTGCTCTTTGCTCCTCTTCTCCTCCAGATCATTCTCGTCGGGGCACAGCGCTCTCCAGATGGGACCTGTGGATTGATCAAAGCTGGCAACAACAACGGATACAAATGCCTCTACGATAAGCCTTGCTGCAGCTCAAGTGGTTATTGTGGAACGGGGGATGCTTACTGTCTGACTTCGACGGGATGTCAGTCTGCATTCTCCTACCAGGCCAACCCCGAGACGCCTAGTCCACCTGCCTGCTATGCACCTATCGATGGCCAAACACTCTCGCCCGATGACACTTGCGGCAAGACTGGTGCTGGTGTCTTTGGTTACCGATGCCACGAGCCGCTGCGTTGTTGTTCTCAGTAGTAAGTCATTCAGTACTAGTCTAGCTCCAATCTACAAGGGCCGGTGATCAAGAAGAATTCTAATGAGTTCCGTAGTGGATACTGTGGCAACACTGTGGATTATTGTCAGAAAGTAAACGGTTGTCAGAAGGGCTATGGGTTCTGTGTTCCAAATGATGCTTAGTTGGACTTGATGATGTGTTCTGGTCAAGCCTGTTTGGCATTTGAAGCGAGGACGTAAAAAATGAAAAGGCGCCTAAGAGGCCAGATGGAAGATCAGCGGGGCCGTTTTTGTGTGTTGATTCAGCCAGGGAAGACCGCTCATCTTCCCCATTACGCACACTGCTACTAGAGCTTCAACACCATCACTTGTGATAGCCAGCTAATGACCTGATTCTCCGAATAAACTTGAAGGACATTTGGTGATGGCTCTCGCTTGTAAAGATGTCAAGCAAGTTTATGGGCTTCTTGATTTTCACATCGCGAGAGAGACAATCCCTTGAATATTGCACACTTTTTTGTACGTGACATTGTCTTTCTTGAGATTTCCCAGGGATTATCTTGGTGTGTGCCTTAAAATGGTGAAATACCGAATAGAGTTTGTCGATTCGGTATGGCCATTTGCGAAGTCTTGTCGCCGACATAGCCAGCAGTTTTACTACGTAGAAGTAGGACCACGATTGGTCAACTCTTAAGACAACTGAGGGCAAACAAAGAAGCGATAACTATCTTTATTATCTAATCCATCAGATTCTCGATCATACTCTGACTTAACATAGTATGCAGCCTTTGCTCGAAGACTTTCCCTAAACCTGGGACCAAATCCGACATCGAATCAAAAAGATCTTTCATGATCAGACCAGGTACCACAGGCTTCAAGACATCATCAAGCGGCACACCATTCACCTCAAATGAAGCTTCAGCATCCTTGTTGGACAACTCAGGTTCCAAAGCTTTGTCCTGCTTGTTGGCGCTGGAGCCGAAATATTTTCGGAACCTTTTCCCCTTGGCAGTCTTATCTTGCCTCAACTTGTCCATTTTCAGGCCGAGAGCTTTGTATGCAGGGAATTCGTACCAGAATCTTGCACCCTCGAAGTTGCCATCGAAGAAACGCTCATAGTACCACACTAAATCTTCCTCCAACCAGCCTGTTGTTGTCGAGGAAGACCAGTGGAAGTCCTTCGGCTCGTTGCTGGCTCCAAAGGAAAAAGTATGAACGAAGAGAGGAACTTTACATCCAGTACCACAGTTTCCTGGTTCGAACATATGTTTCATGTATGCTTCGAGGTCGAAGTCGTCTTTGATATCGTCCATCGCTTCCTTGAACTGTCCCCAACTGTCCCAGGGAAACGTTTCGTCGCCCAGTATACCTTTCCATCTTTCGATGGAATCTTGCCCTGACTGTGTCGAATATTGCCAGATGCTAGTGTCCTTGACACCAGCATTCTCAGAAAGCCTGTGAAGATGTTCAATTTGCTCTGGTGGCACGGCTAAACCAGAGGGTAGCTTGAAGTCGGAGATTTTGGATTCCATCTGCGGTATCCAGGTAATATCCTGTGGACTGTCTTGTGTCATGGCTTCTAGTAAGCACTTTTCGCAATAGCAGTCATCTTCTTGAGCTTTCACGCACGATTTACGCATGTCATCAGCTCTTGAAGAGAATGCACTGTCCAGAATCTGTCCCTGATTATCAAGAAGTGCCGGAAATAGTCGTTTAGACCCAATAACAAACACAGCCTCGCGTATTGTATGGATGTTGAGCTCGACCGGTGGAGTAGTGATACGTATCATCAGTGGCTGACATATTTCATCGTTTATCGGGGCTCTGCCAAGTCCCACTCTTGTGTGCCCGAGAATGGCCAAAACTCCTCCTTCTTGATCAACGACAGACACCTCGCACTGCGAGTCAAAGCCCTGGCCACACGTAGAGCAGCAACAGCCGTCAGGTATGAAGGTCAGATATTGTCGTTGCGTCAAGGACAGTCCTGGGAGGGTGTATGTTGTGCTTTCCACGGCCCCATCTCTCGTTAGGCGGTATGTACACAGGACTCCGTCCCTCACGTCAACCGATACCGGAGAATCACTGACCAGAGTGGCTCCAACAGTTGCTCCTTCTTGAAGGTCACAAAGAATCACGCCCCACAGATTCTTACTTCTCTGTAGACTCATCAGGTCATTCTTGAAGCTCTCTTGGGCTTGCACAAGAACGTAGCGGCCATCGTTTGAGAAGGAAATAGCATGTGTCGATTCCACATCGATGCTGAGAGACTCTAGTGAAGGTTAGCGCTACTCTTTTGGGGTAGGAGTTACAAGACCTACCTGCAATTGTCAGAGGTGCTCCATACCCTTCGATGTTGGAGATCCTTAGCCTATGTCCGGGAAGCAGCCAAGCTAGGAGTGGGAGTTCTTGGTGTAGAGCCCAGGCCGTCTCTGGGAGTCGTTCCCTACTCCCGGATATATCACCTCCAGTGGTTGTATGCAACATCCAACTGATGTCTTCGGTCTCCTCGTCATATACGAACAAACACACCTCAAATTGAGTCGCCTCTCTATGTTCAAACTGCTCCGAGCTGCTTTTGAGCTTTCTGGAAACCTGGAAAACATGTTGACTATCCTGGAGAGAAGTGTCGCCTTTGAAGATGAAACAATCTGCGTCATCTTCGTGCACGGTACTCATGTCCTCGAAGTTCATTTGAGACTCTGTGAAAATAACATATCGCGGTGTAGCCGCGTTGTGGATAACCGCAACGGCAGTTGTTTCTGTGATCGGCGTCTTAAGAGGGTGAGAACCCAGGCGGAAACGTTCCATGGCACGATGAAATAGAGAATCACCTGCGTTATTGACCAAAATAGAGTGGCTTTCATCATCATGCGATACCTCTAGCTCAAGGAATCCAAGGGATATCGAATTCTCGTCTGAGGAGCAAGTAAGCTGACTTTCAATTCGTGGCTGACAAGTCATCGGTGATGGGGAATATGTGACAGAGAAGTTCCTCGCTTGTTCCTCCCCTGCTAAGAGGCAAGAAATGGAAATATCGTAAGTGATGCTCTGGCAGACCTCAGACTCTGCAGTCATATCTGTCGATCCATCTATTAAATTGTCCGTGTTTTTGTTTGCTGCATAAACTGATATACGAATGTGGAAAGTAGCAGAGCCGGTTTGCGACCTTACGAGAGCACAAAAGCACTGAAGAGGGTGCGCTTTGGCTGAGATGGTGGGAGGCTCAGAAACAATGTTACTGTTTGTGTTTGGTCGGCTCAACGTCTTCAATTGTTCATGGTCGAGCTTGCTTATCGAACCGTGTTGGTATATTGTCGCCTCATGGAAAGTTGGACTCCAAGAGAACAACTTAATTCCTGATGCTGCTGAGCTGCTGAAACTACACTCTTGTTAATATAGATATGCGAGGCAGGGAGGTGAATCAGTACTTGAAGGTATTTGCAAGAAGTTGGAACTTCAATGCTGGGTTCTTCCCAAACCCTCTCTGGGAGTCCTTTGATTCGAACAGCAGCAGATGAGATTCTGCCGGATTCAGAGCCTTGTTCGTTCGGACATTACCTGAAAGCTTCCACTTTGCAGGCACACAAAGGAGAACTCTGTTTACGTCGCTCTCCATCAATGCTTCTGGGCCAAATTCAGGTTGAAAGGTGTACGGAAAGAAGTTCCAATGTTGTAGCTTATTGACGAAGTTCCGATCAAGAAGCAGTAGAGGCGTCCATTCTCCATCACGACAGTCCCAAACGCCGATTGATGCTTCTTGGATAGTCGTCGCAGCACTCCGAGCTTTCGTTCTCCTCGCCACTGGGGCAAGCTCTCTTCTGGTCAGTAGCAAGAAACGGCCATGATTGCTGACAGCTAGAAGATGAATCACCCCAGTGAATCTAACGTTTCGGGACGGTCGTTCCACGGACTTGGTCCTGGCATTGCCAAATTCGAAGAATTGAACGATACAGTCACCCTCAATATCCCGAAGGACTGTCACAAAGGTTTTGAGGTCCTTGCTGACCTTACCGCCTTGGTGCAGATGACCTAATGCCATCTGCCAATGCTTCTGGAACCGTCCAGAATCCGTATCAAAGGTACCGAAAGCGGTTATGAGCTTTGAAGAATCATCTGAGAACTGGAGAACATCTACATCGTCAAGATCCCATCTCATTGTTTGAGTGCCAGTTGCAACTATCGGACTCGTTGCCCAGCTCGGAATGCCAAACAAGTGTGTTCTAGCGGGTCCTGTATGGCGTATTTCCAGCAAGCAAATCACAAACTCTGCTGCATTTACTCCGACTGCCATGTGAGCTAAGATTCCCGATAGATCAAAAGTTAAGGATGCATCGTCCAATGCCCACTTAAACCCTGTCGTTGCCATGTTTAGGCAAAGACGTCGCCCTTCTCGTATCTTATTCGCAACGGGATTTGTTGATGGGCCAAGTGCTTCAAAAATAACAGCTAGGTACTTCCCCTGCGGGCATAACAAGCCTCTTCGCACTACTAACGGTCCTTGAACTTTAGGTGGAACAGGCACAAGGACCTCTGCCGTCATCAAGCCAGTTTTAATGTGGTAGCAACTGATAAAGGGCGCTTCGAATGTGAAAGCGAGATCCTTTTCGAGATCCGTAGCAAAGCAATCCTTTGGCCATATAATAGGCTCGGAACGCTTGGTACTGATTGGCTGCACACTGAACTGAATTATAGCTTGGTCACTGTCGTTCTCTTCGAGGACAGCTCGAAATGAACTAGATGTTGGAAGTAATTGCTGATGCAGAAAGTGGATCCAATCAGGTTGGGTCGCAATAACCTTCCCCCAGTCCAACATCAGGTCGAGAAAATGTTTGATCCATGATTGAATAACAGGTTCCGAATCGGTCAAAGCCCAAGATCTGTCTGATACCCAGCTTTGTAGGCTATCTACAACATCGGCTGTCAAAGATACACTGTCTTGTCCATCGCGAGAAATCTGAGACATGATGACGGCGGTTTTTAGCCAGCGAATGAAGGATTTTGACAGCAGAAACCGCCGAACTTGGACCTCCAACTGCTGATCTCGATCTTTGTGGCATTTTTTAAGATACTTGTACCCTGACAAGCAATAAAGTCAGCGTTTTTGGAAACATTCAGATGTGAAGGATTTTAATATAGACTGTCAAGTCATCCGGCAGGGACGTACAATTTGAAATAGCGAAATTATATACTCCACGACCATTTTTGTTGGCGCAACCCTGAATAGTTTCTCGGGGATTCTGTGTTATAGGCGATGTGAATGATGGCAGGTCCGGATACTCTAGAAACGTTAATAACTTGCTGGCTATCAGTGAGGGCCCGCTTCGGATGTTCAAGGGATCTCCAGCCTCTGCCTCGGAGTCCAAAAAATCTGTTACTGTTGGGTGGATAAATCTCAACTGTTCCATGTCGCCAAATGATTCTACCAGCTGTCCGCAGGTGTGCTCAATGAAGGTATCGCAGCTGTCTAAGATGACGTGATTTTCATCGTACTCGCCTTCTCCGATTGTGAGTGCGCTTCTAAACTCATCCCAGGTCAATCTTGGGCTTGCCCAGAATATCCAACTGAATGCTTCAGGTCCCCTTCGAGATCTTATGGGAAGTTGAAGTTGTTTTCTGTAGCCGTTGAACAGGTCTGCCGGCAAATTTGCCAGGGCGATGTCAACATCTGCAATTGATGATATGGCTTCCCCGTTGAGATCTTCCAGAGCAAGACTTGCATACAAGAACATGCCATGGGCTCGGTTGCACACAGACTTGACTATCTTGTCTCGTATGATCTGTGACGACGACAGAAACGAGGGACCGGTAGACACATGATATGACACGAACTCCGCCAGGTCTTGTCTAGTTAGTTCTGTTGTAATTTCTAGTTGGATGCATCCCACACTGCTCTTTGCCATGGAAGCTTGTATACTTGTGCTTTCGAAAACATCTCGACGATCTAGCCTGGATGAGAGTAGAAGGCCACAATGAGCCTTCGAGGCAAGTGTCGTTGTGACTTTGATCAAGGATCGTGCACAAATCACTGGCTGCTCACAATTGTCAATTCCGTCAACAACAATAAACGTTTTCTGGTCGTGCATGCCGAGAACGGTTCGTAGAAGACGCCAAAGATCCCCTTCAATCTTGCTTATATCGTGAACTTTCGGACCCAGATGGGCCGAATAAACTTTCTTGACCTCCGTAATCATCTCCGGGGTTGCCCAAGCCAGCGTATGGGCAAGAAGTACTCTGACTATTGCCATTGAACTATGTTTCTCAGGATCTTGACTGCAGTAGCAGTACAAAACTTTCATGGAGCTGCCAGCGGGATGGGAGATCCCCAGATCATGTATTATGGATGCCATCAAAACTGACTTGCCACAGCCAGGCGATCCTTTAATCCTCAGTATCGCGGAAGAGTCTCCTTTCGCAAATTGCTTGTACTCAGCTGCCTTGAAGAACCATTGGCAAGAATTGTATGTCGTTTCCGAATTTTGAAACCTTTTTCGCAAGTACGCCTCATGCTCGGTTGCTGTTTTCGACATTGACAGCCCGTCTGGCAAAAGCCAGCCACACAAGATCGTTTTAGGCTCCGAGCTTCTTTCATCTTTTGGGGACATCAGTGACTTGACTGCTTAGACATGACTTCGAAGAACACTAACTGTTTCGATTATCTGTATACTGAATTTGCTGCAGCATTTGGGGCGGGGATTCAGTGGTGAGATCACCCCGCAACTGGATCTCGACTGCGGAGACATCTCTAAGTGCTTCTTCCACAGCCTGCACAGCCTGTTGGGTTGCAAACGAAGTAGAAGCTAGCAGCAAACCGATTTCTTGCAAAATATCCGCTGTAAGTTCTTTCACTCGGCTTCCCTGTCCTATCTTCTTTGCCGCGGAGAGATATTTCTCGACTCTCGATGTGCCATCTTTTGGGAGCGCTTTTGCGAATATGTCAAGCAATTCTTTTGCGCTCAGCTCACAGCGAGAAAGTACTGTTCTAAAAGCATCACGAGTGACCTGATCAACATGTGGCTTCTGGATGTACCCATTGGCTTGTTGCAGGATGAGGACTACGATCGGGAGCTTTGCAGTAACCTTGTGGAATGCTTTGGGCAAGCCACTGGCGTCGTTCGCTGTCTCGTATATGTGTTTTGTTGCAGTGACGATGGAGATGATCGAAGAAATGATCCCGAGAACAAGACTTGCTTCTGCAATACCGGACATGGCTAAAAACACACCAAGACCAAGATCATGACATGCCAATGCCAATACCTAAGCTACATTAGACAGATATCTTAAAGTTAACTTTACGGGGCGGTACTCACAGAAACTCAAAAGAAAGATACAGTATCGAGAACACGAAGATGGCCGAGGGCATCCAAAGGTCTCTTTCGTAAGAAGAGAAGACTGCAGGCCTCCACACACCGAGAAGGTGTGGGCGGCTTTCAGCCTCGAGCTTCGACAGGGGAACCTGCATGGAAGGTGCAGAACTGACCACACAGCCACAAGCAACCAGCGTCATATTGATGCGATATGCTAAGAACCTTGAATGGATCTCTTGGAATCCTCAGGTATCTCGGGTATCTCTGCCAGCCACGTCTGAACAGCGCATATGGTGGGGATGCTGCACATGCTAACGAATCCTAGATGTCAGAGGATGAGGATAGAGGACGAGAGCCTGGAACAGCAAGATCAACGTGATCCCTGTAGGATAAACCATGTCCACGTACAGGCTCGGACAGGCTCGCAGCCAAGGCAGCCTCGAGAGAGCAATCGATACGCTGCTGATTGGCGCACATGCTACTCTATCTGCCCTACCTCACCCGTCCTAATCGCTCAGCTGGAGAGCCCACACGAGCCACTGCTGTCCAGTCCAATCCACTCAGTGAGCCGCCGCAATCAGCGCCCATGGATGCTGCTGCCAGACTGGTGCGGGACCCAGGCCCGTGCCGCACGGATGTATCATCCTAATGTATTTTCAAGTTAATAGGCAAGGTAAGCAGGTAAGGTAGGTAGATACCTAGATAGGTAGGGTCGCATGAAGACTTCTGTGACTTCATGAACGCGAGGAGAACGTATTCTATTCTCTCTCAAACCACATCAGCCCGTCTCTGATAACGTAGTGCTGCAGCTTCTTGGCGTTGCACTCCTTTCATCTACTGTGTTGCTCATCCATCGTACGCTGCCAGTCCAAACGACACGATGAAGCCCGGAATCGACCCTCCTCACGACTCGACAGACGAGGAGAGCAGTGAATTCGATGACATTGAGCATATAGACCCACCTCAAAATGGAGCAGTAAAACAGCTCAAATGTGAAGTGAAAGAGTACGAGGAGCGCATGAACCTGAAAGGGGAGTTGATAATGAAGGAGATTGAGGAGAAGCATGCAGTTGATGAGAAGACCGAAGGCCAAGACTATGCGATGAAATCCTACAAGAGGTATGGTCGAGATGGAAGTTTGGAATCATCACGTCTCGAGATTCAATCGCCGTACCTCAAAGATGCACTCCGAGCCGTGGTAAAGGAGTATCCTGGTGTCAGTTTTCGGGGGGACACCATCATTCTTCACGGAGTCCTACGATGTGTCTTTCACTACCGCAAAGAACTCGAAGAATACAGGCAGAAGATCGGAGATAGGTACGCGAAACTGCACGTTCATCTCTTGCTGCGCTTCATGGAGAAGGAACTGCGGAGCTCAAACCGGGGCTACGAAGCGAATGTCAGCACATCGATTTCTAGTCCAGCCGTAGAGTACAAAGATTTGTGGATGGTCTTCCTTCCAGGCGAGTCCGTGGTCACCGGACAGGATGAAACGCACCAGATATTATCTTTGGTATCAACAAAGCTGATTGAACAAGCTTGCGGAAGCTTTTGGAGAATTACCGGACGATGCTTTACGCATGATGGGATAAGATTCGGCTATGCTCACAAACACATCAACATCCTGCCTTATGATGGGACGAAGTCGATCAGGGCCTTTCCGATCGTACCTCTAAGGTATTATGATACCGAGACGGGGATCCAAAGACTGCGCGAGATGCACATTTCCCGCGGTAAAAAGTTCTGCGCCTTGAAGAATCATCATCATCGGTCATATACCGGGAGAGCATTTGCTGTGAGCGACGAATGGGACGAGCGCCAGGATGATGTGCCACGTCCGCCACTCCCTCCTGGGGCACCCTACAGCAAGTACAGAGTTGACAGTGTGAACGTGAGTACCAATATTCCTCTATAAAAGTGTGCCGGCCTGACTTATGTAGATCAACAGCCGCATTATGGTTGACTGTAAAACTTTCGGGGAATCGAAATCACCGAATAGAGTTTACCTAAATGATCGCAAGCCATTGTGGACGAAACCTGACGAGAAGGAGATTGATGCGATCAGCGATGACGACCTCATGATTTGCGATTTCCAGGTCCCAGGCTTCTCCCTCTTTGATAAGAAGTGGTGCTTTTTCGCCGTCGACTTCATTAAAGATGTCGAATTCAATGATACTGCATTCCAGCAATTACTCCTCCCCAAGAATCACAAGGAGCTTGCCCATGCTCTAGTTAAGAACCACGGCTCAGACGACTTTGATGATATGATCAAAGGGAAAGGGAAAGGGCTCGTGTTTGTTCCCCATGGAGCACCAGGAGTTGGCAAGACCTTCACTGCAGAAAGTATCGCAGATGATGTACGAAAACCACTCTACGTTGTGAATTCAGGCGAACTGGGAGTCACTCCGTATGATGTCGAGACGCATCTGAATTCTGAAAAGTAGAGATATTTGGAGTGTATGATAATTCCATTACTTCAGGGGGATTTCTAGCTCTATATATCTACGCCCTATTTCCTAATTCGGTATAGTATTGAGGTACCTCTTATTACTTCTAAAACCGGAAGGTTTCAAAAAGCTCTAGCTTATGAAACCGGTAAATTCCCGAAATAGGAAGGAAACCTTCTAGTTTCTAAAACACCGGAATTTACCTTAGCTTCTAAAACACCGGAATTTTCCTTATAAGGTTTCCTAGCTTCTAAAACATCGGAATTTACCTTATGGCTTATAAAACACTAAGAGTTATATATTCCGAAACTATACTAGGAATATCTAACTCTAATAAATTCTGCACTGAGGTTGGCAACACACTGGGGAGCCATCGTCTTGATTGACGAGGCCGATGTGTTTCTGGAACAGCGTACTATCCATGATCTTACTAGGAATTGCTTAGTCTCTCGTGAGTTACATAATACGCTTTGTGATTTGTGTAGGGATACTGACATTTCACAGTTTTCCTTCGAACTCTGGAATACTATGAGGGCATTCTCTTTCTGACCACCAATCGCCTGACAAGCTTCGATCTAGCGTTCAAATCTCGCATACACCTCGCGCTGAAGTATACTGCTCTGGACCATCATCGACGAAAAGAGTTGTGGAGACTCTTCATTGGCCGTACCGTGAAGCAAAATCCCGAGATGTGGGAGGAGGCGGTTTTGGACGATTTGGCTAGGGTTGACATTAACGGCAGGCAGATCAAGAATTCGGTGCGAACTGCGAGTACGCTTGCTCGATCCATGAATATGGCTTTGGCTAAAGAACACATCGATATTGTCTTGGGGACAATCGAGAGTTTTGAGGCGGACTTGAACGAGGACACTCAGGATGCGGTGGATTGAAGGTTCGAGGCTTTGGCAGGCGTGCATTTCAGCCCCGCTAGGACTAAACCAGACAGTAAGACTTCTAGCTTAAATATCTGTCAACATCTGCATGCTGCTTCTAAATCTCCGCCGGCTTTTCTTTCCTCTGATATCTTCGTATTCCTTGCTCCAGGGCTTAGTGCCGGAACATTGTCCTGCCACGCGACATGTCAGGCTCTTCTACGCAGACGCGATCTGTGACAAGCTCGCCGCCAAGTCCTCAAAATGCCTAGCTCCCAGATCTAAAGGCTCAAAACAGGCTGCCGATGGCTTGCATTGTTGCTGGGCATGATATCAGGTCCAGAACACAGTCTGGACAGCCCTCACGTGCAGTAGTCTGCACTCATGATGTGCTTACATATTACCTAGTTCAGATTGATTCATTCTAGAAGTTTTAAGCTCTCTAGCATTCATTAGCATGACGAATTAAATCCTTTTTGTATCAAATCCAGTTTCCTTTCCATAAACGCAAAAACGCCACGATCGCCAAATCCAGCCTCGCCACCAGCCCTTACGCCTCTTTCAAACATCTCTCCACGTACTCTAGCGAACACGATCATTAATAGGTGAAGCACGCATATCTCTCTTACTGGTCCCCCTGGGTACTGCGCTGGTACAGTCGATCATTTTCTGATCCTTCGCCACACCAAATAATGACATTTTGGTCATGCTGTTTCCGTCAGCTGCTTTTCACATAACTCGATTAATGGTAGAATAACTTACGCAGCACCGAAAGCAGCGGTCCATTTCGCCTGTCCTCCAACAAATGCCTTGAACTCCTTCCCAACGGTAGGATGAACAGCAAGCTTTGCATCAGAAGGAAAGACGTAGACATTTGATGGTGGTGAGAGTGTTTCAGCATAGTACTTAACGTCCCAGAGACCTGGGGTGCTGTCTTGAGATGCATTGACTGGTGCTCCTGGGACATGGAATTGTTTACTGGTGGAGTGTGCACCGAGGAGAGCAGCAAGCTCAGAGGCACTGAGGCCTTTGCGTTGGAAAAGTGCATAAAGATCGTCTGCACCAGCAAAGACATCTGGAAGGAGAGAGCCCTTCGCGGGTGTTGTGGAGTCCTTACGGCCAACAAAGGTCTTGATCTGTGGTCCACCTGGGCATGTGACGATGGCAACAGAAGCAGCGAATCTAAAGAAAGAGTGTCGTTAGTACGAGTTGAATGGCTGGTGGGCTCGTCGTGGCATTCAACGATTGTTTAACTTACTGGATAACTACAAAGACATTCCGAGTTAGCCTCAATTTTCTAGTCTTTTTTGAAAGTGCCATGTACTTGGTCTTCCGAGAAAATGGAAGAGTTGCATACATGGGAGTAACCATGCATAGGAAGTAATGAAAAAGGGACATACCATCTGCTACTGTGACTGAAGGATCGACTGCCACCCATTTGTTCTGCAGAGCCAGCAGCTTCCCAGATATGTCTTGTAGGCCGTTGTTCTCTCCGCGACCCAACTCATCATTGCCAACCGAGAGAATGAGCGAGCCATCACAGCCTCCTGTAGCTCCCAAGCTTGTCTCCCAAGATCCACAATCGTGGAAAGCCTCTCTGATCGCTGCGCGAGCATCGTCGTTGCACTGCGAGGGATTGGTAGATGTGTCCAGGAACATGGCGGTCAGATCACTCGCTATACTGGTCCATACTGCCGGGCAGTTGCCACCTCTTTCCTCGATAGGCAGTGGACTTCTCTTGCTAGGTATGAAGCGTTTGAAAGCTGCCGCTCCAGAGTGAGCGAATTCTGTGATACTGAAGGCAGAGGTTGAGGTAGCTGCTAGAGCGAAGGCGAGACGTGAGAACAACATTTGGAATTTTTGAAGGATAATGAAGTGGAAGAATATAAGACTGAGCACCTTCTACTAATTGTGATCCTGAGCGATCTAGAGAATCGTTACATCCCAGCATGAGGCAAGAACAATATATAAACATTTCCACTCGCTCCTTTCCACACTCTACATACCTAACCTCCACAGCCTAGCCGACATTGAGAGATCGAAAATTTATCCTGATATCAGGCACAATTGTATGTAGCTCGTTGGATCTTTACAACAAGCTTTGGCGTTGTGGAGAATCTGTACCACAAAATACATACGACAAACCAAACATGATTCTCGTTCGCTGTCGGGTGAGCGATGTGTGGTGCGGTCCCGTGCCGAGGCGGCCAATCGGTCAGGATTCCAGCTGAGCGGGACTAAGCCATAAAATATCAGGAACAAGCACCACTTCAGCTTCGCCGGGGCGGAGGCTTCTTTTAATGCGTGGCTTCTCTGACACGAGGCCTGTGGCAATTCTAGGCCAAGGAAGCTTGTTCAGCTTAAGACCTTCTGAAATGCTTAATTGACACTGTGGAAGCCCCGGCTTTCAAGTGCCAACGATTTGCACAGGGTGACATGCTGGTTCTGGACGCCATAATTGAACCCACCGCCTGGCCAAATCCCGTTTTCACGGGAACCAATGACTTGACCCCAGTAAGTGATGGAGTCTTCTCTGTACTTTGGTCTCTCATTAGAGAGTGGTGCGTCTCCAGCAGAACAATACAGTTAGGAGCGAGAATATTTAGTCCTTCCGCCAGGATTCCAGAACATTGGGTTCGGGACGCTTGGTTGAAATCGACTGCCTATTTTGCTGCGCTGGCAGCATCAGCCCTTCCAGCTTGCGGCACAGTGAGATCTTGGTGTGGGTGAATAAGAGAACCTGGTCGACACTCATGGGAGTCGACGGCGAACAGCCACTGATAGAAATCTTCTCTGTTAAATGTAAATGCACACTTTGATCATGGCCAAAACAAGCTTTCATCCTAATACAGTGTACCTCCCTGCTCCAACGCAAAGCGTAGGTCAGATCCTTGGCCGCTGCTTTTGTGCTGCCATCAAACTTTGATTGCAATTGACAGAGCAAATGTCGTGAGGCCTCTTGAATACATTGAGTTAGTGTTAGATTCGTACTATTTACAGCTAAAGGGAGTGTGCCGCCTCGACTCACTTTTTATGTTAGAGTCAAGGAACCAGCTGTACAAAGATAATATACTGTAAATGGACATGCAAAGCAATGAGAAAAACAGGAAAAATGGTGTGCAAAAGGGAAGGAACGAGGGCTGAGACAAAGATTCGTCTAGATCGTAGGGCTAGTCCAAGTTTAGGAAGTGACGCGTTTTCTTGTTCGGCATCGGCTTTTCACCTTCCTGGAAACGGGATTAGCGAGAAATGACTCGCTTCGCACCATTGTAAACACAGCAAAGGTATCTATTGCAACTTTTTACCCCACCAATATATATCATATCTAATACCACAAACTAATAAAGTGGGATGTGTATGACATTCACGTAAGAAAGAGGGTTTCCGCTTGCACTTCTAAGGTATACAGGTTGGCGCAGATGGTCACCTGATTTGAAAATCCAGCGTCCCTGGATACTCACTGAAGCTCAAAAGATGGAGCATGCTCTTGTCAGTCTATAGGTGGGTTGTTTACTGATTCAATATAGCTCTAGATGATAAAATTAGGAAATGGATCCAGGTGGCCCATCATTTTTTCACCGAGGAGGGAGATCAGGTGACAAAGAAAACAATGGCAACGTTGGCAGAGAATCTGTTATTAAATGATCGGCGGAAACTTAGCATCCCAATTACTTCCAAGACTACCATCATCATGGTTTCCAGCCGTAGATTCCAAGGCAGGATGTTCCATACGCGAGAATCAAAACTCATCCCAGTGTTTATCAAAGCTCGCTAAAGTTTCACGTCCAATCCAATCTCCAATCTTATTACCCTGGTCTGAAGCGTACTGGAAATGGATCTAGGAATCCGGTTAGCAAGAGAAATGTCTTGGAAAGTCGTCTTTGCTTACCCCGCCAAAGACTCTACTGTCGCCATTCTCCTTCACAGCTGCCGCAATGCTAGTGATCCGCCTCGTGATGACTCCAACACTGTCAAGTGTTACATTGCTACTCAGCGTGGCGTTGATTTTATCGCCTTTATTCCAAGCGCGAATTACTGCACCAGCAGCTCCACCGAATGTGGCATGAGTGGAAAGGTAGTCCTGGTGGTTTGGCGTAGGCAGGAGAAGAGGATCCCAGGTGGGATCTGTGACACTTTTCCCACTTTTTAGATAGATACCGGGGTAGCGGATTGCAGTAATAGGACGCCACGAGTTATAGAAGTACCTGAACATGTCAGAATCTGGCATCCAGCGACCTTTAGACGGGGAATTTACTTTGAATCCCAAGAGGCTATTGCTGCATTTGCAAGAGCATAGTTGAGCTGAGCGTAGAACTTAGCCGATGCCTTTACATCCGTAGCTAGCGAGTTTCCAACCACGGCATGAGCAAGTCGATTCCAACCACTGGAGTACAGATCAGCTTCACGTTCGCCAAGCTTTGGAGAAATGCGCTTACATTGGACTAGACTCTCTCCAGAAGTAGGCAGTCTCCGTATCATACGCCTTCCTAACCGTCGAGTTCCTCGCTCCCTGGATCTTCACAAAATCCAAAGACGCCTCAAACTCCGCAGAGTCAGGTGCAGGAGGTGGCGGTGCTCTGAATCTCGTCACATCACCTACACCTCCAAATAGGCGAATGAACTCTGCTTGTGGTGTGTCAGGAATCGGCTGTCCTCCAGGTGTCTGTTGATAGACTCCCGGGGTAGCAGGCTTGGGGACGTAGTCAACGAAGTTGTTGATTCCATCATCAGCACGTGCTACGACCACCTTCTTTGCTGCTTTGCGTCCAATGTCAATCGCTTTGATACCGGCTTCTGAGGTTGCGTCTACTCCTATTGCTGGTAATATTGCACGGAGTTTGGCGTTGACGGTGGCATAGAGCCGGGTTCCGTGAAATGTCCAGAGAAGAGAGTCATGGGCAGCATGGGAGACAGCGAGTTGTTGAACAGCCAGTGGTTCGCGATCAGCCTTCTTTGCCGCCAAGTAGATTGCTCCCTGAACGATGGCCTCGTACCAGCCTGATGGAGGTGACTGTAGACCACCAATTACGGTTCCGTTAACAAGAATCGCAGATTGGTCGACCCTGAGACCGCTATTAGCCGAAGTCAATAAGTAGGAGAGTGCGAGGTGGCGATGCACCAGTATTGAACAATATCGCCTGAATAAGCGGCATTAACCACCGCGGCGGCTGCAACGGAGATGATTATCGACACTCTCATATCGTCGTGGTCTATCCAGATGGCGGATCAGAATTATAGAAAACTTTGGGGAACCGCGATATTTATTCTCAGAGTTACACTTCATGGACTTTTCCCCAGTGCCGTGATAGCACGCAATAATTACGATCTGCATTGCAAAAAAAGCACAACATGACTATCACTTGAATAGTAGGCAAATGCGATCATCAGCCATCAAGTTCGCATCAAAACTTTACAACAGTACGGAATGGTGAGCTGGAGGCTTTGCCTAATCCTATTCCAAGCAATTGCCAAGGAGTGATAATGCGGCCAAGCATGTCGGTTCAACTTGCGTGCGACCGCTAGTAAATATCGTCATCACCAGTAATATTCAGTCGAGAGTCTGTGTGACATTTACATAGCATCATGGGAGTTCCCACTTCGAGTAGAGTAACAGTTTCATGCTGTCAAGCTGGAGATGTTCTCTGCGTTGAGCGTACTCGCTAATTTTAGCAACAGTAAACATCGCTGTGGCAGCCACTCACCGCCGGAGAACTCCCACTTCAATTACCATCAATTCACATAGTCTCCCATTCGGCTTTGGCCCCCACCATCACTCATGTCCAGGCATTGACGTATTCGGCGCTCAGAAGACCCCGCGCAGGTCCCAAGTCCCCATAAGCATCGTCCAACTTCTCATAGTTCTCCCTTCCAAGAAGGCTTTCCTGCCACTCTAGCTTCAACAAATCAGCCTCAATCATGTACATTTTCTTACTTCACTGGTGACTCTGTATTGGCTTGCTGGGACACGTAGCTCAACGCCGCACTGCCAGAAGAAATCATGTATTTGCCGTAGAACATGAATTTGTTAACTCAGCCCAGCATATTACAAGATCTTTGGCAAGGAGAGGGGCTCTGGGAGGATTCCTCCCTGCTGACGGACGTACGTTGAATCTGGAGAGCGATACCAACTACCAAGCGAGCATATGCTTTGACGACAACACATGAGATGACAGGGCAGGGCTCGCAGCGATTAAGGTTAATGCTGTCATGTAATGAAAATTCGAGGTGGATTACAGCCATTTCCTCCAGCCAAGGCACGAATAAGGCCTGATCATTCTTCTCACTCGACTGTGAGCTGGGTTATTACAAACGAGAAGCTAGACAGGTACCCGTGTATGTCATGCTAGCAGAGCGGTAAGCACGACAGGACGCATTTTGAATTCTAATATCGCAACTAAACGTACCCCAGCCTTGATCGAGGTTTGGAAGCAGAAAAACAAGTTGCAGCTGCTTGCTTCCAAGTCATTTATGAGTCTTCACTTGAACGGCCTTTTTATATTTCCCCTATGATACAACCATGGAAGAGTAAAGCCCCTACGCCAGCTTCACTGATGACAGGGTGCCAGTGTGACATGCGTACAATATAGGTGATTTAGAACTGCCCAATACTTTATTGAGTCTGTAGATCACCGCCCTACATAGCATTCCGCATTCCTTCCAGACTTTGGGTTTCACGGTCGTCCCAACCACGATCACGTAGCTGTTTCTCTCGTGCCGGGAAGGGCGTCCCAGCACACCTAGGCCCCAACAATTGACTATCCTCGGAACGGTATTCCCAAGTTCGTCGTGAGTTCATGTTCGTGATGCATTCGATACTCCGCTGAAAGAAGAGACCCGATAAGTCTCTCAGTCAGCCCTCCTTCTCTTCGCTTGAACCCCATTCTCCTGCACTGTCTCTACCTCCTCGACATGTAGCAATGCCCCCGTAGCCTCCAAAAGCCCCACAGCCTCTTTGTTGCCAACCTTGGTAGCCAAGTAGAGTGGCGTGTTCCCCGCCAGATTTCTCGCATGCACACTAGCTCCTCTCTTCAACAATTCTCTCAGTACCTCAATCTCGGGTCCCACAGCGGCAAGATGCAAGGCTGTATTTTCGGCGTAGTCTTTGGCACCTAGTAAACCAAACTGATCTCCATCTAGTAGAGTTTTGACGGAGCCTAGCTTCCCTTTGGTAATTGCATACCCGAGAGCGGTGAAAGCAACTTGTGAGTCTTGAATAGCGGGGATGTCGGATGCGGGGTGAGAGAAAGCGGTTGAATGAGACTCGGTCATCTCGCCACGAATGGAGAATTGCATCTGCGATACGATGTCTTGATAATTAAGATCAGGTAGGGCAAGGAGGAACGACAGTTTAGTAAGTGCTGCCTCGGTGGTGAGGTCGTGACCGAATACCACACCTGCATTTCCAAGTGTGGTTGCTGGTGCGTAGAGTGGAGAGACGGAGCCGGATTGACATTGACTGACATTGACAATCACAATGCCGCGAGCGACGGCCGATTTGATGACATTCACCATACTGCCGTCGGCTCCTGATGGTGCATTTCCCGCCCCAAAAGTTTCGAGGATCAAGCCTCGGAGGTTAGGTACGTGGAGTACAGAGTCAAGCATTTCTGGCTTGATGCCAGGAAAGATGCGTAAGCAGGCGACGTGCGCAGTATCGAGGTTCGTTTGGACATCGAAGCGAGCGAGGCCTCTTGGACGTCGAACTAATGCCCAATTTACCTCTGCCCCCATGGCGGTAACCTTTGCAAGCGGTTCGCAATTAGGCGAAGCAAATGCATCGAACGATGACGCCGAGACTTTTGTACAGCGATTACCTCTATAAAGATTGTGGTGAAAGAAGAGACAGACTTCTGGGATCATGAAGGTGCCGGCGATGATGAGAGATCCGAGAAGGTTATCCACGGCATCGGATTGGAGCGCAAAGATTGAGGCTTGAGACCCAGTCAAGATGACCGGTTTTCCGAGGTGAGATAACATAAATGAAAGGGCAGAGCTGGTATATGCCAGACTATCTGTCCCATGGAGAACGACGAATCCATCAAAAAGTGAGTAGTTGTTTTGTACCGTAGTGGCGATCTGGGTCCAACCTTCCGAGGAGATGGAAGATGAATCGAGCAGTGTTGGAAACTCGTACAAGGTATAGCGAACATGACGGGAGTATGTACTCGGAGGCGTTCTAAGACTGGGGTGATATGCTTTCGTTGTGGCATCGGTCATTACCGGAAGCGGGTCTGGTTCTGTCAGTATTCTATTATGGTAGAAGCAACGAGCCGAACGTGTGCAGCTTGAGATGAATAGATCGAGAAGTCTGTTCAGAAGTTCCAATGAAATCTCAACGATCCCTCGAAATTGAAACGAAAAACCACAGGCGTGTCTGACAGGTAAAATGATTTGTGTGGGAACTAGGGAAGATGAGAAATTGGTAGCGCCTTGCGCGCAATGATACTCCTATCTGCACTTCAAATCCATTTGAAGAATTTCTGTGATAATGGACAGACTTTCCAAACTGCTACGAAAAACTTCTGAACTGTTCAGAGTATTCTCTCATGGCTCGATCGAGCACTCCATCGAAGCCAAGCCATGACTTCATCCCCTCCACAGTATGCACCAGCTCAGTAATTCGTGGTGAAAGATACTGAAGTTTTTGGATTACTATCCATCGCCTCCGAACCCCGAATAGAAGTCCAAACAAAAGTATAGTGCAATAGACTGAACATTAGAAACACATACCAGGCATAGACCCATCGTTAAAACTCGGCCTGGGCGCCATCCCTTCCCTCAAGAATCCTCTCGCAGGAACCAAACCTTCGGGGGAAGACCTCATGCATATCGTTCCTCCAGTCATGATGACCAGGACCCTTGTTTCTGGATACTGTGTCGCCATCTTGATGTCGTGGCGGGATGACAGCGCAGCTTTGTGGTACAGATTATGATGGTGTTTTGGTGGTGGTGGTGGTGGTGGTGGTGGTGTGCCAGTTGGATTTGCAATATGGATCAGACAATGTGAGCGGGCGAAATCGATCAAATTTTACATTAGAATATTTTAGTAGTAGGAGGTTTTATGGATGAGTGAACGAGTGAACAGAGGAAGCAATTTTATGATGAAATGAAACGGGATTTCAGACTGCTGCAAGTGATAAGAATGTGTGAAGTGAAGTGAAAAGCTTCCATGCCGATTAGATAAACCCGTCCAGCCAATGCCCTGCCGAGAATCCCCACTATGGGGTAAGAAAAACCGCATTTTGCGATGCGACAAGAAAACTCTGGAGCCGAATACAGCCCGATAATTTCGATGGGGTAAGAGATGACCAGAATGGTCAGATGCTCATAATGAGGGTTGTCGTGGGCTTGACCTCGATATTTATATGCTGGTAAAGCGTCCTTGGACGAGGAGCATAGCCAGCTCTCTTGCTTTGAAGGTGTGAGAGAAATCTTGGCGAGTGGAAGGCACAGAACATCCTGGACTCCGTCATAAGACAGCTATTCGCCTCGATATCCATTGGAGGCCTCTTCTCATTCACTAAATGAACAGACTGACATACATAGCTATAATTTCATAAAGAAATCCCATATCAGAGAAGCTTCGACAAGTGATTGGTTTGCTCGTCGGCATCGGAGCTTTCTCGCTGCAGCATCACAACGATCTGCACAATTCTTGTCAACAGTCAGCTTTCGAGCTTCCGTCTACGAGTTTTGCCATTGCCTTTTCTCCTCTTTCCTCCTTTCCATTCGCAACTCCTCCAAGCCCTCAATTCTTCAATATTGTGAATATTGCCTCCCATTAACACGCTGTTCTTGATACGATACCCCTCTGTCGCCCAATATCAATCCCATTACGAAGGGCACATACGCGGCAGCCCAGCGACAGTGACATCCAGCGCAGCCACCCAGCACTCAGCAGTGACATTCCCAATCCCACGATCTGATAAGACTCCAACACTCAAGACTCTGCTCAATCCCGCGACTTCCGTCCGCGCGCCTCTGAACCAGCTACATGCCCCAAAAATTCGCCTTCACAACCGCAGCCATGTCCGCTGCGCTCGAAGAGACGTCCGTTTCGTACGAGGACCTGGCAGATATCGAGAAGGAGTTTGATGATGTAGAGACCGAGATCAGTGAGTGCTTGCTCTTGCCTGGCCTTCTCGGACCCTGTCTTGCATTAGACTGCATTGCGCTGCGGGCTCATTATCTTGCTGCGCTGAATTGATACCGCTGAAGAGCTACACAACCACGCTGCGAAGTCGCAGATAGTTGGACAAGCGCTCATGATACATATCCGCAGGAAGGAAAAAGAAACAAGTTTCAGCTAACACGCCTTTTACAGTCCGTCAACAAATAGCCCTCACCAAACCCCTCTACGAACGCCGATCCAAAACCATATCCCAGATCCCCAATTTCTGGCCCCTCGTCCTCGAACAAGCACCACCCGACATAGACCAATACATCCAGCCCTCCGACTCCGCCCTCCTTCTCTCCTCCCTCCTCTCCATCTCCGTCTCACACTTCGAAGTCGAGTCCGACACACCTGGAGGCGATCCCAGAAGCGTGAGCGTCACCTGGGAGTTTGCCCCCAATGATTACTTCCACGATGAGAAGCTGGAGAAGAAGTTCTGGTATAGGAGGGCGAGAGATGGGTGGTGCGGACTGGTTAGTGAGCCCGTGGAGATCAGGTGGAAGGAGGGGAGGGATCTGACGGGTGGGTTATTGGGACTGGTGTGTAAGGCTTGGGAGGCGGAGAAGAAGACTGGGAGTCTTGATGGGGATAGCAAGTCGACTGGGAAGGCGAAGAAGGAGGGCTTGACGGCCGAACAGAAGGTACTTAAGCGCAAGATTGAGAATACGGGGATGGGAGGCTTGAGCTTCTTTGCGTGGTTCGGCTTCATTGGGAGGAAAGTCAGCGAGGAGGAAAGTCAAGAAGCAACAAGACTTGAGAAGGAGAAGAGGGAGAAGAGGAAAGCTTCCAAATCAACTTCTGAAGCTCCGTCGAATGCGGAAGAGGACCAGGACCAGGACGAAGAGGACGAGGACGAGGACGATGAAGAAGATATCGATATGAGTCTAGAGATCTTCCCTGATGGAGATGATCTCGCCGTGGCACTTACGGAGGATCTATGGCCTGGTGCTATCAAGTATTTCAGTAAGTCCGGCTACTCTCCCTTCCTGTCTTCTACTCCCCAATCCCACTTTTACTCCAGAAAGATCATATCCTGCAAGATACTGACTGACCCTCACCAGCTCAAGCACAAGAACAAGACGCCCTCTCCGACGCAGATTTCGAGTCCGACGACGAAGAAGAGGAAGGTGGCGATGCGAATGCAGCAGAAGGCTCCGCAGATGACAGCGAAGGAGAGAATGAGGACCGACCGAAGAAGAAGCAGAGATCCTCGTAGATATATCATTGGTTTCGATTTGCTCTCCCCAATCATTCGGGAGGAAACTCTGTGTAGAAGTCACACGATTTGACCTGGTAACTCTCCAGAGCCTTCGTATCCATGCCTCCAATCTTCTCTTTTGGAGCTCAAAATCCAAATCATTTCCCATCTTACAATCCTCCCTCAGGCTCAAGTTCAAGCTCCATTCGCCCACCAAAACGCTCAATCCACCTCTTCTACGGATTTTCAGGAGTCTCTCTACATTCTAAAGCATATGACATTTCGGATGTTCTCTTCTCTTCCCGTCAATTCCGTTCAGCCTACGAAAGGATACACGCATTCGCATTCTAGACTACCTGCCAAAATGCGACTCCTTCCTTGCTTCCTTCCTTCCTTCCTTTATTTTTCGTTTCCTAGAAACTCGCATTGCATCACATCGTATTTGAGAGGGGGGAGAGGTATATCCGGGTGTGATGATATGATATGCTATGATACGATAGGGAAAGAAGACATCAGAAGGGCAAGGAGGTACATACTTCCGTTGTGCGTGAATGGATCGGAAGACATTGGATTCAATGTATTGTACGTTTATGCTATGCTATGCTATGTCATGCTATTTTATGCAATGAGCTGTAGAAGCCAGAGGAGAGAGGAGAGAAGAAGCGAAGCGAGTGCATACATACAATACAAAGAAATACGAACACGGACTTCATACAGTCATATATTTACTGCCCGGATTTTTTTTCCTTTCCATTCTCTTTCTCGTTGACTTGAGGTGCTTGTACCAGAATCTTTTAACTAGGTGCGTGATTGGTAATTGCCAGCTGGCAGTGGAAGAAGCGTCACGTCAAGTATTTTCAAAAGAAAGAATGGAAGCGAGCCTTCTCTTCCCCTTCCCCTTCCCCTTCCCCATCCTCTGCCCCCACGTACCACATACCATGCACATACCTACCACCACCCATCCACTCCCCCCCCAACTTTCTTCGACATCGAAATCGAAACCTCACTACCCTTGAAACCACAAGAACCTTACTCCCCTCCATTCCACTCCATTCCAAAATCTTTCCTCTTATTTGTTTGTAACGGAATCAAATCCTCAAATCTCCCTTCACAGCTCACAGCTCACAGAGCTTGTTCCTGTTCCTGTTCCTGTTCCTGTTCCATCTAATCTAATCTAATCTAATCTAAAAGTAGATTGATTCCGTCCGTAGGTAGGTAATTCTCCCTTCCTTTCTCACAGCGCCTAAGTTCCAAGTTACTGACTGCAGTGGAACACAAATCGATCGATCAATCAATCAAAGGCATAGGAAAGAGGAAGGAAGGAAGGAAGGAAGGAAGGAAGGAAGGATATGCACCTTTATTCTTTACTACTCATTAAAACGTTCTTTCATCTCATCTCATCTCATCTCATCTCATTTATCATCTTTTCTTTTCCCCCAGCGAGATAGAAGTATGCTGCTGCTACCTGAAAGTAACTCCCATAAATGATGATGAGAATTTATAAACAAAACGAGATAAGATGCCTGCCACCCATGCTATGCAAGAAATGAGATTCAATAAAATGACTACCTACCCAGCCGCCCATCTATCCATCCATCCTTGACGTATCTCCCAGCCTACCCAACCCAATAAACCACGCAATGCAGAAAGAAGCAGATATTTTCCCTCGCCCCGTGTGCTTGATGTTTGAGATGCTAAATGCTATGCCAAGCTGAATTTTACGCCTGGCTTTTGATTTTCCCCTTTCCATTCCTCTCTCTGTCTGGAGAGAGACTTTGGAGATCTGTCACCGATAAACTCCCGTGTGCTTTTCCTTTCCGTTCCCTGATATCGGTCTCGAATCCCCATATGTCCCAATGCTCGTTTCTATACCATCTTCGCATCACAGCCAAACCCGGTCCAAATCGTCAGATCCTCGTGTCCATCAGGCAAGCCAACTCTCCTCCTTCCTAGCTGGCGTATCGGTTCCAGTCCCACCACCCATGACCAGTCCTTCATCCTCATCATCCCCATCTCCATCCTCGTCCTCCTCATCCCCTTGCACCTCGCCTTCAACCTCGTGACTCTCGTTCATCCACGTTAGTCCATTCGCTGCCTCCTCCAGTGGAAACACCTCTCTGGCATACTCCTCCAGCCCCCTATGCCCTTCCCATAATTCCAAAGCTTCTCCAGGGCAACTATTCTCCATGTGCTGGCTTCCGAAATACGGGGGTTGTAACCGGGGATCTCTTGCGCCTAATAAGTACATCTTTTCCAACGCAACGAGCTGCTCTCGGTACCCATTTGGTATCTTAACCTTGATGTCAATTTTGGGATTGTATATATACCGTACCGGACGTCCGACGCCCTTTGAGAAGGCGCGGCAGGCGTCTTTAGGGGAAAGCATTTCGTAGGCAAGGGCTACGCGTTCCCCGTTCCCCCAGCGCGAAATTCCATCCTTGATTAATTGAATGACTGCTGGACCAACATCGTGTTCGGCGTCTAACCATGGGAGGGGGGCATCTGGGTGGAATGGGGCTGTCCATGTAAAGCTTCCATCTCCCTGTAACTCCATCTGGAAGAGTGGGTATTGGAGAGAAGTGAAGTTATTATTGTAGATTCCGGTGTAGAGGTATGTGGTTTTGGGGGCGAGGGCAGGGAGGGAACGAATGTAAGTCTCGATTGCGGCTTTACTGGACCAGAGAGGGAGGGATGGCCAGTGATGATCGTGCTGTGAGTGGTTGGGCATGGAACTGAAGATGTAGTGTTCTATCCCGGCTACGACTGCCGCGTCCGCGAGTGCTTTCCCGATTTCCACCTCGTCGCCCCAGAAAGTGGTGTTGATGAAGGCCAGCTGGGCTCCACGGTATAACTCCTTGATCAGATCATGGTTCGGCGCGCCCTTGCCCTTCGTGCCCAACGTGGGAGATACACTGCCGCCATTCTCCGCCGATGTTCGAGTATAGAGATCTCCTACCAAGACCGTAACATTTGGAAGTGAGGAGATCTCTGTCGCGACAATGCCATCAAGATTCCGTAACTGCGCACGTACCTTGTAGCCGACAGCGACAGCAACCCGTATGAAGGAAGCAGCTTGTCGTCCTGACGAGTTAACGACGGCGATGGTTTTACGGGGGGTGGGCATGGGTCTTTTGGCTGGACGGTCGATCTGCGGATACCGGACGGGCGAGAAGCCTGGGTTGGAAAGAGGGGAGAGGTCGGTATATGAGGTACAGGGTCGATGCTTCAGTTTGTTTGTTGTGCTCGAAGGCGCTGTTGAAGGTGGCGGCTCGTGTGATGCGCTTGGTTGTGGTCTGGGTCTGATTGCCAATGCAGACCGGGGAGCTGCTGAGGGCATTCTCTGGGGATTCCCTCTTGAACGGCTGGTCGTTCCTGCCGAGTTCGAATAGATTACGTACCCAGTACTCGTAAAGCTCGATACTTCCCTCCGCAGCAGATCTTCCAAGGGAGAAGGAGAAAGAACGAAGAAGTACTGTGGCCCGTACGTGAGTGTTTCTACTCAACTCTCAACTCTCAACTCTCAGCCTCCTGCTCTTCCTTCTGAAGCTAAAACTCCAGTCCAGTCCAGTCCAGTCCAGATGTCTTGGTGACGTGGTATCGAAGTCTGGTCGATGGAGCTCCTCCGCTTAATAAGGTAAGGTAGTCTCGAAATAAAGTTGAGGGCGAGGGTTGTTAAGTATTTAGCCTCTTAGGTACAGCTACTGTACTGTATTAGCTATGACTTGCACGCTGCCCGCCAGTAAGAATATGCAGCGGATGAGGAAATAGCTCCTGCCCCAAGAGCTGTTTCCGGATAGGTTGGAGCTTTGGCTTTCGGCTGCTGGGTTGCTGCTGGGATCGCCTGGTTTGGTCAGAGTCTGAGATTTGTGATGGTAAGTTAATGCAAATTCGATGCGACTGAGCCGCTTTGGATACAGCAATTCGCAGTGCGCTCGTTCAGGCCTTCTGGTATTGATTCCTTTCCTTCTTGGTTCTGGTCCAATAAGTAGGCGACCTCCGATTGTTCTGGATCGCGTCGATAAGTCTCGTACGGGTTCACGTCTCAAGCCAGCCAGACCTCTGTCTTCTCGAAATCGACAGGATCAGATACAGAAACAGAAATGCAAATGCAGATCTGATCGGAGCGAAACGTCGTGATTATGATGCAAGAAAAGCAGCCCCGACTGCAGTGAGACGAAATAATGACGAGGCCGGCCAACAGCGGACTCCAGGGTTGAGGGGTCGAGGTTATGGAGGGGTGTTGGATGTGATAGAGGGGTTGCCAATGCCTGCAGCGAGGTGCGGTACCTTCGGTACAGTGCAGCGCAGGGTGCAGGTGCAGTGCAGTGCAGTAGTTTGCAGAAGGCGGTGAAGCCTGCAGGTGAGAAATGATCCGGGACGGGGACGGGGACGGGGACGGGGACCGGGTTCTGGCTGAGCAGGAATGGAATTGGAACTCGACTTTTTTGACCTGTGGGGCGGCGTACGAAGGGATACCTAGGATAAAGTAGATAGATAGGTCGGAGTTAGCCACACTTTGACCAAGTAGGTAGGTACCCGGATGAGTCGAGTGGTCGGTATGGTGACAACAATGGAACACCCGTGTTTGAAACCTGAAGAAAATAGAGAGAATGGGTGGGTGAAAAGTCGGAGTCTGGGTACTGTAGGTAGGTAGTGTGCTGTGCTGTGGCTAATGACGTGAGTGAGCCGACGGACCTGTTATGTTATGTAACAGTGTCCAGCTTGGAAAATCGGCTCGGCGCAGGAAGTAAGGTGAGAAAGGTTGGTTGGGTTGGGTTGGGTTTGGTAGGGATTGTGAGACCAGAAGAGAGGGATCCCGGGGAATATATCTATCTGCTAATCGAGACAAGACGAAGTGGAGGGAGAGGGGAAGAGAGGCAGAGTAAGTAGGTGAAAGAGTCAAGACAGAAGGTGATGCCATATGATCATAGAAAGACGAAAGAAGGTCTGCTCTGCTATGCCAATCTGAGTCCATCAGCAGAAGCAGCAGAAAGACGTGTTCAACAACAGAAGGACGAGGGGTACCCTAGCTCCACGTGTTGAAGTCAGCCATGCATGCCCTGGTTACTGCTAGGTACAGTACCTACTACTAGATATCAATCTGGTCATCGTATCACCACGCCTCGTTTTCTGTTAGCTTTGGCAGTGAAATTAAGAGTAGAGTAGAGCATTCTCGTTGCGAACTCCGACTCAGGTTCACCAGTCACGGCGCTCAGGCTTATCTCTGCTGTAGATGTAGCCGGAGCGTACCTTGACGGGCATAGCATAGCGGCGCGCGCACACAAGACAAACAGCATCATCTAATTCCTGGCCGACTAGTCCAAACAAGAACAAAACTCATCCAGGCTGTAGCAAAAAGTAGAGCCTGCGCTGGCACTAATTATCAATCCTGTAGAAGTCAGCTGCTACATTAAGTAACAGTAACTCTGGACCCTGTGGTAGTACGGCCAGGCTATTGGGTCACCAGTACTGTAGTGCCGTCGCTTGTCTGGTTCGGTGGAATGGTCGTCTCCAGAAGGTGTCAACTTTCAAGCAAGAGTAGTGGAGTGTACGAAACAGAACTGCACTCCACCGTGGAGACCAAGGTTTTAATGCCGGGCTCCATGGTCGCAGAAGGGAGTGCGAGTGGAAGGCCGTCTCCATTCTTTCTTCTTTTCTCCAGCATCCAGTGCAGGGACCTGGGCTGAGGATCATTCGAGAACAATGCCGCATGCGGGACACGAGTAAGAGATTCGGCTCTACCTACTAGTACTGTGGGTGTAGGCAGGCAAGGAGAACGTGCTGCAGGTACAGGGGCAGAGAGGTGCGAGGAGGCAAGTATCGTGAAGTGACGATGTTGATGTTGATACGTAGAGCCGATGAAGTTGGCTGTCAAGATTTTTTGGGCTTGAATTGCCAGAGAGACCTTAACAGAGGCACGCCGAAGCCTACAGTATCACATCGCCGCAGTCCAGAACGTTCAACTGGTATGGTCGGGTCTTCAGGTCTTCAGGCGGTCTGGTCTATGCTGCAAATTACGCATCAGCAGCTCAAATCGCGCAAGGCTGGAAGCTGTCTGGACAGTGGACCACCAGACCCTTGATTTCCGATTCTGAAAGTCAAAAGGCTTGATTGAAATTGCGAATCTGTAAATCTCATACAGTAGCTCGCCCAGCCCATTATTATTATTCCATAAATAAATAAATTAAAGATGCCGGTAAAATCTTCAGATCCCGAAAACGCAGTCCCCGTCAATCAGACAGCAAGCTACGCTTATCTAGGGTTTCAAGAGGACATCACCTGAGATCTTTAAACTTCTCCCATCGTTACTTAGTTGGATCCAATTTCTTTGTCCAGAGCTCCACGCATTGCCTGCCGTCTTGGCACCCCGCCAGCATCGAACCCAGTCAGTACAAGTAAGGTAACGAAAGGTAGTGCAGAGAGAAATTTCTCCCTCTAGTTACGTAACTGTCCAGCCCATTTTCTTCTCCATTTCATTATTGCATCTCCGAAATGCCATACATTCTGAGGCATCTCCACACCGAGAACAGAGGCAGTATTTTGGCTTTTAAGTAATAGGCTGGTTGAGTGCATCATTCGAGCCTCGTCGCAAGCCGCACGGCAGAATGCGCAATAGCCATAGCCGGGCCACGACCACGACGAAGCAAACAGCCTGCCTGACTGCTGGCTCTATTTTACTGCTGGATGAAAGGTAACACCACAACAGCTAATCCTGAAACACATCAATCAAGGTAGACATTTATCCTGCCCGGCGGCCAACGTCAAGGAAGTTTCACTCAAAATAAAAAGCCTGCTCCTCATACCTCATGCAAGGCTCCAATCTACAAAAGCCTCATTCCATCTCACCGTCTCGTCATCTCAGCCCATCGTCTTCCCATCTCATGTCATCAAACCCAACCAGGCCAGTCAAACCCAAGCCAACGCACCTCTACCTCTACCTTTTCCTCTCCAGCAAGTCTCCACCAACGAGAAAGAAAAAGAAAAAAAAATTACTCAAAACGCTCAATATACATTTTCACTTTCATCCGCAGTCCACAAATCCACAGCAACAAAACCAGGTCCCCACTTCAAACAAACGCCACCAACACGCCAGCCCATGCACCATCTGCACACTAGAGCAATCGACATGTCAGAGAATCCGGGGTAGCGGTATCACGCACCGTCACATCATACAGTACAGTAATTTAATTTACCTAGCCTCGCTCGCCTTCCAAGCAAGCACCAGCACACCAACTAACCAAACCAAACCAAACCAAACCAAACCAAACCAAACCAAACCAAACCAAACTCTCTCACGCCATCTCTCTCTCAGCGCACTACTTCCCTACTGGCGGGCTTCCTGCCATGCCATATGGCACGGCACACCATACAGCACAGTAGAGTAATATCGCAATGTAAGAGAGTTTAAGCATCTCCGCGGAAGCAACCTTTTTTGCTGCTCGGTCGGGTTGGGTGACTGGGTCGCCTACGCTGCGTAGTTCACCTTCGTCCTTCGTAGTACTGTACAGTAGTAGTCACCACCCGGTAGGTAGAAACCGTCGATGCCCGCGCGCCCGCGCCCGCACCCGCGCGTGCGTGCCATTTACCTAAGCCTGAACTTAAAAAAAGGTGATTATTAGGTACTGATTTCTTCATCACTACCTTACCTTACCTACTACTGTACTGCTTGCTTGCTTGCTTGCTTGCTTGCTTGAGCCTTGGCTACTTGACATGGCATGACTTGCTGGGAGGGAGAGAGGGAGAGCGAGGGTACGTAGGCCTAGTACGGATGTTGTTCCGGGACCATGTAAATTTACTTACTCTGCCGTATGCGTGCGTGCGTGCGTGCGTGCGTGCGCTGATACTGTAATAGTCTGTTCCCTTTCTGTCTCCGCTTAGCCGCTGACAGTCAGTGAAAGCGAGTGTCACAGGAAAGCAAGTGTCACGTTAGGATATTTTTTAAAAACCTCTAATTATATAATAACTTATTACTTTTTAAAGGTTAAAATATTAAAATAGATTATTTATAAGATGAAGTTTTATATAATAAAATTTTAAGTCTTTATATTAATAATTTTTTAAGATTATTATACTTAAAAGCTGATTTTTAATACTTAATTTTCCTTAGATTTCCTAGTAAAATTAAGCGAAAATCAGGAACTTTTCTTCTTTTTTTAAATATTCTATTATAACTTTTGCGCTTTTTAAGTTCAAGTAATAAAATTATATAATATAGAAGCTTAAAGCTAAAGCTTTTAAAAATAAACTTTTTATAATTATTACTTACGTTTTCGAAGAGTTATTTAAGTTTTTAATCCTAGCGTGACACTTGCTTTCTCGTGACACTTGCTTTCACCGACTGTAGGCGAGTGCCCGCAGCCTCACACAGGGGAACCGACTATTAGGTACCCCGCATTCTTTCGTTTTCGTGATGATGATGATGATGATGATGATGATGATGATGATGATGATGATGATGATGATGATGATGATGATGATGATGATGATGATGATGATGATGATGATGATGATGATGATGTATGGATCTTGCGTTCGATGGCGACGAGATCTGCGTCTGGAGATGGAATCCCGAGCGGTCTGGGGTGTCGGAATTGGACGCGGAACTTTTTGATATCGCAGGTGGGTTCTATTGGGTTGGTTTTATTGAGGTTGTTGATATTTTGATAACCGCATGGCTTTATTGCGTTGAATTGGAGAGCAGAAACTATGTACTCTGATGAATGCGGGGTAAAGTTTACTCGGTATTGCTGCGTATGGACCACAAAGACACAATGGCTTGTGAGATCTTCAGGTTCCTCAACTGTTCGTAGAAGCAAAGTTTCTCCTTATTCTATACTTCAGCTGTTTTCGCAATTTCTATTTCCAGGACCACATCTAGTGTTTAAGTATTCAGAAAACATGCTGGCAAAGTCGGGCTATGAAAAGTACAAGTTATTCTCATTCATAATCTATGGTCGTTTATATCTTTGAGCATATATCTCTGAGCACTTTTCGCAATCACTGTCGCTACACAAATGTACCAAGTTGAAGCATCTCCAAGTCCTGTCCGTCTCTGGAAACAGCATTCAAGAAGCGATAACCATTGCAGCGTTACCAAGGCAGGACCTCGTTGTCGCACTTACTCTTTTAGTGAAGAGAGCTGCTCACATACATCTTCTTCCTGTCCTTGATTTCCCTCAATAGAGAAAAGAGCTGGAAACATTTGAATTTAGAAATGCGCATTTATGTAGCAGGACTTATTTCTGTCTACCGGTTTTCTCGTTCCTGAACTCGATCTACCCACTAAATTATCTCCTTCGTGTCATGCTTACAATGACAAAGCTCCTTGTTCTTGTCTAGACGTTTCTCTCAACACGAATTGACGCTTGATCTCCTGAAGATTACTCTCATCTCAGACGAATCTCCGAACATGGAATTCCAGCATGTTTTCGAACCCTAAGCTCCTCGAAGCGTTCCAGGCCCTCTGGTATCTTTCGCAGCGCAAAGTTACACTGAGTCCCCTGAACCTCCTTGGGTTCTCGCGGAGGTTGCAACTGGTGTGTAGCACCGTCAGGGGCACATACGTTCCACCAAATCTCGGCTTGAACCACCCACCAGGTATGCAGAATGCCCACAGTTCATCAAAAGTCTCTTCCGCGAAGTCAAACATAGCGACTCAGATCAGATCATCCCCTAACAAGTGGTAACGTGTACAGCTGTGACATGTCGCACTGCTCCCGAGGATGAGAGATTTGGTGTTGAGGAAGAGTTTGTGCGGCGCTCGTCACCGAAGATCCATCGGCTCGAAGAGCAAAATGCTCGAGTCGAAGTTGTTGTTTAGATGGCACATGCTGATCTTGTTCGTTTCTGAATAGGATCAACAGTCGCACAGCTTTATATTCGCACACAAACTATCTTTGTCCTCATCAAACCAGGGTCTTCAAAACCCCAGGTGTTCGTGGAAATTTTGATATTGAAACCACGATCTCATCCCCAGCTCCTGCTGCTGGAAGAAGAACTCCTCCTCATTCAATCATCGTAGTCTTTTCTAATCACATTTTTCACCATGCATCTTTCCTTTACCTTGCTGTCTACACTGGCTGCGCTATCCTCCGTCGTTCATGGGAAACCACTCAAAATTGCTTCATCGGACGACACAGCCAAGGAGAAGACAACACAGTCCATTGCATTCCACAGTGTGAATGGGTCACCTCAAGTTGTGGGTTCTGATGAGCGCCACAAGGAGGAATTTGCTGTTGCGAAAGTAGCACAGTCACAGTCACCTCTTGCCAAAGATATGGTGACAACTTCGACAACCTTCCCAAATCAAGCCATATCAGCACCCAAGTACAACGATACTGCAAAGTGAGTACGCGAAAATCTGCCTATAAACCAGTCATCTAACGCTCATACAACAGGCTTCTGTTCTGGAACGACGCCAACTTCAAAGGCGACAAAAAGCGCTACCAAGTCTTCGACGATAAATGCTACAACCTATCCAAAGCGCTCACAAACTACGTTCTTTCCGCGAAGCTCGATCCTAAAGTCTGGTACTGCACGTTCTTCCCCAAGAAATCCTGTGAGGCGGGCGATCATGCATCGGATGAAGTCCATCAACTTCCTGGTGGAGAGTACGATTTCCTGTTTCCGGAGGGTCTGGATTTCGTATCGTTCAAGTGTAGGCTTTACGAGAAACGGCCAGACGAAGCAGTAGCTCGCGCTGGCTCGGAGCTCAGTGCAAGCAGGTACGTACATAGTGTTCTCTTATTGTCCTCAATAAAGCTGTTACTAACCACGATCCAGTTCCCACCGCGAGCCACTTCTCTCCGAGTTGACCTCTCCACTCTCAAAAAGCTCCACAAATAGCATGCCTTCACCTTTTGGGTTCGTATACGACAAATCTCAACCGTACTTGACAAATGTTTAATCAGAATTTTCAAACAGAGTTCGGTTTTTCCTTGCCGAACAATTCCAAGGCCCGTCGAGCATCCGAGAATTTGTGCCTGTGAGGTCCAATTGCCACGCTCTCACAAGCGCGCCAGAGACAAATTTCAGATCAATCTTGTTAGGCGACGGCATCAAAATCTGCTCTTTCTTCCCAGAAACAAATTGTCGTGGGCCCGTTGTGCTGCAGAAAGACCGATCAGATCCTTTCGTTCAAGCAGCAGCATTGGCTCTCAAGAGTATCAGATGTGAGCTGAAGATTGGCAGTTCTGTGAATTTTGAGCTCATATCCCTTAAATCCAACTCAATCGCAGAGCCAGAGGCAGAAGTAAAGAATGATTTCCCCAGGTTAGTTTAATTCTCCCACCCAGTCATCCCAGACCTCTTATTTCCCCTCTTTTCACCACTGACCTTCAGAACAACAGCGTACAACTCTATCTCCACCCAAATTTCTCCGGCCCCTTCAGCAACATAATATACTACCCCGGAACATGGGGCTGTGTCCCACTCAAGAAACCACAGGAGTTCGCATTCCACTCCATCCGAATGAGTCCGGAGTTTAAGTCGTGCAAGTTTTTCCCGGATATGGCGTGTCATGGAGAGGTCTTGCTGGAGATTAAGGGGACTGCTACCCTTGTTAGGGGGACGGAGAATCTGCCGATTAAGACTATGTATTGCTCGTTTGAGTCTTGAGAGTTTGTGTTGGTGATGATAGCTTCGGCTGGTTGTGCACATTGGCGAGTACTTGAGGGAAGGGGCCGGGGATTGTGAGTTGCGTCCTATTTTTACTTTGTGAACACCCAAGATAATATAGCGTAAGATTAAAACATATTCAACCTGCGTCTCTTCTTATCATTGAATTCACGGGATATTCTCAAGAACATGTAAACAAATGCGACTCATCAGCAGCGCTTCCCAGACAGTTGTTTTCCTAGAAGCTCGCTTAATGAATGGAACAGAATAGGTAGGGTATTTTTCAAGGTGTCAGATTTGAATCACTACTCTTTCCCTGGAGTCATAAACAGGAGTCTATTGCTTACTAGAATATCTCAACCTTCGCTTAGTCTACCTAGGTACTGCCTTACGGTCTAATCAGCTGATTCATTCTCCCATGAGAATTCCAATATTCGCGATCGCATTTTCTGGCTTGGTCACTGGATTATTGTGAATGGTTCTTGAATTCATCTTTTCAGTTGAACCTTTCATGGGCTTGGAATTCACGTTGAGCTGCTAAGCAATTGACCTCAACAGTAGTAAAGTCGTGCTGCGAGAAGATTGAATGTGATTGATTCACCAACCCTCAAAACTCATTCACGTCACGCTGGAAACTCAACAAGTCGTACATAAACAAAGGTTCCGAATCTCAACCTCAGAGTTGATGTACCTTATCTCATTCTTCGACTTCGACCCAGGAAACGAAATACATAAACTCGCGAACAAGGTACTCAGAGACTCGAGAGAAGAGCGAAATGAATCCTCCGTCAAGGTATTCAGCAGCCCACCAACCAGAACTCGAGCCTCAAAAGTCCATGAATACACAACCTCAGACAAAACCTCTATCTGAGACTCAGCCTCCGCAACCACATAACCCTCGTCCATGGGCCGTGCCTCCTCAGCCTAACAACACACACCCTTGGGCAATACGTCCACTGCCGGCTTTAACTTCGCGCCCATCTGAGTATAAGGCGTATTCAACCATGAGCCAACCTAAATCCGAACATCCAATCGAATACGGACCCCATCTATGGGGTTTGCCTCCCCAGAGTCTTGTGTAAGTCAATTGGTCATAGACCCTCACCTCCGAAGAAAGAGAAAAAACACCCCAGAAACCATGGTGGAACGGAAATACTGACGCTTTGGTGTGGTGTATATAGAACTCACCAGCCAGTGAAGAAACCGCGGATGGTTGCAAGAGAGCACTCGGAGGGAAATGGAGGACATCATTGTGACTGTGATTGCGATGCGTGTGATTGTGGAGGTTGTTAACTGCGCAACGGGGTTTTTTGACAGATCTTAACTGTAATTTATCTGTATTTTGTCTGGATCTCCTGTAGTAGTAAAATACAGATAAAATTCAGATAAAGCTTGTAACAAACCTTTCCAAAAAAAAAAAGCAGATAGAGTAGCATATCAGGGGTAAGTAGGGTAGCTTAGGGAGCACAGACCCTTTATGTTCTAAGTAAAACATAAAGTCAAACACAGACCCTCTACTAGCTATGACACTTTATACACTTTTAGAACATTCAGAAGAAGGAAATGGGAAGGAGACTTTTCTTAAAGGGAGACTTACCTAGAGGGGCGAGACTTGCTTAGAGGCGGGGGACTTTACCTTGGAGGGAAACCTTGGAGGAGGGAAGAGAAGAAAGGAGCGAGAGAAGGAGAGATGTTCAAGGGGAAATACTATGAATTGCAGACAAAGTCTGGGAATCAGCTCGAGTCAGGGCGAACCCTAAAAATAAGGGGAATCTAGCATAGAAAAATGCAAACAATGAACTAAAATACAGACAGAAAAATGTTAAAAACGCCTGTTTACAGACAGCAACTGAAGATAGTGCAGTCTGTGTCTGTTGGAAAAAAACCCCGTAGGAGATTGTGGAAGTGGTAACCGTTGAGTCAAGAGCAGAGTAGAGAAGGGTTTCGTGGAGGTGGTAGAACTTATCTGGGAGCACTGGAACTTGGAATTTGGAGGGCTTGTAGCAATTCTTGTTTGCGTAGGAAGATTCCCCAGAATACAACGAGACCATGGGAAAGTTCAGGAAGCCCCTCCCGCGTTTTCAGTTAAGCGAGCAAAGGTGACATGCAGTCAATAAACGCACCTCGTCATAGATAAATGGAAGTCTTGTCTTTGACGAAGACAGGGACCAATGAACGCTCGGAGGCACGACTACAAGTAAATCTCAGAAGAACATATTCGGTTTGCCACCGGTTGATCAAGAGTATCCCGTGGCGCGGCACCGGGAGGGGTCCTCTTCGGGTCAATATTGACTGCGCGCTAAGCGTGTCCAGCTAGACGGTCGAGAAAGTGGGTCTCAAAAAAACGAAAATAAGCTTTTGAGTGTTGCGACTGGGCGATCAGTGCAGTTCAGACTATGTGCAATCTAACGAAAGCATTTGACGGGCACAGCGGTGTGTTGAGAGGATTTTCGAGTTTGTAGTATAGAAGAAGTCTGGATTTCCTTGCTCTGGGTTATGTTGGAATTGCATCGAGTATCGAGAAAGCCTGTTAAGGATATTCCAACATTTTAGGCGCAGATACACCCGAACCAATAAACCTTATCTGCAACAAGATCCAAGGCCAATTTTTTTGCCGAGATGTTCGTCCCAACTTTTGTTGTTTTCCTCGCTAGTTTCGTTACCGCAGCACCCCTTTCCACCGACAAATGTGAGCCAGTTGGGACAGTTGAACACGAGTATACCCTTGGTGGATGCAAACCCGTAATTTTCTTTTATGCTCGTGGTTCCACTGAAACATTCAACATGGTAACGCATACTCCCGCTGATATCAACCCTCTCTAATATTAGACAGGGTAATGCTACCTACAGTCCGGGTCCACCAACGGCACAAGGTCTTCAGGATACATTTGGTTGCGAGAACATTGCTATTGAGGGGATAGACTATGGGGCTCTGCTGGCGACAAATTACCTGCCAGGAGGGGCTGATCCGGTGGAAGCTCTGGCGATGAAAACACTTCTCATCGATGCAGCAACTCAGTGCCCAACTTCGTCTCTCCTGGTAGGAGCATACAGGTATGTCACCCAGCACATAAGCTAGCATACTCTCCTTTTGCTCACCACCCAAACTCAATAGTCAAGGCGCAGCTCTTACACACCGAGCAATTGAGAATCTGCCCAAGAAAGTGAAGAACCTGATCTCAGGTGTGGTGCTCTATGGCGATACTCAGAACTTGCAAGATCGAGGACGGATTTCCAATTTCTCGAAAGCAAAAACATTGATCATTTGCAATGACGGGGATGTGATTTGTGCAGGAAATTTGACCATAACTTACCCGCATATCGGATATGTGGCTAGGGTCCCAGAGGCGGTGGCTTTCCTTGTCAATCAGGTTGAGACTACTCGGAGATGGGAATTTGGCAAGCAACGAGGAGTAGAGACTGAGTTTTAGTACACCGGAACTTATGGCGTTACGTGGAGGATTAGGTTTGTCTCTTTGAAGAAGCGTATCGGAAACTCAAAGGACTCCGAAGTAATTATGTGTACCATACCGAACATTGGAGGGCTTTTTCGCCTTTCGTGGACACGACATAAAAGATTTTACAGGTTCAAAACAACAGTAATGTCTCAAAACTACAATTTCACTAAGTTGTGCGTACAAACTGTGTCACTGTGTCACTGTGACGCCGATCGTCCCGAGATCATCTCAGTTCGGATGAACTATCTGGCTTCAGTAACGTCCTAGCATCGCTGATCGTAGATATTGCCCTAATTTATCTGAGCCTCAGATGTGCGCTTTCCTCATCAAAAATTTCAACATCAACCCCAAAAGGAACCAAAATTTACAAATTCTGTTCCGTTCTCGACAACATGATTTGCCGTTTTGTCCTTCTGGCAGGCTTAGCTTTGGTGCCGTCTGTCCTAGCTAGCCCAGTATCTATTGAAATCAACAGATCCTATAATGGACTTGAAAGGTATTTCTGCCAAACGACCACACTCTGAATATTTACTGACCCCAAATGAATTACAAGCATCGACCTGGTCCTTTCTTGGGATGATGCCTTTGATACTGGAGGCATTACAAGACCAATTCTTGATTCATCCAAATACAGCTTACAATCAAGCAGTCAAAAAGTAAAGTAAGGAGATCAACCGAATGCCAACAACTTAAGCTGATTAATTACTGTAGTTTGGTTTTCTACGACCAAGTCGGCTTCGAAGGCAATGAACAGACGCTCGCGGTCAGCAACAAGAAATGCACCGCCATCCGGAAGCCAGCCTTGGGCTCCATTGCCTCCATGACCCTAGATCATCATATCTGGTACTGTGCCTTCTTTGCTCAAGAATCATGCAAAGGAGAAAATCTGGCACAACTTGGATCTGGAAGTTATGCCGATCTAGGCACCGCAGGGAAAGATTTCAAATCTGTCAAATGCGAGCTTTACTCGATTGATGCTCAACCTTCACAAAAAGCGCAACTGTCGCCTGAATTCTTCGTCAAAGGGTATGCAGACAGTAACAAGTTTAAGTCTTGTTGGAAATACTTGCTGACAGGTAGAGTAGCCTTTCCCCCAGCCAGCTTAAGGCAATGTCAGCACCAGCGGTACAGGATCAGAAGACATTCGTTGCAATGAGTACAAAAATTTAGAAGCTCGCTGAAATCCATCACAATGTCACATTCTACAGACAAGTTACGTTCTCTGTGCCGTGGCTCACGTTTAGTGTATCCCCTCCATATTGCATTTCTCTCGATGGATCCACTGAAGGGGAGGAATTTGAATTTGGGTCTGCACTCCTTGGATCAGGAATCAACCAGTGTATCTTTTACAAGACTCGAAATTGTAGAGACTGGTACACGTTGAAGGTTTTCGAGTCAAAGGAAAACATCGACGTGAGAGGAAAGAGCATTTTGAGCTTCAAGTGTCTTGTACGACTCTAGAAAAGGTAGAGATGTCTGAGAGTTGTTGGACTCACTACTTGGAAGATCTTTTCATGTTCATAGACAATAAACAAAAATCATTCAGGTCAAGCCTTGGATGCCAGTTTCAGCCCAGCATGTTGACGCTTCTCCACTTCAGCAAGAGTGTTGTTACCCACCGCATAGCCGAAATTTACCCCGCACTGGTGCAACGCATGCATTCAGCTGCTCAATGGTGACCGCGCTTTCATTAAAATTGGTTCAGGTCTCGCTCCATTGGACATGTGCTATGTTGTGCGCTCCTTGCATCTCTTGCTCAACATGACGGTTCGGCGAGGTTCTGTTTACATGATCTCGCTTAAGATGTTACAGCACCGTGGCCTCTGTCCATAGGTTGCCTGAGGTCTGGTGACCTCAAGCGCCTTCTGACTGCGTACATTGTGGTTCATATTGACAGGTATCAGCGTTGGACAGCTGCAAACAAACATGTAGTAAATGTCTCTCCTGGTGAATATTAAACCAGAGACATTTCCACGATTATCATGAGCCATAAGGAAGAGCGACTACATCTCACGCGATTGAATCTCACACGATTGAAGAGAAACATATTCGGGTTCATCAAATAATTGTACAACAATGCTCTGCTCGACCTCCACAGCAGTATCCCTCCTCTTCCTGTCTTTGATAGTTGCTCCAAGCATTGCAACTCCAAACGAGCTCATTTCCATCGCAGACACGCAGTACGATCCTTTTTAACACTTAGCGGCATATGCTGATCACCTGAACACAGCATTATCTTGACAGTCTACTCTTTCGATGATTATGGTGGCACCAAAACCACTTTCAGCGGGATGTAGTCCACCTGCTACGGAACACCGGAGGAGTTTCAAATGAAAATCAAATCCCTCAAGTTGGGCGATGAAGTCAAGAGCTGCCATTTGTATAAGCAGGCTGGATGCTCGAAACCCGTTGGGCAGGTGATATATAGGGAAGATGAGAAGGATGTCAGTTTGAGTAAGGTGCTTAGCGTGGAATGTTTTCATGGAAGCGATGACTAGCTACGGCCCTTACCGCCTTTCGACCATTTTTGATTGAAGATGGAGGTTCAAACACCTTTTAGAAGCTCAAACATAATATTAGATAGCTTTGCCAGACTGAAAGTAGCACGTTTAAGCCTCTGATCACAAGACACGACTTGATTGTGGACAAAACATTGAGTGACTTGTACATGAGAAGTTGGTGGATATTCTCGTGAGCTGAGTTCTCCTTGACTTATAAATGCTTGAGTACCAGAACGACGCCGAGGATAAATGTGTACGGGGATGTGCATTAGGTCGCCGATGTGTCATGGAATCGTTGTGTTGTGTTCCCCTCCCGCATCTAGGTGTGACGATATCAGGGAGAGACAATTTGGGAAGCCCCCGCCACCATGTCAATCACCAAGTTACCTACCTCTATTACCAGTGGTGGATTTTGTGATCTCTTGCCACAGGTTAGCGGTCGAAGATGAGACTTTTCCGAGATTGACAAGGTCTCGACCGTGAATGCACGAACTTGCCCTCCAATCCTACAGTAGCATCATTTGTTGCATCGAAATCTTTCTGTTTGAGCCACTTCCTGGAGAGATCATGACTTAAATTTATGATCTCTTGTTACATAGAAGTATCATGTGGACGTCACTATCTTTATTGACAAGAAGCTGTAATTTCAATGCTGTGTGCCAGGATTACGCGAGGTTAGATGCATCAAAGTCAGACCGATTGCACAAAAAGAAGATGATTCGCTACGTGCAACGGAACTCCCAAGGAATTCAAGAATGACTGATATCGTGGTGCGTTTTCTTGTCCAATTTCATACGTCGTTGAATAATACACAGCATGTGAGATGTTTCACCTCCGGCTTGGATAGTGGTTGATAGATATGTTCACACAATCTCTCTTACTATATTGAAGACTGATGGTTCTTGAATCTTGATCCTAAAACTTCAAGATCTCAAGCACGATCTGACCCAAAAATGGCCTCCACAGATGCTCCCGTGAAAGCCAGCGGCGTTCTTGAGGATAAATCTCACCAAGCTATCAGCTCATACTTCATTGGCCCGCAAGCAGAAAATTTAGGTGACTTCAAGGAAAACATCGACTCTATCCTCAATGAGCTCCAAAAAGCAAGGGCGAACTACTTTCCAGAAGATGGAGTAGGTTTTCCCTCCGATATCTCAGCTTCTGGCCATTATCAGCCAAATCATATTGCTGACTTTTGGAAAATTCAAGTCATTTATTACTAATACGACTCGAGACTCGAAAGTGTTTCAAGTATGCAAGAAGAGAGTCTCCAATGCCGTCACGAAGGCAGCTCACCTGCTCGGAAAACACTCCTTGCCATATTGGTCTCCCCGTTATCAAGCACACATGTGTATGGATATGAGCATGCCAGCACTTCTGGGATACTTCATGACCATGATCTACAATCCTAACAATGTTGCCATTGAAGCCAGTCCTCTAACGACGGTGGCTGAAATTGAAGCCGGTGAGCAGTTGTGTCAAATGTTCGGATACAATCTTGACGCAACCACACTCAATCAACCCGTCGGCTGGGGTCACATCACTTGTGGGGGAACTGTGCCAAACCTAGAAAGTATTTGGTCCGTAATTGTGCCCGCATGTTCCAACCTAACGTATGCTAATTTTGATCAGGGTCGGTAAGAAGATTAACCTCAAAGAGTACATGCGTTCACTGATTGTGGTGATCCACCAGCTCGCAATCTCAAATTCTACCCTTTCTCAGTATTCAAGGCCCTACAGCCTACAAGTCTCCTGCATTTTGTCTCAGAATCCTTCCATATTGATACATGTGAGGGTGAGAGAAAGCTTCGCCGAGCTGAATTCCTGGGAGCTTTCAAATCTCAAGCCAAAAGACGTGTTGGACATTCCCGATCGGCTTGCCAGAGAATATGGAATATCTCCCAAGTGCATGGAAAAAGTTCTGCACGAGTACAGCATCCAACAGACTGGAAAAGATGTGCTTGAACGAGAGTTCGAGCTCAAGCCTTCGTAGTATTTCCTTTCGAACACCCGACATTACTCTTGGCCAAAAGGAGCAGGTATCCCCCTGAAGGCTAAAATTGATGCAATCTGCTAACATCGCAAAGCTGTTGCTGGAATCGGTGCTCAGAATGTGATTGGAGTTCCTGTAGATCACGGGGCTCGACTTCGACTCGACAAGCTTGAAGAGCTCCTCGAGCAGAGTCTTGCTAATGAACAAGCCGTCTATGCAGTCGTTGCCATTATCGGTTCGACTGAAGAAGGTTCCGTCGATCGCTTAAGTGAAGTTCTAGCTCTGAGGAAGAAATTTCAAGCTCGTGGATTATCATTTTTGGTACATGCAGACGCTGCCTGGGGTGGATATTTCGCTTCCATGCTCCCAACTGAATATCAACCCGGGGATAAGGCGAAACTCACAATTGGTGACGCGGATGCGCAAATCGGGGAAGGTGTAGTTCCAGACTCAGCCTTACGAATTGAAACGCAAGAAGATCTGTTTGCTCTGCGCTTCGCAGACTCGATCACAGTTGATCCACACAAAGCAGGGTACATACCATATCCAGCTGGTGGATTGTGCTACCGAGACGAGAGAATGAGATACCTCGTTACGTGGACGAGCCCAGTTCTCTCGAGAGGAACTCTCATAAGTATGGGAATCTACGGCGTTGAAGGAAGGTACGTGAATGTCGCGAAGGCTTACATTTACATCTGGACTCATAATTGGAAAATAGTAAACCCGGAGCGGCTGCAATGTCAACATGGCTATCTAACAAATGTATTGGGATGGGTCCAGATGGTTATGGTGCTTTGCTTGGTGAAGTGACATTCACGTGCAGCAGAGTAAGCACTGAACCATACATTTCTTGACTCAAGCTGAGAACAATACAACAGTTTGCAGCAGAATGGGCTGCCATGACAGCCCTCGACAAGGATAATTTCAGGCTCGTTCCATTAAACATGCTTCCCTCGGAATTGAAACCAGGCTCCACCACGGCGAAGGTTGAGGAAGAAAAGCAGCGGATCAGAGATACAATTTTATCTAAATCAAATGCGCAAATTCTCGCATCAGATGTCGGCAAACCTGAAGAAGAGAAAACAATGACTCTGCTCCGAGCTCTCGGATCCGATCTGAATATTAGCGCATTCTCGCTCAACTTCCGCCTGACACCAGGAAAGGATGGTGCATGGAACACGGACGTTGAGGAGGCAAATTACTGTACGCATTCCCTCATCTCTTTTTCTGCAGACTTGGAACTCCGAACTGTAAAGCACTGACACCTTGAAGTGATGCGAAGAGTTATCGAGAGACTTTCTGTCGATTCCCCCGAAGATGACCCTTCGACTATTCCGTTCGTGCTGACCTCGACTGAGTTCAGCAAGGAGCTGTATGACGAATGTGCTACCAACTTCAAGCGACGTCTTGGACTTCGAAAGGACGATTCTGATTTAATGGTGCTGCGAAATGTTGTCATGAATCCCTTCCCAACCGAGAGAAATTTCATAGGCAAACTCGCCCAGATATTCAGGGGCGTCGTGGAAGAGGAAGTCAAGGTAGACTCGAAGGATGAGACTCAATCTGGGCTGTAACACTGACGACATACAGGTCTGTCAACAGCGAAATTCGGCTGCGCCTACAAACCACGAGTTCCTTCTCCATGGCAGCGACAAGCTTTTCATACTTCTTGTGCCTTCATTCCACATGGCCAATCATCGCCAACAACTCATTGTTGAAGTTGACTTGGATGCCAAGAGCAAGGGAGAATATCTCATTCTGAAGAATGCGAGTCCTAATGAGCAGCTCACGCTTGTAACACAAGTTCCCATTATTCTATCCAAGCTTCTGAAGCCGAATTCGCGATTCAAAGCTGCCGTGCGATCCAGAGATGCGTAAGTGTAGCCCGGATCAACCGCATATTCGCTAAAGCTAATAGCATCAGTGGTCTCGTGTTGAAAGACATTACCGTCACCACCAAACATGTGGTCAAGAGTAGACCTCTCAACACCTCGTATCTTGATCCCACTTATCCGTCAGACTTCATGCCATTTTACCTCTATGGCACAAGTACGGAGCAACATATCGACCACATGCTTCTAAGAGCTCCAAATGTCCAATTATCAGCTGAGAATATCAAGCTCGAGCTCGACAATTCTTTGTCGGAGGAGCAGCTGGCTCGTGGACCGATCCTCTGCTTCAAGAATGTTCATGAGGAGAGCATGCAGCCTTTCCCGTCAAATGGCGAACTGGAAGCGAATTCCTCTTTCATATTCAAAGCTGGACGCAAAATGCCGGTTCAGATAATCGCGGATGAGAATGATGCCAATGCTCATGGCCCGGGCCTGGCAAGGTCATGTGGAAAGGAGAAACTGTTGTTGGCGACAGGAACGGTGACGCTTGGGAAGAGTGTGGTGGTAGATAGCCAGACGATGAATGTTGATCCATTCAAGAAGGTGGGAAAGGTCGTCAAATGGAGAGAAGAATTTGCTAAGATTGGGAGAAGCATGGACTCTTGAGTACAAATAATCGCCACAACCACCCAGGGAAAGAATTTAGTTCTCCAGATTTAGGGGCCAGATTGGTCAATTTATTATAAGGTTTTGATTCTCGATACTGCAAATGTTTCCCATCCCAATTCTCAACAAGAGAGTTTCTTCGAAGGAGGAACATGTACAAGCATCTCTTGACCATGTGTCCAGCCACTGATGCGAGTGATGAAGTTAAGTCGCCAGCCCCAGTCCGGACTAGACCTTTGAAGAAAGCGTTTCAGCCCATTCAACCATCTGAGGGGGAGGTTTGCGTTTTGGCATCGTTGCATCCCAGGCGCTCATGAACTTTATTATATGATCATCCTTCCCAGCAGCAGCAACAATTGCTAGCCCGTATGGACGCCCATTCGTTGGAGAATACCCAAGCGGAACGGTCCCTACTGGGCACCCGGCAGCTGCGGCAATAGTCGGGATCCGACCATCCATAGGGCCCACAATCACATCCAAGTCGAAATCTGCTAGTGTCTTATCCACCCCATTAGTCTTTGCTGCGAGCCGGACCAACTCGAATGCCTCTTTGTATTGTGTTTCTGTCATTTTGTCTTTGAGACTAAGCTCAAGAAGTTGTTGACCTGGATATTGTGATGGTAGCTCCTTGTCGGCATTCTGATTGTTGAATTCTACCATATCTGCAATGCTTCGAATTTGGGGTTTGTCGAAGAACTCCAAGTACGCAGCCCACTCAGCAGCGAAATCATGGTCTTTATTCGATTAGCGGTGTCTTTCGTCACAGGAACCTTACTCACTCCACAATTGTTCAAGAGCATCCTCGCCATTGTAGTTCAGGTCATCCATTGAAGGGAAAGGGACGTCTTCCTGAACCATCACCCCAGCATCTCGAAGTCTAGTCTTCACATTCCTGTAGTCAGCTCGCTGCTGAGCGATGAGGTCTGGATCAGCAGTGCATATGAAGTCAACAAAACTCCACAATTTGTCATCAACAAATCCAATCCTCATCCCGTTCCAGCTTTTCACGAGCTTCTGTGTGTAATTCTCCCCTTCAACCAGAACGTCCATCAACAAAGCCAGATCTTCAGCGGATTTGGCCATTCCCCCAATGCTGTCTGTCAGATGGGACCAAGGGGCAGTACCCTCTGTTGATAGAGTACCGACGGTCAGCTTCAAACCATAGAGCGCAGCTCGATTTGCTGGTTGGGTGATCGAGCCATCAGTTTCGGTCGCCAATGCGAGCGGGGCGAAACCGGCAGCAAGGCCAGCTGCACTACCCGAAGAAGATCCTGCTGGAGCATGTTCTTGAATCAGCTTTTGATTGCACAGATGAAATATACTGAGAGCATACTGATTGTCCGAGAAGCTTCTCTCCCTTTACCACGCCGCCAACAACATATGGCGATTGTGTCTGACCACCAAGTGCTGACCAGCCAGTCGTGATGCCAAAACCTTTCCATCCGGTCATTTCCTATCCGCATCTGTTTAGTCATATCTCATGGTGGCACTCAGCTAGGAAACTCACTGAAAGATTAGCTTTTCCTATGATGATCATGCCTGCTTTGATAAGCTAGAAACATGCTTGTCAGACTGCCCCATATCTTGCTTGGAGGAATATGACTTACTCGATCAACAATCGGGGCATTTCCTTTGGTTTTGGCGTCCTTCAAGGCGAAAGTGCCGCAGGTTGTGTTCATCCCTAAGGCTGGATCTGTACATATGTTGTCCTGTTCCTGAAGTAAGATCGAGTTCTTCTAAAATAATCAATAAGTGGCGCTCACCTTCACTGACACGGGGATACCGTGAAGGGGGCCTCTTGTTTTTCCGGCTGCCCGTTCCCTATCCAGATCTTCTGCGATAGCTGTGGCAATATTTCGAGGAATAGTGCTAATCATAGCATTCAAATACAGGCCCTGGTGGTTTAATTTCTCGATCTGATCCAAGTACAAATGAACAAGGTCTTTGGACGTCACCTCTCCAGTATTCAGAAGCCTTTGCAAGTCGACGCATGTCACCGTAAGAGGGTTAATTTTGATGTGTTCTCCCATTGTGGCTTGAGCGTGTAGCTCTTCAGCCGAAATGTTTGTTGATAATGGATGGCCGATCTGATCGGTGCTGGTGAACAGGTCAGAGCGAGAACTGATCCTAGGAATATGATACAAATCACTCTCCCGATGACAAGAAGAGTGATGGGACGTGCTTTGATTCGCGTTCACGAAGTGCCATAGAAAACGGAAGTGAGTGAATGATCAGAAAGACGGGGCAGGCGCAAGGAGAAACAAGACCGGCAGCATTACCGTTCTTTGTTCGCTTCACCTCATCTTATAAAGAAAGCCCCACTGACACAATTGAAGTCGAATGCACACATCAGACTCAGGCAGTACTCTTTATTGGAACGAGATTTGGTTCGTTGATGCACGTTATCGACTTCTCATTCCATCCCCCCAGTGCCCGCCACCACGTAACCCGTGGTACTTCGATGCAGGTAGGTAGAGGCTCTCTTAACAAGGAAAGGCCAACGACCGCATAGGTCTTGCTGTTTTCGGAAAACGCGGGCCAAGCCCACCTTGATTCTCGAGTAGGACTCGTCAATCACAATAAAACCACCGGGGTGGACTTGGAATCAACCACTTGATGATGTAAAGGAAATGTCCCGGTTTCTGGTGCCTGCATCATTCCAGGCAAGCCAACTGGTACGAAGGGTACTTGTGCCAACTTAGAAGCACTAGAAGGCAAGCCGTCCTGCCGTAAGTCGAAGGGGTATCGATTCGTGATGGCCATCTGGTAAGGAGGTAAGGCTAGATCGGACAGCTCGACAAACTTCTATTTGTATCCGGCCAATTCCCGAAGCCGTAGCATCTATTCTTATACACCCATAAGTACATCCATATCATACACACTCACCCTCTACCTAAGCTTCCGTCCCAAGCCTCTCTTCTCCGCATTCGCCGCCTTCCTAATCCCCGCCTTCCTCCATGCTGTGAAACGATCCCGAGGCTTAAACTCCCTGACCTTTATCTTGGCCCTCTCTGCCGCTCTTCCAATCTCCCAGTTGGCCTCACGGTACATGTATCCAGGACGTAATTTCAATTCCCGACCTTCTTCTCCCTTCCTCTGTTTGACCTTTGTCTGCTTCACACTGACAGGTACATTGGCATCACCTTCCGCAACCAGATCCGTACGCACTGTCACCTCGCTCGTGACCTCAGGTGGAGTCTCCATTTTCGTAGCAGTCATGTTGAGGCGGCGGCGCCGCATACTGTTTCTTGGTAAGGGAAGGACTTGGTCGCGCTCGAAGACGACACCGATGTACTGGCGCTTGGGGTTCTTCTCAGGGTCTTTGTAGTATTTGACATAGCCGTGATGCGTGGCGTATATCGTGTGATCGCGGCCCATGGCGCAGTTCTCGCCGGGGAACCAGTGTGTGCCTCGTTGGCGGAAGATGATGTTTCCTGGAATGACATATTGTTCTGTTTGCTATGATCAGTACTGCCATTCTCAAACCAGATACACCACTCAATTGCAAGGCAAAGCTCCGGAGTCTCTTACCTCCAGATTTCTTAGCACCCAGCCTCTTTCCCGGTCCATCCTTCGCTTTATTCACAGCTCCCTGGGCTTTATGGGAAGCCCATCTCACAGCACCCGCATTCGCTGGTCTCGCCCGAGTCGTCAACTGTGCGAATGCCTCATTTAAACAGGTCGTCTGTGTTCCTCCCGCAGTCGATCTTGCAATTGACGTGAGAGCCGCCCGCAGCGGCGGTTGTAATCGTGGCAGCAGCATTGCGGTGGTAGTGACTGCTCTGTTCTGTCGTCGTCGTTAATGTTGATTTTCAAAAGGGCCGGCAAGGATGCCGACTTCACGTGCTGGCTCGACAGGGGTGGGCTTTGAAGCTATTTGGCCAGTTCGACCACCCCTCGATTACATTACCACCACTTCTTTGTCAACACTTCACTGCACCAACTTTGAACTTGTTTCCAAGTCTCTCCAGAGCAGATACTACACTGAGAAAATATCTACAGCCGCAATACTGAAACTACCGCCACGACAAATCCACAGGCGCAAACATGGCTCGCATACTACTTTCCCTCCTCTCCGCAACGCTCCTCTTCCTCTCAGTTGTAAACGCCCAGTTCCAATTCTTTGAGCAGATGTTCAATGGACAGGGGCAGCAGCAACAGCAAAGACATCAAGAGCCGCAGAATGTACCAAGTGATTCAAATTGGTACCAGCAGAACTTTGAGCAAGGTAAGCCTCCGTTTCTCTTGTCGGTAGCTGGCCTAGATCATTCCATTGTCATTCTTAGTAAATTTATAATGGGAAGAGATGGTAAGAAAGAGGCTAATATTTAAGCAGCACACTGCTCGAATTACCTGTGTCCCGACACCTTAGCATGCGTACATTTCCCACATCACTGCCCTTGTCCTCACCCTACCTTCGAAGAGAAGTTCGAACTTGGCGATGGCAAGGCAGTTTGTATCAGTAAAGGAGGCTTCAAAGCTGGAGAAGCGGCGCGGAAGGTTGAGCTGGCAAGGAAGGGGTTGCTATGAGAGAGTAGAGGGGTGTAGGATCTAACACGGAGCGAATACAAATACTGAGAGAAAGCCTATTCTGGAGAGGAATATGTGCTATTATGTGAAGACAATACGCCTGTATCGAAAATGAAGGAAGATCGGAGCGAAAACATCTGAAACGAATAGAGAGCGGAATGTTGAGCCATCAAATCATTTCACATTAGGTACCTGTTTATATAGGTACACATCTACACCTCGCTGCCCTTTGTCCTCTCATAATAACTCAATGCCCCCTTAGCCTTCGCACAACTACTCACACTTCCTCCATTAATGTTCGCATTAACCGGCAGCGCCTGGTTCCTCTGCACTTGTCCAAAGACATGGTAATAATACCACACCTCAGTCAGAACCGTCCTCCCATTATCCAACGTCCCATTGCCCTTCGCCGTCTCATTGAATCTCGGGCCAGAACAACCAATATACGGCAAAGCACCAAACCCAGCCACCAACGCACCCTGCAAATCAGTCAAGCTGTACTTGGTTTGATTGCTTGGCCGGATGTCCGCAGCTGAGAGCCAGCCATAGGTTGGCAGATTTTGATAGTATGCCACAGAGGTCTCGAAGAAATCGACAACTTCGCTGTGGTTTTGGTACATTGGGCCGTAGCAGGGAAGCTCAAATGTCGAGAAGCATGTTGCGTGCTTGGAGAACTCGTGGCCCCAGAAGTCAGCATTGGGTTGGTTCTGGGCTACCCAGTATTTGTTCATGTAGGCGAGCAAGTCGAATTTGCCGAAGGGCTCAAGGAAAGTTCCGATGCTGGGGCCAGTGTATGGGATGACTGGCTTGCCGTCTGGCTTTCCGGTGGTCGTGTTGGGACTCGGTAGGGGATCATATTGACGGCTTTAGAAGTTGGTCAGTGTTGTCTCTATGTTGACAAGTGAAGCTGTGACAAACCTTAGATCACAGTATTGTGTGTATGAGCCATTACAAAAGTCAGGCCACAGACCATGAAGCGTCCATGTGTTTGCAGGAAGCACTTGTCCCTCAGACTCAAGACCCGTATAAGTATCCCAGAATTGGGTGCTCAATACTAGTCCTCCAAATGTTTCTGTACAGCAGGAATCCGTTACATTTGGATACGCGTTTGCGGAACATGACAGAAATGGAGTTTCTGCAAATATTTTAATTAGCCACTTCAATTGAACATGATTGAGTATGATTGCAAACATACGAAGTTGGCATGTATGGTTCAGATTGCTCTGGCCAGGATACAGCTGTGCTTGAGAAACAGCAAGCGCTGAGGCAAGAACTGAGATTCTACTGAAGAGCATCTTGAGCGTTTGGATATTACAGTAAATATTAACAGCAAGTAACAAGCAGCAGGGAGTAAAAAGGGAAAGAAAAGAGAGCTTCTGGAAGCTATATAGCTTCTCCCTGCATCCTGTCAAAGACGGTCGATCCTCAATAACCTTGACCTTCTCCATCGGGATAATCAGCTCCGTTGCAAGGTTCCGGGATTCCTACAGTAAGTACCTGCTACGTGCAGGTACACGGGTAATTCAATTGGTTTGCAGCGAGCGACTTCATAGAACCAGTGATTTTTTTATGCGCAGGATGAGATCATGGCTCATTGGAAGCTTGAGTTGTGCAGGAGCTTGAGCTTGGAAGACCTGGATGCTGGGGAAAGCTATGCTGGATGGAGAAGGTCTTTTGGCGGGAGAAAGGCACGTGGGGAGAGATAAGACTTTGAGAGGAGGGGTACTATGGTTGCTGGCAAAGGACGAACTAGTCTGAACTTTTTACTTTTTATTGGGGACGGACTTGGCCGATGAATACAAGTACTCGTAGGTAGATTTTGATCATTTTCCTAAGCAGCCGAGGCAGATTATTTCAATCGGGAAAGCTATTTCATTTCTAACGGGGTACCTACCTACTTCTGGCACAATGTAGCGAATGGAATGACCTGCAAAGCGGAAACCAGATATAGAACAACGAGTCAAACAGGAGAAGCTGAGAGTTGCTCACGATTTTATCAGCTACATCATCAGGCAACAAAGGTATCCTAGATGTCAGACAATGGATTCAATTCACTTGAAACGCTTGTTCTCGACGCGATCAAAACGATCTGATAAGATTAGGGAGTTGTGCCAAGCTAAACATTTTTGATATCACCTGGTTGGAACATCCCTCTTCGATCGAACCTGAAATCAAAAATCTGCCCAAATTTTACCAAAACACCAACTCAGCTCGGAGACAACTGATAGATTCCAACCAGACCCAATTTCCAAAACTTCACCATCCTTCTGTCCAGCCTGGCCCAATCAAGGTGGATTGGAAGCTGCACTGGACACGTGACAAGTTTCATCTCCAGAACCTCCCTCGAAGGACTGCCATTCCAAAGGAGACCGCCTCGGAGACTTGCACTTAGAATGAGCAAATTCTACTTCGGCGGTGCCTCCGGCTCTGTCTCCTCAGACGACGAAGACAACCTCCCATACCCTGAGGCTCTCCCCCGCAGCGACTTCCTCGCACCCACCTTCTCCGCCCCAGCCTACCTCTCCACGCTCTCAGACCGGCACCAAACACTCGAAGACCTGCGTTCCGACCTACGAGAACGCTCACAAGCTCTGTCCAAAGAACTCCTTGACCTTGTCAACACCAATTACGAGCAGTTTCTCAGCTTGGGCTCGGATCTCAAGGGTGGTGAGGAGAAGGTCGAGGATGTTAGGGTGGGACTATTGGGGTTTAAGAGGGGTGTTGAGGATGTTAGGGGGAAGGTTAGAGAGAGGAGGGGGGAGGTAGAGGGGTTGTTGAGAGAGAAGGGGGAAGTTAGTAGGGAGATTGCTCTGGGAAGGAAGTTGTTGGAGGTGGATGAGAGGTTGGAGGAATTGGAAGATAGGCTGATGGTCGCGTCTCTTGGGAAGACGGTCGATGGGAGTCAGGAGGACTCGTGGAGTGATAGTGAGGATGAGGATGAAGAGGATGATGAGCTGGCTTTGGATGGTGCTGTTGGTGGGACCAGTACCAAGAAGTTGCAACGGCTTGTAGTTGATTGTCGACGAGTCGAAGCACTGGCGGAGAATATTGGAGAAGAACATCCATTTATTGTTGCTCAGCAGTCGAGGATTATCAGGGTTAGGAACACAATTCTCCTGGATCTCAGCACAGCTTTGAAGCAGACCGCAGTTATGGGCGAGAGTGGAAAGACGAGGTTGATCAAGATCTTGAGCATTTACCGAGAGTTCGAGGCAAACGCAGAGGCGGTGAAGGTATTAAAGCACTTGAAATCAAGGTAGAATCTGACTTTGGCTTGTAGCATGGCGTTAGGGTTCAGTGGCATCGAAAACCAGTATGACGGATACTCTCGAGAGAACTTTGTAGATCTAGCGCTACAGTCCCCACAAGGCAAGACAAAAAAATATGATACATCTAATCTCTACAATCGTACATACTATGAGGTTGACAAATCCCTCGGAGTGATATCTGAATTCAGAGACCTGAACTCTCCACTGAGAGGAAATCCTGGAGCATTCGTCGAGCTTAAAACCACTTCAGCCACCTCCTTACTGATCTTGTCACTCATGTTCGCCATATCCTTCTTCACAGCTTCAATCACGGCCTTGATGTTCCTCTGCATCTCCTCGGGTGTGAACCCTAACTGTCCAACCGCCATCCGTACCACACCTAGACGTTCTCTGTATTCCGCGCCTCCAATCAAATCTTTCAACATTCCAGCTGGATCCTTTACCACAGTTCCCAGCTTGGTGCTCGGCATCAGGCCCTTCGGTCCAAGGAATCTACCCAGTCCAGCCTTGTTCATCTTGTCCAGAGAATCCGTCTGGCAAATACATCTGTCAAAGTCGATCCGTCCATCCTTCACAGCCTCGAAGATTTCCTCCTCCCCTACTAATGTGGCTCCAGCTGAGAGAGCTTCCTTCGCATACTTCGAATCGGGCGGGCAAATGACACATATTCGAACATCGGTCTTGACGGGATGTGGAAGCCGTAGTCGATTTCGTACCACGGGACCGTTCTTCAGGGACTTGAATTTTATGTGCATCTCGTATTTCACCGATGTTGGTTTCTGTCCAACCTCAAATGCCCGTATGTATCTAAGCTTGTCAGTCACGTCCATCAAGAGAGTCGCCTTAACACATACCGCATAGCATCGCAGAGAGAGAATCGATCGGCATCTCGCTGATCATACTGAATATAAGTCGTCCGTGCCTTCTTTTTCTTCTTCGAATCATCGCTCTTCTTCTTGTTCTTTTGGGGATTCGAGCTCGTTTTATTCAGCTTCAACTTGTCCGACTTCGCGAGGATTTTCGGAGCGTTTGCTCCTCGGGCTGCCAAAATGGCTGTTGTGCTGAGCAGCCTCGACGAGACTCTTTGAGATGCTGGCCGACTCGATGCTAAACATAAGCTGCTCAATTGAGCTAGGCAGGGTCTTGCTGTCGCCATGGCGAAGATGTTGATGATTGTCCAATATTCTTGAGGTCGCGAGACATCGACATAAATTCAAGGTCTCTTTCCGTCCTAGCGTTCAACAACCCCTGCTCCGCCAATGCAGTCCGATTTGACTCAGAGAGTGCACCCCGCCAAAATATTCAAACCCCTCCAAAACTCCCACCACCATTTGCCCACACTATAACACCGCAATAATGAAGCCGCAGGAGGTATCTCAGCTTGCTGCTAGCCTGTCGGCTTTAGACTTCAAAGCTATCGAGCCTCATCTCACCGCCCTTGACAAACATCTCACGCTCAGAACGTATGTGGAGGGGTACACGCTCAGCCAAGTCGATACCGATATTTGGATTGCCATTCGTACAAACAGAGTCGCAGCTGCCGCTTTGAAGAGAGGAACTCTGGTCAATGTTGGGAGATGGTTCAACTATGTCGAGCAAAGTCATCCAGAGATCCAGCAGGAGATCAAGGCAAAAGATGAGGCCGAGAAGGCAAAGAAGGCGGTTCAAAGTCGCGCAGGTGCCAGCTACAACATGGCCTTACAGGATGTCGAGAAGGGCGTTGTTACCAGATTCCCACCTGAGCCATCGTGAGTTCCTTTGCTCTCGTCCACCTCACTTTTTGCTAATTCGAGGCAGTGGATACCTCCATATTGGACACATTAAAGCCGCACTTTTAAACGACTACTTCGCACACGAGCTCTACAAAGGCACATTACTCCTTCGATTTGACGATACCAACCCGTCGAAAGAGAAGCAAGAGTATCAGGACTCAATCGTGGAGGACCTCAAGATGGTTGGAATCAAACCGGACAAGACAAGTTACACTAGTGATTACCTCGAGGACCTCTACCAATATGGCATTCGCATGATCAAGGAGGGTCACGCATATGCGGATGATACAGATCAAGAGACCATGCGTGCTGAGCGAATGGACGGCATTGCAAGCAAGAATCGTGATAAGAGTGTTGAGGAGAACCTGGCTATCTTTGAGAGCATGAAGGAAGGATCCGATATTGGACGGAAATACTGCATTCGTGCGAAGATGTCTGTGGATAATCCAAACAAGGCCATGCGTGATCCAGTCATCTACCGTTGTAATGTGGACACACCTCATCACCGAACTGGTACGGCATGGAAGATGTATCCTACCTACGATTTTGCTTGCCCAATTGTGGACTCGTTGGAAGGGGTCACTCATGCTTTGAGGACTACTGAGTATACCGACCGAAATCCGCAGTACCAATGGTTCCTCGACACACTAAAGCTCCGTCAAGTGCACATGTGGGATTTTGCAAGAATGAACTTCATTCGAACTGTTCTCTCGAAGCGGAAGTTGACAAAATTGGTTGATTCCGGAGCCGTTTGGGGCTGGGATGATCCCCGAATGCCCACCATCCGAGGAGTCCGTAGACACGGAATGACTATCTCAGCGCTGCGAGACTTTATCTTGAAGCAAGGACCAAGTCGCAACATTGTGGTAATGGATTGGACGAATTTCTGGGCTTCGAACAAGAAGGAGATCGACCCTGTTGCGCCACGACATACCGCTGTTGCAGAGAAGGATGCAGTGAAGGCAACCCTTACCAATGGACCAGAGAAGGCATACACTGAGGATAAGCCCAAACACGTCAAGAATCCTGCTGTTGGTACCAAGAAGGTCGCTTTCAGCAAGCACTTGATTCTCGACCAGGAGGACGTGAAGCTTTTTAAGGAGGGCGAGGAGATTACCCTTATGGGCTGGGGTAACGCGTTTGTCCGAAAGATCAACGGATCGAATTCCATTACGGATATCGAGCTTGAGCTCCATCTCGAGGGTGATTTCAAAAAGACTGAGAAGAAAGTAACATGGCTCTCCACCGATGGACAGGAGCTTGTCCCAGCTGAGGTATGGGAGTTTGACCATCTATTCACCAAGGACAAGTTGGAGGAAGAGGATAACTGGGAGGATTTCGTCAACAAGGATTCCGCGACCATGGTACCGCAGTTGTGTGACGAGAACGTCAAGGATTTGAAGGAGGACGATATCATCCAGCTTGAGCGCAAGGGATTTTATAGAGTGGATAAGCCGGCGGCAGCTGGGAAGGCTGTGGTCTTGTTTGGAATTCCTACTGGAAAGACGAAGTAGACGTAAAAGTATCTATTGCGAACGGCTTAGATGGTCGGCAATGAATGATTTGTGATGCATGTCTTGTGGAATTGGTTTCTCGTGCCTTTTCAACAAGGTAACAGCTAGATGTATTCCTCTTAATGACTCCTCGCCCGCTGCTTTCACCGAAGTCTGGATTCAGGGCTTGCGATCCCAAGCAAGACTTTCCCTTGGATTTCGTTTTCCACGGACTACCATTGGGCTAGAAACGAGATCAAGGGGCCTAAGAATATGCATTTGAGATTCCGCGTCGGCTTTGGTAGGGTAGCGGTGAGAAAGAAGTTAATTGGAAAGGGATAAAGAGCTGACTCCATGTCTTTTGGTATTGCCTGTGGTCCTCAGGCAATCGACCCAGAGTGAATGTCTTTTCTAGCTCTGATATCTAATTTAACAGCTTGTAGCGTGTCGAAGCGACAAGTTTCTCTCGGGGTAACGAGCGAATGTAAACAAAGAGAACTCGCGGACACACTCCGGAAGCGATGACCAAAAATTATCAATAATCAAGAACTATTTCCCCAATTTGGCATATTTTCTGATGAGTCAAGAAGTGACATAAATCAAGAAGAAGCGTGATACAATTTCGAGAACGCACTTCCCTCCTTCTCTAGCAAAACGCTCGGGCCCCCAAACTCGACCAAGTTCCCCTTGTTGAGCACAGCAACGCGATCGAAATCAAGGAGACTATCCAAGCGGTGCGCAATCATAATGATGGTATGGGTTTTGAACTCCGAGCGTATGATCGCTTGCATTTGTGCATCGGTCTTGACGTCGACGCTTTTATGAATGAATGTCAGTGTTTGCCTTACAATATGATGTGTCGCGGTAAGTTGGGTGGGAATGTGATGGATAATTCATACCTGCTCGTCGGCTCATCAAGTATCAACAGTGAACTCTTCCTTAGTATCGCTCTCGCGAGACAAAACAATTGTCTCTGTCCGTATGAAAGGAAGTTCTCATCCATAACCGCATCCAGCACCGCGACATCCGCTTCCTTTCCTCCTTCGACTTTCGCGGCAATCACGTCCCAAAGTCCGACTTTCTGTATCGCAGTCACTATCTCGGTGTCACTTGCTTCACCTAGAGGATCGGCGTTCAGACGGATGGAGCCGGTGAAGAGGAAGGGGTCTTGCGTGAGGCATATGAGTCGCTGGCGGATGAGTGGCCGGGGGATGGTGGAGAGGTCGTGGTTGTCGAGGGTTATTTTGCCGGAGCTCAGTTCAACCATGCGGAGGATGGAGGAGATGAAGGAGCTTTTTCCGCTATCAAAGCGCTTAGTCTATATGTAGGTGAGGGGAGCAGAAGTGAGAGCTTACCTGCCGCTCCTGCCGCATATGCCAATCTTTTGGCCTGGCAAGATCGACATACTGATATTGTTCAGTACCGGAGCTGTATGGGACCTGCGGCACGGTCAGTACTAGGAGATAGGGAAGGTGTCGGATCGATATACCCATAGCTGGCGGAGACCCCCTCAAAAATTAAATGTCCTTGTGCTGGCCATTGCGAATCAGGCGCTCCATCTTCTCCTTCCAACAGCTCACTTGGAGTATCCTCTGAAAAGCTCTTGATTCTAGCAACGGCACCCAAAGAAGTTTCCAATGTGGTCCATTGCATAATCAGCGCTGCAAGAGTCTGTCCGAGACTAGTGACTTGCACCAGAGCAATACCTAGCAAACCGGGACTGATCTTGTGCCGCAGGAATACAGCCAAGATGACAAGCAATATCGCTACGCCAGCGACAATCAAGTCCAGGACCAAAGTAAGCCAGCGTTGGATACAAAGGAGCAAGTAGTATGGCTTCTGGGATGCGTCTAGTAGACGTAGATTCTTGTTCCTGTATGCTTCGGTCCAGCCAAATGCTCTGATTGTCACGAGACCGCTGAGTGTTTCCATGAAGTGTGAGAAGATGGGAGCTTTTGTCTCGATTCTGTGAGATATAGGTCAGAATGGATCTCATGTCGCAAATCAGAGGACTTACTCGAGTAGACGAAGCTGGCGGGAAGTTCGAAGGTAGAATCTTTGAATGAGGTAGAGCACTCCAACAATAAGCGGAAGAACTGCGGCGAAATAACCAACAGCAGCAACAACAAGTGACATGGTCCCAACGGTGGAGCCAATTTCTAAGGACTTGATTAGGACAATATCTCTCAGTTATGGGAGAGAATAAGCACATACGGAAGAAAACATTGATCAGGGCACCCGGTAAAGTCATGTCGACAAGTCGCATATCTTGGCTGAATCTTCTCATGGGTTAGTAGGCGGAACTTAGATCAAACGACGTTGCTCAGCAGTACCTGTTTACAAGCTCTCCTGTCTCTGTCGCCGCATAAAACGCCATTGGTGCTCTAAGAGGCTTGTCAGAATATTGAGCACCAAAAGCTTTGAGTTGTCAACTTGCCTCATTGCAGCCCTCAAAATGGTTCTATGAAGACCGTTTGACGATTTTGCTGCTAGCTCAACATACAAGTAGAACACCGCTGAACTCATGAAAAGGGCGACGAGAAAACTCCAAAGCGCATACATCCCGATCCAATATCCCAGCCTCTCATTCGGGTGGCGCTGACTATCAGCCGCCCACCAACTTACCCACAAATCTTGAGAAATGGTCAGCATAGGTTGTGTCAGATTGGTTGGTTGGGGAACACTAACATTGCACCATCATGAGAGTACATTCTACAACCACCAGCACTGAGAATCCAGCAAGACCTAATAAGCCCATAGATTTGGAATAGTAGACATATATTTTCCAGTCTCCAGTCTGTCGACTTAAATCTGTTGTAACTACTTGGGGCACTGGAATCGCCGGTTGATCTTTTGTCTGAGTACGTGGTTCTGCAATTCCGTCGGCTTTCTTGCTTTCTTGACTTTTGGCGAGACTTTGGACATAAGCTTGAGAGATAGCAAGATCGTTGTAGCGACCTTGTTCGAGGATGTGGCCGTTCGTTCCGAGGACCACGATGTGATCTGCCTCAGATAGTCGATGAACTACAGTACAGTCAGTGAATACGAGTCACTGCGCTGTGGGGTATTACTTACCTCCATGAGTAGCAAGGATTATAGTTGTTCCTGATTGAGCAAGTAGTCCATCTTTGCCAAACACACCAGCAAAGACGTGTTGTTCCGTTACTGTATCAAGTCCACTGAAGACATCATCAAAGATGGCAAGTTTCTTTCGAGAGTAAACAGCCCTGGCAATGGACTGTCATGGATCAATATCCGTGCTTCGAATCTTATACCTGGGCTTGTTGCTTACCATACGTTGCTTCTGTCCCCCACTTAAAGTGATCCCTTTGCTACCCACAAGGGTTGCATCGCCAGAGGGCATATGCTGAATATCAGTATCCAGGTTACAAGCTTTAATGACAGTTTCATACCAACCCTGCTCGTAGCTCGATTCTGCGATGACATTTTCTCGAATCGTTCCGTTGATAAGCCAAGGCGTCTGTTCACTGAAAGCTATCTCTTCAGATCGAGCATACACCAATCCACGAGCAGTGGACGTCTCGCCAAGTATGCCTTTCAGCAGTGTTGACTTCCCACATCCGATAGAGCCTACTATCATCGTGAGTCGGGCCTTTGAAGGTAGCTGCAAGGTAGCATTGTTGATAGTTGCCGAAGTTGTACTTGTCCAACCAAAATCGCCTGCTTTGATGACAACTTGGTCATTCGGAGACAAGATCCTGGAATGCGCAAGCGTTTTGGGAGCTGACGGTGGCATCAACTCGATGTCGCCACCGGATGAGGTTCGATTCAAAGGGAAAACAAGGTCATCGGAGCTGTCGTCTGAGCCAAGTGCCCGCTGATCTATTCTGGGTTCTTCGAGAAGGAACTCTTGGATCCGTTGGAAACACCCCGATGAGACGTAGACTTTCGGCAGTGCAAGCAAGAACATTGAGAGGGGATTGTCCAGTATCGTAAGGATCGACAGAGTTGTGACAGCCATTTCAACAGTGAGCGCAGGGCTTCCCTGAACTTTGGCCACAATGGCGTATGCAGCGAGAGTGAAGAATTGGGTAAAAACGTGCGGGAAGTTATCTTTACATCTGTCAGCTGAGCAGCTATTGCTTAGGGGAACTGTTCTCACATATCAACGTTAGTCCACTAGATAGACGTCTGAACCTCTTCGATAATCTCAGCTCTCTTTCTCGCATTGCTTGCATGCTAGATCCAAGCTTTTCAGTCAGACCAAGCATCTTTATGCTTTTCATCGAGCCGAGGGTCTCCGAGGTGAAGTTGACTCTCTGCTGGATAGCCTCCAGCCAGACTTTCTGCCGCATCGTTACGTAGCTTGAGAATTTCGAGGTAACCAGAGTCGAAACTGTTGACGATATCAGCAAGCTACGTTTGAATAAGATTTACGTCGCCGGACTTACCTATAGCCAGAATTACAGGAGCGATGCACACCGCTCCTACCTGACGTTCAAGAAGGTAGATTGCAATGCCAATTTGGAGTAGGTTAGCCCAGAGATCGGTAATGATGAGATGCAAGTTTTCAGCGATTTGCTCAACATCCGTGCCCATCAGAGTCATCGCTGCAGAGTCGTTTATGTTTGCAGATTTCAAGGTAGTAATCTTTCGATATATCATGCCGATCAATCCACCTCGCACCATCGCCATCAATCTGAACGAAAGATGCTGATACCATCCAGTGGCGGTCTGTGTAAAACATTAGTGGCTGTAGCAAGCAAACAAAATGTACGTACCGCATTTCCGATGTACACAAATGTGTAAGCTCCGATGAGTCCGTAACCGATATTTACATTCTCACTGCCATCCACTGATTGAACAAATTTGATGGCTCCGTTGACCAAAAATGGTTGCGCAACGCTGAAACCAACGACACATAGCCTGGGGAAAACAATAGACAAAATATTCCAGCGGAAGCCAATGAGTGCTTGCCTCATGAGCGAGTTCCTGTTCGTTTGGTCGCCTGGGGATATTAGCGAGGCTGCACACCAACCATCAATTACTGATGAACTTACATGTGTCCCACCTCGCCTGCAAATCGTCAGATAATTTGCGCGAAGAGAGGCTTTCGTTGATCGGAAAGATATCGTCAGCAGATAAGACATTGTTAAAGCCCTTCGCGAGTAGTGAATTCAACCACCAGAAGAATCCACGACTGAAAAGCCCACCTGTAACCTCAGGTGACAGCCCTCGGTATGCAGCAAGTAGAATGCGCCTCTTGCCTAGAGTCTCAAGTAAAAGCATCAAAGATTTGACGGCAACAGCCGCCGTGAGAACAGCAGCTATGGGGTCGTTCGCTGGAAGTAGCCATTGTGTCCTAACCCGAGCGATATCAAAGATAAGTGATACGAATAAGTATGCTGCAATGACGAAAGAGGGTCTGATGGCTTTCACATGCTCAAGATGGGAGAGTAAACCCAACCCCAAAGCTGCGAGGAGGTTCAAGACTGTCGAAGCAATCGACAGTCGTGTTTTGAAGTACACATTTGAGGATGACCATAGGATAATTAAGGCGAGTTGAAGACAGGCGTAGATAGCAATAGCACCCTAGAGTTCCGAGCATGAGCATATGCAAGAATTTAAGAGTAGGAGCACTGAGAAACGTACCAACTTTATGGCATGGATGACTGTTGATTTGACTTTTATTCTTCGCTTGAAAAGTCTGATTGCTCGCAGAGGAGTGAAGATAATAAAACAGGCCGCGGGCAGAATGGTGAGAATGCTCTCTTCGAATGACACTGCACTGTGATGAGCAAATGTGAACAAAGAACTAGGCCTCTTTTCACTTACCTGTGAAGTCGAAGCCGCCCCGACAGTTTGCTGATTGCACACCAGGACCAAACGAGTCGTCGCCGCACCCGTTCATGATGGTCGAGAACCGTGAAGGTTGGATTTGTGTGCTAAGGTTCGTTGCTGACTGCTCAGCGTGAGAACTTTATTAGAACCAGCAAGCATCACTCTGACAACTCCGAAATGCTTGTCAGACGGTCGGTCCATCTATGTGCCTGTCGCTGAGCAACGAATTGCAAAAAGTTGGTCGTCCGGTTTCGCGATGTTGTCCCAGCAGCGGTCCACTGCTCTCACGCCTCAAATCGCGGATGGCATCCATGGATACCAAACGATTAACTTAACATGCGAGTATATGACCTGACCTTCCTCATTCGGTATTAACTGGATGCCTGAAGGATGACGTTCCACTCTGCCAGACGACGCAAGACATTCGTGGGCGCTCTGCAGGCCATTGGCCGTGGAAACGAGAACCTTCAATTCGTACAGTATCAGCGATAAGGGACATAAAGTACCTTTCGTACCTTCCGTACCTTAGGGGCAAGATCTCCACTGAAGGCCGAGCTCCGACTCGCTCTCGAGGGTCTCTGGGTGGGAGCCAGCCCACGCCCAGACTCCCCAGACCGTCCGTCAGCTTGTCCGAGCCCCGAACTCCAGGGGTTTCAAAAGTTGTGGCCTGGAAAGTGTCGACGTGTACAATACCTGTTCCAACCCAACATTCCAAGGTTCCAACATTCTGTACCTGTGGAGGTCCTCTACTTGCCTCTCACCATGCATTATATGAAGAAGGTTGTGCGGCCAAATCACGCAGCGGCCATGAAGAATTGAGGTGACAAGAAGACACCCACCACAAGACACCATACCATGACCGCCAGCCGTGGAACGCCGAGTGAGGCAACGCCGCTGTTGCCCGAGTCGCAACAACCAGAACGACCATCTGCAACATCCCGATTTCATGTCACGACTCCTCGGTATATCGTGCTACTTCTCGCTCTCAACATTCTGATATTAGCATCAGCCGGGGGTCTCACAGTCGTACCCCAGACACGATTACTTGAAGATATCTTCTGTCACCGATATTATGGCGATGTCAAAGGTCTCGGCGACATCGACGAGTCACTATGCAAGATTGATTCCATTCAATCTGAGCTCGCTTATGTCAATGGACTGACAACCGCAGTTGAGGCAGTTGTTGGTATGTTATCCTTTTCAGAGATATTCCTCCCGGCTAATCAAGTTTCATAGGATTGACCTTTGCATTTCCCTTTGGAATCCTCGCTGACAAGTGAGTAATAAATGTGTCTTTTTCCTGCTCTTGGCAAGAATGACGACAGGCTATTTTGCCCACTTTTGGCCGTGCATATCTCCAGATCTTGAGATATGCATGGCGGAGTACCTCGTACATAACTTTCATGTCACGGGGCATTGCTAACATCATGACAGAATTGGCCGTAAGCCAGTCTACATGATCTCGATGATCGGAACTGCCCTGTATCTTGTATCCACAATGCTAGTCATTCGATTCTGGCGATTCCTCCCGGCCCATCTGGTAATATTCTGTTCGATATTCCAGGTCATCGGGGGTGGAACCCAAGTTCTGCTAGCAGTCCTTTATTCCATCGCTGCAGACGTGGAATCGAGTGCAAACAGGCAAGTCACATCCTGCCCGTAAAAAAAAAGGACATCATCTAACTCTTCACAGGGCTTCCGCATTCTTCCTCCTAGCACTTGCGAGTTACACCGGCAACCTCATCGGTCCGCTCATCTCATCCGTGATGATGGAAGTCGTGTCTCCCTGGGTTCCACTTCTAAGCGCAATCGCTTTGGTCCCAATAGGAGTCAGCACCTTCATTTTCATCCCCGAGACGCTTCGCAAGAAAGCCGATGACGAAGACACGCTGCAGGACAGCCCGTCGGCGATGAGCAGTATCATAACCCACTTCTGGCACACCCTCACCCAACTCTCGGAATCATTCTTCATGCTCAAATCGCCATCTTTGACCATCATCCTCTTTTCATTTGTCGTCCAGATGTCCCTGTTCTTCGGCAAGAGCACATTCTTCATCCAGTATTTCAGCAAGCGATTCCAATGGAGTCTGGCAAAGACCGGATATCTCCTCTCCTACCGCGGCATCATCAGCGTTGCGGTCCTCATCTTCATCCTCCCAGGGCTTTCAAAGATCCTCCTATCGCCGAACCTGCGTTTTCGCTTCTCCGCTGCGAAGAAAGACCTTGTTCTGGCGCAATGCTCAGCTTTTTTCTCGATGCTTGGATATTTCTTTATGGCTGCTCCCACTGTTCCCATCGTCTTCCTTGGTATCATCGTGGCGACTCTAGGAGATGGATTAGCGCCGCTGTGTAGGTCGCTTCTGACGGCTTACATTGACCCGCAACATATATCTAGAATATATGTATTGGTGGGGATTGTGGAAGCTCTTGGATCGATGTATGCCGGTCCTGCTTTGGCGGCTTTCTTCACTATTGGAATGAGACGGGACGGTCTTTGGATGGGATTGCCGTACTTTTGGTTGACGTTCCAGTGTTTGTTGGTTGTACTCGGGTTGTGCTTTGTCAATCTGCGGTCTGCAATTGTTGGGAAGTCTACTGAGAATGAAGGAGAGCAAGAGGGTCTGGTACCCAGGGGAGAGGATGAAGTGGTGTGAACTGAGCATCAAGTGGGGACAGAGCTCGACACGGGAGATAAATGCTAGAAGGCAACAACACAAGGCGTCATATAGATAGGAGATTTTTAACATTGGTAGATTTTGTACATGGAGATTATCAATTGTGGTAGGACTTATAATATAATACAGCCGACTTTCTAATCTACGTTACCTACCAAGCGCCACAACATATCTTAGTGACTCCCAATATGAAAACAACACTGACAGGCACTGACAATAAATCTTCTCGGAGTACAAACTCACGCAACATTTAGACTACTAGTCTCAGGAAACTCCATTACAAGCCAGCGATGCCCGAATCCTCTCAAAGCCGGTCCAGCAAAGTAGCAACCGATACCGATCAACGACAATTCAACGCAAATATCGCTCTCGATATTCATCGCGCCTTCGTAGCCCACGGCCTTAATAGAAGGGAAAGTGGTATACGGCAGCGCGAACGAGTTGAGGTCGCACCTAATACAAATGACCAACAGAAGCGAGGCGGATCGCAAAGCTGGAAAGCTCTCGACAGCGTATGTTACTATGTTTTGCTAACGATATTAGCACCGAGAAAGCCGGCAAATACAGCTAGTAGATACTTCTAAATCAGCAACGGTATTAGGAATTAAATGAACGAAGTAAAAATGACCTACCAGTGTACAAGACAGCAACCGAGGACCAGTGCCACGTCTCTGGATCCTCCAGCTCGAGCAAACAGCGATAGCAACGCCAACAAACTAGCGTTACATCCCAAACGTCATACTTTAAATTCTTTTGCAACGACAGTAGTATTGGCATTCCCATTCTAAGACTCTAGCTTCCTGTCAAGACCTTACTTGCCTTGCATCTAAGACTGCCCCCAAGAACCTCTAAGCCACAACCCCGCCTCTCCACGTGGATGTATGTGCCCGAGAACGGGCAAAAGGCACACATGCCGAGCCTGTCATGTCCCCCATTTACATTTACCCCTCGCTAGAGAACCCGGTCCTTGTCTCCGACAGTCCGACTATTGGGATCCCAGTGGTCTTGGGTTTGAGAAGTCAGATCTTTGACTCCTTGGGATTATTGGGGTTCTGAACTGTGGGGATCTTGGTGATTGGCTGTGTGCTGGAGTCGCCCTGCTATGTATGAAACGTTGAGCTCGAGGATGTGACATACGGGATAAGCTAAGGGACTTGGGTTCGTGTTGTAGGCGATGACTTTTGACCTTGGGCTTAGGTACCGACGACTTCGGTCTCAACTGTGAAGATGGGATAGGTCCTTACTCGCTTAGACGCGAAAGAATGGGTGGTAAACAAAATTCTGGGGAACAAAAGATACCCGCTTTTGGGAGAGACCGCTCTCTAAAGAATCATACTCTTGAGCGAGGTTTGTGATGCTTAGCGAGTACCAATTTTGTCTTCTCATGTTTTGTTTGAGTTTGTGCTTTTGATTTTGTGAGTAATATCAGCAGATGCAAATGCGGAGACTGGGGAGACTGTAACCAGAAGGAAGAAAGCTTCTAGACTTCATACAGGACCTTGTTCATAGGGCTATGCGACAGGTTCAATCTCTTTGTTGCTTGGAGTCATATGTTCGGTGGACATACCAGAAGTCGGGATCGGACTTACTTTACGAGCGATTGCCGGCCAACGAGATGTACCAACGTCCAAAGTAATTAATTCCCAGCGGGAAATAGGAATTATGGCCAGTTCCAACATTTCTACAGCTTTGTCGCTATCTCCAAACCCCATTCTCTATCTGCAAAGCTGAGATAGAAGCGCAACGCGCTACGCCACTTCAGGAGATACTCTCGAGCTCTCCCACAATTTGATTGGCGGAGGCGGCGAGACTGGCATGCCAAGCCATGGATAGCATCATTTAGTCGCGAGTCGTACGTACATCTGCGGGCTAGGAACAATTGATTTGAAGTTTTGATAGACGATGGATTGATAGGCGTATGCTGCGTCATGGCACAGGAGAATTTATATAAAGTCTGGTGAAAGCTTCATTCTATGTCCTGTTATTTTCTGCAGATTTCAACTTTGACTGACCTTGTTGGAGATTGAACTTCCAATCAACCTGACTTCGAGACCCATCCCGGTCATTATATGAAGAAGGAATCTGGTGCTTTTGAGAATAGACATTGACTCAGCGTTTTCTAAGTTTCCGGCTTCAGGCTTCGCAAAATGGGAGATGTCCTGCAGCTGGTCGTCGGGAATGGCGCCCCAATCCTGGCAGGATGTTTGGGCTACTTCCGACCCATGGATGGTAAGGTCACCGATTGCTGAAATCTTCAGTACAGAATACAATCTGACATGTCTATCTGTAATAGCGGCTAAAATCGTAGGTGGTGTTTTGACTATTGGAGGAGCAGTTGGATACCTCTACCCAATTCCACGTAAGTCCTTCCAAGCTCCCATACTTTCTAGTCTCCTCTCTACACTTCACTTTCTTCTACTTCACGCTGAGTCTGAATTTGTGACTGAAACACTGACATCCCACCCAGTGGCAAGGTTCTTCGGCATTCCCTTCGCCAACTCAACAAACACACACTTCGTCCCCGGGATCGGCGGTCGCAACACCGCTGCAGGAATCACAGCTCTGACTCTCGCTTTCCTGGAAGAGAGAAGGGCGCTTGGAGTTCAGTTGGCCGTGTGGACGTTGGCTGGCTGGGCAGATATTGGGATTTTGATGTCGACGAAGGGAAGCGAGAATGTGTTTGTTCATACGAGGAATATTATTGTGTTGATGGTCATCAGTTGGAGACTGTTGACGACAGATATCTAGGGATGGTCATTATGAGGAATCATCGAGAGTGAGAATTCATGATTTCTGATCATCGAGATGCTCGGCGTACCTATGTGCTTTGAACGGTTCCTGGTTGGAGATTCCGTGTTTGAATAACTGCTTTGTATTGAAAAGCTTAAGAAGTAGCTCACCGAGAACATGTTTGCACAAGACGTATCCAAGACAGTGGAGGCCATCTGATATGCTCGATCCAGGGACCATAGAACCATTTCAGACAAGAAAGATAAGAATACCTGTATTGTTTTGATCAACACATCACGTGTATAATACCCGAAGCCACCTGCAGAGTCCAGACCAGACAAACCCCTTGCATAAGAATCAGGTCATCCCGACAGACTGTTCTGTGTATGCTTCAACGATGAACCCTTGACTTGGCCGTCACACTACATTACCTTGGCGATCAATGGAAGTGAAGTGCCGAATCGAGAAGCATTTGTAAGTCACGTGTAAATCACGTAACTGAAACTCGTCCAGTGAAATGTTTCTCCTTCCCAGCCTCCGAGAGGCCTCGCTTGGCAAAATGATGGGAAAATTGCATGTACATCACCAGACATTTCTATGAGCAAGGTACTGCCAAGTCTCAGAATAGCATCATTGCGTTGTAAACTGGCCGGGTGTTCGGCTTGGAGAGGGGTGCGCTAATTCGTTCCACTCTCTATCTCCACGGCCCGCAGACGACTGGCTACCTTTTAAAAGGAACTCGTGGTCCTCAGAGAGATGTTGGATTTGACTTTTGATAATCCACTTCTCCAGTTCTCCAGTTCTCCAGATTTCGCTCGCTTCCCCGTGTTTCGCCAGCGTCAACGTCGCCGGTTCTTGGGACTCTTGGCAACACTTGGATGTTGGACACAAACGCCCTCGTTTATTTTTGCGTGTCGGACTTTGATTGAGTACCAGATTTTGCATTGTCCAATCACTGCGCACAACTTTCGGACAAGGGGATGTATTGATTGGTGCTTCCGTTCGGAGATGGGCTTGGGAGCTGGTCAGTGGCCATTGCATTGCATATTTCTCTCTTGAATTTTGCGCCTTCGCTTTGCTGATTATGCTATTTTTCTTGCACCTGACGCTATTGTACGTCGATGAGTCGCAAGCCCACAATACAAGTCTCCAAGCTCTCACCCCTCTCTTGGGACTGTCAGACGTTTGTCTGCCGAGTCAACGGCAAATGAAGCGGTGTGCGGCTTATCTGGTTATGCTTCCTGAAGTCCGGCACTGGTCTCTGAAAGCCTCAAGAAGTCAAGGACTCAGGCCAGGACTAGTTGTGTCTCTCTGTTCTCGCTTTCGTTTCCTTGAGCACTATTCAACTATCGTTTCCGACCTTCCGAGTACGATCGAAATAATGGTGCAGTTCTTCACTTGTCCACTCGTCCACTCGTCTGTCCCCTGGGCCTTACATAAAACAAGCAATCAAACCCCAAAATTGTCAATCTATTATAAATTGCTGCAGGTGGCAGGCAAGATGGCGACCATTTGACATTGGCAAGGTCAGCCATGCAGGAGGATTCAACTCAAACTCAAACTTGCCTGCCAGTCGCAGCGATGCAGTGTTTCCCAGCATCTCTACAGTAGTCTCCCAGCCACGAACCGAGAGGCACGGCTCGTCTACACAGACAAAGTGGAAGTTTGGAAGATTCGATGACTGGAAGCCATCTAAAGTTTCCCAAGTGTCAGGGGCCCTCGATTAGGCTCTTGGATTCTCTTGGTTGGGAGGTCGGGGCTATGGCCCGATGGGTAAAAGGATACATGTGTTCACGTGATGGCTACGATCATGGCCCAGAGTGTCCGGGGTCCGGGCGTCCTTCCCCACGAGACGAGGCGTTTGCTTCTTTTCTCCACCAACGTCGTCGCCGCACGCACATTTCCCACCAATGCCGCCACCAAGAACGTCAACGACTTTTGACAGCTCTGGGGGTCGTCTTGATGTCTTGACGGTGGTGTTGTACCTTTTTTAGAGTCTTACTGTTTCTTTTATCGTCTTCACGCTGCCACTTCTCACATCAGCTTGGGCTCTGCATGCAGTGCAACTCTATCCCAGCTCATCCCATGAAGTCCATGGTCGAGGATGATTGTCCTGGGTTGATTCTTCCACGCTTCCAGATCAGACTTCTTCCATATGGCCGGCTTGGCTGGACAGCCACTTTTCTAGGCAAGATATTAATGTGTTATCTTCGTGTGCTTTGCAGCCATACACATTCCAGTTGTATTTACCCGGCATCGGGGCTGATTCGCCAAGGAGCGCCAACCTACCAGGTTGCTCGTCTAGGCTGACGCATAATCCAGAATGCCCTAGCCAGAATGATTATCGGCAGAAATCCAATTGATGGGGCAAGCGCTTCCTGATGATCGTCTTGACTATCGAGCTGTCAGAGTCAGATAGTGTGTCTCAGAGGCGCCAAGCGACAGCAAGGGATAGATGCTCTTTACCTCTGTGGAGTATGTTTTTGTATACTTTGTGTCAGTCTCAAAGTATTTCAGATAAGAAACTCAGAATGATAGATCCTGTTCCGGCAGACGATGTGCATGCTGATTGGAACCATCGTAGCTGCAGAGATTGTTGGGGCGGGCATGCCACATGGACGACCAGGGGGAGCGAACGAAGGTGTCGAATTGCTGCGCAGCGCCAAGTGAATACCAAGACATGAGCATCTGGGGCCCCATGGACGCCAACACGGACTTTAATGTCTGTGGTGTACGGATAGTGGTACAGGTCGCTCCCACGACGAGGGGATATAAGATGGTGTCCCCCGTACACTTTGGCAACATTCGTGCCTCTCTCTGATCAGCAATCTCGAAGTTTAGTCATCTCAAACCGGCCAGAATGGAGAAAATCAACCACAGCGATACGTCTATGGACTTTGACAACCCTAAAGGCCACAAAGCTGAACTCGAGACTTCGTCTAACACCCAGACGTCGTTGGATGATGGCCCTCATTTCGATGCCGCAAGGACCAAGAAACTTCTTCGCAAGTTGGACTGGCATCTTGTTCCTTTCCTCTCCTTGCTCTATCTGTAAGTCACCACCCCGCATCGGCGAATCCTATGTCTATTATCAGAGTCGTCGGACAAACGCTGATCATCTCAGCCTTTCCTTCCTGGATCGTACCAACATCGGAAATGCAAAGCTCTTCAACCTCCTCCCGGATTTGAATATTCCCACGAAGTCACTCCAATACAACAATGCCTTGGCCATTTTTTTCCCCTTTTACGTGGCTGCTGAGATCCCATCCAACATGATGATGAAGCGTCTGCGCCCCAGTCTTTGGCTCACAATTATCATGATGTAAGTTACCAAGATTCTGAATCGGAAGTTCACAGGCCCCTAACCGTTCAACCAGTGCTTGGGCTATTTGCACCATCGCAATGGGCTTTGTCCACAACTACGCTGGACTCATGGCTTGCCGTGTCTTCTTGGGTATTGCTGAAGGTGGATTGTTCCCCGGTGTTACGTATTACATTACTATGTGGTGAGTAGTCTTGTTTTGAGACAATCAACATACCTAACTCGACTTCTAGGTATGCTCGTCACGAATGTGGTCTCCGCATGGCATTGTTCTTCTCAGCTGCCACTGCTGCAGGTGCATTCGGTGGCCTCCTCGCTTTTGGTATCGGCAAGATGGATGGCGTTGGTGGTCGTGGTGGATGGTCATGGATTTTCATTTTGGAGGGTGTTGCCACTCTGCTCGTCGCCTTCGTTGCATACTGGGCTATCAACGACTACCCCCGCACGTATGTTTATACATGTTGAGCTCATGATCTGTGCTAATATGGTATAGCGCCAAGTTCCTTTCTGAGGAGGAACGTACCGAAGTTGAACGTCGTTTGAAGGCCGATCGCAGCTCTCTCGCTGATGAGTTCAACTTGAAGTACGCAGTCGATGCTTTGAAGGACTGGAAGATCTACGTACATATGTTCATTACCATCGGCATCTACACCCCTCTGTACTCCATCTCTCTTTTCTTGCCAACGTAAGTCATCTTACAAAATCATCCCGTCGGAGCGAAACTAATTCCTGTCACAGTATCGTCAAGAACATGGGTTACTCCAATGAACACAGTCAGCTCATGACCGTTCCCCCATACGTGGTCGCTTGTATTTTCACCATTGGCACTGGCTTCTTTGCCGACCGAGCGAAGCAACGTGGTGTGTTCATGCTCGCCCATGAGGCCTCCGCTATCCTCGGTTTCGCTATGCTTGCCAGTTCCGGTAAGCCCGGTGTCCAATACACAGGTACCTTCTTCGCTGCATCCGGAATCTATCCTTTGGTCCCCATGGGTGTTGCATGGAACGGCAACAACATCGGTGGCAGTTTGAAGCGTGGTGTCGGTATTGCCATGCACGTCGGTTTTGGTAACTTGGGTGGCGCCATCTCGGCCTACTGTTTCTTGCCCAAATACTCTCCACGGTATGTTACACAAGTCCCTCGATCCCGGCAAACCTTTACTGATTTATCGTAGTTTCATCCCTGGTCATGTTACACTTGCATCAACAGTCTCTATGTCCTTCCTCCTCACATGCTTCATGACCATCTACCTCCGCCGCGAGAACGCCCGTCGCAACCAGTGGGCCATCGACAACAACCGCCAGCCAGAGATGTACACCGAGGAAGAGAAGCACGCCGAGCGCGAGAGAGGTGACAATGCGACGTTCTATCGCTACACCGTTTAGAGCGTTCATTGTTTGATGAGAATCAGGAGAGATATGATACCACAGGAGGAAAAGCATGATCGTTCTCCTTCTCTGTATGATGGTTACGCTATGCTACTGTAGCTAGGGGTTAACGGTTTTGTATTCGGATCGCACGGATCTGGTTACGATTTGCACGTTTTGTTGCCTGCATCAACTTGCCAAAATTATACACTGTACGAATCGTACATAGTCTGTCATAGAGAATTAACGCAGTCGTCGCTTCAGCTGACACTCATACCGAATTCGTCCCGATTTTTCCTTCTCGTGCTTGTGTGACATGCTGTACAATAGTCCTCCCAGCTGAAGCTCTGGCGTTGACGAAGCTGAGCTCGGGCTCGGAATGGAACACACCATACTTCCATCGCTTAAACTTTCGTCTCCCTCAAACCCTATCTAGCCAAAGCATATATGCAAGATCAATCAATCCAGTGGCGAAGGGGCCCTCAAATATTAAATACCAACAGTCTGTTCCACTATATTAGTTCCTCGGCTGTACCTTACTTACTACTGTATCCCCCCCTGGGAATAATGTTAAATCTCTAGAAAACTGGAGACAGTGTGGGAAGCTGTCTAAGGTGTTTATCCAATAAATCAGGCTACTTTAAGCTCTTACAGGTCACTAGAACCTTCTAATGCTACCCTTGCCTTTGCTACAGACCAGATTTTGGCTTGTGCTTTAAGCTCAAGCAGGCCTTGCAGCCACTCAAGAACTCAGTTGCAAGCTTCTGACCCACAAAACTTCACATTTAACATTATTCCCAGGGGGGGATAGTAACGAGGTCCGGGAAAAGCCAGAAACCATGAACTTGACTTCGTACAATTCATCTCGGGACTGATCTCAGGGTTGGCTGAAGGGACTTTCCGTTGCAGGGACCTCTCCAACACTACTATCCCCCCCCCGGCTTGAATGTTAAATGTGTAGAAAACTGGACCTCGTGTGGGCAGGTACTAGGGGTGTCTATCCAATAATTTAGTAGAAAATCAGCCTCAAACAAGGCTCAGGTGTCTCTCGAACCTTCTAAAGGCACCCTTACTATTACAACAGACCTAATTCTGGCTCGTGCTTTTAGCTGTGTCCAGGGCCTCTAACCACTTACCACTTGAAAGTCAGGCCTCCGACCCGCAAAAGTTCACATTTAACATTCAAGCCGGGGGGGGGGGGATAGTAGGATAGCAAGTCGCAAACCGTAACCGCAACCGCAACCGGACCGTCCGAAATTTTCACCACATTTAGCCAGCGCGGGTGTACCCAGAACGCGGGGATTACAAGGGCTGGACGAGGATCGAGTCGAGGGTCCCAACCATGCCCCGAGGTTACTTCGCTGCACCCGCTGGAGAAACACCAGACAAGCAGGCAGGGTACGGGAAATTCCAGAATTTCCAGCATCCAGACCCCGGAGAAGCAGCCAAGGTCAGCAATCCTACCATGCGAGGCTAAGATCTGACAAGCATTGTAGGTCAAGCATGTGTAAAGTACGTGCGTCTCACAACAGTAGTCTCGAATCGAAGAGATTTCAGCCAAATGGCAAGCCAACACATCGCTGGGATCGAGTCGTGACGGCTGTTCCATTGGCCGTCTCGTAATGCCTAGAAAGGTACAGATCCTCCTCCCTGAATCCTGGATACTGAACACCCGAAGGCACGAAGAAAATGTTGGTTTGATGGTAAGAGGGATGGTGAAGGCGTGCATGCATTTGAGTGTTTGCATGCATGTGTTCTAGGCTAGGACCTTTTATGTACTGCATAGCGGCTGTGTCTTGTTCCTTATGAGGAAGGGAGTGTTTGCCGAATTGCCGCCTGTGAAGGATTCAGCGACGAAGCTGCAGATAAGCGGTTTCTTTTGGTACGGTGCTTACATGTGGTTCTGGATGCGTCGAAGGAGGCGGTCAATTTAGAGTGAATTGGATGCCGTGATTAAAGTTTGTGGTCCGTATGCGTGGGCACGGCAAAGACAACAATCAGTCTTTCCCGGCTGTCTCTCATTACGAGACCGAGCCGACGGCCGCTCTGTGGCCTTGTGGTTGGAGGCACAAGAAAGTAGATAAGCACTGAAAAGGCGTTGTGCATAGATCAAAATAGCATTGGCGAGATCCATCCTATGTACGACTTTTCAAATCAGAAAATTCCACGTCTCTGCTGTGCTTCAAACTTCCCAGTTGCTAGGAAATATTATCGCAGTTCGAAAGGCCCCTCTTTCATCGCTATCTTCGACTCTTCTGCTTGCCCTGCAGCAAAGCACAAATATACCAACTGCCCGGCAATTGAAAGCATCTTGCAGGCATTCCCGCAGCTTCCTGCTGCAACCCGAAATTCTCCTCTGCTAGGCACAGAATCGATTATGTATTCTCAGTCTACTTTGTCGTAGTACCAGCATATAAACTTCCTGAACAGTTGCCTCCCTGAAAATAGGACAGAGCTCTAGCCAACCAGTTGAATGATCATGATTTGGCAATGACCTGGACGCAATGACTGGGAGCAGAGTATTGATATGTGCCTCAAGACAAAGAACTGTCCCAATCCTTTTGTAGGGTGTGTCATCAACAGTCTTGACGCCTTTGCATATCTTCTTTCCACAGGTTCGTAAAGTAATTCGGCGGCATATCCGTGCCCACCAGCACAAGCTTCACGCCCAAACCAACCGGAGCCTTGGCTGCATACTCTAATGTTTTGGCGGCCCTCGCACAACTCCCGTAGCTATTCGAATAGCCCTCCCAGCCATTCAGGTCTCCCTGTAGCATACGAGATGATGTCTTTGGATCTTTCGCCGGTTCCAGGGTTGAGAAGGAGGATGGCGGGAATGCTCTGTGGACTTTGATCAAAGAGAAGGATTTTTGGAGAGAGTTGCGAGATTTCTGCCAGTGGCGAGATAGTATAGTGCCTATGTTGGGGTCTGCCAATGCTCGATTGCATCCTGTATAGATCAGATATTAGCAATCTGGGTTCTAGAGTGTGGGTTCCAAATGGAAGGGAATAGCATACGAGTGCCAGGCCGGTGCAGAAAGGATCTTCATATTCTGTTCAGAATATTTCATTCAAATTCTTTCGAGCAGAATATGGCCTTAAAACTGCTGCTCGGTCGAGGACTGTTACATTCCAATTGGTATGGTATCTTGGGTGAGATGGACTGCAATGGAGGGGCAAAAGCTTGCGCCAATGATGAGGATGCTGGCCTCCTTGGATAGAGGTTATTGAGCCATTGTGCTGGAGGTCAAAGTATCGTGGTATGGTCATTATGACTGTCAATCGAGCAAGGCTAGGCAGTTGAGGTTTGGTGGTCGAGTAAACGTGGGACATGTTCCTGGGTAGGCTTACGCTGCCTGTGGTGAAGGTCCAGGAAGGTCGATACGCTAATGTAGCTGATTAGCGACGTTGAATAGGGGTAACACTCCACTGTCAACAAACATATCTACCAAGCGAGTCACAAATGCCAAAAAAGCGACTAACCGCTGACAGTGAGTAGTTTTTGTGCTAGAGAAAAGTGGAGATATGAGATAGGCTAGATACTCGTTGATTTATCAACATCATCCTCGTCGTCAGCTTCTCACCTGCCACGTTATCGCCGGATTTTTCGACTCTTCCTTTCCCAATCATGCACGCACAAAGTGGTTGATTGAAACACTACAATACCCTTCTACCAAGAATGGAATCGTAACTTCAACTAAAATTAGTCTATTGATCGAAAAATAAGATTCCGCCAGTACCCATCTTCGATGGATTTGGGTGAAACGAGCCCCCCCAGGTCGCGTTAATCGCAACTCTACATGTTTTGTCATGGTAGCCACAGACAAAATGCGACCAAGCCATGTTCGTGGGTCCGCTGTTACGATTAGCTTTTGTTCTCCGTGTTTTCTTGAATAACATCATCCTCTCATCCTAGCTGGGACTTTCAGGGCCAAAGCTCGCTAAATCATGCCTGAAGCAATTGTTTGGGACTGGGCTTGTAACTTGAGCGATGGCAACTCGAACACTCGAGCTTCTCTTCATACTTCTTGAGCCTTGCGATACATCTGTTGTTCTTGAAGCTGGACCGTCAACAAGTGACAAGACCCATGTTAACTCCCTGGTGTTTCCTCATTTTCGATTGCAGCTGATAGGTTGTCAGCCTAGGCCGCTTTGCCAGCTACGAAAATGCAGTCTCTGGACGCCAATGTACCTCGTTTATTTTGGTGGCGGTGACATGTCATCCTCATCGAGTTATCTTCGCCAAATAGGTCAAGGCCTGGACTCGAAAGCGGGGAACTGAGACGGGCAATGGCACCTTATGATTTGCGCCTTTTCCCAACATTCCCGTTGGCTTGGACTCCGATTCCGAATGTAGTCTTTCGGGGCACTTGAATATCTGATAATTGGCTTCCTAGCCCCTCTCTGGCAGCTGAACCGCACCCAACCCCTACCGACAGTGCGGAAAGCTTCGAACGACGCGACCAGCCATGGTAGACTGATTGGGCAGAGCGGACAAAAGTGCCGGTAATTTGCTCACACTGCTTGCAAAAGCAATAATATCGTTATGGGTCAAGAATTAGGAGATTTCGCAAAGCTGACATAATGTCGTCTTGTGGTCGGAGAAAGAAGGTTTGGTTACACCTTGTGCATGTGCTGCCAAATATCTAGCACTCTGGCTTGAGCATTGGGTAAGGGATTCATCCACATTGCAAAGAGCAGAAAGCATCCAGGACAATGGCTCTCACTTTGCTACCGAGTAAGGAGACTAGGCGGCTCGTTACTCTCTGCATCTTCTTCGCCCTCGGGTCCTTCCTTTGGGGGTAAGTATGGCTGTTGGCTAAACTTTATTCCAACCTCACTTCTCCCTTCACACGGCCCAAGCTAAGGTCGGTCTTGCAAACCATAAGCTTACACTTATCATAGATACAATATTGGAATTATCGCTCCCATCTACGTCAATCCCGGCTTTATCAAAGCCCTCCACAAGCCGACTGCTGCTCAGAAGGGACTAATCACAGCTATCTACTATCTTGGCACCTGGACAAGCTATGTCTTCCTCTCTGGCATGGCAAGCGACAAGCTTGGGAGAAGATACGCTGCTCTCATGGGCACAGTCATTACCTGCATTGGAGGAGCGGTACAGGCGGGGTCTCATGGGAAATCTGCATTGGCGATGATGGTGATTGGACGTATCTTGTCTGGGTTTGGAAATGCCATCATCTCCACATCTGTGCCATTGTATCAAAGGTTGGACGACTTGATACTGATGAAGCGGAGTTTGCAGCTGACATCTGAACAGTGAAATCGCTCCAGCCAAGAGGAGAGGAGGTCTGGTCGTCATGAACCACATTGGCATGGTCAGTGGTCTAGCGACCGCCTTCTGGTGAGCAGGCCTCAATAGGATTAACATGCACAGTTACTGACACGACTCGGAATAGGGTGGGATATGGAGTTTCGCATTGGAAAACATCAACGGGGTTTACTCAAGGATGGCGTCTCGCAATTTCTCTGCAATTCATTCCTGCTCTTCTCTTCGTCATTGGATTGCCCTTCGTTCCAGAAACGTGAGTGCTCTCTGATATGCCACCAATATCCCCTGTATCTAACATCATGTCTATCCAGGCCTCGTTGGCTCCTCGAACAAGGCCGGCCACTAGATGCCCAAAAGTCCCTTCAATACCTTCGTGGCTGCGACGATAGTCCCGACGTTGTATCCGAGGAGCTGACAGAAATTAAAGAGAACGTCGAACTGCACAACACCATCGATGAAGCGCCATGGCATGTTCTCTTCACAGATCGCAATCTTTTTGCACGTCTATGGCGTGGCGCAGTGCTGCAATTTATGGCTCAGATGTGCGGGGCAACGGCTATCAAGTACTATCTCCCGACAGTCTTTCTCGCACTAGGCTTGTCAAAAGATCTCAGTCTGATGGCGGGTGGAATTGAGAGTACTTTAAAGATCGGATGCTCGATTATCGAGATGTTGATCATTGATAAGCTGGGAAGGAGAAGAACGCTACTTCTTGGATCGGCAATCATGTCGGTTTCTATGCTCGTAAGCTCCATCGTCTCCATGCAGAACATCGTCTCCATGCAGAAGTTAACACGAAGCCTTTTAACACTAACTACGACAGATCAACGGCGCATTGCCTCTCGCATATCCGGATAACGCCAACAGAGCATCTGACTACGCCTGTATCGTCTTCATATTCTTCTTTTCCTTTGGGTACTCCATCGGATTTGGACCCAACGCCTGGGTCTATGGGACTGAGGTATGGATATCTCGCGAAAATTCGAGGACTTCGCTGACCCTTTCAGATCTTCCCTACGCACGTCCGAGCAAAAGGCATCAATATTTCTGCAAGTGCTGGAGCCATTGGCTCCATCGCTGTAGGCCAGTACTTCCCAGTGGCTATCGACAATATCAAATCGAAGACATACTTCATCTTTTTCTCCATCAACATCGTATCATTCATTGTGAGTGCAACCACTGCGTTCAATCCTTAAATACAGCATATATTTGTCGAATCTTGTCTCAAGAGCTAACATTCTGACTAGGTCTTGGCGATATTCTACCCAGAAACCAAGGGGAGGACCCTGGAACAGATGGACGACTTGTTTGGGAAACTTCATTCGGATCCGGAGCGAGATCATGCGGTGATTACAGATGATGAGCAAGAGCATAGAGATCAGGATCATGTGGAAGAGCAGACAGTTGTTGGAAGCAGAAAGCTTTGAGGCTAACGTGGTAAGACGTAATTATGTGCAGTGGCGTGTGAAAAGTGAAAAGGGTTTGAATGATTTGTAACTTCTGGGCATCCCACGCGGGAATGGTCTAAGTCTGGGTTTGGGTTTGGTGTATTCGAGAACTTGAAGTCTATTGAGCGAGAAATAGCCAACTTCCTACCGTCGAAATTCCCATTCCCAAGCTCCTCGATATGACCGTCATACATTGTCCATGATATCACTTAGATATTATTGCCAGATGCTAACATCCACATAGATCATTTCAGCTCCTAAGCATCATGTCTCTGAATCTTCTCCGCCATCTTCAATTCCTCAGCAGCAGCCTCATCTCTCACCTTATCTTCCTCTTCAAGCTTCATGTTCCTCATAAAGATGATGATAATGAATAGAGGCAGAGATAGGCACAATGATGCAGTTGACAACGATCGTTGCGTCTCTCGATATCCCAGGTTGATCGCATCTCTGGCTGCGGTTCCAGCCTTATACTTCTTGGCAGTGACAATAGAGCCAAATATTGCTTTTGCGACAGATTTATTCTCTGTTGGGAGGTATTGATTCAATTTCCTGGGAAGTATACCGTTCCAAATTGCTCCTCCGATACTAGGAAAAAGTTAGTGAAGGGGGATCGTGTCTCAAATAGTGTGAAAGCCTACCTATTTCCCATATTCGATCCAAATCCCAAGGACGAGAGGTACACCGCAGTCGCAACACCAACCTCACTATGCGGGACTGAAGCCTGTAGCGCAACTTGAATGGGGACTTGTGCAAAGCCTCGACCTACTCCAAGAATCGTCTTCACGGTGATGAAGGATACTTCGTTGCCAACGGAAGTACCGTGCATGTTCGTCAGGTAGATCGGGAGACCATTTGCGAGGACAATCATGAGAAAGCCAAGGGCGATGAAAGGTTTCGTGTTCTTGCCAAATTTCAAACAGATACCAGCAAAGATGGCGCCGACGTTGTAGGCTACTCGTTGAGCATTACTGTGGTTTGTTAGCACTTGAGAGTCTCCAGGGGAGAGCGAGCGGGACTGTACTCAATTCGTGTCGCATTTCCGGGCGAATATCCACCTGCAACTTGGAGAAAGCTCGACAAGAATGTCCTATATGCGGCATCCGACATAGCAATCGTACAAGCCGCGGCACATCCCAGAATGACATTTCTCTCCTTCACCATTCTGAATGGAATGATTGGCTTCCGTGCAAACTTACCATCCCAAACCAGGAACCCGGCAAAAGTCAAGACTCCAAAAATGAGCAGAATAATTGAAGAGGGCTTCTTCCATCTTTCAGTATTATTCTTGCCCGAGATGGAGATTGGCAACAACGTCATCGCCAAACCAGCCATCAGTAAAAACGCTCCAGGTAAGTCCAGCTCTATCCACAGCACCTGATATGCCTTCCTAGCCCATGACGATCCAGATGGTACATCATGCAGTAAGGAGACCCTCTCCCTCACAATCCCTCTCTGCTTCGCTCTTCGATCCGTCCATATCATGAGCGCAATGGTTGGAAGTGCGCAAAACGGCAGAATGACAGCCCACATCCCATACCCCCATCTCCACGATGAATTCAGCAGCATGTGTTCACCGAGATAAGAGCCAGCGTACAGGGTTGGAATGGCCGAGAGAGACTCTGGAAGTGTGAAAAGGATACCTCGATTGACGAAACTGGTTATGTCTGCGATAAAGATCTGCTGAGTTATGTTCCACCAAGAATCGCCAAGTGCTTCGAAAATGCCTCCGGACTGGACTTGGTTAGTCTTCTTGTGCCCTCCATTTCTTGCTTTTCTCCTCCTGTCAGAGTTCAAAACTAACCAGAAAGATATCAATCTTGTCACAAGATGCATAGAGCACATTTGCTAAGGACAGAAGCAGAGCTGCGATAGCGAACCCAAGGGGTCTGCCAAAATGCTACAGGAAGTCAATCAGCACACTCTTAAGGTCGCCACGGAAGAGGGCACTACTCACATCTGCCGTCTTCGCCAGAAGAGGATACCCTACAATCCGTACTAGCCCATGGATGATATTGAATGTGGCAATGAGGGAGTGTCCTTTAAAATAACTCGTTGCGTAAGGCTCGTATACATTCTGAGTATATGTCGCAAAGGTCATGAAGAGGTTCATGAGAAAGAGGCTTCATCCTGTTAAGAGGCTCTTCCTAATATCTGTCTGGGGAGTACATACCAGGTGAATGCTGTATACAGAGCTCTTCTCGACCATGTCTTGGCAAGTGTGCTCGCACTGACATTGTACTCGACGGGAGACTCATTGACAATTCCCACAGATGGGGATTTCTTCTCGTCGATATCTGGAGCTGCGACTGGCGAAGCTACTGAGTTGCTCATGATTGCTCGTTGGGATACAAAGGCAGGAGGGACGACGAAGAAAAATGAAAGAAACTCTCGCTCAAAGAGGGATCGCCATCTTATGGAAGAGCCCGGCAGAAAAGTCTGAAAGCTCTCCTCCGAGTGTTACCAATTTCTCATGTTCGCCAAGGTGAAAACAAGACAAGTGCTCCGTTGATGGACAATCATATCTTATCTGATCCTATCGGCACGATCTCATCAATGGTTTTGTGGAGACGAAGGGATGAAAGGTGGGGGTGGTGGGATGATTTCATGCTTGGCTTGTCCATGATTCTCCAATAAAACTCTCAAAAACATTGTAAGTGCTGAGGTAGCTTGTCACTAGTATGAAACCAGGCAAATGCGAGTTCAGGACGGGGAGAGGGAAAAAGCTAATTCCATTGCTTTGACCCATGAACCATAGGTGATGGATCGACTGAACGTCGCTGAACAGTTGACAGTCCGCAACAAAATAGCACCTCATCTCAGCCAGACTAGTCCCACGCCAAAGATCCGAAAACCAAACAGTCACTAATCACAGAAGACTCCCGAAAAAAGTCCATTCGTATGACAAGCCTATATCAGTTAGCTCTGATTACTGTATCGTTCAAACCCCACCATCTACCAACGATCCGCGTCACGTATCTCCAGGCGAAAAGAGCAACAGACTTACATGTCCATCAATCGTGCAATTATGTTTCCCACGCCCAATGCTTCCGTCGAGCCCTGCCCCAGCAGCACAATTGACCATCAGGCCAGCCAGACCGGCTGGCGACGTGATGTTGCAGGTGTTCGAAGAGAGGATGCAAGTTCCGATCCATTGAGACTGTCGCTCATCGAGGGGTGTTGACGGAGCCGCGAGAGCACAGAGTACAAAGGAAACGAGAGTCGGAATCGTGAGACGCATGTTGGCTAATATTTTGGAGTGAGTTAAGAAAAATGCTCAAATAAGATGTGTTTTGGAACGACAGAGAAGTCTCTGCTATTTAAAATCACCTCTCAATATCCCAGCTAAGCAACCACGGTGCTTTCAGCGGCTATCAAGCTGCAATTTCTCAAGTTTCAATATCAGTTCTTGGACTAGTGCTGAGGAATTACGAGTGTGAATAATCACTCTGCGTCAATAGGCCTGCTTAGACCAATGTTACACCTCCACTTCGCCCACATAAAACACGAAGTTCGGTTCCAAAGAATGTGACACACCCAAGGTTACCTAGGTACACACCGAAGTGGTTAAGAGCACCAGAGGAAACTATCCTGAAAAGCCACCTCAAGGCATCATATGTGCGGCTTGAAACGATAGAGAAATTATAGCAGTGGCCGTGAGCAGTGGCCGGATGGAATAAATCTCAGTGAGAGCGTTCTTGCGTGAAGGTACCTACCTGCCAGATGTAACAAAACGGAGTCGACACAATTGTGTCGGAGTCCAGGGAACGAGTAACACGTGACCAAAGGAACAAATGTGGTAACCTGCCTCATAGAGAGCCTTCCATGATTTCAGTCTCGAAAATCCAACGCCAGAGACTCAAAATTCAAATGTTATTCGTCACACTAGGTTCGATTCCCTCCAAGATGCCAAGAAGCTCCTTGTAGACCTTCTTCTGTACCTCCTTCCCCTCATCGCTCCGAACCCATCTGCTCGGTTCTTTGATCTTGAGATCATGCAGATACATCCCATGAGTTTCTCCAGAAGCCGCTGCAGCAGAAACCAAGGTTCGACTACCCATCTCCGTAGTTCTAGCCAGGAGGAACTTCCCGATCGGTGCAAGGATGTTCAAGGGAAACGGTGCGTCTCGCATCAATTCCGAATGGCAGAATCCAGGAGTCAAACAATTGAGTATGACTTTTGGCTTCCCAGAAGCTATCATGGCTGGCGCGAGTTCGCGGACTGTGAGCACTTCGAGGAGTTTGGAGACTGTATATCTATCGGGCTGGTTCTTTGGGTTGTTGAGAGCGGGGAAAATCGAAGGGGCGGACTTTTCGACAAATCTGGCCTGTCAATTGTTAGCAATGGAGGAAAATCATAGGAAAGTGACGTGACAGACTTGTTCATGGGCTTCTGAGGCGACAATGACGAGTCTCGGCGTAGTATTGTACTTCATGGCATCAGCCCGCAGTTTGGGCAACAGCAAAAGCGCCATCAAGAACGTCGAAATGACATTAACCGTCACAGTGCTCTCCATGCCCTCCAACTCCGTGTAGTAAGATGTCGCTATTCCTGCATTTTCCACCACTGCATCCAGACGATCCAGCTTGGTTGCCCTGTTGCAAAACTGTTTAACGCTCTCGTAGCTGCCCAAGTCAACCTGCCAGACTTCCAGTACCCCGCTTCTCTTTGTAGATTCTTCGATGCTTTTCTTCGCAGACTCGCCTTTCTCCTGACTTCGACATGCCAATATAACCTTCGAGGCCCCGAGTCGGACGAAGTGTCGAGCTGCTTCAAGCCCAAGACCTACATTACTGCCAGTGACAATGATGGTTTGGCCAGCGAAGTCTGTGGCGGGGTATGGTAGAGTCGTCCATTGAGATTTGAGGAACGTGGTGAGGAAATCCTCGGGACTTTACAGATATCAGCATTTGTGTCACGGACAGCTGGTACAAGACCCGGTTGAGGAGTAAGTGAAGCAGGGTAGCTGAACAGGGACCTACTTACAAGTGAAAGGCGGCGAATAGATTCCACATAGCTACTGATGTGCCGATTCCACTCTCTAACCAGATGAACAAATGGACGCTATCGATTAACGGGATAAGTAGAAGCAGAGCAATTGTTATAGCAAAGAGTAACTGGCGGAGGTCCGGAGGGCTGTGAAGCTTGGGTGAAACTTTGTTTAAGGCTCAAACCACAATTGCCATGTTGGGCAATCCGAAGTATGTATGGGAGCTGCCATCCGCAGACGACCGAAGCACGACTTCGGTTGTACAACTCAAGTTCGTCAGAGGGCAAAGTCGCGTACAGCATCACTGGAAGTTGTGATGTTTGATGAATTAAGTTATCAAGCCAAGATTTCTGGGGTACAGAGGGGCAGTTCCAGCGAGCCGTAAGCCCAGCTAGGCCTGGAATGTCCCACTTTTAGGCTTGGTCTCGCTAAACTTCAGAGAAATGACATGACTTCTGCTCCTCATTCTCACTCTTCAAGGGAAAATATCCAGGCACCGAAGTATTCCATCTGCTGGTAACAGCACCAGTGCGAGAACACGTCAAGTGTTGACGCCACAAGCTTCGCGGCCGTCATGAGCATACTCAGCTTTATCACGTCCTGTTTGGCGACTTAGATGCGGCATGCCGCACTCTTCTCACTTCTCGGGCAGATTGTCACTCAAGTATCTGAAGAAGAACATGGAATTTTTTGGACTTCCCAGTGGACTTCATAGGTGATCTCAGGTGGGCTGCAGTCAGCCTCCAACACAATGCAGAGCTCAGGTAAAACACTGGTCGGCCGCTCTATCGACTGTTGAAATGACTGCTGCCTGCCTTTATTCTCGTCTCTTTCTCTCATTGCCTTTCTGTTTTGTTCGACGTCATTCTGTCCACCTCTCGGCATGAGTCTTCTGTCAATGTCACTAAAACTCCAAGGACAATCAATCACTGAAGCGAAAATCCGGAAACGTGGGACCCCGATGGCACATGCACTGGAAAAATTCATTGGCGAATTTGTACTCTTCTTCATTGGATTTGGCTGTCAACCAGGAAAGTGGGACACTTCTTTACAGATTCTATGATGATTTGTGGCTTGTTAGAGAGGCAAAGAAATGTGCAAGGGCATGGAAGACGCTGGATTTTCTCCAAAGTCATGGGTCTTGAACTCAATGCACACAAGACCGGAAGTGTGTTTTTGACAAAGGAGGAAGACTTCAGCTACGAAGACTCACAGGTCGCAGCCAATTTGCCGAGCGGTCCCGTATCAATTGGATTCTTGTACTTAGATCCAAAGTCGGGAGAATGGCTGATCAACAAGAACGACGTCGATGCTCATGTGAAGCAACTAGCGAAGCAACTTGCGAACTCAACTAGCATTCTATCCTGGGTACAAACTTGGAACAGCTGCATCGGTCGATTCTTCAGTCACACCTTTGGAGAACCTGCCAACTGTTTGGGAATGAAGCATGTCGACTCTATTCTCGAGACATACAAGTACATTCAGGAAATCATATTCCCGGGCAGCAACTTAAGCACCTACCTCAAAGGTCTGATAAACGAGCGCTTCGGAGTTGCAGACGTCCCAGATGCGTTCATATTTCTCCCCGAATCACTTGGAGGACTCGGCGTTCGGAGCCCGTTCATCAGTCCACTATTAGTCCGTAAGGCCGTGTTAAATCCAATCGAAATCGTGGACAAATTTTTCGAAAAGGAGAAGGAAAAATATGACGCTTCGAAGGCCTGTTACGAATCACTGAGCCCCCAGGCGAAGAAAAGACAACTGCATCTAACCTACACTGACAAGTATGGTGACGCGAAGACTTCATCTGCTCCAAGCGATACGGACGCATTCATGAGCTTCGAAGAAATACATCTCTTGCCGCGAATCTGTCAGCCCAGAGCTACAGTGCACCTATCAAGAACTGATGGGAGTTCCACATCAACAGCACATTGTGACATCAGAGAAGGTAAACCAGGCTATCAGACAGCTTGGATTGTGGCAGCCTGAGCTAGTATCGGATAATATGAGGGGCGAATTGCAGTGGCTTCTGCAGATGTATGAGAAAGAGCTGCTTGAGAAGTGTGGAGGAATGGGTATCGTGGAGAAGAATCTTCTGCCATTGGGCATTTTGACGATTCTGAGGAAGAAGAGGGTTGATTGGCAAATGGTCCTTTAATGTACTCTATTCGGTAGTACTCGCTGCATTAGAATATCGGATATCCCTTATGACCCTTGATGTAGCTGATACCTCTCAAATTAAAGTGTGCAGAGTGATTGACGGAATTTAGAGGCATAAGATACCAGACAGATGTGTAATGGAGAACGTCAGGGAACACCACCGCATCCTCTTCCACAAGGCATCTTTAACCAGCCACACGCACAGACCCGACAACATTGGATTCCTGGAGACGTATCCAAGATGACCACTTCAAGTCCCAGAAATTGTACTGGAAGGAAAAAGCATGAGGGCGCATGAGCTCAAGCTCTCAAGTGTACACATCACTTCACTTGTAAACAAGGGTCTGGGCTATCGAGTTCGTTAGAAGTGGCCGACTTTTGCGTACGGCTTCATAGCTATTTGATTTCGAACAAAAATCCTTGATAATTCTTGAACCAGAAAAATTGTAGTTTCTCAACAGTTCTAGACTGCTTTTGGTGTTTAGCGGGTGCTTCGAATCGGCCATATCCTGAAGTCCTCGATTGCTGGCTATGGGCTGCAGAAAAAGGTGGCCGATTTGGCGAGGTGCCTAGTGACTTGTACTACTATGTTTTTCTTAACAAAACTCTTATAAAATATTACTTAAGTATCACTAGAAGATCAAAGTGCTATTTCAAAGTGTTTCCAAAGACTGAATTAAATTTTTATCATTACGTGTTTTGAAAGTAGCCTGTTTCTCTTGTGACTTTGATGTTCTGCTGTGCCTGAATCGCCACCATTTTCTGCAGCTGATAGGCTGGGTGCTGTAACTTCGTAAGCGAAAAACAGAGTAAAATAGGGGAAGCGAGAAAGTGGGTTCTGCCGTCAGCGTCAGCAACCCCACCAAGCCCATTATCTTAAACATCCCGATGTCTAAATACCAATAACTATTTGATTACACGACGAGACTCTTCAAAAGATAGATATGTATCAATACTTTCTTACAGCGAGAATACGTTCAAGCCAAATTGATGATAATCATCTTCGCCGCCCTAGAGTCTTGTCCGCCTCGAACAGTATGGGTAGAATCATCAAATCCTGGGGCTGACGTTTCCAAGTTCACGTCAGATGTACGCTGATTGGACAGGCCCTGAGTTATTGCGGCACGACAGGCTTGGTAGCGCAGAGCCATGATCTTCTGCTGACTTCTCAAAGGTATTTTACTCAGGATAATGGAGAGCTTCTTTATCCTCATCACGACCGAATCCGACTTGTGAAGTTCAGGTTTCGACTCTCACCTGGATACAAGATAATACAAAAAGTAAGCAAAGAATAGCGGGACTGTTAGGATGAGATTTTCTCTACGAGGAGTTCTGCTGCTCGGGTCGTTCGCAATTAGAGGGGTACAAGCACAGCTCGACACTCAGGTTCCAATTGGCACTTTTCAAGGGAATTACTCAGACGTTTGCCATGATGCCGTAAGTCACGAGAGAACAAAAGCTCTTCACACAACCAGAAAGTCAAATCGATTAATGTCGATAGTGCACCGCCCTCACCACCGTCCTCGGGCCTAAAGTTCACCACAATGGCTCACTCCCCGAATCCCTTTTCTCGGGCTACTACTCTCTTATGCAACGATCTACCATTCCCCTTTGCATAGTTCACCCTATTTCAGCAGAAGATGTCTCCCAAGCCATCAAAGTCATCTCTCGGCACACCTGCATCTTTGCCATTAAGAGTGGTGGTCACGCCATGTTCCCTGGAGCTTCTACAGCATCTGGAGGTATCGTGCTAGACTTGCATCTTTTGAATAGACTTGAATTATCCGGAGATAAAGAAACAGCATATGTGGGACCGGGGAATAGATGGGGTGTGGTGTATGAATTTTTGAAGCCATGGAATCTGACAGTTGTGGGGGGACGGGTGGGCGATGTTGGAGTGGGAGGTTTTCTGCTTGGTGGTAAGCTCATCTGAATTGCTGTTCATTCGCCGTCGCGGCCGGAAAAGAGCCAAGCTCACATAGTAAATAGGAGGTATATCGTTCATTTCCCGCCGTTATGGATGGGGATGTGACAATGTCAGGAACTACGAAGTAATGCTCACCTCCTCCTCCCAAGCTCATAACTAATAGAAACCCAGATCGTCCTTGCCAACGGCACAATAGCCAACATAAGCCACACCTCCAACCCGGACCTCTACTTCGCCCTCCGTGGCGGAGGAAAAAACTTCGGTGTAGTGACACGCTTCGACCTTGAAACTTATCCTAACCTCCCCGTCTGGTGGGGTGGCTTCTACTTCATGCTCCTATCATCAACACCCTCGCTCTTGTCCTCTCTCTCCATCTCCCGCCCATTCAAGCTTACGATCTCCTCCGTCCTCGAACACGGATCTCAGCTCCTCGTCAAAGTAGTTTGTAAACTCGGGTATTGCATTGATCTCGACACGTTCGTCACAGCTGCCGCACGATTACCGATTGAATCAGAAAACGATCACGACGCCATGGGCTACGCGACATTTGCACTCATGCCCAAAGCCAACGTCTACGACGTAGGCACACATCTTGTTCATACCGGTGCCATCAGCGACGCACCATCCTTCAACACCCTCGTCTCAGACTTCAAAGCCAAATCCATCCACTCCACCCTTCGCATGCAGCATCCTTATGGCTTCACTCAGGAGTTAGACGAGTATAATCCCGTCGGCGTGAGAGTCACGTATAACACTGCGTCTTTCAAGGTCGATGCAGCGTTTCTGAAGCAGGTAGCGAGAATCTTTATTGACGAGGTGGAGAAGATCAAGGGGCGGGAAGGGTTCTTTGCGGCGTACACTACGCAAACTTTGGCGAGGGATGAGATCGCGCAGTTTCAAAAGAATGGAGGGAATGCGTTTGGGATCAAAGAAGAGGATGGACCATTGACTCGTGAGTTGCTTTCTCTACTTGTCCTCAGGCTTAAGCGAGCTGTATATTTTGGATACTCCAGTCCAGCCAGCTAACTCCCCAACCTTAGTTCTTCTCATGTCATTCACCTGGGCATCTTCTAGAGACGACGAGCTGGTCATCCGCACAGCTCAAAACGTGATTGACCGATCTGTGGTCATCGGCAAGAAAATGGGCGTGCATCATCCGTTCATCTACCAGAACTACGCTACCAAAGACCAAGCTGTGTTTTCGGGGTATAGCGAAGGGAACCAGGAGAGACTGAGGAGGATACAAAGAGAGGTTGACCCTGAGGGTATCTTCGTCAAGTTGCAGCCGGGGTACTTTAGTCTGTAGAAATTTTGATGTGGTGTTATTTTCTTGATACATACATGCGATGTCAGGGTCCTCCAAGAAAATATACCATGGAGGGGGTTATTATCCCCTTGGCCCAAGGCTTTTTGAACCTACAAAAAGATGATCATCAGAATAAGATACTTCCCGTCCATTCTCATCTCCGTTCTTCGCCACACACCACTTTTCGCTCCCTATCAACATTGCCACTGTCGATCACTCCTCACCATCCATCTCCTCATCCTTCCCCTCCTCCTCACCCTCCTCTCCGCTCCTCCTCTTGGCTCTCTCCTCCCTCTCCTCCTCCGTAACCTCCCTCTTCCTCTTCTTCACAGCCTCAACCGGACTATCAGCAATGAGATCGCTCTTGTTTTGCATCCCACTCCACTTCGGCAATCCATCATTGATATCCACCACGCGGTTCTCATAGAACATATGGCATCTATTTTCAACGTATCAGCATCTTCTCCGACGGCACAACACAAGAGACAGCACAGCAACACCCCGAGCATCACCACCCACTCCAAAACCAGATCAGATAGCAGGACGTAAAGAGAGAAATAAATACTCACTCTGGCGCAAACCTCTCCCTCTCCTCCCTATCCTTAAAATCAATCAACCCCGGAAACAACAAGATCATCCTGCGTCCCTCATCCATAATCCAGCTCCCGCAGAACGCACACGAGACCTTACACGGCAGCTTGTGTCGCGTGGTTTTCTCCGTACTGTCGTACCATTGCAGGTCGTGGTGTCCTTTGAGGAAGTTGATGTCTGTTTTCTTGAAGATGGCTGCGTGTTGGAAAGGGGCGCCTAGTAGATGTGTCAGTATGCTGGGAACTACAAACTCTTTGATTCCAAGCCCTCCCGATTTTCGGCATCCGATTTATCCTATTCATTGTCTCCACCATCAAGAGGAAGATACGCGAAGAAAAAAAATATATAGAAATGAACTAACCATGAATCCTCTGACAAGTCGAACAATGACAAAATTTACTCGCAAGCGGCCTCTCCCTCCCCAACTGATACATCACCTTCCCACAATGACAGCCTCCCTCATAGATCGCCTTGAACTCCTCCTCCCCATCCTCATCCCCATCCTCCTCCCCCTCACTTCCTCCCTTCCCATTTCCACCCTTCTCTTTCCCACCCTTAGCGTTCTTCTCTCCATTCTCCTTTCCCTCCTTATCCTTCTTGTTACTATGAATCTTATAGGGTGCTCTGAACTTCCATTCGTTTTCCTCGCCTTCGATCTCAGATACGCTGGTAGAGGGTGTGTCGGTGTTGTGTTTCGCGGCGGATTTTTGGGTTGCTGAGGGAGACATTTCTGGGATTGAGTTTTGGGATGTTTGAGGAGAGGGGCTGGTAATCGATTTGGAGTAGGTGAGGCTCGTGGTGTTTGTAGAGAGTTTGTTGTTTTGTTTGATAAGATGAGATGCTGGGGGTCAGGTCTTGTGGGAAGTTTCGTGGAGTGGAAAACAGTTTGCGTTTTGTTGACAAAAATTATATGAGACTGGATGGTTAAATAAGTGGTTTCTGCTAGATGTCAAAAGGAATGAGCATGACAAGGGTAGAAGAAGAAAGAAGAGGATAAAGGCAAATAATCAGGATGAAACTTCTTGCTTTATTGCTTTATTTCATCATCAGCCGTCTGCCATGCTGGGCACGAACGGCATCTAGCATACACTCGTCACTACATTTGAACTTCCCCAGCGTCCCGTTCCCTTGCTTCCCGCGCCCAAGCCCTCTAGTCTCAGATCAGATCGGGATGTTCCTGCGCAAGCGCATCGAAAGCCGCTACATTGGGAGTAGCATCGAAAAGTGAAGAAGGGACAGCTTTCCCCCATCCCCATTCGCTCTACAGATCGAAGGAGCAATTGGTCGGAGCGAGTGGTCCGGTATAAAGTCTGAGTGTATGCTGTAGTGATAACATGACGTGGACCATTATTTAATGGCGCCTGACGCTAGACGGGTGGGCGTCACGTCATCACGTGGTATCTAGGGCTATTGCACTCGGAAGCGGCCGTTGGCACCAAGATCCTATTTGCGTTCTACTCCGCTGGTGAGTAGAATCATCGACCCCTTTTGGCCTTCTCGTCAGCCTTTTCCTGCTCAAGCCTCTCCCTCTCAGTAATCAGCTTCTTGGAGAATGCTGCATCGAAGCCTAGGTAAGTGGTAAGGTAGTATTGCCTGTTCCTGTTAGCTATATTCTCGAACACTGAACATACGACATACCTTGCTTCACGAACCAGGCGCTGTTTGCGATCCGTCATGTGCTGCAGACATTCCGCCCATTTCAAGCCACGCTTCTCCGCGGACATAGTCTTGATGAGGATCTCGAACGATGCTGTGACGGGTCTATGATCTGACACTCGAACTTCGTGTCGGCGATAATCCAGCTCTTGGATACGATCGCCACCACGGAAGAGTACTCGATCACACCATGCAGGTGCTCGTTTCTTCTCACTTGAATCATAATTGTCGGTTCCAACGTCGTACTTGTATGTCGGTGCAAAGGTAATTGGCGACTCGTTGAAAGCTCTCAGCTTAAACCACGGATGTTTTCGTTTCGATGCGATGAGTTGGTCTCGGTCAAGGAGTTTGTCAAGATTCCTCGACTTGACATCTCTGACCACAGTGTCTCGTCCCATGGTGTCGATACGGTAGTTGAGGTCTCCATTTAAAATACAGATCTCATGATCCATAACCATTGTTCCGTCACCACCTCCAACATAACTATCTTGTCGCACGCTTAGGTCTTTGACCGGAGGCAATAGCGAGCTTTCGAGGATGGCGGCAATATCCGCATTGCGATCCTTTGTTTGGGTCTGACCAGCAGCAAGATGACAGTTGATGAAGCACATGGACGTATCATCCAGAACAAACCGGACAATTAATGCGCCCTGTGAAGTCAGGAATATGATCTGTATCTAGTAGTGTTCGACTGACCTTATTTCCATGCAGTCCGCCCATGCCTCGTTTGACCTCAACAGCACTCAATCCGCGAATGCGGTCCCGCAATGGAGCTCTAACAAAGATGCAGGTGAAAAGCCCGACAAGGCTTGCAGTATGAAGTAGATGGTAGAGCTCGCCTGGTACGAAGTCATCCATACACGTAGTCAGAAACCCTCTCCACTCGCGATAGGCTCGACTCATGTGCTCATGTTCTGAAGTGGGATCCTTCTTTTTGGACTTGAAAAATGTTTCTGGTCGTGTTAGTGGATGTGCCATAGATGACTTTAAAAACGAGTACTAACTGGTCATGGTCTTCTTGTCCTCGAGATCAACGAGTTCCTGGAAACCAAATATTAGTAGATCCGGTGAACCACTGTTCTGTAGAAGATTGCGGAAGAATGTTGCATCTTGATCGGTCCTTCTGAGATGACTCGGAGCTGTTGCGCCTGCATTCCAAGTCATAACGAGCGCTTTTATTGGCGTGAATGCAGCAAACTCGCGTTCCTGGGATTGCATTTGGTTTTCTTTCAATGTTAGCCGCCATTAGACATGTCTTTAAGATCAGCTTACCAATCCAATCCTCTTGCAAGAGGCCATCCCAAACCCGAATCATGTTGTCTTGGCCGAGAGAGACGACGTTGGATCTATCCAAAGTCCAAAAACTTGCCGGATCCGCAATTAACTTTACGACAGGATCATGATGAGCTTGCCATTCTTTTTGAACGACCCATGTTGGTTTTGATGTATCATAGACATAAACCTGACCAGTGCTGAAGCCTGCCCAGAGGTATCCACCAACACCTGCAAGCGTGGTTATTTTATAAACGCTAACATTCACTACCCCTAGACAAGAAACGTCACGCTTAGAGTATATGCTGACTTTCCCGTCTGTGTGCCCGAAGTAGACTTTATCAGATTGAGAGTCGATTGTTGTTCCACAGGTAATGTCACCGGTATTTGGTTGGCTGAAAGTGCCATGAAGGGCCAACCATTGCGTACCGGTATCGCGACTTGGCACATAAACCCGTAATTCTTTGCCAGTTGCAAGCCAGAGATCATCACCAATGATGGTAGAAAAAGTGTGTCCTTTCTGTACTCTAAAGCTCTTAGTCGCATTTCCTGCAAGGCTAGGTGAGCCCTCGCTGTCGGGAGCCCACAAATGCAAAGATCCGCCATCGTCAAGAGTCCACATTTCATTGAGATGTCTATAAATTTTGATGATATCGCGGCGGGTGTGGGCATTCACCTTGGTAGCCACGACAGTCTGAGTGTGGACATCAACCTCAGAAATTTCGCCGGTATTGCTCCCAATCCAAAGTCGCGTGCCTTCATCATTAACATTGGCCATAGGCTTGAAGGCGATAGACATAATCTTGACGCCTTCGGTATGGGCTAGACTGGTCAATAGTGAGCCATCAAGTAAACTCCACACTCTAGTAAAATGTCCAGTGGTGCAAACATATTCTCCACAGACATCAAGTAATCGTGTATCGTACTTGGTTGCGAGTTCTCTAACCATGTTTGTGTGCTCAGGGTACCGACGGTTGGTGCGGGAAATGTCTGGGTATTCTCCGGAGCCTGGATTTGTTGATTCCTTTGTGACTGTTGAGGCTGTTGTGGCTGCACCCACATCAAACGATTGTCGAGGCTCTACGTGAATTGTTGGATTTCTAAATTCTACCGGGGTTCTGGGCGAGGAGACGGTCATTGATCTCCCGTGTGACCGTTGAGGAGTGTGTAATTGAGCGTTTGCTTTGTCTGTCGGCTGCGAAAATACTCGCTTCGGCGGTGTCGCGTATCCAGTCTCAATTTCTGGCATTGCGTTAGTGGGACGATTTCTATCCATTGACGGCCTTGCAGGTGGTGGCATGACATCTCTGAATCCACGGGCTTTGACTGGGTCAGGCACAGCTTGAGGCCTGGTTGGCAAAGCTGGCCGCTGCTCTCCTGTCACTTGAGGAGATATCAGCCCTCGGTTCACCCCATTGGTATCTTGATCTTTTCTTCTGTTTACCACACTATGGTGAAGAGGTGGCGGGTCGAAAGTTTTGTGAGCTGTCGGAATGTGTTCCGTCCCGTTCCTGGGCTCAAACGCGTTCCTTGATCGCGGCATCACTGGCCCTGGCAGCTCGTGCTCCGGACTACTTCCACTACTTGGAGGTGTACTAAATGGAGACGTTTTGTCTACCGCTGACTGAGGAGCTGGCTCCAGAGTTGTAGCTTCTGTTCGAAATGCTAGAGACATTGGTCTGCTATTGATTTTTGGCTTGTCTGCACGATTCACAGGTGGAGGTTTTGGTTTCGTAAATGCCTCTCGAGCCTCGCGTGTCTCTCTCCTGAATTCGCCTGACCTTCTCGGAGGCGGGGGTGAAGGCGGTTGCGAGGGGTGCATTTTAGGAGACCGCCCAGGCTCCAAATGTGGTGTATTGGGTCTACTAGGTATCCTGAAGTTCCTGGGAGAAGCGCTTCCAGAGGACGCAGATAGTGGGGAATCGGCCTGGAGGTATGCAGTTCCTGGCAGCACCAGATTCAACGTATTGGCCTTAGGTGGGGACTGAGGAGGTTGAATCGTAACTGCTGGTGTAGCTGCTGAGACTGCTCGTGGCTTTGTGTTCCTCGTAGGTGAGGGGGACATATTCGCAGATGTCGTTCGCGGGGGCCGCAGTCCATTCTCAACCTTTTCCCTCCCTCGTGCTGCACGAAGCGCATCCCCAAAGCCCACTTCTTCCTGCTGCACAGGTGCTGGTCTAGCAATATCTCTCGACCCATCGTTGACGCCGTTCCCAGTCGGTTGTGGTGAAATAGGCTTCGATCCCGGGGGTGGAGGGGGCTTGGGTTTTAGACTAGCCATTTGCTCGAAATGGGAACGAAGGGAGGACACCGGCTTCTATTACGAAAGGGATCAGTCAAGCACATATCGAGGAAGTCGGGAAGGATAATTCGCACAATTGAGGAGCCATCTAGACTCTCTGCCGCGGGTTCCTCCATGGTGAGGTTGCTGACACCAAGACGGCTTATTCAGGGTCAGATCGCATGCCCATTCGTGATTTGACCGTGAACTCATAGAACTTGCTGGCGGACCTTCAAAGGCGTGATAGAGAGATGAAAACCGAGGTTGGATGTGGTTGACCATCAAGAAGTCTCATGGAGGGGTCGGGGTATGTCTCGAATAGGTCGAGTAGATAATCCGGGGGAGATCTTGAAATGCTGAGCCTCACAGAACCGGTTGGTGGGATGAGCGACAGTGGTGGTTGGAGGGGGAATGAAGAGGGAAAATGCAAATGCAAATAAGGATTCCTGTAGATGCATGCGGATGTGTCCTTTGCGTTGCTTTCCTGTGTGTGTATTGGCTGTCGCGTGCCTTGCCCTTGTTCGCCTGCCTCGTCACCAACATGGACAATATATCATGTTCTTGGTGTCCAAGTACAACGGAACAAGGCAAAGTGTCAGTCAGTGCCAGTGCCATCCAGCGATGCGCTATTTTGGTACTCGAGCCAGCGGTGGCAGTGTGACAGGGATCGCCGAGTCCAACGAACAATGGAATGGAACAGGACGTGTGGCTCATCGTTCATGTGGCGCTGCCTGCCGAGCCTGCTTTGCGGGGTCAAGCCACATCTAAGGACAGTGCCCACTGCCCAGTGCCCAGCACTACAGTAATGAGATCAGATCAGGCCATTCCATGACCACTAAGCAAAGATTTATTTATCTCAGTCAACTTCAACCTCTGCACCACGCACGATCCTCTTCTCCTGTCAAAGGGAAAGTCAATTGGAAAGTTCTTGGTCTTTTTGAAACTTCAGCCGAATCTCATCACATCATACTTCTGTTTACGACCCAGACATCTTCCGAGATGAACACTGTCAGAGCTCTGCTTCCCCTCCCGCTGTCCAAGCTAACATGACCAGGTTAAATCCTTCTGGTACGGGCTCCCCACGCAAGCTCACATACGAGCTTCAGAACGTTGACACTGCAATTCTAGGGTGGGCTGGGGCGCACTGTGTGTCGGTATGTTGGCAATGCCGTGTTGAAGACGAGGAGCGGAACGCAAGCTGATTGCTGGGTTCTGTAGCTGGTGGCGGCGCATATTACTTCGCGAAGAAGTCGATCAATGCCGACAGAGCAACTAGATTCGAGGCCGAACAAAGAAGACGGAGAATTCAGGAATCGCTCGAGTACTCTGCGACGGCGACATCTAAGGCTGGCACAAATGGAGGACCACCCAGAGCAGATAGCTCCGGATCACCGAGTCAAGAGGCTACTTTAGATCCTGCGCCTACACGACATGCACCGGATACGGAAGGACAGAGGGTTCGAGAGAAGAGCAAGTACGAGACGGCTGAACCATTCCGGTCCAGGAAGGGCGATAGATTCAGTTGAGAGGCTAAGCTGGGGAACTAGATTTGAACAAACGCGATGACGGATGGACAGAAGGCATGGAATGGAGAATTTTGGATCTGCAAAGAAAGTCAACCAACGACTCTGCAAGATGTGTATAAAGTAAAATGATCTCCTCTACTGGCGTTATGGTTGGCAGCGGATTGGGTGTGTTTGTATGAAATAGGCCACCCGAATGGGGTCTTCAGAGAATAACAATACTTTACTTTATGACGGAACGATAATGAAATTGAATGGCTTCTTCTTCCGTTCAACTTATGCGTACTTGTCTAGGCTCATATTTTCTATGCTAGAGCTCGAATCGAACGATTGAGTGACGCTAGAGGCAAGTCCAGTTGTTGCAGAACATTTTCGAACCTGAGGGTGACTAGTGCCCTCAGCAAGGCTGAGAGTCCAAACCTCGCGCCAAATTCTCCAAGCTTCAGATCGAGTTCATGCCACATCAACAAAACCTCCACGCAACACCTTTATCTCCCCCGATGAGCACATTCTTTTCAACACGATCGCGATAGTGTCTACATCATGGCCTCGCATCAACTGGCCATCGCGAAGGCCTCCTTCTCGGCCGGTCTGCTCCGACCTGATCCCACCTCACTCTCGCGCGACTCCATCGCAGACTTTCACACTCTGCTGAATACAGTCGTCACACAATGCTCGCCAAGAAACGTCCAGGTTTGATCATACACTCTTACAGCTGTATCAACGCGATGGCTAAATGGTCCCTGAGGATAGAAATGCAAGCAATGGATTTTGGAGAACATCGCCCAATCCGCTGCGCGGTTTACAGCGCTGGGGAAATACTTAACTGCTCTGGCGGCATCATTCTCTGACTCCGGAAGAGCTACGGATGCGACAAAGCGAGAGCCTTCGATTAAAAGGAAACGTCTACATGTCTTGTACCTGGTCAACGATATACTCTTTCATACCAGACATCGAGTGAACGACGCGTCGATCTGTGGAAAGATTCAGCCCATACTTGTAAACCTGTTTGGAAGCGCAGCATCTTTCAAAGAATGTCCGAAACATCAGCGGAAAGTCCTGGATTTACTGGCTATCTGGGAGGAGAAAGGCTATTACTCGAAGGACTATATCGAGAAGCTCCGTGAAGCTGTCAAGAATGCATCCGAGGCAGGAGAACTTGTCGAGGGCACCACCGGGGATAAAGAACAAGGTCTGCCTGCCAAATCGTCAAAATTGACTCCATATGTCATGCCAGCTATGCACGGAGATGCCTCGACTCCATGGTTCGATTTACCTGCTGGAAATCTCATGCCACACATTGTTCCAAATTCCACACGGCCAATCAATCCCGATATGATTAAGCCTCTGCAATTCGTGGCCGGCCCAGCAGAGGAAGGGCTGACATCGGCAGTAAAAGCCCTTCTGGACGATGTACAAGCTATCTTTGGCGATGTTGGCACAGAAGAAAAGGCAGCCTTGGACATTGATGAGCTTGGACAATCAATCGTCGTTGATGAGATCTCTGGAGACATTCTTGAAGGAGAGGGTTACTATGGATGGTCTCGGATGTTTTGTGAGAAGATGAAAAGAAGAAAGAAGGGTCTGGACGTGCCAAGTCGTGATGAAGGTCGTGATCAGAGGAGTCGAAGCAGGAGCTCAAGTCCTGGAATGAGAAAGAGGCGGTACAGCCAGTCTGATAGTGACTCGGATCGAGGAGAATTCAGATCTACACGGCGTCGACGTTCTTACAGCTCGTCCCGCTCCCCAAGCCCAGATGGCAAACGAAATGGCCAGGCTCGAAGATCAAGAAGCAAATCATATTCCAGATCTCCTCCACCTCCAGAACCACCAACGTCAAATGGACCAGGCTTTCAAAGAGCACCACCACCACCACCGCCTCTTGCCAGCAGTCTACCAACCAAACCATCCATACCTCCGATTCCACTTCCTCATTTCCAACAAGGATTCAACCCGAACTTTCCCCCACCCCCTCCACCAAATATGTCTTTCAACGGACAACCTCAATACGGAGCATGGCCTCCACCGCCTCCGCCGATGCAAAACATGAATTACAACCCTCAATATCAACAGCAACAAGGTGCTTGGCCACCGCCGCCGCCTCCTCCAGGTCCGCCCCCTGGACCTCCACCTGGTAATTACCAACAAGGGAACTATCCGCAAGTCAACTACCAGCAACAAGGCTACCCGCCATCTGGACCAGGTGGCTGGCAACAACAGCAGCCGCAAGGTGGTCGAGGCTACAACAATAACAATGGCTGGAACAACAACCGTGGAGGTAGAGGAGGGTATCGAGGTAGGGGCTGGTAGTATTGAAGACGTCAAATCTCGCACACCCGCTCTTGGCAAGTCCAATCCAATATACCCTTGCAATGCCCTACTCTGCAGCTGAGTCACTCTGCATGCAGTGGACGCATTGCAGCACACCACCGCACTACGATCCACGACATCTACCTCAAACCCCTCAAATCAATGGCACAATGACGACGGTTAGTGGGGAGAACCACCCCCACGGAATATATCCCTCAGAAGCGGAGAACCCTGTATGTTAGTATATGTTTGCATGCATGCATTAGACTCAATCCAGCTTTCCGACAGGAAAAGCAATGCAAGCCTAAAAAGGCAAGCCGGCTTTCGGTTTGCCTCCTTCACTCTTATCTGCTTGATCTGTGTTCGATATTGTGCTGTGCCATCCAGTCCCTGTCTGTTGCTTTACTTTCCTTGCCGTGGGTATGCGCTTGCATCCGAATATCCTTGGGGCTGATGCTTCTGTGAGTAGGTTGGTTTGGCTTTGGTGAGAAGGCAAGGGGCCTGGTGTGGGGGATTACATTATGAGGACGCCTTTGCACCTTTGCCCGTACATCTGCATTTGCACTTTGCCTTTCCACCCACTGTACGCCTTTTGCCATTGGCCTTGTCGGATGCATCTCCGTAGTTAGTCCTCCGCTCGCATCTACAGTAATCTCTCTAAGTTCACAGCCTGTACTTGGGCGAGTGCCTCCTCACTGCGTGCCAGCTGAAACCCTATCTAGCTACTCCAGCCAGCCATACTCCCTCTTTCTCGCCTCAGGACTCCTCCAACCACCCCACATCCATTTCTGGTCTCATCCCTCTGAATTCTACTGTCCGCCTGCACCCAGCCCCTAGATTCCGGACTCTCAAGCCCGATTCCACTCCACTCTGTACACCTTCTCGGCACGATTCGCACATCCGGCTTCATCCAGTTCGCTCCAGATCATGCCGTGCCACCACTCGTTACATGAACCGATTGAGTGCATTGACACGTGCATCTGCAGCCGAGTCTGATCCTATCTCCTATCTACTCCCGCGACCGAAGTCACTCTCGGCCTGTATGCTCCCCTTCCTGTATGGCGGCGGGCGGAGTGCGGTGAGTGCGCAAGTTTTTACTCCCTCGAGCCTTCCTCCATCTCTCGTCATGAGCATATACCTCGCTCTTCGCTTTCCTTTCTTTCTCCTTTCATGCTAACTCCCTGCACTGCACCGCACCGTGCCGCGATAGCCTCAAAGTCTCAAGTCCCAGCTCGAGCTTATCTTCCCGAACCTCCACTCCAAAGGGCTGTCCCGTTTCCGAACAACACATCTCGCACGCCTCCTCGTCATCATCCTTCAGCTCTGCAGTATGAGCAATCAAACTCAATTAAAAAATCAACCTACCGTCACACAACATACCTGAATGAGAGAGGATGTAGAGAGCACCACCTTCCAGGGTTCCTACGGGCTAGTAAGTTTAGGACGTGGGATGTGATGAGCGGACCGAGGGGTGGGATGACGCGGGGAGGATGGTTGGGACTTTGAAGGAGGTCTGGGGTCGTGGGGTGTAGTGTGGGGTAGGAGAGTTTGGGGTATGTATGCTAGGGTTATCTGAGGAAGAGGAGATGGGGCTATTGAGTTGAGGGGTTATTTGAAGAGGTGGGTAATGTAACTCAGGTACTTTGTTGCCACTCAGTCGTTTTATTGCTTGATGAGTCTGCTCGGTAGGTGGTCTCTCTTGTTGTCATTACCATGTTAGTCATCAGTAATGACTGCAACTTGTTTCTGTTGAGTCTCCTGCTCGTTCATTGATAATCCCTTCTCGACGAATCACTTGTCTCTACACCTCTTCTGCAGAGGTACAAGGAGAAACATTAGAGGTCTAGCTATTTTCGGCATAGACAACTGAAGTGGTTATGCTGTCGAGCTTGTTGATGTTTCTACACTCTCTGTCGTTATCGTTGACCTCGTCAAACAGGTAGGGCCGCGACCTATTGGAAATGTCCTGCTTTTCCACATATTCATGACATATTTCCAAGCATAAGTCTAATCGTAGGCCTTTGGTAGTAAATCCATCTTCTGCCGTCCGCTTGATTCACGTACCAAGCCATTTCAAAATCTGCTTTCCCTTCTAGGACTTCGTCTTGCAAATATTCACAAACTGCAAAATCCCAATAGCCAGACCTTTTAATCAAGTCATAATGAATAATATCCTCTGTATCGAAACTCTTTCTCCATAAATATTTCCCTATCTTGCTCGTTCTCACGTCTGCTCCGATGCAACATACAACGAACCTCAAGATTCTATTTACGACACAACAAACAACCATTGCAACTTTACTTAGTATCTGGAGTGACTGTCACCGCGCCTTTGTAAGTACCTCTTCCACTCGAAACTTGTACAAGCAAGCACAGCGAGGGCAGACATGAGCTACTGGCCACCCTTCCGTCCACAACCAAACAATCATATGCCACTCGCTCGGCCTACGCGCTGGAGATGCTGCGTGTGCGAGAGGATTACACCAGCAGCGCCGACTGTGATGGATGGGACAAGGGCGGTGTGTTGGTTTGGACATAGGAGGTGTGAGAGGTGTCAGGTGGTGTGAATTTTGAGGTTGGAATTGGGGCATAGACGGTTCGTTGGAAGGAGAAAAGGAGGGACGATGAGGAGTGGTTTGTATTGTATCACAGATATTCATATGTTTGTTGGCTACTGGATGTGGCAGAAGCCATGGTTATCTGGTGTGGTAGTATCTGGAAGCACTCAGAAATGGATCAACGTTGCCGGCGAGTACAGCTAATTAGGAGACTAGTGTACATACATTATTACAATTCAACGACATCAAATCGAGTGATGCGGGACCTTCTGAGTTAATCAAGAACGACCGTGATAATGTGTGGGATAACATCCCGCTTCCTGGAGAAGCACTTCGAAGCGATTCGAGTAGTAAGTTCTGCCAGCAAATAAGTTCGATTTATCATATTCATAGCTTCATTGAGTAAAATATCAGTAACACAGATAAATCCTAGCTGGGTAGTTGATTTCCGATTGGACGAAATGGATTGGTGAGCCAATATGGAGCTTTGCCACTGAGGTTGTTTACTATTCTATTTGATCAAGAGTTAAGCGAGCATTCAGGGGCAGCATAAATGGATTGCCTCTCTGCAGGACCAAAAAAACACCACAACATTACTGTATAGACTTTAATGGAGCAATTATGATGGATTTGGATAGTCACTAGTCTATCCTAGTATATTTTACAGAAGAACTAATTGAAATTGAACACGGCCATTATGAGATGTTTAAATGCAAAAGGCTTAAGTTGTCGACATAGGCAACCTCCCTCGTACCACAAAGTTATAAATTTCCGTAAGAAGCAGTACACAAAGAGGCAATTATATCTCGGTAGTGGAAGAGATCTAGGCTATCAATGCTTGGAAAAGACCAGATTACTAAAACGCTGCTCGTGTCAGGTCACCCAAGCCAGCGTCATTAAAGGTTCTTCTCCGCACTCGCAAGATGTTTGTTTACCAACCCAAGGGAGCTATATGTTTGATAGCTAATCATCCTAGTTTTGATCTATTACCCAACACGTGGTATTGAGTTGCCGTATGTAGCCGCAGTGACAGTCACTGACTCAAGAATGGGGGTTATCGCCAATCTCCCCAATTGGGACCTTGGTGGAGCAAATACGAGCAATTATAATGAGCGCTCTCAATCACCTTCCACGATAAGAAACACACCCATACCTAGTCATGACTTTTAGCAATCTCCCTCCAATCATTTAAGCCAGGCACGTAATAAACACTTATCAACTCCGGCTTCGCTCTCGCTTACCTCCTCGCTTAAGCTAGTCCCTCCTCTTAAAACTCACCACGAGCATGCACTCTTTCTGTCCTATGTAAACATAACAAAATAACCTTCTCACATTCGCAGAGCCTCATTATACAAGAATGGATGCAGCTTCTCTCATCGCCAAGGCGCGCAAGGTCCGCGACGACTCGCTAGCCGAAGTCACGCCTCCCCTTGCCACTCTCCCAGATCCACTTCCCAGGAATGTCATGCCAATATTCAAAGATATTCTCACAGAAGAAGAATTCAAGATAACTTCTTACGATGTCCCCGAATTACTGAAAGTTATTAAAGATAAACTGTACTCATGCGAGACTATCACAAGAGCTTTCTTGAGACGAGCAGCTCTTTCTCAGAAGTTGGTTCGTCCTCACCCCATCTTTCCCGGTACCCCTGACCGGATCACGAAACTTAACTCACCAATCATAACATTAACATTTCAACCAGACAAACTGCGTGACAGAGCTCTTGCCCACACGAGCAATCGCTCGAGCAAAGTACCTCGACAGTCTCGACGAACCTCTCGGACCACTGCACGGCCTCCCCATTTCCGTAAAAGAGCATCATGGGATGGCAGACTGTGAAACGAATGGTGGTTATGTTGCTTGGATCGGAGAGCCTCGTACTGGGCACTGTACCGTGAATGATGTGTTTTACGAAGCTGGTTGTGTTTTCTATGCTAGGACCACACAGCCGCAGTCTGTTATGCATCTGGAGACTAGTACGAATATTTATGGGGCTACGACAAATCCGTGGAATACGGATTTGACCTCTGGTGGAAGTTCTGGGGGCGAGAGTGCTTTAGTTGCTTGTCGAGGAAGTATTTTGGTAAGCTCAGGTTCTAATTACTCCCCGGAATCTCCTCATCGAATTGTCGCTTACACAGCAAAATAGGGGATTGGTGGTGACATTGGTGGATCAATTCGCTGTCCAGCCGCCAACACTGGTGTTTACGGATTCAAGCCCAGCCCAGGAAGAATGGGAAAACAAGGCTCACATGCCGTTGTTGCAGGACAAGAAGGGTAACTATCCGCACATGCCTCCTTCGCTCAACTAACATTTTCAGAATCTCGCCTACTGAAGGACCCCTCTCAACCTCTCGTGCCGGTCTCGAAATATTCATGTCCACATACCTCAGCTACGAACCTTGGGTAAAAGACAATTACCTCGTCCCTCTTCCTTGGCGGTCTGTGACCCTGCCACCCAAACTTAAAATCGCCATTCTCTGGGACGACGGAATTGTGCGTCCTCATCCACCCATCACGCGCGCTCTCAAAGAAGTTAAAGCCAAGCTCGAAGCAGCTGGTATGGAGATCGTGAACTGGGTTCCTGAAGGCCATGACGAGTGTTGGAATTTGACGCAGGCTCTGTATTATGAAGATGGTGGCAAGGCGCTGGAAAATCTGATCGAGAGTGGTGGAGAGAAGATGTTGCCGCTGACAGAGTGGATGCTTAAAGGAAATGATAATGTGAAGTACAGGACGGTAGAAGATGTCATGGCTGTGAGTCCTGCTCTTTCCATGTCCACATCCAAGGATTGCAAACTGACGGTCGAATAGCTGAAAGTCAAACGCAACGAATATCGTGCCCGGTACAACGATCTTTGGCTTTCAACTGGAAAGTCAGACTCTCACCCAGTTGACGCCATCCTCAGTCCAGCCGGACCAGGCGCTGCTCCACCACTCGGGAACGCTAAATACTGGTCGTACACTTCGCAGTGGAATATGCTCGAATATCCCGGTGCAGTCTTCCCAGTGTCGAAAGTCGACCAAATTGTTGATGTAGAGGAAACGAACTACGTGCCGAGAAATCCTCAAGATAAATTTAATTGGGAATTGTATAAAAGAGAGAAATATGTCGATGCGCCTGTTAGTTTGCAGGTCATAACCAGGCGGTGGGAGGATGAGAAGTGCCTAGCTGTTTTGGCAGAAATAGAGAAGGCCATGGGTACACCGTGTTCAGATTAATAGAAATATAGAGACAGAGATCGATAAAAGAATATATCAAGAGATGAAATTAGACCACAATGCTCCGCAGCCATTATTCCCAGATTTTATGCACGTGATCCCCCGACAATTGGGAAAGAGGCAGCCACTTGATCCTTGTTCGGCCAGGTGTTAGACTGTGGCAATTTGAACAAGCTTAGGTGCCCGATTTCAGTTGAGACTATAGACTCCCGATTTTAAAACTACTATTTGGTGATTAGCGCGGTGTCGTTGCCAGTCCGTCTTTGCTTTGGTGGACAACCGCCGTAACACTAGTGAGCCGAACCAATATGATATTAATCGGCACTTCACCAATGCTTAATCTCTTCTTTTGATATAAAGACATAAGGCACAATTTCTTATTTCTGCTCTCTGGTGATCACTCCCAAACTATTCCAGTTCTTCGTTACGACATAAGACATTGAACGCCAACTCGCAATATCACTTCATAGTACTACCACAGAGTCATGGGTCTCCCACTTTTCAAGCTTCCCATCATAGATTCCAGCTCTGACGACAAAGGAAAGTCGGAATCTTCGTGGGCTTGGGCTATGGAGGCATCCTGCATTCCAATGTCGAGATGGAATGGCGTCATGTGTGCACAATGGCTTGTCAAGGCGATACAGCATCACTGTGACTGCACAGAATTTATAGCCTATCAACGGGCACAGGAATTGCGCCAGTGGAATCCACATAACCTTGAGGTTGGCTTTGCGGAAGACTTATATCGATTTGATGAAGCTCGATGGGTTCGGATTTTAGGAGAAAATGGGCAGAAAATATTTGACTTTCTCAAAGACCATGAGTGGGCGTTTGGAATGCTGGAGACATAGAGACACGTGTTAGGTTCACAGCAGCAAACTACTGCATAATGAGGCAGAAGCCCCATATACGGATGAAATGAGGGGCGGTAGTGCTGAGCCGATAATAATCGATATGTCTTAAAAATCTCTGAAGACTCCGATCTTGCTCAATCACCTGAGCTCCTTGAAAATTACAACTTGCTGTGTACAATACCTTGAGATTGAAACTATGCCAGAATACTCTGATACAAAGAAATTGACTTTTATGCATCTTTCTAACATGGCTACTGAAAATTATTTTGAGCTTGGGTTGTGGGCTTAGTCTATCTAACAACCTACTTTCGTTGGCTCTTGCCTACTGCTCACTTGACAAGTTTGTCACTTTAAGTAGGCGAAGGTGGGCTCAACTAAGACGAGTCCGAGCTAGTATTATCAAAAATCAATTTCAAAATGAGCCGCCACTTAAGACTTTTATAGTGATCAAAAAGCTCTCGGCCACGTCTTCCATTCTGGAATAAAATTTACCCAAGATTGGACCTTATTCAAACCTCGTCCAACATGGGCCTTCCGATTTTCAAGACTCCCAGTGCAGACCTCGAGAACTTGAGTCTGCAGGCTACCGATAGAAGGTGGGAGCTCGACTACATTGCATGCACATGCGGACGGTGCCCAACGTATCATAACTCAAACATCATCCGACGGCGTCCCGAGATCACTGCCCTGGGCATGCCACTCAGTACCTGGGACAAGATTGAGTGCCTAGAATGGATTGTAGTCGCTGCGACATTTTACTGCGGGACCCCCTTATATCGTGCCTGCGAAGTTGCGAACAGACTTCTGCAAGCGAATATTTGGACTCATGTACGCTACAACTCAGATGCCATTTACAGGATGCCTGAGCGTTGTTGGATTGATTGCCTGGGGCCAGGAGGGAAGGATATCTATGAATTCTTGAGACGGGTCTCCACAGAGTATCATACTTCATAGCCAAGAGAATTGTACTCCAGGTGCAATCTACTAGAGGACGAACGAATGCTTTGTGTTTGGTTGTTGACAAACGTGGGGTTGCCAATTAGATGGTAGGCTGTGATTGGTCTGAAAGCCGAATGGAGAGCGGCTAGGAGCTGGCTCCGAGAGCATCTTCCTGATTGATAATGCTGCAATGAAATTCGTGGCACAGCAGCTTTTGTTTTAGTTGCAGCATTGCGCCACGTTTGATATTGGTACCTTTTGCTTGAAAACCTTTGTCTTTCAAGTCCGCCTCGTCGTCAGCATCTTTTCAGGGACATTGTAGCATCTCAGCTGTTCGGCCACTGCTGTCACGAACTATTATTTTAAAAATATAATCCAAGCTGTAATTTAGTGGATCTAGACTATTTCAAAGGAGACAAATGTATATATGTAATCGGTTTTTCGAACACCTTCAGCAAGAGACCTTCAGCAGGGCTTCACTAAGAGCGTTTCAAGCTACTGAAAGCAAGGTACTCATCTCCATCTAGTACACTTAACTCCCAAATAAAAAGCTTCAAGCCTATCCATCGGTCTCAAACCTCTCTTCTTCACCAACGCCCACACCATCCAACCACTCCTCTTTCCAACGACACCACATCTCCTGGTCCGGTTTCCAAGTCCGTCCCTCTTCTTTGAAGTCGACATCCAGCACTCCAACCTGCACAAGAACGAAGTCTGAATGCTTTGGATTCAGCACCCATAGTCTTGATCCACAGTCGGCACAGAAGACGCGACTGATGGCGTTTCCGGAGTCTGGAGATGCATCGATGTACGTTTTGATATTTGGGTTAGGATCGAAGAGAAGTTGCTGAGGCAGGGCCAATTTCACTCAATCATTGTATCTTATAGACCATTTGGGGTATAAAGAGTTGAGTGATGCCTGGTATAGGCTTACAGGGAGTTCATAGACATTCATAGCCATGAATGAAGATCCAATTGATTTCTTGCAGCTAAGACAGTGGCAGACCAATCTTTTCAACGGAGAACCTGATATGTTGAATGTGACGCCATTGCACAGACATGATCCGTTAGTTATGCGCAAAGTAGCTTCTGATTCAAGACTTGTACTGGAGGGAGGAGAGGGAGAGGTTGCCATGATGTCTGAATACACGTTTGGAGGTCGCGAAGTGCAAGTCCCGAAGTCGTCAAAAGAATTGAAGACACCAGATTTAGATTACCCATTTGATTTAGACTGTGATATATTACGTGGCGTGATCAGAAGACCAACTGGGATAATAAGCACTACAGATATCCAAGAACAGACGAGCAATCTGACAAACCAAACTCGCACTTTGTGTGTCCCCGAGCACCAATCGCATCCTTCTCTATTAAAGCTCTTTTGCGAAAGCGCACAAATGAATTGTCCGAACGTAAATGCTTCATTCAGTAGTGTTGACACCTTTACTTGCAACTCGCCCACAATAGAGGAGAAATTGCTGATCTCGTCAGCGCGTTTATTCCTGGACAAGTCTCGCTTAGCAGGCGAAAGACAACAAGGCCTGAGCCTGAAGCACTTCGGGGTCTGATAAGCAGTGAGTTGAAGAGACAAGCCCCAGAAAGAACATCGCAAGACTTTTTATAGTGAAACTTAACGTCATATGAGTTGTACTGCCGTTCTTTCGTAGTAAGAGCCCTAGGAGATAAGGTAGGATAAAACCATAGCCCTGAGTGGTGTGTATGAGGCAATCATAATGATTTAAGAGTGCAACTGATTAAGATGATCCCTAATAGGAGTATCTAGCTTTGATTATTGCTCTTGAAGCGATCTAAACTAACTCAAACCACACGAGACAGGCTTTTAAGCCTGCCGCTGTCCCCACGTGACCAAAGCTCATCTGCCCATTATGTCCCGGACGTGGCCTGAAGTGAAGTTTAAATGGAAACTTTTGATTTGTATAGATACATGTATCAGAGTTCTCAAAGACTGTGCACAGATGTAACAAACAAATCCAGAAAATATACGTACTCACGTGCCAAATCTCGGGCTAAGAAATCCCCGAGCCTCTGCAACATCTCGGCCCCGACTCAACTTCACTTCATCACTTCCTTTCAGTCAATACCCAAATCTCTGAGCCGGACATTCGTAAACTCCAGATTTATGCTGTTCTGAACCAATTGAAAATCAACATGAAGTATAAGTATTCCCACCATTTCCTTCATCACAAGGTAAGTTCGTTATCTTAATTAATTGAATTGAAATCATCACTAGCATCCAGTCCACTTTGATGGGCTTCACCTCATATTCTGATTTACGTACAAAACCACCCACCTCCTACTTACCTAGGTTTAAGAGAGCCAAATCAACACGATAAACATCTCCATACATCTTTTCAACCGTACTCGCCCCAAAACTACCACCATGTCCCCCAAACCTCAAATCAAAATCGCCATCCTCGGCGCCGGCCCCGGCGGCCTAACCCTCGCCTCCCTACTCTCCACCTCCCCATCCCCCCAAATATCCTACACCCTCTTCGATCTCCGCGCCCGTCCCTCTCCAGTCCAACTTTCCCTCCCCTCCGGCTCTCTCGACCTCCACGCCGACTCCGGACTCCTCGGCCTCTCAGCCTGCAATCTCACGTCTCAATTCCAAGCGTTGAAGCAGGAATGTAGCGAAGCGAGTATTATTGCTGATTCGAGGGGAGAGGTGCATTGGTCTGATGAGGGATTTGGTCAGAGGCCGGAAATTGCGAGGAATAAGCTGACGGAATTGTTGCTGGGGCAGGTGGATGAAGGGAGCGTGAGATGGGGATGTAAGGTAGTGGGTGTGGAGGAGGATACATCTTTTTCCTCTGAGAAGCGGAGATGGATCGTTCGATACAAAACCCAAGCGCCATCCAACTCAGAACCAGGACCAGCATCAACACCACCAGAAATAAAAGAAGAATCCTTCGACATCCTAATCGGCTGCGACGGCGCCCACTCCCGCATCCGCTCCCTCCTCACCCCCATCCACCCCCACTACAGTTCCATCTCCTGCCTCACCCTCACCATCCCGCACATCAGCACCTCCCACCCCTCCCTATCAAACACTATCGGCACCGGCTCATTCATGGCCATGTCCCACCTCAAAGCCGTCATGTCCCAGCGCGGCGCCGAAGACTCCGCACGCGTCTATCTCATGCTCCGCACAGAATCCGAATCGCACCTCCAGGACTACGGGATCGCCTCTTTGTGTAGTTCTCCGTTGAAACTCAAAGAGAGACTTTTAGGTGATGAATCGCTTTTCGGGGGCTCGAACTGGGGGGAGGGGATTAGGGAGTTGATTTCTGTGGGGTGTGATGCTGAGATGGAAGCTATGGCTAAAGAAACTGATATGGTATCCAGTACTACCAATGAGAAGAAGAAGACTTATGAGAGAGAAGGTATCACCGCTCGCCCCCTATACATGCTCCCCGTGGATTTCACCTGGCCTCACAAGCGCGGCCTTACACTCCTAGGCGACGCAGCACATCTCATGACACCTTTTGCTGGCGAGGGAGTGAACTGCGCAATGAAAGATGCGCTGGAGCTTTCAAAGGCGATTTCTTCCTCTTTCCAGGACTCGACATCCAAGTCAAGCACACAAGGACATCTGGACTCGAATGGGGTTGAAGAAGTCCTTCAAAGAGTAGACACGAACATCGCCGCCTATGAGAAAGAGATGTGGCAACGCGTGCATCCTATCCAAGAGGAGACGCTGCGGAACCTGCATATGATGATGGATGATGTGGATGCGCCGCGGGGGTTCGTCGAGTGGATGAGGGGGATGATCGAGGCTGCTATGGCTGGGCAGGGAGCTGCCGAGGAGAGAGGCGATATGAGGGGAGGGAATGAAATGGAGGATACGCAAAATTGAAATTGAAAGAGAAAAACACGAAACGGCGAGCAGGCAATGAATAGCATGGAATCGATGAAGCAGTTATTGCTTCGAGCGAGGATAGAGACGGGATCCTGGCTGCCTCGACTGTGACTATAAACTGGTTGCGGAGCTGAGCAGAGAAATCAATGCCGGCTTTGGAGGTTGACAAGATGACATTTACCTTGCAAGCCATCTTAAACAACAAAAGAGAGCTACGTGTAGAAATAGGTATAGAAATAGAAATAGATATAGAAATAATTATCGATATAAATGAAGACATAAACACAAATCAACAACATCCTCCCTCACCGTCCACGACCCAAAATCTTCCATCCATCCAACCCTCAACCAAACTCCGCGCATAGAATGCTGACACAGCAAAGAAAGGAGTATGGCGTGAAGCAGTAGACTAAGTACGCTTGATATTTTATTGAAAAGGAAACTCGAAAATTTTCCTGTTCTTACATCCCGGACATGCTATCCACACTCATTCTCCCATCTTCATCTTACCTAAGTAGGTAAAGCGAGCAGGTAGAGAAAGGACGTAAGTGGGCATGGTGTGGTGTGGTGTGGATCCAGTTCCAACTAAGATTACCTTGCGAGGTACCTGCCTGCCTACCTTCAGCGAATCCACCTCGGCCTGCCTGCACAAACGAAAGTGATCGAAACAATTCCCTCAATGAAATATCCCCCAATAATAAAATATCCCTCAAATTTCGTCTCTCCTCCTCTCTTCTCGTCCCTACTTATTTGACTGATGCTGCCTGTCAATCACTAGCACATTTCGATGGCGACGTGGAGCAGAAATTCACACAACCAGGGTATATTCTTAAAGTAATGTAAAGGAATGAATGACAAGCAGGAATATCATTAATGCTAAACTATCCAGAGCCTAATGCACGCACGCATGCACGCGTGTGTGAGAGAAAGCGATGAAGTGCACGCTTTTGCAACTGTCCAGTATCTTGTACACAAAGGCAAGCAAAGCCATCAGCTAAGCTGACCCGAGAACTCATTGACCATGAAAACATCCATCCGATCCATCCGTCCCGTTGACCTCGTGAAAAATTCCCTAATATCCATCCATCCATCCACTGTCCGATCAATTCAATCTATTCCTCCTCTAACGAGAATCCAGCGGCATCTCATCATATTGTAATCGTTTTTCGATTATGATTGTCATTATGTTGCGAGATGAGAGTCATGACGAGTAATTTACTCATCATCATCACCAACTCTCAAGCTTCCCTCACTGTTCAGTCCATGAGACCAGAAGCCATCAATGGCACTGGCATTCTTGCCGTGCGCGAACAACAACCAGAATCCAAAGACTGGCTTGGCCAGGACATCAAGAACAGCATAGGCGATGATCTCGGCATCAACGCTCCACTTGCGGGCACCATCTCCAATACCCCAAACAACAGGGTACAGAGTCCAGAGAATGAGGGTGAAACCACCAATGGAAGCAAACAGTTTAGCGGTACCGCTGGACTTAGCAGCGACGGCACGACGACCTGGTACAACGAGTTGGTACACGATGACAAGGTACGCAACGCAAGCAATGGCGTAGTATCCCCACTTCTGGCCCTCAGAGTGACCGAATGCAGCGAAGAGACCGAGGAGGACCATGATGAGATCGGCAACAATGGCGACGGTGATGTTGGCGCCGTTCATGCCTGCGAGGAAGGCAAGGTCGAGGAGGAGGAGAGGAGTGGTGAGTGCCCAGTCGACGTAACGGGCCCAGAAGACCTGGCGGAAGACGTGCTCGACGGTGTCGGGGGTGTGCTTGTGGACTTCCTTGACGACGATGTGGGCGAAGGAGTTGCCGTCACCGGTGGCCATGGCGAAGTAGGAGATCGAGGCGAAGGTGGTGATGAGGGCGGTGATGACGTGGAACAGGCGTTTTTGCTGGGTTGTGTTAGATTTAAGCTCATAGATGGAGGGGTATTGATTGTCGACTTACAACTGGGACACGGAATGCCAGGTAGTAGAATGCTAGAGAGGAGAGGAACATCAGGACGAAGACGACCTGTTGATTGTTAGTTGAGAGCTGTGCAGAAATGGAGGTTGAGAACGTACCCAGAGTGTCTTGGTTCCTGTCTCTCCGACCTGCTCGTATGTGGGAACATTGGGAACGACAGTTGGGAGAGCCGTTGGCGAGGGTGAGTGGGAGTGTGTGGGGACAATGAGACTCGAAGTCTTCTTTCCGAACGCCTCGATGACCTGAGTGGGATCAATCATAATTGCAGCTTCTCTTGTGGTACTTTGTTCTGTGCTGTGTTATTGCTATGCAATACTTCAATGCTGATTGAAGTAGTTGTGGTCGTGGAAGAGATGTTGCAGAGACGGAGTGAAATGAAAGAGAAGAGGAAGAAAAGAAGAAGAGGGGAAGCAAGCTCTTACCTACTCACAGCTAGCTAGTTAGCGACTGCAGGCAGGCAGACAGCTCCCCTCTCCTTCTCTCCTCCCCTCCCCTCATCATAACATCATGACGCGGTGCCTCCTGTCCAATGGCTGAGGGCGGTGCACCGGGTGCATCTCGCCTGTGGCACTCGCCGAATCACAGGGCGTCTCCTGCCTCACGTTACATGAGGACGCTACGAAGCTTGCCTGGCCTTTGCCTCCTTTGACCAAGTGCTGCACTGCGTATTGGCTGTGCCCTGTTTCTGCTACAGCTAGCTGTGCTGTGGTCATGGTCTCACGGTCCCATTTCTTTTCTGTGCTTTCATACTATTCCTATTCTATTGTTACTATGCATTACCTTGGTACTTACGGATACCTTAGGTACTTCTTATTGAACTGCCGTCGTGGATCTGATTCAAATATGAATAATAATAATAATGGGGCTGGATCGTGATCGTAGGCGCTGTTGTTAAACTGACAGACGTCATTCATTATTTGTTTAGAACTAACTGCCCTAGCGTCATTCTCATTCTCCTCCCCAGCTCCACTCCGTTTGAGCTCCACCTTAAGGTAACTTAGGTAATTACCTTAAGCTCCTAAAGCCCAACAACCATCCAGCTATGAGCTACCTTATGATTCCAGAATAAATCAACACACCCTCCCCCAAAATGCACTCACCTCCCAAGGAATAGGAATATATCCAACAGTTTTACGCTGCACATACGAACCCCCGATGGCCAGTCCCCCATCAAGCCGCACTCGATCGGCGGGGTAGACATGAACATCTACAGGGGTTTAGCTTAAGCGAGCCTGCACCACGGCAAAACCAGAATCCCATCCAGAGTCTGGCCTTTTGGATGTTTTTCTCCGGCAGCGCAGGCGGGCTGGGCTGGGCTTGCTCTCAAGGAAACTTCCCATGTCTTCCCCGGATTATTTGAGCTTCGAGTGGGCCACACGGCGAATTGAGGTTTTACTTTTTTACTTGGCTGTTTGATACCTACTTTTGTTGGTTCAACTTGTTAAGGAGGGAGCTATTGGTCTGATGTCAAGGCCAGGTACCGAGTGGTACGAGCAATATACTCGTACGATGCTGTGTTTTCATGTGCGACTTTATGATTCCCGAGGATCTTTTTCTGGGAGGACTGATGTGGTACGTTCTGTTGATCTGGGTGCTATTGCGGGGTTTTGCTTCAGTGGTGTGGTGCGATCGCGATGTTGAGGCCTCTGAATCGATGAAGTCATTGATGCCAAGACCGATACAATCCTTTAAGGTGGATGCAACAGGATGCAAGATCCTCAAACAAAGTCACGATTTCCCTTCTTTGGGATGTACCTGGAGGGCCTCCATTTGCATCGCAGAAAGTCAAAGCTGCATATCATCTGATCACGATCACGGCTCTCTCCCCACTTTCACGACTTGACTTTTTCTCCGAATAAAATCAAATCAAACTCTCTTGTTGTTGAAACCATCCCCTAATCTATTTACAATATCTGTCGACTCAGAATGCTCTCAGTTATGAGCAAAGCTCTAATACTTTTAATCTTTCATGAACAGGTCCCCAGAAAAATGGATATATCGGTTCCATCAGGAGGTAGAAACGGTACCTCAACATCCGCCCCATCCACTCCCCATTCTCACCCCAATTCAAGAGACAGGCTATCCCCCCATCCAAAACATAAACAAGCAAAATCTACTCGAAATCCTCCTCCTCCTCCTCCTCCAAAGTCGAGAATACGAGACGTTCCAGTCGATTGTTCGAATATGCTCGCTTCTGTCTAAATTTCAATTATTTTTATGAGATGTGAGCTATATTATCGAAATCCAAAGGGAGGCTGCATCGCATACATACGGGGAGCAACAGTAAGTAACCTCTGGCTTGCGGCATGAAAAGTCTGCGAGATGTGACGGCCCTTCACATACCTACATATGGAAAGACGCAGATGGTGAGCGTCATGTGAGTGAGTGAGTTACCATACAGGGGAGCGCGGGACTGAGTACACTATTATACCTACAGTTGTTGCGCAGTCGATAATCAAGTTACCGTCTGGGGACTGTTTGATATTTTTTCTAGGTAACTGTTGGCTATTGATTTTGATTTGACTGTTTTAGGACAGAGTATCTAGGGCAGCACTTTCTTTTAAAGTAGTTAGTTAGTAGAAGGAAACCTTTTAGTCTTCTGTCTGCAGTCTTTGAGTGGGGAAGAGATGGGGAACGGATTGAGTCTACAAGGACTATTTCTGAGCAGATGAAGAATGAAAGCAAGTAGCTGTAAAGGGCCATAAATCATAAAGGGAGACGGACAAGTCGCAAGGCCAGGATTAGAAGGACGCTCATTTGATTTTCGACCTCAGTTTTCATATTTTTATACTATCTCAGTATATCTCCATCTCATCTCACATCTTATATTCTTATGTCACCCATAACATTAAGTCCAAATCAGAATATGCTCCTCGCTATCCACGCCTATCCTGCCGTGCCGATAACCAATAACCATGCTATGCAAACCCGCTCAAAATGGCAACACTAAGGAACCTCTACCACCTCTTCCTTCATCATTCATGAAAATGTTAAGTATGCCAGCCAATCCAGGGTTTTATATTAGTACAAAATCCAATGATCTTATCCAATTCTCATCACATCTTGTTCTTTCTCAATCGACTCTCTCTTGCTCTCTCTCTCTTTTCATCGTTCATCATGTCCAAGTCCAGGATATGCAAGAAAAAGCGCCGAAAGATCAGAAAACACCTCCAGATGCAAATTTTTCGTTGTCCCATCCTGTTCATACCAATGCTAATTTGATCCAATCCGATCCGATCCGATTCGTTGTTCCAAATGCGTGCTTCATACAGTATCGTTCATGCGCGATATGTGTTATCGTTGATTTGTTCGCTTCTCCCACGAGTATGTGTCGGTTTATTTTTCTTCCCTCGACCTTCATTCACGTGCATGCATATGCCGTCTAGAAGTCCGACCTGGCAGCCAGCCGCACTCAGCGATGAAGTCTCCCGGCGAAACCGTCGAGTCCACCGTGGCCACGTCGAGTAATCAGAAGAACCGAACTGAATTGAGAACACCTCACGACTCCGCCTCCGTCTCCAACAACGGCCCCAACGCCTCCAATGCCCTGACACTTCCCCCTTTACTCAAAATAACCGCACCCGCCCTCGCCGTACTCAAATAACTCAACTCCGCTCCTTCACTTTCCATTTCCGCATCCACATCCCCATTCTTCTCTCCACATCCACCCATTCTCTCGACCTCACAAAGCTTCCCCGCAACACCGCACACAATACCCGTACTCTCCAACGGCAAGCCCGCCAGATCCAGAAAGATAGGCACTAACTCCCCATCTACATCGCCAGCGATGCTATTCCCAAACAGCCAGAGCAGACTCTTGTCCAATAACAGAGAAGGTGGGTCGTCCTGTGCCAGCGTAATGGAGAGGAAGCGTGGTTGAGTAATGAGAGCGGAGATGAGCCCGATATAGAATTTGGGGTCGATGGTACTGAGAAATGTATTTTCTGGGATGTGGTGGGAGGTATGTCCGTTTGAGTAGCCATTTGAGCCTGAGTTGGAGCGAGAATTTGAGTGAGAATGGGAGTGGTACGAGTCATCTGGTAGGATCTCCTTGCCAGAGCATTGCACAAGATTTAAATCCGGTTCGATGAAAGGCACGACGCCTCGTTTCCTCAGCTGTTTGAACGTCCTGATCTGCAGCTCTGCGACATTGGAAGGCGGTGGTGTGGATGGTGGGCCGGCCTCGCTACTTCCGGATGGGATGCGAGAGTGGACGTGGGCGTGGTTGAGACTAGGTGTTTGGACAACATATGCACTTTCATTTTCGGAGAACTCAAAGCCTCTTTCTAGCAGTGCTGCTCCCACCGTTTGTCTATCTTTCGAAGGAACCAGAATGAAGTCTGTGTAGTATGTTGTGATGAAGAAAATAGGAATAGCGGCCATTGCGAGAGGAGCCGTCAGATCCATGACCCGCTGCCCGGCTTCCATGCCAGCGCTATTGACGCTGAACACAATGTAGGTGTCTTTCGAGATGTGGCATTGTTTTGCTTCTTGCGGCGGTAGCCGGGCTATTAATGGTGCGAAGACGTTTTGTGCCCAGGAAACATGGCAGACGATACTGCACTCGAGGGGGGTGACGGATATATTGAGGAAGTGGTGTTTATTGTCTGGGGAGAGGCCTGAGAGGGGCCCTTCGGGATCGAGCGGAGTATGGGTTGGACCGCCATGGGGGAGGAGGATGCGGAGAATGGGTTGGAGGAGCGAGGCATAGAGTGGAAGGGGAATATGGATTAGGCTGAATTGGCCTTCCTGTTTAATGGGTTTGTCAGTTGACTTTGATTTTGAATTCGGAGCTGAGGTTGTAAGAATCGGCTTTATGCTGGTAAAGCGGAACATGGAGGCAGAGCCATCGGGAGCGAAAGTAGAGGACTGAGGTATATATGAGGGTAGGAGAATGAGACATTGGTGATGGACGAATAGAGTCATGGCCTGTGATTCCTTTCCCACTTCAATCCATCTCATCCCATCCCGTCACAAGAACAGTCAATGTGATGTACTTGACCACAGAATGGATTGGACTCGTACAGCCGGATGACCAAGATTGGAAAATCCAAACTCCACGCTCAACCGGAAACAGAAAGTAAAGTAGGAGCCAGAGGACCAAAAGAAAAACGAACGGAAGGAAGTGCTTACAATGAAGGATATCTGTGCATTCATGTTGATCTTTCTGTCTTTCCCAACTTGGGTCCTTTCCCGACTAGTCGATTAACGAGATGGATTAGACTAGGGTGATATGCGGCCCTTGATCAAAGCAGCTGGGGCCTTGCAGCCTCCCGTGTCCAAACGGTTACCTGCTTGCCAAAATGTATGGGGAAAAAGAAGAAATTTTCAATGACGCCTCTAGATTCCAGCCAAGGGATGTTTTGATCGGTGGGATGGAATTTGTGAGACGACGGCGTGGCTGAAAGGGTAGACGTAGGCGTAGGCGTGGGAGGTAGTGGTAGCGGTGGTGGTGCCAAATTGCAGATTCATCGGCGGGGTAAGCAAAACAATCGGATCGATACGACCAGTAGAGTAATGTGGTAAGGTTGGAAGGTGAGGGTGTGAAGAGCTATTAGAATACGGGGGCTCTCTGTCTTGCTTCTCAGCTGATCCAGGCCTCGAAACAATGCACTGCAAAGCAAGACAATGGAAGACAGAGCAGACGAGCAGTCTCTCGCTCGAGTCGGCTTCTTCCCCACGTACGCAAGCAAGCGCAATCAAGGCAGGTATGCCTGTCTTGTCTCAACTCAGCTTATTCCTGTGTGAGTAGGCCTCTAGGATGAGCCTGCGAGGGATATGATAATCGACCAGCTCACTTCGGTTCGCTTTGGTACGGTTGAGAATCAAGTATGATATGGGCGTATTTGGGGCACGAGATGGGGGGCTGGCAGAGCTTCTTATTCTAGCTGCTCACGATGCAGGCAAGCAGGCAAGCTCATTCAGGGTCGCTGGTTCGCCTAGCCGTATGCTGTGCGTCGTGCATGCGAGGGCTGTCAATCGCGCCCAATGTCTCAAGCCACCAGTGTGGGGGTTAGGTTCGAGTGCGATTGAGTGAGGATGCTGGACGAGGATAGAGGACCAGCTGCGACGTGCCCTTGTCTGAATCGCGGGGTCGGGTGGGTGAGGCAGGCACACGAAGGATGATGAAAGGTCCGCCAGGGGTTCGCAAGGCCGGGCTGGATGGTTGCTGCAGTGTTGGCTTTGGCTCTTCTAATTGTAGAATATTGGCGGCTGTACGCTGTACGCAGAGGGGTAGAATACTGTAGGTAGGGTTGGCAGGGTGGTAGGTTGTGAGGCGTGGGAGAGGAGGGGAGGAGGGGAGGAGGGGAGGAGGGGAGGAGGGGAGGAGGGGGTAGTGTAGAGGATGGGTGGTGTGGGGTAAGGTTAGCAGGGCAATGAGAATGCGCCGGGGACGCATGTAACCTGGTAGTTGGTGTTGAGGGTTGTAGGGTTGTGGATGCGAGATACGCCAGAGGAGGAGAGCGAAATGAATGATGGGATGGGAGGATGACGAAAGAGAAGAGACTGCGATGGAGTGAAATCGAGGAGATAAAATGAGGGGAGGGGTCCTTTCAGAAATTAGCGCTAGAAAAGGAAAGGAAGACCCCGAATCGCGTTACAGTACTTGGTCTAGTCGTCTGTCACTCACTCACAACAGTCAAGACCGGTCGCTCAGAGCAAAGCGAGAGATAAAAGCAAAGCCATAGATAGATAAAGATAAAGAAATGCTTACATTTTCCTAGGACTAACTACAACTACACTACCTATAATCAAGCGCAAGTACCCAGTCCAGCCCCATAAATCCTGCTGTTAGCGCTTGTTGTGCCTCGGTCACATCGCATCGCGTAACGCGGATGTGTCCGTCATTTTAGGCCGGCCATGGAGTGGATGTCACGATGGAAGAAAGAGTGGAGTTGTAGATAGGGAATGGAATTGCAGCGCAGGATTGGCTGGAGCCTGCGAAGGAAAACACGAGAGCCGAGACGAAAAGTCGTCCGTCATATTGCAGCAGCCGCCAGTTTTGCTTGCCCCTCAATGGCGATGAAAGTCCAAATATTTGCAGCGTGTGGCTATTCGCGGGCCGATCTCGATCTGACTTCGCGAACGTTGAACAGTGGGGGCATTAACTTATTGAAAGAAATGGTACTGATCGGATTGGGACAGAGGGGCAGACCCTGTCTCTCGTCTATCGCGAAATAAGCACGCTTTGGGAAGCGTCATCCTGATGGTGGGTGTGGGTGTGGGTGTGGGTGTGGGATGGCGTAAATTGGAAGCGAATGTACAGTATCGTGGTGTGCCATGTCACGCTGTGTTTTGATGTCATTGGGGGGAAGCGAGTGAACGTTGCTGGTGCGATATGAGTTTCATGCCTGTGATACCTCAAGAGCCCACAGGCTGGGCTGCTGGAGTGACTAGACGTCATGCATGAGATGGATGCACTGTGAGCTGTTCTGTTGCGGAATTTAACCAATGTATGTATGCTATGCAATGCGGCGCGAAACTAATATCACTGTCAAATGCGCTTGGAGCCATCTTCGTACGTGGAAGCTGTGCTGTATTGTGACTTCTGCCAACACAACAGACAGCATAGACGACCCGACCTACCCAAGGTAGATATCGAGGCCACCGCGTCTGGATGCATTGGTGCAGTCTTGACGCATGCAGGATGATGAGAGATGACCGACAGGCCGCCGGCCTTTCCTAGGTACGGACTGTATCAGATCAGACAGTGATAGGTGTCAGCTTGACTCGTGGGTGGGTGGGGGTCTACACAATACTGATGTAGGCAGATTGTGACGTCTCTAGACGTTTGAATTATAGGGTTGAAATAGGAATTAGGCTGGATGATGATATTGATTCTAGAATGGTAGATTTGCCGCCGTTGGAGATTTTATTATCGATACAGGCCTCCAAACGGCATCAGCCGACCCGTGCTTGGCGCTTACTCACCACTTTCGATATTGTGCCTTCCAGATTGCTTCCTTCTGCCCTTTTCGATGGATATACGCGCGTCAATTCTATTTCGGATGGCCGTCTTTATCAAGAGATCACAGCTTTTCCACAATGTTGTTGTGAAAGGCCCAGGAAACTACTATCCAGGTCAAACTCCTCCACCAATTTACTGTAGCAACTGTCCAACGGAGTCTCCCAATGACATCTCCTCACAACATCAATCTCACAATGGTGTCCCTATGCCCAGCCTCCTTGCCATAGGATTCTCCCCAGGAGTCACACTCTCACCTAATTTGTCAATAAACGACATCTCCAAGTTCCTTCCACAAACCACCCAAACGCCCAAACGCCTTCAAATCATTGCATATCAGACATATCACTTTCACAGGCTCGGTCCGTCTCCGGTGTGCCTTTTCCTACACACAATCTAAGTCATCGTCGATTAGATCAAATGCATTTCATGTCTCATTTTCATAGCCAGCAAAAGATCTTCGCCCCATCCAATAACCAGAGACAGAGGCAGGCACACATTCAGCCGCCCAAGCCACCCCGCTAAAGAATTTCCCCAAGGTCAGACTTACCTTGTCCAATCGGCTGGCTTCCAGGAGATTTGTTTCAACGTACAGCCAGCCTTCTTCTTTTTCCCTTGCCTACGCAGCTACCCTATGCAGATCATAGTCTTTGGTGATTTGACAAGGTGTTTATTTACTATGAAATGGTGTGTCTCGGCTGTTCAGCGGTGGGGTACTCTGGATTCGAAGAGAAGGCTGTACCTCACACCACAGTTTTTACGGATAATTTGAGGAGAGGAAAGAGCTCCTGGCTGGAACGAGGGTAAGATTTCAATTGACACACGAGACAGGCAAGTAGCTTACAGTCCATTTCTATACCTCGTGATTTGAACAGCCTCCCATCTCCCTGCCTCCTCACCCCAGATCTCAAACCGACCACCTCTAGCACCATCTCTTCCCTTCGACCCTAATCCCCTTCAATATCCGTCTATCTCCATCTATGCCGCACTGCAGCAGGGCAAAGGAGGTGAAAAAGACGAAGAAGAAAAAGGAGCAGTAGCTCTGAACAAAAATTTCCTTTGAAGACACAAAAAAAAGGAAATATGCACCAAGTATGTCGTGCAGTAGTCTCGTCTTAGTCCAAGTCTGTCTTGCCAGAATTTTCACACACTACTGTAGAGAAACATTAGCTTGAATCTCAGCAAGTAACCCAGGTCCCGACGAGGGGGCAGGTGTTCCCAGCAGTGGACAAATTCCGGCGACTCAAGAGAGTGAGAGATATGTTGTGTAACACGTCAGGCATGTATGCAGGTCGGCAGCTCGAGTACGTTAGAAAAGCAGATTTTGCAGCTTCGGCGGAAGAAGTGGCGGGGAGTGCATAGGCTGGACCTGAGCGGTGAACTTGGAGGTTTACTTCTGCTGCTTGTTGATCTGGGCCTTGACTTTTTGGTAAGAAGGAAAATTGTCCCTGGGAAGTCGGAATTATTAATGCCACCCGCGACTTAAGAGTATTCAACGTGCTGAGACATGGTCATAAAGAAATGACTAGTTAAACTCAGTGGGGAGTGAGTACCTTACTGCCCACAACCTTAAGACAAAAGCTTCAATCTTGTTTATAAACTTGTCACGCCATATTTCCATTATGCAGGCCTCCTGACCGAGTGGAGTCTCCTTCCTTAGGGCCTGAGCAAGGCTCAATAGATAAGTACCCTTTTCTTATTTCACTTCCTCCTCCGTGAGAGACATGACCTACGTGCCTATCATCAGCTGGCACGAAACAGTCCTCGTGGTTATCAGAAAACAAGACAAATCCTGCCCCTTGTTCGGCCCGATCCGAAGCATAGAGACCATTAGCACCGATCATTCGATTGATTCAGGCATGCTGTGTATGATTGTCTGGTTTGTCTTTTGGCTTGCTGGTACAGGCGATGTAGGTCTTGGATCTTGCACCCTTGTAGAGACTGAAACTGACATAGAGAACTTTGGGGAGTTAATTGAAGTCTGGCCAGCTGAAGTCAGTGCTGTAGGCTGTTATTCGCTAAAGTTTCAGGGGTTGAGACCCTGTAGTACTGTAATTGTCCTGCGTGAAGTTTCTTCCCTCCTACTGTACAGCAAGTTACTGGAATGCTGATGATACTTGATTTTCTGTACAGTACTTACAGTATTAACCTTATATTTATTCAATGCAGCATTCCTAGTGTGTGCAGAGAGAACGTTGCAGACGCGACCAAGAAGTCCTACAAATTGACTTCGGCACCATCACCTGCTTCACCAGACCGGATCAATATTGTATTACTGTAGTATACAAACTTGTATGGGGTAGACGTACGAGTACCGGAGACACTTTTTAAAGACGTCGCTCGCCCACTTCTAGATCCCGAGCCGACTCGGCCGAGTCGACCCTCGGGGTTGAACGTCGAGAACGTGAATCGCGACGAAGTTACCGCAGACTCTTAGAGCGCCGCAAAGTCAAATAAGCGGGGTACGGGCCCCCCTTAGTCCAATGAGCCTCCAGTCCGGGGAATCCCCAAGACTCCTACTGCGGGTAACATGCAATTACCGCCAGGGTGAATTTGAGTTTCTGTGCTTCTTGGCTCAGGTCCTCTCTGGCATGTGGAGCCTGGTCTTTCCGTCCGTCGGCTCGCTCTTCAAGAGCATCCGAAAGGAGACAACACGCCAATGGAACGAGGCAGATTTGCGTAAACAACACAATGTCAACTCTATGCCGGAACGCGGAGACTTGGCTGCCCGGAATTGAAATAATGGACAGTGCATGGCGTCAGGGCTTGTCGTCATTGGCAATAATGTTATAAATAAAGGTAAGGTTGAGAAAACAAAGCTGTCAGAACTCGTGCCCACGTTAAGTACTGCTGCCCTTCCTAGTTCCTGTGTTTAATTTTCATTCCACGTTGCAACAAGAGTTCTAGCTCTTTTCTTTTTCTGCATCCCCAGTGATACATCGTCCAATATGACGGGCGACAGCAGCACTTGGACGCTGTCGACGCTCAACGACACACGGCCTTCGGTTGAGCTCACGGACAGGCCAACGACACCGCATCCTGGGCCAGACAGCATCAAAAGCCAAAGTCGTTTGGACGAGGACTCTGGTATCAGCAGACAAATTATACCAAACATGGAAGGAATGGACAGAGATGAACTTCGACGTATTGCCACAGTCATGTCGCAAAGGAGGAGCAATACGTATGACGAACTCGAATCCAGTTACACACTTCCTGATCCACAAGATGGCAACTTCGATGAGAAGCAATTTCTTCGATCGTTCATGCATGAGTTCCTAGAGCAAGGGCATGCACCAAAGAAGATCGGCATTTCATTCACGAACTTGAAAGTCTCTGGTGATGGGGCTGCCCTGCGCTTGCAATCCACAATTGGGTCGAGATTTTCAATACCCTTTCGACTTGGTGAACACTTTAGTCTGAGCAAGAAGGAGCCGAGAATGATTCTTCATGGCTTCGATGGTCTACTTAAGCCTGGAGAGCTCTTGCTCGTCCTTGGCCGTCCAGGTTCAGGATGTAGTACATTGCTAAAGACGATGTGTGGAGAGCTACATGGTCTACATGTAAATGATGGATCTACCCTTCACTACGATGGTATTTCTCAAAAGCAGATGGTGAAGGAATTCAAGGGAGAGATAGCCTACAACCAAGAGGTTCGCTTCCCAATGCAAGTATTTGCACCGATGAGGTTCTTACTGACACGCTATCCAGGTCGACAAGCACTTTCCCCAGCTGACTGTCGGTCAGACTCTCGAATTTGCTGCTGCGACTCGCACTCCTTCACATCGAATTAAAGGAATGGATCGTGATCAATACTGCAAATATGTTGCCAAGGTAGCCATGGCTGTCTTTGGTATCAGTCACACATACAACACGAAGGTTGGCAACGATTTCGTTCGCGGAGTCTCTGGTGGAGAGCGGAAACGGGTCAGTCTGGCGGAAATGCTGGTTGCGGGTGTTCCATTCTCTGCTTGGGATAACAGGTAAAGCTTCACATCTTACAGTTACCAGTACCATGTATCACACTAACATTCCCAGTACCCGTGGCCTAGATTCAGCAACTGCACTCAAGTTTGTGCAGTCTCTGCGAACTGGAGCAGACTTGATTGGCTGTACACATGCAGTGGCCGCCTACCAAGCCAGTCAGGCAATGTATGATATCTTCGACAAAACCGTGGTTCTATATGAGGGTCGGCAGATCTATTTCGGCCCAGCACACCTCGGCAGAGCCTTCTTTGAGAAACAAGGATGGGTCTGTCCACAACGTCAAACAGTGGGAGATTTCTTAACGTCGGTGACGAATCCCCATGAGCGTATTGCCCGTGATGGAATGGAGGATCGTGTGCCCCGAACTCCAGAAGACTTTGAGAGATACTGGCGCCAGTCTCCTGAGTATGAAAGCTTGCAGAGACAAATCGAAGCTTATTCTCAGCAATATCCAGCCAGGAAGGACGGGGAAGCCATTGCTCGCCTACGAGAGCAGAAAAACCATGCACAATCAAATCATGTCCGTCGGCGCTCGCCCTACACAATCAGCATTGCCATGCAGATCCGCTTGAACACTAAACGAGCTTACCAACGCATCTTGGGCGACGCGACTGCTACAGCCATGCAGGTTGGAATAAACTTTGTCCTTGCACTTATCATTGGTTCGATCTACTATGGAACACCAGCAGCAACAGCTGGGTTTACGAGTCTCGGCGCTACGCTTTTCATTGCGATCCTGCTCAACGCACTCACTGCTGTCTCCGAAATCAGCAGCCTGTACAATCAACGCCCAATCGTCCAAAAGCATACCTCTTATGCCTTCTACCACCCCGCCACGGAAGCTGCAGCTGGAGTGGTGTCTGATATACCGATCAAGTTCATCACAGCAGTTGTTTTCAATGTCATTCTCTACTTTCTAAGCGGCTTGCGTCGAGAACCCGGTCCTTTCTTCGTATACTTTCTCACCAGCTTCATCTTGACATTTGTCATGAGCGCAGTCTTCAGAACCATGGCTGCCATCACACAGACAATCTCACAGGCTATGAGTCTGGCAGGTGTGCTCGTGCTAGCTATTGTCATCTACACTGGATTTGTCATCGCGATTCCTCAGATGCATCCATGGTTCTCTTGGATACGTTGGATCAATCCCGTCTTCTACGCTTTCGAAGCTCTTGTCGCTAATGAGTTTCACGGCCGGGAATTTACATGCTCGGATATCATTCCGTCCTACACTCCACTTCAAGGTGACTCCTGGATTTGTTCAGCTATAGGAGCAGTTGCTGGTCGTCGTACTGTTAATGGAGATGCCTATATTGCACAACAGTACCATTACTACTACTCGCACGTTTGGCGAAATATTGGGATTCTGATCGGGTTTCTCGTCGTTTTCATGCTCATCTACTTTGTCGCCACAGAGCTCAATTCCGCATCATCCAGTATTGCCGAAGTATTGGTCTTTCAACGAGGCCATGTCCCGAAATATCTTCAAAACAATGTCTCTACAGACCAAGGAGTTGCTGCCGCTCCCAATCTACGAGAGCTATCTGATGAGGAAGAAGTGAAAGTCGCGCTGGAGCCGCAGAAAGATATATTCACTTGGAAAGATGTCTCATACGATATCGAGATTAAGGGCGAGCCACGGCGGCTCCTGGATAATGTTTCTGGTTGGGTCAAACCCGGGACTCTGACAGCTCTCATGGGTGTCAGTGGTGCCGGTAAGACAACTCTTCTCGACGTTCTAGCTCGTCGTACAACTATGGGCGTTATTACAGGAGACATGTTGGTCAACGGAACCCCTCTGGATGCAAGTTTTCAACGAAAGACTGGATATGTTCAACAACAAGGTAAGTTTCACAAGGGTCTCGCAATATCGGTCACCACTGACTGATTCCCAGATCTTCATCTTGAGACAGCTACAGTCCGTGAAAGTCTAAGATTCAGTGCCATGCTTCGCCAACCAGCATCTGTCAGCAAAGAAGAAAAGTATCGCTACGTGGAAGACGTGATCGATATGCTCAGCATGCGGGACTTTGCTAACGCGGTTGTCGGTGTTCCCGGAGAAGGTCTGAACGTTGAGCAGCGCAAGTTGCTTACGATTGGTGTCGAACTCGCTGCGAAGCCAAAACTCCTTCTCTTCCTCGACGAGCCCACTAGTGGTCTTGACTCGCAGAGTTCGTGGTCTATCTGCGCGTTCCTGCGGAAGCTCGCCGACTCAGGACAGGCAGTTCTGTGTACTGTCCATCAGCCCAGCGCTATTCTGTTTCAACAATTCGACCGTCTGCTCTTCTTGGCCAGAGGAGGAAAGACAGTGTACTTTGGCGAGATTGGACCTGATTCAAGGACTCTGCTCGACTACCTGGAAAATAATGGTGCACCGAAGTGTGGAAGTGATGATAATCCTGCCGAGTACATGATTGAAGTCATCAATAAATCTATTGGCGATGGCGCACAGGATTGGCATTCGATTTGGAAGTCTAGTCAAGAGTGCAGAGATGTTGAGCAGGAAATCCAAAGGATCCACTTGGAGAGAGGAACCGGGAATACCGAAACCCACGATGCCACCAGCTTTTCAGAGTTTGCAATGCCACTGTCTGCACAGATCCAAGTCGTCACTTATCGAATATTTCAGCAGTATTGGAGAATGCCCGAGTACATAATGGCGAAATGGGGACTAGGTTTGGTCGCTGGACTTTTTGTTGGCTTTACCTTTTACGGCGCTGACGCAAGCCAAGCTGGCATGAATAATGTCATCTATTCCGTGTTCATGCTTACTACCATATTCTCAACTCTCGTTCAATCGGTTAGCTGCCTTCCAGTTCAAGATTAATAAGAGTATACTAACATCATATTAGGTCCAGCCACTGTTTATCACCCAGAGGGACCTTTACGAAGTGCGCGAACGACCAAGCAAATCTTACTCCTGGGTAGCCTTCCTATTCGCCAACTTCATCGTCGAAATCCCATACATGATCATCACCGGTATTCTAACCTACGGAAGCTATTACTACGCCGTAGTCGGCATTCAGTCTTCGGAACGCCAAGTTCTGGTCCTGCTTTTCATTATCCAACTATTCATCTATTCCGGCTCCTTTGCACACTTGACAATCGTCTCCATGCCAGACGCGGAAACTGCCGCTGGAATCGTCGTTCTCCTCATGTTACTGATGACAATGTTCTCTGGTGTTATGCAAGCACCGCAAGCCCTTCCCGGATTCTGGATTTTCATGTATCGGGTTAACCCATTCACTTACTGGATCGGCGGTATTTCCGGTACACAGCTACATAATCGAGAGGTTGACTGTGCCAGTAACGAGGTGTCAGTTTTTGACTCCCCAGCTGGTCAAACCTGCGGGCAATATCTCCAGTCATACTTGACTGACGCACGAGGATACCTGTTAAACCCCAACGACACTGAATCTTGCCAGTATTGTTCAATTCGAACTGGCGATATCTTCCTGGCGGGATCCAAGATCACTTGGGATCAGCGATGGCGCAACTTTGGGATCATGTGGGTGTTCATCATCTTCAACTTCTTTGGGGCAATTTTGCTGTATTATGCTTTCCGTGTCAAGAAATGGAACTTTGGAGGCGGGAAGAAGGCGAAGAAGTCTTTGCCTCCTTCCGAAGGAGCATCTCAGAGTCAAGAGAAATGAAGCTTCAGAGATCACCAGAAAGATGAAATATAGAGCGGAATTCTCTGTCTTTATAGACTGTTTTGGTTTTATAGACTGTCTGGGATTATAGATATTCTAGTTTTCTTTTGTACTTCCACTCATTGTTGCGTCTCTTTTGTTTCCGGGGAGTTATCATCTATAGATAGTCTATTGAATTGTAATATTGTCTCGCTTTCCGATAAGAATATGATTATTCTCCGGGAACAGAATATTTGTTTCCTCGTCCAAACGACCAGTGCAAACTTCCAAGGCGGATATGCAGCGAATCTGTTTTTCTCCAGTTTTAAGAACGATAGCGGGATGCTGTTGAGTACCCCGCACGAGTAGCCGAATGTAAACCAGCCCCAAAAGTTTATCTTCTGCGTCTGCACTGGCGTTCCTCGCTCTCATACATTGCTTCAAATTGTATCACAATAGATGGAGCTATCTCTAGCTATAATTCGGTGATCAGTAGAGAGGTAAACAGTATGTTGTCTGTGGCATGCGTCCGCACTGGCTACACTAGTTTGAGATTCTGTCGTGGAAACTTTATTATTCAACCTAGGACCTACACGGACCTTAAGAATCGGTCAGTGCTTTGACATGGCCAACTTAATATGCAGATTATATTGGTATCTTTATCCAATGCCTTTACTTCTAATTGAGCCCTATCTTGTGCGTCATTCGGATAGACCATCCCGGGCTGCTAGATGAAACTTACCTCATACTTCGGCCCCTGCATGACAGCAACCTACCCCAGACTCCACAAGCAGATCACTATGCTTAATTTACTTCAAGCATTTCATCGAACGCCTTGATATAGCTTCTTAGTGAATGATTTTCGCTTCTCATGTTTCGGTAGAGAAATGATAAAGATGCCATCTCCTGTCCTCGCTCAGTTAGCGATCTTGCACGATTTCATTTTGTTTGGTCTCGCTACTATTCAAGATGCTACATTTAGCCACTTTAAATGTCTTGATGGCATTAGTGATTTGTACTGGCACAGTGAATGGGAAGAGACCGCAATATTTGTTGAAAGAGCGCCATTACGTGCCATCAGCCTGGTCCAGAGTCGGTCCTGCTCCTGCGGACCATTTGATACAATTGCAGATCGGCCTGAGACAGAGTCAGTTCAGTGAGCTTGAGAAACAGCTTTATCAAGGTAGGCAGCTCAAAATTAGTCGGCTGTGGCATTTTTCACCTGGACATGCTGACAGAGGGCCAGTGTCTGATCCACGCCATGAAAGATATGGTCAACATCTATCTGAACAACAAGTCAATCAACTCATCAAGCCAACGAGCGAGACAACCGATCAAGTTCTCTTCTGGCTTCGAGAGAACGACATTGGAGAAGATATTGAGTACAGCCGCGCCAAAGACTGGATCAAAGTCACACTTTCAGTGGAGTCAGTGGAAAGACTACTTGACACGGAATACTCAATCTTCAAGCACAAAGATGGTACTCATCTAGTCCGAACACCAGAATGGTCACTTCCGTCACATCTCCACCAGCACATCCAAACAATACAGCCTACAAACTCATTCTTCCGAATGAGACCTGAGCGATCGACTCTGAAAATCGCTCCATCTGACACAACCGATGTCCAAATTACTACCGACAGGAGACCCTCAGGAACGGCACTTGAACATGTGTGCAATGTGACCCTTGTCACGCCAGAATGTTTGCGTACACTTTATGGTACCTCGCTTCCATCCCCTTTGAGGCTCCATCCCTAACTTCACAGGAACAATCGACTACGTCCCCAGATTGACGGGCAAGAACCGCATTGGAATGACAAACTATCTCGGCGAAACCAGCGTACGATCCGACGTCTCGTTATTCCTCTCTCGTTTCCGCCCGGACGCAACAGCGAACTTCACACTGACGACCATCGCGTCCGGTTTGGATCAGCAAGTACCCAACATAACCTCTCTAGCGGCAGGAAAGAATCTCGAGGGGAACTTGGACGCAGAAACAATTCTAGGTATTGCGTTCCCAACCCCGATGGAGGCCTTCAATACAGGCGGAAGTCCGCCGTTTGTACCTAGTCTTTCGACGCCGACGAATACGAATGAGCCGTATCTGGATTGGTTGCAGTTTATGCTGGGACTGGAGATTGTTCCACAGGTGATAAGCACGAGTTATGGAGACGATGAGCAAACTATTCCGTTGAGCTATGCGACGGCTGTGTGTAATGGATTTGCACAGTTAGGCGCTAGAGGTGTGTCATTGCTGTTTGCTAGTGGAGATAATGGAGTTGGTTCGAATGGTGAGTGTGTCTCGAACGATGGGAAGAACACGAGTATGTTTCTGCCAATATTCCCTGGTGGTTGTGTAAGTGTTGCCTTTCCCTCAATCTATCGTTTCCAAGGAAACTGATAGAAGCCTCAAGCCATTCGTAACAACCGTTGGCGGCACAATGCAAATCAACCCAGAAGTTGTGGTGTTTAACCCAGCAAACAACTATGCGTCAGGAGGCGGCTTCAGTAACTACTTCTCTCGTCCTGCATACCAGGATGCGGCTGTCCAGCCTTACATTACCTGGCTTGGCGATGAGTTCAAAGGTCTGTACAACACATCTGGACGAGCCTACCCGGATATTTCAGCTCAAGGCTTCCACTATGCAACAATTTGGAACGGGACTCTAGTGCCACTGGATGGAACAAGGTAACTCACACGCAGTCCCTGTTCTAGTTGCCCTGCTTTGGTGGGTCCATCATTTGGGTGTGCTAAATTTGATGATGAAGTGCATCCACACCAACCGCTTCGGCAATTATCTCGCTGGTCAATGATGCTCGACTGGCTTGTGGGAAACCAGTCTTGGGGTTTCTCAATCCATGGCTGTACTCACAAGGTTTCAAGGCTTTCACAGACGTAACCAGCGGTTCTGCACGAGGGTGTAATGTGACAGGATTTCCCGCCAAAGCTGGTTGGGATGCAGTTTCTGGTTTTGGAACGCCTGTAAGTTATGTTCTATCGAAGTATCCCTCAACTGCCAAACAAAACACACCTTCTACAGGGGGTGGAAAAGCCTGAAGATATGCCCTGTAATTAAGCGAGGGACGCCTGAGGGTCGCACATGCAAGGTAGCTCTAGTGACCTACCTGCTTTGGCGCTGCCCCTTAGAAAAGTGTGTTTTTCGGCAGTTGAGGTGATATCAATATCGAAGTATCAGTAGCTTGATTTAGATTTTCAATATACTGACTGTTGTTGTGCTATCTAGGACTTTCCGAAACTGAAGGCTGCAGCGTTGGATAATGGGATTTTCTGACCTTGCTGACGATTGATCTCTACTTTAATCGGTGATTTTACTAATGCCTGTAAATTTAATCGTTCTCTTAGTAAGTTCGCATAACGGTTCTTGTGCTTCTTCATTCTTTGTCTCATTTCTCTCCATCGACCGCGGTGTCTACGTTGACTTAAATTACTCTGCTGGCGTCTCTGGCATGAGAGTGGGAAGTTTAACAGAAACCAGTCAGTGGCAGGCCAGGATGTTGGTGAAATTCCATAGTGTTTTTGAAACCTCGTTTGAGCAAATGATGAATTCCGTCATACCTGACATTTCTTTTCAAGTACCCGCTTCGACGTTCAAACACCTCTGAGCTACATTTACTCGCGAGCAGATCATCAATCCAGAGTCCGACGAGGTAAGATAGATACAAAAAACACAATACATTGTAAAGAGTCTAACATGATTCATAGTAAAGTGAACCGCAGGCGACAAGGCCAATGTTCAACCTCTGCCATGACAGATTTGCTTCAAGATTTCGACTTCACATCTTCATTATTTATCTTCGGAGCATTGATGGTGACAACTTGAAGCCAATCACAACCCCCTGCAATGTACTTGGCGCAAAGACAAATCTGATGAGTAATAAATACCTCTTTTTCTGCGGGGTGTGATCTCACGCGGCTCAACTGTTGCCAGCCTTGTCATGTTGGTAGCCTTAATTGACCTCATGCCCTCAATCCCTAGAATTCATGGTATACGAGATGAGTCTTTCAATCCTTGATTATTCATGCACGGAGTGGGCAAAGCTCTGCCAGCCCAGCATATCCATGGTCACGAAAGCCACTGTTTAAGTATTTTACGCATCTGTATGTCAGCGCGGCGTGTGATTGATTTTCATCACAGAGACTTGGAGTCAAGCAGGCCGTCTTCACTGCCCAAAGTCCACTTTAAGATTCCATTTCCCCAGACTGGACGTATATGGAAGCTATGTCCGGGTTTGAGATTGCCGGGGTGGTTCTAGGAACATATCCGTTGCTAGTTTCGGCAGCAGAACGTTACCGCCGCCTAATCACGCGTCATAAAGATTACAAAACAAGAAAAATCTGGTCACGACTACAAATAGACTTGGAGTTCGAAGAACGTGTTTATGGTTCCATCATGAATGACCTGTTCTTTGGAATTCTTGCTGAGGAGCAACAGAGCGATCTCCTGGGCTCCCTACAGATGGACCCAACCATCGCCGCTAAAGTAAATAAGCGACTAGAAGCTGGCTCGGAGGCTGTTTTACGATTACTACCTATCTTGGAGGTCGAACTGAGAAGTATTAAAGAGAGCTTTGAGTCAATAGAGAACTCTCTCCAGGTGAGCATCTTGGAGACTTCAACGAAGTCAAGGTCGATCTGCATCATGACTTCGTTTGCCAACCTTTTCTAACCCGTGGCAAGGGGACCAAAGCCGGGTTTCTTACGGAGATACAAGGTCGGCAAACTACAAAGTAAAATTCAAGAATCCTTGTTAAACTTATCCAGACGCAATGGGCAGCTGCAGGCATTTACTTCAACTCTGCGCCGATTGGAAGAAGATCGGCTCCTGAGAGAACAATCTGCCAGTCTACATCAGCCCTTAGATTTTGATAAACACGAAATACGACTCATATCACTTGAATGGAGTGACCAGGAAAGCCATCCATTGGTCTGTAGTTTAGAACATGCTTCACTTATCCACCCTGTGCCCTACAAAGCTCTGTCTTACTCCTGGGGAGCTCCCGATATCACGAGTATGTGCATCACGTCTTCGAGGACTTCAAAAGCTCATAAAATACAAATCACTGTCAACTTGGACATGGCTCTTCGATCACTGCGCAAACACCTGCTGCCCATACCCGCAGACAGAGACAGTACGTCCGCTCTACGGCTCTGGGTCGACGCAATTTGCATCAATCAAAGCGATGGGCAGGAAAGGAGCCTCCAGGTTCGAAGCATGCGACAGATATATGCTAGTGCTGAGGAGGTCGTGGCATGGGTTGGCCCGCTGAAAGCTGGAGTAGATTTTGCCGAGGAAATTAAAAATACTTCGGAATCTTCCCCGATTCTCCTATCACGGCAAGGACAAGCTGTAGAGACAGACGATGAAAACCAAGAGGCTATCAAACCAGTACAGCCCAACTATGTAGCGGCGTTTCAGCATGCTTACTGGAATCGTGTGTGGATCATACAAGAGATCACAGTAGCTTCTAGCGTGCGAGTGATTCTAGGCGATGTGATAATTTCCGGGGATGATGTTCTGAAGGCTCTCGAGGTTCTCGAAAGCAAGAAGGAGAAATCGAGTGGAGTCATAAATTCTTTACCAGTACACCTCCTGAGGTTCCGCAATCTGTTTGCTGGGTTGGAACGGAGACCTATTGGTCTCCTTGAGGCGTTGACATGGACCTGCTCAGCCAAAGCGACGGATCCCCGAGACAAGATCTTCGCTCTGTTAGGTCTTTGCTACGATGCTTCAACATACGTCCCTGTCCCTATCTATAAGCAGTCGCTGGAATCTATCATTACCGACATGACGAAGAAAATGATGGTTGTTAATCGATCACTGGACTACATAATGATACGAGGGACTCAAGGCTCAGCTCCAATCCGGGGGAAAAAGCGGAAGTTGACAACTTTACCATCGTGGCCATCTGATTGGCAAGCTCTATGGTCTGGAGAAGATCTGAATCTGATGAAGCACATGTCGAATGGTTTCAAGATCTGCTCCTACGACGTAAATCCAGTCCTGTCAGGCTCAACCAACAACACCCTCTGTGTAAGAGGTCTATTGAGTGGCACAGTGGACGAATTTTGTTCACCAGCACTACAAGATCCTGAAGGCTCGAGTCTAAACATGATACCAGGATCTTCTTCGATGTCAAGTCCTCCTGATGCAACATCCAAGCCTCATGTGACCCCGCCACCACTCTCTTTCGACAGTAGCGCCGGCCAGACTTTCGATGAACTTCTTGCTCATGCGCTGAGGTACAAAGTCGTTGGTACACGATTGGCGATACTGAGATCTGCGAGTATAGACTCAAAGCTTACGGTGACGGCCGTGTGTTGGGTAGACCCTCGAACAGATATTTCGGATGAAGTGTTCCAGCTCGAGGGGTGCAGTGCGCCTCTCATCTTAAGGAAGCAGGTAGATGAGGAGCCCAAAAATGTATACGGTAGTCAGTGTGGCATATTCTCTTTCAAAATCCAAGATTTTGGGAGAAGCAGAGATTATTACACTTGTTTGAATTGAAGGACAGGTCAGAGGTTAGACATTACCAGAGCTCTGCACCTGACTCGCTTGGTCAAATTTAAACAAGATCAGAACGAAAGGGGGAAATATTTTTATCCATAGCAGCCTGGCGGCGGGCAGTCTCAACCATACAGCAGAGAGTTGTCGCTTTCTGAAGCAAGAGATTTTGCAAGGAACTTGAGGTAGCGCGACGGACAGACTAGTAGGATGGTCTCCGGATAGTCCAAGGGCGTCACTTCACGCGTATCACAGAAGGGAGGTTGGATAAAATAGAGAATGATGCGTGGAGAAATATTCTACATTCTGTTCCGTCCATTCGCGTCTATCGGCAGGCATCAATCAGTCAACAATACTGTGGGACAGTCCAAGCAAGCAATGCATCCTTCCCTTTGCTCATCAATTCCAGCTCAATGCTCGCTTACTCATCTGTGACAGAGGCAAATTTGTCCGTCATGGCTTGGATGAGATCCTCATACTGGACATTGTTAGCATAGACCAGAACTGGGGAAAAGGTAAAACTTACCTTCTTCACAATGACATCCTCTCCGTCACCAGGAACCTCGAACTTCATGCTTCGGAGCTGGGATTGGATATCTCCAGTGGCTTCTCGGACCTTGTTCCAGTTACCACCTTGTGCAATAGCCTTCTGGGCCTCGTCGTGGAAACCCATCATAGCCTTCATCATCCACTCGGTCTTCCAGATAGGGCAGAATTGATCATAATCGGAGTAACCGTTTTGTTGCAAGAAATCTTCTTTAATCAAGCCAGCAACATCAAGGGTAATCTTGTCGGGGTCAGAAAGCGCAGACTTTCCGACCAATTGCACGACTTGATCCAATTCTTCTGAGTCAGTGAGAAGTTGCTTGATACGATCTCGGAGTCTGGGGAATTCAGGGAAGTCTTTCTCGTAGAATTTGTCAAGAACAGTAGTGTACTTGCTGTAACTGAGAGCAGTGTTGATGGAAGGGAAATGCTTTCTCTGGGCGAGCTTTTTGTCAAGACCCCAGAAGACCTGCACAATACCGAGAGTGGAACTTGTGACTGGATCTGAAAAATCTCCACCAGGGGGACTGACAGCACCAACGATACTGACACTGCCCTCACGGTCTGGGCTACCAAGAGCTTGAACCTTTCCAGCTCTCTCGTAGAAACTGGCAAGCTTAGCACCAAGGTAGGCAGGGAAACCTTGATCAGCAGGCATTTCTCCCAAACGACCGGACAATTCACGAAGAGCCTCAGCCCATCGGGAAGTAGAATCAGCCATCATGGCAACATCCTTTCCTTGATCGCGGAAGTACTCAGAGATGGTGACTAGACGCAATGGGTAGTTAGTAAATGTCTCAGGAACGTTATATGACATAGCTCAGGACAATCCCAGGAAAATCCCGAGTACGGGCTGATCGAAGATAGGAGAAATGGGGCTTGCCAAGTACGTACTACCAGTGTAAATGGAAGCTTCACGAGCAGCCACAGGCATGTTAGAGGTATTGGCGATCAGTGTAGTACGCTTCATGATAGGCTCTTTCCGGCCTTCGATATCAATGGATAGCTCTGGGAAATCCATCAAGACTTCGGCCATCTCATTTCCTCGCTCTCCACATCCAACGTAAATGATGACATCACTGTTCGAGAACTTGGAAACTGATTGAGAAATGACAGTCTTTCCACAACCGAAAGCACCTGGAATGGCAACAGTACCACCTTGAACGGATGGGAAGAGGGCGTCCAAGACACGCTGACCAACAATGAAAGGCTTGTCTGATGCGAGCTTCTCGGTCGTTGGGCGAGGCACACGAACGGGCCATGTGTGCATCATACTATGCTCGGTCTTCTTGCCATCGAATTCGATTTCCAGGATCTTCTCATCAACCTTGTAGCTTCCCTTCTCCGCAATTCGAGTAATGGTACCCCGAGCTCTTGGTTGTAAAATTATCTTGTGGTCGTCCAAAAGAGAGTTCTCGTAAACAGTGCCCCAGATATCTCCTCCGGTAATGTGGTCTCCGACCTTCATCAATGGCTTGAAGTCCCAGCTCTTCTCTCTGTTCAACGCAGGAACCGCAATACCACGAGGGATGTAAATGCTGTTAGAAGCTTTGGCAATTTCCGCGAGAGGTCTTTGAATACCGTCGTAGATAGTTTCCATCAAACCAGGTCCTAGCTCGACAGATAGAGGCTTTCCGGTTCGAATAACGGGATCTCCCACAGTAACACCAGCTTCCAAACATTAGCACCGCCCAGACAGATTATCCAGTATGCCATACCAGTCTCCTCATAAACCTGGATATACGCTCTATCCGCTTCGATTCGAATGACTTCGCCGACGAGTTTATCGTGCCCGACTTGGACCTAGAGCTATGAGCTTGTGCCAATTGTCTACCTGGGCTTTGCCATACCAGTTCGTACATTGCAACTCCGACCATGTTCTCTGCTACCACGACGGGTCTGCCAATTGTCAGTAATGCAATGCTATACCCATCGTAGTTGGCATCTTCGCATACCCAGAGACGGAGAAGATGGTGCCTGAAAGTCGTTAGTTGACATTGGCACATTCAATTGTTAAGGATGCGGCGGCGTACCATATTGCTCATCATCATCGTGCTTAATTGCTGCCTTCTTTGGAGGCATCCTGACTGATTGTTGGGGAGTTGGAGGTGGTGAGAGAGTAAAGCTGGGTGATGGTGGAAGTGGAGGGAGCTCTGGATGAAGCTCTTGAAGGCTAGGGCGGTGCACGGCCACAGACAAGCTATCAATGTCACGACTCCGAATCAGATCATACAATGACGGTCGGGCTTTCAAGCGGGGGCGAATACCGACGTTCATCAACGAGAGCCGGCAGCAGGTCTGTCTATCAAATGGCAGTTGAGGATATTAGAGAGAGTAAGGGAGTAGGTAGTGTTTTGTTGATACATGAGAGAGGTGCGTGACCCTTGTGGCTGGGCTCTACGTTTGGCCGGGATGTTACGGGCTTTTGGCACAACCGCAATTCCACCTAATCGTCAAATGTCTTGCGGACGATTGATTCAAATGTGACAAGAAACGACAGTAACATACAAATGTGGGTCAAGTTTCACCTTCGGCCTTTGGTAAATGGATCAGATGTGTTGTTCTTACAACCAATCTCCAGGAAGGCTGGTTATGTCATCTCGCTTGCCAAGAATCTACAGATTACCTAGAAAAAGGAAGTTGAGCTTGACGAAACTCAAGACATGGTCGGAAATATGAGAGGGCAGTGATCAGGTTGAGATATGTGTGTTCACGCCCTTGAAGATCATTGAAACATTTCGGTTAGGCTTCTTGCGTTGCTGTGCGCTTTGTTACCGTGAAGGTCTTGCATAGACGACTCAACTTCGAGATATCTGCTCTTAATCAATATGGCAAAGGTAAAGATAGTCTGAAAATTCTCTGGTGAACTCAAACCCACTTCTTTTCTCTCTGTGATAAGAATATGTGTCTTGGGTCAATGGTCATCTTGTTGTTGAAAGTCTCAGCTAGCTACCTAGTATGGGATGAGCGATAAGCGATATCTCAGGAGAAGTTAGTACTGCAAGAGGACAGCAGATATGCATGGGCGTGAGTGACAGTCAGTCGTAAACTACCTACACATAAATTAAGACGGCATTTCTTCATCATCAAGAAATCCATGCACTCTTCTTTTCCGCTTTCAATGCTATTATCTGCTTTGACACGCTTCTGCCACTTACAATATCGTAGCTCCCCCGCCACCTGTCGCGGGCCATGTTCACCGCCCATAACTTATCAAATAGGTGCAATCCAAGAGTCACTCTCTGATTCGCATGTGATGATTCACTCTGTATCTACCTACCTACCTAGATATGGATATGGATATGGGCTCGCCCTCTTTAGACTACATGCATCAGCTCCAAATCCCGCAGGAGATAAGACCACTGGTCACTATCCCATCGTCGCAACCCATTCCATCATCACATGGTGGTTCGTTCTGCAAGCGTCCACCAGGTCCGGCTCAGACAACCTCAGCGCCATCCTCTTCAGCCCGGAGAGCCAACCACAGCGCCGGACACTGGGATCCGGTCCACTAAACAGGTCCGACTAACCCCCCCCCCCGTAACCCCCGATCCCAGTAGGCTACAACCTGTATCGACGACTGCACTGCACGCACTGCACTGCACTGCACTGCACTGCACTTGACGACTCTCACTCGACTGCTCCCCGACTCAGTGCCTCGCTCGAGAGAATGACCACCTTTGCCCGCGCAACTGATCGAGTTCTGGATACATTATTGCTTGGTGTTCACATACCTTCTGACTGAGCTTGTCGTTGACTCGCGCCAGCTACCTCAGGCAGTCTAGCCTCCAAGCGGCAACTCAGCTCTGCAACGACACGCCCATCTCGCCCAACATCAACATCACGAATTACGCCATCTGCCTCTGAATTGCTACGACCAGCTCACCACAACGCATTTACGACAACGGTATCTGGATATAGGGTGATCAGATACGCCTCTATAATACTCAGCGACCGGCGGCACTCCCGCAGAAGTCGTCCTGGCTGACGATCGCCAACCTTCTACATCCCCATTCATCACCGACGACCCATCCACCCCGAATACCCCCCTTCCACCTTCCAGCACAAGATTCTCAGCCCCAACTCCTCAAGATCAACAAATACTACAAGAATTACAACAATACACGAGCTCGTCTGCAAGCACTTCCGCAGTAGGCTCCCCAGCTCTCCTGCCTTCCCAAACCCAAGTCCTCGGCCGTCGACAGCGGGAAAGCTCAACAGATTCGGAGGAGCAAGACGGTATCCAACAGGGTCTAAGGGCTCCAGCGAATGCCCAGTCGAGCAGCAACGACCATCGAGCAAAACGAAGACGGCAAGGTTCTAGAATGAGATTAGAGGGAGAGAACAATAGCTCAAATGGGACCTCGAGGCCATTCTCCAATGGGTCGGGGCCTTCCGCCCTGCATAAAGCTGCACTCTCGAATTCTGCGAACGGCACGCGTCGCTCTTCGGTAGCGATGAACGGGTCGAATACAAACGGACACTCAAGTGGGAAGCAGAAGCCAACATATTTTGGCCACGACCGAGAAGAAGTGACTAGGATTTTGATACAGTCCCTTACAGACCTGGGATATAACTCTGCTGCTTCAAGTTTGAGTCAAGAAAGTGGTTTCAATTTGGAGAGTCCAACCGTAGCCAAGTTCAGAAATGCTGTGCTGGACGGAGAGTGGTCGCAAGCAGAGAGTTTACTGTTTGGAGGCTCACTAGAAGATGGAGGAGTCAGTATTGACGGAGATGGCCTAGTTCTACAAGAGGGAGTGGACAGAAATGTTATGCGCTTCTGGTTAAGGCAACAGAAATTTCTGGAACTGCTCGAACAACGGGATACGGGAAGAGCTTTAATGGTACTTCGCCTGGAACTCACACCCCTCTATCAGGACACAACCAAACTTCATTTCCTTTCAAGGTACATTCCAAATGTCTTCGCTCATGAATGTGACTAACATCTATAGCTTACTAATGTGCCAATCAACTGAAGATCTCAAGAGCAAAGCAGAGTGGGATGGAGCCGAAGGACATTCTCGCCAGCACCTACTCTCTGAACTTTCTAGTAAGTCTTATACTGCCTTGTGAAGCAATTTAAACTGACCATTGACAGAATGCATCTCGCCCTCAGTCATGCTACCAGAACACAGATTAGCCGTATTACTAAGCCAAGTAAAACGGAACCAGATAGACAATTGTCTTTACCACAACACTTCGGCGTCCCCATCTTTATACCAAGACCACGCTTGTGATAGGAGCCACTTCCCTCTTCACACTGTTCTGGAACTGGACAAACATACAGGTGAAGTATGGCAAGTGAAGTTTTCGAATGATGGGGAACGCTTAGCGAGTTGTGGGAAAGATGGAACCTGTCTCATCTATGAGGTGGGAAGCTTTGATGTGCTTCAAAATCTTACCAAATCAGAAGCTGGAATTGCTTCAATATCCTGGAGTCCTGATGATTCGATGATTGTCACGTGTGGGAGAGATCATCTTGCTATTCTTTGGGACACTCACGTAGGTTTTATCGAAACCACCATGAGAACGCTTTACTAACTTTTTTCGAGACTGGGCAAATACTAAAACAATTACCCCGCTTTGGGGAGCCTGTGAGCAGTTGCGTGTGGGCTCCAGATGGTCAAACTTTCGTGATAGGCTGTCTTGACAAGGAGCGAAACCTGAGTCAATGGAATCTTCACGGTGATACGATTTATGACTGGGGCCGAAATCATCGGATACAAGACATTGCAGTCTCACCAAATGGGCACTACTTAGTGGCTATGGACAACGAGACTCATCTCCACGTTTACAATTTTGTCACTCGAGAACTCGAGTATGAACTTGATATGAAGGTCACCATGACCTCCGTTAGTATCAGTCAAAACTCGCGGTATCTGTTGGTCAACAAGACCGATGGCGAGGCTCAAATGTTGGATTTAGACACACAAGCTACTGTCCGGTCATTCAAATCTGGGGTCAAGGGTGGAAATTTTGTCATCCGGGCAACATACGGCGGCGCCAATGAGAGTTTCGTGATTTTTGGAAGCGAAGGTAAGACGCGTTCTGCGAAATTATGATTTCGAGGTTGCTAATGTGAAACAGAGGGCCAAGTTTTCATCTGGCACAAGGAAACCGGCCAGCTGATTGAAAGATTGGAAGGACATGGCAAGGCATCGTGCAATTCCGTGTCCTGGAACCCGAACAACCCATCAATGTTCGCCACCGTTGGAGATGATGCGAAAGTCCGAATGTATGTTTGCCCTAAGCCAGTACTTATCTCACTTCAGAACTAACACCAGCCTAGATGGGCAGATGTCGATCACTTAGAAAGGAGGATATCGAATGGCTCCCAACGTCACTCCAATGGCCGGTAGCAGGCTCTCCGCTCATCCCCCAATAATATTTTTCACAGCATCAGTTCGGCGCAAAGGAAGACTGGATAACGCGACATGACACACTTATCAAGCATTATGGCATCATCATTGGTGGTGGTTGGCTAGCTAGCAGAATAACGCCCACGCAATAGGGGCATCCGGATCCGGCATTGTTTGGAGTACGGCTTGGAAACACCTCATATCGCATCACATCAACTTCACTTCAAATCACAGCACGGGGCACTTGGACGGGACTGGAGTGGACAGGGCCGGATCGGACCGGCGTTCGGATGTTTTTTCTACGCATGAACTTTCGCTTGGTCGCTGCTTTTCATGCGCGCGTTATTGATTGTTAGAATTAGAGAGTGCCTGTCTGGATATCTAACGCCTCTCCCCCTAGTCAGGTCAAAACAATGGCAGTTAGACCTGAGTCTGCAGCTGATAGGAGTGCGAGGAGTATGGCAGGTAGCTGAGAGTCGGTTGGTGCTGGCTGAAAGCTTTTAGCCGATGTCACTATTTACCTACCTGCTATGTAAAGTTAGTTGCAGCGAGATTACAAGACATTGAAATAGATCCAAACCATGTCTTGATAATTCGTGCCAGACGGTTTGACGAGCTAAAATATCCCGAGCAATCGCTGATGATAGTTAACGTAACCGAAAAACCTGTTTCCAGATGACAGGAACGCGGGAACACTGTCATATTCCACTGTTTGGTAGCAAGAGAGCAGATGCACAACACCTGCCTTTAATCTACCACTTGGTTTTCATTTTGGAAAGGAAACGGAAATGCAAGACAAGTCAGACGGCCAACCTAATGCAATGCAAAGACAAATGCAAACCCGCAGCACCCCTGCACCCATCAATCCTCATCTATACCAATGCTTCGCCCTCCAAGCGACACTCAACACTTAGGTAAGCTACACCTCATCCGCCCACGGAATGCTCCCCTGAGCCCCCTCCTTCTGTACCGTCCTCGCACTAGCCTTACACGCCCATCTTACCACTTTATCAAGATCCAACTCTCCTTCTCCTTCCCCTTCAGCCCTCACAACAGCAACAGCATAAGCACCCACAAACGTATCCCCTGCCGCCGTCGTATCAACCACCTTAGCTACCTTCTCAGCAGGCACGAACCCGCTCTTGATCTTAAACCCATCTTTCTTTCTATCCTCTCCAGAACCGGCTGTAGAAGATGCCCAAAAAGCGCCTTTCGACCCAAGTGTAACGACGACGTTCTTCACTCCCTTGGAGATGAACTCGCTAGTTACGACTGACCAGTCGAAAGAAGGGTCTTCAACTGATGCGACGGAGCGGTTGGTAAGCAGCGCGGCTTCACTTTCGTTGAGGTTGAGATGGGTTATGGAGGGGTAGATCGTTTCTGGGAGGGGGATGGCGGGCGCGGGGTTGAGGAGGATGGGTGTTGGGGGTGTGAGGGATGAGGCGGTGGTGATGATTTGGAGGAGAGCTGGAAGCGGAATTTCGAGTTGGAGGATTAGGAGGTTGGGGGGTGGGGTGAACGGAGATGGGATAGAGGGTGAAGGAGGGAGGAAGGATTGGGGTTGGAGGGTGGAGTTTGCACCGGGATTGATGATGATGCGGTTTTCGCCTGTGGTGGACTGGGTGGGTTGGTGTTAGCAAGTGACTTGATTGATGGATTTTCCGATATTGGATGAATATGACGGCTATGAAAGAGTGAATTTTGATGGTTGATGGTCACGAGACTGAGAACGGGAATGGGAATGGGGGATGGTTCGGGATCTAAGTGCTGTACAAGTATAGCGATTGGAAGGGCGAGGTGCAAGATAAACAAACATACCTCAACGATAATGACGGCCACACCAGTAGGCTGGTCCGCCACAACCTTGATCCCCGCCACATCAATACCGTCCTCCTTCAACCCCGCAATAATCTTCGGACCAAATTCATCATTTCCAACTGCTCCCACCATCTTGACAACAATGTCAGATTCAACATCGTCTCCACTCTTCACCGTTGACGGCGAATGAGGATTCGGCCTCGATAACCGAGCGGCAGCTACAGCTTGGTTGGCACCTTTGCCACCGGGTCCGGTATGGAATGAGGTTCCTGTTAATGTCTCACCACCCGAAGGGACGCGGGCTGTGACGCTGACAAGGTCGGTATTTAGAGAGCCGATCACGGTTATGGTTTTCGGTACCATTTTGATTTTGGTTGTGAGGTTGGTCGTCTATTTTGTCTGAGGTGGAAATGAAGGCGTTTTTATTATGAGTGGGTCGGAGGTCGTTTAGAACTTTGTTGGTACGTGAAATAGATGATATTGAAGTCTGGCTCGATGTGGTCTTGTTGTTGTTGTGGTCGCTTGTTAATTCCACCCCTGTTCGGAGGAAGGTGCACAGCGCTGGCTTTCAACTGGATACCGAAGCAGAACAGTATCCCGCAAGCTTCCCAGACCTTCACAATGACCAATCTTGAATAGTGAGCGAGGCTTCACCTGCGTTTGATGTATCTTCCTCGAAGAGCCCTGCGAATCGGATTGGTGGGAATGGCAGTGGTTGGTCGGTAGTTGAGGACCCAAGCAGATAACTGGTCGGTAAGATTGTGAGGAAATTTCCTACTCAGTCCTAGCGTACTGAATCAGAAGAGCTCCGGTTACTGTTCTCCGATTTCTGTGCGCTCACGTGCCCGAGTATTATATCGGAGCCTGGAGTGGGAGAGACGACGCGTCCCGAGTCGTAAGCCCAGAATGTCAGACGTCTCAAACCCTGTAGAGACAGAGAAATTTGTTACCTACAGTCAAAGATTTAGCTAGGCATCTAGGAAATGGATGTCTGTGGTGGTATATTTGCCCCGATCTTCTGACCCGATCATGAGCTGGCAAAAGTGGCTACAGTCAAACTCGGATTCTAACCCATGTCACGGGATGAGTTCTGTGTACAGTCTTCGGTCGTCGCTGATTTTATAGAGAGAGAAAACTTACAGAGTAGGTATGAAAGTCCTGGGTAAGAGCTTGTGATTTTTGTATTGACAGAGACTCGCGCCATTTGCCTGAGTTGAGGTCAAAGCCCCTGGTCATTGTCAGGGAAGTGTCTCGAAGATCTGTGGCGGTGCATCCAATCAAGCCACACACCCAGACATACCTAGAGTCGCGCCAAAGCTGCGTATGCTGCACAGCACATTCAACAACCAAGAAAGTCCACAAGTCCGCAAGTCCACGAGCCCGCTATCAACAACACCCAGATAATTACTCAACACGACTTCTAGAAGTCCCCAAAAGTACTCGAAACATCGCAAAATACATCAATAATTGCATCCCCTCTCAAGATGGCTGTGTCCGCACAGGGCGGTATCTCGGACCCCGGTCTCATCACGTCAGGATCCCTATTGCTCTTGTCCCCCTTGTTTTGCGCCGGAGTGCTAACACGCCTTGCAGACTGGTAAACAAGCTTCAAGATGTTTTTACGACCGTCGGCGTACAGAACCCTATCGATCTGCCGCAAATAGTAGTGGTGGGCAGTCAGTCCAGTGGAAAGAGTTCCGTGCTGGAGAACATAGTAGGACGAGACTTGTAAGCTGCCACTTGTCCCTACGGACCCGGACACTACTGATACAAAAGCACAGCTTACCTCGAGGTACCGGTATCGTGACTCGACGGCCGTTGGTCTTGCAACTCATCAATCGCCAGGCGGGACAGGCAAATGGAGTTAAGAACGAGGAGCTCATTGCGGGAGGCGATAAGGAAGCCAATGTGGACGAGTGGGGCGAGTTCCTTCATATCCCAGGGCAGAAGTTCCATGATTTCAACAAGATACGAGATGAGATTGTGAAGGAGACGGAGGCGAAGACTGGACGAAATGCCGGAATCTCACCTGCGCCGATCAACCTTCGTATATACTCTCCCAACGTCCTCACTCTTACTCTCGTCGATTTACCTGGTCTTACGAAAGTGCCAGTCGGTGACCAACCAAGAGATATCGAGAGGCAGATCAAGGAGATGGTCTTGAAGCAGATCAGCAAGCCAAATGCCATCATTCTTGCTGTCACTGGTGCGAATACCGATCTGGCAAACTCGGATGGTCTGAAGCTGGCACGAGAGGTGGACCCCGAGGGTCAAAGAACAATTGGTGTCCTCACAAAGGTCGATTTGATGGATGACGGAACAGATGTTGTGGATATTTTGGCTGGACGGATCATTCCCCTGAGATTAGGATACGTGCCAGTTGTCAACAGAGGACAGAGGGATATCGACAACAAGAAGGCAATCACAGCTGCGTTGGAGAATGAGAAGAACTTCTTCGAGAACCACAAGGCATACAGGAATAAGAGCTCTTACTGCGGTACTCCTTACCTAGCTAGAAAGCTCAACCTGATCTTGATGATGCACATCAAGCAAACCCTACCAGATATCAAGGCACGCATCTCTGCTTCCTTGCAGAAATACTCAACAGAATTGCAAGGCTTGGGCGATTCTATGCTAGGCAACAGTGCGAATATTGTCCTGAACATAATCACCGAATTTTCGAATGAGTGGAGGACGGTACTAGAAGGAAACAACACTGAATTGTCGAGTGTCGAGCTTTCTGGTGGCGCCAGAATCAGTTTCGTATTCCACGAGCTCTATGCCAACGGTGTAAAGGCTGTGGATCCATTCGATCAAGTCAAGGATATCGACATCAGGACTATTCTGTACAACTCGTCTGGATCGTCACCAGCACTTTTTGTTGGAACTACCGCGTTTGAGCTTATTGTCAAGCAACAGATCAAGCGCTTAGAAGAGCCCAGTCTGAAGTGCGTATCTTTGGTATATGACGAACTTGTCCGCATTCTCACTCAACTACTTGGCAAGCAACTTTTCCGCAGATATCCAGGGCTGAAGGAGAAATTCCACCAAGTTGTTATTGCATTTTTCAAGAAAGTCATGGATCCAACGAATAAATTGGTGAAGGATTTGGTTGCAATGGAAGCATGCTACATCAATACTGGTCACCCAGACTTTTTGAATGGGCACAGAGTAGGTTCTCGACCACTAATATCAAATTACACACTAACAAATTTTAGGCTATGGCAATCGTCAACGAGAAACACAGTGGGGCAAAGCCCATTCAGGTCGATCCTAAGACTGGCAAGCCAATGCCACAATCAGCAACCCCAGTTCGCACAACCAGCCCAACACTTGGTGCCATGGGTGGAGAAGATGCCAATGGCGGATTCTTTGGAAGCTTTTTCGCATCAAAGAACAAGAAGAAGATGGCGGCAATGGAGGCCCCACCGCCAACACTCAAAGCCTCTGGGACTTTGTCTGAGCGGGAAGGAATTGAAGTCGAGGTCATCAGTGGGTTACCAAGTCCCTTGCATTCTGGAAATATCTAACATGCATAGAACTGCTCATCAGCTCGTATTACAATATTGTAAGAAGAACGATGATCGATATGGTCCCGAAAGCAATCATGCTCAACCTCGTCCAGTAGGTTAACCTTACCTCATCGTAATGTATACAACTGACAAGTCATAGGTTCACAAAAGATGAGATGCAAAGAGAGCTGCTCGAGAACATGTACCGAACCGACACGCTTGATGAGCTTCTCAAGGAGAGCGACTACACCATCCGCAGGAGAAAGGAGTGTCAACAGATGGTCGAGTCTCTATCACGTGCAAATGAGATTGTCAGCCAAGTCCAATAAACTCACACTCGACCTCGGAATGAACGCAGGCGTATACCCGGCTGAGGATGAGCCAACCCGGAATTGCATACCCCAGCACACAATGAGCTGGCTCCCTAGGCTCTTTATTCATCAGCATCCTTTTCAAACGATACCTCTTCTGCCGCGTAATGGATACGTGGACGGTGATGAACTTCAGCATGATGGATTTGACAGGCAGACAAGACAGCAAGACCTGTCATAGTAAATGGTGGCCGCCAGCATGAGGCGAATTGGCAATGCGAGTCGAACGAATGGAAGATTGTATTGGTTCTTGATTTCTCCACGCGCGTGCGTTTCTCGGCTGCTACCTACCTCCCAACAACCAGACATTCTAGATAGTATGCAATGCAAGAGATTCATTATCTGCCAGCCAAGCGAGACACCTCTTCTCCTCGAGCACACGAAAGACAAGTGTCCGTTCAACCAGGTAACGTATGATAGTTACTTGCGTTTCATTATTACCTCCTTCCCCGTCCTCCAGTACATTCTCTTCCTTAATTTTCCACTCTCTCCGCAAGGCGACATTCCCATGCACTTACCCACAGATACAACCCGATACGTCGAGGCTTGACAGCTCAACCCAGTCTCGGCGATCGGACACAGAGATCATGTCACACCACTTTGCGTCACCTCTCACACCTAAAGATTCTCTCCGCCAACTCTCCGCGGGCCTTTTTTCAGGCCCTGCATCACCTCGCATACCGCAGCACAAACACGACGCTCAAAGGCTCAAATCATCGTTTACCTACATTCTCCACCGCTCTTCACCACTCCCATGTCGCCTCCGGCTTTTCGTCCTCGACTTACATTCCACACTGTCCCACAGACGCCTGCCAGCGAACCGGCAACCCGGATATGCTATCCTAGAGCGCGGATGGTGGCAGGTCCTGTGGGAGGGGGGAGGTGGCTGACCGATTCCTGCCGGCAGTGAGATACACTGACCTGTAATCGTCGCGCTTGAGCTTGCGAAGGGGGGACATTGAGTCGCTTCGAGAAGGGCAGAGAAGGATTGCTGCTCGCCTTCGGTTTCTGTTTCTATCTCACCCCCCCGAGCTGTGCAAGGTAAGTGAAGACGAGGTTTAACTTTCTCAACGAAATTTCGAAAAAGCTGGTTGGACTCGCTGGCTGGCCGGTCTGCTGGACTGTCGAACCACTCCACGTTCATGTTTATGCGTATACGGTGTGATCCTGCGGCGACTGGCGGGCGACCGATCTAGACGATCCAGACAAGTTCACTTCGAGGTTTTTCCATTCCCTCAAAAAAGGCGTAAGGGCAACAACATGTTCGGTTCATTGCCGAGGACGGCTGGCGCTCGGATACGGGCACATAACGTACCAGAGTTGCCATACTACTGGCTGGATACGAGAGTAGAAAGTGTTGAGTTGAGGACCTACCTATGTTTGATGACCTTATGGACCTATGGACGGATGCACTGACAACAAAACATGCAATACCGGATCGGAGCCAAGATGTGCACCGTGAGACGGTATCTCGCCTTGCATACGGTACGTACGATTCCTATGGAGCTCCGCAAACGGGGTAGGTAGCAGCAAAAGGAATCTAGAACAACTGTACTGTGGGCCCCTGAGTTCTTCTCGAAATCTAGTATTTAAGGTACGCACTGTGGAAGGGGGGACTGTTGGTTCCGGAGCAAGCTATCTTGCTCTTGTCTCAGTCACCAACCAACTCTGCCGCTAGCATCCAATCCAATCCTAACCCCAAAAACAAATCCCGACGTCCTGGTTACGAACGATCGAGCCCCCTTTCCTTCCTGCACCTATCGGATATTTTCCGAGTGGTTCCATTGTTGCTTCTTTAGCCAGTCAGCCCGTCAGTCCTGAAAGTGCAGCCTCTAAACTTTCTTTTGGGGGAAAGACGGGAAGCGAAGCGAACCGAGCTACGTAGAGGCTGAACCTTGCTCCTTTTATCCTCGAGTTTATTATTTTCATGAGAGCACTTTTCTTGAGGGGCTTATTTGGCTTCACTCCATTCATTCGTTCTTCGTACAATTCACTCGCTGAGGTTAGAGGATGGCTATTGCTGTGAAGGATCTCGGATCTGGCGGTGCCAGTGCCTGTGTTGCTGGTAATGGAATTGGGTTCGCCGCGTTTCGAGGTAGAGATACGGCACGTCAAGGGAAAATTGCAGATACTCTTGCTGTCTCTACCAATCCACCAAAGAATATGTCAAGGGGTGATCCGCCTTCGCCTCCCCCCAATCCACCGCCCAGTCCGTCCAGGATGTTGCAATTTGGTGACGAGAGGAGTGGATAGGTGAGTCTCGTCTGGTTTGGAGTCCGCCATTACATTAGCATGAGTGAGATGCTAACGGACTTCTTATTTGTAGAGACACATATACGTTGGGTCATGTCTCTCTCCCGACGGAAACGAGACAGGAGTAAACAATCACCGGCACAGCTCTACACGAACGAAAAACGGCGAGGACAGCGACGTGGGAGCAACAAAAATGAAGAACGGGACAGTTGTAATGAATCTTTGGGGATGGCTTGTTGCCGAGAAGGTGGATACGAACACACACTCCACTCATTTAGTCGTCATATTGGAGTAAAATAGACTTGGGTTGGGAGGCGTTCTCTTAGAAAGTCTTAAACAGTAAAGACTGAAAATTGTTCGGAAAAGGAGTTGGGAAATGAATGGATAGGAAAATGATCGTAATAATATCTCCTTCGCTCATAACTTGGAACCCGACTTCCTTACCAAACCCCCATTCTCCACCTCGAAGTCCTTCCCTTGTTTCCATCCTAGCCAGTTGCTCAATGTTGCTTCTCCACCTTCCCCAGCATACAATGCTGTCCCGGAGTAACTCCCGCCTTCGATTCCCGGACCTTGTCCAATTGATGGATCTCTGGACGCTAAGCCTTCCGACACAGCTAAGCTGGGAGTCTCTCGTAGAGTGACGGCTGGTCTTTGATCGCCTTCTCTACTTGGGTCTGTTTCTAGCTCCCCATATTCCAGCACAGGCGTACAACATGCATCCGTCTCATCAAATACCTTCTCCCATTCTGATCTCGTCTTCTCCTTGAACAGCCTCTCAAACGTCGCTTTCAGCTCAGGCCAAGTCTCCCTGTCATTCCTCGACTTCTCGATTCCCTTTCCGGACAACCCCAATCCTTTCAGAAGTTCGGCAAAGAATTGCGGCTCGAGTGCTCCCACAGACATGTGTTTCCCATCTTTCGTCTCATACGTGTCATACCACGGACACCCCGTGTCCAAAACATTCTCTCCCCTAGGCTGATCCCACATCGGAGTCTTCAGCATCATCCTCGGGAATGTCGCCAGATACGAAGCCCCATCCACCATATTGGCTTCGACGACCTGACCCCTCCCACTCTTCTCCCTCGCCATCAATGCCAGTAAAATACCCTGGAACAGAATAGCTCCTCCGCCGGCGAAATCGCCGAGTATATTCCCTGGCGCAATGGGCTTCTCGCCTTTCCGACCGAGGAGAGCAAGAGCACCGGATACGGCAATGTAATTTATGTCATGGCCAGCCATGTTCTTGTATCTCCCATCTCTGCGGAACCCAGTCATGCGCCCGAGTATGATTCTCGGGTTGATATCCAGCAGGACAACTGGGCCCAGACCTAGCTTCTCGAGGATGCCAGGGCGGAAAGGGTCGATGACAACGTCTGTGTGCGGGAGGAGTGATTTGATGAAGTCCACACCGTTTGGAGACTTAAGATCCACAGCTATAGAGGACTTGTGGCGCGTGAGGAGGTCGTTGGTTGGTGGTGGGAGCTTGGAGGAGTTGGTTGAATGGGTAAGGTTTGGGATTGCGCGGTCAATTCGCAGGACTGAGGCACCATTGTCTGCTAGAAGAAGGCCTGCGAAGGGTCCTGTCGCATGTAAATCAGTATGTAGATCATTTACATGTGTGTATCTCATCAGAAGTGGAACTTAATACCAGGAGCAAGACCTCCAAACTCTAATACGCGGATGCCAGTCAAAGGGGGAGGTCCTGTCATTATGTATGTTTCTACGGCGGCAATTGTAGGATCACTGAAGTCTCAAACAAGTCAGAGATGTATTGAAGGAAAGGAGGCATGATGATAGTCTTGTGAAGCTATCAATTGTTGATGCCGGGTGGCCGAGGTTGGGATACCGAGCTCTTAACAGCTCCAAACGCGGGGAAGCTTTGAATCACGTGTCAGTGGATTTGGCCCGAGACCCCAGGTTTTCAAACTCAACTTTCAGATATACCAGGTAATATAGGACACGAGTCCCCTAAATATACCTCTTCTTTCTCAGATCAAGCATATACGAATAAATGCATTGTAACTTCATTACCTCGCTTAACATAACTGCAAACTTTATCAAAGGGAAGAGCTCGCCTGGAAGTCCATAAGCGATGCTTACTCTTTTCTTCACCCAAAATCTCTAACAGTTTTCCCATTCAGCAGCATGACTAGTCCAGCAAGTTACTCAAAAAGCGAGAATATATTTCCAAATCGCCCTCACTGGGACGAGAACGGTGTATTCGTCCAAGCTCGGAACAAATCAGCAATATGCTGGTGTCCAAAGGATCTGCCTCCGGATCCTAGTCTCTGCGCTCAGTGTCAAGATCTACGTCTTCGACACTTGATACTGTGCGAAGCCCAAGGTCGAATGATTGATCTTGGGAAGCTCGATGTCATGATTAGACGTCCAGAATGTGACCTCTGTTCGATGTTTGTTCTGGGTTGCAAGCAAACGTGGCGAGACACGGATTGGGACGATGAAGGAACCGGAACCGGAACGACAGTCTACTTGAATGCTTTGGAAATCTCAAGACAGCGTACTCAAGGATATAGACTGCATCTCTCGGAAATGCACACGGGGAAGCCGTTCCAGTGGGTGGAATTTGATGTGGTGTTCAAGGGCCATGGTGCTGAAATCAAGGCGGTCGAGAAGTCTTTTGAAGCAAGTCCAACAGTTGATCGTGATTTTCTCAGAACTAGCTTGAAAGAGTGTGAAGGTAAGCATGAGACATGTAGGGAACCTCAGCTGTCGACACCAAAGGATATGTGTATTATTGACTTGGAGAACATGAGTATCGTGCCTGCTCCGGAAAGTTGCAGATACTGTGCTTTGAGCTATGTTTGGGGCAAGGTGACCGAGAACTGGTTAACACTGACCCGAGAAAACAACATCTCGCTTAGCAAAAAGAATGCACTAGCTGGGGCACCTCTTGCTCAAACAGTCAAGGATGCAATGCAACTGTGCGTTGAGTTAGGGGAACGGTATTTGTGGGTGGATAGTCTTTGCATAGTGCAAAACGATCCAACATTCCAGAAGCAGCAGATCGACATCATGGACACCATATATGCTTCTGCTACATTCACCGTTGTAGCTGCTGCTGGCAATCACGCTAATGCTGGTCTACCCGGCATCAGTACATGGCAGAGATCTGCCGAGCGCCAAACCACGACAATACAGGATATCGAAGTCAGTAATACGATTCCTGTGTTGAAAGATACCGTGGAGACGTCAGTATGGAACAGTCGAGGGTGGACGTATCAAGAACATATGTTTTCAAGACGCTGCGTCTTTTTGACGGATGCTCAGGCATACTATGCCTGTAATCAAGGAGTTCAAAACGAGAGGCCAGATCGACTTGTGGCAGAGAACTGGTCTATAAATCGCTACAAATCTTCTCGGCGATCCCAAGATTTCATAGATGCGTACAAGACGAATGTCGCAGACTACTCTCTGCGATCATTGACCTCCCAAGCGGATATCCTAAGAGCTTTCCAAGGGGTCCTAAACGACATGTCCAAAACATTCTTGCAAATCTTTCACTATGGACTACCACTCGACAATCTCGCCGATGCGTTGCTCTGGCAACCAGCACACAAATCCATCAGAAGAGATGCACCTGGAGTCGCCATGCCATCTTGGTCATGGGCAAGCATGAATGGTGCGATTAAATACTCTTTCGTAGAAGTGAGAATCACGACTACATCAACGATACCAATCCCGGGATTCTGGAAGGAAGACGAAATGCCAGAGCTATTGCAAGCCATCCTTAGACCCGACAAAGACACACCTTATCTACTAGGGGGTTCTGGGCCTGAAGAGTCAAGCAGATTGGCATTCTCGACACAGTGTTCTGAAATGTTCTTGAAAAACAGCGTTCCCTTCGATTACAAGGACAATCTCTGGACAGACTACACGCAAGACATCGACCAAACACAAATATCCATCGTCAGTATCCTCCCAAGAAAAGACACATGTGCGACACATCCAGCAGGGTTCATTGAGCTTGACAAGATCTGGGCCACTGAAAACCTTTCCGATCACAATTCCCAGCAATCCTGGAGCTTCATTGCCATCTCTGTTGCTGCCATGAAAGCAGACGACATCATGAATCGCTTCTTTACCCAGAGGAGAAACACCACATACCCAATGGTATGGAGTAGGAATGTGAGAGAATTGGTTGTTAACGTCATGCTGGTCGAGTGGGATGGTGAAGTTGCGAGGAGGCTGGGTGTTGGGAAGATATACTTGGATTTCTGGGAAGATGCTAATCCCCAGACGAAACTTGTGACATTGGAGTGAGTGTTTTTAAGAATCTAGCTTCATCCTTCGGGGTTCTGAGCGGTGAAGACAAAAGTTGGCGTAGGCAGTCAAGCAAGGTAGTCAGTCTCCTGAACTACCTAAGTATTAAAAGCTCCACTGGCTTATTCTGCGCCACATTACTTTATTTATAAGGGAGTTAGAATGGTCCTTTTTTTTGCTCAGCTACGTGATATTTGCTTCCATATTCAGCTTGGTACAATAACTAATAGAGCTGAGTATGAGTCTGAGTCACAAGAATCTGAAACGAGATGAGTTTATGACCTCGACTCATTGTCCCACAACAAACAAGTAGGTATGTAAGCGAGCGCGCTACACTGGTGGGCTCGAGTAGCCTAAGCTTAAATTAGAGCACTATCCTCTCACATAGGTGCTGTAGGCTATTCCACGTACGGCCCGTCAAGCACCATAAGTACACTAAGAATGAAATAAAATAAAAGCATCCTCGCTTATCCCACATTCATCTTCATCTTATCCGTATCTACTTACCTACAGACTCTAACAAGTAAGAAAGGTGACCTCTTTCTAGTAGAAATTATTTTGAAAGACTCTTCTGAGATATCATCTAATCTATTATGCAGATATAGATTTATCATGGCATCTTGGTACCAGCTCCCTGAAGAGATTCGTCGTGCGGTATTGGATCCCTTACTACACGACGGTTGTCGCTTGGCCGATTTCGCTACAGTATCAAGAGAGTGGCAAGCGATCATCGAGAAGCACACCTTTTCTCGGATCAAGCTGACGCCGTCACGCATCGGCCAATTGGGCTCGATGGTTCCTCATCATAGGAGGAGCCTCGTGGGCTACATTTGGCTTTGCTTAGAACTCCCAGAATATGATTGCTTAATGTGTGATCCTCAGGATCAGGACTCATGGGGCTTGAGCAGCACAGGAAACATTCTGGTCACTAAATCTTTCCAAGCTCTCTTCTCAACACTCAGCGTATGGGAACCAAGCGGTAGCTTGCTGCTAGATATCAGCATCTACTCCCCCAGTGACTCAGAGCACTGGTTCAAATATCTGACCTTTGAGCCTGATGTTCTTGCCAATACATCTGGGCAGGACCAACACGCGATTCAGACCATGCTAGCAAAAGCCAAAGCCAAGACTGAAGTTACCGACCACCACCACGGATGGGTTGCTGGTAGTCGAAAATCCGTTCCCTCCGATACCGCTGTTGAAAAACTCTTTGAAGAGATCATGGACCTGGGGCCTTTCGATGACGACGAAGAAGAGAGCCAGTGGTGGAAGCAACTTCCATTAGTTCCGGCAATCACAGGTGTGCTGCTTCGTCAGCAGAACCGGCGACGATGGAGGCCAGCCACGTTGGGACATATCTTTGCCCTTCTGCCGGGACTCCAGGAGATTCACTACGAGCCTTGGAGAGAATGGCTAGATATCCAGCAGCGTTGGACAGACGAATGTGAGCACCGCGACGTCAATTTATTTGGCCCCTAACTTCCGTGTTTCATTCGACCTGTTGCGTGCTTTTCACCTGCTAACACTCGTATTTTTCGCAGCTTTCTGCCTTCTTTTGGATTCCTTCTCTTCCGACCGACTACGGAGACTCGTACTCTTCGAGAATTTTGACCAGACGTACCCGGCTAGCTTCACGAACCTAGGTTGTGACCCTGTCCGAATACCATCCTCTCATGTCAGTCGGGCGGTTGCTAATGCCAGTTTCTCCCTTGAGCATCTCTCGGCATCGTTCATAGTGGAAGCTAGCCAGTTTTTTGATATTCGAGAGCTTTCCTGGACGTGGCCAAATTTGACATGGCTTGCGTTGACTTCCAGACTACTCAAGCCACATGAGAGCCCGACAGAGTTGGATAATATGCTCAAGGCAGCAGCAGAAGCGGCCATGAAAATGCCAAGTCTTGAAACAATGGAAATTTGGAACGGAGACAAGGGATTAGCGATGTTCTTCAGGCACCAGAGCGCAAAGGGAGCGCAACCTGCTGTGATAACCTGCAGAGGAACTTGGGAATTAACCTTGCGACCTCTCGTCATCCAGGCTTGGGATGCAGTAGCAATGAGGGATCGAGGCCAAGGACATGTCATTGTCAAGGAGGTGCTGGATGCTGGTGTTGTTATCAGGTGTCATGGTGATGCCATACGCCACCTAAATCTGTCCAAACCGATCATTCGCCCAGTTTCATTGAGGCAGATTCAGATGGAGTATATGCTACGAGAAGGAGTGCAAATCCAATAGCTCAATCTCTTTTACTAGTGTAGTATAAAGGATAATGGCTTAATAGCATGTTTGAAATAGTGCGATAGGAATGGCCATGTTCCGACAAAAACGGAGGGGGCGGCTTCAGATTCGCATTATTGCTACTCTTTGATAGCTCTTTTTATGTAGCTAAATTTCTCTACGAGGCCAGTAATAATACTTCGGTCTGAATGTTCGTTATTAGTAAAACATCTATACTTAAATTTGTGTTCCTTCTTTATAAATGGCATTATTTCGATCAATATACTTACTGGCTAACGGGTGGCGCTTGCCCTACCAAGCCTGATGCGTGAGACGCTCCCATTGATTTCTTTAAGGCAAGGCACTGTTCTCGATTCCATAGATGACTCAAAAGCAGTGAGCCCAAGATCTCGTCTCTTCCGTCAGCAGATGTTCCAACTTTTCGAGATGAGGTATACAGTCTGATTGGAGCGCAAGTATCCTGGCCAGAAGCTTTCGCCTCATCTGAGATCCCGGGGTCTTCACGACGACCCACTATCTGACATATCCCGATTCCTGATCTTCGAAAGCATGGGACCAATCCGTCTTTCTAGGTTTCAGTGGCAGAGGCACCCGCACAAAGTACAACAGGTGAGGAAAAGCTGCTGCGATTGTTCACCGTTTCATGACGTGGTATGATGAGATCATACCAGCCATTATTCCGACTCTTTAAGTCTTCTCGTATTCTTGCCAGCAGCACCTGTGGCCCAGTCCTCGGCAGGATCCCCCATGCGCGTTCTCGTTTTTGTCTTTAGCCTGAATGCACAATGGTGGACAGTTCTTTTTCCCCGGAAAAACTTCCGTGGGGGCAAGCGTTCTCCAGCCACGGAGAAATCGGTATTTCCAAAAGTGGAGAGTACCAGAGAACAGTGATCAGCTGTTGTGAAGGGCCGATAAATACGATCCAGGTGGTGCTAAAACGTTGCAATCTCATCAAGCTTAAACAACTATATAAGCATTGTGTAGAATGATTCCCAAGATTGCTTGTCGTTTCTCCAAGCTTTCGATATTTGGGGCTCAATATTAACTACATCATGGGTAAACTTTTCAATATCTCGCTTGCGCTGTTTGTATGTACTGGGTTCGTCTCAATAATTTTCTCAAACTAGACTTTGTACTGATGGAAGTATAGATCATTCCTATTTGGATATGATGCTGGTGTTATGACGGATGTCATTGCCAGCAAAAATTTCCTCGCCTTTTTCGATACGACGAAGGATTCGCCAATCATTGGTGCAGTCAACTCGACCTTCAATGGCGGTGCGGTGTTTGGTGCCCTCCAAGGCGGCCTCACCATGGACAGATTCGGACGAAAAATCACTATTCTTATGGGATCTCTCATTTGTCTCGTTGGAGCTATCCTTCAATGCACTGCTCAGAATCTCTCCATGATTCTCGTTGGCCGAATCCTCACCGGCTGGGCAGTCGGTCTGCTTTCAATGGCTGTACCAGTATACAATTCAGAGTGCGCTGCACCGAAAATTCGAGGATTAATTGTTGGTCTTTCGCAACAAATGATTGGCATCGGCTTTATCGTGTAGGTACAGATAGTGTTATAGCACATGAAAATATCTAATTATGATAAGGTCCACATGGGTCGGATATGGATCTGGGACAGCTCCAGCATCGAGCAGTATTCAATGGCGTCTTCCACTTGCATTTCAATGTTTGCCTTGCGCTATTCTTGCTGCTGGAATCATGTTCATGCCCGAAAGCCCCCGTCATCTCATGGAGACAGACCGCGAGGAGGAAGCACTTAGAGTTCTCCGCAAACTCCATTTCACTGGTGCCAACGAAGATGAAGTCATGCAAGAATTTCACGAAATCAAGACGACCATAGCTGCAGAGAAAGCCATCACTGTACCAGGCTGGAGGATCATGTTTACTGTCAAGCAGTGGAGGACGAGGCTGTTTCATGGTATTGCTGTGCAGTGTTTCACGCAATTCACAGGGATCAGTAAGTCAAGGGAGTCAACATATATAGCCAGAACTGATCAGTGCAGATGTTATTGGATACTACCAAACGACAATGTACGACGCTCTGGGAATAACAGGCAACAGAAATTTGCTTGTTGCAGGTATCTACAATTGCATGGGACCACTTGCCAGTAAGCAATTCAGACAATTCACTGGGCCGAATTCAATTGGCTTATCCTGCGCTTAGATCTTATATTCATCGTCTTTTTGATTGACCGTATTGGTCGACGCAAGCCACTTCTCTGGGGAACTATTGGCATTACCATTGCTCTTATCTGCGAAGCAGTTGTCAATAGTCAAATCGACACCGAGAATCCACAGAAGGGCCTTTCAATTGCTGGAGTATCTTTTTTGTTTTGTGTCACCGTCATATTCTCATGTGAGTTCATTACCTTTCCCAAAAGAAAAATTTCCCACCACTAGTAGGATATAAGACTAAGACTGGGACAGTTTCTTGGGGACCAATCTCATGGGTCTACATGTCGGAAGTTATGCCCATGCAGATCAGAGCTCGTGGAAATGCATTTGCAACGGGAATTGGGAACTGGCTGGTGAGTGCTAGACATGAAATTGCATCAAAAAGTACTGATGGTGCGTTTAGGTATCTACGTTCTGGGCCCAAGTCTCACCAACAGCCCTCAAGCATCTGACCTGGAAGTTTTATTTCCTATTCGTCGGTACGTGACCGTTCTCGCACCACTGCCTCTAGAAAGTTCTTCAACTCACAGAATCTAGCATGGAATATCGTCGTCACCTTTCCCGTCGTCTTCTTCCTCTTCAAGGAAACAAAGCAAGTCAGTCTCGAAGATATAGACTTACTCTTCGGCGAGCGTGCACTTGGTACGTTACCAGATGATCTCAACAAGTCGATCACGCATGGTGCGGACACGGTTGAAGACGTTGCTGTTCCAATGGATGCAGAAAAAAGAGCGAAAGCCGAGCAAAGTCAAGCTGTTTGATATAACGAAAGACTTCGAGGTCAATGAGATACTGCTCGGTGGTCTCGGTAGCATAGAATTTTCTGGAAATTTTCGACGGTGGCAGAGTGACCTACTGGAATTACCCATATACTTGTTTGTTTCAGTAGCTGCGACTTTAGAAGGAGCGGCAGAGAGCCATGAGAACTGTTCACACATCGGTTCAGTTCAATGACAAATCTCCCGCACCGAACACGTACGTTTCCTTGCATCTAGTGAGGTCAGGAGGTCCTGGTGGGCGGCCCAGCGGTGATGTAGAATCTCTTTGTCAACATATCGAGCCCAGTCCCAGAATTGCAGAGCACACTTGGTCAGACAGAGTACGCAAGAAGGACAAGCCGAGATCAGGACAGCTTCTTGCATATCCGAATCATTTCGCATGCAAGTAAACAAAGCCATTGATTGAGTCACTGCCGAGTGCAACATGCCGATAAGCGAGCCTCAGAGTCTCCAGAAAAATCTCCACTACAAAGAAAAATCTGAATAGAGCCCTCAAAGCGACAAAAAAAGAAGTCCGAAAGTTTCGATTCTCAAAATGCAAAGATTCTAGGGGAAAAGTGGTTCAAAAGACAAAAATGTAAATCCAATGATAGCAATTCCTAGTTTCGATCTAGGGACCTCAGGGTTATGAGCCCCGCGCGCTTCCTCTGCGCCAAATTGCTTTGTCGATGAGGACTTACAACATCAATTTCTTTGCTGAATTGAAATATTTATGCTTAGTTCGCTAGAAATACCACAGAATAAAGAAGAACGCTATGATGTAATAGAGTGCTGGTTGTGAGTCACAAAGAATTCAAGCGAACTGGGTGTGCGACTCACTGCCCCACAAAGATATGAAAACGGCAGTTTATCGGATTTTTGGGCCTGTTAAGTCATGAATTTTATATTATTTGCCAGTCGGGCTGTAAATAATCGAATTCATATTCGTATCAAAGTGCGGAGAATATATTTGGAAATTGATCTGAGTTCTATTCCGAAAAAGTCTGCGGTAAGCGAGACAAAAAGGTGGCGGGGTAAACATAGATAGTTTTCGTATTGCGAAGTTTAGATGGTACAGTGTTTAAGGAGGCAAGAACGAACGCAATCACTTGGTGGTGCATGATACTATTTCAAGTAAGAAGTTTTGGTCTTTTGAGCAAAACTAAATTAAACTTCGCTCAAAATATCTTCTGTCATATCCTCCTTGCCAAGCCTGCCTGAGATTTCTCAGTTTGCCTCGATAGCTTGAAGCCTTCAAGGTTTGATCGATTGGAGATCCGGCCCGAAATTGACTTCTTGCATAGAGATGACCTTGGAACTCAAGAGAATTTGGACTACAATGTGTAGAGCTGTAAACATTAACCTCCACATTTTTGAGATCGGAATATACCAGCGACGATTCCACTAGTGAGATAGAATGTCAGAAAGCTTGAGGCGATGAAAATTCCAGGGAAGAGGACATAGAAATCGGTGGACAAAAACCAAGGACCATCATGAAAAAGGTTACCGAAGCTGTGTATGGTTGAAACGGACTCTGTAACCAGGTTCTGCAAGCTCCGTTATTATAGGCTCTTCGAAGGATGATTAAATTGTACTTACCAATGCGAGAGATAACCTGCTCCTACATGCAGCAGGATTTACAGAAACATTCCAAAACTGGAAAAGTCATAATCTAAATTCGGAACATAGAAAGGTAGGTATGCTTTGCCATTACTAGTTCGGTGAATTCGGTATTTAGGGTCTCTGGATCTTGTGATTTACAGCACAAGAATCTAAAGTAATAATCCAGATGTGGATTGAGGAAAGTAATAGTTGGCTATATGGGCAGGGGTCGGGCCAGCTCAGGAAATGTCCCGGCGACTACTTGGAAGGGGATCTCACTATCCATCATCCCTATCCATTTTTGTTTACTTCGTATTACAGTAGACCTCTATTACTCAAGATACCTCCGCCTGCGTGTTCTATACACTTCTAGCATTGCTCTTTTATAGCTACTTGTTGACTCGTTACAGGCTCAGGGCTGAGAGCGAAGCCTGCGGGATACTGGAATATGAAGCTACCCTGCCTCAAGTGCTTTGGATCGAGCTCCTTGAGCCTCGTCGTTTTGGGCTTTGGCGAAGACGCAGAGGGTAGAAAGGTCGTTTGGTGCGCCTACTGGTAGTCCTGGTATTGAACAAGAGGGCAACAATGAAAGAGGGTACTTATAATAAATAGAGAAGCAGGTGTTATATGTGTTTGCGATGTTTAATTTCACCCTATCTACTTTATGACCTTATACAAGTACTTTACAAATGTCGCAACTCCCGCTTCGCTCCCCCCCGCTATCCCCTCCATCCAACCCAGAGTAGAAGCAATGAAAAAGCCAAGCCAAGCCCCAAAGAAAACCAAACAAAATATCAAAAAAGAAAAACATTATCATTCATCAATCATCAATCCTCCGAACCAAACCAACTCAGATCGGTACAGTTAATCCCAAATCTGCTGCAACCTCACGCTGAGCTCTCGCCTCTCTCTCAACCAAACTGGACCGGATCGATGATGCTCGCTATGCTCTATGCATGTTTTTTGTACACCGTCTTATGCAAATTGATGTAAAAAGGCAGAACCTTTCTGTAGGACTCCCGCAATGATGATGCGTCCCAGGTGAATCATGTGCGCCTGAAAATGCCGGAAGAGCTCAATGGCATTTATATAGCTGGCCATCGGTTTCGTATCCCATCCGTCCAACGACTGTAGAGAACATCTGCAAGTTGCTTGGTGTGCTCCATGCCTGGAACGACTTGGCCTGGTAAGTTGTTTAGTCGTTCCGGATCAGGTTGCATACTGGTCTGTCTTCGACGGTGCGACTTTAGGTGTGGGTTGTTCTGGGCCAGCACAAGCTTGGTGGGAGACTTCTGTGGTGTTCCTTGGGGTGTCCCATCTCTGCTTGAGGCTTTGGAAGGCAACAGCAGTGATGAAAGTTTGGGATCATTCTGAACTCTCTCAATCATAGCCTTCAACAACTGATATTCCCCTTCAGGGTCAACAGCGTCCAGTGCGCTCCAGGCATCGGCTAATCGTGACAATGCTTCCCTCTTGGCTTGATTGCCGGTCTGCGCATGAAGCTCCTGGAAAGATGGATCCACGATCTTGTTGAAGATTCTTCGCCCTAGCACTGCCTCTTTGGTAACTGTCTCGGTCATAGGTGGCCTGTTCTCATCTCGGGTAGTTGCCGGAGCAGAAACATCGGAGTTTACTTGGGCAAGTGTGGAGTTGTCCGAGACCCGACGGAAAAGTCGCACAGTCGACCCTGTATTCCCAAAATTCATGTCCGGTTGTAAGGGTCGCTTTTGACTACTCGCTTGACGGGGTTTGGTGGGTGACATCAATTGAACAATGGACGGTTGTTTGCGAACCGTACCTTTCTTCATTGTGACAGGGGGTGGTGAAGAGTACTCAAGTGGTGAGTCCTTAAGTTCCAGTCGCTTCATTGCTTCCTCTGCTCCATTTTGCACGCCTTGACCATTTGCATGTATGACCGATAGCTTTCGTCTCTTGGTAGTGTTCTTGCGTGGAGCTATAGTTGCTGCTTTGACCGTGTCGAAGACCCACTCATCTGGCTCGTTCCTGGGGGTCATGGTGTTTCTAAAATTGTCAGTAGATGTGGCGGAGTCTTCTAAAGTCCAAACTTACAAAGTTTCTTCATAGAACCTAGGATGTGAAGGACGAGTGCGACCTCCATCCCATTCCTGCTTTCTCTCCACTAATTCCTGTAACGCCTCCACCTTCCCAGCACTCTTTATGAATTTGTGCTTCAACAGCTCCTTGGCCGATGGTCGCCTGTCGCAATCTTTGACAAGACATTGCGCAACAAAGTCCTTGAATTCTTTGCTGTAATTTGGACCCTCCAATAGTGGTGCTGGTGCCTTTGGAATGTGAAAGAGGACCTTCATAGGGTGGATTGAGGCATTCGGAGGTTCGCCGTTGACCAGCTCCATCGCCGTGATGCCCAGGGACCATATGTCGGCCTTGAAATCATAACCAGCCTGCTGTATAACTTCCGGTGCCATCCAGAAGGGGGTTCCGACAAAGGTATTTCGTTGTGATTTTATGTTGGTAAGTTGCGCTGCAACGCCAAAGTCGGCCAGCTTGACTTTCCCAGTCGTGGAGAGCAATACATTTGCAGCTTTGATATCTCTGTGTATCTTCCCTTCCTGGTGCAGGTACTCGAGACCGAGCAGGAGCTCGCGACATATGATTGCGATATGGGCTTCGTTGAAGGATCCAGGTTTAAGCTATTGCTATTAGTAAATAGCCCATGGATATACTGCAGAGCTTTGACAACATACTAAATCAAGACAAGATCCACCTCCTAGATACTCCATAACTATCCATAGCTTGTGCCCTCGGAGGAAACTTGCTTTGTACTGGGTTACGAAAGGGCTGGCGCAAGTGCTGAGCACGGAAATCTCCTGTTGAATTTCTAGGATATCATCCTCGCTGGATTCGAGATCAATCTACAAACAAGTCAATAAACTACCAACAGAAGCTGTCACGGACACGTACATGTTTGATTGCGACCACTTCTCCAGTTGAGCGATCAATTGCCTTGTATACGGTCCCAAAGCTGCCACTTCCAAGCTCCTCTAGCACTGAGTATTGGTTGGCGGTCCCTTCTGCAGACATATTGCCGGATTTGCAAAGCAAGAGCGTTTGGTTCTTGGTATGCGGCGAGCAATTCTGACAAGAAGGAGCAGCGGGCGCGAGGGACGATAATAGGGGTGAGTCTGGTGTTGAGTTGGGTGCTGTTTGCTATTGCTGTATTTCCACACTGCGGGCGCCGTTGGCAAAGAAACAGCTCAATGTCAACAAATGGTGCAGGGGCCGCCCCGTGGTGCCATGTGATGGCTAAATGTTCCCAGTATGTTCTGCGGCAATTGATAGAACGGGGAGAATTGTTGATGTGCGAATAGCTTCAATTACGGTCGTATGTAAAGATGTCCAAAGTTTCTCAGAAGTTACAGAATAATGTTGCATGGCCTTGCTGCAGGTCTGTCCGATTGATACGGCAGGGACGAAGGACGATAACAAAGGCGCTTAGTGGAGCTTGGGCCACCGTCAGGGATATCAGTTGCCCAGGGCAACGCCGCACCATCCTTGATTGGTCCACGGCATCGGTGGTCTGGTTGTTGACTTTGTCTAGGTATTCTCGACTTCGGGTCCAGCATCCCAAAAGGACTCGATTTGCTACCCTACGAGGCACACATCTACAAAGTTGGATATTGCTGTTGTTCTGCCATATCGCTGCATCTTCAAACAAAGCTTGGGATATTTCTACAATTACCAACGAGCGCTCGGCGCGTCGATGTTTTGCTGCTAGCAAATCCATTGCGCCGTATGAGCGCACATCCTCTCGAGAATGCCCGAACCACAGAGACTTCCGACTAGGTTCCCGGTCTGGTGCAGAGCAGTATTTTCATATACAGCAGAGGTAGGACAGAAAGAGGAGCGCGTCTGCTAGAATACATACTGACAACTGCAGACGAAACGCGATTTAGGCTTCATCGAGGGGGATCTAATAGAATGTCTGAACGCGGGGGATGGATCGTGGTGGATGGGGAGGTTATTTCGAGACAAACGAATGCTGGGACATTTCCCTTCGAACTTTGTCGAAGTCCTGCCAGACAACTTTCGCCCAACAGTCAGAGCTTCAAGTCCAATGCCAGAACGTTCGCCCAGTACGAGCCCTTTTAACAACCCTACTGCCGCAAAACCCAAGACGAAGAGTGCTCGAAAACCCTTTCAGTCCTATGCGCAGCCAGATACGGCCGCTATCAAGAGAGCTGAGGCGCAAAAGAGGGAGGTAGAAAGACAGGCAGAGATGGAGGCACAGGCAAGATCTCGAGGGCCTTCTCCAAATCCGATGAGCGTCCATGACAACATTTCGAATGTCCCTCCGCCACATACTCGAGGCGGATATGGATCTCGAGCACCATCTCCAGCTCCGCCAATGCAGAATGGTTATAACTATCGTGCGCCTTCTCCTGCTCCCCCAATGCACCATGGTTATGGATCTCGAGCGCCTTCTCCTGCTCCGCCAATGCACAATGGATATGGCATAAGTAGAGGTCCCTCACCAGCTCCTCCCATGAATCATGGCTATGGTTCCCGTGCACCTTCACCAGCTCCATCGTTCGGATACCGACCCCATTCCCGTGCAGCTTCACCAAATCCGCAATTCGACATTGGCTCGTCACCGCCCCCTCCACCTCCACCCCACCGAACTGCATATACACCGCATGGATCCACCAATTCCTTCGACCAACGACCGAATGGAATTCATACTCCACGAGTGGGCTCTCCAAGTCCACCATCACCAAGAGAATCAGGACTGACTCCATCGCCGCTCCGAAGTGCCATGGACGATGTAATGTCATCCCTTGCTGATATGGGCATGTCTCGAGATACCCAGTCTCCAGACCTTCCCTTAGACCCCTGGTCACCCGAAGCATTTGATCAGACTTACATTAAGGCTCGGAGAACTGCTCCATTAAGACCTAATACGGCTATGGGCATTGGGGGATCTACTGCTTATGATGATGGCGACGAACTCTTCATGGGATCTTCAAACTCTCGTCATGGTGCCGATAAACCTCCACCACAACTCAGCAACTATGTGCAGAGAATGGAGAATCGGTTAAACAAGATGCACACAAGTAGCCCTCGGCCAGTAGAAGACGACGATGTACGACCACATGTACCGCCGAAAATGAATCAATATGCACGCCCAAAATCTTCCATGTCTGGTAGCGTGGCGTCAAGTCAGCAGCCAAAGTTACGCCACCGGAAATCTGCTTATGACGTTGGTCGATCAATGCTTGAGCGGACTTTCACAACAAAGACCAATTCTACTTCAGCATCATCTGGTAACCGCAGCACAACAACAAACGGAAGCTCGAGTACGAATGCCACGGACCGAAGTTTAATGAGTGGTACTTCAGCTGGTGGATTTTCGGCGACTAGTGCAGGAAGTTTAGCGAGGAAAAAGGAGACAGGTCGAGCTCGGGCTCACAGTGCTTTCGGGTCAAGGAAAGATAAGTTTATGGGTATGAATGGCAGCCAGGTTGATTTTGGAAGTCGGCCAGAAACCCCTGTTACCGGTATTTCTTACCATAGCAGTCATGCATCTGGGCCACCCAGAGCTCAGTCACAGGCTGGGTGGCATGGTTCGGTCGCAGATTCAGACAGCATGCTTGGTGGCCTGGTTGCCCCGAAGCCTAAGAAAAGCGGCTTCTTTAAAAAGATCATCGAGTCTGCAAAGACGGGAGCAGCCAGTGCCAGGAGTAGTATCGCTGTCGGAGAATCCCCAAGACCACAAGTACCGAGCAAAATGTCGAACGGGATCTCATCTATCTCAGGAGGATATAACAACCAACACAGCCGTCACAATAGCACTGCAGCCAGCGAGATGGGCTTGGGCGGTGGGAACTCTGGCATTGATTGGGTGCAAGTAAGACGGGATGTCAACCGGTCAAATTCACTCAGTCGTATTGAGCGCGTTGAGAGGAAAGAACGATGTCAGATGATGGACCATCCCGCAATTAGTCCTGTTGAGGAGCTTTTTGAGCAGTGCGATGGCGACGAAGGCGCGGACGGTAATCCGGTTGATGAGCCAACAAACTTCCAGGCTGTCAATCTTACCTTGGTTGACAAGAACTCAAGATTCATCAATAGCCTTCCGCCAATGACCAACCCTGTCAGCTTAGCGACTGGCTTCGTTTGTCGGCCGTATCGGAGCGATGTTCAACGTTTACGCGCGATATTTACTTGGGTCAGCGAGAAAATCACCTGGGAAGAAGACTTTGAGAGCGTGCCGGATTCAAGGAGGGTCATACAGACAAAACGTGGATGCGCAGAAGAAGTTGCTATTCTCGTTATGGAAATGTGCGCTGCAGTCGGTATTCATGCTGAGGTTATCAGAGGCTACCTGAAAACGCCAGGAGAAGTTCCTGAGCTAGCCATTATGCCCCGCTCCAACCATTGGTGGAATGCTGTGATCGTGGATGGAGAATGGAGGATCATGGATTGTTCCCTTGCGGCTCCTTCTCATCCTCGCCGAGGGCTCTACTCCAGTGGTAGCGGCCAGATGGCAGAGAGTTGGTGGTTCTTAACAAGACCTTCCGAGATCTGCTGGACTCATATACCAGAGCAACATCAACAACAGCATCTTTGCCCGCCGATGGCCTTCGAAATATTATTGGCATTACCTTGTGCATGTCCACCATATTTCAAGAATGCTCTCGAAATGTCTGAATATGACACAAGTCTCGTCCGCATGGAGGATCTTGAGCAGGTCCATGTCAGGTTCACGGTTCCAGCCGATGTTGAATGCGTGGCAGAGGTTGAAGCAAGAGCATTTGAGCGAGATGCTGATGGTGACTTCTTCGAAAGCGGAGATGTTGTGAAGAAGCGAGCTTTATCTCAAGCAGAATGGATCGGCGGACAGAAGCGATACACCGTCAAGGGCTTGCTCCCTGGAGACGAAGGACAAGGAATTCTAAAGGTATACGCCGGAAAACGAGGCTTGATGCATTCAATTAAGGATATTCCTCATCCACTTGCATTCGCACTTCCAATCATTCATACTGGCGACAATCCGCCTTACGAATTCGTTACACGCCATCCAACTCCACATGCGCAACGGCACGATCTCTACGTCGCACAGCCGCAGTGTCAGCGGCTTGCTTTGAACAATACCTTTGTGTTTGCCATTCGCCAGCATCCGTCTTCGTTGGGTGCGGCATCGCCAAACCCTGGAGGAACTTCCCCCATCCCGTTCATTCGCCCTAGCTCTGCGATGTCACTGAATAGTTCATCTGCGTCAGGTTCTAATCCAAGCACCACCAGCGCTTTCGGCTCCAAGAAACCCGCAAAATTGGCGATTCAAGCACCAGGTGGTAAAGTCTTGCGACTCATGAGGAAGGAAGAGAAATGCCAGAGTACAAGCCTAGCAATGGAGAAAGGAGATGGAGGCACATGGGAGACGATCATTAAAGTCGGAGAGAAGGGTGTGTGGCGAGGCCTTGTCCTAGCAGATAGAAGTGCCAGGTGGTGCGTATTTGCTGAGTGGACTTGTGTTTGAGAGGCTTCAAGCACGAGAAATACAGCTACACTCATGAACATCAGCATTGCTGCTAAAAAGAGCAATTCCGATACGAGAGGCGGTGCATTTGATTGGCGTTTATCCTATGGAACTGGTTGGTGGGTGGTTGATGGACCGGAGCATGTTCTGAAATGTGTCACGGGACTCATGTACAATAAAAGCATTTGTATTGGCGTTCTTTCCGATAATTGGCTGTCAGGGATGTTGGAAGGCAAGAATGGACAGCATGTAGGAGTAGGATAGTGGGTGAGGCGTTTATGCCTTGATGTGATGCTGGAATGATGATTCTGATTACTTCCGGTTCTGGCCGCTGTACGAACTGCCTTTTTTGCCATGATCTTGAAATGCGATGAGCTGCTCAGGGAGGGTTCTTTTGTATGATCCGCGCATTGAAAGCTTGAACCCCGCGAGCAAGCGGTGTTGATATACTTTGCTGTTTCATTTGCTGTTGGATCTTTGAAGTTTAAATACGGCCGTGCCAAGCCATCACTTACTTCCTGGTTTGGGATGACCCATCTGCGATCACTTCACGTACGATGTCTACTGTAGAGTGGTTTCGTAAAAGCAAAAAGGGAGAAGGTTCATTTCTTCTTCACAGCCTTCACAGCAACCCAACCACCTTGCCCCCCCCCCCCCCCAATCATCATGTTCATTTTGACCGATATTTATCCACAGGCTCATCACCCTAATCCGGCCATTCTGCGCCGCAGTGCCCGCCCGCAACGCACGTTTTCATCCTCACGGGAAAAAAAAAACCCCCCCAGGACCTTGTCGAGATCATCCACCATCCAACGGCAACGCGTCCCACCCAAGGCGTGGCGTCCCGGCCCACACTCCAGACTAGACTTGCCCAATCAACTCTCGCGTACAGAGTTCACATCAAACTGAAACCATATTAGAACCCCTTGTCAGACTTCGGTGCTACGCTTCATCTACTGTAGTGAAGCAGCACAGGATCCGAGAGTCCCGACACGAGGCTTTTAAGCTGTGGAGGGAGAATTGTGTGTGAATTGCTTCACTCAAGTCCATCATTTTGTGGTCCAGGACGGAAAATCTTAAGGATTGCTGGAGGAGAGAAGTCACCCGAGAGACAAGGAGTGAATGGTTCACGTGATGACACCGTGATTGTGTCTGTTCAGTCATCCCATTTTCTCCCTTGACAGGGCACAACACGCGCGCGGGTGCAGTCCGACGCGAACAAAGGACCGATCCTGTACCTTAGGTGGTGTGGCCAGCCTACTGCTTTAGGTCTATCTACTTTTCGGAAGTAATTGTGCATTTCGCTTTCGGTCTCTTCGGTCTCTCAGCCCGGTCTTGAGGTATTGTACCTGAACTAGGGGGAAAAGGGAGACGCCGGCACCAACGGATGAGGGGATAGCGTGGGTGCGTGAGAGCAAGAGAGCAAGAGAGCACAAGAGCAAAAGCCATGCAGGACGCTGGCTGGACACCTCAGATTCGAGAGGCTGGGAAAGAAGATGAAGAGATCTTGCTAGCTAATCGGCGTTCTTCTGATAGCCATGACCTGGACAGAGATGAAGGGCGAAGAGCCAGTCGAGATGGCGATGATTTGGAAAAGGAAGGAGGGTATGATAGGGAGGAGAGTGTGGGTGATGGAGGAGGGGAAGGGGAGATCCAGCAGAGGGGTCTAAGTAGGAGTACGAAGGGGACGGTTTGGGTCGTGTTAATGACGATGAGTACACTCATCGGGAGGAGGGTTTTGAGGGGGGGATTTCGTAAGTTGCTTTCCAATTTTTCCGATGATAGTTCTGTCTTGTGGGAGGTGGATGATTGAGGATGAGCTTCTATGTTTAATACATGCTAACTATACGGGATAGCATATCGTGAGTAGAATCTCTGATCTCGGAACGTTATGCTGGACCCACTGTTCGGCTGGCCTTCCGAGATACAGTTCTAGGATTCGTACAGTTCTGACGATTTCTTAGCGTTTTATTTCGTGTTACTCACACAGCTCATTGCATGGATCCTGGTTGCGTTTGTAGCTCTCATCGGCGTACTGAAAAAATTGAGCACGAAAACATTAAAACTAGAGTCCTCGGGGGACTATTCTTGGTTGGCCATTATTTTCATCATTTTCAGGACAATACTCGCTTCATCGGTCGCTGGCGTTGCTGCACTATGTGGTGCTCTTGCTCTATTGCACACCCCGAATCTACCAGTACTCGCTATGCTACCTGTAAGTCTCCTCGATTGTGACATCACGTCTGCTGACATATCCAGATTGTAACATACGCCTTCGATAGTTTGCTATTCCGTGTAGCATATGTTCTTCGCCTGTTTCCTCGAGAGCAAAGTACTTCCATTAGGAGAGCCTACAAAGTCATCTTCGTCTTGGGACTTTCCGTTCCCCCAATAGCATTGGACTACAGACTCAACATCCGAAATCTCATTGTCGCTTTGGCCGGATTCGCACTTCTCAGTCTCTCGAAAGTCATTGCCAAGATTGGGCCTAAGTTTGAAGCGAAGGGTAGCGGAACTGGGTTGTTTACTCCTCTGCACCACTACCTGCTACAGGGTATTGCTCCCATGGTGATATCTTGGGTGGCTGTTTCGAAGTACGAGAATGTAGTTGCAGCCCATCATGCTTTTTCTACATGGAGATGGGGCTACGCACTATTAACCCTTGCACCGGGTGTGCTCTTACAACAATTTTTCCACGCTCCGATGAACAGCGCACATCCATTTGTGTCTGAAGTCCACGTCGGAGGCGCCTTGGAGGAACCAACAGAAAGAGCTACAGGTGCCATTGCCAGTACTCTTCAAGCTGGGTTCTGGACAGTTGTCATCGGCGTTCTTGGTCCGGAGAAGAATTTCCTCGATTGGTTCCAGGTTCTTGCTGTCACTTTCATCTACATCATCTGCGTTGGGCCCAAACATATAGGATATTACCCACCTCGCCTTCTGAACCTCGTTTCGAGAATCTTTCGCCGAAGACAGCTCGCAGTCCACGCTGAACCCTGGCAATTCGCATTCTTCCTTGCTACAACCACAGCCGTCTTCGCCATAGTCATAAGCTGCAACATGATGTTCTGGGTGGACACCGTCGCCTACAATCAGAACATCAAAACCTGGCTCGATCCTAAGAATCTCATCCTAGATACCATGTACCGCCCTCCACAGCTTCGCTCCTTCGATGTCGTAATTGCACATTCTGAAGGCGATCCGGTGTCAACCATAACAGAACTAATCGAAACATTCACGCCCCACCACCTGGTCCGCTGGTATAACCCGCGCGTAACGATCTACAGCAAAGACGCAGCATTCAACCTCAACACTCCCTCTAACGAATCTCTCAAAGGCTCCTTCGAAGGCGATGTCTCCATAACAATACTCCACAACTCCGGTGGCGTCGCAGCCACCTTCCTACACCACATCCTCTTCAGCTGGACATTCATGCCTGTGCAAACACTCTTCCTCTCCACCGCAACAACCTCGCCCCTCACCCTCCCGCTCATGAAAAAACGCTTCTCCGACTACTTCACTCCCATGGGCTTCCCTATCCCTGACGCAATGCCCAAATCCGGCTTCCTGAACCTCGGCGAATCCGAGACCTGCCACTGCGGCGCCTGTTTCGACTCCTTAGGCTGGGAAGACACCTTCCATCTCGTACCATCGATGTGGAGCGCTGCGAGACCAGGTAGCAATACATGCGAGTCGGTGCTGTTGACGTATGGGAATAATTTCGCGGCATCGGCGGCGAGGATTAGGGGGACGAAGAAGGATGTTTGGCAGTTGTTGTATGATGGGTTGGTGGACAAAGATCTGTCGAATGCCTGGGCACATAAGAAGGAGAAGATGCCTGTTGTGCTGAAGGGGGAGGAGGGGAAAGGGAGGTTTGCGAAGGGCGCTGTTTATGGGTGGAATGATACGTTGGAGCGGCCGTATTTGGGTTTAACGGTTGAGAGGTTGTGGGGTGTGCTATTGCAGTGTAGTACGCCTGATGTGGCGTGGGGATGTCCATCGTTGGAAGTTGGGTGGAGGATTGGTGGAAATAGGGAGGATTGTGGCTGCATTGAGTAGATGCTAGGAGGGGCCTATGCAGAGAGATGATGGTGCATGCGCATGTTTGGGTGCACGAATAGACTAGAGAGTTTTGTATTGTTTCTTGAATTTCATCGGCGCAGAGAGTGTGAGCATCTCGAGCATTTTGGCTATGGAGTAATTAGAGCACGACAATTGATTCTTTCACAAAGGCCCTGGAATTCGGAATTCGTTCAGAAATCGGAACATCACGCAGAAGCTCCTCACATTAAGTCTCCTCTACTTGCCCGAAGCTCTACGATTTTCCTGGCACTGACAGGTACACAGCGTATCAAATTGATCAATACGATGGCACATGAGAGACACACCCAATCATCCTGGCATAGCCATCGGTTCCCAAGGGTAAAAATGGGGGTTTAATCCGGCCTGGCCAATCCATGCAGCTTATCCACCGAGATTTACGCGAGGACCCCAGGACCCCAGGACCCTACCGCCTACCTATCCTACCTCTACAACGTCCTGTAGCAGGGGGAAACAAAACTACCTCGCTTGCACCGGATCACCTGGCATCTATAAAGACTAACGATAAAAGACCATGATCTCCGACGTCCCTCGTCTTTAAATTCCAGTACAGAGCCCACGTGCAAAAGTGCCGATGAGATCGTGGCCGTGGCGAGGGTCGGATTTGTTGTGATCGGGTGACGGTGATGATGATCATGCGGGGAATAATCGGTGATATATCGATTCACGGCATTCAAATTGGCTCGACCAGATTTAATCTCCTGTAGGGTTCTGTGTTGATGTGCATGCTGGACTGACCCCACATGCTAGATCAGACAACATATATATATCCCCTCATTTCGCACGAGTCTTCTCTTTGCTTCTGCGTCTGTTGCTCACAGCCAGGTTAAGGTACCACCAAGCCAGCCACCAGGACCGTTCGTCACGTCCGCTGCCAGAATAAGACAAGATGCATCTCTCCACTCTCCTCTCTAGCATTCTGCTCCTGGTCCTCAGCTCCAGCCTCACTAATGCAGCTAGTCTTCCCGTCCGCTCCATAACCTGGAACATCCGGTACGCGACATCATCCCCAGGGACAGGCGAGAAGCCATGGTGGACTGTCTTCTGCTCCATCTGGTCCGACCAATGCCGCATGCCACACGTCCAATCCCTCCTCTCTGATACCGCCGACGCAACCAGCAACCCAACCATCATCGGCCTCCAGGAAGTCCTCTCCAACCAGCTCAGCGACGTGAAGTCCGGCCTTGGCTCCTCCTGGGACCATCTAGGCGTTGGCCGCGACGATGGGAAATCATCAGGAGAGTTCAGCCCGCTGCTCTACCGTACGGATGTCTTCCGCGTGCTGTTCAGCGAGACGAAATGGCTGAGTCCTACCCCGGACGTGGTCTCGTTCGGATGGGGAGCAGGCAGCAGACGCGTCGTTACGCTGGGTGTGTTTGAGCATATTGCGACTGGGAAGCGCTTCATTGCCGCTAACACGCATCTTGATAACGTGAGTTCTCAAGCAAGGAGTGAAGGCATCAAGGTCGTTGTGTCGCGCATTGAGGCTGCGAGGGCGGCGTATGGGAATAAGCTCGGTGTCGTCCTGACGGGGGATTTCAACTCGGAGCCGAATGGTGATGCGTATGCGACGCTGAAGGGGCTGAAGTATTTGACGGAAGTGTGGGAGTCGGGTGCGAAGAGACTGGGCCCGAATCAGTTGACTTATACGGGGTTTACGACCACGGGGGTTAGCAGGATTGATTATTGCTGGACTGGACCGGTGGGTGCGAATGCGGTTACGGTGCAGCAGTTTGAGATCTTGGGGAATGTGGTGGATGGGGTTATTGCGAGTGATCATAGGGCCGTGGTTACAGACTTGACGATTGTGTAACGGGGAGGATTGTGTGCGAAGTGTAATGTAATGTGATTAATATTATGTTGTGCTTTGTTTGGCCTCGCTTCGCTTACGAATAGCACTCTCTTTCTGCGGTTAGAGTTATCCAACCTCGCATCTCTGGGGAGATTTCAAAAACAGTCATTGCAAATATCAAGATTGCTACAAATCTATAGAGAGCAACAGCCTTGAGTAGCTCGTTGGAAGTGGCAGAGATGATAGAATCTTAAATCAAAGCATCCCACTCCACATGGGCATTGTCGACACTAACAAGCGTTGTCATTCATGCCTCCAAGATATAGAACCTACCTTCATGCGCGGTAATTGAGGAAGCGGATGCAGTTCGCTTTGTACTCATCTGAGTTTTCTCCAGACTGTGCAGAGTATATTCAACATCTTAATCCGAGTACCAAAAATTGAAGCGCCTTATGAGCACTTGCTTTGACAGAGGAATGGCATTGGGTCAAGCATTCGGAGTCGTCCCATGACAGGCTAATCACTCGCAAGACATCAGAGATTCGCGGATGATTCAGCACGAAGACAGAAAGGACGAAAGTGGGTGTGAGTTCAATGCGAATCAAGCCTTCCTTTTTGGATGTTGGAAATAAGAAGACGAATACGGATCAATGAACTCTGCATGCATCCCATGCTACCCCAGACACCTAAGTCTTCCTTCAAAATCCTCCTTAAAACTCTGCCATTCCCTCAAACTTCTTCGCCCCATCAACACCATGCACCCAGCTCACACGATCCTTCACAAACTGCTCAATAGTCGGCCGCAATTTCGTCTCGTGCAAACTAAAATCATCCACCGTTCCAAGACGGAGAAATCTAACACCAGGATACGCAGCCCCAACACGATACATCAGCGTGCCACAAGTCTGGCAGAAATAAATCGTCATGGTCTTCCCGAACCCAATAGTCTCTGCCTGGCCAAAGGTTTTGAGATTTTCTTGCCCACGGACATGCTTGAGGTGGGTGTCGGCGATGGTGAAGTTGGATGCGAATGTTGAGGCCGTTATCTTGCGGCAATCGTAGCAGTTGCATACGAATGTGCCTTGGTAACCTGGGCCATGGGTTGGCTAGGTTGAGTTAATATTGATATTTGGGCAGGATTCAAATTTGCGGGGAGAGGAAATGAGGGTAGAGACGTACGAATGCGAGTTGGACTGCGCCGCAGTAACAGGTAGCTGTGGCTTCGTCTTCGGTAGACCACCCGTCGCCTCCAAGGCCGGAGAGAGGGAAGAATGTTTTAGATGTGTCTGCAGTGGCTGCCATTGCTATTTATTTGTGACTAGCTGTGAAGAATAGTTGAACCTGTGAGTTGAAGGGTTGAGTATTACTTAGATGCGTAGATTTATGGTGTGAAATGAAAATGATTCAGACATATTGGCGAGAGATGCCTTCTCTTATATATTTCCAACAATATGTATCTATGTATTTGCTATTGCAAAGTGAGAAAGTGCCATATCGTCATGACGCGCCATCTTCTCAAGAAGTCCAATTAGTCAGTCGAATTTTCCCCTCATACATAACAAAGCAGAAATTTCGCGTGAGGTAATGATCTGCTACAAGAGGGACAAAACTTGTTCCGCATCTTGTCTCGTGCTACCTTATTGGCTGGACAGGTGTGTGTTTCCAGACTAGAGGCGCAGTGCAGCACACCCACCATCTCGCCTCGCTCGCCTCCGTCGCTACGCTTGGACCACCTGAAAAGTGTCCGAATAGCATCATTAACTTGGAGGAACCACCACAATCGTGACGGATTTACTAAGCAAATCTTAGAATGTGGAAGAATATCACAAAGGAGGGAAATGAAAGCATTTGTAAGCATTGTACAAGATCAAATGCAGTTGGATATTTCAATCTTTAGAAGATCTGCACTGCTATGAGCTTTCGTGAGAGTCGCCCGCAGATCCTGATTGCCAAGCCCGCTCGACGATTTGCTGTCTGAATGTATCAGCCTTAAAATTCTCCCATTCAGCCATAAGAATTCCTAATTAGAGAATGGTGTCTCGGAACAGAAAAATTCTCTCAGAGAACAAGTTGCTTTGGGCCGAGAGCGCAAATTGGCTTGGAATTTGAATGGCAGATTCAGAAAGCCGAGGATGATGCCGCTATCATCCTCTCTCAACAGCATCAAAGATTACATTACAGTAAGCCCGTCATAGCTTTGCTGCACCACCTTCTACTTCAGCAACCAATATCCCTTCACCGACCTCATCCCCCTCCTCGCCTTCGTACACCCATGCAATGGTCCCTCCCTTTGTCGCCCGAATCTCCAACTCCATTTTCATCTGTCTGACCACAGCAATTGTCTCCCCTTTCTGTATTTCGTCACCTATATCCACCAGAATTTCCATCAGCTGCCCCGGGAACGGAATTATGATGTGATTTGAATTCCCTGGGTCACCACGACGATGATTAGCCGAGCTGGCAAGTGAGCCAAATGATGTTGTCGTAGAGGCCAGCGTCAAGATGTAAGGAACTGGTTTAGGAGACGATGGCGTTGTATATAGTATTGAAGCCGTCAGAGACGCGGGAAACTCGTTACGCAGGACCCGTGAGAGCTGAAGGTGTGAGAGGGCTGGTGTTTTATTTTCCTCGCTTGATTCTGGGGTAAGCGATATGGACCAAGCGTCGCCTTTGCGGAAGAGGACATTTGATGCTGCTGCTACAGAAGCACTGGGTGCGCTTGTATTTACTTGCGTTGAAATCTTGGACAGTGCAGCAGATATACAATTCCCAGATTCCAGGACCGCGGGCAAGTTAGTTTCTAGCCATTGGGTATCGCATTGTCGGGTAGCAAAGGCTTCACTTGCGACAATACCTCGCAGAGCTTCCAGGCTTGTCTTGATACCTTCGATGTGAGTATCGGCAAGAGCTCTTTTTGATTTTTGAACAACGTCTTCCCAGGACGGAGCTGTAATGATGATTTTAACAATCAAGCTGTCGAAATCTGTTCCAATGACTGTCTGCTGTGATGGTATGAGGTGAGAATCGACTCGAACTCCATTGCCTGTGGGGCATCTGAAAGACGTAATTTTGCCAACGCTCAATGACCAGTCATTCGACACATCTTCAGCTGCGACTCGAAGTTGAATTGAATGTAAGGGAGGAGGCACCTCTGGATCGTCGCCCCAAGTAGTGAGTGGGAGCGAGGATAACGTTTGACCATGAGCGAGAAGCAGCTGCAACTTGACGAGATCTATCCCCATGGCTATGGATTCCGTGATAGTGTGTTCTACTTGCAAGCGTGGATTTACTTCTAAGAAATAGAATTCGGGTTGAGATTGCCGGACCAGGAATTCGAAAGTCCCCAGAGATGAGTAGTTGACTTTCCTCGCCATTCTTAAAGCTGCATTAATGACTTCTCCAATCAACTTGCGATCCGAAATAGAGCTTGGCGCAAACTCAACAACTTTCTGAAATCTCCTTTGGATGCTGCATTCTCGTTCCCAAAGATGCCGTACATTCCCTTGCCCGTCACCGATAATTTGGACCTCGACATGTCGATATCCATCAATCGCTGCTTTCTCAGCAAATGCTTTGCCACTGGGACTTTCTTGCAACGCTCTCTTCGCTAGAGATGCCAGGTCTTTCTCCCCCCTCACAATTCGAATGCCTCGCCCTCCACCCCCATCAACAGCTTTGATAATAATTGGGAAATCCGTCTCAGAGGCAAATGTCCGTAGTTCAGCAATGTCACTGGTCGGATTTTTTAAAGCTGGAAGCACAGGAACATGACATTCTTCTGCAAGGAGTCTCGCCTGCAATTTATCGCCAGTCCGAGCAAGTATTTCGTGTCCAGGACCGATGACGAAAGTTCCTGCTTCTTCCCACATTCGACGAGAAAAGTCTGGAGACTCAGATAGGAAACCGTAACCTGGATGGATGGTATCTATCTTGTTTTTCTTGGCAATTCTTACCAGTTCTGAGATGTCAAGATATGATGCCGGTGAAGCCAGTTGAATCGAGTGAGACGAGCCATTGGTGTGAGATGTATCGTTCGATGTGTATATCGAGTATGTTTCTATGCCCAGCTCTCTTGCTGTTGAAATGATTCGAGTTGCAATCTCTCCCCTGAAGCCTTGTTAATAATATACAATGTAACATTTGTGGGTATTTACCTATTCGCCACAAGAAGTCGCTTTATTGGTCTTGTTGGAGCCATCATATTTGGTGAGACCCATACAAATAGTCCAAAGCAATTCGTAAATCTTTACAGACTTCTAAATAAAATTAAAAGTGATAGATTTAGAAAGCGGAAATCACATTCGATAATCTTTGGTGTTTAAGTTGGAGCTTAAGATGCTTGTCGGCAAAACTGGGGTAATGGGGGCCGCAATCCCCAGGTTTTGGCGGGGTAATCGCCGAGGTTATTTTCTACCTCATTCCACCACTCCAAGCACTCCAAGCGTACCCTCAATATGACTTTCACGGCCACACACTTCGAAGTTTTTTCGATTGATCATTCAATACTAATAAGACAACATGACGAACAGCAATGACAGTTATGACAGCAAGTTATCGAAAACAACTCCCTCGGAACGACTATCTCAAGTCGCTAGCCACGTAGCTCCTCGAAAGCGTCACGCTGCGAAGACCAAGAACGATCTTCCAGCAGACTATTCCGATATCCTTAGACAATTGGAGTCTCTCAAGACTATTGCTCGTACACCCGACTCGAAGAATGCAGGATATGTCCGGCAAAAGCAAGCTGGAAAGCTATGGGTGCGGGAACGAGTCCTGGAGTTACTAGATGAAGGGAGCTTCCACGAAGTCGGCTCAGTATCTGGCACGGTTCAATGGAAGAAGCTGGAGGGAATAAAAGAGGAGCCGCAATCATATGTACCGAGCAACAATGTACAAGGGTTTGGGACATTGAGAGGTCGCAGAATTGTCTTCACGGCGGATGACTTTTCGATTCGTGCTGGACATGCAGATGGAGCTTTGATGGAGAAGACGATATATATGGAGAAGCTGGCTGTGGTATTGAAGCTTCCTATCATAAAGCTGGTCGATGGCTCTTCTGGGGGAGGTTCGGTCACGACTATCAAGACCGCTGGCTACTCTTACATTCCGCCTATGCCTTCGTTCAAGCATGTAGCCGAGCAATTAAACCTAGGGATACCGAACTTGGGTGCTGTTCTTGGACCGGCTATTGGATTGGGTGCTGCAAGAGTTGTTGCTTGCCATTTCTCAGTTATGGCTGCTGACGTGGGGTCACTGTTTAACGCTGGGCCGAAAGTCGTCGCTGGTAAGAAATAATCCTACTGCTTGACAGCGTCTTGTCATGTTAATTACAATAGGTGCAACTTTTGAGGAAGGTCTGAGCTTCACCGATCTTGGTGGACCATCGATGCATTGTACAAATGGCACAATTGACAACCTTGCCGCGAACGAGCAAGAATGCTTCGAGCAACTTAGGACAGTTCTCGGCTATTTACCAAACTCGGGAAGCTCATTACCTCCGACCATCCCATCAGATGACCCCGAAGATCGAATATGCGAGGAGCTTCGATCAATCATACCAAGACGAAAAGCTCGAATGTATGATCCCCGGAAGATCATCACGACTGTTGTAGACATGGGAAGTTGGTTCGAAATTGGTGCGTTGTGGGGTACAACTGCGATTGTCGGGCTTGCACGACTAGGCGGACGACCAATTGGCATAATTTCTCTCAACTGCGAGGTCAACGATGGAGCCTTGGATGCAGCTGGCAGTCAGAAGATGGCTAGACACCTCAAGTTTTGCGACAGTTTCAATATTCCCATCCTCCAATTCGTTGATGTTCCTGGATATGCCATAGGTACGAACGCGGAGAGAACGGCAACTATGAGACACGGAATCGCTCTTGCGACGACTTACTTCTCAACTACTACTCCAGTCTTCAGCGTGGTGACCAGGAGAGTATATGGTGTAGCTGGAGGAATCATGCTTGACTGTCGAGATCCTCGGATGAGAGTTGCATGGCCAAGTGGAGAATGGGGAAGTCTTCCTCTCGACGGTGGAATTGAAGTTGGTCATGCTGCAGAGTTGAAAGCCATCAGAGACAACGAGAAGCGAGAGGCACGGTATGAGGAACTGGAGGAAGACTACACACGTCTCATGAACCCTGTCAGAACAGCAAATGCTTTTGGAATTGAGGAGATCATAGATCCAGCGTTAACTCGTCAAATCGCTGTGGAGTGGTTGAAGCATGTGTACAATGAATTGCTTCCTCCAAGGCTTTTAGATCGGGCCAACGGGAAGATACACCCTATATTCTACTAGGTGAATCACTTGGGACGGCGGAGTAGCATTTGCAGCATAGACAATGGCTGAATTCAGGAGCGACATGGAGCCATTATATCGACGCTACCCCACTGGCTACTAGTTCATGGAAAGGACAAAACAAACCTTTGGCTTTCTATGCTGAAAAAACATATCATGGCTGTGCCTCGAGTTACAGTTTCGCCCGGCATCATATCACGGCATCTGCAATGGCAATAAATGCGAAATCTAGGTAGCCAATGAGAACAGCGATACCGCGAGTTACCTGCGAACATATCTTGTCCTTAACCTCACGAAACGGTCTATAGAAAGTACCAGTATAACATCCAGGTGCGCGAATCCGGTGGCTCGACGTCAATTTGGATATATGCGATGAACTTGGGTAGATCCGAGTAAAGATGCAAGCATATGCGTAAATGAGCGATGATCTTATGGTGCAGAATATGGGAACGATTGTTGTCAGAGCTCAGTTGATATCATGTTCGGAAGACGCCGAAAGGCTAGTAAATGATTTCGGATACTGAGACAAATATGGAATTCCCCTACGGGGTTTTTCATGCAGATAACGTCTGTAAATTGTCTGCATTTTGTCTGCATTCCTAGTAGTAGTAAAATACAGACAAAATTCAGACAATGTCTGCTACAAACGCATCAAAAAGTGCAGACAATGTCTGTAATAGACGCATTAAAAAGCACAGATAATTTAGCGTGTATCAAAGGTATAAGTTCAGGTAACTCGGACCTTTCGTGTTTCAATATAAAGTTAAACATAGACCTTCTACCTACTTTCGGAACACTCGGAAGGGAGACCTATCTTAGGAGGGAGGGAGGGAGACCTACCTTAGGAGGGAAGGAGGGAGGGAGACCTACCTTAGGAAGGAAGGAGGGAGGGAGACCTACCTTAGGAAGGGAGGGAGGGAGACGTGCCTTAGGAGGGAGGGAGGGAGGGAGACCTACCTTTAAGGGAGAGAGTAGGAAAAGGGAAGGAAAGGAAAAGGGGGAGAGGAAATAAGAGGGGAGAAATTAACTTTATTAGTCAGAAAACTCTTAAAATACAGACAATAGCTGTATTTCCCTCAAATTACAGGCAATGTCTGCATTTTTACTCTAAATCCTCAAAAATCGATCAAAATCAGAGAATCCAGCTGAGGAAAATACAGACAATTAACCAAAATGCAGACAGAAAATCAGTCTAAAATGCCTGTTTACAGACAGTGTCTGTAAGAAGTGCAGACAGTGTCTGTAAAAAAAACCCCGTAGGGTTCTAGAACATACCCTTCTGTTCAAAAATAGATACACTTGGCAGATCCCTGATAATTTTCTCACAATGTCGTTCAATCAGCGTTGTCGCCTTCCAACAATCTCATGTTTCGTGGCCAAGTCTTGTACCTGCTTTGGTTCGACAGGGGTGCTCGAATACGTCATCCCCGCTTGCGCCGCATCTGAGGCGGCAACACGGCAACACGTCCAGACGTCCAACACTTATTATCTCTCTAGCACCTCACTTCACCTCAATTCACATCCATCCATCCATCATCATAATATCACGCCAAGCACACTCGCTGTCAATAACGTACTCTACAAACACACTCTTCACCTACTCCGCACAAGATATAAAGTCTTCACAATCATAATGGGTGCCGTATCTGCTCTCCTCTTGGTGCTAATCACCATCATTTGTAAGTGATATCCGCCGTGCGCAAGCTTGGCTCAGGATGAATACTAATATTGCACAGTGCCTCCGGTTGGAGTTTATCTAGTTGCAGGATGTGGTGCTGATCTATTGATCAATATCTGCTTGACAGTTCTTGGGTAAGTGACTACATTCCAGCACTTCTAGCTCTACGAATTTCCCTCGGCGATATGCAGAAATATTGCTGACGATCAACCCTATAGATACATCCCAGGTCATATCCACGCCTTCTACCTTGAATACATCTACTTCGACCGGCGCGAACAAGCTCGTGAGGGTCGCTTCACAGCCAGTCGCGCTCCAGGTGTCTACAGCGACCGTGTTCAGTCAGGCGGACATGGCTACGGAACTATTGTACAGCCCGTCCAGTAAGGGATGCTGGAACATGAACAGAGCACCTGGACGGTGGTGACCGGGAATGGGAGATTTGATCTGACAATGGACTGATGATTCATGAGGATATTTCGATTTGGGACTGCGATAGGCGGGGTCGGGAATAAAGCGTGGGTAGGATACCAATTTGTTGTTTTGCGGTTTGACACGATGTCGTCCGGGGCTTTTTCTACTTTTCAGCTGTTGATGCGGGGGATTGAATAAATCGTTGGGTTATGAATGCACCCAAGCATGCACTTATAGATGCGACGATATCCCTTTACTTGTTCATGCAGTAATATGCCAATCGAGGCCACTTAACTCGTTGCAGAATTCTACCCTTCTGCTGAACAGTGTAAAAAGATATTCAGAATATCTCAACGCCAGAGCCCAGCCAGAAACTGTACCAGCCACGATTACCCCACATTGCGCTAACGATTAGCGTCGGTCAAGCCTCAGAAGGCTGTGGCTGTCGAGACGTGTTAAACTCAAGCTCGCGATAATGAGAGGATAACAGCACTCACTCCGTATCTCCCACATCACCTCGCCTTCTATTTCTATTTCTTCAAAGCCGATAAGAGTAGAATCTATGCAATAGTGCCACAGGAACTGAGGAAGATAGGCTCCTGCCACACGAAATACTACCATGCATTCCACAGTTGTCCGCGCGCAGAATGTCTTCGGCTTCTTCACAACCGTGGCTTTCGTCGTTGCAGCTCTAATTGCATTCTCTGATTTGCTTGCGCCGCGAACACCGAGCTCAAGCATCATCGTAAAAGATGTCCAAACGTATGCAACTACTACCCTTCTCTCCTCCAGGCTCACATTCCATCCCCACCATCCCCAATGGAGCCCAAAGCTAACCACCCTGTTCTCCCAGTGTCAAAGGCCGCCCACACTACTACTCGACCAAGAAAGAAGAATACGCCGTAATCCGCTTCTCGCTGACTGCCGACCTCTCCTCCCTCTTCAACTGGAACACCAAACAAGTCTTCGTGTACGTGTCAGCCTCATGGCCAAACGCTACATCTACAGAGTTGGTGAACGAGGCGGTTATTTGGGATACAATCATCACGAATCCGAGCGCGGATCACTTGCAGAATATTGGGCCGGCGGCTATGAAGAAGTTGGTTAGGAGTGCGAAGGGAAAGAGTGTGGATCCGTCAAGGTAGGACTCTCTTTCTTGCTTCAGGCGGTGATAAACGCTTCAGAATACAGAGTGGCGGATTGAATCTGGCTGGGTTGGATTCCGCTTGGTTCTGAATCATGCTAATGTAACGGTACTTGTAGGGGCAAGCTCGATCTCAAGAACCAAAAAGCGAAATACCAAATTACCGCCCCAACAGGCAAAGTCGCACAAACAAACGATGTGGTCCTGAACCTACACTACAATGTCCAGCCGTGGGTGGGTGTCCTGACGTGGACGCCACAGGTAGAGTTTGGACGGTGGAAGAAGATCAAGGGTGGTGTGAGCAAGACGTTCAAGTTCCCGGCGTTGAAGGTCAAGAAGGTTGAGGAGAAGAAGGCGAAAGCTTAGGGGGTTTCGAATCGAAATTTTGATTTTGTTCGGCTTTGCAGCGATATAGCGGTTTCCGGGATGGAATCCGCCGAAATCTGGCCTGCAATGGAACTTAAATCCGACTTTCAAGCTTTAGGAACGCCAGTTTCCTAGTCGGAAGCCGATTGTGACTTGCTGGCAACTATCTGCTTGTGACGCTGTGAGCTTCTTTCTGGCACTATTTGCTAGGCAAGCAAGTCATCATAACCTCAAAAAGTGGTGCATACTCCAGTCTTATAATCATTGCGGCAAAGACGTTCCGCCTAAGTTTGTTTCTTCGTCGCTCACTGCGGAGATTGCTCCAGACTTTTCAGAGGACAGAATCTTCTTCGTGCTGCCCTTTTTTTTTCAACCGCCTGATTTCCGTACCAAATTTGGGTTAAGTTTGAGCATTCCTTTACCGGTTTCAGATTCTGGTACTCCATTATCGCTTGTAAAGTTTCTCCGTAGTGCGAGTGGTGATGCAGAATAGACTTTAACCGACATGGTTAAGGATGGCGCTACTGCCCCAGATTCGTCTGAAGGTTGAAGATGAGACCGAGACGGCACCATGAAAGGATGCGTGCATTGTTGACGTATAGTTCATGGGATTTTGGAGATCTGTATTTAAAAACTTTCGTCCTGTGGCATCTCAATCGTCTCTTTGCTTGCGTCTAGAGATTATCCAATATTGCCTTTAATCCACCCGCTGCTAGGGTCTTTTTCCATTTGTTCCTTACGCTTACTCCTCTTGTATTATATACTCATTGATTGAGATATTCTCTTTGAAATAATGCGGGTCGCTGCTGCTCAGATTGTTTCGTTTCTATTCGGTGCCGTGGCTGCTGTTGATCCCTTAGGTGAAAATATCTTCTTCCAAATAGATAAAGAACTAATACAGACAGTGGACTTAACATATGCCAGATACCAAGGCCAAACATTGCAAAATGGTGTCAACCAATGGCTCTCCGTCCGTTTCGCCGCACCACCCACGGGCACCCGAAGATTCTCTGCTCCACAGCCCCCTCTGGCCGAGAACTCAACTCAAGACGCAACCAAAGTTCGTCCATCTAATTTTCCTCCTCCTTCATTAACTCAAGTTCGAGTTCATCCTCTAATACAATATCCCAGGAAGGGGCCCTCTGCGTCTCAGCCAACAACCAAGAAGGTCTGCAATTTGGCTCCCCACGCCAACGCATGGCAGAAGATTGTCTCTTCCTCGGTATCTACGCGCCTCTCAACGCAACTATCGATTCCAAACTCCCCATCATGTTTTTCATTCAGGGGGGTGGCTTCTCGTCGAATTCGAATGCGAATTTCAATGGGACGGGATTGGTCCAGGCTTCGGGGATGAATATGATGGTTGTGAGGATTAATTACAGAGTTGGGATATTGGGGTTCATTGCGGGGACGTTGGTAGATAGTGATGTGAAGGGGGCAGTTCCGAATAACGGGCTTAACGATAGTAAGCTTTCCGGCTTGACTTCAGACATCTAGAGTGCTGATCTTGATAGTTGTTGCGGCTGCTACCTGGGTCAAGCAGCATGCTACTAAAGTACGTCCAGAACCATTTATTAGCGATGCGAGATCTCATCTGACAACCATGGATAGTTCGGAGGAAATCCCGACCACATTGTGATAAGTGGAGACAGCTCAGGTGGCAATGCAATTGATATCCTACTTACTGCCAACAATGGCGCCGGCTTCCCTGACCTCTTCGTTGGCGCCGCAGTGGAAAGTACGGGCTGGGGGAGTGACCCTCACGCCGTTGATCGTGACTCCTCGCTTGCTAAGAACATCAACTCGACCGGCTGTCTCAACACAATTGATCCCATTGATTGCATGCGCATGATGCCGATCGCCGAATTCCAGAACAAGACGGCCAAAGATGGGTGGGGGCCTACTATTGACGGAAAGATGCTTGTGGCTCCTCATTATCAGATGATGGAGCAAGGGAAGTTTCAGAAGATACCTGTGATTTATGGGAGTGAGCTCTCTCATATTCTCCCTCGCTTACAACTGGCCGAATATGTACTAAAGTAAACAAGGCACCAGTAATGAGGCAACCCCAGACTTCATCTCCAACCAATCTGCCACCACCGATGCTGACCTCGAAAAGCACATGCGCAATGCCATTGGCCCCTCCACAACGCCCACTGAAATCCAAGCCATGCTTTCCGCCTACCCCCCATCTCTCAACAACATCTCCTTTTTCGGCCGCTCCGTCTCCCCAATTGCAACCAACACCACCCTGCGCAAAGGCAGCGGTCCGCAATGGCAGCGCGATGCCGCCATATTTACAGAACTCAAGATATCCTGCGTCGCCGCCTTCTTCTCAGACATGTACGCGTCCGCCAATGTCGCGGGGATGGGGAATTACCACTACCGGTACAACGTCCTTGACTCCGTTCTCGCCGCCCAGGGACTCTTCACGCCTCACACAAGTGAGCTGTACGCGATCTGGGGAAGGAACAATACCGATGGTGGCGACCCGAAATGTTTCTCTACTCCTGCTGCGAGCGGTGGGTGTATGGAAGCTATTGATATTGTGCAAAGTTACTGGATTTCGTTCGTGAGGAGCCTCGATCCGAATACGTTTCGAGCGGCTGGGGCGCCGGTTTGGGAAACTTGGAGTGTGGAGACCCCGAACAGGATTGTGTTTGATAATGGAGCGGCGAGTATGGAGGTTATGGGGAAGGGGCAGGGGGAGGTGGTGCTTGCGGGAATGGATCAGAGAGCTAGGTGTTTGGGGTTGGTGCTGCCGTTGAGTAAGCGGGTGAACGTGGGGTTGAAGGAGGGAGAGAGTTTACCCCCGTTTGCGAATGGGACGAGAGTTGATCCCACGTTGGGGGTTGTGATGGGAAATGTGTCGTTCACAACGCGCGGTGGGAATGGGATGGCTACGAATGGGATGACTGCGCATGGGATGGCTCCGAATGAGATGGCTACGAATAGCACTGTGAGGGGAACTGCAACGAGTACGGCTCCGCAGGCGACGTTTACAGGAGCTGCTGGAAGGTTCGAAGTCGAGCAGGGCGTAGTCAATGTCCTAGTCCTGGCTGGCATTATCTCCATGCTCATACTGTAAGACTAAGCGTTCGATTGAGTTAAAATTAGTATCGCAGTGCCGCCTAAATCACGGGAGCATCGAGACAACAGATAAACTGCATTTTCATTGGAAATATTCAACTAACAAGGTTTTATTTACTTCTCGAACCTGAAGATGTCGAGCTCTATGTACTCACTCTGCTTTGAGAACAAGCCAAACAATGTTTTTGCGCGAATTTGACTACAGAAATGTCCTCGTCGAGGTCATAGGCGCAAAGTGCAAGTGGAAGGCCCAGCTCTATAACATAACTTAACTTTGTTTACTTCTCGCTTCTTGACTCCGAAAAGCCAGTGGTGAACTCATTTCGTAAATCAGAAGGTTGAGCCAGTATGCTGCTCTTAGCTGGGAATAATCTTCAACCATACAAAAAGATGCGCTATCCCAAGTCAATTCCCGTACTAATTCTAAATGTAATGTACCATATCTGGGTTTTGAAAGGCCTCGGAATTCCACATCCCACTTTCAGGTCCCACTTTCAGGTTGAATCCCGTCTAAGCGTCGTATCCAGTGCGCCCCCCAACATGGCACGGATTCCTATTTAGGGGAATGGCAATCTGGTCGTCGCGAGATCAAATATAGCTCAGTTTCCGACGTAGAAATATAAGACTCAGTCAATCGCGGGGTACAAACCCAGAAATCGTCAAAAGCTTTCTCTCCTATGGGTGTAATTTTTGCACGTCAGAAATGTCCCCAAACTCATTCTCCAAGATCTCTAGGTTCAGGGTTACAGACTAGATGTACCTCCGCGATGAAACCTTGTTTCTTCTATTTATCCGGCTGCACTACTGACGAAAGAAGTCGTGCAGCTATCGAGTTCCCCGTCTTCCCCAGACTAGTACCGGCAAACTAATCGGCGAAATCGGGAAATCCCACTCTCGGGCTCCCCCAGATTGTCCATGCGGGCGTAGCATGGTCCAGCGAGATAACACTACTGGGCTTGTTGTTTCATGGATATATACAAGATGTTGCTTGAATCAGGTATTTCTTCTTTCTGGACATTCCACGATCAACGTCATATATTAAGTGTTTCTCGATAACTTCGCGGTGCTTGCAATCATGTCCTCGCAAGGAATGATGGATGCGGCCCTCAGTGGCCGCAAAACTGGATATTTTGCCAACAGTGGAATGGTTACTCTCAATTTGATTCTTGTCCTGTCGCTCATTTCCTCGTACGCGACTGGTTATGATGGTTCTATGATGAGTATGTCGTTCAGTCCGTTGTAAATAAACCGAAACTCGGCTAATTAATTGCTTCAAGATGGACTGCAAACACTGGACACGTGGAAAGCTTTCTTCAATAATCCTGGCGCAAGCTCGCTTGCCTTGTTGAATGCCATTCAGAATGTTGGACAGCTTGTCGCGCTCCCGTTTTGCGCCATTGCCTGCGATAAGTTTGGCCGTCGAGCAACTCTTGTGTTTGGTGCCGCAATAATGCTTGTCGGGACCATTCTTCAAGGTGCCGCGAAAAACAGTGGGTACCAGATCCAGTGATTATATGGAAATCTTTTATTGACAAAACTAGCTGGAATGTTTATCGCTGCTCGTGGTCTCCTAGGATTCGGCCTTGCCTTCAATATCACCGCAGCTCCACTTCTAATTCTGGAGCTGGCGTTCCCAACTCAACGAGCACCTTTGGTCAGTATTTACAACGCACTCTGGTCCCTGGGAGCCATCGCCGCTGCTTGGATCACATACGGTACTTTCAGACTCAACAACGATTGGGGTTGGAGAATCCCTTCTTATCTTCAAGGACTCTCTAGCATCATTCAGATTTGCGCCTGCTACTTCATCGAGGAGAGTCCACGTTGGCTGGTGAACAACGACAGGGAAGATAAGGCGAAAGATCTTATCGTCAAATATCACACCAATGGCGATGCAAATGACTATATGGTTCTTGTCGAGCTGGAAGAGATCCGGGAAGCCCTGCGCTTGGAGAAAGAGGCGCTAGAGACGACATCCTACATGTCGTTCTTCAAGACTAAGGGTAATAGGCATCGATTCGTCATCATTCTGGCTGTGGGCTTCTTCTCGCAGTGGTCCGGCAATGGATTGATTTCGTACTACCTGACCCTCATCCTGGACTCTATCGGCTACACATCACAGGAAGAGCAGACTCTCATCAACGGCATTCTCACAATCTGGAATCTGGTCATGACGTTGATATTTTCGCTTCTGGTCAACAGATTTGGACGGCGTCTCATGTTCCTGACTTCCACAATCGGCATGTTGATTACATATATCAGTGAGTAGCCATTTCTTCCTTCCCAATGGAATGATTTGCTCATATGTAACCACAGTCTGGACTGCTCTCATGGCATCATATGAGAAATCTACGAATCTGGAAGGCGCAGGTGCGAAGGGACTTGCGAAGGGTGTACTGGCCATGATCTTCCTTTACAACATGGCATTCAGCATCGGATGGGGACCTTTGCAAGTCACCTATGTCGTCGAAATCCTTCCGTACCACCTTCGAGCTCGAGTAAGTCATCCATATCTATGTAAAACATGGACTATGTGATATTGACGTTTTCCAGGGTCTCGTGCTTTACAATCTCTTCGTGGCGATGGCTCTCATCTTCAACCAATATGCGAATCCTGTTGGTGTCACGAACATAAAATGGAAATGTATGAAACTAAAATTCTCAAATACCTGCTGTGTCCGAAAGCTAATTCAAGTAGACTATATCGTGTACGATGTATGGCTCTTTGTTGAGCTGCTCGTAGTTTACTTCCTCTTCGTTGAGACTCGCGGCGCTTCACTTGAAGAGACTGCAGCAATTTTGGACGGAGTGGAGATCCAGCAGCAGTTTGTTGAAGGCGTTACAAGAGCGACTGAGAAGGACGGGAAGTCGCAAGTTGTGTTGGAGGTTCGGAGTGCTGAAGGTGGTGATAAAACGGGGAGAGATATCAGGCAGTAGAGCTTCCATGACGTCGGTTAGGTATAGCTGGCGTCTTCAGTTTCAAGCTATATCTGCACACATCATCTCTTCCTTTACATGTGGTGTCGAGGTGCGATAAGTCTTGCGATCAACAGCTCCTCTTACCTTCAAGGGAAAGTATCATGGTGACCAATTCTGTATGAACGCCGAGACCTCGTGAGATTTGTTGCTCAAGCCTTTCTACTGATGAAAAGTTCACATATCCTGAGTCCTTGGAGACCTCGTCAGCTTTTGCTTCGGCGCTCCGTAGTGTACTGACAGCTGTTGGGGCAAATCACGACGACGCGAGATATGACAACAACATTCCTCATCCATCTCATACAACCACGTCTAGCGTGGAAACACAGACTGTCATATAGTGAATCGTCGAGAAAGTTTTGGCAATGGTATCGACAAGCTTCCTATCCTTACTGTGCGACGCTCCCATCTTACTCAACTGTCAACACATCTCAAGGTGCTGTCATTGATGGTCAATATTCGTGCCCCCTTGCGATGAGCCAATAGATGTTTATATCCAGGAATTGTCAGAAACGAAGAATCGGAAGTGAATTAGTACAGCTGAAAGACTTGTATCACGGTGCTTGAGATGTCTTTTAGTTCGATGCTATCAGAGGTAAGAGAGACCGAAAGACAGAGTAGAGGATTCAGGTGGATAATTCACGGATGCTGATTCCACGTCGGATGGGAAAAGGTATATAGGGCCACTTTCTTGTTATTTTCAGGACCAAAGTAACGTAAGATGTTCTCGGGGCAATACTCATGTGAATGAGGGTGGTAAGGAATGGATCCAAGTGACCAAGATCTCGGATCTTTGAACACATCAAGACACCGAATCGTGTTGTTAGAAGCCGAGGAACGGAGGTCATGAAGCGCGTTATGCGGCCCCCGAAGGAATGGACTTCCCCTTAGCATTTCTCTACGACAGGACAGAAAAATGATAGTTGGAAATATCGACCCTGTTGACACCAGAACTGATTCGACCACGAGAGCCGACAAGATGCCCTTAAAAAATGACATGCCATCAGAATTATCTCCGCACGTAGAAAACTTGCAACTGATCTATGATAGAAGATAAACCTTGTTTGAAGGATGCGGAGGCAAATAGCCCATGATTTTCAATGAATATCCAGCGATGTCTGTAGCAGGATGGCTGATTTGGCGGGAAAGGCAGGGCTTTTATGTTCGAATTGGTGGGCTTGACTCTCCGTCCGGTTTGAAACCCGAACTCAAATCGTGAATACGATCAGCTCTCGAAGCCCCAGCGTGAAAGTGACATTTCCATTCTGTTGGAAGGTGAAACCAGAGTAGTGTGGAAACATATATGAAGCTAGCTAACTCTCCAGCTGTGGGTTCGGTGAGAAACGACCGATGGGCAACCAGTTACAGCTTCCCATGGGAAAGAAAAATTTAGTTTGAAGCTTACTCAAGCAATGTCACTTTGCAAGTGCCTTATTGAGCTTGGAATTGAGGTTCATGAGGATTGAAGGTTAACGCGAGACGAGAGAGTTTCGTGGGGTGTCCAAATCACAATTGATTTGACAGATGGCAGCAGCAAAGGAAATGGCAACGCGGTTGAGACTAACGACAGTCTTAGGATACAACAATCGTTTACCTCTTCTGGAACTTAAACAGCTGCAATGCGACTGAGGAAGCTAGAAAAATAAAATCAAGCACTCCTTCAAAGTGCAGACTGAACTTGATGAATTCAACCAAAGTCAGTACTGTCAAAGGCTTAAAGTAAGACTTGATTATCCAGCGTCCAATGTTCTTTTTCAATACCCCTGGGAGACATCCACGCTATCTCAAGGAGACTCAATACCTGTTGTGTTTATATAGATAAAATAAGTCCTCAAATTGTGAATGGCCAGTTCGTTGCATTACTCGGCTCGCTCATGACTTATTGTGAAACGTTCCCGACATATGATGGGTATATCTGTCGATCTCGACACGAGTCTGTATGTCGCAAATCATCTAGAGAGAGCAGAATGAAGTGTCTGGAGTTTCAGGCAATGAACGGTAGAAAACACAAAGGATCAGTAGCACGATTCTTGGCAGAACGGAGCTACTAAAGCACGGCGAGTAGGCAGGTACTTGAGATAGATAGGAGCTTACTGGTCGCCGTGGTTTATCGACAGGTGACCGCAAGATGGGAATGACAGCACGCCTCATAATGAAAAAACTGACTTGGGCTCAGTAGACGAAGCCCGCTTGTTGGAAGCGTGGCTGCACAGCAGCCAGAAAATTGCTTGCGTGGAAGAGATTTGAGGAAATTCGAGACGACGAACTCCCAAGTGTTGACTGTGCGAATCTCGCAAGGTTCATTCAATTGTCTTGTGCCATGTTGTTCTATAAACAGTTTTGACATGCAGTGCATCTATGTCTCATTTTTATATTCAAGTTGGAAAGTCCCTTTCAAGTGAAGCTCGCCAAAGTCTATTTCGCGATGTGCCAGTGAATACAACATGGTTGACAAGAGTATACATGGCGAGTGGGTCTTCAACATTGGAGACCCCAAGATGAGGTAAATTTAAAGTGGTAGTTGAAAGGAACGCCTCAGTGGAAGTGGGTGACCTGACTGGAGAAGGAAAAGAGAATGATACGGCAGAATTATGCACAACATCCGAGAGAGCTATCACATGAAAAATGGGAATGCTTAACGCAGGCCGTAGACAGTATCCTATGGCTTCATTGTATCGTTGGCACTGGTATGTGCTTGCGATAACTCCAGAGCAAATAACGTGGGCACGCTAGACATGGAGATGTTGTTTGAGCAGGTAAACCCTGTGAGCATGCGGACACAAGCATTCTTGACGGGGCTTCTCGTTCTCGCCATAGTATGTGACTTAACCTGAATCGACGAACAGAGCCAAGCTGAATTTCGTTGGTATCTGAAATTGCATTCTTACTCTTGTGAGAATGAGTCTGGTGGATAAACTTCCTCGCTTAAGGAATATCTTCCAACACTCTCACCCCCACACGAGATCAACACAGCAACAGAGCGAAACAAACAAACAAATAACAAGGGCAATTAAAAATTCATCAGCCACTCTTCCTTAACTCCGATATATCCATCATTCATAAAAGTGCAGTCCCACTTAGGGCGGCTAACGCGGTTAAAGATCCCAAATCCCTGATCCCTGAAGCTGTTCGTTCACTCAATATCTGAACCCCTTCAAATTTCCGCGTTCCGGCACAAGGGAACTCCTTCCTTGACGGGATGCTGGGAGCTGGGATTCTGGATGCATTGCACCGGGTGCGTGCTGGCTGGAAAAGAAAGAGACAGATCGCATTGCGGTGCAAACACTGGTGGAGGCCGGCCATGCAGGGTGCCGTTGACCGTACGATGGGGAGATTTGATGCCGAAGATGCGGGCGATTGATGACTCCTGATGAGGATCGAGATTATTATTTTACTATTTTTGCTAGTGCCGTGCTGTGCTAGTACTCTGCTGTACAGATGGTAACGAAGCGAGGCGAGGCAAGGAAGGCTGATCATTGCCCATGCTGCAGATTTCTGAAACGAACGGGTTATGGGACGAGTTATGGGTATCATTTTCCGGGCTAGGCATGTCGCTGTACGTGGCTCGAAGAGGATAGATAGCCTAGTTCATGGATTTAGAGTGGACTTGCGTGGGATGATGTTCCGGCGTGGGATGTCAAAAGCGTTCAGGGGTTATGCTTCCTCAATAATTGAGCATTCCGATGTTTCTGGTTGTTTTACGAGACGTGTCCGTTGGGCGTATAGGTTTTGTATCGAAGTCAAGAATTTCTGCAGCATTTCTTGACGAGAGACGTGCAGGCGTAGTGCAACCTCACAAGTGATACACGGCCACCAAGATGATTCAGCAACGGCTTTGGCTGCCGTTGGGAAGGTCGCTGAAAGGTCATGGTTGAGCACCGATTGGTTGGGTGGCAGGCATGTCTACAAGATCCAAGACCTATGACGGGGGCCCGAGAGGCGCTGGGGACGGCCCTGGGCCAGTGGTTGCTGGGAAAAGGGGAAGTGACTCGTGGCTTGCACGCCGTTGGCACAGGCCAGGCCAGGCGAACCAAGAAGAGTCGTTCGAGGTTGTACTCCTGATACCGGAACCGGGTACGGTGAGGTTCGAGGAGGGGAGGCGAGGGAGTTGAGGGGTGCAAGAGATGGATGAATTGAATCGTTTGGTTGGCGATGCTGCGGTTAGGAGATTGTTGGAGGGCTGGATCGGGTACAGCAGGAAGACTGAAGCACCAGTGACTCGGGCTCTCAGTAACCATCAGCACTTTGTTGTGGTTACTCATCTGGCGGTCGACCACATATGAAATTTGTTCCGTACTAGATCGTATACTGGCTATATCAAACAGTGCTATACGTAAATTGTATGGGGCTCCCAAGAATGAACAGTGGGGGGGGACAAAGAAGCGCCGGTCCACCAGGTGGATGCAATTCGAATTGAGGCTGACCGTTTAAAAGACGTTAAAAGGGTTTTGACTGGGGTTGCCAGGTTGCTGATCTTGGCCTGCGGATGGAAAGGAAGGAAGAAACCCAAGAGAGTTCACAACTGGACAGGTCCAGCTTGTATAAAACATCTAATGTAAAGAACTAGAAGGAAGCATTGTCAGGGAAGAAGTCTAAATGCTAAAGATCAGACAATCGGTCTGTCGTATACGTCTCTATCCGTCCCGCTCCCCCTTAGTGCACGATTCAAGAGAATAGAGTCGGCGCTAGAAATAAACAACAGACAGCTCCTGTGTAGCTCGGAAGACTGGCTGGCAGGACAGGTCCGACAGGATCACCAAACGCACCAAACAGCTGGGCCTAAGGTGAGGAGGGAGTCTCCCCAGTCCACCACTGGCCACGCCCCAAAGAACGTGCATGCCACACTGCAGTAGCGGGATGCAACGATACGTATTATGCTGCAGTCCACAGCAACTACTGGAGAGCATATTTACAGCGGATAAAGTGAAGAGTGACGAACGCGTCAAGGACGAGGGAGGCTGTTCGCAGGAGACAGAACGGCAGATCGAGATGGAGATAGATATATGTATCCAGGGTGCCAGGTAAACAATATACTTATCCAAACAACGGATGACTGAGTATATACCGGAAAGTAAATACAGCTACACAGCTACAGAAGCAAAGATAAAAAAATCAGCTGCTTTAAATATAGGTATCATACAGACATCAGAAAGTCATAAGTGCTGAACTGTTCAATGTTTTAACTTCCAGATCTGTTTCTCATTATCCGACTCTCCTCTCGACTCTCTCCTTTTCCCTTTCCCCTGTGCCCGCCCGCCCGCTCGCTCGCTTGACTCCCGCGTGAGCACGAGCGTTGATGTTCCGCCGCCCACCGCAGAATTTCTGCGCTAACAATGTTCCCTGGAGCCAATTTGCGAAGTTCTGCTTCTGTCGACAACCTTGCTCCACCGGCCTCTTCTCCTTCTCCTTCTTCCTCTCCTTTTCTCACCCTTCCCTCTCCACGACCACCACTCACCAAGGAGGGTTAGGATCCAATTTGCTTTCCTTCGATACTTTAACTTTGGCGTCTTACTATCCTCGCTTTCTCCCTCTCACCTCTCCACCAACCACTTGCTGTGTTGCTGTTCACCTTCCCGCCTCCTGGAGCTCCGTGTCAACGACCTCACCTCCCGATTCGCTCACACTACATCGACGCCAGTTGTACCTCTCGAGATGTCTGCCTCCACTCAGAGCCAGCAGGGAAACCTGGACCGATACGTGGTAATTCATGTAGCAACGACCTGCGACGAACACGGAGTATATGTCACGAAGGATTCGGCAGAGGTGATAGAGCTTGCGTGGATTCTTCTCGACGCCAAAACCTGCGAGGAGGTGAGCTCTAACAAAACCCCGCCGCAGATACTTCAGGACAATCTGCTAATATTTTGATTTTCCAGTTGTACCTAGAAAGCGTTTTGGTCAGGCCCATTAATACCCCTATTACTCCGCTCTGCAGTAAGTAGCATTTCGGCCGACCTACAAAGTTGTACACAACTCCATCGACTCGGGAAAGGTCTACACACTGGGAGTGGGATAACTGCTGACGTTTTGTTTTGTGCAGCGAGCTTGACAACTTTGACCTGGGAAGACGTTCGCAATGCAGGAAAGTTCCGTGATGCAATCAACAGGTTCGACGCCTTTGCCAACGAACATCTTGTTTCACAGGGCCTCGATTTCTCCTTCGTTACCCTGGATTCTTGGGACCTTCGAGTTCAGCTCCCCCGTGAAGCCAGAGACAAGGCCGTTGTGCTTCCCCCTTACCTCCAGCACTCCCGAACTTTTGACCTGAGGACTGAGTACCAGCGATGGCAACAACACCACCCCGAGTCTCTCCCATTCGGCCCCTCAATGTTGTCCAATATCTGTGCTGCGCTCGAGGTAGAGCCAGTCCAAGCAAGTGCGCAGATCAAACATAACCTTCCGTTCCACCTACATGCTTTGGCCCCCGCCTCTCCCCGTCGAGCTATGGAGGAGGCTGTGACTTTGGCAAGAGTTCTTCGAGGATTGATTAAAAAATCTCAACCTCCCCACGAGCACCCAGATGTCCTTACAAGACCAATGGATGCCCGAGCTGACGTTCGAGCATTTTTGTCTGAACGTAGCAAAGTTCTTCACATGGCTGGTCTGCCCCACGATACCACTCAATCCGAGTTGGAGAGCTGGTTCACCCAATTTGGAGGTCGCCCTATCGCTTTCTGGACTCTGCGAACACCAGACCAGCACAAGCCGACTGGATCCGGTTTCGCCGTTTTCTCATCACACGAAGAGGTCAGCTCATTATCTCCTACCCAACTCTGTCTATTCTGTCAAGCGTGCAAATCACATCAAATTGTGGTATCGGCACCGTACGAATACGTCCTGCTCCTTTATGACAAGTTGTTAAAATTATCCCATTCTGCGCTTTTGAAATTCTTTAATGTGCGCGGACATGCTCTAACTCCTTACCAGGCAGCCGAAAGTTTATGTATGAATGGACGAGCTCTCAACGAGAAGGCCATCGAAGTCTCCCCATCCTCTAGCCGTGTTCTTGACCGAGCTGCAGAAATTCTTACTCCTTTCCCACCCAGCAAGAACCGCCCCCGTCCTGGAGATTGGACTTGCCCATCCTGTGGCTTCTCCAACTTCCAGCGCCGAACCGCCTGTTTCCGATGTTCGTTCCCAGCTATGAGTGCCGGTCCAAGTGGTGATGCTATGGGAGGTTATGGCGGTGGTGGCTACGGGTACGGCCCTCCAGCAATGATGCCCCCACCACAACACATGGGACATCACGGTGGGATGGGAGGTGGCCACGGTGGCGGCAGAATGGGAGGTGGCGGTGGTGTTGTGCCTTTCCGAGCAGGCGATTGGAAATGTGGATCCGAGGGTTGCGGATATCACAATTTTGCAAAGAACGTTAGCTGTCTCCGATGTGGCGCCAGCCGTGCAGGTGCGGCTGTTGTGGCTGATTCTGGTTATCCTTCTCCAATGGATCCGCCATCGAACTATGGAATGGGTCCAGGCTCAATGGCTGGTACCCCAGGACCAGGACCATTTGCTTCTGCTGCTGGTGGTTTCGGCTCCAGCGGTGGATATGGTGGCCAGCACTTCGGTGGTCCCCAAAGCACATATGCTCTACCATCAGGCCTAGGTGCCTCAACCGGTCCATACCCTGGATCTCTCAACACCCACTTCAGCCAGGGCGGTGGATCTCACTCTGCTGGGCCATTTGATAGCCGTGCTGCTGAAGCCGCGTTCCAATCGGCCAGCAACGGACCCGCTTCTGCTGGACCCTCCAACTTCTATGCCAACCAGGGAGAAAGCGATCCATTTGCATTCCTCTCCTCTGGTATCAACAACTTATCAATGAGTAGCGGTGATGCTCGTCAGAACGGTAGCTCGGCTCAGCTTGCTCCCAGCAAGTCTCCCGCTTAGGTGGCATCGCCAAAGTGTTTTTGCACCATCGATTTTCCCTTTGCTACACAATTCGATTATACATAGGTCCGCGGGACATTCTCTTTCCACTTCACTTGTATGACTGTTTTTTCAGGACGGCTTTCGGGGTTGAAATGAAATCATAGACATATCCATGTCGTTCGGAGATATCTAGGCTATCTATTCGGCAACGGTTCTCGGCAGTCAACGAAGGGAATATTTGCTTGGTGCTCGCAGACAGGCGCGGCACGGTTGCTAGGCGGTCAGGTTGGTTTGGATGGCGTGGGCGTGGGGGCCGGGCATAAAGAAAAGGGGCAAGGCAAAATTCACTGAAAACTTTCTCGCACAGCAACATTCTCTGCTTTGTATGTTCTATTTCGATTTCGACATTTTTGAGGAACGCGCGCGTGGTGAACGGAACGGGACGGATTCGGAACTGGATGGACGGACGGACATACGGACGATTGACTACAACATTACAAAATTTTGAAATTCACAGCTGCTTCGATTGTATGGAGGGCGAGGCGGAGTTCTTTAATGCGGATGGATGCAAAGCAAAATGGCACGGTTTTATCGGCTTGGTCTGGTTAGGCTACGTACGTACTATACAATACATGGGCAGGCGAGGCGATCGGATCGGTTTCAACGTTGGGCTCATTGGACTGATTCAAGCAAATGGGAGGGGCGGGCATTGCGTGCATGCGTTCCGTTCTGTTCGATCAATGGCAAGAGAGCTGATATATTTGAATTTTCACCTTTGAACATACACAACGCTTTCACTCACTCAACCTACTACCTACATATGTGTGATACGGTACGACTCGAACTCCTCCAGATACGAAAAGAAGATATGCAAGTTGTCGTTGTCGTTGTTGTCGTTGCTTGCGTCTTTGCGTTGGTGCTGGCTTTGGCTTTGGATGATTGGGTGCATAGCGTGGGAGCGTCTGGGGGGGCATGGGATCTGATCTGGTACACACTTTGGGGTCTCCTGGCAGTTCTTTGCGTTCCGTCCGTCCAGTTTCGAGCTCGACTTCGTTCCACTGTGGTATCGGCCTTTTTATTGAAGAGCAGGATGCTGTTGAGGGATGCATGTTCGGATGCTGCTTGCTCTTTTTCCTCGCATTTGTAATATTTGTTTCAATGTTGTTGTTTTTATCACGCCTGTTTTTCAAGTGGTTTTCCTATATTCTCCTTGTCTAATAATTCTCAGTTTCTTTTACAAATTGCCAAGATGGATGACTGTGTGTTTGCGTGTCTGAGTCTCTATGTGTGGATAAGACAGGATAAGATACGATTGGATTTGATACTTTTGGATGGGTTGTAGGTTTATGGGGGTCGGTGGGGTGTGGAGTTGGCTGCTTGGGAGATGGTGTGGGTGTTGGTAGGTGCTGGATGGATAGATAGATGGGCAGCTGGGGTGGATGCTAAGATAGAATGGAAATGGATGGAGGCATAGCGTGGGAAGGATATAAAAGTATTCATACATGATGATGCGATGACTGATGGGAGCTGGAGGAGGGTAAGGCGGAGAGGTGCATCGGAGGGTGTTGGTCTCGTTTTGTGGGTTTTGCAGGCTGTGATGTTCGATGTAGTCAAAATTCAGATATTTCCTCTTCATTCGCTTTGGAACATTCCCAGTAATTGATTGTTGACTCTTGTGACTGGAAAAACTGGAGCGGATCGGATGGAAAATACGCGAGATGAATGCTGGTGTTTAAAATCTTGAAATTATCATAGCAGCATGTATAAACGAAGCCTTCGATCGGAGTACAACGATCACACCAACAGCTCTCTATTGATGTTGAAATTTTTAAGTCCCTCATCCTCACCAGAATCTAGTATTGCAGTAAAATACGGGGATTAAATCCTTGGCACCCATGCGAGATGATCCCAAGCATTTCAACAAGAAGCTCGGAAAGAGCTATCTACATGAATACGCTATCAGCAACCATGTCAGGCAGACAAGCGGGATGGATTCTAATCACACTTCCGCCCACATTTCAAGGCCAAGGGGATCTCGAATTCTGCCTGTTCCATCGACCCATCTTTGTGGTCATGCCTGCTTGCTGTGCCTCTCAGACCCACCTGTTAACTTGTCTCTGCTTAGTCACCAGAGGTTTGACATCTCACTTTCGAGACTGAGCATTCCAAACTGATCACAATCTATTCTGGTGTGCTCATTCCATTCATAAATTCAATCTTCATTCTGTTGTCCTGTCTAGCCTTGTCCAGCTCCTTTCGACGGAAGGTACCTGGAGAAAGAGCAAAAGGGGAGAAGGTACAACACTATGGCGGATTTCGGTAGCCTCAAATTCGTGGAGCTTAAGGCAGAACTTAAGAAACGAGGACTGCCGGTTCATGGATTGAGAAAAGAGCTTGTGGAGAGGCTTGCTGCCGATGCTTCTCGAGATGCGAGTGGAGAGGGAAAGGATCACAATGCTTGTGGAGACGAACATACTCAAGACGACGACTCTGAGATTGAGAATGAAGAGGTACTTGAGTCTCCGAATCAAGCTCGAGAGGAGAACAGAAGGCAAAATTTGCGATCCGACTTGGTGGTGATGTCTGAAACTAACACCGCATCGAAGGACACTCAAAGCGATTTACTTCTCATGTCTCTTGCACCGGAAATCTTCTCTGAGATCCTGTCACACATTCCCTCACCATCCGACCTTGCCAGCCTGTGTCTTGTATCCCCGAAACTTTACACATGTGTCGTGCCGCTTTTGTACCGCAAGTTCACGTATCATGGTGTCGAGCATGATTCGAAGATTTTGAAGCGGTTCTGGTTGACGATGTTGTGGAGAAACGATTTGGCAGCTCGTGTTGAGGAGTTGGATATTGGGGAGTGGGGTAAGTGCCCGAGGTTGGAGGATCATGTTGGGGATCCGAATGGTGGTTGGGAGGAAGAGGAAAGCAGTGAGGAGGATAGTGGAGAGGAAGAGGAGGACGTTGGGGTTGAGGTTGAGGATGATGAAGGCGATGGGCAGGGTGATGACGAGCCCTGGGATTCTCAGGAAGAGTCTATTGCTACGATTGAAGAAGGTGGTACTGATGACGAGGGGATCTCAAACCCAGGAGACCAAAATGATCACAACAACGAAGAAGATGATCCGTCAATCGCCTTTGAAAAGCTGAAGGAGAAATATAGAAAGAAGAAGGAAAAAGCTGAACGTAAAGCACTGATGGCACAACCCATGCCAGCCTACTTCAAAATCTCAAAGTCCGATAACGAAGATTCAGATTTTGAGCCATCAGAGTCAGGATCTGATTCAGACAGTCTTGCATCGAGCCCAGATTCCGAAATCGAGGTTGAGGAAGACGGTTACCTTGGCCCGGAAGACAAGAATTCACGCTACAAAGATGTCTACGAGGCTTTGAAAAAGGAGGCTTCCATGCTCGGCTTTTCGTTCACTGATTTTCTTGCTGACTACTATAAGGCGGCGTGGGATCCTGATGGAGAGCTTGATGAAGAGGAATTGCTTTGCAAGATGCTTCCGCTGCTGAAGAATGTCAAGACGATGTATATGATGCCGATTGAGGTGGGCTATGATGGCACCCCATTGGGAAAGATGGTTGCGAAAAGCTTGCGAGAGGAAAGGCCTGTCTTGGAGAAGTTGGAGAAGTTGTTTATGTGTAGCTCGCTACGTAAGTTCCTGAGATTTTATGTCCAAGATGAATCCTGAGGAGAGCTGGAAGACTAATGATAACACAGACATCGGAACTAAAGGGCATCGAGAATATGAGATGGAGCTCAACCAATTTCTCCCGTATCTACTCCTCCCCAGCCTCCATACCCTCTCCCTCCTCACACCCATGACACCTTTCAACTGCGGCAACGATCCAGATCCAGATCTCTCACCCTACACCAACAAGTCCAACATTACATCCCTCACTCTTGACGAGAGCGAGCTAGAGCCCCGCGACACATTTGCACTTCTCGCCGCGGCGAAAGCCCTCACCTACTTCCGCTGGTCGCAGGACTCGCACTGTGCGACGAGCTGGTCAGGCTGCCACGCCCCCTTCCACAAAAACATCGTCAACGCATTAGCAAAACACAAAGCCAGTCTGAGAGAACTCGACCTCGATCTTAGACACACATACTGCAATACACGCGGGCATGCCGCGAATCCAGCAACCACCAATGAAGGTCTCCGCAAGATGTATGGCCTGCAAACTGGTTTGAGAGCAGTGGAGCGAGATAGTCTGCTCATTGGCTCGCTGAGAGATTTCAGTGTGCTTAAGACCCTGTCGATTGATGTGGCTGCTTTGTGCGGACACCAGAGTTGGGTAGAGTCGCCCACGTCGATGGTGGAACTTCTTCCTCCAGATTTGCACACGCTTACTCTCCGCGTCAAAGTCAAGCCAGGTCGTGAGGTTGCAACGGAGTTCGATAACAGGTTGTGGATGAAACAGGTGTTTGATCTACTGGAGAGGAAGGATAAATTCGTGTATGGATTGAGGGTGTTGAAAATTAGGGTGAGTAGGAAGGTGGATCGCTGGGATGGGAAGAAGTGGTGGATGGAGAATGAAGAGGGGGAGAAGGGATTATGGAGGGAGTTGGAGAGCCGGTGTGAGAGTGTGGGGATTGAGTTTGATGTTCAGAATGAGGAGTGGGGGACGAAGATACCGTATTTCGTTGAGAAGAGTGCGGCTCGGAATCCAGGGAGAGACTGGTAGATTTTGTCTCTAGCAGTATTTCATTACCAAAACGATCTGACAAGCTCCGGGTATTGTCATGGAAGCTACCATAGTAGGTACAGGATTTCCATTCCGGCGACGGAGGGCAAAATTGGGCACTATTGAAGATCAGAATTAATAATAACAACTCAGTTCATGATCACATGTTCATACGCGTAACGATCGTCGCCTACCCATTGAACTTTTTGTTTCGAAGTGACTATTTTTCTGCGTTTGACCAAGACAGAAGCCTCCAGTAGCTAGTAGACGTTATTTTGGTGCGTGCAATGTTATGTATTACGATAATCTGCGTACCACTACTGGTTCGAGTGAAGAGCTTGGAAAGGTTGTTCTGGGAATGAGTTCTCAGTAGTCGCAATGAGCTGGTGATGGGCCTGGTTTCTGGATCGCTGCTATCAGGCATGATGGACATGTTCATCGATTTTCGGTTTAGACTTTTTGTACTCAATGGACCACGACATGGTGAAATACAGCTGAGCTCTTCATTCGCAGATAATTTGCTGATTCAAAGGATGAGTTAGTTTCGAATGACTACTTTCAGTCATTGTGGCTCATTAGTCTCCTGGCGATCCGACCTGTTGTGTCGTATATTCAGTGAATACAAGACAGACCAGAAAGTGGTCTTTCGGAGCTCTGGCGCGCCCAAGTAACTGTTGTGGGCTGAAACGAGGACGGGGAAAAATGGGGCAGCAACAGGTCCCCCACTTATTTTGAAGTAAGCGAGAAAAGCAAAGTCCATCCCGACACCAGCTGCCATAATACCAATACAGTCACGACGGTCATCCACGTCACAAATATTGAAAGCATTCATAGGCTGAGAATTTGCATTCGGCACTTAATCTACGTGCCTATCATCTGTATAATCTGGAATACAGAAAATCAGCCATCCTTCTTACGCTACGCACCTTACGCGAATACATCTCGCACGTAATTCACAGGGCAAGACGTCAGATTTGTGCAACTAACGAACAATACATCGGCTTTCGTCACCGTGCTACAAAAAGGCTTAAGTGATCTGATAGTGTAATCAAGTCATTCTGCCTGCTTATTAGCCATGCCACGCAGCAGTCGAAGTTCGTTAATCCAAGTGTCCGTCATCCAGACCATCAGAATGAGCGGCAAGAGAAATGAAATTTCACGTCTGCTGCTCCTGTGCAACACCGCCTCGTCCTCTTGGCGCACCGCGGCCTCTTCCTCCACCACCACCACGTCCCCGGCCACCACGTCCTCGTCCGCGGGTGTCTAGGCTGGCTGGTGGTGGAACAGCGTTGAAAGACTGCGGCTGAGGAGCTGCGTTGCCACGCCCTGCTCGGGAACCATTCGGTCCACCTCTGCCTCCTCGGCCGTTCATTTGTTGTGGGTCGCTTCTCAATGACATGTTATTCATCATGGATGCCATGTCATTATCGTTGGAGTAGCCGCCTCGTCCCCTGCCTCCTCGAGGAGCATATCCGTTTCCGCGCTGAAATCCGTTCTGCTGACCAGCTACAGCCCCACGGAACGAGCCTCTCAAAGGTGGAGGTGCCGCGGCTTCGCGAAATTGTCCTCGACCTCCTGGTCCAGCTGGAGCACCATATCCGTTTTGGCCGTAGCCTCCGTTGACAGTCAGTGGTGTGCTGGTTTGAGCTGGGCGCTTTTCATCAGCTGCCTTCGAACCAGCAATGACCTGCTTATTGGTAAGATTGAGAACCGAAGCAATTGGGACGGTAGAGCCACGGAAAGGAGAGCAGCGCTCGCCCAGTGTGGTTCCGCTCATGAAAGTGACATCGAAAACAATATCCAAGAGAATGGTTCGAGGGGTGCGAGATATGCCAACAACAGTGCCACGAGTTGCAATTGGGACACGACCCGAGTCTTGGACATACACAACCCGATCACCTAGTGCGAACTTTTGGTTTCCAAGACGATGTTCCGCATCAGAAGGCTTCATCAGTGCATTGCGAGGGACACCTTTCAACTTCTTGGCCTCGGGAGGTGGACCATTAGCTAGTGCATTGTCAGCGGCCTGCTCAATGGCCATAACTGCATCTGAATCAAGTTGCTCTGCGTCGAGAGGAACCTTCTCAAAGTTCTTCGATTCGATCGACTTGAGCCATGCTGCGATCTCCTTGATCTTCGCTCCAGCAATCTCCTTGGGATAGAAATCCGTTTCCTCGTACTCGTTTCCTTGTGGCTTGCGCTGGATGCCAGCAATAAACTCCGGGAACTTAGTCATATAGGTACTGAGCAGCTCGATCGCCTTGTTGCTGAACTCCCAACCTTTGTCCGAGCGTCGGGAATAACCCAAGACCTTCAATTTCTTCGATTCAAACTTCAAGTTGAGCCCTAGATTCAGTCGAGGTAGCCCAAGAGCGGAAACAGAGAACGAAGAAGTGATCTTGCTCAGTACAAGAGGGTGGAGACCCAGCATCTTAGCCACGGCAAACGAGGGAGTGTATGTGCTCTGTGTGTTCTGAGACTGGACAACGAACTTGCCGAACTCGACCTCTTTGCCCTTAATGACTGATAGCCACACCTCCGCCTTGTTGTCTTTGTGGCCAACTACCTCTAGTGGTCGACCGTAGTTGAATTCTCCGAGGAAGAAATTTCTCGACCCTGGAGGAAATTCTTCTTCAATAGGGATGGCCGCCTGTTCAATAAATCGTGGATCCTCACTGATGACCTCATCAACCACCACCTGAGAAGCAAATTCTGTGTCCATTCCAGGAATAACAGCATACTCCTTGATGGTGGCTCCTTCGTCAGTTTTCTTCAAGCCCTTTAGCATCTCCACGTGCATAATGGACTCGACAGGACCAATTATGATGCCAAGACGCTTGCTATAGGTACTCTCGAGTCTCTCTGCCTTCTTGCGGAAATCATCGATCTCACGCGGTCCGTGTGGATTCTGAATGGGATGAGAAGATCCTTCTTCTGCCGGGAAGTAGTCGAAAAGTTCATCGGAGACTTTGACAACCTTGGCCTCGTTTAAGAATGGGTAGCCAACGAAAACACGCTGTCCGAGTTTCATCGTGGCAGTTGTCACATTTGTTCGAACCTCCGTATTCTCGATGGTAACAACCATGCTTTCGTTGCGACTGTCCTGCTGGAACACATTGACGCCATGAAACCCCAGGGTGGCGTTGTATGGCAGGGTTGCCAGGCTCGGAAAGCCAGCAAGTGCTTCGTCACCAAGCTTCACGCCATCCATCAAACCAACGTGGTACTCCAATCCTTCGATAGTTGGCAGGTCAAAGATGTTCTCAACGCAATGACAATGTGGAATATCCGGAAAGATACCAACAAGCGACGATGGGTAGGTAAAGTCGATATCAGGATCATGACTGAATTTCAGTGTGACTCCGAACTCGTTCCTAAACTTCTCATCGTCACTCAACAGAGCGTTTTTCGGTGCCATCGCATCAAGCAGTCTCTTCTCGTCAATGAAAGGGATCTTGACAACGGCTTCCCATTCCATCTTTTTGCCGTTCATGTCGAGTTCGAAATCTCGAGGATAGAAATCGATGATGGGAGAGGCGGGATTGGTCATCAAATCGTGGTACACTTTGGGTACAATGCTTTTACTTCTGTCCGGGAGAACACCCATGAGTTGCTCATATGGGTGGAATGGTTGCCCAAGCTTGAAATCCACATTGGCCTTCAAGCCTTTGATAACATCTGGTATAGAGTTAGTGAAAGGATGGTTCGCCAGCTATTGTCACTTACCGGAGATCATTGGCGAGTAGTGATACTGATAGTACCATGGCCAGGAGACAACTCCTCTGTAGTAATAGTGAAGAACCCACTGAAGACCTTGCACATAGTTTTCGCAAAGCTTGGTCAACTCGGTCTCGTTCTTTCGGTCCCATTCGAACTTTCCCTTGTAGTATTTATCCTTCCATTCCTGGAATTTGGCCTCATACTGCTTGTCCATCTCTGCTTGGGCTTCTGCTTTGGAGACATCAACCACCTTCGCATTGTCATACTGCTTCACAACACGCAAAATGGCAAGCTGAGATTCCTCGTCCTCATCTTCGCTCTCTTCATCGGCTTCAAGCTTTGGTGGGAAAGAGAGCTGCATGTGACGATCACCTTGTTCGTTCTCCACCGTCTTCCACTCCAGATGGAGACTCTCAGCGAGATCCTGAACAAACTTCCGGTCCGCTGCCGGTAGAGTGCTTGGAAGATCCAATGGCTCGTCAGAGCGACGCGTAACATACTTCTTGACGTCTTTCCAAACCTCTCGCTGAGGTGAGGTCATAGTGACTTTGCCCTTGGTCTTTCCTTTGACCATAACATCTTCCTTGGCCATCTGTTTACCTCGAAACCAGCTCTTATCCGAGTTTTCGGACTCGAAGAAACGATATTCAACGTGGGAAAGTTCCTCTAGTAACATTGCCAGACGTTGCATATTGATGACACCGCCCTCGTTTATGAATCCGCCCGCCTTGGGCAAAACCGTTTTGTAGATCTTAAACATCAACGCCAGTGCTCCTTCATTGATATGCAAGTTTGGCAGATTAGGCAAGAAATCGTTGCCAACAAAGAACGCCATGAGAATGAAATCGTCGATAACTCGTTCTAGGTCGAATGGGGAAGAAAGAACGCCAGGCTCCTTCAACTCCTGAAATTCCAGTTCCAGATATTCTCGTACAATGCAGAGATGCATCAGATAGAAGTTTTGATGCTCCAGCTCCTTAGACTTTGCTTTGCTCTGTCTTCCAAACGTAACTTCTTCACGTAACAAGCAGAAATGTGGATCGTGGCTCAATAGACCCAACATGATCAGATCGGCATCGAGTCCATACAGACAATGTCTAATGTTCGCATCATAATCGGGCTGTGCCTTAGCCAGGCGAATGTACTCCATGATTTTGTGTTCTCCCTCGCCAGGAACTTCGTGGCCAGATAAAACGATTTCCACTCCCTGCCAATCCTTGTCCTCGGAAACTTTCTTGTTGATGAAATATTTCAACTGCTGAGTGAGCTTGTGCATGAATTCCGTACCTGAGTATGTCAGTGTCGGCCAGCAGAGCGCAATGCTTGTGTGACTTACCTGGAGTAATCGCATTACTATCGAATGCCTCCTCCTTTGGCATCTCCTTCCCTTCCTTGATCGCCTTGTCTCTGGCAGTTTCGGCATCCAGCGCAGTTCGGAATCTTCGAGCTCGCTGCTGGTTCATCTTTGCTCTCGGCGCAACTCCATCAATGGCCATAAAAAACAGCTGCTTTGGCTTGATCTTGCCAAACAGATGCTCAATGTAATTGAAAATAGCAATGAACATCTGCTCCTCCGTCATTCGGAACATGGCATCGTCGGAGTCCTTGTGCGTACAATTGTGAATGATACCGTTCATGTCCAGGTACAAGCAGTCAAACTCCGGAATGCGATTCTCTGCAATCAGTTGCGAGATTGCGGGGTATCGCTCGCTCATCCATCTGAAGAACTTGGGAACGCCCATGGTGATCGACTGTTGCGCAGTGCGCGGTGTGTTGTATTGTGTTTGGTAGTGGTGTTGATGAGTCGAATAACTCTGTAATGACGGCGAGAGTAGCTTCCTGTTACCGGCAGCTGCGTCTATTCACCTTTGAGTGCGCTTTCAATTACGCAACTTCTGGAACAGCCAAGAGATAGAGGAACCGTCTCTCGAGCCCCTTTCGTGGCCTAGGTGACCTTTGTAGTGGGGTGTTGTGATTGATTTGGGGTTTCGCAAAGAGAAAGGAAGAATGGAAGAGTCGAGAGTCGAAGTCAAGTCATAGCCTCAGCCTTGAATGCACAGGCCACAACGCCAAGACTTGGAGAAGAGGCTGCACGGCTCTGGCACCAACTCGAAGTCGCGTCTCTACCACGCGATTCAATTTCAGAGGACCGTCTGTCTTTGCGCAACCTCACTTCTCCTCTCCCCTCCCAACCACAACTTCTCCAGTGACTTCGCAAATATGGCGCAAGACCCAGTAGACGTTGATATGGATCTGGATTCCAAAGGTTTGTTCACTTTCCGTCCACCGAAACGTATCATTCATTAATATCATCTTAGTCCCCGGTGTCGATCCAGAGGACGCCGATACCGAACAGAAAATCATCAACGAAGGTACAATTATCATGCTTACTGAGTTGGAAACATCAAGCTTATGGGACCGCAGAGTACAAGACTTGGAAGAAGAACAGTCCTTTCCTCTATGACATGATACTGAGGTGAGTTGGGACATATTTCTGCTACACCTTACTGACAATTAAAGTACTGCGCTGGAATGGCCAACCTTGACCACTCAATGGTTTCCTGATAAGAAGGAGTAAGTCATAACCCCTCACACTTCTTCAGTATTGACATTCTGTCAGGCCCGCGGGCAAAAACTATACCATCCACCGCCTGTTGATTGGCACACACACATCGAACGGCGCGCAGAACTACCTCCAAATTGCAAATGTCGAGATTCCGAAGAATATTACTCCAAATCCTCACGACTATGATGAGCAGAGAGGTGAAATTGGTGGCTATGGAAACTCCTCAAATGGAGAACAAGCTGCAATCAAGATGAACATTGAGCAGAAGATCGATCACCCAGGAGAGGTCAACAAGGCGAGATACCAACCACAAAATCCAAATATCATTGCCACCATGGCTCCTGGTGGGAGAGTCTTGATTTTTGACCGTACAAAGCATAGCAGTATTCCCAAGGGAGTTGTATCCCCTCAAGCGGAACTCATCGGCCACAAGAGCGAAGGTTTTGGGCTGTGCTGGAATCCACATGAGGCTGGAAAGCTTGCAACTGGTAGTGAGGACAAAACGGTTCGGTTATGGTAAGTGCCGAGTACATAAACTTTTTATTGGTTTTCCTAACTTTGACAGGGACTTAAAAACAATGAGCGGAAAGGACAACCACGTCAAGGCCGCTCGCATTTATACACACCACAAGGCCGTTGTAAATGACGTTCAATATCACCCGCTCCACAAGTCTCTCATTGGAACCGTCTCAGACGATTGCACTCTTCAAATTCTCGATGTGCGTCAGGGTGACCTCAAAGAGGCATCCGTCACCTGCGATGCTCATTCCGATGCTGTCAATGCTTTGGCATTCAACCACGCTTCCGAGTACGTTCTCGCTACTGCATCCGCTGATAAAACTATTGGTATCTGGGATTTGAGGAATCTCAAAGATAAGCTTCATTCCCTTGAGGGCCACGGAGACGCTGTTACTTCTCTGGCTTGGCATCCACACGAGGAGTCGATTCTTGGAAGTGGTGGATATGATCGCCGTGTCATCTTCTGGGATCTTAGCCGAGTTGGTGAGGAGCAATTGCCAGATGACCAAGAAGACGGACCTCCTGAGCTGTAAGTGACTCTTGTAGCCCTTTCTCGTTTCAGTCCCCAACTAACTGTTCATAGCCTGTTCATGCACGGCGGCCACACAAACCATCTCTCTGATTTCAGCTGGAATGTCAACGAGCCATGGGTCGTCTGCAGTGCCGCCGAGGATAACCTTATCCAGATCTGGAAGGTAGCCGAAGCCATTGTAGGTAAGGATCTGGATGACATTCCTGTCGACGAGCTTGAGCGGTGAGAGACACGCGGGAAGGTGAGTGTAAGATGGATACCCGAGCGATACAGAGAGAGTTGATAAAAATCCTGGCTTGACGGAGGAACAGGAGTTACAGCCATAGTCGGGTGCAGCTAGGAGGGATGGCATGGCGTTCATGGAGTGATAATGAATGATATTGTCTAGACTTTGGTCCGTGAAATTACTTGGGCACTCAAAACGTCAGCCAAAGACAGCTTGGGCTCTGCCCTAGTATTGTAGCATCTTAAAGAACTGTATTCTGAATTTAGCACGCCGCACGTCCGCGTCCAAGATCTGTCTTACCTTCCTGTGTTATGTTGACCTGCACGACTGACATGGAGAGAGGCCGAAAGGGGTATTGGTTGCCAGGTATCTTTTTAAGCGAACTTGACCGGCAAATTCAATGTTTACTCATGCCTGGCCGTGCTATCTTCAAGTCACAGCACGCTTCGCACTCACCTTCAATGTAAGGCGATCCCTTCGTTCAATTTTCTCGATACGCTGCGCAGCAGCAGCAACAACAACTAGAACACCGATTCTCCTCCCAATATCATCTTACCTTACGAGCCCCAACCAAGTGCAATCACCGCACACCAGCATCAAAATGGAAGAACAGAAAGGCAATGGAAAGTCCACAGCCAGCGATTCCGACAACAAGAACGTCTCTCGAGATTACGTCCCTCCCCCTTGGGCACCTGAAATCGACGAATTTATCACCTACCAATTTCATCGCGCGTTTGTGACAGGCAAGACAGCCCCTGCAGTAGAGGCGGCACTCAGAGCAGCGGAAGATGCGCGCTTCAGGATCACCACCAAAGCTATTGCTCGGACCGGTATCGAGCCTGCTGTTGAGGTTCTGACCCAAAGCCTCGATATAAAGAGCAACAGGAAAGGAGAGGGACAAGATGATGACAAGCTCGAGGGAGAGGAGTATCCCAAACGAAAAGAGAGGGATTTCTTTTCGCGCATTAGCAATAGCCCGGAACTTGTTATCGAACTAGTAAAGCACATAGATCCGAAGACACTGGTATCACTATACTCGATCCACAAGAATGTCAACGATATCATGAACGGCCACCTCACACACACCATGCGTATGTGCGCCGAAACGCAAGCCCCAGAATCAGCGCGCATCTTCGCTTTCACGCTCTACGAATCTCTTTGTTGCCATGATCCCGTCAAGCGTCCTCATCCCTCCAGACCCAACGCTGTCCGCATGGTCCCCAGTCTCCGCTGGTTGCAGATGGTTGTCCATCGCGAGAAGACAGTGCGTGATATCCTAGCCTGCATGGCAAGACAGGGCCACCGCATGCCGCCGGAGATGAATCTTGCGCTCAAGAAGATGTGGCTGGTGATGGATATTGCGACGAGTGCGAGACGCGCGCAGGTCATGCACAGTCGTTATTTCACTGCTCTGGATATCTTCAATATTCAGATGTTTGTCGTGAAGTTGGATATGCGATTCAATGATCCTATTGAGGGACCAGGCGAAGACGATCTCCGCAGACTGATGCTAGGACAGAGAGGACTGACACCATTGTGTAAGATGTTGAAACGTACGGCCTTCACTGATATTGGGCAGATTATTAGAGCGGTCGTACGCTATGACTGGGAGCCCAAGCCTGAGCATCGCCATTATTCCATATTTGGAATTCCACCAGAAGAGATCGGAATTGGGCATCTTGAAGGCTGGGGAAAGGGCCGGGTTCACTTGTACCGACCTGATGAGCTTGTCGTTCGTGAAGCAGTCCGCAGACATCTGGATCTAAAGAACCATATCATGGGAATGATGCTCTGGGGATACGTCGATCCACTCACAGGACAAGACACGCCTGCTACCGAGGATGAGATGTACATGTCTGACGATGGGAGTGCCGAGAGACCAAAACATCCCCTGGCGCAGGACTACGAGTGGTTGGAGATCGAGCCGAAGGTGTATGAGGAGACGGAGGAATTGAAGGAATCGAATGACTGGAAATATAAACAGAAGAAGAAAGAGGAGGCGCAGAAAAGAGCTGAAGAGGAGGCTGCGGCGAAAGCGGAGGAAGCAGAAAGGGTTGCTGAGGTCATGCGAAGGGTTGAGGAAGCAAGCAGGGCCAACGAGGCATAGAATGAGGAGATGCAGTCGAGTAGAGATTTGAGTAAGGGGATTCGAGAAGGTATCACAAGGAGCCTGAGGAGGGAATCTTGGTATACGCAGACAGATTTGGTGCTATCGGTTATACAATAACACTCCCAAGCTTTCAGCAATGGAGAGAAGCGTTGGTCGGTGTGGTACGAGGATACATTTCCCCTCAAGCGAGTACACCCATGCACAGTAGACTTTTCTGGAACAACTTATTAGCAGCTTTTGCGCAAAGACGTGATTATTAGATGAGAGATTGCTAAAAGTCAGCGGCAAAACTTCCAGAAAAGTCTCCGACAGGGCGGAATGCTCGTTTATGGTTTCCTATCTGTCCGACCTTTGGTCACTGACTCCTTTGAATACAAACAAATCAATCAGAAACACCGGTTTGATGAATAAAGCATTTGAAGTCTCTTCTTCCGGTAGAAATCGAAAGGAAACTGATCACCCAGTCATATTACAAGATATAAGTCGTAGTATCAGCGTTGCAATTAGAAGCAGGCTCTGTGACCTGCATGGACTTCGCAGAGGATGATGTTGATGCTGAAATTAGAATGGCAGAAAGACGCGAGACTGCTGTTTCGAGTAGCGGTGAGCTAGTGGGACACTAACGGTCACCAGCTGGGACCAGACTGTCGTGATGGTCTCTCCACTTGAAGCATCCAACAGCGACCATGGAAGGGGAATCATCACATTCTTTACAACACAGAGCGTACTTGTCGTGGAGCTTCTTCCATATCTAACAAGCACTGCAGGATGGTATCTTGCAAGAACGCCGAAAGCCAACAAGGAAAGTGGTCTCGGAGGCAGATCCGCAACGGACAACCACCGCTCTTTCACACCCTTCACTCCAGCCTCCCAAAGTCAAGCAAAATGCGCACGGCACTTACGACGGGCACTCTTCGGCCACGATACTTCAGACAAAGCTGGTAGATAATGGGTGTGCAGCAGCATCTTATGGTATCGCGGAGGACTTTCGCGCTTCGGCAGCCCATGATCATCCATTGTCAGCGGTACTCCCGAACTAAGTTCAAGCTGATATCAGCTTGCGGCAGCCTTTGGGAGTTATAAGCCCTCGATTATCGCACTCTTCATGATTTAATTTCGAACAGTATTTTAGGATCACACGATAGCAGCGTCGCCACTTTCCCACCGACACCACCGTCCGCCCAACGTTGATGAGGCTTTTGGCCATGTAGTATCAAGAGGCGCAAGGCCTGGCGGAGGATCACCGGCTTCGCACCCTCTTGTGTCCTTTTCCTTCTTACTACAGGTGTTCTACGTCATATATATGAACATTTTGTCGTGCTGAAATGTCAATCTTCTGGCGCACTCGCGATCTGACAACCTGTCACCTTATGGTGGTAACAGGTCCCCATAACGGTCAGGAGAGATGAGACTGCTGGACTTCGACCCTCAGCCATACCAACTCTAGCTTCATGGTTTGGCATTATCGGAACGTCAGGCTTCCCTCAGATGCGGGCCGAAGGCATACTGATAAGGGCTTGCCAAAATCAAGCATATCCAGTCTGACGTTTCTTATCTGGGAAAGCCGTGTGTCATTGGACTCCCATCGCTGAGGAGCATTTTAAATACCTACTGACGGTCGAATTTCCTGCTGCCGACCACGCGGTATCTTCGAAGGCATGTCGCCGCAACAACTTTCGTTGCCTTGACCCCCAACGACGATCTCTTACAGCCCGGAACAAGAATCACAAGGATGCCTCTACAATCCAGCTGAGGCCATGATCATGTCCAATTCCGTACTTGTATGCGCTGGCAGACAAGTCGCTCTGTACTGCACACAGGTGCGGACATTATGTCACCCCAATCCTGACCAGGGATGCATTCATTCACTCGAGCAATGCGCGAGCTATGGACTCATTCACGGCCCGGAGGACTAGGAGGAGAGCTTTTTGCAATTGCTTGGCTTTGAGGATGGGTTTCTTTCGCTTTTGCGTATCGTAGATAACTTATTTCGTGAGACTTTGTAATGAATTTGATGAGGAGGAGCGAGGCAGAGGTCGCGCTAAAAAGGATGCGATGCGACTCTGGCAGCTGCAGGGGGGAAGCTCACAGTATCTCGACGAGCTGAGAAAAGGATATTACTACACGGTAGGTGGACCTTCTACCGTAAGAGCATCTCCTCGCACTCACAGTACGCCCGATCTACTACTGCGGTTTTTGTTTATGTTTTCTCTGTCATTTTCCTACCCCTATCAATCAGGTGCAGCAATCTGTTCGCCTGCCCGCTCGCTCTGGGGCGCCTGGTTCGGCTAAGGGCAAATGCGGTCGTCTCGCCCAAGCATCACCGAAAGGCTTCCTCACCAAACTCGAACCCATCATCCCCAAATCCCCACGACAGACAGACCCGCCAGTCCAGGCAGGTATGTCGACATGATTGATACCTGGAGCCACGGCGACGATCGCAGAGACCGAGGACGAGTTGATCGAGGAGTCAGAAGATCGCCATCGCCATCGCGCGACCGCAAATTCAACCACGACCGACGACGTTCGCCTCGTCGGGAGTCGAGGGAATCCAAAGACCGCACACCAGCCAAATCAAGATCTATTACTCAGAGCAGTAGAACTCGCGATCGGAGCCTCGAGCATAGGAGACGAGCGTCACGATCGCCCATTCGAGACTCCAGGAACGAGGTGCGTGAACGCAATCGAGGACGAGAGCTGCTGGACACAAGAGGATCCGAGAAGCCAAAACGAAGCATCACACACCATTCACCTTCGTCAGTAAAGCGGCGCAAGAGTCGAAGCCCTTCTCCTCGAGGACACAAGAAGTCGAGACGAGAGGGATCACGTAGCCCGTCGAGATCAGAACATAGGTCTGGCCCGCCCTCAAAGGCCGACAAGAAACGTCGACCACTATCACCCATACCACATCGACGAGACTCTCCTGATCGGAGACAGTCCGATATCCGTAGCGAGGGCAAGCAGAGGAGTCGAGAACCTGGAGCTTTTGATAGACGTGGTCGGTCTCCTAGCCCACGACGCGACAGACGCGAGCCATTTCTAAAATCCAATAACATAAGACGTGAGAGATCTCCCGCAAGACAATCACAAAAGCAACGTGATAGATCACCATTCCATAAGAATAAGGAAGATTGGCCAAAGGATACAAAGCGAGATCGCTCTCCACTCGAGAAGCCACGAGGTAAGGATCCAAAAAGGGAGCATTCACCAGTTGCTGGCCGAAGGTCGCCTAGTTTTGACCGCTTCGGACCACCAAATCGATCTCGTCAACCATCCCCGCGTGGCCCTAAGTTCGCAAAAGACCAGCGAGGTGGCAAATCACCTGGAGGGGATCGAGGTGGCAGACGAGATTCGAGAGACGACTTTCCAAGGGACGACTTTCGGCCGGGCAAAGGCAAGGCAAAATCGGGCAAACCGGTGTTGCCAACTGCATCAGGTGCAAACAGCATCGAAGTCAAGGTTAGCAGAGCTTCTGCATCGACATCCTCTACTGCCGCTTCGGGTGCGAACAGCATTGAAGTCAAGTCAGATAAGATGAATGGCCGAGGAAACTTTTATGGTCATGGCTACAATGCCAATCCTATGCAGGCTGCTTTTCCTCTTAAGCCACAATACCAACAAGGACCACCCATTGATCCTCGCCAATATTCACAGTCGCCACAGCATCAGATGACCCCTAACTCACATTACAGCGGATCACCACAAGCTCAGTCTCCTTACTCTGCCGGAAGGGGCAATTATGGCCACCAACAGTTTTCCCCTCAACCGTAAGTCTGAACAACCTTTAATTGATGCACTAGCTGACAAGCTTCAGTCAATATCCCCAGACCTATCAGCAGCCACAGCAACCGAATTATCCCACTGGTCCTCAAAACCAGAACCACTTTTACAATCAAGCCCAGTCTCCTCCCTATCAAGCTCCTTCGGGGCCTATGAATGCACAATATAACCAGGGCAGTTTCCGAGGTAACCAACGAGGATTTCGAGGAAATCACTACAACCAGAGGGGTGGCCGTGGCGATCATCGGGGTGGTCGAGGAGGTCATTTCCAGAATCAACAGTGGAATTCTCAAACCGGTGCTGGTCGTGGACAACACATCAATAATTCTGGGAATGTTACCCCTCAGCATGTTTCTCCCCCACAACAGCTTCAACAAAATACTGGATCACAAGCTGGATCTCAAGCAGGGACTCCTCAACACGAGCCAGCACCCGTCGAAGATGATGAGGATTCCGAGGACTTGTTTCGACCTTCCAAAGATCTACAGGTCGAAGATAAGGAAGCCATCAAGAAGAAGGACGAGGAGACAATGCCACCGCCTAGTCGACCTCCTCCTACGGGTCCCCAAAGTCAACAGCAGAACTCTTCAAAGTTCAGCTTCTCACTGGCAGGAAAGTCGAAAAATCTCCCGACCACGCCAAAACTGGAGATATCTCAGAAGTTGAACGCAGGGCCGGCTCGAAATGTCCAGTTCAGTCCAGATCGCCCTCGTGGGCCCAACTCTCGAAATATTCCTACTGAACCTGCTTCGTCCAGACAACAGAACTTCCCAAAGCCAGCAATCCCGACAACTCGAAAGGTCAAAAAGATCATGAAGCGAGTAAAGGAGCGACCTCAACTTACCGACGATTTCAAGAAGTCCGAGTCTGTTTACTACCGAAAGCCCGGGAACGAGTCTGTTGTTGGATCCGGAACATACGGAAAAGTCTTCAAGGCTATACATGTATTCACAAAGGATCTGGTAGCATTGAAAAAGATCCGGATGGAAGGCGAGCGGGATGGATTTCCAGTCACAGCGGTTCGAGAAATCAAGCTTCTGCAATCATTGAAGCATCAAAACATCGTCAACATGCAAGAAGTTATGGTAGAGAAGAACGATTGCTTTATGGTCTTCGAATACCTGTCGCACGACTTGACTGGCTTATTGAATCATCCAACATTCAAGCTTGAAGCAGCACATAAGAAGCATCTGGCAAAGCAGCTTTTTGAGGGCCTCGACTACCTCCATCGACGTGGTGTACTTCACCGAGATATCAAAGCGGCAAATATCCTCGTCAGTAATGATGGGCAATTGAAGATAGCAGATTTTGGTCTCGCAAGGTTCTACGCCAAACGCCGTCAGCTTGACTATACGAATCGGGTCATCACTATCTGGTATCGATCGCCAGAGCTTCTCCTTGGTGAGACTCAGTATGGGCCTGCTGTCGATATTTGGAGTGCGGCATGCGTACTAGTGGAGATTTTTACGAGACATGCCATCTTCCCTGGCGATGGAACAGAAATGAGCCAGCTGGAGAAGCTATATGCTATTCTCGGTACACCAACTAAGTCCATCTGGCCAGGACTCACTGATATGGCGTGGTTCGCCCTTCTTCGCCCTTCAGCTCGCCGACCAAATGTCTTTGCAGAGAAGTACAAGGAACGGGTGACACCTGCTGCCTTCGAACTCCTCGAAGCAATGCTACAATACGACCCCGCCAAACGTCCCTCGGCCTCTGACGTCCTAGAGCATCCTTACTTCACAACTGAGGAGCCTCAGTCGAGACAAGCTACTGAGTATGTTTATTTCTCTCTCTTTCTCTGCTCTTGTAAAGCCGAATGCTGACACGTTCCGTTATAGGCTTGCTCTGCTCGAAGGCGACTGGCACGAATTCGAATCCAAAGCTCTGCGTAAGGAGAACGAACGCAAAGACAAAGAGGCTCGCCGTACGGCGCAGAAAGAAGCCGCTGCCAAGGCTGAGAAGGAGAAGAAGCGTGGATCGGAAACAGCACTACCTGATGAACCGGATGCTAAGAGAGTGCAGACTGCTCCACCGGGAGAAGTTGCTGCTAAGGCTCCGGTCGCCGCGGTTGGGAACTGAGGACTGTTCAAAGAAGTGAGATATAGGTTGATTGTGTAGGAATATTTTGCCACGACAGGCGATTCGTGGCCTGCAGAGACCAGCGAAGTGGGTCGATTGACCCCGCAAGCTTTTTAGGAACCGAACCCTAGGTCTAAGGGAACAATGAGAGGATGAATATGTATATGGTACCACTTCTGTGTCCAGCCGCAGCCTTATACTTCTAGCGAGCCAGTGGCATGGAGTCCATGCGTTCAGAGGCATTGTGACCCGTGAGAGGGTTTTGGCAGTGTATAAGACAGATAAGGGCAGATAAAAGGTCCAAAATGGTCTCTCTTTTATAGCGGAGACGGGAGACCTTGTGGGGGATGAGAAAAGCCGCTCGCTTAGCTTGGCTGCATTTAATGAACATACAAGAGCTCGGAGATCTTCCTCCTAATGTCTGTTCAGTTCTCATTTCTGAACTGTGCTAGTCAGTATCATGTGTTTAGTCATGCGGCTCTGCACGCAATGAGTAGAGCTGCATTTTCATGTTTCTGCATTTCAGGATTGATTATTCGCTCTAATTTAAGCTACCTACCTAGATGGCCATGTCTCTATGCATGCACCTATGCCTCCCATCCATCACTTCGTAATCCTACTCGTACGTTCAAAACATATGAAATCATGAGCCAAGCAAAACACGAACCGACTCCCAACGCCTTGTCCTCGTCATCATGCTCGTCAATAAATCAACTCAGCCGCCTCAAGCGAGAAAGTCAAGAACCACACAAATAGATGTCTGAACCACCCAAAGAGCGAGCGGAATTACCCTCCGAACGAAACATCAGCCGAGAAGAAACCAAAGCAGGATGCAATCAAGCACCACTCCTGTAGATCTGGCTCCCCTGGCCTCGAATCGTAACGGTATCTCTCCTTTGCAGGACCGTAATGGCCCTCTGCAGCGCCTGTTCACTATACCCCTTGCCATCACATAACTCCCTCTTTAAAGTCTGCAAACTCGTGCTCCACCCAATTGGCAGTCTCTTCTTCAGCTCGTCCTCCAACTTGTTCACCTCGTCGTTCAACTCCTTACTACCCTGGCCGCTGCCCATTTTGACAGCGTCCATGGTGGATGCGAGGAACAGCCGGATCGCTTCATCGACATGTTGTTCCGTGGCGATGGGCGAGAGGGAGAGCTTGGCGAGGGATTCGGTGATTCGGATTATGGCTTCGAGTTGGCGGACGGTGATGGGGATGGAGGAGCGGGCATTGGACTCGAGTTCGGCGGCGTGGACTTGTTTGCGAATGGAAACGAAGTGGGAGGAGAGCTTTTCGGCGGCTTCTGGAGAAAGGCGAGGGGCGCAGCGTCTGGAAGGGGAATGTTAGACATGGTTAATTCTTCTTCTTTTGGTATAGTATTGTGATGCAAAGGGAAGGATGGGGAAACTTACGATTTGCAGTAGCTGACATAACGCTTCATCTTGTCAACCGAGATCTCAGCCTCGGCTTGCTCTTCTACACCTCGTCCGCCCATGTTGATACCCATGACGTGTTTGGCGATCTTGATATCTCTTCCACGATCATGGTCGTCCTTGACGATGAAAATCATGTCGAAACGAGAGAGAATGGTGGTTTGGAAATCGATGTTCTCTCCTGGTGTCTTGAGATCATCGTATCGTCCGAAAATAGGATTAGCAGCTGCGAGGACTGATGTTCTGGCATTGAGAATCGTGGTGATGCCTGCTTTGGCGATAGAGATAGTTTGTTGTTCCATGGCTTCGTGGATAGCTACTCTGTCTTCGTCACGCATCTTGTCGAACTCATCGATACAGACTACACCTCCGTCGGCTAAAACCATAGCTCCTCCTTCGAGGTAGAATTCTCTGGTTGTGTGATCGCGTTGAACAGAGGCTGTAAGACCGGCTGCCGAGGAACCTTTTCCGGAAGTGTAGATTGCGATTGGGGCAGCTTTCTCGACGAATTTCAAGAGTTGGGACTTTGCTGTTCCGGGGTCACCAAGGAGGAGGACATTGATGTCTCCACGAAGTTTCATTCCATCTGGCAATATCTTCTTCGAGCCACCGAGAAGAAGACATGCAATAGCTTTCTTGATATCCTGGTTTCCGTAAATCGATGGAGCGATACAGTTTGCAAAGACGGTATAGAGATCAGGTCTTCTACTCATTTCCAAGAACTCTTGCTCTTCTTCCTCCGAGAAGATAGCATTTCCTTTCGCAGTATGGTCGACATCACTGTGGATGCCAACCGCCCGTAGATATGGAGTTCGGATAGCCACTGCAGAAGTTGTGCTAGATCCCTTGGACTGTTTATTCTGGTAGATGGAGAAAATCCCTGTAATCATGCATCTTGATCCTGGAACAACACGATTCGTGAGATATCTATCAGTAGAAATGAGAACATGCCTTGGAAGTTCTCCAACTGGCACCTGGTCTGGCGCTTCTTGCAGCTTGATGATCTGTTGGTCAACAAATTGGGAGTTTTCGTGAACAACAATGTACGGATCCATCGGGCAAGAATCGTCTCCTGGTGCCTTCACTCTGTCGCAATATCTTGGTAGCGAGACTCCAGCGAATCCACCTGCTACAGGAAGGATCTTGGTCTGATGGCAGTTTCGGCATTGGATGTGCAGTGCTGTCGCCTTTGAAGACAAAACTGATGCACCAATGACAATTCCTGGCACGCGAACAAGTCGGGAAATTGTGAGGGCGTCGAGATTTCGGATGGAGATGTCGCCTGCGGAGGAGTGCAGCAGGAGCTGATGTTCTGGGAGTGTGATTTCTTTAGTGGATGGGTAGACGATTCGATGAGTACATTTCTTCAGTGCTGCTTCGAACTGGTTTTTGTCAGTGGTTGACTCGTTAGCTGGGCGAGGACCTTACGAGAGGCATGATCTCGGCTGGTTCTGTGACCAGGCGATGTGCCAACTCTTCATTAAATGAGATCAAGTGCCCAACATCAACATCGCAGTAGTATTGCTTAAGAAGAACATTTTCGCGGATTTGGTCGCTGTCCACAGTTAGTCAATGCGGCGTTAAAAAAGCAGTAGACTGACCGATAGATGAAGACGCTCTCGAGTCTGAACTGCAGGATGAACTGCATCAACTGCGACTGTATTTGCTGGCGCGTATCATCGCCCTCGTCGTCTGGAGGAAGTACAGACAAGCTGTAGACTGATCGGTGGTCCATGGTGTAGTTTTGGAGGCAGAAAAGGGGTTGAGGGGTAGGTCAACACTTCAAACTTTGCGAGGAGGACAAACGTTCGGCAGGATGCTTCAGTGACGACTTGGATTATCGGTGCTATGCGGAAGAGTTGGTGTTCTGTCGTCGTCGTTGAGGAATTCGGGGTGTTGATGTGGATGTTGATGGAGAATTAAGAATAGAATGGAGGGGGAAGACGCCCAATGTACAGCGCGAAAAGAAATGGAGAACGCGTCCCAATGTCGCGACAGCGCGCGTTGCAAAATGGCCTGGCATTGATGGCTTAAAGTGCTTGCAGTAGCGCAGAACCCCTGCCACAGCCCCTGCTCCCCTGCTCCCCTGCTCATCCACAATCCACCGTCGGCCAGTGGAAGGGCTGGCGAGCCGACCCCAAAGGCCAGACCAAGCCCGACTCGGCCAAAGACAAGAGCTTCGGAAGAAGCAGCGAAGCATTCGACGATACCTACTTACAATATAATATGCCCACGATTTCCCTGACGAGCATTTCCTCACTTGCCCCTTCGAAAATGTCTTCTCTGCAATGATACCCAGATAGCGATCCGCCCATTTGTCAACAAGCGCGTTGACATTCCCCAAGCCCCGTGGCCTTTGGACGATTCCCGTACCCGAATTCTGTGCAACGGAAACTACTCACGATAGGTGAGACTCGAAGAACAAACACCGCCGGACTGTTGTGGGGGGTTGGAGGTTGCGAGAACCAATTGAGGCGCAGAAATATCTCATCCGGCGTTGAGCCCAAGTCCCATACACTCTGTCCAACATGGCATCTCCAGCGCCGCGATACTCAATCGACAGTCTTTCGCCCGCATCGCCAACCCCTTCTCGAGGCGAATATCCATTTCCAAGGTCAGTATTAAATGTCGTCTGTGAAGTAAAGGGTGCTGACAGAAAGCAGGCCCGGCGCGAGTGGAAGGTACCAGCCCAGGCGTGGCTCCACGGCCAGTTCAATACATTCTATAGGCGGCGCCTTAGACACAGCATCGCATTGGCACGGATTGAACGAGTCCAGCCAGAATGGTGGGTCTGCCAAATATGGAGGAAATATGGCTGCTGACACTTGCAGCTATCTCAACACTTCTGCAGCCTCCTATTGTTCGAACAGGCTTAATACCACATACATCCGCCCCAGCCTCGAGCGCCCATAAACCACCTACAGCTCGAGATATACCTCCTGTCACTCTTACCAACATCCCCCATGTCGACCCATCCGAATTCAAGCCATATTTGAATCAAGTTGGAGGCCTGTATGAAGCATTGCAACGTGCGAAGGATAACGAAGATGATGGAGGGACGCAGCTGTTTAGAAAAGGTAAACATGATGACTTCTCGGACCTCCTGGATCTGGACCGTAAATCAGCAAGTCGACCAAATGTATCTCGAAAAGCTTCCCTAGCTTCCCTAGCTTCATTTATCGAAACACCGACGATAAAACGGAGGACGAGTGGAGGCCCAGGAAGAAGGGCTGCACATGCGACTACGCCCTTATCAACAATACCAAATGTTTATTTTGAAGAGGATTTCCACTTGGAAAACCCCCGAACATTTGATGTGGTCAGCGAAAGGTCAGAAGTGGTTAAGCCAGCACCGGGATCTCCTGATGAACGGAGGACTTCGAATGGAGTAGCCGTAGGACAACGGAAGGCTTTAGCAACCAATGCTATTCTTCAGGAGAAGCTTTCGTGGTATATGGACACCATCGAAGTTCACCTAATATCTTCGATCTCAACTGCTTCGACGTCTTTTTTTGCAGCGCTGGGCTCGCTGAGAGAACTTCACCATGAAGCCGCCGAATCCGTGGACCGCATCAAAGCTCTACGAAAAGAACTCGCAACTTTAGATGAAGAAATGGCGGTTGGGGGTCTAAATATTGTCAAGAAGAAACGGCGTCGAGAAAATCTGAAGCAGCTGAGTGATGCGGTCCAACAATTGAAACAGATCGTGGAAGGACTTACGAGTTGCGAATCTCTGGTCGATGAAGGCGATGTCGACAAGGCCTTAGATGCTATCGATGGCTTGGAGAAGCTTATTTCCGGAGTGGCTAACAAAAACACCAAGATTCAGCTCAGGGATCTCAGAGGAGCAGTAGCATTAAATGGTGTGAATAGTGACTTGGATCTGCTGCGGTTGCGGATTGGCAAGACATACGAGACAAGATTCTTGAATGCTTTGATTGGGGATCTTCGGCACCATGTGGAGTCTGTCTCAACACCGGACACTTTACAGCGATGGAGCAGTGCCTCTCAGCGATCCAGGGGTGGTCACAATCGTGAGCCATCTGCGTATCCTGCATACTTGGTGATGAGCGACCAGTTCAGAACAGAACTGCTAGGGAATTTGAGTGGATTACATCGTGCTCGGCATACATCTCCTGCCACAACAGCCTACCGGGATGCGGTCCTGCGAGAGCTTAGAAATATCATACGACGGCCCCTGCCGGCTTCGAATGATGACGATGCAGACTCAATGATGTCTGCTTCTACAATGGGAGGTGGGAGGCAGAAGACGCAACAAGAAAAGTCATCAATCCTTGCGCGGAACCTTCGTGCCCTGGAACCGGAAGATGCTGAGGAGCTACTAAAAAAGATATATATAGGCGTGGGTGAAACGTTAAGGAGGCTTGGAACGCAAGTGAAGGTGTTATTGGACGTGACCAGCACTCTTGGAGAACCTGTTTCTGGGATGAGATCTCCACCACGAAGCCCCAATATGGCCGCAAGTGACGGGCGGCTCAGTTCAGCCCCATCGAAGGGAAACTCTGGACGAGAGATCCAAGAAGAGATGCATCAAACACTCGATATGTCGAATCTTCTGGGTCAGGCAGTTGATATCGCACAGGACAAGATTGTGAAAGTTCTCAGAGTACGATCCGAGCAAAGCACCCACCTTTCAGTCGAAAATTTCCTAAGGTACTTCAATCTAAATCTCCTCTTCGCCAATGAGTGTGAGGCAGTATCCGGGCGGAGCGGTACAGCTCTCAAAAATGTCGTCAATGGTCACATCAAAGACTTTGTACAGCAGATTAGCGAATCTGAACGTCAAGCATTGGCTACTGGTATGGAAGCAGATCCTTGGAACGCAAAGGATTTCACCGATGCAGATAACGAAGAGTTAACCCGCATATTGTCTGCTAGTACTGAAGATGCCGAAGCTTGGACTTCAGGAAGCAAAGTATGGCAAGCTCCGCCTACACCGTCACCTCCAAATACCCTGGCGAGCCTTCTTGCAGCACAGGTAAACGGTGATTCTGGAACATCCACACCTTCAGCAACGCCGTCAAAATCTACTACTCGTTCCGCCCACATAGAAAGCGAATCTTTCATCCTACCTGTGTCTGCAATACTTTGCTTGCACGGACTCTCTTCATTCCTGCATCTCAACACAGGCATCCCATCAATAACATCCGAGATCGCTACATCCATGATATCATACCTAAGTCTCTTCAATTCTCGCTGTACGCAACTCATTCTTGGAGCTGGTGCCACTCGTTCTGCTGGACTGAGAAATATTACAACTAAACATCTGGCTCTCGCCGCTCAAGCCCTATCCTTCATCAGCAGTCTCATCCCCCACGTACGTGAATTCGTCCGCCGACATGCAGGTTCTGGATCGGCTGTCTCATCTCTCATGGGCGAATTTGACAAAGTCCGTAGAGCTTACTTGGAACACCAGCAATCAATATACGACAAGCTCGTCGATATCATGGCTGGTCGGGCTACTGCCCACTCTAAAGCCATGAAACTCATCAACTGGGACCAGAGCAGGGATGGAGTCAACGCATACATGGAGACTCTGACCAAAGAAACCAGCACATTGCACAGGGTGCTCAGCAAGCATCTCCCAGATATGACAGTGAAGATGATCATGGAGCCTGTATTTAAGAGCTACAAAGAGCAGTGGGGTAAAGCATTCGGGGATGTGGTGCTGGGAAGTGATGCTGCTCAAGCAAGGTAAATTTTTCTCACCGCCACAATCCCGAATCTCTCAGTTAATATGTGCTAGGATGCTTCGCGACGCAGAACACTTCAAGACCAAAATCGGCGGCTTAGATGGCGCAGGCGACGCAGGCGACTACCTCGTGAAACTCGTCAACGCGAAGAGCGTTCCCAAACCCAAAGTAACCAGTCCACCACCTCCCGCACCAAGTGAAGAACAGGCCAAGGAGACAGAGAAAGAGAAGGAGAAAGAGTCAATACCGAATGGCAAGACTACTAGTAGTGAGGCTACCACTCCTGCAATTGAAGAGACAAAGGAGAATGGAAGCCCGGCGGTGGATGAATTGGAGAAGGCGCAGACTAGCGCTGTGTCGCATGGTTAGATGAGATGAGATACCAGGAATAAATATTGTTTGAATATCATGACGGTCCACCTGTCGTTGAGATAACCCTCCTTTCATCTCATATTAGTGAAGCCCGTGACGATTCGTCGCATCAAGTGACAGCCCCTGCTCTTGAGTACAAGGGGGAAAATGTCCCACGCCGAAGATTCCCTCTGAGTATTACAATATGTCTTTCACGCCAGGCTTGGAGTGGTCACATGTTGGGAAGGATCGCGCAAATGAGGGTACTGTGAGAAGGGTGTCTTGAGGAGGAGGAGAACGAGTCTATAGGTACAGGAAATACAGACCTGTTAAGGAACCCTTATTTCCAGGGCTTGACTTGAGTTCCTGTAAGTCAGAAGTGCCTTTCTGCTTGAAATCTGTCCTCCAAAATCCAACTGATATTTATATTTATAAATATCACATTAACTTGCATATAAAAGCGAACACTACATATTGGGATCGTAAGATCACCTGGGTATACGTACCGTGAACTAGTACGACTTCAATGATGTGTTTTTTGGGTTGCGCCTACAACTTCACCTTCTTCCAGTCACCACTTGCCCACCTCAATGCCGTTGTGACTCCACGGAAACAATAGACGTGCGATGTGCAACAAAACTCTCGGGTAAGAACCGCGTCTTGGACATAACGAGAGTATGGTGAAGGCTGCAGGTCAGTCGTAAGGCAATACATCTCTTTGAAAAAAAACTTCAATCAAAACAAACCCATCGAAACAGGGTGATTCGCATCATCATGGCCTAGAGTGTAGAGTACAAATTGCTCTCAAAAGCAAAGTCAGCACGATTTCCTCATACCGGGACATCAATTTTCCGCTCCGTAGAGTAGCGGCGCCGCTTGCTGTGTTTTATTGCACGTCGCATGCCTCGAAGAAATGCGCCAAAATTATTTCACTCGATACTTGCCATTAGCGAGATCTCGCTTCACCACGACAACAATAATGACAGTTGCACGTAACAGAGGGATTTGTCACGCGCGGCTGTATCTTAGGCTGGAGTCTTGTTGCGTTTTTCGATTGCACGATTCCGATTTTCTTGGAGTGCGGTTTGGAACTTATTCAATTGATTCGGTGGATAGTGATCTGTTGCTTTGATGGGGAGAGGAATAGTTATCAACGCCGACAGGGTGACAAATTCTACTCGATAACACCAGATCTAGCTCAACTCCACCGAGCCTCCCTTACTTAAAATAATCAGTCAGCGGAAGCCCACGTACGGGAGGAAAGAGAGCTGCGAAATGCAAAATAATGGTCTGGCTTCGCTTATTGCCATTGGTTGATTATCGGATATTAAAACCTGCTCTCCCTCGTTGATGGTGGCATTCAGTCATACATTCATGAGGACCGAAATGATCCTTACACATCCACGATAACCATACCGTTAACTAGCTCCTTCCTAGCTAGCAGGTCCTTGCCCTAACAATTCCCCAGCTCGCCATCTTCTTCCCATGGCGCCACACCTGCACTACCAGTCCATCCCATCCCTCCCCAGGACATCTTCAACCCTATTTAATGCGCAAATCTAAAATCCAACCTCTTTGCACCTTGGTCCTTCGTATTCGCAATATAATCCTCCTGCTCCTCAACAGACATAGCGTTCCAGATCGCGTCTCGCTTGTTGTTGCGGCGGATGTAATATGCTTTGACAGCGTAGAAGAGCAGTATGTTGAGAGAGCAGATGGCGAGAAGGATTTTGTTGCCTCGGATGTCTGGGGGTGGCAGGTATGTTAGATTTTACCGTAGAAATGGATTGAAATCGAGACTTCGAGGGGTGGGACGAAAAGTGAAGTGGAGGTGGGAAGGAAAACTCACACAACGGCTTATCATCATCCCTGTAGATATTAACTGCAACAATATTGCCACCCTGCACGAACATATTATATAGAGCCGCACTAACCGCCCTCGTGCGCACTGTATTTGAATTCTTCGCGTTCCAACCAACCAGGATCGCGTGACAATAGGGGTACGATACCAGCCCTGACAACAACCCGTATCGGATCCAGAGACTAGAGTCTTTCTTGAGGGTCACGAGGCCGACTAAGAAAGGTAGGATCCAGATATTGGAGGAAGAGGATATGATGGCGCGTTCTTTGAAGTAGGAGGATACCTTTGTTATGATGAGGAGCTAAGCGAGGGGTGAGGTTAGCAAGTGTTTCAATTTGGTGGATGAAGAACGGGGAAACTCACGTTGACCAGGAACATGAATTGGCCAGGGATGGTAAGAAGATTGGCATGGAATGTGTTGAATCCCAATTCTCGGAGAATGAGACCAAGATATGTTCCTGGCGGATTGGGTGGGATGTACGCGCAGAATCCAATCTTTCCAGGTCAGTTTGCTCCAATCTCGAACTCCCATAGAATCCAAGAGAAAAACTCACTATGTATGTCGGCCACAAATCAAAATCCCAGAACGATGCAAGCAAGCCGCGCAATCCAACAGCCTGACGATTGTTCATATCGCCTTTGGAAGGATCGTCTCGCAGAAGTCGATTCACCATTATCTTCTCCTCGTGCTCGGAGAACCAGCCTTTTCCGCGACCGCGACCTGCAGTTTGGCAGGGACTAGCGGGCATGGCAACCCATGAGGCGATACCGATTGTACCAGTTATGATGCCTTCGATAAGGAAGCTGGATGAGTGTTAAGACCGAGATAAACACTGATGAGAGAGGTGGGAGCAGGGGTCACAGAGAGCACTTACAGCCATTGCCAACCTGACCAACCATGAATGCCGCGCATTTGCAAGATTCCTGCTGCTATGAGAGATCCAAAACTATAGGGCTTCAGTAGAGTATTTTCAGGCAATATTTGATCATAAGAAAGAGATCACATACATATTGCAACAGCTCAGGACTGTCCAGAACCAAGCGAGACGAGTGGGGAGTTCATTACTCTTGTACCAATATGTCAAGTAAAGTACGACATCAGGCTATCACGAGTCAGGCAATGAATAGACATGAAGTTGGAAGGGTTGAGGCGTACGATGAATCCTCCCATCAAGAGCCCAAGAAGACTGCGTACAGCATAATAGCCAGCTTTACTTGTCAGTGCACACTGAGCAGCAGAAGTAATAGACCAAGCGACGATTAAGAATGGGATCCATCTACGAGCTCAAGGTTAGACATTACTTGGGAGGACGTGTGATATGGGAGGCTCATACCGATCAGGTCCAACTTTCTTGGATATGAGACCGGATGGGAGTTCAGCGGACAGGAAAGAGACGAGGAAGATTGTTTGGCCGTAGTTGAAATCGTTAGTGTTCATTCCTAGCTCGGGCAGCATTTTATCTGTGATTGCTAAGAAGATGTCAGTATTGTCAAGTGATTTCTGGCGCTCAAGTGGACGAACCTCTATTGATGTTTCTCCTGTTCAGGTCAAGAGCCATGAACATCATCCATGCCCATGTGATGATCCTCAGATCGATCTTCAAACCGGTCAGTCTCCAGCATATATTGATGCATTCCATTATCCACCACTTACCTTCCTCCTCACTCTTTTCTCCTCCTCGGCAGTCCACGTGAATAATGGATCAAATCGATGCCGTCCCTCATATTGCGCCTTTTCATACACCTGCCTCCAATACTCGGCTACAGACGGACTTGCAAAAACATGATTGTGGTACGATCCATACTCAGGCGTAACACTCTGGATCTCAGAATCGCTATCTGAAGTAGGGGAATTGGACTCCGTTTGCTCCTTCGAGAGGCCTTTCTCGTTGGAGGATGGTCCCAGGACAGGCGCCGACATGTTGGAATATCACACGCACTTGGTAATCGAAAGTAAACAAACAAAAAATATTTCTCTCGCCAAAATAGGTGCAAATTGTGCTTCTCCTCGGAGATACAGAGCAAAGTACTAGAATGGCGAGCTTCCAATCCATTACTTATACACCCCTCAATCCCATGCACCTCATCGCCAAGCACACACCACAACGCCAAATTATACGCCTTCACCACAACCTACCCTGCCAATACCGCCTATCAGTCTTGGAAGTACAGACTTTTCTTTGTATTGGCGTCGCGATACAAGGCGTTGCTGGTAACAACGTTTCGGAATCGCTCCCAATTGTGCAGTTTTTGCCCGTCGCCAAGCCAATCACATCATGTACTGTACATATGATGGCATTCGGCCGGGGTCTCCAACATCGCAATTTCTCGAATCAATGTTCTGCAATTTGAATTGTCATTGGCTGGAGATAGCAAGGAGAAGACGTATGGTTGATATGGCGTAAATGAGGAGAAATGGAGAATCTGGAGATCAGTCAGTTAGCTATTTGCCAGGACATGGGATGAATTTGAGAAGAGATAACCATGTATGGATCGAAACAGAGTTATGAGATATTAGCGCAGTCCAGATACATGTAACTTATACTTTGTTTTCAGATTTTTTCAATTGGCCATATTGGGATTTGTAGTTGGGTGTCTGGATGGTTACTTGCAGTGAGTAGAGTCTCCTCCAGACTTCGCCAAGACCAGGAGAATCCACCCCGATGAGTCTTCAGCCGAATAATGCCCACGAAATCGAAGGACAAGAAATGCCATGATGAAAGATTTTTTTCTCCGTGTCCACATGCTTAGGAATTGAGGTGGCGAATTCACTCCACTTCCGAATTCGAAAAGGAGTGCTTTCCCCAACAAACATTAGGTACGGTGGTAGAGACTAGAAGATGGACATACTTGAAAGTTGCCACTAAAAGCACGCCAGCTTAAGGAGTTTGTAACAAATGTACAGGTTGCCAAAACCGATCAGCAGCATCTTTCATCGCGTGGTTATTGGTTTTGGCAACTAGAATACTGAAGATATTCTTAGTTGTTTGTGTTCGACCTTTCTGAGCTTCGTGAGCTGTGCTCATTCTCCGATCACAATACTGCGCTTGGAGAACCAGCGATTACCAGCAATGACCAGATAAGCTTTTCATCATCAATAGCTAGTGGAGTATTAATGGCCAAATCTGGAATAGAATCATTCAAGTTGGGGTGGGTTCAGAACCCATTTTACCGACAACTTCGATTATCCCGAGTCTGGGGACCCGAAGAGACTTTGCGGTATCCAAGTTTTAACAAGAGAAAAGTGAGAGCTGCAATAAAAGAGTCTGTAAGAAACGACTCCCAAGGTCTGGCGCGCCGGACAGTATTCCACCCAGCCGGAGCAAGTGGACCTGCACGTGTCCGCTTGAAACCAGGGCATGACAGTTCTCAGGGGGACAACTCTGTGGGATTGACTTTTCTCCGCGGCGCCCAGTTGTCTGGAACAACTTACTGATATACGAAAAGTCTCCTTCGGAGAGCCTCCGAGCCTTACATAATATGGTACCTGGAGTGAGTATATTTGGAAATACCCCTATATTTAGCGAGACGGGCACTACAGTAACTTCGTACCTAAGTGCGGGGTTTATCACAGTGCGTTGATGTGGCGTTTTTAAAGCAGCCCTGGATCACGACCTCGCGTCACCATCGAAAATGCACTGTTTAACGAGTACTCTATCTATATATTAACTTACTTGACCCCGAGCACACACCCACAAGAAATTCAGTAGCAGAAGCCACATCTCGCAAAATGCCAGGCGAAGAGGCTCCCAGATTTGCTGTAGGAATCCCGCTCCCAGCTCTGCTCAGCATGTCCACTTTTCATCCCCAGTGCATCTCACAGCGTTCTAACGAGATGATTCGAAGTGTGATGAGTGCAGGATAAGAAAATTCAAGGTATACAGCAACCCGGCTAGAGCAAACATAGGTCCTTACTTGCTCATTGACTGTAGTGCACCAAAGAGCTGCCGTCGTGCGCAGTATGCGTGCGACAAGGAAAGCAATGCATTTACAGCCCAAAAGCTGAGAGAACTCCTCTGACACGAAGGTAAGCAGCAGCGATACATACTGTGTGATGTAAATCCGTATTTTTTGCATTTTAGGACACTCTGGTCTGACAGTAGAAATATCAAGCAATCTTACCGTCGCAGAAGATCGCATACGCCAGCTCGAAGCCGCATTTGCAGAACTCCATCCAGATGTCGACCTCGATCAGTTACTAGAAACTACCTCAGACAAACCTTTAAGGAACTCCCGTCCTCAAAATGCGGAAACGCTGCAACCGGAGGATCCAGATGTCAAGTCACGTGGATTTAGAAGGGAAAGTGCATCCCCTGGAGCAGAGGAGGCTCTGCCTCAGCAAGCAGATGGCTTCGACTGGACAGAAGAAACCACGCTCAGTGGACTATCGGATGGGATGGCGGCTTTATCTATCAAACCCGAGGGAACTGGGTATCTTGGTACAGCTTCATCGCGCCTCATTGAATTTCGTGACTAAACAATATCCAGGTGCAACTTCCAGTGTGATGCCTCTTCGAGCTCTGTTGAGTGGAGATCCAGGTATGACTTCTTCAGAAAAGCCTCCGTTTGGGCAGCCAATCAATACCGGAGGCTTCGAATTCCCGTACCTAGCACCTCCTCTGTCAGGTGTCTCGGAGCAAGTCTTCATCGATGCATACTTTTGCTATTACCATACAGCTTACCCGTTCCTACACGAAGCAACCTTCCGAGCACAGTATTCAGGCGAGCTGCTACGACCAAAGGGAAAGACGTGGCCAATTTTACGAAACGCCGTCCTTGCGATTGGTTCTTGGTGCATTGGCGACGATGATTCCACGATCGACAGGACATTCTATCAAGAAGTCAACTCCCTGTGGCAAGATGATGCGTCAGTATTTGAGGCAGGTAACTTATCATTGGTACAAGCCCTTCTACTGCTCAGTAATTACACACAAAAAACGAACAAACCGAACACAGGCTGGAATTACCTCGGCTTGGCTGTGAGAATGGCCCTGAGTTTGGGCCTTCACAAAGAATTTCCCGAGTGGAAGATCAGTCCGCTACAGAGAGAAATGAGGAGAAGAGTCTGGTGGGGACTATACATCTTCGATTCTGGAGCGTCCATTACTTTTGGTCGTCCAGTGCTTCTTCCCGAAGAAAGTAACATGGACACTAATCAAGTGCTCAATATTCACGAACAGGTGAGATTGACCTTCTAAGACTGCAGCCCATCTAATGTGACATCATAGGATTTGACAGCGGCAACTACCTCTTTACCACAAGAGATCTTAAAACCTACGGCTTACTCGGCTCTGCGAGCGCAAGCTGCGCTGCATTTAACCACGAACCAGCTTTACCAGCGCCTGATTTCAACACCAGGGCCTACGTCTTCAGAACTCCTAGGCCTTCAAGCCCCTCTAGTCACATGGCAGAGGTCCATCCCTGCTTACTTCCAAGTTCACAGCCCAGAACTCCAGGCTAATGACGCATTCATTCTCGCCAGGTATCGTCTCTCATGGCGAACTTGGAATCTTCGTATCATACTGTTTAGACCTACCGTGCTACGCTGGGCGACCCATCTCTGGGCTACAGGGCCACAAAAGAACCTTGCGGCAGACGAAGCAGACGAGAAGTGTCGGATGCTCTGCTTGGAGAGTGCAAGGGACACTATTGCTAGCATATCTGAATACATGGCGGGGAACCTGACTTCGAGGCTTGGTAGCTGGTACATGCTGTAAGCTCTTTAGCACTGCATATCTCAATAATTGCTTCCTCTTTGTACTGACTGCGCTCAGATATTTCCTCTTTCAGGCGGGCTTGATTCCTGTCATCTTTCTTATTACAATGCCAACCCATCCTTCTGCACAGTCCTGGCTCGAAGATCTCCGCATTACCAAGAATCTGCTGTCGTTCGTGGCAGTTAATAATCGTCTTGCTGAACGCTGTTTAGAGACCATAGACCGAATGTGCGCTCCTCTACTCAACGCCTCGGAACCCGAAATCCTGTTGCAGGACCCGAATCTGTTCAATGACGTTCAATCGATGTTCGTTGGTGAACAGGGTGATGGTAGCGACTTTATGGACTGGACAAATTTCGGGTTACAGTGGGGAATTTGAGCAGCGTTCCGCTCAACTGGTTCCGATATCTATGGACATGATACACTGTCAGAAACCTGCAATATGACATACTTTCGATGGCGCAGCACACAAAGCCAGACGTTATCAACACCACCTGGTCCGTCAAGTAACAGAGGTGGAAATTTGGCGTCGTACGGGCGCCATGCCAGAGATCCGTCGTCACACGCACACCTATTACTACGCAGCTACTCCAGGCCCCAGAGCCTCGTAGTCTTGACCCGCAACACCTCCAGTGCATATGCACGAGTTCCCACCTAATGTTGAATCAATACTCCATACATAGGAGAATATGTAATAAACATCCCAGCTTTTTCGAAGTGGATGGTCGCCCAACCCGACAGAGCGAATCGCAACCTCCCAACCCGGACTCCCCTTCAGCCCCAGTCTCGGAAGGCGCCAAAAGCGGTTCTGCGACCCCTGCACGCCCCAAATCTCATGCATATGTCAAGATTGCTATCAACAACAAGATTGGGCGCTCTGCGTACTACGCCTCATGGAATCTGCACACGAGCGGGTAGTAATGCATGAGAATTCGGTACTGTAAGCGGCAGATATGATTCGGACCCGAAGCGATTGTGGAGGCCGGAGCTCGATTTTGATGTTGCGATCTTCCATAACGTTTAACTTAAAATTGACCTCAGTGATTGAGATCTTATTTGAATTTTGTCCCGGAAGTTTGCTGACGGTTCATTTGCAAGCTGACGTAGAGCAAAGTTGTTTAAAGATGTCTCATTACTTGCTTTCCTTCCGAGATACAGGCTTGGTTCCGAAATTCCATTTGGCCCCCATCTACAACAAGGCTCTGACCTCCTGGCCACTGCCAAGCTTCAGGGTTGAGATTACTTCTCTGAATGCTACACAAGGCATGTTCGACAGTTGCTTATTAGCTGATGCTCTCGCTCCTTTTCTCGCCAAGTTGTTCGTCCCATCTTCACTCATTGATCCCACGCACCACTTCAGCACGTCTCAGCCATGTCGGACTCAGCTGGATGGTTCGGCCCAGAAAGTACCTCGGATCTCAGCCCATCCGCCTGGCGCAACATCTTCACGACTCTCTTTGTCATACTCAACTTCCTCGTCGCATTTATAGGACATCGCCTCGTCCGTCGTCAAGGCCATCGCACCCTCCTAAAGTCCAAGCCCGTACCCGTGTCTCGCTTCACACCATGGCTGTCCCTCGGCTCGACTTTCTCCTATATTTGGACCCTCAAACGGATTCCAGGCGGCTGGCTTGGTCTCATTATGATTCTTAGTGGCTTGTTTGGGACAGGAAACCGATACATCATTAACAGTTTTATTGTCCAGGAAAACGTGTCGGTTAGATGTCCGTTCAAAACGGGCATGGTCACGATGATGAGCAGTGATAAGCTGATGCCGGTCTCGACTTGGTCTGCCACATGGCTTGCTATCAATTCTCTGGATCTTGCGCATGAAAGGAAGCCAAGGTTGGGATATACTCCAAAGTGAACAATAATATCACGAACTTCTTTCCAGGAAAGGAGGATGTCACCTGATACCACCATACAGCCAGACGACGTAAGATATACCTTCCTTCCCATTTGCCATTTTCTTCGGCGTTCGACCATCAATCAAGACCATATACTCATAGACGAGTGTAGTGGGCCCACGATGTTCTAGAGACCTTTATCCAAAAACCAGACCTTCATAAATGGTAAGAAATACTGGGGCGGTAGCTTTACGCACGACCTCAACGTCGGCACCGCTTTCATGGCCTGGGGACCCCACATCTCCCCATCCACAAACCTTACCGACCGCAACGTTAGAGCTAAGGTTGCCGTCATTAATTAATAGAGGGTTCATTCGTTAATAACAGGATTTAATAGACTCGACCTGTTATTCGTTATTCGTTAAACACGTGACCGGGAAAATATAAGTCCGATCCGATAGCTAATTAGAAGCGTAGGACCTCGGGCTATCAAGTACCTTATAAGGAAACATCATATAGATAATAAATTCCGAGGATTTAAGGATAATAACTGCTAATATAAAAGATAATAAATAAATACCCCTTTAGATTATCTTAGTATATACTTGATTTTACTACTTAAAATTACCTTTAAACAGCGATTTATATATGTATTATCTATACTAAGGTATACAAAAGTCATGTGAGTTATTAAGCCTTTCGTCCGTTATTAATTAATGAATAAAGGTGGTGTTAATAACCCATTAAAATATTAGCCTTAACGCAACCCTAGTTAGAGCCATGATTTCTACCCCAGTCGAAACTAATGGTACCATCGCCACACCCGCCAATATCACCAACCTCGAATGCACCCTCTCCATCCACGACCCCAAATGGAAACCCGCACCCTGGCCCATCGACGACAATGGCAACGATGTCGTCTTCTCAGTCTGGGCTCCTCTGATGGTAGGATTCATCCTGGAAGTCACCCCCTCCGAATATCCCTTCCAACTCACCAAAGTCCTAAACGCCATGTCCATGCTCTCCGGCAGCGGCAACATCCGAACTCTGGATAAATCAGACGTAATCTCATTCGGCGCCGGAGAAACATACGGATGTCAGATTCCCAATACGCGGATAGACATGTCTGTATACGTTATCACTCTGGTACTGGTGGCATTGTTCCTACTCATGCTGGCGATTGATCTGTATGATGTGGTGAGGAATAAATTCGATAAAAGACATAAGGACGTGGAGAAGATGCCGTTTGAGATCCTGGACTGGCAAGTTGCGCTGGTGGAGAAGATGACGGGTGATAGCATTTCGAGGACGAGACATTTGGCGAAATACGAGTATTTTTGGGATGAGAGGAGTGGGACGTCCTATTGTAGGAGGATTGCAAAGGTAGGTTTTATTCGGCCACTGTCATAGCAGGTGGCACTAATCTGATTAACTTAGCGAGGAAGTGTTTATGAGGCTGTTGAGAATCCCGGGGAGAATGGCTATCGGTGTTAGAAATAAGTGGCCGATCAAGGCAGGACGCGACGCTGTAATGAATGCGCTGTTTTTATCGCAACTTAAGAGAAAAGCATATAATATTAATTAATAAAATCTTTTCAGAAGTATTTCTAAAGACCTTATGAAAAGGACTTCTCTTTTTAAATACTATACGTTGAGAAGTGGTGCCCTGAAGAAGTTGATTTTGTTGTTCTGTACGTGCCTCAATCGGCCACTTATTTCTAACACCGATAGAATGGTTCAGACCCGAGTCTGGCAAAGAATGGCGTTATTGTGTCGGCTAGAGAGAAGTAACTCGTCGAGTTCCGGAGGTTGTGTTTGCTGGCGTAAGGTTGGACGAGCACAATGGACTCAGGAATAGGAGTTCCATGGCAAGTGCTGAAAACACGACGCGCCTGTCGAGTTAGACAACCCTTTTGGTATTTTTCGCATTCGATTTTGCGTCAAACAAGGTCATGTCGTTTGACTTGGAAAGATGCAAGAAAAAGTTCGGAATGAGAGACATTCCCGCGCAGCTTGATACGCAAATCTCATCAACATTCTGGCAGCAATTTTAGTATACCACACAGAAGGCGACTGAATCTTCGCCAGAAATCTCAATACAAGTGATGGTAATTTCACAACCGACATAGAGCTTCTCTTTACAACTGTCCAACCGAAGTCTTGCGTTATCAAAAGCCAAGCTCACCGGACTTCACAACCACCCAAACCACTTCCCTCCAAACAGCACAAGCTTCATGCACCCCGATAGCATATGCTAGATAGCATATCCTTCAGTAGCACCCTGTTCATCTCTCCACATTCTCCCGATCTCCCTAGTCCATTGGCCACATACCAGCACCCGATGAACTTCCAAGCCTGCCAAGAGCGGGGAATGGTCTCCTTGGCGAGAAAATTTTATCTTATCTGATCGGCCCATCTGAAGAATCTTTTCACTGCTTCGCCGCACGCTTACGCTTAGTTCGTAGCTGGATTTGGGGGCATTTCCGCAAGTGCGGTTCTGTGTCTCTGGATTGTGAAGTAAGTTTTTTTTTGGGTCTTTTAGCTGTGCTATGGGGAGAATGTAGGCGGTGATAGGGAGGTACGGTTGGATTGGTGGGACCCCCGCTGTTGAAGAACATTGATGTGCTTAGCGAAGGTGAAAAATTCCATGTTTGGGTCAACTTCGGTGAAATCTAGCTGCCTAGTTATTCTTTCCCTTTCATGTATAGTCATCCAGATACCCGGGATCATAGCAAAGAACCAATGCAGTAATGCCTGCCATGCAATGGTGGATATCTGCGCACGTCTACTCTTGCTGTAGCTACTCCGTTCGGCTGCAGCGGACCAGAGGACTGGGATCGGATGGCAAGGGAGCCAAGACGGCCAAATGAACCTAGACGCAAGCTATGTTCTGTGGATCTTCACTGCTTCTAGGCAAAGTGGACCAAGGGCGACTGCGGGATACCATGGGAGCAGAGCTAGCCTTGAAGATGAGATAAGATATAAAGGGTTGGCCATCTATCTGATCCTTTCTTCGTTCCTTACTCCTCTACCTACACGTCTATACCTGGACTTCGCTTGTCGACGTTCAACGAGTAAGGTCAAGCGACGAATGACAACAGGATGGCTTCCATTACTCCCGTTGAGAATAGGGTCGTTGAGTCGACTATTGATATCGAGAAAAGTCCTGTCAATGATTCGAATGTCAATGAAGTCTCGTTTGATGAGAAGTTAGACTCGGAGGATGGATCGACGCATAAGCAGGATGGTGTGAAGCGTGTTGAGGCTATCACTACGGTCTGGACTAAGAAAACACTGGCATTGATGTTTATTCTGTAAGTCATATTTATTTTCATGCGCTATGGTGTATCCAAAACTTGAATTGTGAACTGACACACCCCAGGCTATACCTCGTCTCTTTCGTCGAGCTCCTCATGTCAAGCATCAACTCCAATCTCACAGCCTATGTAACTTCCGACTTCTCTTCCCACGGTCTCCTCGGCGCCACAGGAATCGTAGCCACTATCGCAGGCGGCGTCTCTGCATTCACCATCGCTAAAATAATCGACATCTGGGGCCGAGTCGAAGGCTTTCTTCTCATGCTCTTCGTCGTCTCCCTCGGACTCATCATGAAAGCTGTATGTAAGAACGTTACCACCTACGCTGCAGCCCACACTTTCTACTGGGTTGGCCATCTTGGCCTCCTCTATGTCATCGATGTCATGCTGGCGGATATGACGACGTTAAAAAATCGGATGTTAGCTTTTACTATAAATGGGACGCCGACTATCGCGACTACGTTTGCTGGCCCGGCCATTGCGGAGTTGTTTGATAAGGAATCGACTTGGAGGTGGGCATTTGGTGCTTTCTGCATTATTTTGATTGGGGTGAGTCTTCCTGCTGCGGCAGTCATGCTAGCTCAGCAGAAGAAGGCTGCGAGACTAGGTGCTTTGCCTGAGCGAGTGCATAACCGAACTTGGTTTGAATCTTTCAAGTTCTATGTCATTGAGTTTGATGGTACGTTGTTTGGTCCATTCTTTCTGAAATGAAGTACTAATAGGAATCCAGTTCTGGGCCTTCTCCTCTGCACAGCTGCGTTCTCTCTGATCCTCCTACCATTCTCCCTCGCCAACGGACAATCCAAAGGCTGGGCATCCGGAACCATAATCTCCATGCTCGTCGTCGGAGTTGTCTCGATGGTCGCCTTCGTGCTTTGGGAGCGATTCTTCGCACCCGTGCAATTCTTCCCATTCAAGTACCTCATGAACCGAACCATCATCGGCTCGTCTCTGCTGTACGGTTTCATGTTCTTGAGTATCTTCTGCTGGGATACGTACTATTATTCGTATTTGCAGGTAGTGCATGACCAGAGCATCAGGAACTCGGGATACATTTTGAACGCCTTCTCACTGACATCGTCGTTCATTTCACCGTTCATTGGATTGTAAGTTCATTGTCCATGTCCATCCATCACCCCTTCTCCCAACATCCCAAAATTCAATATAGCAACGTATGGGCTAACTCAATACCAACAGCCTCATCAGCCGCACTGGTGATTTCAAATACACCGCATACGGCGGTATTCCCTTCGCCGTCCTCGGCACCGCTTTACTCATCCACCTCCGTACCCCCAGCACCCACGTCGGCCTCCTCGTGATGTGCCAAGTCCTCAACGGAATCGGTACCGGCATCTGGGCGACCTGCGCTCAACTCGCCGTCATGGCCTCGGTCTCTCACCAAGAAGTCGCCGTGGCCATCGCCCTCTGGAGTATGTTCGGATCAATCGGGTCAGCCATCGGTCAAGCCATCGCCGGCGCTTTCTGGACTAACATCCTCCCGAATGAACTGTACAAGGCTTTGCCAGAGGAGAGCAAGAATTTAACGGCGACGATTTATTCTTCGTTTGTGATCCAACAGGATTATCCCATGGGATCGGAGATCAGGGATGCGATTATTGTGGCGTATGCGGATGTTCAGCGGAAGATGGTGATTGCGGGAAGTGCGTTTATGCCAGTCTGTGTGTTGGCTATTGTGCTGTGGAAGAGGATGGATGTGAGGAAGTTGGAGAAGGAGAAGACGCAGAGCAAGGGGACGCTTTGGTAGGTGGTGATTAATGGATGAGAGTGAGTGTTGGAGAACGTTTTGTCCTGTAAATAGATAATGTTCGATGAACCATCGATAGCAAAGTAACAAAGGATCCTGGTCGTCAAAGTCAGCTCGTTGCGAGACAAAGCGTTCGCTATCAAGGATACCTTGTGTATGTTTCACCTCGCTTAGTGGGCGTAAACACTCGGCATTTCCAGATGTTTACAGTACCATCTCATGTATCCATAACCGCCTGCCACAACTCAGGCCTTCCTCCATATCAAAGCCTTCTCTGCTGGAACAATCCATTATGATCTCGCTTATGCAACGCTCAACCCTGCACACTATCAACACTACATTGCATCAATCCCCACCAATCCTCACAGCGACACTACCCCCAATATCCACCACCCCCGCCCTCGTTTTCCCTTTCCCCTCACTCACTTCTCCATTCACCACCTCATCCTTCAACAAACCCACCCCCCTCTCCTCCCTTGCCTCCTCAAACTCCAAAATTGCCTCCAAACTCTCATTCTCACTCCCCACAAACGTTCCAAAATGTACACCCACACTGTTCCGCGACCTCACATCCGCATGGATATCCATTGCATCGGCCGGCGACGCGTGTAGCGCAGACGGGATATCTTTATGACTCAGGCGGAGTCCGAGGGTCGAGAAGAAAGAGAGACTACCGCCGCGCCAGATGGGGAGGAAGGAGAGGTCAATGGGCCCGTATTTGAAGCCGATGGTGGGGAATATGGGGCAGGTGGAGGTGGAGTGGGCGGTACGCCGGTAGCCGGTGTCGCCGGCATGGTAGACTGTGCCTTTTCGCTGGGCGGAGTGTTGTATTTTTGTTGCTGTTCTGTTGGTGGTATCTGCCGACGTTGAAGTTAAACTTGAGTTGGGATCTGAATCCGAAGCTACTTTTGAATCTGGATCTTGCGAGATAAGGAGTTGTTCAACAACCCAGCCGCACCAGAGTGTGTTGCCTTGATCCAGGGGACTGCGCGCGGAGTTGTGCTGTGCGGGAACACAAGTGAATCTTATTCTCGTCTCCCGACTTCTAGGACCTGAGTTCGAGTCTGATTTCGAGCCCGTATACTTATACCCAAAGTCCTGCAAGCTATACTCTCGTTCCTCCCACCAGTCTAGCTCGACTATTAGATCTTTTGGGACGCCAAGATTGGCCAACCAGCTCTTATTCCCCAAGGGTACGAAATACTTCGTCTTCGGGAATTTCTTTAGTATTGCTTGGATAGTCGGTAAGTCCAGATGGTCGTAGTGGTTATGTGAGATGACCACAGCATCGCATCCTTTTCCGTCAGCATCACAGGTCATCATATATGAGAATATGTCTATCAAGCTAGTGGCACGGTAAATCTCCAGACTTACCAGGAAAATCATGCACTTGACACGGCGCCCTCTTTGTCCTCCCTGGACCAGTGTATTGCGTAGGCCCCGCCCTAGCCGAGAAAATAGGATCAAAAACAACCCATAACCTCTCCTTCCTCCCCTTTCTTTTCACGTCCCCTATCTCATCCTCATCTCCTTCTCTTTTCCCTTCCTCAACCACTTTGCTCGTCCCTTCCAGTGGAATCTGCACCATGACCCCCGCATGCCCTAGCGTCGTTCCTACAATACAATCATTCCCATCCAGCCCTCTCGCCTTCAAGTCCGCCTCTCCCCAGTCCGGCGCAACGACTTTCACGTCCCGGATATCGGGATGTCTCTTGGCCAGATCGGGATAGAAACTCAGTGGGAAGGAAGACTGGAAAATCTCTGTCCAGGTTGGAGTGGAGGCCGAGGGCCACGGGTTGCGAAATGAGGTTCCGAAGTTGTTGGTGTGGTGCGATGGGCGGTTGGGGTTGGGTTTTTGGAAGGGGGTGAAGGTATTCGTCATTTTGTGAAGGGAAGGTGAAGTGAAGTGAAGTGAAGTGATGATGAGTGTGAAATAAGTGATGATTATGTATATGACATTATGGTGATGTTGATGCTTCTTTATTTGAACTTCTGAGATGAGATCTCGAATGGATGACGTCGTCCCGGTTGCGAAGCGAGTCTCGCTTACCAGACCTTGATTGTTTGGAGGCGCAAGGGGCTTTGTTTACAAGGACGTATGTCTGGCTGTGTCCCTTGCTAAAGTTGCCCATTCAGTTATTTTTACTGGATGAAGCGCTGCGTTGTAACCTGTGACTTCTACAGCAGAGTTAGATGTTAAGATACTAGAGTTGTGCTTTGAGGGCATTGGGACCAGAAGAGTATAACTTTTCGACCCTGGAAATAGCACTGATAGCTTACCATTTTCTCTCCAAATATTCACATTGAAAGATAAACTTAAAATGAGATTTATTGACTTGACATCTTTCCAGCTCGGTATTCCCCCGACCATGGTCCCGCTGACGTCTGCCGTTCAGGACACTGAGCCTGAGAGTAGATTTCAACTTGTCTAAATGTCTGCTTAACATTTCTTGAAATGTCGTGATTGTAGTAAGATACCGCACGGATGATCAAATTCAAGCCCTCCCCGTAAGGTGGAGGTACTAGGAGGCGACCAGGACCGCTGCTTGTGCGTCGTTAAGGACTCGTAATGATTGCTGAAGAAGCTGGCGGAAGGAAATGCCGACAGGACGCTCACTTCCTCACAAATCGGGTGTTTGATTTGAACACAAGTTTACGCCATGTGAATAAATTGGCAAAAGAAGATGTATCTCTCAGCCAGAAAAGAGACGCATGAAATGGGTATTATAATTCATATTGATGTGAATATCGACAGCAAAACCGAGCTATTCCAAGGTATAGAGCGGCAAGCCCGTAAATGCTGCACATGAAAAGCATGTTCTCGATGCAAATTCGCCACGGTTAAGCAAAATTACTTGCTTCGCTTGTAGATCTTCGCCAAGAAGCTCTCAAAGACAGTTCTTTTCAAACCCTCAGACTCATCAACCTCAGCAATCATCTTTCTGATCTCACCAACACGCTTCTCCTCGTAATCCTTGTAGATCTGCTCCAGTTTCAACTCGTCAAAGAGCTTTTTAACAGCAGCCTCATTCTCCTTGTTCTTGCGTCCGTAGTTGTCCTCCAACACCTTCCTTTGCTCTGGAGTCACGATCGCAAGAGCCTTGTTGACCAGCCACGAGCACTTATTATCCATAATATCCGTGCCGATCTTGCCGATATGTTCTGGGAGGCCAAAGTTATCTAGATAGTCATCCTGGATCTGGAAGTATTCGCCAAGAGGAATCAGGATGTCTTCTGCTTGTTTGAGGTTCTTTGGTGTGGCGATGTTTTGGTGGTAGAGAGCGAGGGCGACAGGTAGGTAGAAGGAGTAGTATGCTGTCTTGTAAATGACAATGAATTGGTATTTCTCCAGTGAGAAGTTGTCTAGGTCGATCTTGTCTTCTGGCGCGGTGAGTAAATCACACAATTGACCGATCTCGGTTTGGAAAGTCACTTCGTGGAACAGCTCAATGAGGTCGACGTATGACGGATGAGTCTTGAAGTACTTCTTGAGGAGGGTGTAGATGGCGGATTCGAGCATGAAAGCGTCATTTATTGCAACCATTCCAACGTGCGGCTGACGGTACCAGCATGGCGCACCTCGTCGAGTGATGCTGCTGTCCATGATATCGTCGGAGACCAAAAAGAAAGCCTGCAGGAGCTCGGTCATCCATCCCAATGTTGCGGCCTGGAAATATTGTTCTTCGGTGAGGGGTGCTTCGAGGAGGAGGGAGACTGAATCGGGTACAGACATTCCGCGGTTGCATTTTCCGCCGATGGTATTGGCATTGAGAGACTGTGGGGTTTTAGATACGATACACTTAGATTGCACGGTAGGTTCTTGACCACTTACAGCTTTGTACCATTCGACGAAAGCTTCTGGGAGGTTGTAGTGCTTAGCATGGCTAAGCAGATCCTCAACCAGCTTTGGGAAGACGGATTCGAAGTCCTTGAGGGTAGTAGTTTTCGCCATGTTGGATTTAAAGCTGTCGCGTGTAATTGAGGGGTGAGTTGAATCTGAAAATCCCGATGGAACGAATGTTGATTATGGGAACGGGTACCAACAAGTCAGTCCTGCCTACAAACGGAGATGGAGCTTCGAGGCGGTCGAGAAAAAGGGGGATGTCTGAGAGCGGTGAATGGTGGGGGTGGCAGAACCTGACATGCGGGCGGGCTGGTGTGGGCAGGGATGGACGGGAGGGATGGGATGCGGCTGTCAAAGATCTAAGGGATCTACTGACTTGCGCCTTCGTCCCATCATTTCGTCTACTTTTCTCCCATGGAAGTTCTCGGGCATTGATTTCGAACCTTTTCATCTAATGGCATCACAATTTGAAAACTTTCTCTGGTGTTGATCGTCAAATATATGATCTCATCCTTGCACGCGACAAAAGTCAACAAAACGCGTCAATTCAAGCCTGCTTTCCACAGTTGAGGATCGGCCCGCAGCCTCGTCCAACACCAATCCAACTCGAAAGGTAAGACAAGACAACCCCAGCACCACGAATTTCGCGATACGCATTGGAGAAACTCAGCGGATACTTCTTCAAAGACCAAGGACTTCTACCACCTGCATTCCTCCTCGCAGCAAGTTCCCTCGCCGCACCGGCTATCGTGCGGCCATGAGTCTCCTCACTCCGCGAGGGATCGCTGAAATGCGCGCGAACCTGCAGGAGGCAGTGGTAAAATGCTCTGAAAGATGTCTTTATCAGTCAGCCAAATGGTAAATCAAGCTCCCGATCATGCAGTGCATGGGCTGACTTATGCGCAGGGCAGCGGAACTCCTCGATTCACTGCCTTCCTCCGAAGAATCCATCAAGCCTGAGGATTCGCAGATGACTGAAGTACCATCGACTCCCCTACCACCTATTGTCCTTACTGGCAACCCTGACGCCGAAGAATCCATATTGGAAGCGAAAGAGATAAATAAATACCTGCTGGCCAAATCATTCTTCGATTGTCGCGAATTCGATCGATGTGCAGCTGTTTTCTTGCCAGATACTGTTCTGTCCGGGATTTTATCAACTGCTACCGCAAAAAGCCCAAATGTAACTACGCCACAAGGAAAAGGGAAGACAAGGGTATCGGCGACTCGCACAAGTGCGACCACGGTACCTATACCCAAGCTCAGTCAGAAGAGCTTGTTCCTGGCGTTATATGCCAAATTCATGTCCGGGGAGAAGAAGAAAGATGAGGATAGCGAAATGGTTATGGGCCCACATGACGGGGGAAGTGCGGTTAATAAGCAATTGATTGTAATAAGTCGGTTCCTCGAGACTTGGTTCCTTGAGCATACCAATGAGCATGGGGTTGTGGAAGGTAGCCAAGGATGGCTTGAGTACTTGTAAGTGATTGCCACAAGCTAGGATCGCAATTGCTGACTGGCCCAGATACGGCATGGTGCTTGCAAAGGACAAGAATGAATCCCAAGCCATGCACTGGTTGATTCAAAGTGTTCAATTATATCAAATGAATTGGAGCTGTTGGCTGGAAATGACCTCTTTGATTGGAAGAATTGAGGAAGTAGGTTTTATAATGCAGGCACCAGGACAAGACTGACATCATACAGCTCAATCAACTATACTCCATCGTTCCAGCACACATCTTTGGTTTTATTTTCCACATACACACCGCCCTCGAATTGTATCAGTCCAATCAGGAACTTGCCGATAACTTAAGCAAATTACTCTCGATATTCCCAACAAGTCCTTTCATCCTCACATGTGTGGCTCTATTGGCTTATCACACCAAAGACTTTGTCACTGCCGACGCTCACTTCAGCCATTTATTAGCTCTTCATCCACATCGACTCGATTCATTAGATCACTATTCGAATATCCTTTATGTTATGAACCTACGGCCAAAGCTGTCATTCCTCGCCCATCTCTGTTCTGCTGTGGATAAATTCCGTCCAGAATCTTGTGTCGTGATTGGAAATTATTACTCCTTGCTCTCGTCACATGAAAAAGCAGTTCAGTATTTCCGTCGAGCACTCACTCTCGATCGATCATGTTTGAGCGCATGGACCCTGATGGGACACGAATATGTCGAGTTAAAGAATACACACGCAGCCATCGAATCATATCGAAGAGCGGTGGATGTCAATAGGAGAGACTACAGAGCGTGGTACGGACTGGGTCAAACGTACGAAGTGCTGGAAATGCATGCGTACGCACTATGGTACTACAAACGAGCAGCAGGTTTGAGACCATGGGATGGCAAGATGTGGATGGCTGTTGGATCATGTCTTCAGAAAATGGGACGTGATCTAGAAGGCATCAAGGCATTGAAGAGAGCCCTCCAAGCTGACAGCTACTACGATGCCGGGGTCGGTAGCTCCTTTGGAAGTGGAGGTCGAGAGAGGGCTACAATCATGGACCCAGAAATCTTACTCCAGATCGCAGGGATGTACGAGCGACTCGAAGACGAAGCAGAAGCAAAATCATACATGGAGATGTGTGTCGCTCAAGAAGAAGGAGCAGCTGAAAATCTCGAGTCTTCAGTCATCAATATTCACGCCGACTCGCAATCCTCAGACGACGATGCGCGGCCCCAAGGAGGAGGCGGAGGTAGTGGAGAGACAGGTACGGGAGTCACTGCTGCGACGTCGAAAGCCCGGATGTGGCTGGCAAAATTTGCTATGAGGACGGGTGATTATAATCGAGCTATGCAATTGGCGACGGAGCTTTGTCAGGATGGCGTGGAGGTTGAGGAGGCGAAAGCGTTGGTTAGAGAGGTTAGGGTTAGACAGGAGGCTGGTGGAAATCCTTAGATGAGTGACGGTGGCGGCTACGAGTAATGAACAATTGATATCCCAATCTTTTGAGAGGATATTCTTTTTCGTTTGTAACCCCTGGCTCAAGCACGACAGGCCTCAATGAAGAACACACCGGGGAAGGAAGCTAAGGCAACATGGAGAATCTAGATATCTTCCAATTCTCAAAGATATTGTTGTTATCTAGCATACCATGATCGGCGAAGACAGACCCGGACGCCCTCCCAGAAAACAATATGAGCTCAACAAGTTGCAGACACGCCACAGAACCCCAGAATCCCCCCTCTGTCTCTCACACAGCACATATACCACTCACTTACTCCCCCATCCGCCTCATATCACATCACATCACTCCTCCCCGCCCCATCATCATCACCACTTACTCAACTTCTCCATCACTCCCCTCCGCCTTCTTAACAGGAGCATCCTTCCTCGCCACCTCCTCAGCATACTCCCTCCTCTCACGGTTAAAGTCATCTCTATACGACCTAACATGTTCGGGTACATCTTTGACTTCGTTGTAGGGTCCTGGGATGGGCTGTGATGTGGGAGAATTATCAGCATCGATATCACGTGTTATTTTGTTCGTTCTGGGGAGGGAGGGAGGAGATTGGAGATGGGGTGGAGATTTTAGAGCCCTGAGGAAGAGGGAAGAAAGAAGGAGAGAGTGAGAGAGAGGGAAGAGAGGGGGAAACACACCTCGCCTAATTGTTCCCAAACGGGTAAAACACCCGTCCAGACCCTTCCCATTGTCTCGCTATCTTTCAGATCTGCCCGACTTTCTCCATCTATCCCTGGTCCTCCTTCTCTGACCTATTAAACTGTCAGTATATATTAATTCCGAAGCTTTAAGCTCCACAAATCATTTCCACATCAGCATTCAAACCCAACTCTTTCATCCTTATTTTCGTGCAGCGACAACTCAAATTTTGAATCACGCTCCACATCTCAACGTATCTCAGAGTCAAAATGACAAAGCAGATTTCAAGTCCTCGTAGGCAAACCCAAGGAAACAGCACCACTTACCTTCGCACTCCCCCTCTCCACCTTGATTCTCAAAATAGCAGTACTCTCCAATTCCGCCCCAGTCGGCGGAACCCTCGAATTCACCCACCTGTCCGCCACAACACTATTCGTAATAAGTAGCATGGCATACAGTTTCTCCTCTGTAGTCTCCACTAGCGAGGCGTACCCGAAAAGTGTCGACGAGAGATAGTTGTAGTTGTGGGAGTATGGCGTGAGTGTTAAGACTAGGCCGGTGACTTTCGAGGCGGTGATGCAGACTGGGAGGCCTTTGGTGGTGCTGGTACTGGTGCTGGTGGATGAGCGAGCGAGGTTCATGATTCGAGAGGAGACGTAGCCGTGGATGTAGCAGTCTAGTGTATCACCTATTGATGCTGAGGGACGAGAAAATGATCCCATTTGACCAATCATGGGGAGTATCACGGGGAAAGGGTCAGATGGGTCGGGTGTGAAGGAGACATGCAGGATGGGGGAGGAGTTGATGATTGAACTGATTGTTTGCGTCAGTCAGTATTTGCTACTAAATTTTTGCTATTCGTGTCCTCAGATGTGGGAGTGGGGAAGTGGGAAAGAAGGCCGAATGTGGAAGCTACGTACTGAATTGTCTTCAGCGAGTAATCGGCTATGAGAAGTTAGAGCATGATCAAAAGAATGAGCAAACTGGGAAGTAAAATCACCCTGATATTTGTACCTGTTGACGGTGTTCGTGGCATCCTTTGGATACTCGAAATTATGGCGGACCATGATAGCGGCTTGGAGTTGAATGTGCGCCCAGTTCTTCTCGAGATCGACAGGAGTAGTGAGATGAAAACAAAGTACCATCAGTCAAGAAGAGCCCTGGTATGTAGAGAATGTGGCGATAGAAGAGAGGAAGTGAAAGATCGAATTTGAACCAAGAGTATCCAGTGAGATAATTGAGAGAGTAGAAAACCCAGCCACCAGATGCACGGAACTCTTTCCATTTATGAAAGCGCACTCACCTGCCTACCTACTCACCTATCCACGCCATCCCGCACTATGACAGGATTCAGATACTAGCTCTTATGCCATTGATCTGCTCAATACAAGAGATGTCGTTGGATAGACCCTGGTAAGCGATAAGGAGGACGAGATAAGGTTTACCCGGCTATCGGGTGGACCTCCCACTTCCGGGTAGCGTGTCGGGACGACACTCCTATCATCTTCTGTGCATTACAATTTTGAGCCATCCCCAGATCTACCTCGAAACGGAGAGATATCCCCGACTGGCTTGTGTTTCCGAATCGAGTAGAGCTTGGATTGAGGGCTGTCTGAAGGAGCGCGATTGGTTACTTTGACGTCAACCCAATATTATCAACTTCAGTGTGTCAAACAGGTACCAGGTCTGGTGCCTATACTGGAGTAGAGCACCAAACAAATCAGATCAGATAACTTGGCACACCTCTGCCGTACCTAGGTATAATATACATTCTCTTCGTATCACATGAGCTACCACCCAGCATGCCTCCCACCCTGGAAATAGCCACCTTCAACGCCGCCTCTAGCATCGTTGCTCTCCACCACGGCGCCTCCCGCATCGAACTCTGCGCCAACCAATCCCTCGGTGGTACCACACCCTCCCTCGAAACCCTCACCACTCTTACCACGCATATCAAAAATACTATCACCTCCAATGCCGCCACTATCCCCATCAACGTAATGATCCGCCCCCGTGGCGGTAACTTCATCTACACCCCAGCAGAAATCACCCAGATGAAAAACGACATCTCAACATTCAGCGTCGAGGGAGTCGATATCAATGGCTTCGTCTTTGGAGTCTTGACTCCCGACGGGAAAATCGATGAGGTAGTCTGTAAACAGCTACTCGACCACATCCACTCCCAAACTTCCCATCCAACCCAATCTCAGCGCCGAAAACACACCACATTTCACCGCGCATTCGACCTCATCCCAGCCACAGAAATGGCCTCCGCACTCGAGACTCTCATCTCACTCGGCTTTACATCCGTTCTGACCAGCGGGGGAGCAGCAAACGCTTTCGAAGGGCGAGATGTACTTGCGCGCTTAGTGAGTCAGGCAGCGGGCAGGATAGAAGTGATTGTAGGTGGGGGAGTGAGGTCGGGGAATTTAAAGGTGCTTGTGAAAGAGACAGAAGCCCTGGTGTATCATTCGAGTGCAATTGTTGGGCAGGATGGAGAAGGAGATGTCGCGAGTGGGGAGGAGGTTGAGAGGTTGAGTGCGATATTGAAGTCTTGACATGGAGACAGGCATCTATCTACCTATGTATACGTCTAATCGTCTTCGTGTCGCAGCATTTCCGACGACAAAATGGTCCTGCGATATGTCCAACGGAAGTTATTGGTTTAAATAGAGGTACGTCACAAGTTCTTTGTGTGGAGTGCAGTAGCTCCTCGTTCCGATAAATACACCTTCCGCTTCATCTCGTTCACCTCGACGTATCCCCGTATCATAGGCACCGTTGTATCGTCACACACTCAGTTTTCTCGTTGCACCTACGAGACAAGAGTCATAATTTTTTCATTCGTTGTTTTTTTTTCAGCCTCTATCTAATCTTGCGCAAAGCGTTTTGGTTGGGGGCTAAAATTATAGTGTATTCCGTCTCGTGGAACCTCGTGGTTTGAATTCCAGCTGAGCCACCAGCCGATACCTTATCTAAGGTAGCTGCTAGTCACTAGTTGCCAGTTCCCGCACAATCAAATATATTTTCCTCGCAACATCATTTTGTTACTTCCATACCTTTCAGCAAATTTCGTTTCCTAGCTCCTAAAGACCTCCGCAGGACACAGACTTCACTATACGAGAACCTGACAAGTTCATGGTGAGATCGCTTCCCGAATTACTTCTTGAGATTTGTTCCCCGTTGGCTGCAGTTTTACTTCAGGATCTTGTCATCGAATTGAGAGAAGATATGTGTGCAAATGTCTCCATTGGCGCCACCGAGCCATCGATGTTCCATGTACATTGATATACTTTCAAAAATTAACTGCTTCCAGATCGTCCATAGCTTCGCTTTTCAGCAGAACAGCTTCCAGATCTTGACTGCCCATACGCCAAACCCCATCTTCACTGTCCTCAACACTTCATATATACATGGTCAATCCTCCTGAACACTACCCTCGAGTCAAGACGAAGTACCAATTATGAGCCTGCTAAGTTCAGCGTACTACCTTGTCTCTGCAGGCAAAGATGTTGCTGTGCGTGCAATGGCTGTTGATGACGTCGAGATTGCGATGGGTTTGATTGAAGAGCGTTTGAAGACAACCAAAACCAATTTGATGCTGACCAGGTCGACGTCAGTAGCTCTTGCACGTTATGACGGCTGTAACTTACCTGATTCTTCAAATGTCTTTTGTTTCCTTCCTTTGATGGCATTCTATACTGTACTGGTCTCACAGGTTGCGAGTCGTGTTGCAGTTCTCATGGAGGTAGATTGCTTTGCACTTGGTCATGAGCTTGGGTTATTCTTTGGGCTTTTGCTTTATTGAATCATTTTCAGTACTTCCTGTCTCTCAGTAGTAAGATGCATTACTTACCTCCGACAGCTCAAGTGAGCATTCGAAAGCGCCTCCAGTGCAGCCACTGTGCCAGAGAATCGAGAAGTTGGAAATTCTCTCATCCAGTACCGAGACATAGCGCTGTCGTTGAATTCATCAATGTGTTCAAGGTTGTGGTGCGGTTTGACCTTGTTTTATGTTCTCGCTGGTGTCTTGGTAATGTTCGAATGTTCGACAGCATGATGTGTAGCAGATTGTTTGCAATGTCAACGTCTTCGATGGCACACCCAATCTGTCAATGTCAGCGTTGGGTTGCACGTACCTCAGATGAGGTCTTCACCTTGGTAGAGCAATGATGTGTAGCTGAGCTCACCATGGGAAGTCCGAAGAGGGGTTAAGCTCGTAACCAAAGTTCTTTCGCCGTGATCGAATCGAGCCTAAAAAGCCCATTGAGGCGTAGAGAGAACATACGTCAGCTTAAAAGCTGACGATTTGTACTGTGCTGTCCCCCACACCTCTGCGGGGACGGACGATGGGGAGCGTCCGCCCCGATGATGGAGGTGCGGGTTGTTAATCTTGCCCGCGCGTGGGAGCCTTGCAGAAACCTCTTGTTCTGAAGGCAATTTGTCGTGAGAGAGGAGCGGGGCGTAATGGTACGTACCAAAGAGACAAAGAGAGATCCATTTGATGTTGCCCGAGCATGGTAACTTTTCCATACGGAAAGGTGGGAGTAGATTGTCGTGATGCTCGGGCCTAATTGCTCGTACCGAAGAGTATGACAAGCATCATAAGCCGAGGAGGTCCAAGTGATCTCAATGTCCTAAGGTGGAAGTCTTGACCGTATTGAAGTCACAGTGTGAAGTCGTTGAAAGGACAGTGTGGGAGGGCAAGTACTCCGTACACCAAGCACTATGTGCTGAATGCACCAGATGGGGCGCATCTTGAGAATCTTCTATGATGCCAAGTAATCAGCATGTTTCCATCAGTGGGTGCTGTCCCGATACTGGAAGCTCGGCGTGGGGACCTGCACGGGCGATGATGATAAAGAGAGACAACAGACATTGATCTCTATGAACTGAGCTCGGGTTGGGATATCGAATTACTTATGGCTCAAGGTGCAAATCGATTGCATGAAATCATGTAAACGATGTGATATGCAATGCAATATTGATGGGAGAGAATGGGAGGGCATTTTGCCGATGGAATGTTGATGCAAGAAGGTGAAGAAGAGAAGAAAGGCACAGAATGTAAGAGTCGGCTTAAGTAGCTGTGTTTACATGCTGGCGAGGAAAGTACACAGGAGCAATTAAGATACCTGGCATTTGGTTGCCATGCTTTATTTTGCGAGGTCGGGAAGGCGCGGCTGCTCCTCAGCAGTCAAAGAATTGTATGCGAGCATTCTTTCTTTCGGTTTCATCATTCGTTAGAACGACGACTTAATGATAAGTAATTGTCTGTTCTCTGTGTACGTTTCCGGTACATAGCCTTTGCTTGCCCTAACATCAATCGATCTGCTTGTCTCAATCCTGTTAGCAGTTGTTTAGTAGCGTGGTTTGAGTATTTTTGCGAACTTTCGGAAGTCTATTCTAATGTGCTACTCGAATCTTTGTTAGATATTCTCAATCTCTACCTAACAGCTCCATCACCAATATTGTATTTTTTCGCCAAGTATATCCCAATGAAGCAAGTCGCCAAGGATAAGCAACCCACCCAAGCGAGCTTCTCGCAGATATCACCAATTAAATGTCATTTCATCGTTTATCATCTTGAAGGAATAATGAGAAACGTTTTAGTATATAAATACTCTATTGTTCAGCATATAACTCATTGTATTGCCAATTGGCCGTGCAGCCAAAGATGTGAAGCGGAGCGAAAACAAAACACAACAGGCTCTAACCGAGACTTCACCCGTCAACAGCAATGATCCGTCCTCCGTCATCGTTGGACCCTGCCTCACCATCTTCAAGCAGGGAGTATATTTTTGGAAGTCAGATTTACGGCTTTGGAAGGTATTGGGACTTGGTGAAGCGATTTATGACAGGTGTTGGGTATACTTGTAAAAGATGTCTAGAGGGTTCTGTGACTGTCAGTGGAGCAGGAAATATTGGATCAGCGAAATTATTCCGGGAATGCAGTCTATTAAATAACCCTTCAGCTACCAACTACCGAGCCCTCAAAGATCTTTGCACCCAGAGGCAAATAAGAATATTCCAAGATTATCATTTCAGTAAAGGAGCTAGTTTGATGATAAAGACCCTGTGCCTGCCAAGAAAGATATCGATTCAGGCGCGTGAGCCGCTGAGTCGCGGCGAGGATAATCATCGGCATTACCGCCGTCGCAATCTGATGATCAGGAATCAGATGAGAGATCTTCGATTTCCGGAGTATATGGCGCTGCCGTTCAACCCGTCAAATCAGTTAAGCCGGAGGTCTTCCCGATCCAGCTGGGCGTCAACAAGCCCCTTAGTGAAAAGGTTCCGGAATATGTCATCGAGCAACAATACACATTGATAAACAAGGAGCTTATACGTCATGAGAACTACTAAGAAGTAGAAATGCCGGTACTGAACAAAAGAGCACTTGTGTAGCACTGATTCGTGTTATTCGACAGTCACGCCGAGCTTGCCTGATCTTTACCACTGCCTTCGCTGAGTCCGGTATCCGTTTCCATAACTGGCCAACAACACGAACTCACGTCGCGGGATACACAATATACCAGAATGCAGATTTCAAAGTCGCTCGAAGTAAAATATCTCGATAAAAGTTCACGTACGAATGAATGCACTCTTCTAACCCCCACCAAACCTCGAACCTTCCTATCCACTCTTATCTAACCCAGCCTTAGCCGCGACCTCAATACCCTTCACCAACTTCTCTGGGCAGCTCAGAAATGGCGAATGAGACGCCTTGATGCTGAACGTCGTAATACCAGCACCCATCGACCCTGCAATTCCTTGCTGCACAATGAGTGGAATCGCCTTGTCCTCCTCACAGTAGATATACGTGCAAGGAATGTTGTGCCAAGGTTCGTGCGTGGATTTGCCAGAGAAGACCGCAGCAGAGGTGTGCTTGAGCTGTGCGATCCATTTCTGTTGCTCGGCAGGGGACATATCGTGGTAGAAGATATCTTCTGGTGTGTCGGGTGTCACGTAATCGCCCTAGAGGATAGATTGTGAGCCATGGGGTTCTCGAAGCAAGGATTCATGACTGCGGGATTCCTATTTCACAAACCTTGATGTTCATCCATGGTAATGGGTTTCCTCCCAGAGCGTCCAGAAGGCTGACGCCCTTTGGCAAAGCGAAAGCGCTCAAGTATACAAAGTTAATTACACCACCCTCCTTGCCAGCAGCTTTCCTGGTTGCAAAGCCCAGGTCCTCAACGGCACAGGATCCCACGACTCCGCCGTACGAATGAGTAACAACCACGACCTTCTTTCCTGCATCTGCTAGCTTCTCAATGGCAGCACGAGTGTGAGCCGCATCATCTTCGAGAGTCTTTGTCGGTGGTTCCGCGCCAATGGAGGGGAGAGCAACTGCTTCAGTTGGGTATCCAAGAGGTTTGAGGAGCTCTCGGACGGCGTCAAAGCCGGCTGGTAAGTGCCATGCTCCTGGCACGAAAAGTACAGTTGGTAGTTTAGTGGTCATATTTGCGATTAGTCTGTTCTCCGACAATATACTTTCCCAAATGGAGGAGGGTTGACGTCTCTGTCCACTGAAATTGACAAATACCAGAATCAGCAAGATTATCCTTCTCCCCCCCCCCTCTTGAGCTGAAAATAGTCTCCATCATTGCCCCATCCCACTGACTCAATCAAAATTACATAATGCAGCGCTCTCCTTTCTTGCCCAAAAATGAGCCAGGCACGCAGTGGAGTTTCGTTTCAAATTGCGTCGTGAGCCACCTCTATCCCGGATTTGACCCCCATGGTGAAAGCCAAATAGAGAAAGATCAGCGAGTGAGAAGTAAAATTCGGAGATTTTATCCACAACAGAAATGCCGTTTGTGGTCTGTTCGCAATTTGAGTTTCCAGACGTCGGGTTACTTTCTTGCCAAGATTTCACTCGCCAGGGTGACCCAATTGCGTTTCGATTGGCAGGGGAAAAGCTGTGGGGATTCTCTTTCCACCTTGGAATATCATTGGCGATTATCTTGGAAAATGACTTGCTTCGATCACCCTTCAGATGATTTTAGCACTTCTTTTATCCAGAATCAAATCGTTCATGTCTTGTTCTGTATGATACGTCAAAACTATGGATGTGAATTGTTCGGACTTGAAAAGAGCTTTGAAAATTCTTACTAAGACTTATTGCTGATGCCACACATGATGGTAGGAATGTGAACAGACCCACCATCTTGGGTTTCGGCACTTGGCTATACTTGCGCATAACTTTCACTATCCCCAAAATCAAACAAGCATATCGATCCGAGTGGTCAAGTTCTGGAACATGGAAATCCTATACTTTTATAGAAGAGCAGATCTCGGTATTTTAACTTTCTCCGCATGTTGACATGACCAGAACATGTAATGTTTGCCTGAGACGAGCTACTTCAGGATGGCTCGCTTCTTGGCTTTGTCGTTTCTGGAAAGTAAGCACTGCTTTCTCGAAGATTTATCTCAACTACTGACTTTCGTTTTTAAGACACAATCTGAATTCATATTCTGGTCACATTCAAACTGGCTGAAATAGCTTTCCACATGTTCTAACGGCTTCCCCATCTCTAGGCTTGGAATAATGTGGTCCCAGTTGTTTGAACAAGGATTTCGGCGAATAGGGGGATTGGATCAAGTCGGCCTGACGATTCTTCCCCTCGCCCTTGACAGGCAAGGTCAACCTTGTATATTCCAAAAGATGGGTGGGGAAGTCGATCTTTTGCACAATGAGTATTTTCTTGCAGGGAGGTTGGCCCTCAAGATGTATAACATGAAGGGGCTGGTCCTCTTACTTTGAGGAGTTGTTGACGGTTTTGTGCTTCTATAGTATACTTCAACATGGCGGACGTGGACCTCACACAGAACCGGCAAGGGGAGTTGAGGGCTACGACCATCGCGATTACCCTTCTTGCTGTCTTTTTTGTTGTTCTCCGATTCATTTCTAGGCGGATGAAAGGGATTGGTATTGGTGCTGATGACATTATGATACTTGTCGCTTTGGTATGTCCGGAGGCCATTTAGGTTGAGTTCAACTGACGAGATTCAGTTCTTCCTTTTCGCAGCATCCGTGACATGTATAATAGGAGTCGAATATGGACTGGGGAAGCACATGGCTGCGTTGAGCCTACCAGAAATTGTTTCGTATGCCAAGGTATGTAACAATACAAGGATCTATTTGATAAAGCTGACAACCGGAGTCTCTGATCGCGTTTGAATGTCTATACGTCACTTGCGTATGTTTTACTAAAATCGCTTTGTTGCTGATGTATCTTCGGATTTTCCCAGTCCGAAGCATCCAAATTGGCGCTTATGTCCTCAGCGCTTTGTCCATATCTTGGTGCATCTCTATCATCATGGTCTCAATCTTCCAATGTACGCCCATCGCAAGAACCTGGAACCCCACACTCCCAGGACACTGCATCAACCTCAAAGGGTCATTCATCGGCAATGCGATTCCAAACATTTTGACTGATGTAGCAATCTTGGCGTTACCGATGCAACAAGTCTGGAGCTTGCACACAAGTACGATGCAGAAGGCTCAAATTTCTTTTGTATTTCTCCTGGGTAGTTTGTAAGCATTCAATATTCTGATGTTGTTGATTTGGCTGACACGTTCGAAAGTGTTATTTTCACAAGCATTTACCGCTTCACAACTCTCTTCCAGTTCCAGCCAGCAGATATCACCTGTAAGTTTTCGTATACAACTATGAACGTTCTCCTTTGTTTGAAATGCTTTGTTCAACTGGGCTACACTAATTTTCAGTAGGGACTCTAGCAACTGCTGAAGTATGGTGCGTCGTGGAGTCCGCATCAGGAATCATCTCAGCATGCCTTCCAACTCTCGGACATCTTATTCAAGTATGCTCGCGTAAGCTAGGAGTTACAAGCGGATTGACATGGAGCTCGCGCGCTCGTACACCCGACCCAAGTACGCAACTCCAGACCATCGGTGGCGGTGGAGGAAAGTCGAACAACAGCAAGATCATGAACAGTGGGACATACGATGATATAAAGCTGAAGACGAATAATCAGAGGCCATTCAGAAGACTGTCAGGCCAGTCTGCTATGTCGGGATTGACCGAAGAGCAGAACGACTGGGAACAACACAGTAACATGAAGTCGACCGTCAGAACACATGATGTGGAAAGTGTAGGCAGCGACGAGGTGCCATTACGGAAGATTGTCATAAAGACAGAGCTGGAATGGCAAGAGACGACTAAGAAGAGTGATGGAGGATATTTCTGATCTCGTCAATCAGTCCATAGCGACGATACGATACGTGTAGGAGTAATGAGGCTGGGGTTGTAAGTGGTAGTCAAGGACGACCGGGATACAATTACCAGCATGGAGCGCGCAAAGATACGCAGCAATGGCTCAAACATGTATGCCACATTTCAAGTAGGGTACCTCAATCGATGGTTTTGAGTAAGACCAAGTCATCGGGTTAGATTCTCGCCTATCACGCATTGTGTACGACGTTAGCAGCAATTCTCGGTCTTGAACAATCGGCCGAACTGCTGCAAAGAGCAGTGCAACGCGGAATTTCTCAAGAAATCTCTTCATATTTGTTCGCAAGCTACAATATAGCTACAACCTGTAATTCGAGGAAATGCATTTCACAATTCTGATGTCAAGTCAAGCTCGGTAGGAATCAAGCAGTAAATACCGACTTAAGTTGACCATTGTGTATCACATTCACGACCACGGAAAAGAAACAAATGGCGACTTAAAGTCTTACTGCAAGGAGACACCAAGTGGCATCTGAAACATCCTATCCGAGTTTTGGACGTGGGTTATTAGTTTCCTGAAATGGTCCGGCTCGCGTGTATATATTCCGATTGCGTCTCTACCGAGACCGTTCCGAAAGTTTACTCATGTCGTCCCATGATGGAGGGCAAGAAAATGCAGATAGGTCGGGATCAGACTAATACACTTTATCTCACATCTCACATCTACGTTTGTTGCATTCGCCTGCGCGAAGTGGCACACACTCTCCGGCAAGATGCAAACTGGAATAGACACGTGACCGTAGGTCATCTCTCAGTAACCCACGGAGATTGTGTTCTACCTTGACAAACAGAGTCTCCATTTCTAAAATGGGCCTTGGAGTTTGGAGGATTAGCCACCATTAACCAGATCTTCCAGGACTCGTAGTGTCACGTGTGCTGACGCCGCAGCCAAACGTCAACCATGTTGCCTTCTCGTTACCTACAGCAGCGCAAGATTCATCTGAGGAACAGCACAGCTAAGTTGATCCACAATGTCGGTTTCAGCGGATACGGACTCAGCTCATCCAGACATGTCAGATGCGCAGGAAGATACGAATGCTGACGCTTCTAGCTCAAAACAAGCGCAGAAAAGGAACCGCCCTACCTTGAGCTGCACGAGCTGTAGACACTCCAAGCTAAAGTGCGATAGAAAGCAGCCATGTTCGCAATGCACCAAAAGAGGAAGATCCTCGCAGTGTAATATCCCACAACAACTTGCTCGGCGTAGACCTCCAGTGAGCATGCAGAACCGATTGAAGCATCTTGAGAGTCTAGTCAAGGATGTCATGGGAGGACACAGTCCGTTACCAGCAACGCAGCATGGCTTTTCAGCGGTAGGCCCATCAATTTCAAGGCAACGGACAGTCTCAGACGGATCTGGAACTCATCTGACCGTTCAGGGAGAGCTGGACACCAGCCCCTCGCCTTCATCTGGCAATATATTGAATCGACCTAATGAGAAGGCAACATATGTCGGCGCTACTCACTGGGCTGCAATTCTGGAAGATGTTCGCTTCTCAATCTCAAATGCATTAGTTCATGCTAATTGTTTAGATCGAAGAAGTCAAAAGCTATTTCGAAGAGGCAGAAGACGTTTTGGACGAGGAGGATATCGGACCCTTCTCCTCTCTTGCCTTCAATGCTGCCACTCCAGCCACCAAGTCTGATCTGCTGGCAGCTTTACCACCTCGAATCGTGGTGGACCGTTTTGTATCAAGATATTTCAACTCGAACAGCCCCAGTCTACGTGAGTGTCATCGATAATCATGGTAAAATCTTTCAAGCTAAGTCAAGCAGAAATAATGCATCGACCATCATTCCAGAGAGCAGTAAGCTATTTAAACACATACTCAGAGCAGTCTTGTACAATTTTTTTCACAGTTGGTTTTGAACCAGATTCGTAATGACTTTTACTTTTGCATCGCAAGTCTGACAATCAGGTAGTACAAAAAGTTCTGGATCGATCCAGGGGAAACGCCAATTTCGTGGCTCGCGTTGATCTTCTCCATGATGATCCAAGCCTCGGTTGCGATACTTGGTTCTGGCGAAGAGTTTCCAGACGCTCGAGGAACTCCAATGGAAATGGTACACTCCTATAGAGAATGTTGTGTGCAATGTTTGGTTCTGTCCAACTACACGAAACCTGGACCATATACAATCGAAACATTCTGTCTGTACATGGAGACAGAATTCCTCCTCAGTATTGGCGATCAGGTTCATTGCTATTTGCTTTGTGGCAACGCTGTTCGCCTTGCGCTTCGCATGGGCTTGCATCGAGATGCAACCAAAGTTGGTGGGGACACCATCTCCCCATTTCAGGCCGAAATGCGAAGACGTGTGTGGTACCACCTGTGCCAAATCGACTTACTTGGTAGTACTCATATGGGTCTCCCGGGAATGGTCCATTGTGTATCAAGCGACTCCATGCCTCCCAAGAACTTGAGAGACGAGGACTTCGACGAGGATTCCTCCGAGGTACCTCCCTCACGACCAGAGTCTGAGTTGACTCCAATGTCCTACACGATTTGCAAAGGCAGAATCTGTCTCATTGCAACAAGTGTTGCAGCACTGGCAAACTTGGTTACAGATCCTCCCTATGACGAAGTCTTGAATCTCGATCGCCAATTACATGGAGCTCGCAGCCAGGTTCCCCAGTTCTACAGGCTGGATTTGTCTGACCTTCCCATTACCGAGTCTCCAGATACCATCATCAAGAAGTATAGCATTGAGCTTCTGTTTCACTCAACTCGATGTATGCTTCACCGAAAGTTTCTCCTCAGGCAGAGAACAAATTCTGAGTACGGGTACTCTAAAGTGGCAGGCGTCGACGCTTCGATACAGCTGCTTCGCTGTCAGGCCTCAATCCACGAAGCAGCTTCCCCGAGTGGACCACTAGCCCGAGATAAATGGTTCTTCTCTACTTTATCTCTACATAACTTCCTCGTCGCGAACATGATAGTCTATCTCAGTATAATGCAGAGCTTCATTGACGCCGATGGCCATCGACTAACATCAGACAAGCTCTCACATGATCAAGAACGTATGATTCATACACTCGAACAGTCAAATACGGTTTGGCAGGGAATGATCGAAGTTTCCGCAGAGGCAAAGAAATGCGCCGCCGTGGTTGGTATCATGACGAACAAGGTCCATCTGGCTCTCGGCGAAGAGCCGGTAAGGAGAACCACTTTCGAAAACATGGAGGCCAGTGAGATGAAAACTGCGAATCTCGTCTCGAGTCTATCTATCGAAGGTATGTTCCTGTTGCAGCACTCAAGGAGCCTGGCTGAACCTGCAGGCATTCGATCTACAGATTCCTCATTTATTTCTCTTACTGAGCCTCAGCATGCGTGGACGACTGGTACTGCATACAGTAATACGCCATCATCGGGGCTTGGAACATCACTTGAGGCGGATCTGATAACATCTCCTATGGAGCCATTCGGAGACATGATCGGCCTACCAGATGGATTTGACTGGGTATGATCATGATCATCGAAGCAGAAGAAGCAAGCTAAACATACCTAGGAACTATTCGACAGCCATGTCCGACCTCCGCCAGTTATCGACCAAGCCTGGCCAGACTTGTCACAGAACTTTGGTATGGAAAATATGGATTTCTAAAATCTATATTCTATCGCAACAGAAGATCCGCTATTAGAGAAACTTGAAATAAAAACACAAAGACCCATATTTTACAAGTATTCCTTCGTCTCGCGATCGCAATATTCCAAAAACTTCTTCGCGGCGCCGGTCCCGCCTTTTGCTTCACTTTTCCAACCGTCTTTGACATCACTTGCCAGTTCTCCTAAGCCACGCAATCGCTGTTAGCTATCTTTTACCAATTTGGTATCATGAAACGAATTTATTACTTTGAATTGAAGAAGTCAAGGGATGTGGAGAGATCGGGAAGCAGGAGTCACTCTCCAAGTGAAGCTTACCTATTCTTCCCCACGCCATTAAGTATGCACCATTGTGTTCAGGTGTAACTTCTGGCGAGAAACCAGCGTAGATTTCGGAATACGCGCCATACACGGGAGACTTGGAAGTGATTGCCTATGCATTTCTTTTAGTACTTGTTTTCGAGCCTGTCTGAAGGGAAAGCAAACCATCACCAGCTTGAGCCCCGGTCCCCAGTGTCTCTGTAGATCTGTTTTCATGAGACCAGGATGCAAGCTCTATTTACGATCAGCGAATTCCTCTATTGCTTTCATGGTCTTTACTTACAACACTCAGAATACCATGTTTTCCAAGTCTTTCGGCGAAATGCAACGCCAACCAAGCACCACCGTTCTTGCTCTGCACTGTCATAAGAACGTAATCAGCGATGTCATTTTTGGTATGAGTATAATGTTACACTGCTTGAATTTCATGTGATGTATATCTGGGACGCATGAAAGCGTCGCTAGCAGGCTCGACTAGTGGGATCCTTGGAGGGCACGTACTGTAATTCGCCATGAATTTGTCCGTAATCACAACGGGCGTGCCATTGGCATCGAAAGTCATGGCCCCTCCAGGTACATATCCTTCCTGAAGGCACGAAATTACGAATACCACGCGGACACTGTTTGCAGATGTGCCTGGCGTGTTCGCGGTTCGGATAAGAATTGGCTCGAGGAGAAGGGTCATAAGATAAGGCGCCAGACAGTTCGTGCCTATTTCGAGATCGTGACCCTGCAAGCCTGTCAGCGATTTCAGTCCCTAGTTGCACCGAAGGAATGCCTACGTGCTTGTCCTTGCTTCCTTTTGGCGGTGTCATAACTCCAGCGTTGTGCATCAAAACATCCAATCTCGTCTCGCGGCTGAGGAAATATTCGACCCCAGACTTCGTGCTCTCAAGATCAGACAAATCCATTACCAAGCTCTCCAATTTGCCAGATTTTATATTATGCTTGGACTTCATGTTTTGGAGGATCTTCTGAATTGCACCTTCGCAGCGCGAAGTGGATCGAGCCGCTACATACACAGTTCCGCCAGCGCCATAGAGGAACTTTGCGAGTTCGAAGCCAACACCGGAAGCTGCGCCAGTGACGATATAGATTTTACCGACAAGTGAAGGAAGATTGCGCTCTGTAAACTTTGGTGATGGTGGAAATAGTGTGGAAAGGGTTGAGACGGGTGGCATTTTGGCGAACGATTGATTGCGACTGTTGTGAATGAGAACGGAGTGGAAGAAATTCTAGTGCTGAATAATGTTGATGGGAACACAGGATGGGATGGATGTGAAGTAGAAGCAGAAAGAGATAGAGGCCATATGGAAGATATATACTGAACAGTTGCCAATACCAGCCATCACCTACCAAGACAAGTCGTCAACAAAGCCAGGCGCTACCCGGATCCGTACGCAAATCTCCGCCGACTCTGGAATCATGCAACACTCCAATGTCCGCTTTGGACACAATTAAAGTGAGAGGTGTCACAATATACTGGACTTTGACACCATTATCGGATTCCTGAAAGCGAAAAGGGGTAGCACGTGATGGATGTATGCCCGATTCTCACTTCCGACTTTTAATGCAGGTCCGAGACCAATCCCATGAAGGGAGCTAAGACTTGTCTGGTCGCTCGGATCTTGGAACTTCAATAGTAGCAGTTTATGGATCACTTCGGGGATGTACCAGGATTAACGCAGTAACGCAGTTCACCTGACCTCGTCGTCCTCCCAGCTAAACTTCCTCCATGCACTTGCAGTTTTGACAACATCTTTCTATTCCATTACCATACGTTCATTACCATACGTTCAGAGTGTTTTATAGAGTAAAACCGGCCCCCTGCTTTCATATCGACCTATTACTCATTATATTATCCTACACATGTTTTGAATTCTCTGCAACCAGTTTTCAAGGGAACAAAGTGGATAAGAATTGTTGAAAATATTAGATTTCAAGAGAAAACTTCTTCCAAAGCTACATTTGCTAGTTTTTAAATCAAGCTGAGTTCTCTCTATGGCATGACAGCGTAATATTCACGCTTGGCGCCCGAGTGTCAGAGCCTGACTTGGGGACTGTGGAAATAGTAATAGTATTGTATTAGGGAGCCATTCTCTAACTAGATCGCTTCAAAAATTCAAATGGAAGTTCTTTCTTCATACGGCCTAAACGCCTCCTGCAATTAATTCCTCTAGCTATGTTCTATGCCCTCCACACCGTTCACGTCTGCAACTCAATAGCATCCTCATCAAACCCACGAATCATTAATCCGCTAGGCTTAAACTTGTCCCCGCGCTTCGAGTAACAGCTCTGCGAATGCATGACGAGAATTCTGAAAGGCCCAGTTACCGCCTCTTCGTTTTCCCATTCTTCCTCCTGTTCCGCACCAGAGCCGGTGACAGAATCATGCTCACCATGCTCATCACCATCCACCGAGTCATTAGAGAAGGGAGCGGATGGAAGACCTAAATCAGCCCAAAATGTAACCTCAGGCCACTCATCAGCAATCCACACGACCAAATCATAGATGAATCCCATCGTTGTTGTTCCTTTCCCTCCTCCCTCCAAGCTCGTGGCTCTTCCCATAAACTTCTCCTTCACGACACAAACCTCGTAATCATTGCCTCCACAGCCGCACCCACCATCCATCTCCACGGTTCCGATCATTCTGGCAGGCTGCACAGGATACATTCTTCGCCAGCTCGCTTCCTCTCTCAAAACTTTAGCTCGTCGAGCTTCATCAACAAACCATGGCTCCGAGCACATCGGCCAGAGAGGTTGACAATTTTCTGTCCCGTCCCCTGCTTCAGGATGCGTGAAGAAGAGTGGCAAAAAGGAGGATAGGAGGGTATTGATTTTCAGTACTGGGCCGCCTTGTTGGTCTTGTGACTCCGACGATGTGGGCTTGAAGAACAGTTTTTGTTGCAGAGCCGGAGAGGATGAGATTGTGCTTGCCCATTTTGGGCTGACGAGGTGTGAGAGAAAGATCGCGCATGGAAAGGTGCGTCAAGATGGCTTCAACGAGCTCGGGAATGGCAAAGACGCGTGTTGTGGCTGAAATTGTTGTTGAATTTTGAGCATTGGCTGCAGGGGAAATATTGATTGGAGTCATCTTCGCTGTCCTCCAAAAGACACCGAGATGCGACGCTGCGAGTATGCCTGAAGCCTAGGCTGCGCAAAATGATTGTTTGGTATTATGACTGCCTCGATCGCCTTCATAGAAAATTGAAGAGAAAGAGAACTGAGTCTAATGGCAGGTGTCACAGATGCCTCGAGAATGCTTTATATGCCCAGGTAAGGTATCCCCTTAACTGCCAGAAACACACATCTACAGTGCACAGCGCTGAAGCGAGGCGCTTAAAATCTGGTAGTTACCTGCACGACAGGGCACGTGCACCAAATCTGAGCCCCGTAAAAAGTGTGTTCTGAATAGCAGTTAAGGGGATAGGAAAGCGTTGGTGACTCGGTGAGTCATGCGGCACTCTTCGGTTACCGTTAACCGAGTCAAATAAATTAATGTTCATATTGCTCTACTTTGAGCTCATTTTTACGGATACAACAATTTCCAATTGTTTCTATAACTAATTTTTCATGGGAAGCGACTCGAGTTTCTGCTTCGAGGTGTCCTTGCTTAAGAAGCATGTGAGCGACTCGTGATACAATTCGACCCGCTTTTCGAATTGTTGCTGAACTCGCTTACTTCAGGCACCACAACACAGCCTCACTCTCACTTCGGCGACCTCGATTTTTATCCTACAACCACAAAATACAGTTTTATTCAAACATCCATCCAATCCTTATTCTGCTACAGATGTCTCTCCTCACCCTCCCCACCGAGCTCCTCCTCCAAATCGCTTCCTACCTCCCAACACCCGCAATAAACAACCTCCTTCAAGCCAGCACTTACCTTCCGATACTCTTCACATCCACTCTCTACCACCCCAATATCACACTCCACCCAAGATAAAACCCAAAACTCCCCATCAACTGGGCGGCCCGCCGTCTACCACCTCGATGCCTCACGCTCATGCATATTTGGTCCTCAAACACCTTGCTTTCCTACCTCCGGACCCTTCCTCTCTCAACAATTGAGCGGGTTGATTCAGACGGACGAACTCTATTGCAACACGCAATTGATCAAAAGAATAACGCCGTGGTAGATATCCTGCTAGAGAAACAACCGGACATCAATCGTGAAGATAAACTAGGCAGAAGCTATCTCAGCCATGCAATTCGCACCCTAAATGTCACCGCAGCACAGAAACTCATAGATTTTGGTGCAGAAATTGAGAACTCGTGCTACATGGACTTACCCCTCTCCTGTCTCTCAGTCAGCTACGGCAGCTTTCGTCTCGCTCATTGTGTAATCTCAGGATTGCAGAAACAAAAACAAGCTCGGGGACGGCCTCTTTTCCTACCTTCCACTCATTCATATTCAGGCTCCGAATCCTCGGAACACATTCTTCCACCACGCCATCTACGCTGGCAACGACTCCACCATCTCCTTCCTCCTCTCCCTCGGCGCCCCAGTTTCTACAGTTGATGCCAAGAACAACACACCACTCATGCTCGCGATCCAATCCGGCAGCGACGCCATCACCAACCTCCTCCTCGACTCTCTTCCTTCTAGTGCCTCTGCTCTCGCCATTCTCGCCAAAAACACAGACTCAGAAACACCCCTCCACTTCCTCTCAGACCGCACTCCCCACCTCTCACCATCCACAATCCAGCGCCTCGTCTCCCTAACCCTCTCATTCGGCGGTTCCAGCGAGATCTCCCACCCATGACTCTCCGACAAAGCAACTCCGCTCCCCCTCTCCGCCTCACGCGCCCACTCAATAGCTGTGCAAATCCTCCTCTCTGCAGGCGCATCTCCCCTACCAATTGACACCAATGGCCTCACACCTCTCCATTGCGCTTTGGAAACTAACGTTGGTCATCAAACATCCACTAAATTCCCCTCTGCGATAATCAATCAGAAGTATCAAGACCAGCAATTAACAATCCAAGCCCTGATTGAAGCCATGTCTCTCCTTGACACAGCGGATACCTTCCTCTCTCGCGGAGACTCCTTCATTCTAAGGATCTGGCAAGGCACCGCTCTCCATTTCGCCGCACGAGCATGCAGCTTACATGCAGTAAACCTTCTTCTCACCGCAGGAACAGACGTACTAGCAGGTGACGCAGCAGGCAGAACACCATTGGAGTGTGCTTTACCGATCTGTAATTCTCGACTACCACCAAGGTTTGAATTCGGGAAGCATAAACAGGATGTTGCGAGGACGAGGAGCAAGGAGGAATGTGAGGAGGTTTGCTTGGTTCTTTCTCGGGCGATGCGAGAGAGGGGTTTGATTTCTCGAAGAAGTTGAGGGGGATTAGAGGGTATAGAGCTCCGGAGAGTAGCTGGTTGGAAGTTCTTGTTGTGGTAGGGATGGAGAGGTTGGAATATTTCATTAGGGGGTGTTTGAGTGGCAGTGAAGTGGAGAAATTGAATGGTTGGTATTAAATCTTGCTCTTGCCATTAATATAATGTAGGTACTTGAGTTCAATATAAACCAGGAGCACTGTCGTATCTCAGCCCGAACATTTCGGCTGTGTTCGCTTACGCCGTAGCAGTGTTTACTCGCAACCCAACAGTCTTTGTGAAGTCGTCTACCAATCAACTGGCATTAGTCACAAATCGCAGAGAGATGCCTTTGTAATCCCATAAGTCCCTTTATAAAAACTTCTAATATATGTTTCAATATCTCTATCTCAATCTACAAGAAAGAAATCCCCAGCCTCGCCACCCCCAAGCTTCGGCGTATCTGCAACTATCCCGTGCACATGAATAGAAGCCCAACGTACAACAGCCTCCCCATTCAAAGACTCAATCGTTCCAGCACATTCTCCCCAAAATACAATTCGAGGACCTCTTGTGGAGCCGACATACCGACCGACTTTACCGTATGCAGAAGAGCAGCCCGAATCGTAGAGACTTGGTGAGGTGGGCAGAAAGTGCTGTTTGTCTGCAACGCTTTGCAACGTGTTCCGGCGACAAGACAGGGCATTAGGTATTGACCAGGTGATGACAATGAACTTGGATTTTTAGTTACCCAGCTTCTCCCGAGCTCCCAGGCTGGCAGATTTCATTCCGAATGGCAGAAAGCTCGAGTAATCATATGTAGTACCTATGCAATTATATGTGAAATCGATCTCTATAAAGGTTAGATTATGAGATGAGGATTAAGAGTCAGTCTTTGATGGATCTGACGTCTAGTGCTTTCTGACTTCAAGTCAATGTATCTACAATGGTAATCCCGCAACGCCCGCTAACTTCAAACTTTCTCAAATCTCCTTTGTATAAACACACGCCCTCTCCCTGCCCTCTATCCCCTCACAAGCATCTCTCAAATTGTTGCCTCTGGATCAAAGTCCTCCCTCCACTCACAAGATAAGCACAAGAACCAACAACAAAACCAGCACAAGAATCAGCACCCCAATACAGCAACTACTCAACCCATCCTCGTTCCTCCTAACCACCTCCCCCATCCTCTTCATCCCTGTCTGCAGTCTGCCCCCCACACGATCCGCCAACCCATCCACAACCTCCAGCATCTCAGCCTGCTCTTCCAGCTCCCGTCCCATATGATCAGCTTGTTGTCTGAGATTCCCAACTGTGCGGAATACCCCGTCGAGATCCCGGTCTTGTTCGGCCATCATGTGCAGTTGTTGCTGGTGTTCAAATTCCGCGTTGTAGTCTGGCTCTTCCTCCCGAAAGGCATTTCCATCTCCATTTGTACTCCCACTGCCATTCCTATTGGCATAGCCCCCACTCCCAGTTTTGGCCAACTCCTCCCTCATATCCTCGACCTCGCCCCCAACCTCATCCACTAACCTCTTCCTTCTACTCACCTCCTCGATCTCCAAGCCGTATTTATACGGATCGCTCTGCACTGCTTTCACACTCTCGACTAGATCCGCGAGGTCTTCTGCTAGAGAGGAGAGCGCGGATGTGAGGTCTGCTTGCGCGGAGAGGAGTTCGGGGGAGGGCGTGCCGGATGAGGTGGGGAGGGAGCGGATGCGGAGGTAGGATGTGAAGAGGGGGCGGGTGGTGGAGAGGGCGGAGAGGACGTCGCTAGAAGAGATGTTAGTTCTGTCTGTTGCACAGAGATGATTGGAGGGGAAATGGAAGAGGAGGAGGCGTACGCTTGGACTTGGAGGAAGGGGTCTTCTTCTTGCGTTGAGGACATCATGGCTGCGGATAGCTTCCTAGCAGCTCAATTCCACCCCTCAAATAGAATCCCAGTTCCCTTCTTCGACAAATATTTCCTTAAATCGATATCCCAGTCTCGTCCGATCCAAATCAAGCCCACCTTCTCATCAACCCACGTTGTCAACAACCTCGTCTCGTGTCGCACCGCACAACTCAACGCAGCTCGCGGACTCGGGTCGACTCCCTATCTCTCGCGAAGCAATCGATCGAGATGAGGTGTAGACTCTCCGCAGTAAAGGTGTCCTGTACTGTCCTGTCCTACCGCGTGGATTTATGCTGTGAGACCTGAGCGGCTGCGGAGACACTTGTATCACTCTGTGCGAGCTGGCGGTCCTGGACCGGGTAGTCGGGCTGGACGGACACGCGGACTCAGCTGCGGATGCCTCGTGGGGAGATGTCGCTGGCCGGATCGCGTGGTAGAGCTGGGAAGGGCACTTATGCTGTGTATGAGACGAAGTATTGGGTGTGGAGGGAGAGGAGGGGGTGTTCGTGCTGTGCTTAGGTTGCCGATGCAGCTGCTCTGTGACGGGCTGATAAGCGTCTTGTTGAGTATTGCTGGATGTATTGATTACTGGCCGCAACGACTGACTGAAGTTTGGAAGGGCTATTCTATGGTTGTTGTTGTCTGTCGAATCATTGGAAGTGCAATGGATAGATAGATAATGTGTTTGGTTGGAGTTGTTATCCTGCCAGATATGACCGGTCATAAGAGACAAGGCTGCTGCAGGGCTGAGGATGGGAGCTCGAATCCTGGCTGCGAGGGGTGGGGTGGGGAAGGCATGAGGCAGCGAAGCTAAGATAGAGTACTGTACGTACCAAATGACTTCTGCTTATTTGTTTGTACGAAGCAAAGACCTTTGTGAAGAATGTAAATTTTCCCAGAGAAACGTTTACCTCAAAGAGCTGAGACTTATTAGTTAGTGTCTTAATCAGGTCGATAGTAACTGTAAAACTGTTCTGTTAACAGCAGACATCACATACAGTTTTTGGGTGCTCTGCTCTGCTCTGCTCTGCTCTGCTTGGCATTCGCTTCGTCCTGCCCTGCCCAGTCGACCGCCAGCGTCCAGAACTGCAACACCGGACATTCGACTCCCACCTCATCCTCTCCTCTCCTCTCCTCTCCTCTCCTCTCCTCTCACAGCATTTCCAACAGTTAACTTCCAACGCGCCTCTTCCGAATGGCCACCCGCTTCAGCTTTGCCTATGTCAACATGCGCATGCATGCACGTGTACTCCACTCCATCTTTCTGCCTTGTCATATTATTTTGCCTACGGTAGAGTAGAGTCCCTACAACATCCTATCCTATTCCCGGGCCTGACACCGAGTGGCTTTCTGACGCGGCTACAGTATCGGCTGCCTTCGAGTTCTCGCCTCTGATCGCCGCTCCTAGGCAGATTCTCCCCTCTTGATCTGCCTGTCTGCCTACCTCGCCTCCTACAGCACCAACTCATGTCATGTCCTGCAGTAGTTCGCACCGGTGCCTGGCAGATATCAGTCAGCAGGTCCACTGGAAATCCAAGTAGACCAAGAATTATTGGACTGATGAGACATAAACATATCTTCTTTGCCCATGCCTATCTTCATCTGTTCCACAGACCTGACTCTGCTGTCCTATCCTATCCTTTTACCAAGCATTTGCATTTCTCCTCTAGCTCTGCTTGAGTCATCCTTTGACCTACATACATATCGTATCCTTGCCTTGCCTTGCCTGCATACATAAATACGTCGTGGTACTCTGCGCCCCAGCACATCCAGTGGATTGGTTGGGAGTCGATCGTTCCTTCCCTTTCATTCGCCTGTGGCAAATCTTGCATGTACAAAAACGCACGCCTACATACAAGTTCGCTGTATCGCCAAGAATTTTCCATTCCGAAAGGACTGAAATATTCCTGACCGTCTTTTGAGTTTAAATATATATTTCATATTTTTCGCTCAATATCCTACCTGAACAAGCGCTTGTATTGTGGGTATACTTGCAGTCGTCACCAGATATCCTCAGCAAGGTTCGCGAGACACATGTCAAGAATCGCCTTGCAACGCCGGCCATTAAGCATTGAACAAACAGAACGTCGCCTGATAGGCCAACAAATTTCCAAGCATGAGGCAGAAATTACCACTCAACACAATAATGCAATCCGCTTTTCCCCAATCCAACTCAAACTCCACAGGATCCGACTCCATACCCGCGTTCTCACCCACCACAATTCTAGAAACATTCGTCCCAGGCTACGGACCCATTCATAAGTTTCTCCTCTACTCCTTTGGCTTCGACGTCACGATCGTTGTCTCTCTAGGCGTTGGTCTCTTCTTAAGCGCCCGAATCTTCCGCTCAATATGGGCCGTCCTGTACGCCATCCTAAGCAGTAACTACATGTCCGAGATCACTGTCAGCAGCAATGATGAGATCCACGCACACCTGATAGCCTTCCTCGCGAACCAATACAGGATCAACTCGTCTCGTCGCCTCATGGCTGACACGCCATCGAAAAGCGCATGGGAGCTTGACAGCGAGGATACTGAGAAGGACGAGACCACGTTGGATGCCGAAGGCAACATCAAATGGCTCAACTTCTCCAACCAGGAAGCTAAGTCACAACCGAGATTTACGCCGGCTATTGGGTCTCACAATTTCTGGCACAAAGGGACGTATTTCCAATTACGACGCAAAGAAGTCTCGATGTTTGATGAGCTGGGAGGTGGAGCAACAGCTTTCAAGGATAAGGAGTTGTTGACTCTGTCGTGTTTTGGCCGATCGACTGAACCGATCAAGAAGCTGATTCAGCACGCAAAAGCGCATTACCATTTGGGTCACAACGCCAAGACTGTTATCAAGCGTCCTGCTCCAAAAGACATGCGTCGATTTGGAGGTAGAGGCAGCTGGGTCAAGATCGCAGAGCGTCCGTGCCGTCCAATGAAGACCGTTGTATTGGACGAGGAGCGCAAGCTGGATGTCTTGTCCGATATCAACGAGTACTTGAACCCAGCTACAGCACGTTGGTACGCGAACCGTGGTATCCCTTACCGCCGCGGCTACCTGTTCTACGGACCTCCCGGTACAGGCAAAACTTCACTCACTTTCGCGTTAGCAGGTGTCTTCGGCCTCGACATCCATGTTGTCTCGCTTCTAGAACCAACATTAACCGAAGAAGAATTGGGAATGCTCTTCACCAATCTACCAGCCCGCTGTATCGTTCTTCTTGAAGATATCGACACGGCAGGCCTCATCCGTGAACCATCGGAAGAAGAGAAGAATGGTAGCCAAGCAGCTGGAAACCCAGGAGACAATGATTGGAATGTGGTGAATTTGACGAAAGCATTGAAAAATGCCAATCGATTGTCCGAAGAGGAGAAGAAGAAGGGGATTTCTCTCTCGGGGCTTTTGAATATTATTGATGGTAAGTCTGCGTCACATTTTTCTTTGGCATCCTAAGATTCCTTTCACTTTTGAACATGATGCTAACATCTCCAGGCGTCGCATCCCACGAAGGCAGAGTCCTAGTAATGACAACCAATCACCCCGAAAAGCTTGACGAAGCACTCATCCGCCCCGGCCGAGTCGACCACCAAGTAGCATTCGGCAACGCCACACAGACCCAAATCAAAGAGCTTTTCGAAAGAATGTACACCAACGACTTACCTCGCACGAAACTCATTATATCTAATCCTACCGTATCTCCAGCTCATAATGAGTCAGAGTCTCAACCTCAGTCATCATCACCGTCAAGTGCACTGTCCCCTCCTTCCACCGCCACCTCCACCTCTACCTCGATCAGCGCCACCGACAGCACAACAGATTCCGTCCCTACTCCTCCAGCCACACCAATTTCACCATCCCCCAATTACCAACCGCCTTTATCCACTCCCGCATCATCTTCGCCACCTAAATCCTCCCCCTCATCAAAAGCCCCACAACCCACTCCCCTTACAGACGCTGAACTCCAGTCCATCGCCTCGCTCTTCTCTCTCGAGATCCCAGACAATGCATTCAGCCCCGCCGAGATCCAAGGCTTCCTCCTCAAGCGGAAGACGGATCCGAGGAAGGCGCTGGCCGAGGTCAGGAGTTGGGTGGAGGGTGTGACAGAGCAGAGAAGAAGAGGAGTAAAAGTTGTTGGTGGAGGTGTGCAGTAGTGGTGTGCAAAGTAGGGAGGGTGGGGGTTAGGATGAGGTGTCATAGCAGTGAGGAGAAATTGACGTCCGTGATTGATCAAGACGGATAAATTAGCAAGAAATTGTCTAGAGGGAAGAGCCCGGGGGGTAAGTCTAATACTTGGAGAAACAATACACGAAATAAGGCAAAGTAACGATTTGACGAAGGCCAGGTCACGAGAGGAGAGGGGCGGTGGTTTTCTAACGTTTGCTCTGGCTTAGGGAAAATACTTTCTATTAATGGGAAAAAGAATGGATTCTGGAATAACAGCACAACAAAGAATAGCGTGGGTAATTTGGAAATAGATTGAACTGGATTGGAACAGGCATGACGGACGGAAACAGGATGGGCCAACAGAGTTTGGCTGAATAGTGGTTAGTAATTTGGTAGGGAGACAGGTACGGGTAAGGGATCTGCATGGTATGGTTTTCTAGTGTATTTGAGTTGCATTATGAACGTATGCCTTTAATTTTCAACATCTTGAATTCTAAACATGAAATGATGAAGATATAGAAAACGAGTCAAGGTTTTGGGGCACTGCAGATAGTTATAAAAAATTCCTGGCATTTTTATTATGAAGCTAACATCTGGGTATCCGCAGGTGTCTCATAATCATAGGAGTAGGAATTAAACTCAAGGCCCTGCTTTATCGATCCCTGCAAGACGTATCATGCTCCCAGGAATCGGATACTGCCAATTTCCCAACCCATTCGCTGTCTGATATCCTCTAGCAAGGGAGCCACGGGTGTAGCATACAGTATGTCAGATGTCCGGTTGTCGTGAAGCTCCAGCACGCATGTCATCGATTACACTTTCAATCGTTACACTTTGAGGAGAAAGGACCGGCGATATCTCCTCGAGTATCGGTTTTGGGATTGGGATTTTGATTTGTGGCACACATTGACGAAGATTCTCCTACTCGATCATTATTAGACTAAGTACGTACAATCGATTTTGACGAATATGCACTTAACTTCCAGCCCACTCCGATTCAATACACGAATTGAATTGAGCGCAACAACAACGTCTCTTGCGCTGTCGAGACTGAGCCCATCCTTTGGAAAGGACAGCTAAAACGGCGTCATAAAGGGCTTGTATGACCAAATCTCTGATCGGTGCTGGTAGCCATATATCGTACATGGAGCTCCGCAAATTGCGGAAACGATTGGAGTATTGTCAACAGCTTTGGCAGGACCTTGTTGTTATCCCCTTAACTGCGTCACGCACGCACATTCTTTCCAGGCTACACTGCCTGAAGCGGCTCGCTAAATTTGATTGTCGCGGGGCCTTTAGCGCATAGACACCTTGAATTCTGGTGACTTTCGCTTAATTTGTGTCTTGCTACAGGGCATGCCTACAGGCTGTGCGGCGAATCGCAGTTAAGTAGATAGACGTTACCGAATTCAGGATCAGTCATGACGTCCAGATGTCGACGTGGAGGGTAGCCAGCCAGTGTTGTTGTGCTCAAGTAGACATCTTGTGCTATTGATAGCGCGTACCTCCAAGAAAGAATGTGCGTATTGTCGTCTTTGCTCTGTACCTAGTCTCGAAAACTCGGGGGAGGGTGGTGTCAGCTTCGCTACTCGTGCTTATACGATGGTTGATGGAGACCGTCACGAGGACTTGGCAAGGGGGTTTGCAGCCATGGGTGTTTGCAGCCATTGCAACTTCGAAGGGGTTGTAAGTGCTGGCACGATTCGAGGACATTTCGAGGTCTTGTGAGAGTCCGCCTGTCCGCTGTTGTTCCTTCTGTGTTCTTTCCCTGGAGTTAATTGCCAGCCAGAAACACGCTTTGACAGGGCACACTAAGTTAGTGCTGAGGCGACACGCTAAATATTCTACAGTAATTTACATTACCTAGTGCTGCCTATCTGAAAAGGAACGTGCACTACCTACCTAGCTTTAGGCCATAAAAAAGGAGTGTTCGTGTTATTGGTTTGCTTTGTTGATATTGCGAGTGAAATGAATCATATATCAATCAATGCCGCATGTGATCGCGCTGAGACAACTGATACCAAAGCCTACCTTATTGGAAGCCTGAGGCGAAATGTCGTCAAGGTGATCGGGCTATGACGGAAAAGCTAGCTGCTCCTGGATATAGTGGCCATCGCTAAACAATATTCACCTGTCTTTACACCTCGCTCTTCATCTTCATGCTCATCACCAGCATTTGGTTCTGAGGAGCCGTCCTTCCAATTCATTACCACATTCAGCGCCGTTTCATCCTTTACAATTTCGTCACACACTATAAAGAGCTCTGTTTCACTTTAAAAAAGCTCCATGAGACAGAGCCATATATGCACATGCCCTAACAGAATAACGGTCCCAGGCATGCTTATTGTCACAAGCAGTTCTGGTCCGTGCACCACCGCACAAAGACTCGTAAATCATTCCTTGACATGCAAGCGTGAAATGGGCTTTTCGACAAGTCTTTGCAAGTGCGAGATCAACATTGGACAGTCTAGAATGTTTATCCCAAGCCTGCTGGTAATAAAGACTTTGTTTTCAAGCTCGCGTAGGTTCTCCGTTACAACATTGAAAACGCGCCATGTCCGTACCCGGTGCGACAATCCATTCACATCTCCACTCTTGTCAATGCATCCTCTTCACGTGACTAATCCACCAAACAGCACCAATGCAAACCTCAGCAGCCTGCCTGTTCCCGTCGGGTACCTTCCTTACTTGGAACATCATATCAGCCTTACCAGGTCTCCACCCATCCCATCTCATTGCAAGCCCTACCTTAGGTATGTACCTATCCGAAAACCCGCCTACCCAGTTCAATCCTGCTAAAACCCAGAAACCTCCACCACGTATCAGCCTTCCTTCTATCCCTCCATCTGTTCAACTTACGTCTTCTTTCTTCTGCATTCAGTGTTGTGTTGCTTCTCGTTCTCAATACCAAAATTACCCGCGGGACAGAACGATCTCAGCTTTATTAAAGTAAAAATCACTTTACTTCCAATACAGCATCTCTTAATGCTATCCCCCCAACTGCCGTATCAAACACACCACACCTGTGGCGAATCCCTGTTAATTAAGCGACGAACGCCGAAATGTGAATACTTTGTTGTCGTCTAGGCAACCTTAGCGCTTCGCTTCAGGGCCGTGCCCTGGAAAAGTGTGTTTACGGCAATTGAAGGGATTTGATAGCTCTAAGCAACACTTATTACGCCGACACATGTTGTGCTCTTCTATGCTTAGAGATGTGGCCCATACATTTAAATTCCAAGAACTCCCACTATCAATGAATCTCCATCCTTCAATTTCCTTCAGATCACAACCGGACAAGTTAAGTAGAGAACACACCAGCAAGAAACAGGCTCTATCCCCCATAAACATTAGCTATATCATCACATGTCAAAGAAACACGAATGTAAAAGAAAACCACAGCGAGCGGTGCCCTAATATGGCAGTCCCGGCGCGCCATCGGAGATACTAATGTCGAAAAGCCATGTAGAGGTTAAACCATCCAACCAAGGTCTCGATGAGCTCGATGAATGCTAGAGCTACGAATGTTTGAGCAGTCTTGGAGGTGTCTGCGAATGTCGCGACGAGGCCTTTCATTACCCTGGGGGTCGCTCGTACCTGCTGAGCATAGGACCATACCTGTATTGGTAAGTTAGCGTGAATCTCCAAGCCGTTACTCAGTCAATATAAAGACGAGGAGAATGCAATGTCCAGTGGGAGTAACCCGGGGAATGGTTTCCTTCGCTTCTTTGCATGAGGAAGTGTGAATTGAAGAATCAAGCTGTACCTGTGACGACACCAAAGTTATTTGCCCCAATGGCAATAAACGCGTTTCCCATAAGTAGCAAGGCCAGGCGGCCCCTTAGTAATGGCTATGTACGCGATCAGGCTGTTTTGATCCCTGCTTACACCCCCCCCCCCCCCCCCCCCCCCCTGTCAGTTCTGGTTCTCTCACAGAAGATATATAAGCTGGTGGTTTCTCCTTTCAAGCTTTTTTGATACCTCAAATAGCTCGAGATTGTCCGCCTTATCCCACACCTGGGATGCGAATACAATTGGAGCTCACGCGTAGGACTGCTCATACAATGCTTCCATACAATCTCTTCAAAGGAGGCTGTCGCCGACCAATCTTCATCAAGAAAAGTTTACCTTGCAACCTTCTCCAAAGAAATGGTCGCAGAGGCATGCACGGTGCTTCAATGCCGATCCTTCGAAAGCAGATTGACAGCGGTCTAGGTAAGTGCACTCAATCTATGTCTGTCCCATAACATATGTTTTGTGATGTCTCGCTTATTCTATATTGCAGAAAACATTGAAGAAGAAGAACTGTATCGATATACTCGACATCGGTGGCTATACAACGAGTCTGAGCAACTTGCAAATCGGTACCGCAAGTTCAATATCTCCAACCTCGTCGAGGTCTCAGTGAATGCTGCTGGTAATGGTGCCAAATCATGTAAGAACCGGTTTGATTGAACCACGACCCCCAGAACGTGAATATCCCGAAGAAAATCGACGCTAACTTCTGAGCATCAGGTGTGGAAATCATCAAATGTGTCGAAGGTCAAAGAAACAAGGCTATGATCATGAAGATGGACAATGGAACGGAAGTTGTAGCAAAGCTTCCTCATCCTAATGCGGGTCCTGCTTTCTATACTACTTCTTCTGAAGTTGCTACCCGAAGTTTTGTACGTTGCTGTCCACTCTTACTCTCACTCCACGTCTAACAGTATGAGTCCAGCTACGTGAAGTTGTGAAGTTCCCCATACCAAAGGTCCTTTCGTACTCGGCCGATGGTGATAATTCAGTAGGTGCTGAATATATTATCGAGGAGAAAGCAGTAGGAGAGCCATTAGAGAAGTTCTGGCCTCGGTGGGACATGGAATCCAAGCGCAACCTTGTGACACAACTCGTCGATTTAGAGACAGACCTTACAGCTGTGACATTCAAAGAGCATGGCTGCATCTATTTCAAGAAGGATCTCAAGGACAAAGGTGTTGATGCTTCTACTTTGCAAGGCAGCTTTACGCCCCTCGAGGCAAAGGCATTTGTTGGTATCGAATCCGATCGTTGGGCCATGGGGCCGTTGACGGAACCAAGATTGTGGCAAGGTGAAAGAGAAAAGATGGCGTTACAGCGAGGTCCTTGTAAGTCCTTCCGGCATCATTGAAGTTTGAAGAGTGTACATACTTATTGATATAGGGAGTGATCCACTGTCGTACATGAGATCTATTGCAGAGAACGAATTAGAGTGGATGGTACTCCACGGAAAGGCCCAAATAAAGCCTTACGACAGACTCGGAGACCCAGAGTATGAGGATTATGATTTTGTTTTGCGGGCATTTCTCAGAGCTTGGCCGAAACTCGATACTAGACCTTTCCCAACTTCACTCTCTCATCCAGATCTCGGCCTGAGCAACGTATACGTCGACCCGTATACAAAGAAAATCACATGCATTACTGGTTGGCAGTCAGCTTCGGCGTCTGAGCCCTTCTTCCAAAGTGAGCTTCCAAGCATGCTTGTCCAATATGGTTCTTGGTTTAGCAGACACGAAAAGCTCGCTGCTGCGGCAAGAAATAACGATTTTACCCCTTACCTAGCCGATCATTACAGAAACATCAAAAGCGTCAAGAACGAAGAGCATTGGGCCGCAGTCAATATTCAGAACCGCTCACTCTTATACGACCCTGTGTCTCTTATCCCTGGTGCTCTAAGCCGCAACGATGTCTTCCCTCTTCAGCGCGTCATGGTCGACATAGGTGCTCACTGGGACATGATCACAGCCGCTCCCTGCCCTTGTTGTGTCGCAGCGACTAAGGGTGTACGAAAGCAAATAGCGAGATCAGGCGAATTCCATGATTTGGCGGTTGCTTATGCAGAAGCATGTCATAACGAAGGAAAAATCCTAAAGGGTGGAATTGTCCGTGCAGAAGACTTCTCCGTGGTAGAACGAGAGAATCGCGAGGCCGTGGAAGCGTTGGTTGGTGAATTCCAGAGAGAAGGTACAAGACGTTGGTTGGAACGGCTTTGGCGTCACATATTCCAACGAGAGATGAATTAAAGTCAGCTGCCAAGCAGTCTTAATTAGCCTATCAATGAGGGGTGACTTAATTTGTCACAATTGGGGGGCCTCGTTGGGTCCTAGAACAGGTGAGATATGGGAATACTCACCAGATCATCCCCAGACAGGTAGAAAACAAACTCTACTCAGATACATGAATACAAAAGCAGTTGCCATTTGACTTTGTACCCACCCATAGCTTTCCGTGACTTTCCTTGATTTACTCCTCCACTTGTACACAATACGTGTACATCTTGATGTTCTCAGACAAATGAAGAAGCACTATTTGTTGAGCTTCCCAAGAGACCCCTCGTAGCCAGTGACCATACATGTATTCGTTATCGCCCTGAAATCATTCAACTCTCCACCTCGTCCTTATCTGATGTCTCGTTCAAGCTTTCCACCAACTCATTTGCCCTTCCGGCCCTTGTCTTCCGCCGGCGTGTGTCTTTCCGCAGCCTTCTCCCCATCAACTCCCTCTCGCCACAGATCTTCTCGGAAGGCTTTCATGTCGAAAGCTTTTCCCGTCATGAATCTAAACTTCTCGCCAATCGGGACATTATTCCTTCTGCCTGGGCCGTTCTTCTTGATCATATTCTTGGCAGCTCGGGCCGTTGGTCGGCTGAGAATAAAGATGCGAGCAGAGGCCATGTTGGGGTTTTGGAGATCTTTGTAGATGGCCAAGCGATGGTTGTTTGTCTTGATGTAGGCGTGTTTTTGCATCTCGTCCGGGCCGAATTTTAGATTTCTGAGCTTATCCTCGCTTTGCTGAGCCTTCTGACACAATTCTTCGACCATGGCCTTGTTGTTTGGTGGCTGGGATGAGAGAGGGGAGGTTCTGGAGAGGTGTCGTTTCGCGCCAAGTCCGAGAGTACCAACAAGTTGAGTCAAGGTCTTGCTGAAAGCCATGTTGTTTTGTGAGCTGACTTGTCGATGCAGAAGTGGAAAGACAGTGTAGTTGGGGAGACCTGAGCTTTATGAGAATGCATTGGAGTGGACGTCATGCTTTGAGAGCCTAGCTTCGCATCTCTGCATTCATGATCTAGTGGGAACTGGCAGTCTCTTTCAAACGCTATGAAGAGAGCGTTGGTATATCGTGGCAATCCTATGGAAGCGTTTGGCGGCTACTAACATGTTCTTGCTTCGCGTCACAAAGAAATGGCAAATATCAAGCAACTTCGCGCAAAAGTGTACCACTTCTGGTACCTCCCCCACTCAGCCAACAAAGAAAGCGCTTGGAACTCTCGGGCAACTGCATCATGAGTTTCAAATCTCTCGATCATTCCCCATCCCTTGTCGATTTCTGAGCTTTGATTTCCCAATCGTCCCCACTTTTTATAGCTACTTGCATGTAGCCGGTAAATAACTTCTTATCTGTACAGGATAAGTTAATCAAAACGACATGAAGCTATTCTTGAGCCGAAACTTGTAGGAAGTTAGTACGATATAGTTTATGATGTATGAAGAAGTCCTGGATTTGGTGGTTTTTGTCACCTCTCAAGCGAGACGCATGTTTATTTAATCATTCGCCACCAGCACCAAATCTCCATCTTTTCTCTTATCCCCTCAACTGCTGTATCAAACACACTCTTTCCAGGGAGGACATAGCTTGTAGCGAGACCCTATGATTAAGCGAAGAACACTAAAATCAGAATGCTGCGTTGTCGTCTAGGCAGCCTCAGCGCCTAGCGCCAGCGCTGTACCCTGGAAAAGTATGTTTTCAGCAGGTGAGGGGTTAGACTGGATGTTCCCTTCGAATGCTTATTCTTGATTGCAGCTCCTATGCCCAGAAGTATCGCTATGATTTTACTCTTGGAATTGAGCTAGAAAAGGCTTGATTACTCTCGCCAAAGAGATTGATCGAGCTAGAGGGGCTTTAGTATGTACTATTAGGATTCTGGTGCGAGCTTTTCACGCCTGAGCCACCCTAATGGGATTTGCTCAGGACGCAAAGGTGACAGAAGACCCGTGTCTTTCACGCCAATGGATTTCCTTGAACTTGAGCGAAGCATTAATCTTCCGCTCCAAGCTCTGATCTTAGTAATGGAAATTCCTTCTCAAAGGGAGCCGGAGCTCTGACTCTCGCTGGGACCCTCCCACTTCTCCATCCAACTTGCATCCACTCCGGTGGCTCCGGGGCACAGATCTATGGAGGCAGATCCGGATTTAAGACATTATTGGAGTGGCTCTGTCATTTATTCAAGGGTGCGAAATGATAACTACACGTCAATTTAAAGGTTTGAGAGTTCCATACCGCATGCAGTAAGTAAGTGATGAACACTGCATGAGGCAATTATTGGAGCCTTGCTCTTGTGGCATTTAAGATTTGAGGATCCAAAGCTTCTTTGGAGGCAGCCAGATAGCACAGAATGCTGGGGTGGGCTTGGGAGGTGGGGGTGGTGGTCATCATCTGGCGTCAGCAAGTTCCCGTCCCGTCATGTCATGACACGACCCGTTCCGTCCAGGACAGTAAAGTAACCCGACCCATCCAAATCCGAGACTGCAAATCGACCTGATTATTAGTACAGTCCTGTCGGAAGTGGAGACTGCCCTTCAGCTTTTCACTGTCTGTTTGACATTGTTTTCTTCTTATCGCTTAACTCATCATCCGTGGGCAGGCCACTGAGCATTCATCGTACGTGGCGGGAGCTAGGTGCCTCGTGAACTGACTGCAGCAGGTGCTTACCTTAATCGTTCTGTCGCATTGAGAATAATACAAAATTCTAACCTATCCAACAAACGCCGCTCGATGCGATAACCCCCACTGCGTTGATACTGAGCATTTTACTCAGCCTGTGGTAAGCGAAGCCTACCTGGACCCAGCGGATAAATGTCTCGTATGCCAATTCGGGATCCAGGACGGGCTGTATTGCGTGCCCACCTGTTCCAGCTTGTTCCAACCTTTGCCCCTTGCCCACCACCGTATACCTCAATCCGATTCGAGTAGATCAGCGGTTATTGACACCCCCATTTCATCCCACATCCGGCATTCGTTCAGGCCAGACTGCTATGCCTTGCGGCGGCTCACATACACTCTATACATTCCAGACTCTTGCCTGTAGGTGTATTTATTTCGCGGTCTGATCGACAGATCTTCTCCATGATCGTCACATTATAATCGGTCAGTATCATTATTTGGGTCGTTCTATTCGGCTGCGGGATCCAGCAGATGTTAGCTAGAATCCATCAGCAGTGCTCGGCAGTCCGAATTACTTGCGATGAGTCAAAGCTTATTAATATGTTGAATACTTGGTATAATTCCGTCCTTGACCCAGTTGGTTGCCCCCGCCGTTGAAGAAATCCAACTTCGCCAATGAAGTAACCCCGTCCACCACAAACAAAGCTTCTTTCCAAGTCTGCTTTCCACGAAGCTGTCAACCCGAACTGCCTATGGAAAATTCGCTTTCCCACTTGGCTTTAATTTGAGTTTTCAACCCCAATTACCACCTTGAAGGTTCGAAGCGCCTGATTGTACATGACCTCAGTAGTGCCATGCTTACTTGTGCTAGGAAACTTGCTATTCGGTGAACAGCCTCATGTGCTGCTCGCGCTCTGTATTGCGCCTTGTGGGTAGAATATGCAATCACTCATTAATACCTAACTGGTACTTCAGGTACCTCACTCTTCTTTATCCTAGCTGGCGATTGATCACCCGTGCCAATAATGGAAAAGGTTGAGCGTCATCGACCGAAGAGTTCTCTCTTGAAGAAGCTTCCGCCTGAAGTGTTCAACATGATTGCACACTACTTGAACATCAAGGATCTTTTTGTGTTATGGGGGCAGCCCTTACCTTCTCCTCAATTCAGTCAAATTATTGGATTCCTATGGTATCCACCTTGACAACCAAGTCAAGACTCGTCGCCTTCAATGGGGTGCTACGGATTTCGGATGTTTCGATCGCCAATCCCAACTTTGTCTGTGTCATTCCTTGTCCAAAGTACTGCATACAGAAAATGGGTTATATCCCCGACAAGTTACAGCTTCTGAACAGTCATTTTTCTTCTTGTATATGCTTCCGTTGTTTCCTTACCTAGAGACCATCCAGTTAGGGCCGGTGAACTCGTCTCGGATCTTTGACGGGGGTTCATTTGGTGTTTTTGTTCGTTTACTCCATGCTATGAAGCAACATCCAAACGCCAAATCCAAAATTCGCTGTATCAAACTCTATGAGAGCGCCCTGATACGGATACCCAGATGTCTTAGTTTCGACTTTAAGCACACGTGCTCGAGCATCCGAAGCCTGCAGGTAGTTTTAGCGAATCCTGCAAGTGCCGACGACCACGAACCGTGTCTACGGAGGGTTTTGGTGTGTCTTTCTCAGCTGGAAACAATTCACGTCGAGATTCGGCGGGACACCATCGGTCTCACGGAAGTCTTCCCCAGACTCGCGTTCAAGAACTTGCGGACTCTTTTCCTCGGCGGAATTGATGCCAGCGTGCAAGAGATGTTAGATCTTGTTGACAGACAGGAACAGCTGCAAGTTCTGACTCTGGACTCTGTACGGCTCGACTCCCGCTTCTTGACATCTGAGTATGGGTGCTTGAGGTCGCTCGTAGCAGGTCTGAATGGTCAGATTCTGGAACAACCTCTGGATTCACAGCCCTTTCAGCTTCGCCTGTCAATGGGGATACAACAAGCCGGATGGGCGTTGGCAACAGATGAACGGAACAACCCACAACGAGGAAATTGTCGCGAAATTGTGACTTCTGACAAGTTGTTGTGCTTCTTGCATTCCTGACCTGCGATGTATCCTATGGCCAACCTCCATGTGCAGGTAATTGGGAATGCCTCTTTTTGTGCTGGATGTTACTTTCAATAGCTTTCATGGGTTTGGGAAGTTTGCATTCGTACGGGGCCCCGCGGGTGGGGGACCCCATCCGCTGGGGACTCGCGGATTTTTTTGGAATCGATTAAAGGGTCATGAGGCCATAAGGCACACACACACCTACTATCACCCTTGTCAGACCTCTGCTTAAGGCACACACGCTGTTTTATTAAGCGAGAATACCCCTCTAAAACCAGTTTCCTTCTAGAAATATACCAAATATTAAGATATTAATATTAATTTAATATCTATACAAATATTATTATAAGACTTTTATAATTCTAATGAAATTAAATACTTGAATTTTTATTATAGTTTTGCTACTAAATAATTCTTCAAAGTTTACAGCTGAGTTCATTTCTCTAAGTCAGCTTCAAGTTATCTCGCTTGTGACAGGTTAAAGCAGCTAGGCAGCGTTTTAGTGTAGCTATTTCTTATTTGGATGCAACTATTCCTCATTTGTGTGTGTGCCTTATGGCCTCATGACCCTTTAATCGATTCTATTTTTTTGATACCCCCCGCGGGGAGCTTATCCCCTCAACTGCCGTATCAAACACACCTGTAGCGAGACCCTGTAATTAAGCGAAGAACGCCGAAATGTGAATACTTTGTTGTCGTCTAGGCAGCCTTGGCGCCTCGCTTTAGCGCTGTGCCCTGGAAAAGTGTGTTTTCAGCAGTTAAGGGGATACATCTTTATATAAGGTAAGAAATGCTTAATTTATGTCCAATAATGAAATATTCATCTAAGCCATACAAGAAGTATGGAAGCTTATCCTTGCAAAGCACCAAAAAAGGCACCGTGGATCACCCGCGAGGGGCGGGGGACGGGGGGAGCGAAAAATCCCCGCCCCTTGTCGCAGTCTAGACATGCAACATCAAGGTGGGTCCCTATGTACTATGAGCTCTGCTGTGAGTTCAATTGTATCGGATCGAGATATAACAAATGTTGGTAATTGCATTACTGGAGACGCTAAAATAATATTTTATGCAATGCTCTTAGGCGAAGTCTGGCTCTGATGGCTAAGCATTCTCTATTTTGTCTCTCTGGTAAGTCTATCAACCCCTAAATTCATCCTCATTATTGCACCTCTGAAGCATCCCACACAACATAACAGTTACGGTCCGAGATATGCTGGGAGTGCCTTCGGCCGAAATAACAAACAGAAACCAATCACCAGGAATGAGAATCCCGGTATCCGCAGGCAAAGCTAGAGTATACACACTCCCGACTTTTCGAATATCATCTAACGGAACTCGTCTCTGATCTGTATTAACCGAATGGGTATTCGTGCCAACTCTCACAAAGGAGAATTCGACGCCTGGCTGATCATCCGTAAGAGTGAGCATCAAGCTTCCTCCAGGACGAACAAAGTACCCGTTGAAATCAACGTTAGTGGACAGAGTTGCGATCTCTGGTCTTTTGGCTTCACTTCCGTCCTCATTGAACAGATAGGGTGGTGAGAAAATTTCGGCATCTGGATGGTCAGATCCTTGTTTTGCACACTTGCCGTCAGGCCGGCACAAGCCACCACCAGCACTAAAAACACGGCCATCAGGTAGGAGGATGGCGGTTGAGTGATAATTCCGAGGGATCTTCATCGCGGCTAGCTCTCGAAATGTCTTGGTCACCGGGTCGAAAAGTTCGGGAACGAAGACGGAGCGCTCATCCGTGAACGACTTGGAGTATGTTTGGCCACCTGTAACGAGAACGGTCCCATCGGGTAGGATAACAGCGTTGGAAAATGCTCGCCCTTGAGCAAGGTCGGGCAGTCGTTCAACTGTAGGTGGCGTACCGGGTTCGTCGATAGTCATAAGGAAGGCTTTCTTGTTAGGAGTACTGCGATCATAACTTGGAGTACCGGCGGCAGTAAGTATTTTCCCCCTTAACGCGTCGTACATAGCGAATATCCCGCACATAGCATCCTCGGTATCGCGAGTCCCAACAGGCTGCACTCGTCCCGATCCAGACCCCCAATACCAGTTCATCTGTTTGCTCGGCCCGGCTTGGAAAACCGATTCGTTACGCCAGCTGAAGAACCATTGGTGGTTATCTCTCTTGTCTTCTACCTCGTCTTGTGTCAATGAAGGTTGCACAAAAGCATCAGGTAATAGTGTCCACGTATTTGCAACCGAGTCGTAAACTTCCCCATCTCTGATACCGACAGGCCCATCCCACGAACCACCAAGCGTAAAAATTCTCCCATCTGATAAAGTTGCCGATGACTGATATCCTCTAGCGACTTGCAAGTTAGGCCCCGCGGTAAAGTTGTTAGTTTTGGGATCATATATGGTAGTGCGATTCGCATCTGTCCCACCAGATATTACCACTCTACCGTCCTGTAGCGTACTGATCCCAGGACAGAACATCTCATGGTTGGTGTTAGTAATATTTCGATGAGAAACTGCCCCGGTCTCAATGTCATACTCTGCAAACTGCGTGCGTCCCTTGGCACCTCCAAACCACAGCGGCTCAAAAGCAGAGAATGCTAACAAACGAGTGATTCTAGGTTTTTCAGACACTAGGAAAACAGCAACTGGGATGACAGGAAACTTGATAACGTCACTCCATTGCCCAGTGACTCTTCTCTCTGCAGGATCTGGTGGCGGGCCAGAGCTAATCCTGATAACCGAATCGACCTTCTTCGAGGGTTTCGTGACAGTCAAAACAACCTTTCGATAGGCGAAGTTGAACACTTTTTCCCATGACGACCCAATACATGATGGTCGACGCGAGCAATCTTCGGCAAGCTGCTCCATGCTTTTCATGTTACCTTCAATTGTGTCGTCACCTCCTGGCATGTCGGTGCCCAAGCAAACAGCAAATTGGTACTGGTTTCTAGTTGTGATGATTCTGGAGGCAGGTAGTCCCCCAGCGCAGACATTTGGGAGACTAGTGGCGTTCCCTGAGACGATAGAGGGTGTCGCATTTAAGGTGCCTTTCGAAAGTGTCGTGCTCCGGGTTGAGGTGGCGCTTGTTGATAGGGTGGCGCTGCTCCATGGGGAAACATATTGAGCAATCACCGAGAAAATAAAAGTCAGTAGAAGCAGGGTTTGGGAAACAAACATTATCGCAATCGCATTATGGGCAAGTCCTTGGCTGCTGTGCAGAAATCAAAGGGAAGCAAAAGATTCATCGATGACGCCGTCTGAGAACACCGCAGAGCCGCAAAGTAGACAAAAAGGGGTCTTCGTCCTAAAAACTTGCTAGGCTAGTACACAAGCAATTGTAGCATAGCCGAGGAACATCTTGAGCCAATTAGTTCTATTGTATGGGGATACTTGGCGCCTTGCAAGAGTCAGATAGGTGTAGTCTCATGCACTATTGAGAGCGGACTTCTGGGTCTAGACAAGGTAAGCGATAGTTTGGAGGGCTCGGGACAAAACTCACCAATCATCTGCCAGTGCGGCCCAGCCGAAGAGAGATCTGGGCTTGCAACAATCCACACAGTCGAGACAGTCCAAATGGTGCATCGCTTACTTTGCTTTGCTACGACGGCTGTTGAAGTTGAGAACTCGAGATTCTGAGAACGGTTTCGAATATAAATATGAAAGGGGAGGGGGGACCACATGAATTGGCATAGGTACTGTACCTTCCAGACTCGAAAGGATGCGGGGTCGGGAAGCAAGTCAGCGAGCGAATCGGTTGCCGTGAATTATTTCCAGGTTCCTTTTTACTGTAAACGATCAATGGCGCTCGCTAGTCAACCCCGGCTACAGTACCGAGATCAACACGTCCCGTCCCACAAGAACTGGCCGCGCTCCAAATGTTTTCCAAGGTTTGCTGCAGAATGCTTCTTGATCCCAATAAATGAAATGAAGGCAGGAGCAACTTGTAATCTCGTCAAAAATTGTTTCTTGAGCATTCTTGGACCAACTTTCACTTCGCTCCCTAGCTGCACTTACCCAGTCGAGCCCAGTCGAGCCCAGTCGAGCCCAGTCGGGAGCATTCAGGCTTGGACAGAGCCGTTCTCATATCTAGGTACTTGACCGGAAGTGCGCTCGTTCATACGTATATTGCCCAAATGTTTTCGTCGAAGGTGGAAGTGCCACATTTCTGGAGTAAAACGGGTCGTGAAGAACCAAAGGCAAGATAAATTTACTACCAATATTGAATTGAATGCAATACTCGAAAGCAGAAGGCTGACTTTTTAGAGCTTTCAAAAGGCCGTTCTATAGATTACTTTGGTGAAACTGAGGTTTATCGGTTAAGCGGTGTCTCGAATGTCAGCAGGCGCGTAACATTACCCCTTTCGGCACTGTCGGTCTTCTTTCCAGGTGCTGTTAAGCGATGACATAAGCTGCACCTCAACACCTCAACAGCTGCCTGAAAGCGAATCTAGACTTGACCGGTCAGCTTTATAGACCATCTCATGCAACATCGTAAAGTAACGACATCGTGAAGTACATTGACTGATTGTATGATTGATTCACCACCACGATGAATGGTAAATCCATTCCAACACCTGGCGATCAAACATCCTCGACTTCCTTCGCGCCCCCTCTTCCGAATCCTGCCCTCTACACTACTAAAGATCACAGAATCTACCATGCTCCATCGCCGCCACTATATCCTGGGCCAGATGACTGCATTATTCATTTCCGCGCCAATGGCATATGCGGGTAAGCAGTTGTTCACATTCCCGTGCCACAGGTCTAAAGTGTCCCTCAGTTCCGATCTACATTTCTGGAAGACTGGAGAGATAGGTACCTGTATCGTGTCCTCCGACTACGTCCTCGGCCACGAAGGAGCCGGCGTAGTCGTCTTCACAGGTTTCAACGTGAAGCATCTCGGCCCTGGTGATCGCGTTGCCATTGAGCCGGGAGTGCCTTGCCACGAATGCCGCAATTGCACAACAGGCGAGTACAACCTGTGTGCAGATGTTCAGTTTTCCGGCGCACCGCCTTTTCACGGCTCGATTCGTCGATATCACGTTCATCGAGCGAAGTATCTGCACAAACTGCCAGATGAATTGTCCTTCAGCGACGGCGCCTTGTTGGAACCTTTGAGCGTCGTATTGCATGCATTTGAGCGCGTACCGGTTCGGTTGGGCCAGCCTGTTTTAATATGCGGCGCTGGACCAATTGGCCTGATTGCTTTGGCCGCGGCAAAGGCGAGCGGAGCGTGGCCGCTGGTGATCACAGACATTGATGCTTCGAGGTTGGAATTTGCGAAGAAGTTTGTACCAGAATGTGATGTTTATCTGTCACCTCTGCATGGTAAACCAGAAGATATCGCTGCCGATATTACAGCTTTATTCACCGAGGGAGTCGGGAGCGATCAACCAAGCGTTGTGTATGAATGCTCGGGCGTGCACAGTAGCTTTAACACAGCGATATATGCGTGCCAGAGAGGTGGACAGGTCATGATTGTTGGAGTAGGGAAAGCTATCCTAGATGGGCTTCCGTTCATGCATGCGTCTCTCGCTGAGGTATGGGTTTCTGTGCAAGAGCATCCATCCTCCCTGTGAATAATGTTACTAATACTTACACCCTAGATTGATATCAAATTCATTAATCGGTATCACCACTCATGGCCATATGCGATTCGTTTGCTGCAGTCTGGTTACATCAATCTGAGGCCACTGATCACGCATACTTTCCAACTGGATGATTGTGTGAACGCTCTACAGACTGCGGCTGATCGGACGAAAAACTCAGTCAAGATACATATTTTAGATGGAGACCAAGAGTGATGGAGACGGTTTGCAAAAAGTGATTTTTGAGGCTGCGTTTTCTTGGTGGCGTGACGTATTTCTTTACACACAGAAAAGGCCCAAAAGAATGTCACTGCATAGCACACCGCCTCATATGCATCCTTTCTGAATTTTGACATGATAATAAGACAACTGGGACACCAAGAGACGTATCTATTCTTTCGAGGAAGAACAGGTACATCAAACCCAAATTCAGGCATTGTAGGCTTTTTCCCCACGCTGTTGAGAAGTGTTTGTTTCAAGGTTCGCCAAACCGCCGAATTTTTCCGCCAACAGACCGTCGCAACATCTGCCAATCATAGATGGTGGGTTAGTGAGACAACTTCATGCTATGATGCGTACGACCTGGAACAAGAGAAACAAGTCCTTCGTGAAAGTGAGATTTGGTTTACAGGTGAGCTTAGTATGTTTAATTCGTATTGCCCTAAGACGATTTTATACAGATACTTCACTTATGCTTTCCAACAAACGCCACGACCTTCGCAACGAAATCCTGCGGGCTCTCCTCCGCCGTTCAATGTCCACTCTGCAGCACTTTCACAACCTCTACATTCTTTTAGAACTCGCGAGTCTGCTCCTCCGCAACTTCCAGTAGAATACTCATCTCACCACACAAAGCAGCAGCGGGCATCTTCAGCAGCCCCGATTTCTTCAACATTGCCTGATTGTCCTTGGCATCCTGTGGGAAAGCACGGTGGAGCTCGAATCCAGCATGCATGCCACCGGGTTGGGCGAAACTGGCAGCGTAGTGATCGACATCTCGTGGTGTGATACCCACTGGATTGAAGCCAAGGCGATCGTAGAAGTGCTTGATATATATCTTCTCCCGTCCCTGGGTGAGTAGTTCAGGGAGGTCTAGTTGCTGTTGGAACTTAAAGTGCCACATGCCAGGAGAGTTCTTGAAGATGGACTCGTACGGTTTAGCGACGGGTAGGGGGCACTCTCCAAACATTACCGAGCGAGTATGATCTGGGTGTGACTCCTTCTCAAGTTACTCGAATCAAACATGCGTCTCAAGCTCTCAGGTCCAGACTTCAAAAGTCAAGATCCCGTATCGGCTCTCGCAGACTTCAGATAGCATGTAGTCATGTATGAGAAACAATACGTGCCCCTTGGATTAACAGAGGAGAGAAATGAATATCCTTACTGCCAAATGATCGACGTCGGAAGAAAGTTAGTCATCCATAACATCTCCGGTTTCCTCGCTACAGAAGCCGTACACTATCTGCAACAATTTAATCTTCTTCCAAGACAGAGATGGCTTACTCGACATGGAGAATCCCACGATGATGCTGCCAGTCGGATTGGAGGCCATGCGGAGCTCACCCCTACTGGAGTCAAATACGCAGAAGCATTGTCGTGATTCATTGATTGCCACAGAGACGCGTGGGCCATGTCACAACAGGTGGTAGATGGCGTTCACAAGAATGAACCTTCGGAGAATCTGCAACGAGGCACGCCGGCCAACCATAATCCCAGAAAATTCCAGGTCTGGACCTCAATGATGCAAAGAAGTATACAGACAGCACAAAACATCTCAGCGCCAGAGTACCAGACGAAACATCTCCGCATGCTAGACGAGTTAAACGCCGGCGTTCTCGAAGGCTTGACGTGCGACGAGGTCAAAGACTTTTACGCAGATTGGTATTCTCATCGTCAAATGGACAAATTTCATTCCCGGTATCCTGGCACTGCCGGTGAGGGGTATTTTGATGTGACGAACAGACTCAAGGCGGTTATCCTGCGCGTAGAATCCGAGACGGATCATGTTCTGTTGATCTCTGGGCTCGCTGTCACACGCATTCTCTTGGCCTATTTTAAAAGGCTCCATAGTGAGGACATCGTGGATTTGCATGTCCCACTCGGCACTTTGCATGTATTGGAACCGGTAAGATACTTATTTGATTCTATGATTGCGAATTTTGGCCATTCAGAAGAGTGTCGACTGACGTACTTGACAGAAACCATATGGTGTGGAGGATCGGATTTATGTGTACAATTCTGCGACAGAGTGGTTTGATTTGAAAGAGTAGGAGGAAGTTATGCTATCATCATACATTGCAGCCTATACATGCAAATAAACCAAACACTGGACACTAATTGTCTCATCAGATGTCAGAAGATAGCTTCTCTGTAGAGGCCTGGTATAAGTGTGGTTATTTCACGACAGCTCGGCACATGAACAGTAGTTCTTGGTAGAAGTTTCCAACCCCAGTTAGGCAGCTCTTCATATTTTGTTAACAGACACATACTATAGCTGTACTATCAATGGATCGAAATATCTGACAAAGGACATAACGTTGGAGTGTGTTGTCATCCTGACAATCAACATGCGATACCGAATCGTCCCGAATCCTCAGGTACATTCGCCTCAGAGTTCCTTGACATGAACTGTGGCTCTGTAAGCGCAGGACAGAGTCCAGACCATTAAAGGCGTGGTCATCGAATGCTGCCGAACCAGGGGCTTTATCACTAAGTACCCCGCATCAGAAAGTCTGGAGGCGAGACGGAAGCGTTAATCTGCGTTCTATTCCACCAAAACAGGTTAAGCGAGGTTCTCCACTCAAGCGAACCCATCTAATTGCCTAAACGGGCAATTTTAGGCGCTGCCACCCTTTCGAAGCGCTACGCCCTGCCTTTCCAAGACCGAGAAGGTTCATATTGGATACTGATATTCAACACAGGGACAAAGTTATGTCGTCTAGAGTGTTTTCTCGCAGGGTTGCCGAGTTGTGATTGTGTTTATTGAACAATACATATGATATAAGTTTCAGTTTACGCCTGGTGCGCCCACTGCTGAAGGCACATCACAATATCCTGTCCAGCAACTGTCTTCGACATTTCGACACAATGGCACCATCACTTGCAGAGTACGAGGACGTCGCAGCCCTGCAGCCCATCAAGATCGATCGACACAAGTTCGCCAACATCCATGCGCCTGACAGCAGATCCATACCGCAACACACGACTCTATTGGAACTGGTGAGAATGGGCCTACTCATCAATCTATTGCCCTCGCTGCTTTATATCGTGCGATGCCGAACTTATTGTATATCCGCCCCTGCGACACCGAAGAAGTAGCCGGCGCATTCATCACCGCTCTCAATGCTACCTCCACTCCTACCTTGCTCTCCTTGTCGCGCCAGAACCTCACTCAGTTCCCACAGTACTCCTCTCGGGAAGGTGTCCAGAAGGGCGCACACGTCTTCATCGAACGAGACGACGCCGACGTGACTATCATCGGTGTCGGCTCCGAGATGGGCTTCGCAATGCAAACCACGGAGGCTCTTGAACGGGACTACAACATTAAAGCCAGAATCGTCAGTTTTCCTTGCCAGAGACTGTTCGACCAACAAAGCAAACAGTACAAAGAGAGTGTGCTCCGCCATAAGAGCAAAACACCGATTGTGGTTATCGAGGCATACGTGGCTTACGGGTGGGAACGCTATGCCGATGCGAGCATTAGTATGAGCAGTTTTGGCAAGAGTTTACCAGGTGCTGATGCGTATAAGCATTTTGGATTTGAGCCTCCGGTCATGGCTGAGAAGATTAGAGGTCTTGTGGAGGAGGTTCGGCAAGAAGGGATTGAGTCGTTGAAGGGTGATTTCAGGGATTTAAATGGAACTTTGGGCTATGGCTTTGAACACTGAAAGTGCATATTTCCCGCATGCTGTTGCCAGCAATGCCTGATAGATAGCTGTTTATATGAGGAGTTCGGGGTAGCGCATACATATCAATAGAAATCTTGACTGAAACCCACGAAAGTACTACCCAAAACTTCGGGAGAGAGTGATGCGGATGTATGCCAGGTGAAACTCGGCCACACTCAGTGATAGACGTGTATCATTCATTTCGGTGACTGTCCCTAATCTACAATTCCATGTGGAAGAATGGAGACATAATCCAGAGGAGCCAATTCAGCCCCGCTCGGCACACCAATCACCTTGACCACCTCTCCTTTCTGGATCTTAATACTAGGAAATGTGATTCGCGTCGCAGAGTGTCCATCGAGGTAAGCAAACGGCTCATGTCCAAGGCTGTCTTCATTGTTCCCTGCCCATTTCCCAATCAGCCTGTTACCAATGTGTAATTCCCATTGCGATCTACCTCCGTTCAAATCGAAATAGTTGACTGCAACATCGTACACGCCAGAAGGGAAGTCTAAGACAGAGCTTGCTGTTCCTGTCGTAGTGTTGGATGTTGTGACGACTGCGTTGTACTTGGATGCAGTCTCAAAGGGCGTGACAGGCACAACCTTGTAGCCAGTCAAGGTCATATTCTCAGCTTCGATGCGCCACCGATAGTTGCCAACGCGCCTGGCTTCGTCCGGTATGCCAGACAGATTACAGTAGAAGTTGTTGATGGCATCGCGCCAGACGATAGAATGGCCCGATTGGTATTTCAATCTGAATAGTACAGCTTCGTATCGTTCGTTGTCAATCTTGCCCTTCAGCGATTCCCATAATGGCACAAAGGTCTGAGCAGTTGCGGCTCCTTTGTAGTGAGCATCATAGAAGTGTTGGATAACGGTCTTACCGGATTGGAGACGATAGTTGTAATTAACATGATGGAACCAGAGCAAGAGCTCATCCGGGGTCGTTTCAGGCTTCTCAAATCTAGCTGCGACTTCAGCCGGGTACTGTCCGGAAAAGCCCGTGCCGTTGTAAACTGTGCGGTCCATCCCAATTGAGTTCCTATCTGCCCGAGTCCATTGGCCCCAGCCATTGTTGTCTTGGGATGCCGGATTAGGTCCGAAATGGGTGTACAGGATATCCGTCAGAGTTTGAATCCCTAGGTTGCCGCTGTAGTTCTCGTACGCCTGCCAAGACTCCATGGACATCTTGGTGATGACATTCAGCACTTTTCGATCAAGTCCAAATGTGAGACGAATCCAGTCTTGCAAAATATCTTGGGAATCTTCTGTGGGATCCCATGCCAAGCGGCCGTATGCATATAAGTTTGACATTGCCAGATGGCTTCCCAGCCAGGTGTTGTTCGTCCCGACGTTCACGACAGCGGCTGAGCCTCCTAAAGGTCGGTTTAAACGTTCACTGGAGATGATATCTCTGACCAAGGACTTCTTCCCATCAACACGAAGGTCGAAACCCAGGATTGTTTTCCAGAGAGGCGGCAAGTAGACGAGGTGGTTTTGCTGCCCAAGATATTCCTGTGCGACCTGAAGCTCCACGGCAGTGCTAGTTTTCTTCAAGTGAGAGAAGAGAGGCGAGACAGGCTCTCGAATTTGGAAGTCGATTGGCCCATACTTGATTTGGACGACAACATTATCGTCAAACTTGCCATCCAGATCCTTGAAGAACTCAACAGCCGCATTCGCACGGTCTGCCTTCCAATTAGACTGATTGAGCTGATCGTACACAAATGCACGGAACATGACAATTCCGCCATGAGGCTCAAGGGCCTTTGCAAGAAGGTTTGCGCCTTCCGCCAGTGTGCGGTTGTAGTGCAATGGGCCAGGCTGCCCTTCTAAGTTTGCCTTGACGAGATAGCCAGCCATATCAGGGACACGACGGTAAATCTGATTGGTGACGTTGGTCCAAAAAGAAATCACAGAAGGATCTAGGGGATCAGAGGTGTTCAAACCGAATGCTTCAGGAGAAGCGAAATTGAGAGACATTCCCAATTGAACTCCATATGGTCGGAAAGCGTCTGCTATTCGGCCGAGTCCTTCGATGTTGTCGGCACTAAGCAGAGTTGCGTTTGCGTTGACGTTGTTGACAACCACTGCATTGACGCGGATGGAAGCAAGGAGGCGGGCATATTGAGCTGCTCTGGTCATATTTTGCACAACATGGCCTTTCTCAAAGAAAATCGATGGTCCACCATAACCACGTTCCACACTTCCATGGGTTCCGCTATCGTCGAGGTTGTCCCACTGATTCACCCAACGGATTGGTGCATTTGGGTTTGTGGCATATGCAATTGGCTTGAAATTGCCCTGCGCAATTGACGATAGGTACTCGAAGGCTCCATAAAGAGCTCCCCGCTCATTCTGGCCCAGAATTTGAACGGTACTGCCTTTGGTATTAAGCCAGAATCCTTCCTCGTCGAGGTTGGGGACGCCTCGAGGTCTGCCGTAAGCTTTGGTGTACGAATCGACAGTTCCAACGATGATCGACGATCCAGCATTGGGTCCCTGATGGGACAAGCTGAGAGTCTTGCCCAATATACCTTTGATACCTGCTTGAAGTTCCAGTCCGGCCGTGTATATTGGACTTGTCGTGGAATCATTGAATGCAACGATAGCTGAAGGAATGGCGCCGGCGTGCTGGCTTGCATCTGGAAGAGGCGCATATCGTAGCCAACCACTCAGTCCGTTCTCGCCTGCAGCCAAGCTGAGGGAGGCTGAGAAAGTAAAGAAAACACGGCGCATGATAAGTATAGGAGGTGATATTGAAGCATTGTTCCCAGTTCCAAGGGACAGAAACGAGTATTAAGAGACCTCGGAGTTGATGAATTGAACTGGAAAAACTACGCAGATCAACACCAAGACTGACATTCACGTCGGGGCAGAATTCGTGATTTAGGCAAAATACCTAGCGTGGAGGTGTCAATACCGCAGTAGACTAGATTGAAGTCTAGTGGATTCGGCTGATATTTGCCGGAAAGCTTTATTCGAGCGAACAAGACTTTTTCATCCCACTTTCAGAAACGTTAATGCGGGGTACGGGATTGCCCTACTGTAACTTAGCACCCAAGCAGGGGGATCTGTGGGGGGGTAGAATATAGGTAGTGTTTCACCGGCGCACTGCGCCTGTTACAGCGGCGCATGCGCAATCGATTTTTGGTGGGGGAGCCTGGCGCATGCGCCTGAACTAAGGATTTGGCAGCGCAGGCTATCTTTACTACGCTGAAGAACGCTGAAATACCTACAAGAGGTAGCCTGTAAAAATCCTAAGACACTGAATAGTAAATACTTAAGTAAGAGGTAAATAAAGTAAGCCTTTGTACTCCTTATACTACCTTAAAAGTAAAAGCAGGGGTTAAAGAATCGTTTTAGGATTATATAGTTCTTTCTTAAAAAATTGTTTCTTATTAAAAACGTTCCTAGGCTTACGATTATCTTACCTATCTTTTTGCTTAAGGCAAATGATTATCCGTGCTATGCGCTGCTAAGATCCTTAGTTCAGGCGCATGCGCTAGGCTCCCCCACTAAAAATCGATTGCGCATGCGCCGCTGTAACAGGCGCAGTGCGCCGGTGAAACACTTCCTGTAGAATATGCTCGGAAAACAGCGAGAGTGTCCGAGGCGCATCGATAGTCGAGCACTTTGTTCCAACTTGAAGTACCTGACTCCTGATAATTGACATTCTATCGTGGTTTCCTCATCAGGGTCTCATGGACCACTTTCCGTCTGGAAATATCAAGCTCAATTGTTGAGACAGCAAAATTCCTGGGATGGAAAGCAAAACTTGTTCGAGTCACCATGCGGAAAAACAATAGTGTATCTGACCCTCAACATGAATACCACAGCGCAGAAGAGAAACAAGAAAAAGGGTAGAGCGTGTACTGATCATGGAGCTCTTTTATACTGTCATAACCAGTAGAACTTCTGCAATAAGTTTGCAGAGGCTGGCAACGGTAAGAGAGTCGGCGAAAGGTTTCAGTGGTAGTATGTCCACAAGAGTTATATGAATGGGTATTCCGAAAAATGAAGAGTCTCTTCAGATTTAGACAACAAAACCAAGTAATGTCCCATCCTCAAGCGTAGACGACAGAACACAGACACTGCTCGATGGGTTCACTGAACTGCAAATCACTAGATACATGATATGCATGGCGTTTAGTTTGATCAGCTCAGCCGAGATGGACAATTCTGGTTGTCCAAACTTTTCACTGCCGCTGACTGCAGACTCATTCCAGTATCTGCCGGACGAGCTGAATATCTCACCACAGTAGTGGCTCCAGTAGCTAATCTCACTCAAACGGGCGATGTTCCTGGCTGAGGGTGACTGTAATGATGCTGAGGTTAGGCTCACACCAACTCCACTATCGGGACCAAAAGATCGTACTATTCAGCGCAGCTGAATATGCCTAACTCGTGTTACATCAACTATTGCCACGTGCCCTTACAATATCTCCCCTCTTAGCACGCTTGTCCTCAAGCGTCTAAAGCTGAAGAATTGTCGTGACGCATCGGATTACTTAACACGTTAAACCCCCAAGGGATATGACGTTAACTGTCCTCACAAGTAAACTCGTCTGGAGGAGAGCCTTTTTCGATAATATCACCCCTTGTCAGCACAGTCAATAGTTGGTTCGCTTAGAGGGCCGCTACTTCGGCCTTCACTCGGCTTTCGAGTTACCCCTTATATCGCGAAAACTATCTGCGTACCGGGGCGCTGAACTCCACTATCAGGACCAAAAGATCGTACTATTCAGCGCAGCTGAATATGCCTAACTCGTGTTATACCGACTATTGCCACGTGCCCTTACAGTGACACACGTACTGTTATGCCCGAACATCAGAACGGCTGAGATCGCAATAGGGCTGAAGCCAAGCTCGCTTGAGCTATCACTATTTACCGTCGCTTGCCGTTGAGCGGGTGCAGTGCCTTAAGTATTAGCCAACCAAAGCTGTGTGCAACAGATGCTGCATGCAATTGATACCGTTATTAGAGTTAGATATTGCACCTTGTTTCGGAATATAGCTTCGGGTGTTTTAAAAGCTATAAGATAAATTCCAGTGTTTTAGCTATAAGGTAAATTCCGGTGTTTTAGAAGTTACCAGTATAAGGTTTCCTTCTTACGGATTTCGGGAAACTACTAGATTTATAAGCTAGCCGGTTTCATAAGCTAGAGCCTCTGGAACCTTCCGGTTTTACAGTAGAAGTAATATGAGCTAGCTTAATACTATCCCAAATTAGGAAATGGAACGTAGTTATATAGAGCTAGAGATCCCCTCGAAATAATGGAATCATTATACACTCCAAATATCTCTACTTTACAACCGTATCACAAACAGGGCCATCAAATGCCAGCGAATGAAAGCCAGAGGACAATCCTAGAGGATTCCAAGCCTCCAAGGTTTGAAAAGCAATGGTAGATGATAATGAAGAATCCTTTCACCGCTTCATCATTCCCTCGTCGGCGATTTTTCATCGATCTCAACATTCACGATGCGACCCCTCCATATTGTTCTTAGCCTTGGTTTGGCCGCTGCAGTTATATGGGATGGACCAAAGTCGACGGATCCAGCAAATCTGATTACTGCGAGTATCAGTCCGAAGCCTACTCAAGCTACCGAGCTGGTAAGAAGAAAGAGAGATGCCTGGCCTGCAAGCTTCTGCGGATTCGTGGGTGGTATTTCCTGTGAGTTTCTCCAACAGGTAAAGGGATGTTTGACTGAAGGAGTAGCTCTTGGTGCGACTTGCTCTCCGCATTCGTCTTGTGTTTGGAACACCGATTACTTCGTCGTTGGATGCTGTGCAACCGAGAGCAAGGCTTGCCTGTTTTTTACTTCGTGCATTGATAAGAACTCGCCAGCTACCGCCGCAGATGACTCTCTCGTTTTCACATGGTACATTCTCTCGGTGCAAAACTGATCATTGAATCTAACATGGACAGCCGTGGAACGAAAACATGTTTCCAAAACAACTATCCCTCGAACTACAGGCAATGGGTAAGCTGCTTGCCCGTGTGTATGGTGTTACTGACTTTGTAGGGATGCGGATACAATGCCACTTTCATCGCCCTAACATACGAGAACATGAGTGCGGACGCAGCAACAATTCAACAGGCATTCATTGGAACCGCCGAACTCCTGGCCATGACTACAGTGACAGCAACAACGATTTCCACAATCACAGCTGTTTCAGAATCTTCGTCGAAAAGCCCTAGTACTGGTACAATCGTCGGAGCGGCGGTTGGAGGGTCGGCTATCTTCGTTGTCGGAGCTGTCATTATTGCTGCTCTATTGTTGAGGCGCAGGCAAAACACCCAGCCAGCCATATCAGGACCAATCAGTCCCATAAGCAGTCCAGGGATGACAGGCCAAGGGAGCGCTCAGATGGTCGGCTTCCACCATCCGACAGGCAGTCACTTCAACAGAGACCAATTCCAGCCCATTGTGCTGGCTACAGGACATTCTCCTGGAAATTCGACATATTCCCATCCGCAATTTGATCAGGGCTACCCGCCTCCGCAGCCCAGTCTAAATCATATAGATGGAATATATCAGGCTTATCGACCGCCCCAGTCACCGGGCCCGCTGCCTATGTCTCCAACACCCCGAGAGATGGATGCTCGAAGCACAAGAAGTTTTGGGGTAATGTCGAGGAAGCCTGTGGCTGGCGACGAAGATGTGGCTCCGCCTTTGCCATTCACGTCTCCTTCACGTTGAAGTTGGCATTCTGTGAGGATTGATGAACAAGGATTTATGCGACAAGATGGTATGACTGGTGCCCTGCAGAGGCCCTCGGCGATTTGCTTTCTTGATGGCTTGGGAATGCGCGAGGCCTATGACCCGACAAGCGACAGGGCGTGCAAAAAACCCTTGAAGTCGCGCGACTAGAGCTTGACGAGCTACTATCTTTAGAAATGACTGGACATCAAGTTACCGAGTCCTGTTGTTAACAGTTGCGAGCATTCGAAATAAGTCGAATTAGGAGACTGTGGTGGCACACTGAACTTGGGCACACGATGGCGGAACAATTGGATTATTAGCGTACATGCTTATACAACCAGTGCAAACGATAACTCACTTTGATGCCGGCCAAATCGATACATTTATATATTCGCACTCAGGAAGGCTCAACTTTCTCTCATTCCAAGGCACCGTCAAACTAACGAGGGTTTCTTCTTAATTCCCAAAGCAGCAGCATGATCTTTCTTCTTCTTCACAACCCTCTTAAAGCTTGGTGGCGGCATTGCCAAAGCCTCTTCTTTCGTGATTGCAGGTGCTGGCCCAACACCCGCATCGTACTCCTCATCATCGATGACTTCTTCCATGGCCTCATGCCGCCTCATGAACGCCTGTCGAGCAGCTTCTTCATCTTCTCGATCCTGTCTCTCTCTTTCTTCGTTGATGCTTTCCCGTGCGACTGTGACTTCAACGCCATCCTTTCCCATTCTTTCGTTCCTGGCATTCCGAGTCCGAATCTCATCCAAGGCATCTGCAACTGCCATTTCCCTTTTGGCATCTAAAGTCTTGGTCTCCAGCTCTTGCATAGCATTCTTTTCTTCCTCCTCTCGCTCCAGCCTGTCCAGACGCTCCTCATCACTCTCTTGTTTCCCAGCCCCATTCATTCGCCATGGCTCTGTATTTCTCTTTGCCCCTCTCTCGCATTCGTAATCCATATTCTTCGGGTCAGTTTTGAAAGTGATTTCTCCAGAACATCTTGTGCATCGAATGTAGAAGCGGTAGATGGGTATGGAGTAGTATTTCTCTTCAGTGGTCTCTTTGCGCGCATTGAATTTGCGACCCTTGTAGATGTATTCGCCGCAGGCTGTACACTTCATGGGAAACGGTGCCATCAGTCGGACTGTTTGAACTTTGGGACCTGCTCCTTTGGGTGCGCGTGATCGTGTGATCTTTGAGGGATCGAAGTCGGGGGGGTAGTACTTGGTCAGGACCTTTCGTTCAGACATGGTTGGCTAGAGATTGGAGTTGTTCGGGGGCGGTGGTAGTCAGGAGTAGGAAAGAAAGATTTTTGTATTTTGGTAAGTCGAGGATAGCTTGGCTGCTGAGGGCAATTTGATGATCGCTGTGTAGCCGGAGTGGTTGTTGGAAATTGGAGGTCTGTAGATGAGGCGAGGTAGAGGCGGGCATTATCAGATTCCAAGGCTGCTTGGGTACCTTGTTTGCACAATGAGCGCTAGCCTAAACCTTATTTGTGCATTTTATGCCCAGCCAAGACTCTCAGCCTCGCGTCTCCCAGAAGTTCCCCTCGACGCGACTTCCAAACAAAACATTGAGCGCAATACAGAACGCAGTTTCTCTATGGCTTGAAACGTCAAAGCCGCAATTTGTCCTTAAACTCTATGCGCAGGGATTCATGAAGTCACGAACCTTCTGCGAGTGCCCTCAAAACGATCATGGAGAAGTTCTTGCGGGATTGGCGCCAGGATGCGCTGAACAGGCACCAGTACGATTCGGCCATTTTCATAGGTGACAAGCTGTTAGCATTGACCCGTAAGCTCCTTGCACTCGTCCTAGATTTCGCATATTGATCGCTCGCAGAGAACGACAAAGATGCCTTCTGGCTTGCTCAGGTTCATTTCTCTACAGGCAACTATACTCGCGCTCAAAGCTTTCTTTCCAAACAAGATTTAATTGCACGAAACCCATCCTGCCGTTATCTTGCCGGACACTGCTTGATCAAGCAGAATCGTTTTGAAGAGGCGCTTAATGTCCTCGGCGAGAGGAACCCTACTCACCTCATCGCAGCTGTCAGCAACAGTAGGCGGAAAATACAGCATACGAACGGACACCACAGAGCAGGGGCGAAGGCCACGGGGCGTGGAGACAGACATGACCGAAGAGATGATGGAGTCCATGATGAAGCCGCGAACATACGATTCGAAGCAGCCATGTGCTTCCTTCGAGGGCTCTGTTACGCCAAGCAGAATGCGTTTGATCGCGCAAAGGAATGCTATAAAGATGCCGTACGGATTGATGTTCAGTGCTTCGAGGCTTTTGAACAGTTGATGAAGAATTGTTTGATGTCTCCAGATGAGGAATGGCAGTTTCTGGACTCCCTAGACTTTGATGCTATTTCTGTGACGGACGACCCTTCCTCTTCTCAAGAGGCTGCAGAATTCACAAAAATGCTATACACGACCAGATTATCGAAGTACAAAAACCCTACAGCTTTCTCAACGGCGACCGAAACGCTCTCAACACATTACAACCTTTCTAACAATCCCGATCTGCTACTTTCGAAAGCTGACCTGCTCTTCACACAATGCAAGTTCAAAGATGCTTTGACCATTACAAATTCTATCCTTCAAGACGACAAGTACAATTTCAGCATATACCCCCTCCACTTGGCCTGCTTATATGAGCTGCAATTAAAGAATGCGCTGTTCCTCATATCCCATGACCTGGCAGACAACCATCCCGAAGAGCCTTGTACGTGGCTGGCTGTTGGAGTGTATTATCTTGCGACGAACAAAGTTGCGGAAGCTCGAAGGTATTTCAGCAAAGCAAGCATGATGGATCCTCATTTTGGGCCTGCTTGGATAGGATTTGCCCACACCTTTGCCGCCGAAGGAGAGCATGATCAGGCAATATCAGCATATTCGACTGCCGCCCGGCTGTTCATGGGCACACACCTGCCTCAACTGTTCTTGGGCATGCAAAATCACATGTTGAATAATATGACTCTTGCCGACGAATTTCTCAAGACGGCGTACGGGCTTTGCACGACCGATCCGTTACTTTTGAATGAAATGGGTGTGGTATTCTATCATCAAGAACGCTTACAGGAAGCTGTCGAGAAGTTCACCGATGCCCTACGGATTGCAGATGAGATCGACAGCGATCCAGCAGCTTGGATCTCAACACGATCGAATCTTGGTCATGCATATCGAAGACTTCATGAATGGGACTTGGCATTTGACCAATTTGACGAAGTTCTGAGACTTGGGGGCAAAGATCCTTCTATTTTCTGTGCGAAAGGACTAGTTCTGATGGAGCAACATCGTCCATTCGATGCTGTTCTGGTGTTTCATGAGGCTCTGGCAATCTCGCCGCAAGATGCCATTGCCACGGAGCTGCTGAACAAAGCACTGGAAGAAACCGCAGGTGGCGGGCCCGATGGAGTGGATGACATCGGCGAGGACGACGAGTTCGAGAGGGAGATTGCTCAAAAGAAAGTCGAGGCATCTCATTTCTTTGCAAGAAGAGGAGGAAAGGGGAAAGAGACGTTCAGGGCGAGGTATAGCAGCGGAGTTGGGCTCGACGGAAACGGTAGTCTTATGGACCTAAGTGATGATGATTGACGATCGAAATGGCATAGTCGGCATACAGCATTATATGGCGTTTGGGTGGAAGGGCAAAACATAGCGAGGGATAACTTATGTTGGAGGAATGGGGTAATAGCATTATATTGGAATGTTTACAATGATAATACAAGAGAGCCAGGGCTCCAAACGAACATGGTGCCCGTTGCCAGAATCAGCTCTGGTCTTTCCTCCTAAACGCCAGATCAAGTACACTGCAACCTAGCGTGCAAGACTTCGACTGATTCTCCAAGCATCCTGGTTTCCTTACAGGATATTGCAACTTTTGTGTCCAATCGAAAATACTCCAATCCGCGTGACTCTGAACCCCCCCCCCTTCTCTATAATACTCATACGCTCAGTCTACACACCCCTCTTCCTTCTCTCCCCTTCTCCCCTCTTCCCTCCCTGAACCCCATACCTCCACCCCATATACCCGAGCATACCCAACACACTCCCCATCCCAACACCACCCACCACACCCCTCCACCCCAATCCTAACCCGCTCCCCTTACTCGCAGCGACCAGTCCCCCAGCTACCATCCCCCCATACGTCCAATCGTCACACTCCACCTGCCCCTCATTCTCCAGTAGCCGCCAACTCCTATCCCGCCACTCGATCTCCTCTTTCCCGCGCATCTGCAGTGGTAGACCGACGCAGAGGAGACCGAAGGCTGTGAGTGCGCCGGTGGAGGTGGAGCGGAGGAGGGTGGGGAGGAGTGTGGTGGGTCTTGGGAGGGTGGTTGAGAGGGAAGGAGGCGGGGGAGGGACGGTGCGAGGTTTGGAAGGGAGGATGTTGAATTTGCGGAGGGTGAAGATGCTGCTTCCTAGGCCGAGGCCGATGAGGGATCCGGTTTGGAAGGCGCGCGTGAGGACGTGGGTTGCTAGGATGGCGTGGTGGTAGGGTTGGTCTTCGGCGTAGGGGGTATGGGGCCAGAGGCGGGACATGATTGTGCTTGTGGTGATGGCGATTATGGGAGATTGATGCTGCGATTGTGATACTGGTATGGAGGGTGGTCATGCAGGTAAGGTAGGTTGTGCGTAGTGAAGCTGTGGAAGTAGACTCGAGAGCTTGTTTGTTGCACGGATTTCAGAATTGTTGATTGTGGGAGTAAGGAATAGGTGTAGCAAAGGGGGCGGGCTGAGGCTGAAGACCTTCTTGTATTAGAATCTGGTGAGGGGTTCTTTTAGTAGCTTCAAATCTCAAAGCTTCAAAGCGTCCAGCTTACTGACGAGAGCGGAGATACAGACTGTCCGAATGCGACCCGGGAAGGTATCGCATCTTCAGCGAACTAATACATCCAATCGAGTGGAGTTCCACAAATTGAACGCCAGACCTGTGCTGTGCTGTGCTGTTGGATGCATGCATTAGTGATGCTCGTGGCTGGTGCCCACGATGTGGATGTTTGGTTTGGACTACGGCCGAGAAGTGAGAAGCCAGGAAGCCATGCTTTCCACGCTAAGATTCCAAGTCTGCAGTACAATACGCGAGTGCGAGACAACGACACTGATAACAATAAAACGCATACTCGTACAGTACATGCCTAGGTCCATGGGCATCTTTTGATTCTTTCTGGAATGCGGCTTCGGAATGTATTTTCTCGTTCGGCGACTTATCTGCAGGGCATCATCAGGCCAGGCTTCTTGATATAATATCCCCAGCGACTTCTTCCATGATCCATCCTTGCTAGCCATGCGCAGTCACTACTGTATAAGTATCAGGACGTTTATGGGCCAATTAATGAGCTGCCCACAGCATCCGCGCTGGCCGGAGCCGGGGTGTGGAGATCCGCGGCCAGCAAGCACTGCACCGCACCCCTCTCTTCACCCCGCATTGCCGCTATCGCCGACCAGAGCTCCCGTCTTCACTGCAGTTCAAGCCAATAAGGACAGAAGGCAAGATACCGAATAAGTACATCATGGCAGCTTGTTCAGTTTCTCTCTCCCACTCTCGTCTCTTGACATTATTTTCTTTCGCCCCCAACCGCTCTCCCCTCAGTCCATTCAATTGCAAACATGAGTTCCTCCGCAGTCCCCAGAAAGCTCTGGGAGCATCCCAACCCCCAAAGTACGGAGATGTACCGGTTCATGCAAGAAATAAACCAAAAATATAATTTAAATCTTAAGGTTGGAGCCCTGTTCTGATCCTCCTCCTTGTCTGACATCCCTTCACAGACATTCTGGGAGTTATACCAATACTCTATCAACAACCGAGCACAGTTCTGGGATCAAGCCTTCCACTTCCTCGAAATAATACACCATGGCACCTACGACACGGTAGTCGACGAGTCTGCACGAATCGACGCTGTCCCTATATGGTTCAAGGGTGTACATCTGAATTTTGCTGAGAATCTGCTCTATTCGAGAGAACCTGGTGCGCTGCCTTCAAAGCGGGGTAAAGCTGGCAAGGAAGACAATAAAGTGGCTGTGACGGAAGTCAGGGAGGGATATACGGAGGTTCGGGATGTTACGTGGGGACAATTGAGGAGGGAGGTGGCGGAGCTGGCTGATGCTATGAAAGCACATGGGGTGAAGAAGGGAGATAGGGTGGTGGTTGTGGCGAGCAACTCAGTGGATACCTTGAAGGTATTCTTTGCTGTTACGACGCTTGGTGGCCTTTTCAGCAGCAGCTCGACAGACATGGGGGTCCAGGGTGTTTTACAAAGGGCTTTGCAGGTTGCCCCTAAGGTATGATTAGCCAAATCTTTTCCGATTTCGACTAATTCCGGCAGTACATCTTCATGGATGACTTCGCCATATACAATGGTAAGAAGGTGGATCTTCGGGACAAGATGAAGCACATTGTAGAAGGAATGAAAGACATCACCGAGTTCCAAGGGATGGTTTCAATGCCTCGCTTCAAGGATCCAGTCGATATCAGCCAAGTTCCCAGAACAGAGACTCTCGCATCATTCGTATCAAAAGCAACTGGTACTGCTCCGGATTTCGAGCCCACAGCATTCAATGATCCCTTCTTCATCGCTTACTCCTCAGGAACAACTGGAAATCCAAAATGCATTGTCCACTCCGTCGGTGGCTGCATCCTCTCTTCTGCTAAAGAAGGAAAGCTGCACAGCCAACTCACCCCAAATAGCGTCGTCCTACAATACACCACAACAGGGTGGATCATGTATTTCAGCTCGGTGATGAATCTCCTTGCTGGTGCGCGTGTGATCTTGTACGACGGGAGTCCGTTCCAGCCTGATCTGAAAACTTTCGTGAGGATGATTGGCGAGCAGAAGGTTACAAAGTTGGGGACAAGTCCGAGATGGATGCATGAGATGCAGAAGAATAAGATCTCGCCGAGGGAGGTGACTGATCTAAGTGCGTTAGAAATGGTGACGAGCACGGGGATGGTGTTGAGTGATCAGTTGTTTGAGTGGTTTTATGACGTGGGGTTTCCTGCTCATGTTCAACTAGGGAATATATCTGGTGGTACAGACTTGGTATGTCATTCTTCCCCTTCCCTTAATTCACTGATCTCAGTTCTGACACTCTTGTAGGCGGGTTGCTTTGGCATGGTAAATTGCATTCCTTCGCCCATTAAACTCGTTCACTAACCGTCCAGGAAAACCCTCTCACGCCCGTCTACGTAGGAGGCACCCAAGGCCCCAGCCTCGGCACTCCCGTCTCAGTCTACGATTCTCTCAATCCCGGGGGCCGCGGTGTCCCAGGCTCCCCGGTTCCCCACGGCACCCCCGGCGAACTTGTCGCCCCATCCGCCTTCCCTAACATGCCTGTCTACCTCTGGAACGACCCATCCGGCTCCCGGTACTTCAGCGCCTACTTCGAAAAATACGACAACGTGTGGACGCACGGAGATTTCGTTATGTTTCATCCTATTACGAAAAATCTTATGTTTCTTGGGCGTGCGGATGGAGTGTTGAATCCGAGTGGTGTGCGGTTTGGGAGCGCAGAGATTTATTCGGTTATTGAGGAAGGGTTCCCAGCGGTGGCGGACAGTATCTGTGTGGGGCAGAGGAGGCCGAGCGATAGTGATGAGAGTGTGATGTTGTTTTTGATGATGAAGCCGGGGGAGAAGCTCACGAGTGGGCTTGTGAACAATGTCAAGACCGCCATCAGAAAGGCGTTGAGTGCGAGGCATGTGCCGAAATATGTTTTTGAGACGCCGGATATTCCTGTAAGTTCCAACGTGTCTGTGTTGTTTTATTTCTCTTCAAGTCACTAACTTCGAACTTAGACGACGGTGAATCTGAAGAAGGTCGAACTTCCTGTGAAGCAAATAGTTTCTGGTCAGATAATCAAACCAAGCGGGACGCTGTTGAACCCCAAATCGTTGGATTATTACTATCAATTTGCGAAAGTGGAGGAGTTGGTTGAGCCGAAGAGTAAACTGTAGGATATAATAGACAGGCATGGTATGCGCAACAATCTCCATCTCTGTCCCTTTAACATGGGAGGGGGGGTCAGACAGACAATCGCTTAAGCCCCATTTTCCTTAACTTGCTTATCCTCGATATATTTATCTTCACGGTATTACTTTCATTGATCATCTGGCTCCCCTCGTACTTCATCCAATCTTCAACCGCATCTACTTTCTTGTATTGTCAGTGTAGACCACTTTCAGCCCCACATATGTCACGTCTGCCACTCTTACTTACCCTACCCAATCTGAACCCCACTCTTGACAAGGAGCATAGCCAAGATCAGGAGAACCATTCCACAGCCAGTACTGGTAAGCATTCCATCAATCTGGAAATACTATGCCCAGCAAGCAAAGCGCAGGATATTACTAGAGACCAGAATGATAAGAGCAAGAATACAAAGGTATTTGAGGTTCCATGGAGATTCAAAATGTGTAGTTGCGCGATTTTACCTGAGATGTCTGTATTCCGAGGACTGAAATTTGATTTGTGGCCCTGCATGTTCAGCCTGGAGAGTACAATGGACTCTGTGCTAACCTTCCCGAAGTGTCTTGTTCTCGTTCGATTACCAAGTCGCGTGTTTGGTGAGGTTGAGACGTTGAGAGAATATTAATAACACGTAACCAAGGACGTTATTCAACATTATGAGTTCAGATGGCTCATGTACCTGGCTACAAAGCTTCTGATCTCTTTCAAGTTGATACAGATCCTTAAATGGCTATTGCAAGCACTTCAGTCCATAGATCACGTGATCAACTAAGCGAGAATTTGTAAACAACGCGCTGGCAATGAATATAAGTAAAGGACTTAAGCTTACTGGCACTAGCTGATAAGTCGTAAGTTGTAGTCAGTATAGTTTCACCTTTGTTCATTGTAACACAGTGCTGGGAAGCGGCCGATGTCACACTTAATCAGGTGCAAAGAATTAATGTAAAATGGAGGCCGGATATTTGCTCCAACCCCTATGAACACAATACTAGGACAGCTTACTGGTAACGTCATTTCGCTTGTTGGAAGTTTATCGACTATTGTTTTTACAAGATATTACCACCTGAACGGATTGAAGTGGCGCTGCGAATAGTAAGGTAACGTTAAGTTTGGCAGCTGGACCCCGTAGTGAAGGAACAGCCCGCAGCTTTGACAACCATATCGCTTAGAATTAGCTGGCCGCACTTGACCACTTTCGGGTTTGAACAAAACAAACAGCTTCTTTTCAACAGCTTCGGTAGGCGATACGAGCACATTGATACCTTCCGATGCGATGACGTGAATTCAGATTTCTCTGGCCTATGAAAGTGATAAGGCTACTACAGTGCCACCAGGTCACAGAGGATTCACGCTGGGTACTGACAAGTCAAGGCTTCCGTGGGACCATCTCAAACCCAGCGTATAGACGTCAATCGACCTTCGTTGAGGAGTGAATTTGGCAGATCAAGAAGGTTGCAACTGGTAAACCCTCAGTCTTTATTCAAAATGTCTTTCCCACGAGAATGGAAAAGAAGAACATGTCTTTTTCATATACAATAGCCTTTCCGCCACATTCTATCGAGGCTGTTAAGTGAGCCCTCTGTGGTGGCTCGGAGTAGACCGCAGGTATTGGAGGACTGCTTGAAGATAGACCGAGTACTTGAACACGAGTATTCAGCTGTTGCAATTAGTAACTAAAATTTGCTTCAAAAAGGGTTGCTCTACTTGATTACATTGCGTCCAGCAGACATTCCGGAATAGTCATACCGAACCCTGCAAAATTTATTTCTCCCGAGGTCGGTGGGGTGGTTCCCTGGTCAACGTACCAATCACGGGGTAGCGGGCTCGATAGGTATTCAAACCACTTATGTTACAAGCTTTTGTTATGAGACTCTAGATACCTAGATAATAGACGGAGAACGTGGATATGTGGAGAAAAGATCTTCGCATTTGTCGTTGTTTTAAATAACAATTTTGATGTAGAAGTGAATACAAAGCTTGGTAGAGATGTACTGCCTGTTTAGGCGAAGGTGGGGGTCGTTTGTGGCTTTACCTACCTACGTGATGGCTGGTATTCATTTCTACGCTAATAGAATCTTACTTTCCTTATCGTTACTTCATTAGGGAACATCAATCGTATTGCTATTGATTTTACAAGTAATTAACATAGTATTCTTGCCTTTATAATCTGTTGTTCTATTTGTTGACATATATGTGGACGCATTGTTGCCAATCCTCAGGTACCGGTGTCTCTTGACTACAGGACTGGTGAATCTATTTCGTTTTCAAGTTGGAAGACGCCTGCGCCACCTCAACAGCACGTTCGCCCTCCTCTCCGCCCACCATTGATCCGCCATCATTTGTTTTGGCCAGTTAAGAGGCAGAAAAACAGTTCTACAGAGATTTAGATACCCACCCATCCTTTGACATAACAGAAATAACCGGTACCAGAATCGAAATGGAAGGCCTTTTTCCGTCCCTAGGTTTGGTCCCTAGCATCTGAATCGCTCCGAGCGATGCCCTAGGCGCAGGAGCAGCAAATCGCACTCCGAATATTATTCCTCTGGACGGCAACCAGAATACTCGCTATAGAGTCCTGGACTTTGAGTTGATAGCAACAAACAAACCTCATGCACTATCAAAGGTCACCATGGACCCCGAAACTAAATATCCGCCTCGTCGAGTCACTGCCATCTGTGACAACCATCAATTTGCCCAAAGCTGGAAATATTGCCTGTGTCCTCTCGTCACGGCTTGGCTCGAATCGCTTCCTGTCACTTGGAATCTGGACATTATTCGACACGGCTTTCTTGTCCACGACGAATACGATGTTTCTGTTACTCCTATTGTTCTGAGATTGAGTGTTGGGCAAGAACGGCACATCTCAGATCAAGACGTAAACGATATTATGAAATCTCTTGCTGGTATAATTGCAAGGTGACTGGTCTGTCGAGGAGTAAGTACATCCACGTTGCATCGGTGGAATACCTTACGTATATTCGTTGACTGTGCTTAGGATTTTCATCGATATATGCAAGCTCGATTTGCGTTTCATCGATACCGTCCTACGATCTTTGATACATCTCATGTGTTCAGCGCTGCTTATAGTCGAAGTTTGCCTTCTCTTGGATCGTCAATTGGCCAGATGGCCAACGATATGCAGTGTAAGACAGGAACACTGACGGCGTACATTGACCAAGGGTCGAAGCTTTTTGGCTTCACAAATGGTCATACTCTGCCATCAGGTCTCGGTAGTAAAGCTGAGTGGCCTTCCCCAATGGATCAAAAGTGCTTTTCTAGGATCCTTGACCTGATTCTCCCAGCTTGGAAACCTGTTTCGACTATAAATTTAATATGGTTGAAAAGATTTTGTAACGGCGTAGGCAAGATCGTATCCTGAGCCAGAGGCCTTCTAGGGAATGGTTGATATCGCGACGAAGAAATGGGTCAATGGACTTGGAAAGGTAGATGCAACATCAAAAATCTGCGATTCTGAACTTGCTTACCTCGACTGGTGTCTTGTGGCTATCGAAAACCACAAGGCCAAGACGGTACAGCGTTCGAATGAGGTATCATGACCTTGTACGTTTTAAATAATAAGTAGTACTGACTGTCATAGTTCCCTTCTTTGTATGCTACAAGATGCAGCGTGGGTTCAACCACCCACTGCTAAGCTATTTTCCTGAGAAAGATGTCATTGCTGCTCAGACATACTTCAGCAGTGAACACACCAGTAAATGGCTGCGCCGAAGTTTATTTGAAGCCACCAAGTCTCACGACTCAGTACTGGGTTGTCGCAGAACGAAATACTATCGACAGAATCGTTCCAGACACTGTCAACGGCAAACCCACGGCTCAAGTTACTCTGATCACTCCTCGTGATTCGCCATACAGTGCTGTTTCGGCTAAAGCAGACTCGGGCTCCGTTGTGCTTAATGCTACTTCCAACCCTGTTGGGATGATCATTCCTGGTGGAGACAGAACAACGGAATCTCTGCAAGACTTGGCATATGTTTTGTCTCCTTAATAAGATATTACGGGATATTGAAAGGCGTAAAGGTTGGGTACTGGGAAGTGCCAAGCTTTGTTAGTGTAGAACGATATCTTTCCATTCGAAAAGCTAGCAGGGACTGGTATACATTAATAGTGGAACAGGATTAGCCCAAAGTCCAGTTTTGAATTAAAAGCATCTTTTTCCGAACAAATTATCCTGGGTAGCAGTCAATTTAGAGATTTTTGGTATTTTATCTATGTTCTCTAGATGACTAAACTCGCAGCCACTACCTGCAATTCCTAGTTAGCACCTTTGAGCTAAGATACAAAATCGTATGCCTGCTCACCAACGCAAGGCAGTCAATGATTAGGGTTTCGGCACGGGAAATTGTGATTAGAACATTGTACTCTTATTACACGACTAAATCGTAATGACTTTCCCATTGCTCATCTGCGACGCGTATCGTTTGGTAAGCCTGGAAACATCGGTAACATTAGACAAAGAGGTCAGAGATTATCGACATTGAGTTATCATGGAGAAAATTGAGTACACACGCGTTTTGAAGGTTGAGCCCGGCAAATAGCTTGCTTCTCTGTGTGGGTGTGCCTGCGGTCGTTTCTTGACTGGTCAGTACATTCTGCATTAGAATTACTCCTTTCCCTTCCTTCGTCTTAGTGTTCTTATCGGCATTTCAATCAACCTGATTGAAACAGTGTAGTCGTGCAAGCTGAAAATTTTCACGACTCTAACGCAGTGCATGCGAATTCTCATGGATCACTTCCAATGCAAAACCAAAGTTTACCTGTGAGAGGACGCTGGCTCAAAGAAGTAAGTAGTTGAAATGAAGGTGTGTTCTCATATAAATGATCTACATATCACAAGATCTCTGAGCACTGCTTATTTTTCTGTTGCATTTTACTTTAGTGCTCTTTGCATATTAGCACATGAAAAAATGGCTTTGGCTGGTGCTCTTTTCTTCCTCATAGTACTTCGGAGATCTTCGGGTAGACAAAGTCAATACCAGCATCGGAAGTCTCAAGTAAGCAACAGATAAGGAAATGTTTGAAAATCCACAATTCTGTTCTCTACTATATCGAGCTTGAGTGACAACCATCCTGCTTTTTCGGTGGTTCGTTATTCCCACCTCCTCTGGATGAACTGCTCGCTTATTCGACTCAGGCTAGCTGTGATCCACATACGCCACACCCGCTCCTGCATTAAGACATGCAACAAAGCATGCAAGAGTTGCGTTGAACATCTTTGGCCACTGACAGTACAGGCAATGCGATTGGATGTTAGAAAGATCAGCTGTGGTCAGCTGTGATTTGCAGATCTCACAAGTGATTATCTCCAGCGAGTTAAATTAGGGGATACGAGGAGTGCGTTCCTTACCCGACTGCCCATGTGCAGCTGAGATGTGGCCAAGGAAGAGGCTTATGTTTGCGATATGCAATAGAGCATCTGTCCCCTAGACAACTCAATAGACAGCCAATAAAGATATAAATGAAGGAACGAAACAAACGTGTTCTGCGTTCATTCTGGAAGGTGGGGCCAAAAAGTGCGATGTGCAACAAACCATTCATCTCTAAGACAGTTAGGCTGAAAAGGAAAATAAAGGAAAAAGGAAAGAAAGAAAAGGGTCATATTCAAGTGGAGGTATTTGTGGAATAGTCAGTCAGCGAGCCATGTCTTGCCCATCCATGGACCCTACTCATAATTAGCGTTGGAGTCAAGGTGCCTTCCATATCTGAGCTTTAAATCCATCTGAAAGAAAGTTATCGTAAGTCAGATCCGACAGATGCCTGTTCCCTAATCCATCGCATCGAGTAAAGATCACGGAATCTGAGGAAACTCCTTCAAACTCATTGTGAGTCTCTTGCTGACTCGGGCTTCCCTCCTTCATCTTCGCTCCATATGCTCCTCTTCCTTCTTTTCCTTTTCCTCCAAGGTATCTTTCTAATTTTCAAATCGAAGCGTGAGGTAAAGCATTCAGTTATCAGGTTTCTGTTTGTATTATCTTCTTTCCATTTCGATTTACAACTTGAACCCTCGGAGTTGTATTTAGCCTGGGCAGTATATGCCGACTCACTCTTGAACCATAGGATAAAGGACGAGTACACGTCCCGTCCTCTGCTTTGGCGATTCTTATATTCGCCATTTGAACAGAGACGAAGAACGAAGTGCTCGAAAACTGGATCCTTTTGTAATAATCCGTATTGTGACATCAGTTCTAGACTATTGTTGTTGTTATCCACATGTCTCGCCTCGTCATTCTTCCCAATGACGCCATGTATTTCATACACCTGGAAAGTTTGCCGGATTTTCTTAGAGACTTCTGTCTATTGTCTCGATCATACATTTTTCCACTGGGTTGCTGCTAGGAACACGAAGGTGTGGAGACAAACAATGTACTAACCGTTTATTCAACACTACTCTCGATATTCTCAAGCAACTTCACTTCCTCCGGTATATTCAAAAATTGGCGTTCCCAATCTCGTTTGGTATTTAGGAGTAGCATTTTGGAGATTCTCAACTTTGATTTCGTCAAGAGTGATGTGGAATCGTAAATCGGAGATGAATGAGCCGTTTCGATCTATCAATAGCAAGTGTAGTATGGTGGTGGGACACGTAGATATTATGATGGTTACATAGAAATAAATCTAGGCGAGAACAGATCAGAATTAGACCCGTGCCATATCAACGAAAGGTGGCAAGGTTTAGTGGAAGATGTGTGGTATTTGTCTCAAAGTATTATCAAAGCAGATTTATGTACTCTTTCGTCTATATGCATAATCACTATCTGCCTATCGTATCCTTTTGTCTTGTTCATATTTCAATATAAAAGAGTAGTTATCATGTCGCAATCTGATCTTGAGAGCCCTCAACTTGATATTCACAAGCGCGTTTCGAGATTAACAGTGAAAATTACACCACGATCTCAAACACGTGTTCAGTACGATGACCATTTCGCGGGCTATCTCTGAAGCTCTTCTATTTCTCCCTGACTAGGTTGCAGCGCATTGCGCTGGAGCTCACATGGGTAGGATAGAAAGGATGGCATAGGATATACTAGATACAGACTATTTGTCACACGAAGCTACAGACATTTGACGAAGACGAGAAGCCGACACCACGGCAGCCCACCAATATACTCTTCAAATCATAGAATGGGAGAAATCGAGTGATTAAAGATGCTGAGTGATCGTGTGCCATTTAAATATTGGAAGTAGCACACAAGTAAAGACATTCACATCAACAAGCTGGGAATATCGCCCTGCCTCGCTTACGCCATTACGCAAGATTATACAAAATTATACCTTTTATTTAAACTCATTGATATACTAACGGTTACGTTTCTTTTGTGTAAATATTTTATATAAGGTATTTTCTCGCTCACTCAATAGTTTATTGTACTCAGGTCCCCCTAAAGTCAATGTGAGAAGTCCCTGATAGCCAACCGTCGCAAAGTCTACTGCCTCGCTTATTTTCAGACTAAAGTAAACAAACGAAAGGCTCACAGCCAGATATTAGCATCGATACCTTATCATTGTCATCCCACCATGATAACTATCCCCTAAGCTGCCGTTAACACACTTTTACAGGGCGTAGTGCTGAAGCGAGGCGCTAAAGTTCTAGTGACTGCCTGAATTACAGGGTACATACGCTACGCTCGGCCCCTGGAGAAATATATGTTCTGAACGGCAGCTTAGGGGATAGCCAATAAAGTATATCGTAGAGCATTTCGGTCTTAAAACACCTTCAGAATTGAAAAAAAAACTTTGTATCTTGAAATGTGGGTTTTAGAACTGTTGATAAAGAAAGGCAAACTTGTCCCACGTCACACGAAATAGCACAAATTCTCCCAGAATGTACAACAAACGATTCCACAGGAAGGTTGGGGAGAAATATTAAATTTCTATTCTACAGGCATAGAAGTATTCACGCAGCGACTGTCGTTCGTGTGTTCACACTCTACTCCAGTCTCTAACAAGACTTCTAGACAAGCCCATGAGAGACATTGAAAGCTTGCAGACTCCGAACTTCAACCTAGAATGAAAATAAGCGCTTTGCTTCTATTTGGAGGATACGAACGTATCGCGAAAAGGTGGATATGACAAATGGCATCGGATTGCATCAATATGCAGCAGTATTTATCAGCCTTTTTCTTGAGATGTCTAGCGAAGCATAAGAAGATCCGTGGAAACTGAATGCTTGCGTAATTTTGATACACCAGACGTTGGAAGGTTCAGCATGATGGTACGAAACAGCTAGGCTGAATATCCAAGGAGAAGGTGTCCCTGTTTAGATAGTAGATCCACTTAGAGTAACACTGTTAGTCTGCCAACCCATGGTAGCCTCAACACAGAAATTTGTTGACAGAATCCTTGTACACGTGACCTGGATACCATGCCTGGAAGAAAAACCAGTCGCAGAACTATGGTGGTTTTCATGTGAACATATATCCTTAGCTTTCAACCACCGTATAGCAGCCACCACTTGATTTGAACACTGCAAGACTATTTCGGGATGAGTCAATTAGCAGGTATGTCTACTTAATATACTGGCCTGACAAAAAAAGCACTTCGATGCAGCTGACATTATTGTTCGGTAGGTAGTTAAGGCTGACTGAATGGGTATGGGACTTCTCAAGTCGCAATGCCTAGAGAGCCGCATGAAAATATTTTTAAAAGAGCCAGGCCGAGGACATTCCAGGACACCGAAATGAGCAGAGAGATATGGTTGACAGCCGAAGACGATTAGATCGCGTCGTTGAGTCTTGAACGGTGAGCAGCGATACCCACCGCCGTTCTTACGGCAATTATAATCATCATGTCCAGACAGACAAATGTATCATCGCTGGTACCGCACCTCCGTATGTTTTCCCCCTTAACTCAGCTGGAAAGGACAAGTTGGATGAGCTGGACGATGAAGTAAATGAAGGAATGTTGCAGGACAATACTGAAAGTGTGCAGATGGACAATGTGTTGAGAACGAAGCTTAATGTAGGGGTTTATATAAGGCATATGCAATGATGTTGAGCAATCCGAAGGTCATAACCTCTTTCATAGAATCGTGATGCTAGTATTTGATATTTTGGTTGAGGTTTGGCGTGCCAGTTCAACTTCTTTCACAAAGCTCGGTACTGTATGCAATGAAAGCATCGGATGCTGAATTCAAATCGTATCCTTTCTTGGATTATGCTTAATCGACACAAAGCATCGTTGACAGTCCTAAATTGGTCGCGACAAAAGTCGTTGTAGCAGGGAATGGAGAGACATGCGTAAGATTGAGAATAGAAGAAGGCTGGCAGACATATTGGTACAGGCCAGAAGATTATCTCTGTGCATCATAGCTAGGAGTTGCGAGTAAAATTTCCAGCGATGGTTGGGCAATCATCTTTAAAGATCACGTTTCCTTAGCGTGGGTCCGCGGAAAGGAGGCGGGTAAGAGGAACGACGTTGATGGGAATGGACATGCAACCTCAGTACTTGACGGTGACTTTTCTTGGCATCATAGGGAGGGAGTACTTTAGCGCCGAAGGTTGCAGGTGGTCATGGTCGGCCACGGTTACTTGCCAGCACAGCACCAACACATGTTTTAGAAGCTTATCATCTGCAGTTGGTCTTTAATCTTATGCTTAATTATCCTTGCAAAGAAACATTTGAGTTGTCGGTTTTGACCCAACGGCGAAGATTCGCGCCCGACCATACCACTGCGTGGTTCTGGCCGTGGCCGAAAATGTCTGACTTTGAGTCTCGCGAAGAATGTGCACTCTGAGCAAATATGACGTCCCAAGACCTAGTACTTTCTATTTCAGGGGCGAAGAGTCATACCATATCTGCACTTCCATACGTAGATTATGGAATTGTTGCCGTTGCGGGGTGACCAGCACACTTCGCACTGCAGCAGCCTGCGGCTCTCACAACAGAGCCAAAGGCTGCAGATTGAAGACTTCCAAAATTGATCGGAAAGGAAACTCAACACGACAACGACATTGCGTGCAGTGCCTCTACTTGACCCTGAGAGCGAGGTCCGAGGTCAATCGACTGCCAGTAGATGGATGGCCTCAGCATTCGAGCCATCACAATCACATGTTCTACAACAAAAGACATGAGGTCGCGGTGAAAGGCGTATCGTGCTAAGTCGCAATTTCCGACTGGCTAGGCGCGGCGGACAGCCCAGGTAAGGAAAATGGTTGACGGGCATGAAGAGTTGAAGAAACTCGCAGAAAACAAATGGTTGTCAGTGGTCATGTCGGGAACAGAGCTTCGGGATCCTATCTCTATCCTGATGATGACAGCCGCTTGGCTGCTTGAATCCAATGAGATTGCGTCCAAAGGTTTCGAAACGAAGACTCATGCTCATCCACTCGTGAACCACGTAAGCTCGCCAGATGTCCAGCTCGACAAGCAACCTGTTCGCGGATCAACTACCAAGAAGGTCTTGATGTTCACAAAATAAGGCCTCGGCCATGCTTGACTGTAGGGATGAACATTGCCACTTAAGGATATAAAAAGCATTAAGCTGTCAAAATTCATGCGATGCGATTGCCGAAGATATTTGTTAAATTCGACCATGATGCCGTGTGGCTGAGTGCACGAAATCTCGGGACATACAGTACTCGTACAGTCCCTACACGATGATCATCGTATCCATCGGAGCGGGGTCCTTTTAGAGGTTTCATGCAGAATATGGTGGCGGTGTGTCCGAACGGAGACATCCTGTCGCTCTCGTGATTCTGGTTCTTTCCTTTCCAGCCCCCTTTTCCCAGCATGGATGGAGGTGGGGAAAGGTCTGATCATACTGTAGCCGCTCGCTGAAATCCAGTGTAACGAGTAAGAACCATAAACCAAGTAACCTTATTCTGTCATCACAGGAAGGAATTTTCTACACAGGTCTGGAGTTTGACAACGAACTCGAGGATATCGTCCCTACTTTCCTATTCGATCATGACGAGACAGTCCCGGTTTCAACTCACCGGATAGCACCTCGCTAGTCGGCATAAGTCCGACAGCTTCCAGCCAGTCAGTGGCCAGGGGCCGGGTTTAGGCCCGGTCGCCTGGGGCTGACCTTCGGACGGCCAAGCGTAATCGGCTGGACAGGGGCGGAGCGTGCCAAAATAGGGGGGCTCGAGGGGGGCAGCAGGGACAGGCTCAGGGCTCTTCGGGCCCATTCAGGGGACCACATTTGCTGGACCGGCTGGACCAGGGAGCGATGCGCCGCATTCGTGGCACTGGGACGATGGGCCTCCTCACTGGCCAGCCTCCCTGGAGGCCCTGCCAAGCTTTGCCCTCTTCAGCCACTAACATAGGCGAGGGGCGATCATGCAAGGCCATTGGCTGCAGAGACATCGTCTGAATGCACACGCACGGCAAAAAGCACCTCCTGAACTGCTCAACCCTGAACAGATATCCTGACTCTTAGGAGATGCACTTTTTTAACTGGTGAGATGCCACATGAAGCTATCCTTTCGTTCCTGGCTAGAATATTTTGGCAGCAGCCGACATATCTAGTCAGGGGCAGCACGGCACGATGGCGATGTGATCAACCCCGTACTATGTTTCGCCAACCGTCGAAACAAATGTTCGCCAGCCTATCGAGCCCTTGCGCATTCCGCACGTCAGTGCTCGTCTGAACAGCGTTTGTCCCTGTGCCCAATCGATCATCTAAGCTTCATATTTGCTAGACCTTGATGAGGCAAGCTGGTCGAGTGGCCTGGTTGTCTCTCAAGCTTTCAGACTCATCCAGCGCGAGCTGAACATAGAGTGGCGTTTGTGGACCTCCCAGTGCGTGTTTGACAAGCAGGAGTGTCTTGGCTTCGACCTCCGATGGCCAGTCAAGGGCTGTGTTTAACGTGCACTCCCTGCAGCAATCCTCTCGATCCAGCAGCTGCAAGCAAGCTGGGGAACACAAGGGTCCTAGTACTGTACAGTAGTGCGTTCTGGTAGTGCCAGCAAGAGACCCATCGTCTGCCCCTTGCGAGAAAATAGTGGCCAGAATGGCACAGACAGAAGATATAAGATGGCCGGTCACCCTCTGTTTCAATTTTCTTCATCATCGACACTCTTGGCATCATTCTCGAGTCTTCTGCAATTTTCTCGGGCTAGTCCTTTTGTTCTTCGCCTTTTCGATTCCTTGCCTTGACATCTGCCTGTGGCAGTCTCAAACACATTCTTTCACCAGACGACCTCGAGCTTTCGAGCACCCACCGACCTAGCTGTCAACCAGTACATATATCATCAACTGCCAAGTTACACTCCTTAAACGACAACTTCACATCATCCAAAGAGACCATCTCGTCAGGAACGATTATTCTCAATCAACCAAAATCAATATGCTTTCATCAACCACCATCGCAATCTTCGGACTTGCAGCTCTTGGGAGCTCCCACATGGTGATGAACACTCCAACCCCATTCGGAAAATCCTCTCTCAACAACTCCCCTCTCGATGCCTCCGGGTCAGATTTCCCTTGCAAGCAACGACCTGGCGTATATGATGCCGAGGGGGCTAGCAACATATGGCCTCTGGGCTCAACTCAAAGCCTGTCTTTCACTGGCAGTGCCACCCATGGCGGAGGCTCATGCCAGGTATCCATCTCATACGACAAAGCTCCAACAGCGAGCAGCACCTGGAAAGTCATCCACTCTATCGAGGGTGGCTGCCCAATCAAGGGTGTCGCAGGCAACAACGGGGACAATGCAAACGCTGTGAACCCGGACTCGTATCCATTCAAAGTCCCAACTGATCTCCCAACTGGGACTGCTGTGATGGCATGGACTTGGTTCAACAAAATCGGCAACCGTGAGATGTACATGAACTGTGCGCCAATCACTCTTACTGCTGGGTCTTCCAAGCGCAGTGACGAAAACGAACTCGAGGCACGAAATGCGACTCAGCTGATGGAACGCGACCAAGCCGCCTACAGCTCTCTACCAGACATGTTCATCGCCAACATCAACAACGGATGCGGCACTCAGGACTCCACTGATCTGATCTTTCCAAACCCAGGAGACTCGCTTGAACTAGATGGACAAGCCACATCCAAAGCGTTAGCAACCCCGACTGGAGCTTCATGCGGAAAGGCTGTCGGTGGAGGGGCTACACCCACTGCTGGTGCTGGCAGTGGCGCGACCTCGGCAGCAGCCTCGTCGCCCAAGGCGACCCAGAAGCCAACCTCAGCTCCTGGTATTCCTGGAGGAGTCTTCGCAACAGTCAAGCCACCCGCAAGCCAAACAACTCTAGTACCAGTAGTTTCTGCCGCCCCAGCTGTATCCGCCGCCCCAGTAGAATCATCAGTCCCCAGCAGCGCTCCTGTTGCAAGCCCAGTCGCCTCTTCAGCCTCACCAGCGCCAAGCTCAGGAACATCTACCGGAACAACAGGCTCAGGAACTGCTGAAGTTGCTGGAAGTGCTTGCAGTACTGACGGCATGTGGAACTGCATCGGTGGAACATCCTTCCAACAATGTGCAAGTGGTACTTGGTCAGTTGTTCAACAACTTGCTGCTGGTACTACCTGCACCGCTGGACAATCTACCGCCATCAACATCACTGCCATCGGAAAGGCGAAGCGCGCCCTCAGATTTTCTAACGCCCATGTCCGTCGCCACCTCCACAAATCCTAGATCCATGCTTCATCGCCGGTCGATAAGCACAGTCTTTCCTTTCTTTGCATTTGGGGAGCAGCATAGGATGGCGTTTGGAACATTTCTTGTACATACCCTTTTGGCATTATGAGGAGGAGTTCATTGGATGGGGAGAGTACAGGTGCATATACCAGGTGAAAACACAAAAGAAGGGCACTTCGTATTGAAATAGCCCAATGAATCAAGACACTCTTTGATATGAAAACGCCCCCATTGCTGCAATGTGATGTGACAACTGATGTGATGTGACAATTGATTTGATGTCGTCGGGTCTAGACTGTCTTGACTCATGAAAGCTCGTCTCAACCAGCGCAGGAACCGTTTGAGTTCAGCATTAGGTTCATGTGGGGGTGAGAGAGGAAACAAGAGAGAAAAAACACTTGACATGTGCAAGGTGCACGAGCAAGCCCCAGAACAGAGGTGGTTTCAAGGGCCGCATGCGAGATGAAGCAAGGAAAGGAGGGAAGTCAAATGTGTTAGCCGGGTATTCTTGCTATGGGTAAAGTTAATATGAAATCTACAGTACTGTAGGAAGTCGGAATAAAGGTTAAAGTTTGTAGATCAAAGTATATTTGATAAGCAAAGAAAACAAGACCTGCTGGTCGCTTATCCGGTCCGGATACGAGTACGGGAGGATCGATTCGGCTATCGGCTGGCATTAGGAACTAAACGCAAGCGAAATGTGGGGTAAGGATAACTAAGCCAAGATACCGACCAACACCTACTCTACCATGTTGACCCAAATTCCTGCCCCTCATCAAGCCTGGGGAAAACCTTCCCCAGCGCTTGTACGGCTTTGGTTTGGCGCTGGATATCTAGCCCTTCGTCCGCAATTCGATCAATAGGAACAGGTATCGGTGGTCATTCTGTGCGCCTTTTCCTCCCCCGCAGCCATTATGCCTCCCCTCTCGATGAGCCGGTACTGCCATCCACGAGTGGTAGTGGAGGAGTCCAAGGAGGTTATCCTACCCAGGCGAACCAGCTATGCCCGCTCTTACGATGTCTTCCTTCTTTGACAAGCTACCTCAAAATTGCAATTCCAACGCTTGAAGCTCTCATCCTTCTAAGAAAACAAAAAACCTCCACAGACCACGCTCCTCTTGCCGAATACAGGATGTCCGATCCAAATTCCTCACCAACCGTCGACTATGGTAGAAACACGAACAGGGCAGATGTTTTGATCATCGGTGCAGGCATCTCTGGCATGACAATTGCGATTGATATGATACGCAAGGGCAACGGACGCAACTTCATTATTGTGGAGAAAGGCAATCAGGTTGGAGGAACATGGAATGATCAGCGGTATCCCGGATGCTGCTGCGTATGCTCGCCATACTCGCAGAGAGAGCTTCCAAGCTGATTAATCACAGGACGTCTGGAGCCACCTTTATTCGCTTTCATTCGAACCAAATGCAAGCTGGACCCGAGAATACCCTGGACAGGAGGAGATTCTCGACTACCTCGTGGATCTCGCACATAAGTATCAATTGTACAAACATATCCGCTTCAATTCCGCAGTGGAAGAAGCACAATGGGATGAGACAACATACACATGGAAGACAAAGATTGCTAGGTTGGGTAGCAAGGACTCCGAGTTTGGACAAAGCTACACGGTCACTTCAGACTTCCTTGTCTCTGGTGTTGGGCAACTGAATGTCCCTCAGTATCCTAACATTCAAGGCCTTGACTCGTTCACGGGAAAATTGATGCACTCGGCCAGATGGGATTGGGATTACGATCTGAAGGACAAGAAGGTTGGGATTATTGGCAATGGTGCCACTGCCGCCCAGATCATTCCAGAAATTGCAGCAGTCTGCAAGAGCTTGACAGTCTTCCAGAGGACTCCAAACTGGGTCATCCCTAGAGACGACAAGCCCATCACGCCGGCACGTCAAGCGGCTTACAAGTATCTACCATTCGTCCGCCGCAGGTATCGTGCAGGCTTGATGGATTGTAGAGAATCATTCTTCGATGTAGTCTTTGATGTCAAATCACCTGTGCATGAGTTCATGATGTCCGTGTCAAAGAATCAGATGGAAGCCCAACTCCCAGGGGAGAAGTATGCCAAGTTGCGTGAGCAGCTACAGCCTCACTACGCGGTTGGATGCAAACGAGTCATCATCACTGATGACTACTTCCCGACGTTCACTCGCCCGAATGTGCTCCTTGAAATTATGCCGATTCAAAACATTACTTACAATGGCGTCAAGGTTGAAGGCGGCAGGGAGCACGATTTCGACCTTCTTATTCTGGCAACAGGTTTTAAGACCACTCAGTTCATGTACCCAATCAAGATATATGGTTCGAGCGGCAGGTCGATTGAAGACATATGGTCCTCTGGCGCATCTGCATATCTTGGAATGACAGTTCCAACCCTCCCAAATTTTAGCATGCTCTACGGTAAGCATCTCTGGAATTCTGCTCTGCTACTTTCCCTTGTTGACTATCTCTCAGGCCCAAACACAAATCTTGGACACAACAGCATCATCCTCATGATCGAAGCGCAGGCGCTGTATATCAACACATTGATCAGCAAGGTGAAAGCTGCAAGGTCTAAAGGCGAGAAACTTCGGATTGAGCCAAAGATTAAAGTCGTTGAGACGTACAACAAGGAGATCCAGTGTCGTCTAGCCGAGTCTGCATTCGCGGATCCGAATTGCAATTCCTGGTACAAGAATGAGGCAGGCTTGATTACAAATAATTGGGCTGATGCCGTAATTCCATATCAGAAAAGAACGAGCTATATCGACTGGGATGACTTTGATGTTATTGGTTCTGGAGCGGCCGAAGTCAAAGCAGAGGGGATAACAAAATGGGCAAGAGTTATTGAAGAGACGCAGGTGTCGAATACAGCATTACTTGCCGGTCTCCTTACCACAGCAGGGGCAGTGGCGGCTGGCGCCATGTACAGGAACTCTCTCAAGGCTATGTTGCGAAATTGAGATGTATTGGTATCTAATGCTTGCCCGATTTTCTTACCATATATGGAATTGTACAACATAGTATTAGTACACTGATAGGCACGTATCATTTCTTGAAATGTCCGCATGCTTTTGGCTCGACTCCACTTTCCATTCATGAGGTTGCTCCTGTCTTGCCATTTCCAGTGCCATACTTCCTCACATTTCGCTCAACCCAAATCCCTAAGCCACCTAACCCATACTACTAATCGTATGGCCTGGATGATGCTGTAAGTGATGTTTGACTTCTGAATCATGACCACCACATGTCTTCTGCAAAGTGTCCTTAGACACGAGAATTCGATAGTTTCGATGCTGGGTCGTTTGCCCAATAGTTCACCTTCCAGTCCTTCAACGCTTCCCCTTCTTCTTGGCCGCCGAATTTTCTTCCTGCACAAAACCTCCCTTCACAAACGAGTCCCGCGCAACTGTATTGATGATGCTAAATCTCTTGGGCCCTAATTGATGACCACCGTACCCTGCAATAAGCAGACAGTCAGCCATTACTCATGTATACACAGGTCTCGCGATGATTTTTGGAACTCAGGTGTTCCAGGGTCACTGGTGGTAGGAGGCGAGGGTTTGGCTCTGCCCGAATGACGCACATCTGGTAATTACTACCATAACATTCCAGACATCCATCAATTGCATCAGATGAAGCACACGTCCTCCCGCAGCCGTCTCTCCATCATCGTCGCAGTCTTGATATGATACTCCGTTAGCCCCCTTGATACGCCAGGCCGTTATATTATGTGTTGCAGAGCGGACTTTCTTGTCGTTGTCCAGCAGATGTTGGAGATATTGTTTGGCTTGATCGGGCGAGGAGACTGGGGCAGCTCGTGCAACAAATACGGACTTCATCTCTACCACAATGTCCGACAGGGTCCATGGAACATGCTGCTCGAGTGGCGAGTTATCTTCGATTCTTGGTGTATTGCCGCCTATGGAATTTTCGTTTTCATGCGAGTCCCCAGGTTCCAGTACACGTATCACATCTGGTGCTGAGGTACTGCTGTTTACTTCCTCGATGACATCGAACAAACAGACTTCGCCTGGCTGGTAAAGCCTTCCGAGAGCATCGCGGAAGACGTCGACGATATGCGCAGCATCGCCTTTGCGGGAGTGACCTCCAGAGCTCTCTGTGCCGAGAACTGACGGCGGGCTGGAGGGGTAGTCGGGAGGAAAGCTCACTCTCAGCGAGGTATCGTGCTGAGGAAGTTGTAACACAAAGACATACTGCTCGCTGGTAGCAACGAGAGACGCATCTCCATAAATGGAATTGATGGCCTCGACCTCATTGTAAAGGTCTTCGTTCATCTCGAAAGCTGGGAAGTTGGTTGGGAAATGCTGCACGGTGGTTGGTGGGTCGGTAGCGCTTATCCAAATACCACAATCGGCGCCTGCAGCGTCCTTAGCGTGGTTTCAGGAGCATGAGATGGTTCTATTCTTAGCCTCTTTCTTCTCTCTTCATTTTGTTCACATTACGTCTCTGAAAAATGGAATTGACACGAGTCTGAGAAAAACAAGTGAGCGGAATTTATGCTATCCAAGAACAGGACATTGAGAACTGCTTATAGACGCTCGGCTTTGGTACTGTTCATCCATGGGTCTGGAAGCCTCACTCCACATCTCTGTCAGGATCCCTATCCAGACATCCTCCACAGTGGCCCGCACAACGCGCCATACAGCCAACAGCATGGTTACATTTGACGCCCCCAAGAGGCTTGCCGCCCTTCCTGCTTGATGATATTCGGCTATTTTCAGTGTATGTTGGTGTTTCAAGGCTGAGTGTCGTTCATATATACGAGAGGGTTAGGTTTTACTTCCCATCTTCCTTCTGTAATATCTTTTCTGTCGCAAGTCATCTTTCGGTGATAAGTACTATTTTTCCTGCATTATTTCCTTGCCATGTTAATTCGCTCCCTTCTGAAACATAATGCCTCGGTCTTGGTGACACAGCCAAAGACGGCGACAGGTTCTACCGTGGTGTCAGTGCATTCAGTTCAAGACGAAAGATTTGACGAAACCCGTACTCAAAGGTTGGTTGGACTGTGCCGTCGGAAAGCATGTCTTGCTTCTTTGCTGCCCCAGAACAGTCATGGTATGTATGGGCTGGATCTGTTCTCCCTGGCTCTTTTCGTCGAGGCCTAACAAGGCATCTCAGGAGGTTGGAAACCTGTCACACTCCGGAGTCCAATACTCGGGGTGTTTGTTCTCATCTCGATTATCATGATAGCTGCCCTAGAAGTCTTATCACACATCAGCTCACAAGATGGCAATGGTGGCGGCTTGGTGTTTGCGACGAATGTTGAAAGTATTTCGACCGCCGCGTCGTTTGGGTACATCACCTATCTTTATGTCCCAAACTGCGCTGAAAGATAGTTGTAGTTATCTGTACTTTCCCACCATTCTTGCAGTCTGCTATAGCATGATCTGGAGGTATGTGTAACTCTTATGCTAGCACAAATCCTTCACTGATACGCTTTCAAGTTGGGTTGATCTGGACGTCAAGCGCTTGGAACCTTGGTTTCAGCTTTCAAAATCCAAAGGCGCGCAAGCTCAGAACTCCTTGCTACTTCAGTATCCATTCGATTTTTTACCATTTGTCCCATTATCAGCTCTCAAAAGGAGGTAAGATACAACTTCTCGAAAGCTAATACGTTTTCTGACCGAACTTGAGACATTGGAGCGTGTTTTTGGCAGGCACTATTATGCTTGTGGTTTTCTGGGCCATAACACCCCTTCAGTCAGCCATCTTCAACACTGGAGTGGTCACGAGATCGAAGCATATTGATATGGGCACCACAGCTACCCTCGTCTCCTTGGATCGACAGGCCCATGTTCTGAATGCCAATTTCCTCAACGTAGCATACGCAATATCATGGCTTGGCCAGAAATTGCCAGGCTTCACCACTGCGAACTACACAGTCCTTCCTTTCGGACCAACAACACTGGTCCAGAGATCCTTGCCGTCCGAGACTTGGACAGCTGCCAGAGATGCATTCGGCACTTCTATATCATGTTCTCCGGCAATCGTTGAGGTGGAGAAACTCGGCTATACTTTTCGCAATGGCAAAGGCTGTTCTGTATCGCAAATAAATCTACCGGTATCACACGACTTTGGGAGCCATATGATCAACTACATCGGATATTTCAGCAATCCTCACGTTGACTGGTCACTCCAGAACCCTAATTGTACTGCCGAGTTCTCGAACAACTTTCTAGCCTTATACGCATCCGGCAAGTCTCATGTTCAGGGCGGCATTTACAGCAATATCACTGCGCTGTTTTGTGAGACGAGTTACAGCTCCCATTCCGTCACAGTTACCGTAAACGCCTCAGACAACACAATTGTTCATCAAAAGCTAGCATACCAGTCACGGAGTAGCTCTGGTGCTCAAAGTATTCAAGGCATCCTCAATACCACCGCTTTTGAGTATGTCCTGGCTACTGGTGTCAATCCAACGAACCAAAAGGTCAATCTCCCTGATAGGGCAGTTCTAGAGCAGTATCCACGCCTCATGAAATACAATCTAACGTGGCCGGTTTCCAACATGGTAGGCTTCGCAGTAGCTCTTAATCCTTCCAGGGTGGATGATTTAGCCGAGTCTACAGCCTTGAAAGTTGCCTTCGAACGAGCGCATCAACTCCTCTTCACGACCGCATTTAATTCCTTGCTGGAACCTGTGACTGAGACCAATTCCTCCGACAGCGTTGCTGGTCTTCTTGAGGACAGCCCTGGAGCCATCATCTTAGTTCGGCCTGTGGCTATAGCGGTAGAAATAGCGCTAGCTATTGTCGCGATCATGACATTACTTCTCTGGTTCCACTCGCATTCCCGACAAAGCAGTCTGGAGACAGACCCTTCTTCGATTGCTGATCTTATGGCGGTCTTACAAGCAGGCCAAATATCCCGGAAGGAGTCGCATTCAACCATGGACTTTGCCCGAACGACCGTAGATGAAGGTCTATCACAAGAAGTATACTGTTTGACCACAAGGATACCGGGAGAAAAGGTCAACGCTCAGGCCGAGAGAGCCCGCGACTTACCTTTCGGATCCTCAACCACGATTCAATCTACTTCAGGACATGACGAGATCCCTCCATTGAGACCAGTTGAACTCCGTATATGGTCAGGCGCGGCCTTCGTTATTGTACTAGGTACAGCAATCATAGGTTTGACCGTCCTGAACTCCCAGATCCTCAAACACAACGGTAATAATCTGGGATAGTTTTCAGGCCTTGCACTTGCTAATCGTGAGAAGGGCTTACACTTCCATCCTCTAACCCTACAGTCCTCTCCATCATCGAAAACTACGTACCCACAATTTTTGCCACGTTGCTAGAGCCTATCTGGATCGTGCTGAATCGTCATTTGTGCTTACTGAAGCCGTTTGATGAGTTACGAAAAGGAAACGCAATGTCCGCAAGGTCCGTAGAAGCCCGGTATACTTCGCTACCACCACCCTTGATAGTTTGGAGAGCGCTTCGCTCGGGGCATTTTCTTCTTGCGGCCGTCTGCTTGACTGTCATCTCGTCAAACTTTCTCGCAGTTTCACTCAGCACGTTGATCAACGAGGGCCAAACGACTGCGAACTACTCTTTTACTTCTGAAAGACAGCTTCTTCCAAATTTCAATAACACCAGAATTCGGATCGACGGAATAGGAGGACCTGCCATCTCATACTTTGATCATTTCTACATCGAAATGTCAAACATCACCAGCAATACTACGTTACCTCCTTGGGTAGACGCAGCCAATTACTATTTGCCGTTTACCCCTGGCAACGCAAACCAAATCTCGAACAATGATATCTCCGCTGTCCTGAAAGGGTTCAGAGGTACTACAACAGGGTTCGGCGCCCAGGTAAACTGTAACAGCTTGTCTCAAAACGAAGAGATTGACGGATATGAATTTAAAACAAGTGAGGATGGGTTGACTGCTTTCCTTTCAACTTCGCACCAGCTTCCTAATGGCACTCGAACCACTTGTGTTTCCCTAGCAGTCACGAACGCACTGAACGAAACCATCGGCTTTCGAAGTAATTTTCCGACAGGGAACATAGGATTAGAAGTCATGCAATCGATGTTCCCAGCCAAAGGTCTTGACGACGGAGGATTTTGCTCAAGTTTGCTGGTTGCCGGATGGGTGCGAGCGTCCTCAACCGTTGTCTTTGATCTTGAAACAGGGGCGATTAATTCGACACAGATCGCGAATGTGTCCAGTACCTTTCTCTCCTGCACTGCAACAGTGGAAACCAGCAACTTTGACGTTGTAGTGGACACGACTGGTCGGATAGTCAGTTCGAACCGTACGAGCCTCTTTACAGCCAACAAAACATCACTTTTCTCAGGCAATGGGTCGACTGAGCTCAGCCTCTTCCAAGAGACTGTCGATCTTCTAGCTCCGGTCATGGCAAAGAGGTTTCAATGGCACAATACGAGTGTAACCTCGGATTGGATGAATTCTCTTCTTGCTATTGAGCTAAACTCACAACGCCTAGTCGATCCGGCAGCCTCTGCACCGAATGGATCTGAAATTACACCCATGGTGAAGCAATTGTATACAAAGCTCTTCGCCATACTGCTTGGCTTGAACTCAGATAGAGTGTTTGCCCACTCTTCGGTTCAAGCAAGCGAGCCCTTCGAGGAAATTATTGAAGTTTCGAGGATATTCTTGTCCCCACCCATGCTCATAGTGTCAGTTACAATCCTGGTCTTCCATCTCGTCATGGCTATCATATACTATATGTACAGGCCAAGGAACTTTTTGCCACGAATGCCGACCTCCTTGGCAGCTATTTTCTCATATGTATATGCCAGCAGGGCGATACAAGACTTTAGCTATACTAGGAAGGAATCGGGTGATAAGAATGCTGGGCAGAGATTTGGATATGGGAGATTTGTGGGAATCGATGGGAAAACCCATGTTGGGATCGAGCAGCAGCGGTTTGTGGTGCCACTGAAGAGTCGGAACCCGGAAGTGAGGAAGAGGAAATGGGCCCGAACATTTGAAAGAGAGGATGAACGGCAGCCAAAGACTTGGATTTAAACTCATGGTTCTGTAACGAATTTCTCTGAAATAGAGAAGTCTATTGTATCTGCAGAAAAGGTTGCAGTTTGGGATTTCTTGCCGACCAGTAGTTGAAGCTATTCAGACAAAGTTTTAGTCGTTCAGTTGCGCAATGAAGGTAAGTCCAATCAATTTTTGTCATCTGTTGATTGTTCAAGGCAGGGTAGCGTGCGAATTTCCTGTTCCTGTTTAACGCAAGCAAGTGATTCTTCGTTGTGAATGGCTTTTCAGGAGAGGAACGATAGGCTTGTGCTTGCTAGTTACCTTGGTAGGTATCTTGCCATCGCATCCAATCCATAGTGTGGCTGCCCGGTGAATAGGTAATTTAAGGTAAGGTATGTTATGGACATTGTCACGTGACATGGGAAACACCATGTAGCCTATATCACGTGATTAACCAAGAGAGTATCGAATTCTACCTAGGTATACCAGCCAATCAGAAGCGGATGGCTCATAGTCCGCTAGCGGATCCCGCCGGCCGCATAGAGGCACGTGATTTTCAAAATTCCAGTACTCTGCGACTCCCCAGAAAATGGAAGTCGCGACGCATTTCGAGAGCCTTACTGAAGTGTTGAAGCCTTGCCTGCCCTCCCCCCGCAGCCCTACGCCATCCACGCCTCCATCTAACGGCCCTTTCTTTCTCTGTAACCATTTTGTTTCTCTAAGCAACATCATCTCTTGAAAAGACAAATTATAACGACTAATAATATTGTGGAAGGGTTGCGATCGCGTCAAGTGTTGTAGTTGATTTGCCAGGGTGTTGCAGCTTCACGAAGCTATCCGGATACCACGAACACTACGAAGACTGCCAACCGCCACAACCACCTTGCGACACAGTCTCCCGACCAGTGCTGAATATCCGCATCGAATGAAGGCACTCTCGTGAAGGCTTGCGCCAGTGCGAGTGCAGTTGTCGCAGCCATGGCTACCAACACAATTGATCTCGTCGTTCAGCGACTGAGCGACCCATCCACAGGTATGCCAATCATGTATCCAGCGAGCGCCTCAGCGCAATGCTATCACGGCAGATCAATGGCTGACTATTTCTAACTCCAGATGTCAAGGTCAAAGTCGAGGCGGCAGGCCAGTTGCGCGACAGCTTGGAACATTACATCTCGGGCAACATCTATGGCCCTTTTTTGAAGAAACTTGTGCCAATCTTCATCAACATCCTTAAGAGCCCTCCAGTCTTCATCAGTACATCTGCGGAACAGGTGTGCCCTATCACATCACAGGATCGTATAGCGGGGTACTGACTCTAGATAGAAACTGCGGAACTGTGTCCTCGAAATCCTTCATCGATTGCCAACAAACCCTCCTGAGCCATTCGAGCCATATGCCGAAGAAGTGGTGGATTTGTTAATGAACCTGGTCAGAGTTGATAATGAGGAGAATGCTTCGCTATGTGTCAAGACGATCATGGATATCATGCGCCATCAGACGAAAGTGCTGCAGGATAAAGTGCAGCCTTTTCTCAGTCTGATCCAAGAGCTGTTCGACCAGATGGAATCCGTGGTCAGAGATCAGCTCGATAACCCCACACCGAATGTCCCATCGACGCCAGGGAGCTCGCAGACCTTTCAGAACTCTCCTCGTCCAGGTTCTCCGGTTGCTTCAGTATCAGATTTGGGAGCAGACCCCCAGCAGCAGACTCGCCCATTGCTGAAGGGCATGCAATCTTTCAAGGTACTAGCAGAATGCCCAATCATCGTTGTATCGATATTCCAGGTATACCGAAATACAGTTGGTCCAAATGTGAAGCTTTTTGTACCTCTGATTAAGAGTGTTCTGTTACTCCAAGCGAAACCTCAGGAGCAAGCGCATGCCGATGCTGCTGCAAAGGGTACCATATTCACAGGAGTCAGCCCCAACATTCGTAATAGAGCTGCGTTTGGAGAATTCATCACAGCCCAGGTGAAGACGATGAGCTTTTTGGCATACTTGCTCCGAGTGTACTCGCAGCAACTCACGGACTTCCTTCCAACTCTTCCCAATATCGTCGTTCGGTTACTGAAGGACTGCCCGCGCGAAAAGTCTGGAGCGAGGAAGGAACTTCTGGTGGCTATTCGACACATCATAAATTTCAATTTCCGGAAGATCTTCTTGACCAAGATTGATGAACTCCTGGACGAGAGGACGTTAATTGGTGATGGCCTCACCGTGTATGAGACAATGCGTCCACTGGCATACAGCATGCTTGCTGACTTGATTCATCACGTCCGGGATGCTCTCGAGCCGCAGCAGATTCGAAAGACGGTCGAAGTTTACACCAAGAACCTGCAGGACAGCTTTCCTGGTACCAGTTTCCAGACGATGAGTGCCAAATTGCTTCTTAATATGGCAGAGTGTATTGCGAAGATGCCCAACAAAGGCGACGCTCGCCATTACCTGATAATGATCTTGAATGCAATTGGAGACAAGTTTGCTGCCATGAATCGACAGTATCCAAACGCCGTTAAGCTTTCCAAATTATACGCTCAACAATCAATCGATGCATCGCCTGACAATTATCTCGCCGACAAAGAACATCCACCGGATTGGGACGAAATCGACATCTTCACAGCAATGCCTATTAAGACATCAAATCCCCGCGACCGAGGTGCGGACCCTGTGGCCGACAACAAGTTCCTTTTCAAGAACCTCATGAACGGATTGAAAAACACGTTCTATCAGTTAAAGGCATGCAACGTCGGGGCGCCAATCGATGCTGCCAATGCACCAGCACACTGGCAAGAAGTATCGTATGGCTTCACAGCGGAAGAAGTTCAAGTCATCATCAAGCTGTTCCGTGAAGGTGCCTACGTCTTCCGTTACTACGAGATTGAAAAGCCAGCCACAGAGTCTCAATACTCCTCCCCTGTTGAGTTTATGGCCAACCACTACATGATTTCCAGTAGCAAGGAAGAGAAGGATCTCCTGGAGACATTCGCGACCGTCTTCCACTGCATCGATCCTGCCACTTTCCATGAAGTGTTCCACGAAGAGATCCCGAAGCTCTACGATATGATATTTGAACATACAGCACTTCTCCATGTGCCACAATTCTTTCTGGCAAGCGAAGCCACATCCCCGAGCTTCGCCGGTATGCTACTCCGATTTCTCATGGATAGAATAGATCAAGTTGGTACCGCCGATGTCAAGAAGTCATCTATTCTCCTTCGATTGTTTAAGCTTGCGTTCATGGCAGTGACTTTGTTCTCAAATCAAAATGAGCAGGTACTCTTGCCTCATGTTCTTGACATCGTCACAAAGTCCATTGAGTTGTCAACAACTGCTGAGGAGCCAATGAACTACTTCCTGCTTCTCAGGTCGCTATTCCGAAGCATAGGTGGTGGCAAGTTCGAACATCTCTACAAGCAGATCCTCCCACTGCTAGAAATGCTTCTGGAGGTCTTGAACAACTTGCTTCTGGCCGCAAGAAAGCCCGCCGACCGTGACCTCTATGTGGAACTGTGCCTGACTGTTCCAGCAAGGCTGAGCAATTTACTTCCTCATCTGAGTTATTTGATGCGACCGTTGGTGGTGGCTTTGAGAGCCGGCTCTGACCTTGTGGGACAAGGATTGCGGACACTGGAACTCTGCGTCGACAACTTGACCGCTGATTATCTTGATCCGATCATGGCGCCAGTAATCGATGAGCTTATGACTGCCCTCTTCGACCATCTCCGGCCCACGCCGTATAGCCACTTCCATGCTCACACCACCATGAGAATTCTTGGAAAGCTCGGAGGCCGCAACAGGAAATTCATGACAGGTGCACCGGCGCTGACATTCCAGCAATATTCGGATGATCTAACCAGTTTCGACCTCAAGCTTATCGGTTCCAAGAAGGATAGAGCTTTCCCCGCTGAAATAGGGGTTGACCTCGCCATCGGGAAGCTGATGGAAGTTGCGAAGGGCGCGGCCGCCAAAAAGACTGATTCCTACTACAAGAAACAGGCTATTCATTTGATCAAGACCCAGCTCAAACTTCGACTTGGCGTTGACAACCTGCCGGAAGACTTTGGAAGACTAGTGCGGCTACAAGCACAGGACTTGCTGGCCAGAAAATGCGAGGCTGATCTTTCCGCACTCGAGTCTTCAGACAAGGAGCGCTCAGTCTTCAAGAAGGAAGGCCAGGATATGATGCTCAAGAAGCTTATCAAGGCATGCATCTTCGCCGTTTCACTGCCCGAGTTCACAACCGAAGCTACAGCCTTGCTAACAAATACGTGCAAGCATCTCACCATCCTGGAACTCGGAAGATCATTGGCAGAAATGAGGCAAAAGACATTACCTTTCGATGTCAAGTCAGGCGAAGGTCCCCTTTGCATAGATAGCCGGGTGCTTGGTGATGCAATTGTTGAGTGCTTGTCTTCTGACATGCCAGCTGTGCGAGAGGCTGCTCAAGTTGCGATCAAGGAGGTGTACGACACCACCACCACGATATTCGGCTCGAACACGGAAATCTACCGCTTATCCTTCTTCGCATATCTTAGTAGCCTATTCTGTCACAACTGCTACGAAGAGGAGTGGTTTTCCAAGGCCGGCGGAAGTCTGGGTATCCGATATCTCATCACCGATATCAACCTAGGTGATGCGTGGGTCCAGGATCGCCAGATCGAGTTTGTCAAGGCTCTGATGTATGTCATCAAGGACATGCCATCTGATCTTCCTGCAAAGACCAGACGAGGCGCCCAGGATACTCTCGAGCTTCTCCTGAATCGTTGCTCGAAAAATGCTTCCAAGGATGATCTTCAGCTACCAGCGCCAACGCAATCTGGCCAACAACCCCGGCCATCGAAGCTCTACCAACTCTGTGCTTTCTTGAATGTGGAGCTGTGCCACATGAATCGCCATGTCCGTGAAGCCACCAAGCGGTCCCTAGAGATCATATCGAAGGAGATTGGAGCTGAGATCCATGAACTTCTCGAGCCTAGTAAGGATCGATGTATTCAGCCAATCTACGCTAAGCCCTTGCGTGCGCTACCTTTTGGGGTTCAAATTGGCTTCATTGACGCCATCACCTACTATCTGGGTCTCAAGGCGGACTTTATAACGTTTGACGATCACCTCAACCGACTTTTGATGGAATCCTTGGCTCTGGCTGATGCACCTGATGAGTCTCTCGCAGGGAAGCCAGCCGAACACCGCACGCATGATTCCATCATCAATCTGAGAGTTGCTTGTATCAAGATGTTGACGATCGCCATGGGCTTTGACGACTTTCAGAAAGGGGCTGGAAATCCTACCCGGACCAAAATAGTGTCGGTTTTCTTCAAGTGTCTCTACTCGGACTCTAAGCAGACCATCGAAGCAGCAAATGAGGCTCTGAAGAAAGCGCTCATTCAGACTACCAAGCTCCCGAAGGATCTATTACAGAACGGATTGCGACCGGTACTTGCCAATCTTCAAGATCCACGACGACTGAGCACTCACGGCTTGGATGGTCTGGCGCGATTGCTGCAGCTCCTAACAACGTACTTCAAAGTCGAAATCGGTTCCAGATTACTCGACCACATCAAGGTTCTGGCAGAGCCCAACGTGCTCCAGCGGATATCCTTCACATTGATTGAACAGAATGAGCAGATGAAGATCATTGCTGCCGTCTTCAACATCTTCCATCTCCTCCCACCAGCGGCCGAGCAATTCAAGGAACGTTTGATCGAAACTGTTCTGGACCTTGAAGAGAAGCTCCGCCGGACCAGATATAGCCCATTCAGAGTGCCACTGTACAAGTACCTCAACCGCTACCCCAGAGAAGTGTGGATGATGCTGCTGGGCAAGATTGAAGACCAGAAGTATGGTCGTTTCTTGGCACAAGTTCTGGAACATCCAGAAAGTGGTCCTTTGCGGGAGGTTGTCGTGAACGGTGTTGAATCCTTGATCAAGAACTGTGGAGACATGGGTGCTGAAAACAAAGAAACACGGTATGCAGCAGTCATCAATGCCATTAACATCATGCACTCGATCTCAAAATTTGAGACCGACAAGACTAAAGAGTGGATGGACAAGAAGGAGAACATGGCGTGGTTCAAGATGGTGGGGCAGAATCTTGAGCTCCATCTTCGAACAAATACACTTCCTCCGAACCTCCGACTTGCAGCCGAGCAGGCTGGAGAGCAGCTCATGGTTATCTTGACCAAATTTCTCGAGTACCACCCCAACGACTTGGATGAACTCTTCAAACTGGTCGATTTGGTCACCGCTGAGAGGCTGAAGCTCAGTCAGACCCTCATCAAGTACGTCTATGATCGAATCATCAGTTCTGATTCCACGGAGTACTGGAAGTCGGTCGTCATGAGGTCTTTGGAAGTGTACGCTGGAAAGTCGGGGTCGCAGAAGACAAAGACCTTCCTGCTCCACAATCTGGTCAATCCAATTATCGCTATGGATGTAATGAGAAACAGCACTCATGCATCCCCAGGTAGAGGGACTCGCTTGATGGACAAGGCTGTGATTGAGTCCATTCATACCAAGATCTGGAAGGTCAGTTTCGGAGACTCCAACGATGATCTCTCGCAGCCGGGCATCGACCACACTCGTATGGAGGTTCTCCAGTTGACCGCCATGCTTGTCAAATACCATCATGCCATTCTGCAAGATGCCAGGAAGGATATCATCAAGTTCGGCTGGACTTACATTCGCTTGGAGGATGTCATAAATAAGCACGCTGCGTATGTTGTCATTGGGTACTTCATTGCACATTATGAAACTCCAGCCAAGATCGTGCAGCAAGTCTACTTCTCCCTTCTGAAGACAAATCAGAACGAAGGCCGTGCACTCGTAACGCAGGCTTTGGAGTTGATTGCTCCGGTGCTTCCCAAACGCTGCAGTCCTGCTCCCGGTGATCGCAATCCCGTATGGGCAGCGGCCCCCCGACGTATCTTGTCCGAAGAGGGCCAGAATGTTCAGCAGATGACAAGCATATTCCACTTCCTCGTCAAGCACGCAGATCTCTTCTACGACTCAAGGGACAAGTTTGTCAACCTCATCGTCGGCTCTCTCAGAAAGATTGCACAGCCTCCTAATCCATCAAATGAGAGCAAGAAGTTGGTCCTTAACCTGATGACTTTGATCTGGCAGTGGGAGCAGAAGCGTGTTGAAGGAAAGGACGCCTCACCTGTTTGTGCCTTTTCGGAGTCCCCAAACACAAAGAAGCGCAAGCTCGAGGCGCTCAACGATGCATCGGCATCTTCGCCTTCGCCCTCCAAGCCCGGATCGTCGAACTCAGCCGACAAACCAGAGTACAAAATCCCGGGCCCGGTCCAGCAGAAGATGATCAAGTACCTTGTCGAATTCATCGCTTCGCTAACCGAGCGCTTTCCGCTTCCTTCCGCCAAGTCTAGAGATCTGGGTTCATCCCACGCTCCAGTACAGCCGGCTCCGTCAGTGGAGATGTGCAAGAAAGCAATTGCTCTCCTCTATGGCCTTTTGCAGCCTCAATACTGGGGTGAGTCGATGGTGGACTTGTTTCCAAATGTGACAGACACGGTGTTGGCAAGCGAGCGGACCACAGCCGCCTTGGCGAGTGAGCATTCTGATAAGGACAAGCCTGACGAGAAGTTCATTACGAACATGGTCAACACGCTTCAGATCGTCCGAATCATTGTCAACATCAAGTCCGACGCCTGGATCCTCTCGAACATGGGCAATCTTCAGCGAATCTTGGAGAAAGCTTTGAAGTCCGAGAATCCGGAACTTCAAGACTGTCTACACACTGCCGAAGAAAAGATGGACGAAGGTCGCAACCTGAAACCTCTTCTCAAGCGTATCCTCGACGCAGTACCAGATGATGTTCCCATGGAAGATGCCGATGCTGAAGGAGAAGCGGAGGCCTCGACTTCCGAGATTATCACGTTCCTCTCAACAATTGCCACCGAGACTCTCTCCGCCAACAATTACATCTCGGGTATCAACATATTGTGGACTCTGGCACAGAGAAAACCTTCGGAGATGGATCAGCACATTCCCCAGATTATGAAGGCCTTGCAGTCCAAGCTCGCTCGTGAGCACGTTGCTCACTACAATGCCATACTCGGCCAAACTGGACTCGTTGCGCCCATTCGACCAGGAGAAGCAGAGCCAGCTGGTGTCATGACTCCGTATGACCTTGAGATCCAGACCGGCCTTATGCTGAAAGCCATTGATGTCATCTCGATGAGAATGGATGTTCTTGGCGACAACCGTCGTCCATTCCTCAGCGTTCTAGCCACATTGGTCGAAAAGTCAATGAGCAATCCTCTATGTCTGAAAATCTTGGACATGGTAGAGACGTGGGTCTTCAAATCGGAAGGATCATGGCCCACACTGAAAGAGAAGACTGCTGTTCTCCATAAGATGCTGACCTTCGAGAATCGCACAGATCAGACTTTATTGATGAAGTTCCTTGAGCTCGTGATCCGCATTTACGAAGACCCCAAGATCACCCGGACCGAGCTCACTGTTCGCATGGAGCATGCCTTCTTGATCGGAACCCGGGCTCAAGATGTTGAAATGCGAAATAGATTCATGGCAATATTTGACAAGAGCCAGTCGAAAACAGCCAGCGCTCGGTTGGCGTATGTCATTACCGCACAGAATTGGGATACCTTGGCCGACTCATACTGGCTCGCACAGGCATCACAACTGCTGCTTGGTGCTGTTGACATGAACAGCTCTATTCACCTTCATAGAGAGGACTTCAGGACCATGCCTGCTTCGGCTCTCTTCCAGACCTACGCCAGCGATCCCCGATCCCCTGACCTCCCAACCGATACTGTATACGACAGTCTGCTGCATTCACACCGAAGATTCGTGGCAGAGCTTGGAGATGTGAGAGTACGAGATATCATTGAGCCACTCACTCAGTTGCAGCATCTGGACCCCAATGTCGCCCAAGAGATTTGGATTGCATTGTTCCCAATGTATTGGGCCGCTATGCCCAAGGACGAGCGAGGCGAGGTCGAACGGGGAATGGTGGCACTGCTTACCAAAGACTATCACTCCCGCCAAGTCGATAAGAGGCCCAACGTCGTACAGTCACTGCTCGAAGGGGCTGCAAGATCCTGGCCAGACTGCAAAATTCCTCCTCATGTGCTCAAGTTCGAGGCTAGAACCTATGATGCCTGGTACACCGCCCTTATCCAACTGGAGAACGCCGCTATCAAGCCAGAATCCGATAGTGCGCTGGTTCGAGAAAGCACGCTGGATGCTTTGGTTGAATTGTACGCCGGCTTGAATGAAGATGACTTGTTCTATGGAACGTGGCGTCGAAGATGTCTCTATGTCGAGACGAATGCTGCGCTTTCGTACGAGCAGAATGGCATGTGGGACAAGGCTCAAAATGGGTACGAGACAGCTCAAATTAAGGCACGAACTGGCGCTCTTCCATTCTCTCAGGGCGAATACATGCTTTGGGAGGATCATTGGGTCTTGTGCGCTACAAAGCTCCAACAATGGGAAATACTCTCAGACTTCGCTAAGCATGAGAATTTCCAGGACCTGTTGCTTGAGTGTGCCTGGAAACAAATCGAAATGTGGAACTCACCAGAGAATCGCGAGTCCTTGGATGGTCTCATCAAAGGTGTCATGGATGCACCTACTCCTCGGCGAACATTCTTCCAGGCTTTTATGTCCCTTCTCAAGCTTCACAATAAGACAGAGTCGCCAGCTGAGTTCAGCAAGGTTTGCGATGAAGCAATTCAACTTTCGATTCGCAAGTGGCATCAGCTTCCAAAGCGCATCACCAATGCACACATCCCTCTTTTGCAAAACTTTCAGCAACTTGTGGAGCTTCATGATGCTAGTGTTATCTGCCAAAGTCTGGCACAAACTAACCAGGCCAATCTTGACATCAAATCCGGCGAGCTCAAGTTACTCCTTGGAACTTGGAGAGACCGCCTGCCAAACGTCTGGGACGACATCACGGCCTGGCAAGACCTGGTCACTTGGAGACAGCATATCTTCAGTCTCATCAACACCACCTATCTAGGCCTTTTGCCACAACAGGGGCAGAATGCAAATGGAGCCTCATTCGCATACCGAGGCTACCATGAGACTGCGTGGATCATCAATCGTTTCGCCCACGTCGCTCGCAAGCATCAACTGCCAGAAGTCTGCATCAGCCAGCTTAGCAGAATTTACACACTGCCGAACATCGAGATCCAGGAGGCCTTCTTGAAGCTCAGAGAGCAAGCCAAATGCCATTATCAGAACCCGAATGAGTTGAGTAACGGCCTCGACGTCATCAATAACACCAATCTCAACTACTTCGGTCCCAACCAGAAGGCAGAGTTCTACACGCTTAAGGGGATGTTCTTAGAAAAGCTGGGTCAAAGAGACGAAGCTGCCGAAGCATATGGCATGGCTCTGTTCTTCGACATCAAACTTCCAAAGGCCTGGGCAGAGTGGGGATACTACAATGATCGTCTTTTCAAGGAGAATCCCACGAACTACACATATGCCAAGAATGCCTTGAGCTGCTATTTGGAGGCAGCCGGCTTGTTCAAGAATGCCAAATCGCGGAAATTGTTGACTCGAATTCTCTGGCTATTGAGTCTTGATGATGCCGAAGGTACTCTGTCTGCACAATTTGACGACTACAAGGGCGAAACTCCTGTTTGGTACTGGATCACGTTCATACCCCAGCTCTTGACTGGGTTGGGCCACAAGGAGGCACCAAAAGCCCATAGCATCCTCGCGAAGATTGCAAAAGCCTACCCACAAGCACTGTACTTCCAGCTCAGAACCAGTCGCGAAGACATGATGGCAATCAAGAAAGTCCAGGACATCAAGGAGGAGAAAGAGCGTCGCTTAAAGGCTAGACAAAATGCAAACGGTACTCCAAATCCAACTGGTTCGCCGAGCGTTCAACGTCAGGAAACTCCCGCAGGTGGACGGCCAGATTCTGCAGCAGGGTCTCGTCCAGCGACCGCGAACCCTGAAGGCAATTCGGCGGTCAAGAAGGAAACTGGCGATACAAATGGAACAGCTGAACCCGCCACCAATGGTACCCAGGTCGTTTCACACAAGAAGCCGTGGGAGCACAACGAAGAGATCCTGGCCGTCCTCAAGACCGCCTTCCCTCTCTTGGCCCTCTCGATGGAGAACATGGTGGATCAAATTCAGAAGCACTTCAAGTGTCCCCCAGATGAAGATGCGTATAGACTGATCACTGCCCTACTGAATGATGCTCTGTCATACGTCAGCCGCGCGCCGAACTCTTATGCTCAGGACGTCAAACTCCCAGCTGCCACAGAAGCGAACATCACCCGTTTTGCAGAGACCATTCTCCCTGCTCATATCCGAACTTCTTTCGAAGCGGACTTCGTCAAGACCAAGCCAACTATGCATGAATATATCCACAAGTTGCGGAAGTGGCGCGATAAGTTTGAGTCCAAGCTTGACCGCAGACGGCCGTTCGCCTATCTGGAGACCTACAGTCCCCACCTCAGCGAGTTTAGATTCCAGAAATTCGACGAGGTTGAAGTTCCCGGGCAATATCTACAACACAAAGATAAGAACCAGGACTTCGTTCGCATTGAGCGTTTCCTGCCAACCGTGGATCTTGTCCGTGGCATTGGAGTTTGCCATCGTCGTCTCAAGATCCGTGGTCATGACGGAAGTGTACATCCTTTCGCAATTCAGCATCCGGCAGCCCGCCACTGCAGACGCGAAGAACGAATCTTGCAACTTTTCAGGCATTTCAATGGTAGCTTGAGTAAGCGCAAGGAGAGTAGACGCCGTAACTTGAACTTCCACCTGCCACTCATGATTCCATTGGCTCCTCACATCCGAATGGTTCAGGATGACCCAACTTACATTTCTTTGCAAGGTGTATATGAGGACCATTGCCGAAAGAGCGGCATGTCAAAGGATGATCCCATACTGTTCACAATGGACAGAATGCGGGCACTGGTTGAGACTAAGGTAAGACGATTTGGTAATCCGAATGAATTGAATGCTAATAGTTTGCAGAAATACTCTGAACAGACCCTACCTGCTAGAATGGAGATATTCACTTCGATTCAAGAGAAGTGGGTCCGCCATACTCTCGCCTTGGAGTATTTCACGAAGACCTACCCAGGATACTCCGAATTCTGGCTCTTCCGACGTCAATTCTCGTACCAGTTTGCAGCACTCACATTCATGACATACATTCTCCACATGCACAACCGATACCCTCACAAGCTCAACATCGCCCGTGGTACTGGAAACATCTGGGGTTCTGAGCTTATGTCATGCATGGCAGCTGGGAAAGCATTCTTCCACAATCCCGAGCCGGTGCCTTTCCGTCTCACGCCGAACTTACAAACTCTTATGGGTCCTCTCGCCACTGAGGGTATTTACAGCTGTGCGATCATGGCCATTGCACGATGCCTCACAGAGCCAGATTACGAGCTCGAGCAACAACTCAGCTTATTCGTGCGAGACGAGATGATTCATTGGTTCACTAGTCAGCATCGACAGGGATCGATGGCTGACGGCCAATTGAGGGAGACGGTCCAAGCAAACAGTGAGATCATTGTCAAGAGGACATTGAGTCTTGCGCAGAGCCCGGCGGGGTCATTACCGGCAAACCAGACGGTGATTGATTTGATTGCAAAGGCGGTCAATCCTATGAACTTGGCACAGAGTGATACTTTATTCATGCCTTACCTATGAGCGGAGGGATATGGAGGGGAGGAGGAGGAATTGAATAGCTGGAGAGGCTAGAGGTTATTGGTGAAAGCATATGTTTGTAATGATATGGGCTTGAAATTCGAAAGGCCGTCGAGAACCGGTGGACCTTATTTTAGCGCGGTGTTTGGCTTTGCTGGGAATGGTGATAAAGGGACGTTTGACCTAAAAGTGTGTTCGTGGTTTCTCTGTACAATCGATAGAGACTTAGTAATTACATAGCAGTGAGTTGCTTCTAACAGAGGTCCTGTGCCATCGAGAGAATTGTGATTCTGCAAGGTGTTTGCTTGAATGAATACATTGCAGGAGAAGCCACCTACTGTACACTCTCTGAATCTGCAATCTGTGGAGAAATCTCTCGCATACTTATGCCTTGGCTCTGAGTCTGACTCAGGTGACCGGAAATCCATGCCCGGTATCAATTCATCAACCCATCACCCACTTTCTCTCGCCCTCCCATCAATCTACACTCAACTCGGTACGCCCCCATCACAGCGGACACTCGATCGCCGTTCTGCTCCTGACTTTTCCGATAATAACCGAGTTAACGACATTATTGTACGGATGCACAACTAAGCAGATCTCTAAACACTTGAGGACTTTCTCGCTTGTGGGATTGAATTCCTGTTTTCTCATGATCTTATCAGTAAATGTCTGTTTTCCATCTCTGACACCACTTCACGCCTCTTCAGATCTAGTCTAGAGCAGAATAGGGGAGAATAGAGTGTCTTCTAAGAAGAATGGAGCAACTCACAGCATACAACACTCGTCTCAACCGCTCCGCACTCCTGATAACCAAGTACGAACCCGCTCTCATTCTGCTCACGACATTCTCGAGCAGGTCTTCTTTTTCAAACTGAGATGAGCCCGCTAAGGCGGCGAGGTAGACTACATCGTAGGGGGTGAGGTCGATAGACGGGTTAGCGCCCGGGGAGAGCTGGAAGGATAGGCCTTTGGCGTGAGGACCGAGGTGGGCACAAAGGGTGGTGGACTGGGCGATTGCGGTGGAGGAAATGTCGATGTTGAGGATTTGGATTTCGACTTCCTCTTTGTTGGGTTCGTTGTCGGGGTCGGGTGTGATTGTTTGGCCGGTCTGGGGGTGATTGAAGGAACTGGCTGTCTGGTAGATACAGAGGCTGGTTAAAGGGAGCGGACCGGAGCCGATGAATGCGAATTTCTGGAGGGGTGGGCAGGTTGGTGTTAGGAGGGAGGAGAGGGCCGAGAGTTCGAGGCGGGTGAGTGCCGTGTAGTTGGTGTAGTAGGGGAATTGGGTGAGGCGGGTGTGGACTGTGGGAGATTAGTCCGGAGTTCTTGGAGGGTTGGGTTTTAGCACAGAGATAAGGAGGGAGAGAAAGATACCTTCTTCTGGAGTGGATGAGGAGGAGCCGGATATGTACGCTGCCCAGTGTGATTCTAGATGACATTCGGCGGTGCCGCAGAGTTTGTGGAGTGAAGGGAGGATGGTGACCATGCGGGGGTCACTGAGGATCTGTAACTTGTGAGCTGTTTGGAACTAAATATCAAATTGGGATCAAGATTCCACCCTTCATACCTTGTTCGTCACAACATCACTGATCGTTTTGATACACATTCCGACCAGCTCTACAAACAATACATCAACCTCATCACAAGGCTTCAGATTTTCCGCCCCAATAGCCTCGAGCTTCGCATGGATATCAAGAAGTCGAAGTATTAACCCCTCTGCTTCAACAACGCCGGGTTCGCTTCTCATGGTGAGAGTGGTCGATGAAGTGGACGTCGAAGTAGACAAGGAGGGGATAGTTTTCGGCTGGTTGATAGTCTCCGCTTCAGTACTGGGCTTGATCTTGCAAGCTGCGAGCATATTGGAAAGGAGGAAAGCCATGGTTTGTAGTTTGCTTATATATTGGATATGAATGTGGAGGGTCAGGATTGATATGCAAAAGAAGGTATGACAGAAAGAAAGGCTGAGAATGCGAAAGTCTAATTGGAAAGTGAAATGTGAAAGGATTGAAGTGAAAGAAGAAAAGAAGCGAATCTCCAAAGAGGAGGAAGCTATTGGAAAAGAACGACCTGACATTCACTGATTCTTCAAGCCCCCAACTTCAACCCCCACTTTGATCAACGTATGCTTGCCAGGTCACCCCATAGTAAGAAAGTGATTCCTTGCATATGCATGTATGAGCAGGGTATGCATCACATGGTGTAAGTATTAGGTGGGTAGTTGGGGTAAGGAAGGGGAGTGGTATCAAGTGAAGTTGTCCCTTCCCTTTCACTATCAGCAAGACACTAACTTTTCGAAGCCCATAGCCGACATCTTGCAAAAGAAGCTGAAGAATTGGAAGTTACACAAGCTTTGCATAAATTCACGGTATGATTTTCAAGAAGGGGAAATCAGGCGGAGTCTTTATTTTAGAGCCAAGTCTTAAGGTAACCATCAAGGTACTTGTTGGATCAGACTAAACGAGAGATCGGATCTGCCCAAGCTTGAGAGAGGGCCACCAATATGAGGTGGGGGATTACATATGAGTATTTGTCTGGGATGGCGCGGTTTCCGCAGTGAACTTTCGCTGCCAAGGAAGAATCCTTTACTTACTTTTTATTTTTATGTGGGATGGAAATATCACGTGCGGTTGAATATAAGCACGTGACCGATGAATATCTGAGAGCTGTGCGGTTTTCGGAAGCAGGTGAGAACTTCTCGTGAAGGGCAAAGCATGAACAGACTTTGCTTACATGTGTGTAGTAGGTCCTTTGTACTGGTTTATTCCAAGGACTTTGACGCGCATGCCTAGCCACCTTTAGAGCTCGAACCGGGAGCTTTGTCCAGCCACCTAGGTAGCCACCTTCTCTATAGTATAAAACAAGGCGGTGAGGTGGAGGGAAAAGCATGTTTATTGCAAAGGCAAATAATTATGGGTGTTTTAATAATCACATTTACAACTTTTCAAGGAATGATGATTGGCTGATTGATTGATTGTTTTGATTACCTCGCTTAAATCCAGAATCAGGTACGACCCATCTTTGCGTGAATTTAGCTTCATTCTTCTAGGTCAGTAGCTACAGCTTGGACATGGAGGAAAATATAATGATGAGCGAGCAGATTGAATTTACGTGTTTGGATGGGGCTAGAATGGCATGCTATTCACATTTTGGTGACAAGACAATCATGGGCAAGTGATAAGGGGAAGGACAAAGAACCATTTGCCAGGTAGATACGCGGTTCAGACTCCGATACTGATCCGCATGAGGTTGCGAGCACAAGGAGCAGGGTATGGGTGCGGGTGCATGAAAATTATAGCAGTGTTGGTAGGTAGATAAGATTACAAACATAGAATGTCGCAAAGAAAAGTGGTATCTTCGCTCCAACCCTTCCTCCTAACCAGCCACCCAACCAACCAAAACACCATTATCACTACGAACCTTCCACTATCTTCAACTCGAAATCGCCATGAGATCCTGATATATCCTACTCTTTGATCTCCCTCGCAACTGGCTGCTCAGGCCCGGCCTCCTCATCCTTCTCCCTGTACAAATGGCCTGTCGGCAGCATGTTCAGATGATCCTCTTCCTTATCCAAACCTCGGTACTGGAACCAGAAACACGTGCCACCAATGAATGCCAGCACAGCCATCGTGCCATAATTCCAGACAAGCAGCGGGTCAGCAGAAAGTGTTACAAACGCTTCACCAATAGCGGCTGAGATGGCAGACATGAAGAGATTGAATGACATGACCAGAGACCGCATATTCTTTGGTGCTTTTGAGAATGCGTACTCGAGGGTTGTGATCGACGCGAGGATCTCAGAGATGGCGATAAGAACGTACGCTCCTGTTTGCGCCCAGACGTTGATGTCAACTGGTGGACACATAGTTTCGCCGTCTCCACCGAGTTCCGCTGGGAGGAGCCCAGCAGCGCCAGTGCCGCAGATAGATTTCTTGTAGATATAAGCCTGGACCACAGCCGCCCAAATCATAGCCGCGGCGCCGGTATAGAAACCCATGGTGATCTTCTTGATGGGCGTGAAGCGGATCTTCATTTTGCGGAGGAAAGGCCAAAAGACGAGATCGCAGAGCGGGATGAGGATGATGAGCGCGAAGGGGTCAAGGTTGGAGAGCACGTCGTTGGGCAGGCCGTTGAGTTTCATTACTGCAGCCTGAGAGGTGAGGTTGTTGTTGAGTTGATTATAGGTGAGCCAGTAGAGGGGAACCCAGCAGAAGACGGAGCAGGCGGCGAAACCACGGGCGACTTCGTCGACCCACTGGTCGTCGAAGGTCATCCAAGCCGGGCGCCGGGAGGGCTCGATGTTGGACGGTTTGACGGATTCCCAAAAAGTACCGTCGTAGAGGCGTTTATAGGTCTTGACGGGGTTGAGGGACCAGCGGCCTTTATTGGCGAGTAGGAAAAGGCCGACGGCTTTGCCGAGGACAGATCCTTCAGGTGGTGCCATTACGTACTTGTCACGGCAGTACCAGACGACCAGAGGGCATACGCAAAGAAGACACGTCGGGAGGAGGTATGAGAGCCAGAAGCCAACATATTTTTCAGCGTAGACCATGCCGACTTGACCGACAAGGGCGCCAATATTGATGAAGAGGTAGAAGTAATGGTACACACGACTCTGTGTGACAGTAGGATCGATGATGACCCGCTCTCCATCCGGTCTATCGCGAACGACAAGTTTGGTAACATGAAGTTGTTCTGCGATTAGAGGAGAAATATTTGGCTGTGGTCATGTTAGCATTAACTTTCACGAGACTGCAAAGGGTCAGCTAACCTTGAAAGCGCCGGTTCCAACTCCCATGATGATGATACCGATCAGGAAGCAGCCCAGGGAACTGTTTGCGTGAACAATGACAGTTGGCGTGGCGGAGACAACCATGATGATATGACCGACAATGGCGATTCCAAGAGCATAGCAGATGGTCTTGTAGCGACCTAGATACTTATCTGCAACATAGGCACCAAACAGTGGCATGAGGTATACCCAGAACTGATTGAATGTTCCGATACCTGTGGATGCCTGTTGTCCTTTGTTAAGCGCACCAGATTGGCCATCTGTGAAGCCAGCTCCAGTTTTTGATCCTTTGGGAAGAGGCTGCTGGATGAAGTTCGTGACTTGGGAAATGTCAGTGAGTACTTGTAAGGGACCAAAATTTCAGCACTTACAGACGACAGTGGAGCCGTAGTATGAGAAACGCTCGACCAGCTCGACGAAGGCGAGGGTATAGACTCTCCACGGGATGGAATCGGCTACGCGACGAAGAGAATGCAATTCTTCTTCAGTTGGATACTCGCCTTGTTCAAAGTCAGAGTCGTCATAGTCGTTGAAGTGGCGTGAGCGTGTTGGTTGGCCTTCCACTACAAGAGGAGGAACAGCCTTGTGGTCGGATGCTGGCCCTTCATGCTTAAAACCAGGAGCAACTGCAACCGAAGGGTCGTGTTTAATGCCAATGGCGGCATCGTCGATATTTCCGGGCATATTGAAAGTTTCTTTAAGAGAACGACGATGATGGAAGACGCGAACAATGTGGGATGTACGACTCTGTGGAACGTCCTCGTATGGGTAGGACATGAAGCTATATAAGCTTCAGCGGGGTTTGTCCAATGTTGCAGCTTCCGAGACACAACATACAGATCTCCTATGGACAGGGGTTCTAAGAGCCCTAGTACACACCAACAGTAACATCTCGAGTGGCAAAGCACCTTCCTGCTGCAGCTGAGCCGAAAGCATACTAGAGAGATCTCGTTGGTATTGGTCGTCGATTGAGCCGTTGATCAACTGGCACGGATCCTGTTGGGTTGCCCCTACTCTGATCGTCCTAGAGAGAAGTTACAAAGGACCACAGTCAAGCCCGTGTGGATAGTCTCGATGCCATGCATATCCAATCTAGGAAGTTGGCCACCAGCTTTCGATTGTCGACAGCTAGAAGGACCGAAGAACATGGGATCTTGAACCTCCGATTTGCCAGTGCATCTTTCCCGGGTAGGGGTGTCCTTCGTCCAGCCATCGACCGGCAACGAAAGGCAAAGGCACACAAGATGAACGAGCTTCAATTTTAATCCATATCCAATAGAAGGGAGGGATGATCCTTCGACAGCAGGGCTGAAAAACGGCTTGGGGTGTTCTTTTCCAAGTTTCGGATTAGATATCTACATTCTCGATAGCGTAGTAGGCGCTGATTCGCTGATTAGGGCTGGTTTCGTGCATGGTGAGGGGTGGCACCACAAACTCACGGCACACGATCAACAGCCGACTTTAGTATAATACGAGTTGAGATATTTAGCAACACCAGAAGGCAGAGCGGCCATTGAATGCGATAAGGTAGTGACTTGTAAGTCGTTGGAGATGATTTGGTATTCATATCATGTCCCGCTGGAAAAAGCTGTATGCGATGGGGTTATCGTAGATTTGGCGTTTGAACTGATCGGAGACGTTAGATGTCTGGTCCTTGCACGAGTATGGCCAAGGATCCATCCAGCGCGAGCTGTGCCCCGTGCCATGCATCGAGAGTGCGGGGAGAGAGTGCTACCCCAAGGCCACCATCCAGCCAAACGATTCGCCATGCAAAGCTTTTCTCATCGCCGAGCCCTGGCACGAAAGGCTTGACCTGAACCCCTTGGAAACAGACCTGGTCCATACTCGATAGTATACTACTCTGACTGTAATCCGTCTGGATTTTGTCTTGCATGAACTGAGATAACCTTAGATGTCCAAGCGAACGAACGGCTTTCACCGACAGACAGAGGACGTCCTGAAAACCTCGGCCCGTGGATATGCGAGCCGTAGAGGTTGATCTCGAGCAAGTCAAAGTTTTTTCCTTTGTGTTTGTCTTTCACAAGAAGGCGTCTCGGGCGTCCGCAATTTCTGCTGGTCTTGTCTTCAAACAGCGCCAGCCATTGACGGAGATGGCTCCCAAGCGAGGGGCTTGACTGGCAAGTTCAGCGCCACGCTTCCGGCCCCGAGAGCGTCCCCCTCAGAGTTCCCATACTAGTGACACCACACAACTATCCTAGCGCAGGCGAGCGCCGGACATGTTACATGGCTGCTGAAAGCCTCGTGGGCCAAAAGAGGCAGGTGGCAATGCTGGTTTGGGTGTATTGACTGAGGACCAAGAGATGGCATGGTGCTGCATTTTTCCTTTCGAGTTCTGGATAGAGGGAGGAAATCTGAACCGAGGTAGATATATAGTAATTGTATGCATGGCTGTATACATGGCTGGAGTTTGGGCGAGAAATGTTATGAGCAGGGCATTCTGCTACGCTGTTGAAAAAGCTCCATCATCCTGGCGGTATCTTTGAAGGTGACATGTTGTTTCGGTCGCGAGATGGAGTGAACGGAGTGAACCTCCAACTTCCAACCTCGAGCCAGCATAAGGTTGCAGCTCTCGGTCGGCTCAGATTCGGCGTCGTGATCAGCCCAGATCGAAAGATTTGGGAGATTGAAGGAAGAAAGTGACATGAACCGAAATAATAATATATATGTGAGTAAGACGGAGTTGTTCGAAAGGCGCAGGTTGTCAAGCCGGCCGAACGAGCCGAAAGTCACGAGGATTTCACGTGAGCCTCAACCTCTCAGGAGAATTCTGAACCCTCCTGACCTCCCATCACCACGGATGTTTCTAAGGTAGTAAAATGTACATTGGTAATGCAAAAATCTCATTCCTCTGACGTACATTCTCAAGCTGATGAGAGACCTGTATCAAAGGTGTGTTGAAAGTTGGAATACACCAAGCGACGCCATTCATTCCATCACAGACGGTAACTTGAAAACCTTTTACTTCAGTCATCGCTCTTGGCTTCGGGAAACACGCAAATAGTTTATTAGATAGATATCTTGCTTTGGACATCAGCTTTGACCAAGGGATTTGGTTGTTTGCCTCTCTCCCACTCGACCTGGGACAACAAAGTAAAGATCAAGCAAATTGTGAATTAAAACAGAACAGGGACCATGTTTTGCCCATATATACATTTCCATCTCAGCCCCGCTTACATACATACCTACATACATACACACAATTCCCTCCAATCCTTCCCACAACTCACCATAACCAACTGTCCAGCCTCGCCCTCAACCCAAAGTTCCCACCAGCCTCAAATCCCTCGAACTAGCCCCAACCCAAACCCCAAAAGCCCCAGTGGGCAACACCCACTTCTTCGCTCCGCTATCCCAGATACTCAGATCCTTCCTTCTCAACTCGAAGCTCACCGTGGCTTTAGCTCCTACATCCAAGAGCACCTTTTTAAAACCCCGCAACTGCCTGACTGGACTCGATGGCGCAGAGCTTGGTAAGCCGATATACAGCTGCGCGACTTCTGCGCCGGCGACTGTCCCGTTGTTCGTGATGGTCGCTGTGACTGTTGCTAAAACGTCGTAAAGACCCTTTGGGCCGCCTGGTGCAGGGGTGGTACTGCCTGTTGTTGTAGCCAATGGGGAGATTGTGAGAGCAGAATAAGAGAATGTGGTATAGCTAAGACCGAACCCGAATTCGTATCTTGGGCTGATATTGTTCTTGTCAAATCGTTTATAATCGATAAACAAACCTTCGGGATAACTATCATCGCCATTGATTACCGCAGTCCCGTAGTCGTTCGCGGATTTCGCGATTGTGTAGGGGAGTTTGCCGGACGGGGAGGTGCTGCCGTAAAGGATGTCTACGAGAGCATTGCCGGATTCTTGGCCCGGGATATTGGCCCATACTATTGCGACCACGTTGGGGGAGGAGAGGAGGGGTTCGAGGATAAGGGGCCCGACGGAGTGGATTATGACGATGGTTTTGGTGTTGGCGGCGGCGACGGCGGCGACGAGGGCATTGCCGTTGTGCCAAGGGTCGAGGTTGATACGGTCTCCAGCGTTGTTTTCGACCTGAGAGGTGGAATGGATTGTTAGCGTGTGGTTTGGGGAGGAGATTAAACCACGCACCGTGATGTAGCCTTCTCCTGAGTCGGAGTTGATGAACACTAGAGCTGTGGCTGCGGCACTGGCTGCTGATGCACCTGCCGATGGAGTATCGTTCGGTGAGGATATTACATTCGTGCCATCCTTGGATGCTTGGGCTTTGATCGCATCGAGTGGTGCGACGAGATACTGGGTGTTGTCAATACGTTGTTGATTTAAGGCTCGCTTAGCTGGTGTCACTTACTGGAAAATCGGCCGTGCCAGATCCCCATCCCTATTTAAGTCAGTGATGGCCCTCAGTTATCCGAATAGTTACCAACATACCATCGCCAATGTCCCGGTATTACATCCCCGATCGACACACGCGTTCGGTCCCTGCGGGTTAACAATCGAATCCGAGCCAATGACAGCCAAACTAGCCGGTTTCTTCAATGGCAAAGCACCATTTGTATTCTCCAACAGCACAATCCCATCTCGCGCAATTTTTCTCGCCAGAGTTTTGTGGTCCCCTTGGACATTCGGTCCGCCTCTACCGCCGTTCCATGACGTCCAGCCCGTGACTTTTGGGTAATTTGTATCTTGACCGACGAGGTACCATGAGGCAAGAATGCGGGTCACCATGTCGTCGACGCGGGACATTGGGATTTGGTTTGATGAGAGGGCGTTGGTGAGGGCAGTACCCCAGAGGAATCGATTGTCGCCAAAGTTATCTCCAGGCATGGACATATCCTGTGGTTATGAGACCATGATCTAATATTTAGAGATGGAGAGTCTCACCATTCCAGCAAGCGCGCTGCCGACCGTGGTGTGCTGGGCGTTCCAATCTGGAAGGAGTCATTAAGATTGTGTTGTACAGTCCATGGAATTGGAGGTGACTTACCACTCACAACATAACCTTGGAAATCAAGCTCATCTTTCAACAAATCTGTAAGCAAAGCTTTGCTTTCGCATGCCCAGGTTGTGTTCAATTTGTTGTATGAGCACATGATGGAAGAAACGTTGGCTCTGACGGCTTCTGCAAAAGGCCAGAGATAGAGCTGTATGATATTAGCGATGTATAACGAAGCGTGAAGTCGACCTGAGAGACCTCATGGTTTGTTCGGTCATCGATATTAGCACTTTGTGTTTCACGGAGACGCTCTTGCTCGTTGCCCACTGTTAAGCCATCAGACAAGGATTACAAGAATGGTAGAGAGGACTGACAAAAATGCTTTGCGCAAGCTTGAACACCAGCTGCTTGCATGCCGCTGATTGACTATTCGGAAATCAGATCATGGTCCGGAGATACTGTAGGCTTGGGCAAGGAACGTACATTTGCCATCGCCACACCAGACAGATACGGATCATTGGAGAACCCTTCCCAGTTTCGTCCTCCCTATGCCTCTTCAGCACTGAAATTCAAACGATTCTGGCTGGGTTCCACATCTTACAGTAGGAATCTTCCCCAAGGGTCCTGCAACTGGCCCAAGTTGAACGTGAATTCCTAGCGCTTTCGCTTCCGCTCCTACAGGCCCGAGTCAACACTTGCCACAAACGTACTGCATGCTTGGTGTGTGATGGAGGAGTTATGCCAAGCATACCAAGAGCATTCCCAAACGCGTAAAAGAGAGACGTATCCCAAGTCGAGCCTGTCGTGATACCAGCCGGAAAAGCAGTAACTTGCTGCGCGTACCGTACACTTCAGCTCACCCATCAATCAGTCTTCTTCATTATTCTTTCTCAACCGTTACTCTCCAACCAAAGTGCGAAATTAAGATCACATACCCCAGCGGCCCATCTTGTAAACATAAGTCCGGGAATCCAATGGCTGAGACACCAGCTACGTTCCCGACACAGGGACCTTTCTGCCAGCCTTTTCCTGTCACCATACCTACTTTGTTGGCGGTTGAAAGTTTGGGCAGCGCTGCTTTGGCTTTGGCGTAGGCTGCTGCCCAGTCGCCATCGCCTGGTGCGGCGTGGACAGAAGTCGCCAGGGCGAGTATGGAGAGTAAGAGGAGCTTCATTTTACGAGAGATTCAGAATGTCGGAATGTTGAAAGAATAGGGAAATGCGAGATAGAAGAGGGGAACCTAGCTACATTTAAAACATGTACCTTGAAGGAGGCGAAATTGAAGATACGGATAAACCGCTCCGGTAGTGCTCGTCGTTAATCTGGATCGTTGTACGATGTGCCGGAAGACGTATCGCGTGAGGACCATGGAATAGTGTTAAACCCTGCATCTTCGTCTTGAAAATGTGCCCAGGGACTTGACCCCTTACTGCAAAAGCAAAAATGACGTATCAATCCAATCAGACTTGAAAGTGGCCTCGATTGACAGCAGTGACTGATCACCAGGTCGACAGTTCGTCATCCGGATTCGGCTGACGGAAGGTGATGAAGACAGGTAGCAAGAAAGTCAGTGTCCACGAGACGGAGCGATCAAGGTGGATGAAATGAGTCTTGTTGTGGATGCATGCGTACCTGAATACCCCGCGAATGTTTGGTGTTAAATGGGCGAGGGTTCCATTGGGGTTGTGTTGTGTGCTGCTGGGACGATCTTACAGGGTTTCATGGGTTTATGCTAAAGTGATAGAAAACCTTAGGACGAGGACGGGCCGAACATCCAGCCGTTGAAAAGTTGAAGGAAAGTATGATGATTCATGGAAATCGGCTTGTATGATGAAACATGCGCAATTCGAATGGCCTACCTTTATATATGATCTGACGCGGAAGCACTTACAGTTTGCTTGGACTTATTGCATTTCTATGTATCAATATCGTACAGGACATCTGTACGTATGACATACTTCGCTGATGGTTTCGTTCCTTTTCGAACGCCTGTGCCTTCATGTAATAAACTTCCTTCCGTTTCGCCATGTGGAAACAGTGCAATGCTACCTTGAATTGGCTTGACGGGATATGCATTCATACTTCCTTCTCTTGTACTTGGCAGGAAAAAAGTTGTCTCTCCAGCCTCGAAATCGTCGCTCAGATATATGAGAAACGTAAAAAGCGAGGACTGCTTCTTTTCTGGTGGAGAAGAGTCGTAGATGTATGCATCGGTCGTAGGATCAATTCCAGAGGGAGGCCATGCACCATCTGGACGTGTTAGTGAATGGAATTGAACGGTGAGGACCAAACATACCAATGTGAGCTCTGTACTCCGCACCAGGGACGTATCTATATACCCGGAATCTTCTATTTAATCCTCGTACTCTCTTGCCTCCGACATCCACTGGCACAAACGGGGACACTCTAGCCCAAAGCTTACCACAAAACGCATTGTCCACGATCCAGTAGAAGTTATGCGCCAAAACACTGCTCTCCTCTCCTTCTGCTCTGATTGGAGCATCAGGTGTGAATCCTATCATCTCTGCCGCAGCAATGATTTGTTCACATTCATTTGGTGACAATATGTCCTTGAGAAGGTGTAGATTTGGGACGATTGGATGCTTGTGATGTGTTGATTTGGGTGGGTTGGAGGAGAGGAGTATCGCATCGTCTTTGGATGTATGGAGGATTGCTGGGTGGAGGTTCGCAGGTTTCCTTTGAAGACCTGGTATTGTTTCGATTATGCGGAACTGATCTTTGAGGTTTGTAGGAATAGTTTCGAGAATGCTTCTATTCAGGACTCTGTCGTAGACCTGCCTCCTGTCTCTACTTTCCCTCAAATCCCACGCTTCTCTTGGAATAACTGGGCCGGTAATAATTTGCCCATCTGACGTATAGTCCGTCGGCCCGGTGAGTCGGAGTATGGCATCCAAGACCACCAGCAGCTCAGCTTCCTTCTTTGACCTCTCCCCTCCAGCTAATTGTTCAGCGAGCCCACTAACAACATCCAGATCTCGAACCCAACGACACAAAGCGCCCAACTTGGGTGTCTGACCTCTTATCCTCATCTCTGCCAGCAGGATCCGGGCCTCTGTGTATCCTCCATCAGCCAATGCGCCACTGATTCGAGCTGTGAGATTCGTATCAATCGCAGCATTGAAGCCGGTTGTGCAAGCCTGGCGGAAATCGTAGACAGCAGTACGCAAATCCCTGCATGCTTTCGACTTGATCACACTCGGATTTTCTGCCAATGTCGTAAGGGTATCGATTGCCAGTTCGAGATCTTCCTCAGTCAAGCCCACGCTTTGGATGGTTTTGGATTCGAGGAGGCCCTTGTCAGGTGGTGGAGTAATTGTAGTCGTTATCTTGATCTTTTTGGCTGACACATGGGCCGGCAGGCTCTCCTGCTTTCGTTTGCTCTTGGATTTAGCCATGCTGTTATTGTTCAATGGCTACGGTCCGGCGATTCGTGGGGTGTGGCGTGAGGACTTGGAGGGGCAACCTGAAGTTCCTTGGGCGGTGAGGGCTGGCAGAAAGACATCTGAGCTTGGTGAGGTGGAGGTGCAAGGACGTAAGGAAACTGAATACCTTATGAGTGCTTCTCATTTCATTTCCTCTCTTCTCTCACTTCCCAGCCCCAGGCTCGGGGTGGCGTGTATTGCCAGCCTCGGCATGAAGCATGCCAGGAGCAACCTCTAGCTTCTTTTTTCTAGAAAGCACGCACATTTCTTATCTCAACTCTCCAGCTGAACCTGATCATTCGGTCCAGGCAAGTTGTACTATAAGTACTTATACTTGGCACGGCAGAGCACTCTTCTGGCTCGGGTAAGTCCACATGTGGAAGGCAGTCTGCGCTCAACCAGTCAGCTTTGCAGTCTTGTCCGATGGAAATGGCTGTTAAAAGCCTTGAAGTTGCAGTCTCTTTCTCTGAAGCTGTGCCTCTGTCGGATCGTGAGCTTTATTATCTGCTTGCGTGCCCTCGTTCCACCTCACACCTGAATCACGCCTTTGTCTACACTCTTTGCAGGTCTAAGCAATTATCCTAAGAACTCGTCGCATGTGGAGCTTCTTTCGTGACTTTTATCATCATCTTTGAGTTTAATTACAGCTGTATTCAATCATGTTCGACTCTAAATCATCGTTCTACATTTTGTTCCTTTGCGCATCTGTTGTTTTTGCACAAGGTAACGCTGAGCCACATACGCAGAAGAGAAATCTCACCTACGCAGGCAAGATTGGCCTCGGCGTCGGCCTCGCTGTCTTCGTCGTCCTATCCGTAGGTCTTAGTTGTGGGTTCTGCCTGTGGCGATCCCACCGCCATCCAGACCAATCCGGGCGAGCAGCGACCATATCGTCGAATCTGTTACGTCTCTGGGCGAAAGAAAGTTTTCAAAAGAAACCACCGAGTTATCCCCTGCATGATACACATAGGAGAGATGAACCTCTTCCGAGTCACCAGCCGAGACCGTCGTCTACGGCGACGACGTTGGCTCCGGATGGGGAGGATGATTCGAGGACGGGGACAGGATCCCGTGCCTCTCGTACTTTGGATGGGGTGGAGGAGCCATCGAGATCTGTCTCGCGGGTTTCTGTGCTCTCCGTTTCGCGACCAGATCGTACATATCAAACACCTTTCAGCACGTTGCCGCCGGGGTATCGGCCATAAAGTGCCCCCGAATCAACGAAATTCAGAGCATTGTTGACTCAAGCGTCATCGCTGGCTTCTCGTATTCGTCTCGGTCTCCGGCTCACGTCCAGTCTTCAAACATGTACACGGTACACATCGGGTCAGCCCTCAACGTTGGAGACAGTGGACCGGGCTGCTTTCACTCCATACACCGAACTGGAAGACATACTCTCCTCGAGGAGTCTTCTGTCTGCAAAGATATCACCGAACGCGAAAGCGTTGTGATAGGCCGGTTTGCGCCAAATAAACACCGTCGCCATCAAACAAGGCTTCAGTATTTGACAAGATACACGAGACAATCCCGATGTTCAGTACAGTACAGATCCTTCCAGATTTGGAGCTCCTCGTATGGACCAAGAAGTCCATACACATAATCAATGGGGGCCCGGAAATTGCGGTTGCGGGATTGATGTACCTGGGCGAATAATCACAGTATTAGAGTCCAGTGAAGTTTGGAGGGAAGTAACGGAGATTAGCATCTAGGGTGGGCGTGATTGGATGTCCATTATTTCTCTTTAGGGTCCTGTTCGAGGTCAAGTAAGGTGGACAGAGGTAACGGGTTACAGGAGAAGCTGCAGCCAATGCCAGCTTTATATTTTCCACTGGATATCATAAATCGATTGAAGTTACGCGAACACTTTCTTTATGTGACACAAATGCCATGCCCCGATTCCCAGAGCTCGGCCCACATCATTGAATTGCTGCTAGGGTAGGAGGGGAGGGTCAGATAGCTTTGTATCGCTTGATCTTTCGCTCGTTCTCTTATATATCCTACCTTCTCCCCTCTGATTGCTATGCAGCGCGGCACGATGGCTCGACGATCTGACCTATTACTCATTCTGTGTATCAAACAGTCCCCGTCTAACCCCTAAGCTCAATTCTCCCCATCATCACCATCCTCATCCTCATTCCCACTCCTCTCTCCACCCTTCCTACCCGGAAATTGATCCTCCACCGCATCACTAAAGTACTCCTCTCGATCATCGTCATCGTCTAACTCGCTAGCAAGTGCGTTCCTCTCATCTTCACTGTCTATGTCATCCATATCATCCTCATCGTCGTCTTCTTCTTCGTCATGGGAGGAGGATGCTTCGTTTCCAGTAAAAGCGGATGTCTGAGGATTGATGGGAGTGTGAGGCGTGCTGGTTGAATCGAAGTGCTCGAGTGCGTCGGCCATAGGCTGCTCATCGGTTGTGCTCCCGCCTGTTCTGTTTCCGTTGCCATTGCCGGATATGGATGTGGATATAGATGGAGGATTGGGGATGGGTGGGTTTTGAGCAGGAGTAGCGGTTGAGGATTCCCCTGGGGTGGTGGACAGGGCAAGAGGGGAGGGTTCCAAGGGAAGATGAGGATCGATTAATGCGGATATGGGGGCAGGTATTGTAACCTCAGGAGTAGGACTCAAAAGTGTGTGTGGTGCATTTGTGTCCACAATACCTGAGGGTGTATTCGCAGATTTGCCGTCCGTAACAGCTGCAATGCCGTCTCCAGGGTTAGGCTTCGTTTTCCTGACGTACTTCCTCTTCGGAACTTGGCTTTTCGGAGTTGCAGCCGGTCGATCGGGATCGTTCCCAGCCACACCACGAATGCGTTCTTGCCTCGCTTTGTAACTCTTCTTATTCCTAAACCATCTTTGAATTGTTGTCGCTTCACTCTTACTCAATACCCCGTCTTTCGTCATATCATCGAGGGCATTTTGAGATAGACCGAGATCCGGCAGAGGGACCGGGATGAGCTTGCTGAGTTTGTCGGGCACGATATCTGGGATGGCGAGAGCGGGTTCAAACTCCGAGTCTGCTACTTCGCGACGGGCTTTTACAGCGACGAGTTTGGTTTTCATGATGCCTTTGAACTTGGCGATCGTGCCGTTGCAATACCAGCCATCAGTCAGGATCTCACATTTTTCGCGATATGGGGCGTCTTCCATGAGGTTCACGAGGAGTGGGACGGTGATATCACAGACTTGCCAGATCTTGCCGTCGAGTGTGAGTTTCTTGCCATCGAATACGTGCGTGTTGTCGTTGGTGTGCGTGATGCCGTGTTCCTTTGAGAGGTTGAAGTTCTGCCTGTTGTCGCGCCAGGGCTCGCCTTCGAGCTTCTCGGACTCGTCGTTGAATTGGAAGAAGAATGTTTGGTATTGGCGGTAGCGGGGGTCGGTTCGGGGGTCGACGCCGAATTCGATGAGGGCGTCGCGCCAGGGCCCGCCTTTGAATTGGTAGCCGACGAAAGGGATGGCCTGCTTGAATTGATAGATGCCCGGAACGTTGCCTACGCGGTTGAGAAGAGATCTTCGGGTCCAGATGGGGCGTTCTTTCATAGCCTCTTTCAGGGTGGCGATGAGTTCTTGGATGGACTCGTCGGTTGGCTCTTCTCTGTCGGGTTCCGTGGGGATTTCTTCGACGTCGTGACTGAGGTATATGACACCGCCCTTTTCTGGCTTAGAGTGGTTGATCAGGATGCGGTTTCCTTTCTCGTCTTGCTCTTGGGTGAGATGAACAGCTTGATGCCAGCCCCAGTTGAATGGTAGAGCATGACTGGACATGATTGGTGGGGGAACAATATCCTCGTTTGGTTTCCAACCTCTTCTTTCGTCCAGCTTGAATCTCCGTATATCCTCGACTGTGGAAAGTTAATAGGATGGCAGACGATGAATCCTCTGGGACTTACTTCGACCAGTGAGCACTGTATCCTTGAATTTGGGGATGAACTCGGTATTGCTCGTGGACTGATGGAAATCGGACATGCCTGTATTTATTTAACGGTGCCCAGATTATCATAATCAAGTGCCTACCTCTATATCGATGACTCTGTCTGATCTCGCCAACAGCCTCAACCTGGTAACTGTTCACATTGTCCTTCATCTTCCTCAAGATTTGAGAAGGTTCATCCATTCTTGAGACTGAGCTGACGGCATGCTCTTGACCTGCAGCGGAGACCGGAGGACTGCTAAACTCGTAAGGATCCTGTGAACCTCGCTTCCGCTTACGACCAGTGCGCTTGGGGACAGTGATTTTGAGGAGGACGTTATTGGTAGGAGCGTTATGTGACAATATAGGGACACACATAGGATCGTTGTGTCTTAGATAGAGCGGCACACATTCTTCTGGGTCAATGGAGTTCATGATCTGAGCCTGTCAGCTATTGCTCTGGAAGCTTCGGGTCACGAGACTAGGATACTGGTGAGAGATCTAGGACGAAGTGATAAATGTACTCACTCTTTCGTAAGGCTTATTTGTTCCAAACGTTTTGAGGCCATTGTCCAGATTCTGCACGATCAAAGGGTGCTCAACTGCTGTTATCTCTCTTGTGGGGATGTGATAGACTGGTGCTTGGGTCTGCTTTTGTCGTGCTGGGCCTCTGTTCAGCTTGGGCATTTTGACTTCATTTGCAAAGGTCGGATCGTTTACAAGATTGCTCCTTTGCACTTGTATAAGCCCATCGGTCTCGAAAGATGCATTCCTAATCAGAAAATAGTGCGAGAATGGACTGCAGATTGATGCGAATTGTTTTTGATGTAGTTCTGGGAAGATATCGAGAACATCGAGTTCTGTCAGGGTTGTCCCAAAACCAATTCATCGGTGACCAATTACCGTCGACCGTTACATAGGTAAATTACCTTACTCTAGGAGGTAGGGGAGGTGCCAAATTATGCCTCACCAGGAGCCGTGAATGCCCCAAGTTTCAGGCGCCAATCATCTCTAACCTAACCAACCCACCTGGGCTTAGGCGGCAATCGCATCCATCCCATCCCATCCCGTGGAGGGGAACAACCGACGCCAGCAGCAAGCAGCCAGCAGCCAGCCAGACAGACAATCCAGCTCCAGGTCGCCCGTGCAGTGCAGCGCAGAGTTGAGTTCTTGCTCAGAGCCAAGTCAGCCATACCTACCTACCTTTCCGATCCCATTGACCGCTCGAGAATCCCCCGATCCTCTTATCTTCTTCCTCGTCAATCCCATTAACTCGTGGTGCGCCGGACGCGTTCGTTCTTGAGGTCACGGTCTCGGTCTCCATCGCCTCAACGTCAGTCAAGTCAGGCCAGGAGCGGGAAGAGCCTAACTTATTCACCGCCCATAGCCAGAAACATTACCGTTGCAGATTCACAGCTTGCAGCATTCGGCGCTGGGGTCTATGCAAGGTCTTTGGTGATTGTCTGGTACGTGCGAATCATCAAGGCATTCGCGGCGGCGTTGGCAGTATTTTGGGCAATGCGCTGACCAGACCTCTGTCATGCAGATCACCAAGCGCGAAACAACTTAACCAGCTTCAATCGATCCTACACCGACTACAAGTAGTCCAGCAGCTACGACTTACGCATGTACAGGAAGGAAGACAGACGCCTCATTACCTGCGGCAGCTATTCGTCCTGCAGAGAGCCCCGTTCTTGAGCTCAAGGATTCGGCAGACAAGTCCCCACACGATCGAAAGCTCCATCAGCCTCCGTGGTATCAAGCACCTCGCTGGAACCCTTCGAATTCACCGTGACATACTACCACCATCGAAAAGAGAACCCTTCCTTGCTACACTATCATTATTCAGAACAACCTGATCTCCTATAATCGCGCAGAGCCTTGTCAATTTCCCCGCCACGAAATATTGTGGACTGAATCTGGTCTGCGAACATCAAGGCACTCGACTATTGCTAGTGCGGAAAGTAGAGAAAGGCCGAAGAGATCGAACTTGACCTGCAATCAATATGAAGGGCTTCAGGCAGAGGGTTGTGAGTCTCCCTGCGACCCAGTCAGAAACAGCTTACTCTGCGACGCGCTGATATTGCCATTTGTGGACAAATGCTAACCCATTCAGCATGAGCAGCTCTCGCGCGCAAAAGACCCAAATAAATCTTCCAAATCCAAGAACAAGGAGTCGAAAGACGGAACATCGTCCCCATCACAAGCAGGTTCCTCAAGAGAAGCAGCGCAGTCTCCGGTAGCAACACCATCCTCGTCAACGACCGCCCTCAATGACCCAAGAAACAAACCACTTCCTCCAAACGACGGCGGTGCTACAAATGCTGCAAGCCTTGCTCCTCAGCCAGCCAATTCTCTGAATCCTGGCCATGCTGCACCAGATCGCTTTAATGCTATGGGGGGTGGTTCACCAAGTGCTGGTGGGCCGGGAACTCCGAGTCGACATGGTCTTCCACCAAGTGTGATTATCAGCCCGAGTGCTCCAGTAAGTTTGCAGGAAATAAATGTTGAAGCAGATGCTGACCTAGCTTCGCAGCACATACCTCCTCCAGGTGCTGCAGAGACGATGCCGCACGATCTAGCCCCACCGAAAGCCGGCCAGAAGTCGTTGATGTTCGATCGATTGCAGGCAACTCCGAAGGACGTACCTGAAGGAATCAGGACACCAAAGAGACAGCACTCCTCCAGATTTGACATTTCCCCGCAAAGAGAGCTCGAGAAGCTGCCTGGCTTCCATGAGGTACCTCCAAATCGCCGACAGGATCTTTTCATGCAGAAAATAGACCAATGCAACGTCATTTTCGATTTCAATGATGCCAGCGGAGATATGAAGTCAAAAGAGATCAAGAGATTGGCATTGCACGAATTATTGGACTATGTTGCGAACAATAGACAGGTCATTACAGAAGCAATGTACCCAAGAGTGGTGGATATGTTCAGCAAGAATCTTTTCCGACCAATTCCACCACCAATGAACCCACAAGGAGAAGCATTCGACCCAGAGGAAGACGAGCCGGTGCTTGAGGTCGCATGGCCCCATATTCAGGTCGTCTACGAGTTCTTCCTGAGATTCATCGAGAGTCAGGATTTCAATACAAACATTGCCAAGGCATACATTGACCACAGCTTTGTGCTACAACTGCTCGAACTGTTTGATTCTGAGGATCCCCGCGAACGAGACTTCTTGAAGACCACACTCCATAGAATATATGGGAAATTCCTCAATCTACGCTCGTATATACGAAGATCGATCAATAATGTATTTTTCCAGTTCGTTTACGAGACGGAGAGATTCAACGGTATTGCTGAGCTGCTGGAAATCCTCGGATCTATCATCAATGGATTCGCCCTACCCCTCAAGGAAGAGCACAAACTGTTCTTGACCAGAGTGTTACTCCCACTTCACAAGGTCAAGAGTCTTAGCATGTATCACCCACAACTGGCATACTGCATCGTCCAGTTCCTGGAGAAGGATGCAGCCTTGACAGAAGAGGTATGTCTACCTCAAAGATGTTGTTGATTAAGCTAACAGGAGTAGGTGGTGCTTGGACTTCTCAGATACTGGCCGAAGGTCAACAGCACGAAAGAAGTGATGTTTCTTAATGAGGTTGAAGATATTTTTGAGGTCATGGATCCAGCCGAATTCGCCAAGGTCCAAGAACCTCTTTTCCACCAGCTCGCGAAATCCGTTGCCAGTCCCCACTTCCAAGTCGCCGAGCGGGCGCTGTACTTCTGGAACAACGAATACTTCTGCAATTTGGTTAGTGATAACGTGGAGATCATCCTCCCGATTATGTTTGCGCCACTCTACGAGAACTCAAAGGGTCACTGGAACAGGTAAGTGGATCATTATCCGTTTGCCTATCTTTCTAACTTTTCGAAGGACCATCCATGGTATGGTTTACAATGCCATGAAGCTGTTCATGGAGATCAACCCCCAATTATTCGATGACTGCTCCCACGATTACACCGAACATCAAAACAACGCCGAAGCTCGCGAACAAGCCAGAGAAAACAAATGGAAAGCTTTGAGCGAGCAAGCGAAGCGCGGGAAAACTAACGGTACAACTCGACCGTCGGCCGTAAGCATATCATCCAGAAAGGGAAAGCCAGATGAGCTGGATCCAATCACCGAGGACAACCAGAAGAGATTGGATTCATTGAAGTTGCAGGATGGAGAGCGGAGGGAACGAAGACCAGCTCATGATCGACAGAACTCGGTAGGCTCCTCCAGAAGCCAGCGATGATTGTCCCTGTACTATGCCGCTCCCTTCTACTTGTTTTGGAGGGTGCCCAACTGTGTGTGAAGTTTTGTCACGGATAGAGTGTTGGCTCACGCATACCTACCTGCCTCCTACTTTTCCCACTTTGCTCTTCAATACCTACCTACCTACACAGCATCACCTCAATCAATCTACTTCACCTTTTGTCTGCCAATCCCAGCTTGCGCACCCACCCACCTGCTTGCTTACTTGTCCATCTGTCATGCCTCACTTACCTACCTGCCTGCCTGCAATGCATGAAACCCCTTTTTAAACCAGTTCAGACCGGTTTCATTGACGCATGGTGTTGTGACACTTCTAGAAAAGTACAATCACGAAAACGACGAGCAATACGAGTCAACAGAGCCGAAGCGGAAACGAAAGCAGAAGTCGCAGTCGTTCGGGAAGTGGTGGTTCGACGGGGGCTGTTGTGAGCCTGGATGTTGGGCTTGGTCAGGGCGAGATGACGGACGATCAGGCGAGTCATCTTTCTTGATACATAGTTAGATCGGTTGGTGGTGATTGAGTGGGGTGGGGTGGTGACGGGTATTGGTACCTGTGGTCTTCTCTCCCACTTTTTTCTTATTTTCGATAGGGTGGACGGCGTTTATGGATGGCAATGATATGAGATGCAATGAAATGGAATGGAGGGAAGAAGCGAGATGTTTTTGAAGGAATCAAGGGAGGGAGGGTGCCAGCGAGCGAGTGAGATAAATAAAAGTGTGGTTTGGTCTGGACTCATCTGATCTGGTCTCGTGTGAGACTCTGCGTTGCGCATGCAATGGGATACAACGGGCGGGATTCGATGAGAGAGCTGCTGAGGAGCTACATATTTGTGAACGTTGATAATGAAAGGCGGAGGATTATGCGCGGGATTGATAATGGTGAACGTACAGTATACATGCAGACAGAGAGATTTTTTTCGCTCGATGAAGTTTCTTCTTCATTTTCCCTCTCTTCTTATCATGTGTAATTTGCCTTACGTCTTTGTGTCCCGTTGAGATATTTCTATAAACGTATATATGATAGCTATTTCATGTAAACCTCAACTCGTTTTAGATTTGAGTTAGGTCTTGGCAAATTTACGTACTTTGTGATTGTATCTACCTTCGTACGTCGCTTCCTTGATTATCCCATCCAGAAGCTCGGTTTGAAAAAAGGCGGGCAGGAACCCTTTAAGCTGCCCTCCATGAGTTGACAATTCCACTTTCCAATCTCCAATTTCTAAAGATCTCCCTACCTATCTCGCCTACTTACCAACCCCATCACACTTTTCCTCTCCATGTGTCCCCATTATCAACACGAGGGATTGAGCGAGGTGTATACGTATCCACTTATGATTTCCTCTCTCATTCCCTTCCCATTCCTCCTTCCCAGCTGTTCTGATCAAATCAACCCGGTGACTAGACAACGGATATTTTTGCTAGCGATGATAAATTACCCTAAGACGGTGAAATTCCTCTCCGCGCGTCAGAGTATTGAGTGGAGAGGAAGGTTTCGGTAAAGCCGCTCGGCTAGGCCGGTGAGTCTCAGTAGAACATGACCTTTGTCAACACAGCTTGTCCTCTCTCATGTAATCATGCGTAACGAACAAGCAAAATTAATTGAATTGAATGCATTACTTGCTTCCCATTCTCACCTCCCACTGTGAGTGTCCCTCAAAGTCTCAACACTAAGCAATTAGATACCCAATGTCTTGTCCGTTCTGCATTTCACATGCAAGGATTTGAGTTCCGTGTTTTTGGGACGGTGTCTCGCCAATTGTTGGAAACCTCGGACATCTGAAGCCCTGTATAGGTCTAAAAAACGCCACCGTTTCGTTTGCTGGGATTTCGCGACATGCAACAAAATCGATATGGAATCTGCGCTTTGATAGAGATTCGGAAGGGTCCGGTTCCAGATTGTTGGACTGTGCATCCCGTCACCAATTGTTGGCAAGATTGAAAGCTGAAGCCCAACACCGCATTGGATAGAGCGTGAGAAAAAGATTGTAACGATAAAGTGGACAGAATGATGCAGGAAGAGATATTTCGAAGGCTACCATGGCATCGACTCCTGGCTCCAGTATTTAAGCTGATCTGGAAACTAGTGATAGAGTTCTGGACATCGGAAACACGACTGCGGGACTTCTAGATCTTGAGATGGTTCTGATCAAACGGGCATCCATCCCCGATCTAAAGAATAGCTACGACTATCATGACGCTACTGCCTCAGAGAAGACTCCCAAGTTTTCGTACTAATCTAGGACTTCGTCCATGTCAACAATCTGGGCATGACTGGACATCACCCGCTCATTAATTGGTTTCTGCGTCTGCAGTATGACACTGAAAGCCCTATTTCGTGATATTCTTCCATTTGATTCCGAGTGTGAAGAGGAATGCAAGACAAGCTCCCGCAACTGGGAGCAAGAAAGTTTTGGACACAGCATTACAGTATGCTTCTCTCACAAGTGGTACCATATCCGTCGACACACTTGGTAATATTAGCACTAGAGCGTATGGTAACCTCTCATCTTTTGAAGAGCTCTGGCAGGCTATGTACATTCCCGAAGGACAAAGGGGGCAAAAGTTTTGACTTACACGGACCGGATATTTGTAGCACCAGCTGATATCACAGTAGAAACTTCAAGCTCCGGGAGCAATGTTCTCAGTGTCTTCTTCAAAACATTCGAATATATAACCTGAGCAATACTCACCCCCAAGGCTCCGCCCAGAAAATTATGGAACAGGAACAGTGAGTTGCCGATGGGCAGATCTTCAGCTGGTAGAGCGGCTTGGATCACGACTGCAGCTAGATTGACCGTCGAACCAAAACCGAATCCTGTCAATAGTTGAAAACCAATCCAATGACTGGCAGGGCTATCAACCCGTAACGTGGTCAATAGACCGGACCCGATGGAAAACAGTATCACTCCAAGCCACATCAGAGGAACCGGGAAACCAACCAGCATAAGAATCAGGCCAACCCCAAGAGAGGATACCATGATCGAGCCTAGGTAAGGTACCAGCCGGAGCCCAGAAGCTTCAGCACTTAAGCCTTTGGCACCCTGAAAATAAAACGGAAGGAAGTAAGTGTGGGTGTTGAGACCAATCGAAACCAAGCCAGCGAAAATGCCGCTGGAGAAAATGGTTCGCTGAGAAATCACATGCGGCGGGATTGATGCACTTCAGGGGTTGTCAGTGAACATGTATCTCAGAGGAGGAAAATTTTCAAGGAACTTACTCATCGCCCAGCCAGACTTCCAAAGCGATGAATACTCCGATGATCAAAACAAAGCCCAGCAAACATCCCCATACTCTGCTGTCAGACCAGGGGTAGATGGCGCCTCCTTTCTGGAGAGCCAAAAATAAAGAAGTCATACCGCCTATCATCAGAACAGCACCTCCTATATCCAATTTTGCTAACTTCTTTTTAAGAGGCATCTGGAGTGGTAGTCCAGGAGGAGATTCAAAGCATAAAAGACCCGTAATCACAGACAGAGCTCCTAGGGCTACGAAGTGTTAGCTTGGGTTTTTCCCCCCAAACACAAAGGGGGGGAGGGGGGGGCATCTCAGGCTCAGCTTACGCAAGTTGATCCAAAAACAAAACCTCCAAGTGAGTTTGGGAGTATCTGTGAAGACACCACCTATGGGCGGCCCCATAACAGACGCAACCCCATTCATGCTCGTAAGCACCGCAAAATACAGCGCTCGCCTCTTGAGCGGAATGCGATAGCCAATAACTATCATTCCACCAGCCAGCATTGAAGCTTGACCAACTCCAGCGAGCGCTCTGCCAACAATGAAAGCTTCGGAACTTTTTGCTACGGCACAGACGACGGAGCCGAGTTCGAAGATTAGGACGGAGATGATAAAGGTGATCTTGATGTTGAAGTACATGTAGACCTTCCCGAATGTCGGCTGCAAGGCAATGGTTGTCAACAGATATGCACTCCCGTACCAGCCGACATCGTATGGGCTGTCGAACTCTGCTGTGATAGTTGGAAGAGCACTAGCTGTTGATGAGCGCGTTAGCTAAGGACGTAAGGGTGATACCATGTCGTACCCTCATTCACTGATGATAGTAGCATCAATCCCTAGTACGAACTGCCCTAACATCAAAGTAACAGTCAGGAGGAGCAGTCGTACTCCGTGGAGATAATCTTGATCTTGACCCAAATCGTTAGAGTTATTGATAGGCTGCTCTTCAACAACTAATGACGGGGCGGGAGCAAGCTTGCCAGTGTCCTTGCGGTGACTATTGTAGTTGGTATGGGAATCTGTACACGGAACAAGTGTCGCCTTTTCTGGCAGTGGTTCGATAGCCCATTGTTTCTCATGGGCAATGACTTCCATCTTTGGGGGAGGTCAGTCCAAGACGAATGGACCTGAAAATTGGTCGTACAACAAAAACCAACACATACAATATCATCAAATTGATGAAGTAGAGCTTTCAATGATGCTTTTCAGAACTTATTCAGTCTGAAGAAAAAGGGACTGATCTTGGTGGTGCCTGTTCGATGGAAAACAACAACGCTCGTTTCTATACACGTGATTCCCCTATCTCCATGCGCCAATGGAATGTTCATCAGCCATGGAAAACGTAATAGTCGGTTCCCTTTTGTGAGGCTGCGAGCTCTCGCTTACAGTCGGTGAAAGCAAGTGTCACGTGAAAGTAAGTATCACGCTAAAGATAGCTGAAGCTAGATTTTATATAGGAATCCTCACTTAAACACCTCTTTTCCCTATCGCGACTATAACTCTTTACAATTAATTATATTAAATTCGTGAAATTTGTATTTAATAAAGTACCTAGAGAGTAATTTTTACAAAATCTATGTAATAAAGGCTAACTATGATCGAGCTTTTAATTAGGCGCGTTAATAGGTACTTAAACATCTAGAGGAGAAGCCTAGCGTGTCTATATGTATATATTTTATTAAGGAAGAGTCACTATAGTAATCTCTATACTATACAAAGAAGCCTAAGTAAAGGAATTAATAAGGTGGACTTAATAAATATAGTAGAAATAACAAGGTCCTCTTACTATAACAAGAAGAAGTTATTTAATAATACTATTACGAACAATAAGAGGCAGGCTTAGACGTGACGTATACGATAGTTTTAAGTGTAATTATATACCTATAAGCTATAATATCTCATATCTTAGTACTATATTAATTGCTAACTTTAGGAAAGTAAATGAATCCTCCCTTACTAGCTCCTTTAAAATAATAGTTCACCCTTTAGTTAAAGAATAATCCCTACTTCTACATAATCTATACTAAGCTAATTACATACGCACAAGTCGATTCTTACACTGAAAAAGACGTGAAGGATTAGTTTTAAGAGCTAGAAATAACTATAAAACAATATAATATCGATACAGGTAAAAAGCTCTTAAATATAGACGAATCTAGTGTAAGAGTTAGCTATCCTTTTAGGGAAAGAGTTATTATCTCTATTGAAATAAAAGAGCTTTATACTACTAGTCTTGAAAACCGCAAATCTATTACGATTATAGAGATAGTGTGAGTAGATAGCCGGAAAACGCTTCCTTTATATATTATTACCCTAAGAAAGAAGATTATAGACAATTAGATTTACGAGAACTTAAATAGAGACGAACGTATTAATTGTTTTAATACTAGTTATATTAACAATTGTATTATAATAGACTACGCTAATTATTTAATTTAGTACTTACACGCTAGACTAGATAAGTCATAGAAGCTCTTACTTTATGATAGCTATAAGTATTATCGATTCGATCTATTCGTTCTTAGGTTAGTAGAGAATTATATTAAAGTCTTTTAGTTTCTTTTATATCTTATGTATATTCTTTAACCTCTTAATATTAGTATCTTCTGTCTTTAGAAGTATTTTTATAACCTATATATTTAATCGGCCTTATATAGTCTTAACTTTGAATATTCTATTACTTCTTTTTTCTGAGATCTTACTTAAATTAAAAAGATAGTAATAAAAGAGTATACAATTAAGAACGCTTTTAAGACCTTTAGAATATAGCTACACTTATTAAAAGCTAGGTTATAAAAGATATAGTTATATAAAAAGCGAAAATAATCAATTTAAGATATAAAGAATAAAGATTAAGATATAAACCTTCTTAAATTGCCTCTTTTACGCCTAGACGAGCTATAGAATACTATATCCGCTGTCTAATCGTTTATTAGGAGAGACCTTACTTAATTTTCTAATAACTTAAAAAAGCTCTTTTAAAAGACTATAGTTAATATAGCTATAAGCCTTTACAAAGCTTACTTTACAACTATTAAGTATATAACACTTTAAGAGAAAATTAAAGCAGAAAACCTCTGGAAAAAGATATTACGCTAGAGTATCTATAAGGGAGGTTCCTCTGTATTTACAGGCGATTTAAGGGAGAGGATATATATATAAAATAAGATAAAGCGAGGGGAAGCTTTACAAAAAGCTTATAAAGCACTTTAGTAAGCTATTAACTAATCAACTGAAGCTTTTTATATTACTAAAGTTCAGGCTAAGAAAAAGAACAAGGAACGAAAGAAAAGACTAGAGAAATATAAGGCAGATAGTACGTTTCTAGTAGTAGAGGATTTGATTTTATATCAAGAGCCTAATAAGAATCTTACTCTACTTAAAGCCGCGAGTAAGACGCTTAAGGGCTACTTTAAATACTTATATATTATCTTACAACTTAAAGCTAAGTATAATAGAGATACTATAAGAGAGGATATAGAATTTAAGATAGGAAATACATATAAAGAAGAAGGAATAAGTATTAAATACTTAAAGTCCAGCCTTATACGACAGATACACGTAGAGAGTTTTAATATTAAGTCAGATATAGGCTTAATTAACTTAATTACGAATAATATAGATTTTGTTTAAGTTTAGTTATTTTAAGAAATTAGTTATAGTAGAATTGATTTTAATATCTGATTTTAGTAGTGTTTATAGTAAATTTTTAATAAAGTTAATAATTCTTAGCGTGACACTTACTTTCGCGTGACACTTGCTTTTACTGACTGTAAGCGAGAGCTCGCAGCCTCACAAAGGGGAACCGACTATTAGGGATAGTCGTCAAGTTTTCCGGCAAATGGCATTTTGTCTGAAGAAAAATGGTATGTTGTATTCTCTACGGGCCGTAGAACCGCACAAATCAAGTTGCTAGATAGCATTAAGATAACGGTGTTGCCCTGTGCATGTCAGCAATGTTGGAGGCGAGCACCAGTAAGTTTGATTGTTGGTACTTTCCACCATGTCGTACCATTTCCTCGGTTGCTTTGTTCCTTCCAACATGTTATTTCGTTGTTGGCAGCCACTCACAGGAGGTGTTTCAGTGAAAGACAGGCGCACGTACGCATGTCAAAGCGCAATTATTTTTGGGTCGTCCCTTTCTGTCATATACCGAGCGTCGATTGAATGACCAAAAAGACATAGCGTCACATGCCCCATTTATTTCGCGCAAGAAAACACCAGAATAATAGCTCAGATTTCGTTTGTGATAGTAGAAGAACAATGCGATGTGTCTCCGTAGAACCGTTCTGTTGAGGTCGGGTTAAAGGTTAATACGCTAGAACGCTTTGAGGGTTTCTTCGATGTTAGGGGAATCGGAAGCTTACCGATAATGGCGTCTCGAGGGAGGGAGAGTTGTAGTGCGAATACGCGAGCTAATTTGAAGATGTCCCAGTTCCAGCATTCCCGGGAGGACGCGTGGGGACTTTTGAGCTCAAATCGTGGGTTAGCAAGGTCAGAGTACAAGACGGATCTACGCTACTTCCGTTGGCTAAGCTGGGAGTCTCATCTACAAGGGTCCAGGGAAATCAGGTATGCCTGCTTATCATGATGAATTAGAAGACGTTTCTGACGTATTCTTCCGTCGCAGATTCCATAAATGTCTCATGTAATCCTCCAACCTCTGCCAAACTTCCAATCTTTAGTTAGTGCCTCCTACGAAACAGCAGCACTTTAGTGTTTCATGAGAACAAAGTGATGTTCAATTTATTTCTGTTCTTCTTATGATAGTAAGCGCAGGCGTACTTATAGAATCAGACTATACTTGGGAAAAAAAAGTTGGAAACAAAATTGATAAAGAATATGAGTAAAGAACAAAAAGAATGTTGCATCCGTTATTAATCCCACAGACACATAACCTTGAAGTAAGTAGTATCCGTCCCCTGATCTGCAAAACAAACACCATACTGCGAGCCCGCATAAGTATCCACCTCACACTGTACTGGACTTGTCAAGTCCGGACAAGTAAGCTTTCCAGGAGCAGTCTTAGTTCCGGTATAAGTGCAATCTCTAGTCCCAAGAATACTGAAAGGCATCTTAATTGTACCATCGGGGAAAGGAATGTTGTTGGCGTTGATATTGTCATCCGCGTATACCGTACCGTCGGCGTCGCAGACGTTACCAGTGGACCAGTCAAAGCCATACTGTCTGGCAAAAAACCACCATTGACTGAACCCGGCCACAGCACCTTCATATGCCTCTGAATCCCACATGATCCTCAAAATGGCGGTTGGCTCTGGTGGTGGTGTGCCGCCTGGAGGGTTACTTGTGGTAGTAGGCGTTGTAGTCGTTCCTCCGCCTGTGCTGAACCCCGAGGTGACAGTTGTTTGAGATGCAGTGAAGCCCGTGGAACTTGGATCCTTTGGGTCTTGGAAGCCTGGTGGTGCACCTGTTGGTGTAGGAGAACACCAATATCCCGAGCAGAGATGACCGCCACACGAACTGGCACAAGTCGGCCCTGGAGTCGGTCCGCTTGTAAAGGTGATTGTTTTGCCACCCTCACCATTCGGAGAATTTCCGCTTCCCGGAATCGAACATACTGGTCCTGATTGTCTCTCAACAATGTCATCCTCTCGAATATCTCGCGCTTCGGCATTTCCTGAGCCACAAGATGTGATGTCTGAAGGAAGATTTGGGCACCCTTTCTCTTCGTTGCCGCCTGGAAAATCCAATAAACAATTGGTTGTTTTAGACATGCCATTCCAGATAGTCTTGACTTGGTTAGGTCTCGGCGTCCTTGGGGTAATTACGCGCTGTAACTCGTTGATCAGAGCTTTGACTGCTTTCGGTCCACTTGAGTCGGCCCGGTTCACTGGAAGGACACAGAGGTTAGCATCTGAGCAGAGGGTCTTGTGAAACTCCCAAACTGCTCCAAAGCTATTGAGCAATGGATAGGTTCTGGTTATGCAATAGTTTTCTGGTGAGTACTCATAGAGGCCAAGGTCTCGAAGCCATGTATCGATCGGCTGCTACGCAGAAGAAAGATACGAGTAATGGAGACCGGTGACTTAGGAAGTCAAGGATTCCATGTGGATAAATTGGAAACTTACATTGATCGTGCCACTGCGATGGAAGCCTTTTCAGATAAGCCGCCAGCGCTGCCACCTGTGGTGCAGCATATGATGTACCCGACTCTGTCCCATAGGGATTGCGGATTGTTGGATCCGTTCCGGCAACATCAACCCGCAAACCCGCGGCATGGATGTTGACAAAGTCGGCTGTTTGGGAAAAGTCCGCTACCTGACCGTAGTCGTTCGTAGCTCCAACCACAATCAAGTTCGGCAAGTACCCAATATCTTGTGAATCGTTTGGATCTTGGTAAAACGAAGTAAGACTTGTTCCTCCAGACTTCGCAAACAACTGGGGAAATGTGTCTACCGCTTTGCGCCCAATGTTGCCCGAATTGCCAGCCGCAACGACAATTGTAACACCGGCCTATAAAACACGTTATCACTATTGTCCCTTCAACTTTCGATGTCTCTTTGGAAAACTCAAAAGAGAAGATAAGTTTACCTGATCCATTTTTTTGAGGATGTAATAGAGTCGTTTGATAAAAGCCGGAACCCAGAAATTCTCCTGCGAACCCCAAGAAAGATTCAAAATTGAGGTTGCAGGTGTCCTACCCCCGGTGTTCATATCATCCCAGGCAGCGAGCAAGTCTTCCAGATACCAATCTCGAGGACTCTCTGTCCCAGCAGGCGGGTAAACGTAGCTGGAATATACGACAGAGCATTTCTTGCAGAGTCCAAGATTTACACCCTCGATGACTGATGCTATCCCGACGCTATGCACGGTATTCTGATCAAAGACGAAGGGAGTGTAGCCGTATGTGCTTCCTGTCCGCAGCTTTCTCGGGACATTGCCAGCAAATTCGGGATGTGTCGGAGCTGCGAAATTTGAACCATTAGAACGTCTCGCGAGACTTTTTTGAAAGTACAAGAATCTCAATAGAATCATGAAGTGGGTGAATGGCTACAGGCTGGTGAACTTACACATGCCAACTTCTCCTATAGTGTAGACCGTCATTCCTTCCCCTGCCGAGTCGTCGTAGTGAAATGTGTACGTGCCATCCCTGACACCCGTCCAGAAGTCTGGGTCAAAGGTCGCACCGGTCCCTCTCCATACTGCCCCAGGCGGAATTGACGCGAAAGCAGGATTCCAGAATTTCATAGCACTTGAAGTAGCTGCTCTCTTCCATAGTTTCGAGTCACCAGAATCGTATGAAGACTCATTCGCTGATGGGTACCGAGATGACGGCTGAGACATGGGGATTTCTGGGCCGGGAAACACATCTGCATGTAAGGCTTCTCTCAAAACCAAACCATGGGAAACATCATCGTTAGGACCCTTCGGGTTCTCCTGGTTGAACTGGCCATAGTAGTACACAGAAGCAATTGGGGGACTATTCAGAAGCAGACTTTTGATGTTGAAAGGTAGATTTCGTACCCAGAAATAACCTGTATAGCCGAGATTGGTGGACTGGATAGTATCAAATCTCAACCCATTGTTGGTCAATAGTCGAGCAACGGATGGAGCATCTCCTGGAGTGAGGGGATACACAATAGCATTCTCGATAGTGCAGCTGGGGTCATCGCCGGCTCTTTTCGCCTTTGCGTTAGGACTTGCAGAGCACGAAGCAATCGTAGTTTGGGTCACCGTAGTCCCAGAATCGCTCACAGAACAGCCATAGACAGTCAGGCAAGCCGATGTTGTTTGTGTAGCAGTAGTTGATGGTGGCTTTCCTTGCGGCGAAGTGACGAGGAATGACGTTCCTGTTGAGCAAATAGAAGCAGACTCGGTCTTGCATTCATTGTTCGGCTCCGAAGAGTATGTTGGTATATGATCTGGCCCAATCTACGAGTTAATTGTTAGCTCATGCGTTACTGTGACAGGTCACGCAAAGACTCAGCTTGACCCTACTCAACCAATCGTGGTCTCTGCGGTACACATAGAATAAAGATGATTGAACAAGACAGTACATACGGTTATGGTTGGCCAGCGAGGCATGGTACCTTTGAGAGTAAATCCTGGTGGCCATTCGATTGGTGGAGGAATCGGCCCAGGATATATTCCTGGAGGGAAACTCCAATACCATCCACCAATATTTATCTTTCCAAATGAAATACAGATGTTGAAGAACCATAATTTACAGGGCATGTTTACTCCGGAACCCGTGGGAGTGGGCTTCGTGACCGAGGTGGATATTGGAACAATGACTCCAGGAGGCCATGTCGTCCATACCGGGAGTGGAGTAGTCGTCGTGGATGTTGTAGTTGGAGGCGTAGATGTCGGTGCTGGTGGCCAGAGTGTGACGAAGCTACAGTCCACTTGCACCAGGCCGGTCGTTGCAGCTAAGAAAGTGACAATCTTTGTGGTCGGGCAAGTATAACTGAAGATCCAAGAGGTTGGAACCGGGCAGTCCCTGAATACGGTCACAGAAGGTGTGGCGAAAATGATGGCACCTATACTGATTTAGCATTGTCACTTTAATAGAGGGTGCTTAAAAATGACCAAAGGTGCAGATCAGCTCCCAGCACATTTAATGATGACCACCGGACATCAAACAGTCTATTTGAAGAAAGGAAAGGCTTACTTTGTGGGGGGCAGTTAAGAGTCGTTGGCGCAATGCCGGTCGGAAAGGAGACGGTAGTGACAGTTGGACCATTCACGACGACTGTCGCTGTCAAACCGGTGTAGCTGAATGGCAGATAGTCAGCAGATACTCATCATGGCCGGCTCAAGTGAAGCTTGCAACAGTGCAAGAAACGGCGACGTATTGTGTAACTTACTATGTATTACTGACACCTGAAGTAGCTCCTGCAGTGGACTCAGAATCCGTAGGCCCTCCTAGAATCTGTGGCCATGGTGGAAGTGGAATGACTCTAGAAGTTGTTCCACCACTTCCGTCAGGTAACCCGATTGTGATGGGAGGGATGTCTACACTTTCGGAAATGACAAAACTCGATGCCCCACTGGTGATATTGTAGTTGGAGTAGCTCATTCCAGTAACAGTGACAACAGGAATTTGAAGAGTGGTGGTTAAGGTTGTTGTGACAAATACAGCTGTGACCACGCCATTTGTCGTAACCAAGCTTGTTGCTCCATACTCGAACGAGGTAGGATAACCTCCTGGAGTTATGGTGGTAGGATTGGGCAACGGGCTCGTTGGGAAGACGAGGAGACAAGAAGCCACAGAACATGTCACCGTAGTCGAAGTCCACACAGGAGTTCCCACAAATACCGTATCGATGTTATCTGCACCAGGAATGGGAATCCAAATACTGTCTTCAGTGGTGAAGCCGCGCTGATTTGTGTCGTTCTGAAAGACGGCGCTGTTGCGGACACCGGTAGCTATTTCGGACGTGGCAACCGTGTAGAGGTTAAATATTACAACTCCAGTCGATCCAGTGACCTCTAATATACGCTGCTGGCAATTGAAAGTGTCGATACAATCTTGATAGTCTAGATGATCTAGGAATCAGCAATCTCTACTTTCCTTGATGTGCATAGGCTGTGTTAAAACACAAAAGATTTCAATACGTAAAGAGCAGTAGATGTGACAGAAGGGTTTTCCTTACATTCTTGAAAGAAGCTGTAAAGTCCCGCACCATGGACAGTAACTGAATCCGAGTTGACCACACGTAGACCCCATGTAGCTGCACAAGACGGGTCGTCATGACAGTTGCTAAAGTCCGGATCATTGGTGAAAGATGCTGCGATATCGGGGTAAAAAGGCCCAGGGGCAATTGGAACGGGTTGGTAATAAGGCGTCTCCGTTTGAATGTGGCCCATGAAAATGTTCTTGGCTCCGCTCACTTGATAATTGTACATAACTGAATGCTCAGAAGCAGTACCGTAGAACCAAGATGGCCCCTGGGACTCAATGAGCATTCCACGAGCACAGTATATGCTGATCTGGCTGGAAGATGAATCTGGTTGGTTGACCATCACCTTGTCGTTGTCATGATCCGCAACCCAGGCCCAGACGTTTTCGAAATAGCCCGAAGCCTGCTTAGTCACATGGAACATGAGTGCTGCCGCGATGCACTGGTCATTGTAACCAAATTTGGGACAGTTCTTCTGATCGACTGGAACCCCTGCAGTCAGCACCCGTGCCTTCAAAGCCGTGCTTAAATATCATCGCAGCTCTTTCCATTTACTCCAAACAAAGCTGCTGCCTTTGGATCCTGACTTGAAATTGGGAAACTGGAGGAGTACTTACGATCTGTTCCTAGCCCGCCACCAACACGGAAATGGGAATCCCACATGGCCGCAGCGCCTTGGGTAGCAGCAGCAACGTTCCATTCCATGAGAACAGCACCAGCGGTATTGCCACGGACGCTGAACAGCATTTCTACAATTTCCATGGTTCCAATTTCACCCTTGTTTCCTACCTGCACCACTACTTTCGGGTTTGCCATGTCAGAAAAATAGAAACCGGAGCCTTGAATTTGAGACCAGCTGGATCCTTGGACTCGTGATCCTGTAGGGATGAGAACTGTGCTTCCAACCTGATAAATACCAGCTGGAAAGAACGCTATGAGCTTGGAGGATACAGCTTTCTGAAGAAACGAGTTGATACAGCTGGCTTGGTCCCCAGAACCATCGTTCTTACAGAGACCGTCTCTGGTTGCTACCAAGAATCCACTGGCAGGGGTGGACTCATATTGTGGCCGGGACCGTGTATAAAGACTGCCATCGCTGACCAAAAGCGGAGTTGCTTTCCGAGGTGCCGTAGCTGATTTGCCAGAGTAATACGAGCCAACCCCTCCATCATAGACTTTTCCGATGGTCCAGAGGTCGATCTTGCCAGATGCAGAGAGAAGGTTGCTGCCGCCAAAGACTTGAACAACATTGGCGACACCGTTGACGGCAACGTTGTCAAGGACGATATTTGGGGATGTAGGATTGCCATTGGTGAGAATGCCCACAGGTACATTGCTGATCGCGCTATCGATAATGGAAACTGACCCAATTCCTTGCCCGGTGGAACCGCCGATTCCACTGATGTTGAAACCAATAGCCCCACTGCTCGTAGTGTCAATATACATCACACATCTGTGAGTAGAAAGAATATATCCGTGAAAATAGAATATTGTATCCGCCGATGAAGGAGAACTTTGTAGTGGAACCTGACCTACCCCGAAATTTGAATATTCTGCCATGTCCAACCCCAGTCCCAGATCATCTGAACTGCTGTCAAACAATCATTAAACTTGAGGTTGCGAGAGGTATACTGCTGAGAACCAGCCCGCCAGCCGATGTTACCGCCATTGAAAGTGAGATCTGAAACGAAACCGCCGCTGCCATTTTCTGTGAAAATTCCAACATGCGTTGTATTGCTTCCGGATGTAGCTTTTGGCATGTTAAAGACTAGGTTTTGCAGACTAGTCCCTTGGGCCACTTGCCAATGAATACCAGTGGGTACCTGCAGTCCAATATTAGTCTTACGCATTGGAAATCATATACCTTCGACATCGCAAGAACTCTCATGCTGAGAATGGGATGGAAAGTATATAGTCTAGTGCAGGAGAGTTACCTACCAGAGGCTGGTCATTATCCGCCGTGGAGCTAGGCATTTTCGTCAAGTCGAAGACGAAATTCCGGATTTGACGAAGGAACTGGTTTTGGTTGATGAACCATTGCGAACCGGAGCCCCCAGGGATATACACGTCGGTATCGATGAGTGCAATGCCCTTGAAATTTTCGCATCCTTGAATGGTGGGCGGATTTAGGGCATCACCAATGAACTGTGTATAGTACAATTGAATGATGGGGACACAGACGCGATACGTGCCAGCAGGGAAGTATATGACAGCGCCTTGTGTGAACGTATTCCCACAATCCTTACCACAACGATTCCCATCGGATACAGCTGCATTGATGGCCTCAGAAGCATCGGTATTTCCCGTGTTATCAGCCTTGTAATCATCTACGACGTTTCTGAAGAAGGTGTATCCTGAGCCTGCTAATGGTTGCTGTGATAAGAGTTAGCTCAAAACTATATCTTGAAGTGGTAGCTGTGAACTGACACTGCCCAACTTTGCTAGACCTGGCAGCCAATATAAACCCCCATTTTGGCGCTTATTGTGGGTATGAGTAGTATTATGGGCATGTGTGAAGTTGAAAGCATGAGTGAAGTTGCTACCAAACACACCTGCGTCATTTTTTCGGAAGCCGCCATGAACAACTTCAAAAGTGTTAGTCCTCTGGAAGACAAATTATGGCGTCACGTTCTCCGATATGAAGACGTCGTATCAAGAAACGTCTTCACATTTCAGATCTTGGAGCTTTAGAAAGATAGGTCGACGAAAGTACATACCCCTGTTAGCCCGCAGATTTGACAAGTAGTTATTCAAGCTACCAGAGTATGGCCATGTTGGTCCATCTTGCTTCCCTGATATCTGCACGTCAGAAACAGTGTCGCTTAATCTCAAATTTATACCAAAGCCTATAACCACAAACCTTTATCTGGTGCTACATGGAAGTAATTGCGGGTATTGTCAACCATATAAGGTGCGTTGGGCTAGAAATTTGGTCAGTCCATTGTGACTTGTTTGGAGGAGGTCTTCTTACCTGTGGTCCATAGACGGGAACATCGGGATAGCCTGCCTGCCATGAAGGCTTCCAATCCGGCGTAGTTGACGCAGTGAAGATGCATTGAAGTAGCAACAACAGAAAAAGTCGAAGATCCCGTGCCATGATGGGCGTCGACAGACTCAGAGCGAATCCCTGAGATCCGAATGAGAGTTGGTTAGAAACCAGGAAAGTTCTCCACGCCGATGAAGCGTCTTTATGAAATGTTTATCATGGCAATTCGTCGTCCTAGGTAAGCAACGACAAAAGCATCGCTGCCCCCTGAAGATCCCCTGAAGCCTGGGGCTCTGCTGCGTGAGAAAGGCTCACGTCGATACTGGGTTTGTAGGTTATGGCTGCCACGCAAAGATCTCTGCATGTGGTGGTTATCCGCTCGGTTAGGTTCGCGTCTAAGGTCAGGTCTACCATCAGCAACAGTGAAAACAATTATGAATGGTCCGGATAAACTGGGTAGCATGTTCTAGTACGAATAGGCAAGAATCCTGAGCCTTGCATGATACCCTGCTCTGATTTGTATCTCACGTCAGAATATTGTGACCTGCCCATTGCAGTAAAATCCAGCAGTATCACGGGAGCGGCTGGGGGGTGAGTAAAATCAATAGTTCGTCCCATGTCGACTGCTCATCTGACTTGCCACTGAGAAGGTTCGATGGGGCGCAACAGGAATCCAAAATCTCAGCTGTGTTACACTATTGCCGAATCTGGAAAATAGATATGTTGTGTGCCTTCCCCCATAGTAACGCGATAGGAGGCTAGTCGAAGCGAGACTCGTCGAGTCTACGCCTCGTACCTGCATACTGCCCTTGCAGTGCAAATTTAATACAATGACCAAACCTTCAAAGCAAAGGTTTGGCGATGGCCTGCAGAGTGTGGCAATAAATCTGCATGTCGACCTTAATGACTTTAGTGCAGACTGTGCCGCTGGTCATTTCCATACTGCATGCGGCATGCGATTTTGTACAAGCTGGAGATTCCGGAACAATGGATTGGCTCCCGTGGGACAGTCTCCAACTTCACCCCATATTTTCTGGTATGCTCTTCGCTGTAGGAAGACTGTCCGGAAACAATCTGCGTCTATAATGATTCATTCGAGATGTTTGAAGGTATACTTGGGTAGTAGTTGCAGAAGACCAGTAACATAGTTGTTGGCGTGCCCCCAAGTAATAGCGCGATGATACCATACGAGTGGCACTTCCATGAAGGAGGGATCTCGACCAAACCGTCCCATGTACTCATTCATAGTCGGTGAAAACTACTGTACATTGAGATGGTGTGGCAACCATGTCAGACTCTGGACCGGCTCCCGACTAAGGAGTACTGGTCTGACTATTGATGTATTCTCTGAGATTGAGGCGATTAGAATATTGGGTCTTTGTGGCGGCAGTGTACGGTGTAGAGACTCACTCATTGGATGTTGGCTGCGTATCAGCACACCAACCGAGAAAGGCAACCGACGGCTGACATGGGAGCTTCAACAAGCAAGAGTGACCCTTCGAGCGAGTACCTCCATATTCAGCACACTTGACGTTACGTATTCACCTTCCGATTTAACGGCGGTGATCGACACCAGAAGACACCAACAATATTCCCATTGGACTGTGCCCTTTTGCTCTCGGATCGAGGTCAGGCACTTCGCCCAGCTACTTCGCCCAGCTAAGCAGACCTTAGATGTTACATGGGCCCATGTAGCCTTTTCTGTGCCTTCTGGCCTGTGTACGTGCCGGGATTTAACTCATGGTATGGTATGCTAAGAATGGCCAGGAAGAAGTGGTGTGAAAGGTCGGCCTACCCCCTGGAAGCCTGGAAGCTTCGAGGAATCGTAGGCAAACATGCTAGCCTACAGTGGGCAGTCCATCTACTGGATGTGATGGTGATATGCAGGGCGATTGTGAAGGTAAGGGTGGGAAAGGGCACTGAGGTAGAAATAGGGTTTCGTTCCTATGCTAGCGGGCGCACTAACCTAAGGGAAGATGGGTCGGGAGCACAAGTGATTTAGCCGGAGCGCTCCACTTCTCACGTTCAAAGCAAAACAAGCATTGAAAGAGGGGGATCGATGGGGAGATTACATCTGACATGGTTGGGGATTGGGGGCTGGTGGGGGTGATTCTGCGGACATTTCCCCGCAGCATTTTGCTTCCATAATTCCATAAATCAGATATTTCCCTCACGGAGTCACGGTACGGCCCGCGTACGCAGCGAAGTAAGCATCACAGCAGGTCTTCAGCTTGCTCCATGACCGAATTGTATCTCGTTATTGGCCCACTGCCCTAAATTATACCCTTGGCTACTTGATGTACGGTGCCTTGCACAGCCTCTGGGCTGCAGCTTATCTGCAAGGTAATCGGGGGAGAGATATTGATTCAATAATCGGCCGTAGAAGATTGTCACTGTGCATTCCCTCTTGCTAGGTACCAGGCCCGCAAAGATAAATCTCGACGTCCGATTTGCTTATATTCCCAGCGCTACGTTTGTTCGAAATTGGTTATCGGATACATGTTTCCATCCCCTACTCACATCCCTGGAAAGTCGATCAGCGACAACCTGAAGAACTGTCTGAGTCGGTTTTAGGACAAACCTAGAGTGAGAATTGGAATAACCAACCGATGTACAATGGATGTAAGGACTTGCGTGTATCCGAATCTAAATTCTATCCAAACAATGGCCGTCTATTCGGATCAACGTCTGTGGGGACAACCAAGGTAACATCGGCGCTGGCCGGAGCTTGTCCAGTCCAAGCTTTATCTCCTTGTTCTCGTGATGCCGAACCTGTAGCAATACGGCGCAGTCAATAGTAAGCTTTTCTTCATCCGATCATGCACCGTCGCGAACTTTAAATTTCGTTACGACTTCTCAATTCCAGCATCATTGCGGCACCGAATCCGCTTACACGAACTATCCAATAGAAGCTGTTCCAGATAATTGTTGTGGTAAGTGTTGCTACACCCGTCCTGGATATCGAGCTTCCAACCCCGCAGAACATCTTGTAGAGCTGAACAAAACGTCCAATCGAGAAATGGAGAGTGAGAGCAGGAACACTGCCATCATGGGCTCCGGTCCATTATTTTCGGAGACTATAAGTACAACTGAACTCCACGCCAAACTTGCTGTTGGGATTCGCTACGACAGCAATTCTAATTCATAATCCCCTCCCAAACACTCTCTCATCTGCAGCAATGTTCTTCACAGGCTTCTTAACCGTCGCTATTGCGATCTTGTCTGGCCATGCAGTCACTGCCCAGCTCTGCGAGTCTCCAAATAAGCTATGCTACGATTCTCCAGGCAGCACCCCTCAAGACGTCGATGTTGCAGACATCCAATTCGTTGCTTCCTACCTCCGAGCATACGGCGCTCAAACGCGTGCTGGCCGCCAATTCACCATGACTGCTGCTACAGCACCAGACTGTGCTGAATGGTCTCTCTATTCTCACGGATCTGTCCTCGCTACGGCTAGACACATTAATAGCACCGCGAACTCAAGTGTTCTATTTGCAGATATCGCAAATACCATTGGTATGTTCCGGCCTACTATTCTCAAGACAAATCTAATATTGTTGTAGATGGAGGAGCTAGTGCCACGGACGCTCAAAAGGCTGCTGCTCTTATTGGGTGTGGAACTGCTGGTGGCAGTCTGGGTACTGTACGTCAAGCCCGCAGCGGCCATCCCCTATTGTTGGCCTCCAACATCAGTTCGTGGATTCATTGCTGATGTCTATCTTATTAGGTATATGACCCCAAGAATGCACAGTATAATACTTCAACGTACCTCGCCAACGATTACACACCTTCCGGAATCCTGATCAAGATTGTGTGGTCTGGTGCTCAGTAAGAAAAGAGAGGGAAAGATTGTGAAAGGGTTGAGGAATGGTTCGCACAAGACGGACTGCAGGTTGGTACTTCGGATTATTACGAGTAGAATTTTCTATTCTTAGCTAGGATTTTTAAAGTCTTCATGATGTGAAACTACCGATTCATAAGACCGCCCAAGATGAAATGTCTAAAACTTTCAAGCAGTCAACATGATGTGTGTCATCTGTATTGTGATTACGGCTGTCTTAGAAAGTATGTTTGCGGACCGAAACCATAACTGCCCGTTTCCGTAAAGCAGTAAGGAGCTCTACCTACCGGAGGGATGTTAGTTGAATTCGTATCACGCGATCATTTCATCAATTACTGTATGGTATTGACCAGCCACAAGGCTAAGCGAGCGAAGCCCTTTAGGTTGCTGAGCCCACTCTCATCTTTTACTCGCTTCCGCCTTCCGCACACAACATACCTTGTCTCTATGACCCTGACAGTGCACTCATCCTGGGTTCGTGTATCGGTGCCATGGTGCATAAACCCATTCAAAATTGGAAATGAGGTTTTCTGTTATGTTGAAGGGTACATCTCTTAGAGATTTGTTGAGAAAACACCATCACTTCTCAACTACACTCTCATCAGCAACTCTCTCCCTTTCCCGCGAGGCATATCCTTCTCTTTCAAGTTTTTTGTCTCCCAAGCTGACTCCAATCTGTCTGACAACCAACCAACCAGGCAATAACGCCAAGCCCCAGAGACCGAAATTGAGGTACACTCCTCCAACATCTGCAAATATTTTGATGCTGTTCAAGCCATACTGATCATCGTTAGTTATAACGTTGGGACGATTCCAGATTTACGACTTACGCTGACTGCTTGTACTGCAGATTCAGTTCCTCTCAAAAGACCAGCAATACGAATGACCTCTGCATCAGTCCCAGCAAGTTCACCCACAACGAAGTACCTAAGCTCGTCAATAAGGCTTCAACGAAGGGTCGGAATTTCACTTACAGGTACATGTAGTTAACTTGAAACCCAATAACCCAGAACAGAAATAGTGCGAAGCCCTTCCCGAATCCTTTATCAACCCAATCAAAAGTCGGCTTGCTCTTGTGGAAGTCCGTGACCAAGATGGTAGCCCAGAGCCACCAGACACCTTGAAGACCGAGGATAGCGATATAAGCGCCTCTGGCTCTGGTCTTGAGACTAAATTTCTTCGAGTCCAAGAAGGCACCAAGTACATTGCCGCCAATCATAGCGACGATACCTGAAAGGAACGATCCCAGAGCTCTAGCTCTGACACTGAACCACAATGACTGGAACGTGAAGAACACTGCTTCAGCATAAACAGCCTGCGCAATGACCGGGACAAGAAGCAGGAAGTTCTTGCTGAAGAACAGTTTTGTGTTGGCTCTCAGCTCGTACATGGCATTGTTAGTAATCGCCAATTTGACCTTCACCCCATCCGTTCTCTGCACCTTATCAGGTTTATTGAGTAGTAAGCCCGCGAAAGGACCGAGTGCCTGCAAAGCAATGAAAGCCAGGTAAACATTATATGAGACCTTGCCAGCTTTGGAATTATTGGCATTGATACCCAGATTGATAGCTCCTCCAAGTACCTGACCACCTATCCTGAAGCTTAGCCAGAATCCTAGGAACCGCCCTTGATTATGGGGTTCCGGATAAGCGAGTGCAATAGCGGCTTCCGCCATCCAGAAAACACCAGCGGAGATACCGCACAGTGCCGCTCCGAGGAGGACGAACCATTCATTGCCGAAGCGGTTGTTGGTGTACAGCCCTGCAGCATAGGGAGCATATCCCATGGTTCCAAAAATAAGTGTGTACTTGATACCGATGGCTTTAACAAGGATGGGGGAGAAGAAACATGAAACAACCATCAGGCAGAAAGTCAGTGCATTGGCGGCGTTGACAAGATATGGCTTTTGCTGGCCGCCTGCGCCGAGGGAGTTCATTGCTCCCCAGATACCAGGGGCGAGGAAATTGCAGATTCCGAGAACGAGAGCATTGTAAAATGTGCTGCGGTACCACTTCGCTGTTATTCGTTAGTGAAGCAATAGCTTTGGGCAGGGGACGAACGTTTGATGTATTCGCGTGTGATGGGTTGAGCTTCATTATCGGAGGATGACAGCTCAGTGTCCACATTGAGTTCTGATTTTTGTTGGATATCAGACATGACGACGAGAAGATAGGTAGATAGATATGACTCGGATTTGATGTGTACTTCGCAAAGTCTCGACTTCCAGGTCTATGGGATCAGCCAGACTTATACCTATTCTCCGATGTCATTTCTACTAGATCTGGCTATTGAACAAACTTTTCTTGGTGCGAAGTATGATAAGAGCCCGGCAAGTTTTTCCATGGCGTGCGATGGCGAAAGATGTGCCTTGCAATCACGTTCTTGGAGACCCACTTCGGGTTTCCAAGCTTCAGTATAGCTTGATCCGCATCGGCACTTGTCAACTGGGTATCATCGGGTGCTCAGGTAGCGAGGAACTAGAATCCGTATACATATGTCAAATACCCTTTCCATTCTTAGCGTGCGGAACGATCCAACAGAGGATTTCGTTTAAGTTTATGTAACACGCCGTCTCTTGGCAGGGCTATCTATTGTCCCCTTGAATCCATTTGCCTGTTTTACACCGTTCGTCTCTTCTTTGCCATATGCAGGCACATCCTCTCCAGCTTTCCAGAAGAACTTAGCACCTGGATGTGTCTCAGATAATCTTGAATGCCCCGCAGCACCGAGATAGTTCTCTCTCAGTGTCCCACCAGGGACAGCATAATCATTCCAGAAGATTCCTCTCCTTCTCAATTCCGGCAACAGATGTTCAATGATATCATCAAATGTCTCAGGCACAGCTGCATAACTCAAGTTGAACCCATCAACATCAGCGACATCAGCCCATCTCTCCAATTCATCCGCAACGGTTTTGGGGCTCCCGACAATCTTTGCTCCATTTCCTCCAATGATAAGATGCTCCGCAATGGTCTTCTTGTTCCACTTGGTACCTTCGGGAGACGATTTCGCCCAGTGATTGACCATACTTCTCACAGCAGGTGGAGCGGTATCAAGGAATCGAAAGTCCTCGTCATCTCCATACTTTCCTAGATCATATCCAGACCAGCCACCAAACAATGCCAATGCTCCTTCTCTATCCCCATAGCTAGCCAACTCCTCGAATTTCTCATGCGCTTTCTCATCTGTCTCAGCAACAATCACTAGCAAGCCAGCAACAATCTTTATACTCGTAGGATCCCGACCAAACTCTTTCGCCTGTGTACGTATCGAGTCAACCGAGGGTCTGACTAACTCGGCAGTATGTCCATTCAGGAAAATCGCCTCAGCATGCGTAGCTGCAAATTTGCGACCAGCACTTGAAGTCCCCGCTTGAAAAAGAAACGGAGTTCTTTGCTTCGAAGGTTCGCAGATATGTGGCCCGGGGATATCGAAGTGTTTCCCCTTGTGGTTTATCTGCCGCACAGCTTTCGGATCTGCATATGATCCCTTGGGCGCAGCGCTCACTGCGTCGTCCCTCCAAGAACCCTCCCATAACTTGTATGCCACCTCCATGTATTCATTGGCGATACGATATCGCTCGTCATGCTCAACCTGGGTATCCAGACCGAAGTTCCTTGCGGCAGAATCAAGGTAGGACGTGACAATGTTCCACGCCACTCTACCTTCACTGAGATGGTCCACTGTTGAGAACTTTCTGGCCAACATATATGGATTCTCGTAAGTTGTTGATGCCGTGACACCGAATCCAATGCTCTCTGTCGCGGCAGCCATTGCTGGGATACTGTAAAGAGGATCATTGATGGGGAATTGGGCAGCTGCAGGAATTGTGGCGTCCAAGTTCGCAGGGCCGTTGTAAACATCGTAACCCCCCAGAACGTCCGCAAAGAATATGGCGTGGAATTTGGCCTTCTCGAGCTTCTGTGCGAAGGAGATCCAATGTTTGATGCTGGCGTACTTGGTGCTGGTGTCGGCGGGGTATTTCCAGAGACCTGGATTGAGATGCCCCGGTGCTTGCATTGCAAATGCATTGAGAATCAATAGTTTCTTTGGAAAAGACATGATTACATTTGACGCGTGAGGGAAAAGAGATGGGGTTGTTGTGAAGCTTCAATGAGATAGGAAATAAGACGCGTTGGAGTCGCGTTTGAGAATGTAGCTTTGAAAGATTTCAAGTGCTACGAAAACTCACTTCCACTTACCTGCTAGCTCATCCAAGCTCATGTGGCTGACATACGGTCGGTAAGAGTCGATTTTCCACGTCGAAGATAAGCATTCATGGGATTGCCGTTGTTGATTGACTGTTGATGGCGTTTTTATCCTGGTCAGATTCGTGAACGCCAAGTTCTCCACAGTGACGCCCTAGCCCGCCACTAGCAATGAGCTTAATTCGACGTTGGTGCATACATTTACCTGGGACTTTGTTAGAAATATGGGGATTGTAGGCGTAGACTCAGTACTGTAGGCCGTACTACTGAGTACACTACCCCTTTATATAGGAGATTCTCTCTCTCTGTAGTAACTCCTTATATAACTGCAATTCTATTATGATAGTAATTCTAATCGATTGTAAAAGACCTTAAAACTTCATTTTTATTAAGATCTCTACTTTATTAACTCTTAGTGTATCTACTACTACGCTATAATATTATCCTAATTAAAAGTACTAATTCCCTATGTCACTAGAGCCTTAAAAGGTAAAACTCTACTAGAGTTTGATAACTTCTTTAAATAAGAGCTTAAGACTAAATAAGAGCTAGCTAGGGCTAGAGTTCTTTATTATATTCTTACTGAAGTTAGTGTGCTAAATAGTATTAATTAATAAAATACTTACGCTAAGGAAAAGAAGGAAGCTTTTAAAATAGTTATTAACTTAATCTCTAAGCTTCTCTTTCCTAAGTATAGAGATATTATTAAACTAAATAATACTAAGCTTCTCTAGGAAGCTATTTATACTAATGAAAGTAAAGTAGTTTAAAGGAGTCTTACTTTTACTAATATAAGAGACGATTTCTTTAAGATAAAATTTATCCTAGGGAAGGAAATACTTTAGAACTACGTTATAAGGCTCTTACTCTTTAAAGTAAAGCTTAGTAATAATAGTAAACCTCTTACTAATAAAGATATATATCTTAAGCTATTATAATTATTACTAGCGTTTAGAGCTTAGATTACTATAGCGCTTACCCTAGAATCGTAAGACTTAGATCTCAGAGATACTATATAAAAGCTTAACGAATATTAAATTTAATAGAGGGAATAGCTTCGACTTGTAGCTACTAGTAATACTACGAATTACGTAAATAGAGGCTATAATAAAAGGAGAAGTAGTAAAGATAGTAGAGGCTAGAGAGGTAGAAGCTACTTATATAAAAGAGGTAATATATATAAGAATAAGAGAGGATAAGAAAGATAGAATAATAATAGTAAAGGTAGTAGCTAATAAAGATATAAAGAGCGCGTAGAAAAAAAAGGAAATCGCCTTAAACTAAGCCGAAATTAGTATACTTAGTATAAAAGCTATAGCTACTAGTATACAGACTATATAAAAGCTAAGAATACTTACGTAAGAGATAGCGCTAATAAAGTAGAGGAAATTAAAGATAATAATACTTATCCTGTGTTCTCTTCAGAAGAGATTTACTACGCTAAAGACGTAGAATATACTTTATTAATAATCTTTATTATAGAATCTATCTGGAAAATTAACTCTAGTGTTACTTACTACTTTAGTAGAGTTCTAGCTAAGTTCAAGTAACTTAAGCGCTAGTGTAACACTAAATACGTTAAAATAGCGACTAATTCGTACTTAATAGCTAAAGGTTATAGAGATATTACTATTAATAAGTTAACCCTTAAAGATATGTAATATATACCTAACTTTAGAGCTATAAAGCTAGTATCGATATATTAACTCTTAGACAAAGGAATTAATACAGAACTAACTAAGATATTAGTAAATAGATACCGGAATAGTGAACTAGCCTTTATAAGTATAAGAAACGGAGGTTTATATATTCTAGATATAAATCCTTAATATTAAGTTATATATAACGCAATTCCGTTAGACTTAAAGCTACTAAAGGAATAAATAGAAAGTTAGCTTAGTATAAAGGAAATAAAGGCAGATCTGCTTTATAGATATTTAAGCTATATAAATTACACCTATTTAAAGAAACTAGTTACTTACAGTAGTTATAGAATAAGACTAATTTCTATTCCGGAGCTAAAGGAAGAGAGGTATTACAAGGCTTACTTTATAGGCTATATAAAAAAGCACTTTAATAAGAAGTTAGATAGTAGAACTAATGTACTTATTTATTAACTACACGCTAATATCTCTAGTATCTTACTACACTTAATTCGTAGCTATAAATACTTCTTTTTAGTAGTAGATAATACTATAAGGACGTATTAAGTAGATCTCTTAGTTAATAAGTCTATATTAACTATTTAACTAGTTATTCAGAAATTAAAGCTATAGCTTAAAACTTAAGGGTAAAGCAAATTCCGTATAATTATCTACTAAAGAACTAATAATAGTAAGGAAGAGTTTAGTCCTAAGTTTATTAACTAGCTATAAGAGAGTAGAATTATTCCTAAACCCTCTCCTTTATATTAATACTCTCTAAATAGAGTCGTAAAGCGATAGATATATAAACTAGCTAAGATTACACGCTTAATCTTCTATAACATAAAGATACCTGAGAATATATAATACTACACTATTAAGTAAGTAATAAAGCTAAAGAACAGATACCTAACTACTACTTTACTATATAAAACAGCTACTAGACTTACTCTAATTGAAGCGTATAAAGGATAGCCTATAAACCTCTCTAAAATAAGAGTATTTAGCTCTATAGCGTACCTTTTATATCTACTAGGATTATATTAGAGTAAAATAAAGTAAAGGACGATTCTAGGGTATTTTATATTAATAGGTATAGCTAATACCTTAACCTATAAGCTCCTGAATATAGAAACCTTTAAGGAACTAAAAACAGCTAATTATAGCTTTAATAAATATATAATATACTTTATATATACTAGTAGTAAGGAAACTACACTAAAAGGTAATAATAAGGTAATAGAAAGACCTCTGCTACTAGCTACTAGTCTAGCACTTACTAAGAGGCTAGCTAAAGGTACTAAAGGCTTAGAAAGACCTCTAAGAGAGAGGCTAGCTATAGAAACTAAAAGACCTCTAGGAGAGAGGCTAGCTATAGAAGCTAAAAATCCTTTAAAGGGAAAGTTAGCTGTAGAAAATATAGTAAGAGATACTAAGAGAGCATCTGATTAATACCTCTCTAAATAAACTTAACTAGTAAACGCGTCTAATAATACTCTACTATTAAGATATAGTAGGAAATAGTATAGAAGATAATACTTTAAGTAAGCCGCTGTAACGGTCCGGTATTTACTCGCTATAAATACAGAAGGCTGCAGTTGATCTCTAATAATCGAGAGGTAGGTATATCACGTAGATAGGAAGATAGTTACTAAGTATTAGAATACTATTTAAAGTTAAGTATAAAGCTCCTATCTAATAGCAGATATACTAGTCTTATATAAAACCTTCGTTCGCCTTAGATCTCTTAGGATACTAGATCCTTAGATCCTTAGATCTATTTTCCTATAAGAGGATCTAGGGATCTAGGGATCTATTATATAACCTATTATCTACTGTAATCTAAGTAACTATTACTACTAAAGCGTGAGTATATAGTAGTACTACTCGCTATCCTATATTATTCCCTAGCTAGTACTACCCTATCGATAGTACTACTCCCTTATTAGTACTAATGCCCCTATAGTACTAATAATAGTTTTATTATTATATAAGTACTAACTAAACTATAGCGCTAAGGGGTTCGTAATACTATCCCCCTCTTAGCTTAGTGTAGTCCCTACGCTTAAGTATAACCTTAAGAAATATTAATAGTTACTAACAACTATCTTCCTTATCTATTATATCTAATGTTATAAAGAAATCGAGTATCACCTAGATAAAGAAAAAATAGAGTATCTAGCTCACGCTCTGTATTAAGTGTACTATATAACTCGTAAAGCCTTATTCCTTCTACTATAGCTTTTCTCGTACTTGCTTCTTAGATTTATCTATTTCGAAATAATACTCCGAGTATATTCACTTAAAGCGTTACGATTATAATACCTCAGGGTATATTAAGAGGTTTACTCTTAAACGACTTATATATTAGTTTAAGATAGGAAAAACTATGACCCCTACTTATCTTCTAACGCCTCTCTCTAAGCCCGTCGAGGATAATCCTACTTCTTAGTTCCTTACTTTCGAACTTAACGCTTACCTAGTGTCCTTCTTCAAGGGCTTAGTCCCTAACCTTAAGTCCCTTTCCTTCTAAGTAAACCTGGATTTCTTTAATAGAATTCCCGTAGAAGCTTAAGGTAGTAGAAGTTAGATTTAAGTTCCTAAGTGTTTTCTAATTATAAGTACCCTTTTTATTTAATTAAATATCGTAGTTTACTATAGTAGTTCTAATAGTCGAGGATAGCTTCTACTTCGTATTTAGTGTTCAGATTAATCAGTTATATTTTAGTAATAAGAGTAAGCGGTACTCTTAGCGGTACTAGTTCGAGGAGAGATATATAGAATACCGGGTAGATATTTATTATTTTTAGTAGAGCTAGTTAATAATTAACTAGTCCCTTAACTTTAGTAATCCTAAATAGTCCTAGCTTTTTATAATCTAATTTATAACTTAATCGTTTAGTTACAATATTCTTTCTAAGTAAGTAGACTTTATCCTCCTCCTTAAGCGTTAGTCCTATACTACACTTTCTATTATAATAGATCGCAGATCTCTACGTGATAAAGAGAATATCAGCTAATAATTCTTTATAGAGCTATTTAAGCTCGCCTGCCTATAGTATAGCTTCTTACGTAGTACCCTAACCGGCTATTAGTAGGTTATATACTATAGGATTATACCTATAATTCGCGTAGAATAGCGATACTCTAATAGTCTCTTAATCCGCGCTATTATATATAAACTAGGTAAGTGGGAGTAGTTATACCTAGTTATCCTACTTATAGTTTATATAATACTAAAGATAAGTCTCTATTATCTAGTTAATTCGTTCTATCTATATATTAGTCTAAGGATAGAATACAGTTAATATTTTCTACTTTATTCCTAAGAGCGTGATAAGAGTTTTCTAGAACTTTAAAGTAAAGAGCTTATCTCTATCTAAGATAATCTTATCTAGTATTCCGTAGCTTACGAAGATTATTCTAAGGAATACCTGCGCTATTATAAGCATGTCTTATATTCTAAGTACTAGTACTATATATATATACTTTATAAACCTATCTATTATTACACAGATCAAGTCGTATATAATTCCTATAACTAAGTCTTTCAAGGGTAGTAACTCGACTATGAAATCTAAAGCGATTAATTTCCATAGGTAAGGTAATATTATTAGTAACTTTATAAGCCTATATAGAGTATAGTGTAATACCTTATTCCGGATATATATATCGTACGACACTACCACATCTTTAACTACCTTCTTTATTCCTAGGAAGTAGTATT